TGCATCCTTACCTCAAGTGTTTGTTGCATCCTTACCTCAAGTGTTTGTTGCATCCTTACCTCAAGTGTTTGTTGCATCCTTACCTCAAGTGTTTGTTGCATCCTTACCTCAAGTGTTTGCTGCATCCTTACCTCAAGTGTTTGTTGCATCCTTACCTCAAGTGTTTGTTGCATCCTTACCTCAAGTGTTTGTTGCATCCTTACTCTCAAGTGTTTGTTGCATCCTTACCTCAAGTGTTTGTTGCATCCTTACCTCAAGTGTTTGTTGCATCCTTACCTCAAGTGTTTGTTGCATCCTTACCTCAAGTGTTTGTTGCATCCTTACCTCAAGTGTTTGTTGCATCCTTACCTCAAGTGTTTGTTGCATCCTTACCTCAAGTGTTTGTTGCATCCTTACCTCAAGTGTTTGTTGCATCCTTACCTCAAGTGTTTGCTGCATCCTTACCTCAAGTGTTTGTTGCATCCTTACCTCAAGTGTTTGTTGCATCCTTACCTCAAGTGTTTGTTGCATCCTTACCTCAAGTGTTTGTTGCATCCTTACCTCAAGTGTTTGTTGCATCCTTACCTCAAGTGTTTGTTGCATCCTTACCTCAAGTGTTTGTTGCATCCTTACCTCAAGTGTTTGTTGCATCCCTTACCTCAAGTGTTTGCTGCATCCTTACCTCAAGTGTTTGCTGCATCCTTACCTCAAGTGTTTGTTGCATCCTTACCTCAAGTGTTTGTTGCATCCTTACCTCAAGTGTTTGTTGCATCCTTACCTCAAGTGTTTGTTGCATCCTCTACCTCAAGTGTTTGCTGCATCCTTACCTCAAGTGTTTGTTGCATCCTTACCTCAAGTGTTTGTTGCATCCTTACCTCAAGTGTTTGTTGCATCCTTACCTCAAGTGTTTGTTGCATCCTTACCTCAAGTGTTTGTTGCATCCTTACCTCAAGTGTTTGTTGCATCCTTACCTCAAGTGTTTGTTGCATCCTTACCTCAAGTGTTTGTTGCATCCTTACCTCAAGTGTTTGTTGCATCCTTACCTCAAGTGTTTGTTGCATCCTTACCTCAAGTGTTTGTTGCATCCTTACCTCAAGTGTTTGTTGCATCCTTACCTCAAGTGTTTGTTGCATCCTTACCTCAAGTGTTTGTTGCATCCTTACCTCAAGTGTTTGTTGCATCCTTACCTCAAGTGTTTGTTGCATCCTTACCTCAAGTGTTTGTTGCATCCTTACCTCAAGTGTTTGTTGCATCCTTACCTCAAGTGTTTGTTGCATCCTTACCTCAAGTGTTAACTCCTAATTCTTATCACAGCAAATTTTCGATTCATAATTTACTACACGTATCTAATTCTTTATAGACTTCTTTCGTTTTCTTCATTTTCATTTTCATTTTTCTCCAAGTATACCTCTTTTCAAATGCACGTACCTTTCCATTTGAAGTTCAAAATATATTTTATATTGATGATCGGTAAGTGTTAATTTCAAAGTAGCTGTATATATAGTCGTTATAATAGCATGAATTAGTGTAAATAACACTAAAGGAGAATTTTAATATCCCAAACATAATCAAAGGAAAATGAATGAATGAATGAATGAATGAATGAATGTTTCATTTTTTTATCTTCCAATACAAATCTGATAAACTTTATAAGGTTGACATTAATCACATTATAACCCTCTTTATATTGAAGATTTAAATACGTGTATCTCGTGGGAACCTTTATTTTTTTGATGCCAAGTTATGGAGCGAGAATATGTTCTTTTCGATGCGAGAGAATAAGCCAAATGGATGCAGTAGGGCGAGCGTTTTGAGAGTTAAATCATTAACTCCACACCCAAACTATGGTTCTAATGCAGCTTCTATTTTAATTGAATCTACTATAAAGTCTTGATTCATTGGTCTGATTTGTTTCATCATCAAATCCAATAGTTGTGGGGTTCTTATCAAAATACCATGAGGCAAGTGGTAGCGAAAAAATATGGCAAAATATTAACTTTAGATTGTGATCATATAATTCAATACCTACCATGAAATTTTACATTGATGATTTACCTATACTATTTCCATATCCAAGAATATACCCAGAACAATATGCTTATATGAGTGATATAAAAAAAACTTTAGATGTTGGTGGAAATTGTATATTAGAAATGCCTTCGGGTACTGGTAAAACCATTTCATTATTATCATTGACTATAGCATATCAAATGTTTTATCCAGAACATAGAAAAATAGTATATTGTTCTCGTACAATGTCAGAAATTGAAAAAGCGTTAATAGAGTTGCATAAATTAATGGAATTTAGAGCTAAAGAATTAGGTTATGTTGAAGAATTTAGAGGTTTAGGTTTAACAAGTAGAAAGAATTTATGTTTACATCCAACTATAAGTCAAGAAAGAAAAGGTAATGTTGTTGATGAAAAATGTAGAAGAATAACTAATGGTCAATTGAAAGAAAAAATTGAAAAAGGATTAATAAATGAACAACAACAATTGGAAAATCCTGAAACTTATAGCCTTTGTAATTTTCATGAAAATCTCAATGAACTAGATCAGCATGATCTTATCCCTGCTGGTGTTTATTCATTTGATGCTTTAATCAAATATTGTAAACAAAAGGAGACATGTCCGTATTTTACGGTGAGAAGAATGATACCATTTTGTAATATAATAATTTATAGTTATCATTATTTGCTAGATCCAAAAATTGCTGAGAGGGTGAGTAAGGAACTTAATAAAGATTCCATTATCATCTTCGATGAAGCTCATAATATAGATAATGTCTGTATTGAATCATTATCATTAGATATAACTGATGATAGTTTGAAAAGAGCGACAAGAGGTGCAAATAAATTAGAACAAGAAATTGAGCTTATGAAATCACAAGATAATGAAAAATTACAGAATGAATATGAACAATTGGTGGAAGGTTTAAGACAAGCAGAAATTGCTAGAGATGAAGAATTGTTTATGTCTTCTCCAGTATTACCAAAGGATTTACTTGATGAAGCTATACCGGGAAATATAAGAAAAGGTGAACATTTTATTGCATTTTTAAAAAGATTTATTGAATATTTAAAAACAAGGATGAAAGTTTTAAATGTCATTAGTGAAACACCTACATCTTTCCTTCAACATCTTAAAGAACTCACTTATATAGATAGGAAACCATTGAGATTTTGCAGTGAAAGATTAAGTCTTTTAGTTCGTACATTAGATTTACAAGAAATTGAAGATTTTACAGCATTAAAAGATATTGCAACTTTTGCTACATTGCTCAGTACATATGAAAGTGGGTTTCAATTAATATTGGAGCCTTTTGAAACTGAAGGTTCAACTGTTCCAAATCCAATTTTACATTTTACATGTTTAGATGCATCAATTGCTATTAAACCAGTTTTTGAAAGGTTTCTGTCAGTTATTATTACTTCAGGTACTATATCACCATTGGATATGTATCCAAAGATGTTGAATTTTGAAACTGTGATCCAAGAATCATATGCCATGACTCTTGCAAGACGATCTTTTTTACCAATGATTGTTACAAAAGGTAGTGATCAAGTTCAAATATCATCTAGATTTGAAATTAGAAATGATCCTTCAGTTGTTAGAAATTATGGCTCATTATTAATTGAATTTGCTAAAATAACTCCTGATGGTATGGTTGTTTTTTTCCCAAGTTATCTTTACATGGAATCAATTATATCAATGTGGCAAAATATGGGTGTTTTAGATGAAGTTTGGAAACACAAATTAATTCTTGTAGAAACTCCAGATGCTCAAGAAACTTCATTAGCATTAGAAACTTATAGAAAAGCATGCTGTAATGGTAGAGGTGCAGTTTTATTATCAGTTGCTAGAGGCAAAGTTTCTGAAGGTATTGATTTTGATCATCATTATGGTAGAACAGTATTAATGATTGGTATACCTTATCAATATACTGAATCAAGAATTTTAAAAGCAAGATTAGAATTTATGAGAGATCATTTTCAAATTAGAGAAAACGATTTTTTAAGTTTCGATGCAATGAGACATGCAGCACAATGTTTAGGTAGAGTTTTAAGAGGTAAAGATGATTATGGTATTATGGTTCTAGCTGATAAAAGATTTGCAACCAAAAAGAATAAATTACCAAAATGGATTGCTCAAGCTTTAAATGATTCAGATACAAAATTATCAACTGATATGGCATTAGCAACAGCAAAGAAATTTTTAAAAGCATTAGCTCAACCAGCTGATCCAAAACATCAAGAAGGAATTAGTGTTTGGAATATTGAACAATTGGTAGCTTATCAAAAACAAAATGAAAAAAAAACTGAACAAGAAAAGGTTGATTTTGAGTTTGATGATGAAGATATGGAATTATTATAATGTCAATAGTATTAGAAATTAATTCAAAATATATGAAAATTGGTATATCTGGTGATAATTTACCTTTATTTGAGTTTCCTATTATTATTGAAAATATTCCAATTTTTGACCATGAGTTAAGTCTAACTGAGAAGGACAATTGTTGGTTATACAATGAACAAATTACAAAAGAAGAGATTAAAAGAATTTTATATGATTCTTTGGAATTGATAATTCAACCAAAGAAAATTTTTATTGTTGATTATAATTTTAGTTTAAATCTAAAGAGAAATATTTGTGAAGTATTATTCAATTTTACAAAATATGTAATATTCATACCTGCTTCAGTATTAATGGTGTTTGGAGATAATAAAAAAAATGGATTAGTTATTGATTACGGTTGGGAATGTTGTACAATAAGTAAAGTTTTTGAATTACGACAAATTTATTCAAAACAATTTCCATTTGCAAGTGAATTGGCAAGAAAATTTGATTTGTATGAAAATGTGGATATTGAAAAGATTATAAAAGAGTCAGATATCGATTTGAGAAAAGTTTTTAGGGAAAATATAGTTAAAAATAGTGTTGGATGTTGGACAGCATGTTCGTTATATTCAACAAAATCTCAACAAGAAGAATTAACGAAGGAAAATTATTTGAGTATTTTAACAAGAGGCTAATTTCAACTGAGTTTGGAAAAGAGAGTGTTTGTTAGTAAATGGATTCAAATTAATAGATAATTTAGCTATTTCGCGTTGCACATGTTCAAGAATGTGATGTATAAAGACAGTTATTGCTTATTTTTCATCAACACAAGGTTCCAGTGCTGCTTTATGTACTTAAGTGAATGAAAAATTTAGAGCTCACATCTAAATATGTGTTTGGTAAAATATCTCAGATGGTTTTAAGAGGTGGAATAGTTTTAGTTGAATAAATTGTGCATCATCATATATACAATCAAGTTTTTTTACTCTTTGATATTGTTTTATGACATCAACTTTCAAAAATGTTGGAAATAATACGACTTAAATTGAGAGAAATGGAGAATTGACTTTTTTTGTCTACATTCAATAGCATCTAGTAGCTGGTACTAATGAGTGATGAGTATGTTGAATAAAGTTATTACAAGTTTAAACTCTTATATCAAGTTATTTGCTTGCAGTTGATTTCAAATTCAGATAAAATTATTGAAAATGCTGGTATTAGTGTAACTTCTGCTAAGACATAAGTACTACTAGTATTCAGAAGAGTTATTGAAAAAGAGTCACTTGATCATATTATTATGTGATGAGGAACAAGTGCTTACACGAATAATTTATATTTTAAAAACTCATTGCACTAACTGATCTCTCAATTTGGTGCTAAAGTAAGGTTTTAGTGCCCCTAGCAAAGCATCACAAAGAATGAATGATGGGACTTTATGATTTTAGCCAGCATAAGATTGTGTGTTTGAGTTTTTCCAAACTGAAAATTAATTGATTTGACTTTTTTTAGTTTAGCATCAGACATTTCAGCCAAAATTAGCTCAATATGCAGAAGACTCATAGTAGATTTCGGACCATACTATCAAGAGGTCAAACCAAATACTGACATCAATGATTTATGATAATAATATTTTTGATTTAGCTCCTTCCAATTTAGTTTGAGGTATATTTAATTGAAATTTTTAAGTTGAAGCTCACTACTTAGAGAAGTCAATAGTGAAACAGACCAAGTTGATTATACTATTCAAGGTGCCGGTTCAAAGTCGGCATGAATGATTTATATTTTGAAAACTTTTCAATTTTTATTTTTGATATACATATACTGACAAGGTTAAGGTTTTCGGAGGCGTGCCCAATAATTATAGAATTGCTTGATAGTTATAAGGCTTAATTATGAAGCAAATCATTTGACACTACTTCTAAAAGGTCAGATAGATCAAGCAGGGAAATTACATATATCTTGAAATTTTGATGAATGGCCAATTTTCGATTTTATCTATAACTCGAAAGAATAGTTGCATCTGTCAAATTATTGATTTAGTAGAGTTTAGTAAAGAATCAACGACTGCAAGAGTTTCCAGTGACTAATCACAAACTTAAAATAGATTAATATATTATAAATTATAAATATTTTCAAAAATTTGATCCAAATTAACTTCATTCATTTCTTCTTCTTCCTCTTTATCATCATCAATTTCATCTCTTAAAACTAAATCAGACCAATCTTTATTATCAAATTCATTTTGTAAAATTTTTAACATAATCAAATCATCGTTTAAATCTCTATCATTAAAAAAGGGGAAACCTTTAACAGAAGCAACATTAATATTTCTTAAATCTAATTTAATATTCTTTGGTAATGGTTGAACCATATGAGGTTTCAAATTAATTATAATTTGTGGCAAATTCGTTTCATTTAATAAAGTTGGAAAATAAGTATCATGAGTTTCAAAAAATTCAGTTGTAATAGTAGAAGATGAATTAGAAGGAGTTTTAACAATTGGATCTAATGTTTGAATTGGATTATTAATAACATTTGGATCAATTCTATCGAATGGTTTTGGTTGAATAAGTTTCAGCATAACTTTTATAAAATATTCATTTTTTTTCTTTAACTAAATCACCAATATAATTTTGAAAATACATAATATCATTTTCATATTTATTACATATATATTGCGAATCTTTAATATTGTTTATTAGTAATTGTATATCCTGTTTTAATTGAGTAATCTGTTTAATGTTATCATCCATTTGGTAGTTTTGTTTGGTAGATATTTGTTGATATTGATTTTTACACACCAAAATAAAATCACCGATTATAAATATGTCATGGAACGGGTTTAAAAAAGCAGTATCAAGAGCTTCTGGTTCAGTTACTACTAAACAAGTAGATAAAACTAATGATAAAGATTTTGATATTGAAGAAAGAAGATATAATACTTTAAAAACAGCTGGTAATAATTTACAAAAATCAGCCAAAGGTTATTTGGATAATATTCGAGCTGTTACCGCTTCTCAAGTTACTATAAGTGATATTGTTTCAAATTTATATGAAGAAAGTAAACAAGGTTCATCAGCTTATTCAAATATTGGTAGTTATTATTCTCAAGCTGTTAAAGATTTTGATGAAGAAACTGTTAAGCAATTAGATGGACCATTTAGGGAAACTATATTGGATCCAATTACTAAATTTTCAAATTATTTTAAAGAAATTGATGAAGCTATAAAGAAAAGAAGTCATAAAAAAGTTGATTATGAACAATGTAAATCAAAAGTTCGTAGATTAATTGATAAACCAGCAAAAGATGCCGGTAAATTACCAAAGGCTGAAAAAGAATTATCATTAGCTAAAGAAATTTATGAAGATTTAAATGAACAATTAAAACAAGAATTACCGCACTTAATCTCATTAAGAGTACCATATTATGATCCATCATTTGAAAGTTTAGTTAAAATTCAATTAAGATTTTGTACTGAAGGTTATTCAAGATTGGCTCAAATACAACAATATTTAGATCCGCAATCAAGAGATGAATATGCCAATGGATTATTAGATGGTAAAATTGATGATTTATTAATACAAATGCAATCTTTGGAAATAAGTAGTCTTGGTAAAGCGTAAAGCGTAAAGCGTAAAGAAAAAAAAATATATATACCATCCCAACCAACCAACCAAACCAACCAACCAACCATCACTTAATGATCTCTATTTTATTGCCTATTATTATACTATTTACTTGTTCATTTGATTTATTATATGATTTGATAAAACAATTATTCCAATCATCGGCTAGATTACCATCGGATTACAATGTTGAAGTGGTGAAAGGTTTAAATGTTTTAACAATTGAAAATTTAAATTTACTAGGGTTTAACTTCAAATCAGATAAAGATATACTAAAGTATTTTAATAGACTTAATAATTTGGATATATATTTATATCTAGATGATATTAAACTGGTGAATCATTTTATTCAATCTGCTGGTGTTTTAAAATTGTATAAAAATTTATCAATAAATTGGTTTTTCATACTATGTGAATTATTAATTACCATGGCCATATTTGGTATACTATTTCATATTTATAAAAGAGTTAAATTAAAATTTTTAATAGGTTGGATATTTGCAACTGTTTTCACTGCAATTGCTTCTGTAAATATTTTAGGTTTTCATAAATTTGAACCATCAACAAAATTTATAAAATTAAGTTATTATTTACAATTAATTATATTAAATTCAAGAAATTTCTTAGATAAAGATAAACGAACTGCCATTGAAAATGGTTTAGTTATAATTGGAACTAATCTTTTTGGTTATCTTCTTTCATTTTTTTGTAAAGAAGAAAGATCTTTCATTGGTAACAAATTGATTTTATTTACAATTAGTGGTTTAATTGCTATTATTATTGATTTTATAATGTCAAAAACATTTTTAAAAGAATTGATTATTTTAAATAATGTAATGATTAAGAAGATCAAATTTCATCCAATAATTTACTCAATTCTTATGATACAAATTATAATAACCATAATGCATTGGATCATAATAGCTCCAATTGGAAATGTAAAAGTAAAAAATACAAACACATTGATTTATTATGTGGAATATGTATTGATTGTTATATTTATTACTGCCGTTTGCAATTTTTTCATTGAAAAGAAGGAAATTGTTGAAGATAAAATTAATGAAATTGAATTACAAGGTTCTCTAGATATTATTAGACTAGAGACTAGTAAATCTCCATTAATAATATCAGTAGATCTCGATAATAATATCATGGTACATAATCCATTTGGAGGAAAACTGATTTTAAAATGTGACTTTTGGCCAATTAATCATATTAAATTAAGTGACGATGGTAAATATATTGTTTTAATAAATTATAAACTTGGTTTAGTACAATGTTATGAAGATTTAAAATTAATTTGGCGTCATAAAAACCAATATATTAATAAAGAAACAAAGATTTTAAACTCATTTTTTAGAAGAAAGACTATACCCGGTTTTTTAGCTAGAAGAGTCCTTAAGTCGGACTCTAGTTCATCATTGGTGGATTCAAATTTCCCACCAGTTAAAGAAGATAAATTTGAATTCATATTTGTTACAAATACTCAAACAATTATATATAATCGTGATGGTTCTTTTAAAAATTATCCAAGTCCATCACCAGTTTTAGCATCAGCATTAGTTTTAACTCCAAGAGTTGCTGATAGAATTGTTAATTTTACTGAAGATAAATTAATTGTTGGAACAATTATAAATAATAATCTTAAATTTAAAGAACTTTTATTTAAAGAAACTTATAATCAATTAGGTCAACCATTAACTAGAAGTACGGGTAAAGGTAAAGGTTATAATGAAATATCAATTATTCCATTATATTTTGGTATGATTGTTATTGTTAAAGATTTTATTGCTGAATTAGTTGATGTATCAACTGGTATAGTCATTAAAAAAATTGGAGTTGGAAATTTTAAACCTGGATCTTTTAGAGTTACTCATAGTGAATTTACTCATTGTAAATTTTGTGGTTCTGCATCAATTAATAGTTTATCAATAATTTATGAAGATTCAGGAACTTTAATTGTACATAATTTTAAATTGGATTCAAAATCAAAATCAAATATTTGTCTAAGAGTTGAAAGAGACCCAAGAGAAATTCGATGTCAAGGTTTTAATAATGTTCAAGAACAACATTGGGTATATCCAGATATAATTAAATGGGAAATAACTTCTGTAAATACTATAATGGGAATTTCTCAAACAAAATTTGAAATTATACAATCAAATGATACATATAAATCAAATTTGAAAAGTATTAAAAAAAAGACAAAAAAGTATGAATCAGATTTACAATTTTTTGTAATTACATTAAGTGATGGTATTAAAAAAGATTATAAAAAAGTAGAATCAGGAACAAATGTAATTGCAAAATATGGTTTTAAATCAGTAGTTTGTAATTTTGGTTCAAAAATTGAAATTTTTTATTTAGGTAATGATAAATTAATTGAAGAAGGTGAAGATTTATATTTTAATAATGATTTATGGACTAATGAATTACTATTTATTAATAAAAGAAGAAGAAGAAGGTGAGTATATAATTTGATCTATAGTTGAAATGATATTTGACCCTTTTAATTTTATTTCTGCTTCTTTAATTTCATGAAGTTTATTTAATTTTGATTGTAAAAGATTAAAATGTTTGAACAGTAGATCTGGTAATTGGTAAAATGTATTTAAATCCTCTGGTGTTAAAATATTATTCTCTACATAAACTTTGAGTGGTTCTAATTTGATTTTATCATTGACAATTGTTGCAGGGAATGCTGGTGATATATGTATAAATTTTACCTTGGAAATAGATTCATTTGAGGTTGCTTGTATAAATTTTACCTTGGGAATAGATTCATTTGAGGTTGCTTGCATAAATTTTACCTTGGGAATAGATTCATTTGAGGTTGCTTGATTTGAAATTGATATAGTTGGTTCATCATTTAAACTAGATGGCGTAATTGGTACAATATATCTTTCAAAATTATAAGCTTTTACCACATCATCAAATATTTCACTAGCTTCAACCAAAAATCTTTGTAATAAACCTCGAAAATCATATTCAAGACCATTAATTACTTCTCCAACATTTCTATTATTTATTATATCAATAAAATTTAAAATACCATATAAATAAGGCAGATTTTTAACCAACGTAAAATTCAACCTTGCAAATATAATGTCTTTATAATTGGGATTGGTATATCTAATTTCATGTTGTACATCATCCCATTGATAAAGTATTAATGGAAACAATTTAGATTCAGCTAAATCATGATTTTTTTCAAATTGATAAGATTTTCTTAAACAATCAAATTTTGCATCTGTTTGAATGGCTGTTGAATGTATAATATTTGTTAAATCTGTTATTATCATCATACTTTCACCATCTTCAGATTGTTTTGCATCTAAGATTATCATTGGTCTATCAATATACAAAACTTCTTCTTCTTTATTATAATCTTCTGGTGAAGGTAAATAATTCAATGTATAATCAAATCTTTTTCTTATAGGAGCGCTAACATCTTTTATCCTGTTCTTATCAGTAATAACTTTAACATCTTCTATCCTGTTCTTATCAGTAATAACTTTAACATCTTCTATCCTGTTCTTATCAGTAATAACTTTAACATATTTCATTGATTCAAGATTGATTTTTTTCAAACCGCCAAACACGAAAAAAAAAAAAATAAATTATGCAATTTAGCCGCGGGCATAAACGAATTAGGAAAACTTGATCTAATGAATTATATAGAGACCAAACATCTGCTATTGATCTATAAAGGTGTCATTATTGAATCTCAATAATAATTCTTATTGAGAGCTTAGCTTAAATGTATGACTGAGGAGATTGTGAAATTTTTCATTGTTATTGTTGCAAAATGTCAAATTTTTGCAAAAAGTTTCAAAATTTTAAAATTTCAGCTATCAGAAAACCGGTTACTTTGCTAAATTAATATCTATTACTAAAAGGTATAAGGTAGGGGTATCATTAAAATCTAATTCTACTTTATACGATTTATACGATTTATACGATGTTTAACAAAGTAGGTTGCAAGATTTTAAAATAATCAATGAAGATTTACATTCGTAAATTTTTTGCACCCAATATTCAATTTATAGATAGTATCGCGGTAAATAATATTTGAGCAAATAACAGAGACAATACAATTAATTTTTTATTAAGTAGTCTGAAAATCGAGTTTTGAAACTATAAGCGAAATTAAGAAATTTCAAGCCACAAGAAAGAAAGAAAGAAATAAGTAAAGAAATAAAGAAATAAAGAAAGAAACAAACAAACAAACAAACAAACAAAGAAAGAATATATTTTAGAAATGAACCAAGCTTAAATAAACCAAGCTTAAATAAACTCAGCCATACATAATAATTTAATCAAATAGATCTAAAAATAAATAAACGAATTGAATTGGCGTTTATGGATTACAAAAATCTTGAAATCCAAAAATAGAATCATATATCATATTGTCGTAATTTAAAGTTATTTATAGATTTCATGGCACAGCATGGCGTGGCATGGCATGGCAAATTTATATAACCACATTTTGTACTATATTATTGATAATGATCAATTACTAAATTAAATAAATAAATTAAACATTGAATACATTAAACTTCATAAAGATAAACTGAAACTGTCGTAAATTTCAAATACAATTCACCATTAAAGTTATTTATAGAAATTAAAAGCAAAAGAAAAAAGATTAAATCAAACGAATGATTAAGCACGTGATCGATGACTCAAAAATCTATATATCTATATATCTATATCTATATATATGTATATAATATCTATACACTGGAGATTGTGATTATGTAATGAATGACAAATATATGACAAGATTAAAAAAATGCGAATTAATTTACCCAAATTGGAACTTTTTTCTTAAAAATTGGTTCAAAATCTAAAAATAGCTATCAAGTATAAAAAATGTATCCAATACTACTAATTGGAATATGCGGCTTTTACCTTTTTTAAGTTTGAAAATTTTTATCCCAATAGTTGAAAACCGAAAAATCATCGCCAAGCGTGCATTAGTATATACTAATATATTTAAATAATGAATTAGAACCTATACAATCGCTTCAGCAAATCAGCAAATAAATAAAAGACATTCTATACTAAAACCAATAGTTTCAATATACATCTAGACATCTAGACAGGTCAAAAAAATTTATCTGTGTGGTAAAGAATGAATAAAGAATAAATAAAGAATGAATATAGAATGAATATAGAATGAATATAGAATGAATAAAACTATACTCTTTTAATATTGATTATATAATTTTCTCCAAATCATACCCAATAATTCAAATTAGGAATACCGGCTAAAATATTACATAAGAAAAAGGGGTTTTGTGGTTAAAAAATGGCGAGTAAAAGTGGTTCTGGACCAATCTATAAAAATCGTGTAATAAGTAACAAAAAAAATAATTTACGCGTGTAAATTTTAGTTGACAAAATTTTATCAATACAAAACTAAAACTAAAACTAAAATTTATTTATTATTTTGGTTGTCATTTTTCATTTTTCATTTTTCTTTTTATCAAGATATATATTTGGTTAAGTCAGTTTTAAGTCAATTCAAGAAATATTATTGGTTAGTTAATTAATTTGCTGGGTGGTTTAATTAGAAATTAGAAATTAGAAATTGATTCAAATTAATTTAATACATATATAAATATTGGTCACACTGTTTGATATTAATCATCAATTTTTTCACTTCCGTGTTGGTTTTATTATTATCAATCATTTATCATTTATCGTTTATCATTTATCATTTACAATAGAAGAAATAGATTATTATCGTCAACTACTTACTACATAGTTTATTACGGTATTATAGTATTATAGTATAATTTATCACCTTATCATCAATTTTTATCAATTGATTACTGTCAGCAAAAAAAAAAAAATTGATTTATTTTTATTTAACTATTTAACATAGCCAAATTTTATTAATAATGAGTTCACCAGCAAATAGATCTTCAATATTTGGATGGATGCCGAAGAAACATTTATCTTCACCAAGTTCAGAATCAATAGATAATAATAGTAATAGTAATAATATTATTAATAGTAATATTAATAGTAATAATAATAATAATCATAATAATAGTAATAATAATAATATTCATAGTAATAATAATAATAATAATAATAATAATAATAATAGTAATAGTATTAATAATATTAATAATATTAACATTAATAATTTGATATCAAGATCTCCAACTAAATATAATCAAAATTCAGATTCATTAAGTACTTCATTTTCAAGAGTTCGTTCCAATTCAAATTCATTAATGCAAAATAATATAATTGGTGAATATTTTGGTATCTCATTAGATGATGCTTTAGAAAAATCAAGTGCGAAAATTTCAATTTTATCTAGTGATGCTTCAGGTTCTGCTCAATATGGTGTCATTCCAATAATTGTTGCAAAATGTGGAGTTTATTTAAAAAAAAATGGTTTAACAGTTGAAGGAATTTTCCGTGTAAATGGAAGCGCAAAAAGGTTAAAGGAATTACAAATTATCTTTGATAGTGGGCCTAATTTTGGCAAAAAATTAAATTGGGATGGTTATAATGTTCATGATGCTGCTTCAATTTTAAGAAGATATCTTAATGCATTACCTGAACCATTAATTTCATTTGAATTTTATCAAGATTTTAGAAATGTTTTAAGTACAAGAGTAATAAATTATTTAAAATTTAAAACTGAAAATGAATTAATACGTGAAAACAATAAAAAATTAAATAATGAAATTTTAGTACAATCAATACCCATATCTCAAGAAGAAATTGAATCAAAAACTAAAAAAAAATCAAGAAATTATAAAAAACTTACAAATGATGTTCATTCAGCCATTGAAAAATATAAAAAATTGATTGATTTATTACCAATATCATCAAAACAATTATTATTTTATATCCTTGATTTATTAGCAATGGTTCAAAATCATTCAAAAGAAAATTTAATGAGTTCAAGAAATCTTGCAGCTATTTTTCAACCAAGTATTTTATCTCATCCAAATCATGATTTAGAACCTGAAGAATATGCTTTAAGTCAATTGGTTGTAGAATTTTTAATAAGGTATGCATATAAACTTCTTCCAAAACAAGAAGAATCTAAACCTGAAAATAATACACTAATAAAACCACAACTTCATCATTCTGATAGTGAAACTACTAATGAAGATTTACTAGGTCAACAAAATTTACAAGTTTCTCAAGCTCCAATCCCTTTTGATTCTGATTTAGAATTTTCTGATGAAGCAAATGAAATTGGTTCAGGTTCAGGTTCTGATATAGATAATGAGTTTCAAACTTTAAAGATAACGAATGGTCATGATAGTAATCCGAATCCAAATCCGAAACTAATAGTATCGACACCATCAGAAGATATATGATGAGAAGATTATGAAGATTTGTATAATTATGTATAGCTATGACTGTATAAAGTATTTATTTACTTTGAATGATGATTTAGATGACAACAACAGTATGTTTTAACCTTTTATAAACTACAGCGTAGATAATCTAATTTGAGAGATCTTTTTTAAAAATCGCCTGGTGATTTTGAAACGCACTGAAAAATTTATTATTAACAACCAACCAAATATAAACAACAACTTCATAAAATGTCTGATGAAGAAGTAGATGATTTATTTAATGATGATTTAAATAATCAAGAAGAAGTAGAAGTAGAAGAAGAAGAAGAAGAAGAAAAAGAAGAAGAAGAAGAAGAAAAAGAAGAAGAAAAAGAAAAAGAAGAAGAAGAAGATGTTGATCACGGTACACATGAAGAAATTCCTAAAAAAATACTTGAATTATCAATTCCTAGACATGCAACTCAATTTTCAAATTCTGAACCAACTAGATTTCTTAAAAAACCAAAATTCTTACGTGCTTCGTTACATGCTTTTGATCCAACAAATTTCAAAAACTCTTTAGTTGAATCATCAAAACGAAGAGAATCAGAAAATGCTACTGAAAAGGAAATTTATAATGAATTATTAGCTGAAAAATTATTCAATATTAATACTATAAGGTGGAGATATCATTCAATTAATAATGATGAAGTTATTAAACAAAGTAATTGTAATTTTATACAATGGGATGATGGTTCAATATCTTTAAAAATTGGAAATGAAACTTTTGATTTGAAAGAATTTAAATTAAATGATAATTTATTAGTTAAATCATTACCAGATTTTGAAATATTACAAAATGTTTCAATAATTGAAAAAAATGTTATATTAATGCCTGCATCTGATATAAATAAAAAATTAAATACAATTACTAGTCAAATTAAAAAGAAAGATAAAATTTATTCAGTTAAAACAGAAGTTGATCCATTAAAACATCAACAAGAAATGTTGATGAAAGAGCAACAAATTATGAAGATGAGGAGACAGCAAAAGAGGAAACAAGAAGAACAATTGGAGAAATCTGGTTCTGGTTCTGGTTTTGCTGGTGGTTCAAGATTCCAAGATACATATGTAAGAGATGAAGAAGAAGAAGAAGAAGAGGAAGAAGGTTATGAAGATGATTTTGTAGTTGACGAGGAAGAAGAAGAAGAACAAGAAGAAGAATTAATTGATGAAGATGAAGAATTCGATAAAGGTGCTGAAAGATTAAGAAAATTAAAAGAAGAAGGTGCAAATAAGTATAAAGAAGATGATAGGAAAAGAAGAAGAATTATAGAAGATTCAGATGATGAATAAAAAAAGTATTAAACTCAAAATTCATATAGAATATAGCAGAAAGAAGGTGCAAGTGAACATGGGACAAGAAGTATAGTAATAATGTTCAACATGAAGTAGGGTTAATATATATTGTAACATTTCATTCGTTCGTAAATTCAAGGTCTTAGATTTCACGAGAAAATCTACTTTTAACCGAGATTCATTTTTCACTTTTATCACCATGTCAATTAGACTGTTATTTTTAGGTGCACCAGGCAGTGGTAAAGGCACTATATCATCAAGATTATTAAAAAGATTTCCCATTGGTTATTTATCCTCGGGTGATATAATTAGATCTCAAATATCTCAACAAACTTCAATTGGAAAACAAGCACAAGATTACGTTCAAAATGGTTCATTAGTTCCTGATAATTTAATGGTTAGTTTAATATTAAAAGAATTAGAGCTGAAAAGTTGGTCAAATTGGTTATTAGATGGTTTCCCAAGAACAATAAATCAAGCAAAAGAATTGAATAAAGAAACAAATTTAAATTTGGTAATTGAATTGGATGTACCACAAAATATTATCCTAGATAGGATAAATGCAAGATGGGTACATTTAAAAAGTGGAAGAATATATAATTTAGATTATAATGCTCCCAAAATTCCATTCAAAGATGATATAACCGGCGAACCATTAACAAAAAGAGACGATGATAAACCTGAAATATTTGAAAAAAGATTGAAAAAGTATAATGAAGAAATTAAACCATTAAAAGATTATTATGACAAACAAGGTATACTATATACCATCAGTGGAAATACTTCAGATATAATTTATCCAAAATTAGAATCATTAATAATTGAAAAATTCAAATTATAGATTATTATAGATTAATGAATATATGACTATCTGAATCAAGTGTGAGTTAGGCTTTTTAAAAGGAGACAAACTGCTGTGTAAAAATCTCAGTTGATGAAGGATTCCAAACTGCTAAACTTTTCAAATTATTGAATTTCATAGAAACCTTGAGAATTGACCACCTTTGTCAGACAATATACAAAGAACATTTCAATATATTCGCGTCACTAGTATCAAATGTCAAAGTACATTCAATTAAAATGCAACTTGATTCTGAACGACAGTTTGAATGTGCAATTAATAATTTAAATCTCAAGGCGCTCGCCCTGGTTTTTCCATCTGGCTTACACTCACGCTCTAAGAAAAATATTGTCGCTCTATGATTTGGCATCAAAAAAAAATGTTGACACGAAATAGTCGCATTTTAGAATCTTCAAAGCAAGGAGGTATAATGTGTTCGATGTCGAAATTTTCATTTTCAATTTCTTTAGAGTTTATTTGATTTTTATTAGTATATGCCTGGATTTCAGTTTAAAAATTGTATCCTAATTCATTTCAGAGTGATTTATTAAACATTACTATAATATTATTGTACCCATAATATAATTGTGTACTCGAATCAATAAAATAACTAACTTGTATATCAGCAAATATCGTATTCTTTTTTTTCCGTTTTATGCCAATTCAATTCCAAATGGGCTGATCATGCAATGTTGGTGGTAGCAGAAATGGTAACTCAGGACTATCCATTGCCAATTACGGTTCATTAACAGAAGAAATTTGATAATTCCTACCAAAGAATAAACCCCAACGATATTAGTAAATAATCAGACCCAACTTCTTTTTAATTATAACTGATGGCTTTGGCATTACCCATCCTTTTTCGACATTACCCATCCTTTTTTGACATTATCATCGACAATGCCCTATTTTTGTATATAGTTTTTTAATATATTATTTTACTAAAAATTGACATTTTCTCTGAATTTAGCACGAATAGTGGTACAAGCCCTGGCATTAGGAGACTCTTCAAGTCGCGTCCTCGTTCTATTTTGGTTGAAAATTCAACTCCAAGAAAAGAAAAAAAAAAAAAAAGATGATATAATTCAAATTCTCGATTTCTATAGAGCTTATTGGATATGATTTATGTAGCTTATTTGATCCAAAATGGAAGATACTTTTGAATTACAATGCCATATCGAGTATTCTTTGAAAATCTACGGATTATCTTCAAATTTAACGCTTTACTTTTACCGATTAAGTGTTAAGATTACTAACTAAATTATGTATTCTAAAGTATATTTCAAAGAAGTTTGGCCCGACAAAAATAAATTGTCGCCTTAAATTTTAGGCCACCCGTACCATATTTATTGGCTTTTAAGTCATAAATCAAGCATTTTGTCGAGATAAAAATACTGTTATATGATATTAAAAGCGTTAAAGTTTATAATCGGCATATTTGAAATTTAAATAAACAAACTTATTTCTTTTTGACTTGGAATTTTGGGCTTTTATCACCATACAAAATTTTTTTAGAAGTTAAAATGCAATTTATCTATAATTTTGGACCACAACTTCCAATGAAACAACAGATCATATATACTATACCTTACACTAAGACATATACTATGGTTTTTGTTGATGTAAACTAAAATTGAAGAATTTTAAAATTTTCTCTAAGTGTCGGAAAAACGAATAAATCGACTTCACAATAAATTTGGCTCCACAATCAAAGTCATCATGAAAGTATGATAAAATTGATCATTTTTGTAGATCCTGTAAGTAGATAAACATTAACTTTCATTCTGTTAAGGTATTCAAAACGAAAAATTAAATTTTCAATTTGATTACCATTTTTTTGCCAATTATTTGAAAGAGAAATAAACAATCAAAATTAAGTCTCTGTAATGGATACTGCCATAAATTTATTCAATTTGACTGAGCTCTATATCAATAAATTTGAGAAGTAAAGCCGGAATATCATCAGGGTTATTTACAAATTAAGTTTTAAGATTAACTATTATAGGACTGCAGAGAACTCAAATTTGTTTCAGAATTTTTTTTTTTTTTTTTTTTGGCCGAAATGTATGTATTTTCAATGCGAAGCTTTGGTGCGATGAAAAATGTTCTTTGCGCTATGGGCAAGGCGACCTCATACCAATTATATTGGCTTATTGGTCATGAACAACGTAGTTCTTTGTATCAACCTTTCAACAATCCAAAATTATATATATTGAACCTAAGATCTCTAAACAAATATCAATTACCGAAATTATAACAAATAAACAGAAACTAATTTAAAATAAATAAACAGAAACTAAAATCAAGGTTGATCTAAAAAATCCAAAATAGTTAAAAAATAGTTATCTTAAATCATCATACTAATGAATGAAATAAAAATAATTGAAAATGTCAAAGTTATAATGTTTTTATTACCTTCATTTGCTAATTGAACACTTGGTTGTTCTTCAACAATTGCTGTTTCTTGACTAATTAATGAATTTATTGATTCTTTAACATCTTCACCACTTTGATAAGCTCCAATAGCATTATTTTGAGCAATTGAAGCTTGATTTTGAATGCTTTTAACATATTCGTCATCAGTTGCAGTTTTAATAATTTCTGAAGCTATTGATTGTTGAGACTGAGCTAATTCTGTTATTTTAGATACACAAGATTCTTGTTGAGCTTCTAATGATGATAAATGATGATAAGCTTCAGTTTCAATTGATTCTAATTCCGATTTGACACTATTACATGAATTTATCACAACTGTCTCAGTTGCAGTTTTAAGAATAGTTTCAATTGATGCTTTTTCAGATTCACAGGATACAACTGTTGTAATAACTTTGTTTACTTCCGAAATAACTGATGAATGAACGTTATTTATAGATGACTGTTCATTATTTAAAGATGATTGTTGAGTACATAAAGTGCATATAGTTTCTGTGATTGTAGCTTGTTCAAAAATAGTTGAATTTTGATTAGCAATTGAGCTTGATGATAAAAATTCAGATACTTCGGATGGTAAAGATTCAGTAACTGAGCTAGAAGCAACTGGAGCTAATGAAGATTGGAAATCTGATGAAATAGGTAAACTTGATTCAGTAGATGCAGATTGAGATGAAAAACTTGTTTCACTGACTTCTGAAGTTTGAGAAACAAAGCTTGATTGAAATTCACTTGATTCCAGTGTAACTGAAGACTCTATAGTTGTTGAACTACTTGGCAAAGCAGTAGCAGCATATGCCAATTGAGCAGCGACAGATTCTGGGTATAACCAATAGCCTGAGTTTGTAACACCGGCACTTGAACAAGCAGATTGACCTAATTGAGTGGCAGTAACAACATCTTCTCCACTGCAATTTTCCGCAATACAGGCTCCAATTGGACCAGCAATATTAGGAAGAACACAAAGACATCCAGTATCCCAATATGGACATACTCCAGTGTCAACGTCTAAACAAGATTTAGCACATTCTGGCATATTATCATAGACTCTATCGGCAAAACCATTAATTGTAGCAGTTCTAGCTATTGCAGTAGTAGAAGATGAAGATGATGAAATTGGAAGATCTGTGGTTGTTGGTTGTGATGAGGAGTTTGATGGTTGAATTTCACTTGATTCACTACCTTCTGTTTCTTGTGGTAAACTTGATGAGCTTGAAATTGAGCTTAAACTTGAACTTGAGCTTGATTCAGTAGTTTGAGCAGCAGCTGAGCTTAAAAGAGCATCATCGTCAGCATTAAGCATCCAATAAGGATCCCACACACCTGCTCTTGAACATTGGCTAGTAGCTAAGCTCCTAACATCATTAACATCCTGACCTCGGCAACTTTCAGCAACACATTGAGCGATTTCTCCTACGAAATCTGGCATAATACATAAACAACCAGTATCCCAGTAAGGACATGGAGTGACTCCTGTATTTGCGTACATACAAGCTTTGGCACAATCAGGCATTTGATCATAAATTAAATCGGCAAAACCATTAATTGAAGCAGTTCTAGCAACAGAGGGGTAAGTTGCATATGGATTCTCTTCTTCGTCTTCTCTCTTAAGAACAGGAGCATCTGTAATTCTTGGAGAAGAAACAGCAATTGCACTGACTATAGTTGGTGATAATAAAACGAATGAACTAACTATTGAAAACTTCATATTGCTGGGATTTGAAAACAATGCTTAGAAAAATTTTAAAAAAAATCTTGATCTTATTGTTTTCCTTAAATAGTAGAGGTCGTATCAGCCGTAATTCATAACCATATATCATATATTAACACAAACATATGGAGGTTTAAACCATTATTTACCAATACCGAGATCATATTTTCATCGTCTAAGAATTAAACGAAAAATTAAAAATAATTTGTTGCCGCGCTTAGAAACTATGGTTTTATAACCAATCAAGATGAAGAATATTTTTACTTGGTATTATTGGAGCGACATGTCCGGTCCAAGAAAAAGTTGATTATCAGATTAATCAGTTAAAGCATTTGATTAATGACGGAAATATCGATTATTAACTAAATGTAACATTAAAATTTGGGGAAGTTTAAAAGGTTTTATTAATATTAAAATACCAAGAATTGCTTACCAATGTATTTAAAGCTTGTGGCTATTAGCTGATGAGGTTTACTCTGGGCATAATAATGTATAAAATATTGAATCAATCCAGGTTTTCAATCATCTATAATGTCAACCATTGATGAGCAAAAAGCACTTGAAGCCTCCAGAAACACAAGATATCAATGGATAAGTTGTTTATTCAATATCCTACTTTTATTAGCTCATGGTATTATATTTTATTGGATTCCTAGAGCAATTAGACTCGAAAGATATGTTAAATCAAATAGATTCAAACCTATTTTTAGGATATTTGATATTTGGCAATCACTTAATTTCAAATTTTCAATTAAAATAAGGCATAAACAATATTTTTTTAAACCTTCCATGTTATTATTATTTTTATGCTTTATATTATTAAATGGTAAATTTTCATATATTGAAACTTCAGATTTAGATTATCAATCAAAAAATTTGATTATTGCAAAAAGATGTGCTAGAGTTGGTCTTGGTAGTTTACCAGCTATGTTTTTATTAATTGCAAAAGGTGATTTTGTAAATGGTATATTTGGAATTAGTAATGATCGAGGTTATTTTTTTCATAAATGGTTTTCAAATATGATGTTTGTTTTAGTTTCTGCTCATGTAATAATTATGTGTTATTATTGGTCACAAGGTTTGATATCACCTACATATCCAAAATCAGCTTATGGAATAATTGGTTACGTAACTTATGTTATATTACAATTTGGTAATAATAGATATTTAAGAAAATGGTTTTATGAAGGTATAATGATAAATCATAGAGTTCAATCATTTATTATGTTATTAGTTGTTTTTTTACATAATGATAAAGCGAAAGCTATGGTTGTTTTAGGTGTTCATTTATTAGTTCTTGATAAAGTTGTCAATAGAATAATTGGTATTGTACATTATAAAAAATCTCCAACTAAAGGTTATTCAAGATTTGAAATTTTAAATGATGAATACTTGAAAGTTTCAATTCCGATTAAAACACATGCAAAGAATTTTAATAAATGGTTTAATATGTTAAATTATAAATATGGATCATGGAAACCTGGTTCTCATATATATTTAAATGTTCGAAAGATTGATTTTTTTCAGCATCATCCATTTTGTATTGCTTCATTACCAGAAGATAAAGAAATTGTATTAATTATTAAAACTCAAAAGGGATTTACAAAGAAATTACACAACAAAGTTGAAGAAGTTAAAACTAAACAATTAAATGGAGATATAAAAGAACCAAAGAAGTCAAAATCTGCTAAATTTGCAAAAGTTGAAGATCCAAATATTGTTAAATTTAAAACGATGTTTAGAGGTCCATCAGGGGCAAAATTCCATCCATTAACTACATTTGATGGTGTTGGTTTTATAATTGAAGATTTAGGTGCTTCATTTGCATTACCAATTTGTTTAGATTTATTACAAAATATTAGAGTAAAAAACGAATCAAAAGAATTATTATTTAGACCTACAAATCCAATTATAAAACTTTATTGGAGTATAGAAACACAAGAATTGGTTAAATTTTATGATTATATAATTGATAAATTGAAACCATTTATATCAAGTGGTCATTTAACAATTGACATATTTTTAAAAGAAATGGAGATGAAAGATATTGAAACTAATACAGTTATAAATAAAGATATAAGTGTAATTGAAACTACAAAGAGTGAATCATTATTAAAGTATAATAATGAAATGGAAATATCTAATATAATTTTTGAATTAGTTTCATTAATGAAACCAGAAGATCCAAAGAATTTTAAATCTTTGGGTATACTAAGTTGTGGACATAATAACTTTGGAGATAAGATTGAATATGAAATACAGAAATATCGTTGGGTTAAAGATGCACCTAATTTATATTTTTATAATGAATCTTTCAATACATAAAATTGTTCATAGTATTTATATCGAACTAAAATTTTAGTCTTAATTCCTGCAGTCTGAATGTATTTGTTTGAAACTCGTTGTTCTCATAATAAAAGAGTAAATATGCATGGAAATTGAAAATTTGAATTCAATAGACCATCGAATCGAGCTTCAATTCGCATTAGCTTAACGTCAAGCCACTTTTGAAGTCTGCTGATTTTTATTTGGTGCTTGTTATTGAATTTGAAATTGGCACCAAAAATGGTACTAGCTTTGGCCAAAACTGGAATAATTGTGCGGCCGTACTCTCGCTCCACGTTGGTTGGTCGAACTTTTATTCTAGATTAAAAATTTTGAACTTTGGCTTTATATGCAGTCTTGCAATGCTTAATCTCAAACTTTACGTTGTGAATACCTCCCTCAATATTCACGTTATAGTCTTCAAACTTTTTCTATCAAAATAAGCACCAATCATATAAAACCAGGAGTCTTGAATTATATACTCTACACTCAATAAGACTTTGATTTCAAACATTTTGACAACATTGAAAAATCACATTACGTTCTTCTTGGCCCCATAACATTCAATTAAGAAACGGATTATATATAATACGTCTCAAATTAGAGTGTTGAACATAATTTGATATGGTTTGAACTAAAATTCAGAAATTTGGAAATTTTCTCTTAAGTATGGAGAAAATTGGATAATTAACTTCTTGAAAAATATAATTCCACATTTATTATTCAATTTGAAACACAGTAGAGCTATTCATTTTTGTAGATCTGCCTTTTAACAAACCTTGGATATTTTTTTGTTACGGTATCAAAATTGAAAATTGAAAAAGTAATTTAAATTTTTGCACATCAAAGCGACGCCAGAAACATTAACCAATGAATACTATATTATTTGAAGTCAAATAAATCGAATCGACTATCTTTGCAGTTGCTAAATCAGGTGTAGGTATGAATTGTCTTGCAATTAAGCGATTTCGACGTTTTTTTAGTGATGAATAAACTCCTCAAAATTGTGTCTTCTCTAAAACTACTACTACCAGATTCCCCAAATGTTCTGAAATCCCCAAAACTACTACTACCAGATTCCTCAAATGTTCTGAAATCTCAATAAAAAAAATTGAAAATAAAAGCTTGAATATTGAGGCGGTTATTTACAAATTGAGTTTCAAGTTAAACTAATATAGGATTGAGAATAAGTCGATTTGCTTCAGAGTTCATATTAAATCTAGGCTGAGCTTTCAGCCAATGTCGAGCAAGATTACGGCCAAAAAATGTTTGGACTAAGGCGAGAGCGGTACCCTTACTCGTGCTCATTTTAAATCCATTCAACAACACCTCTGTAAAATCAACAGCTTCCAAAATGGTTTACGCTAATAAGCGGTAACCAAATCCAATTTACCAAATAGTTGCAATGAACAAATCTGACAAATAATGGTTGCCAAATAATTTAGAATAGAGCAGTTTATTTTGCAGCAATTGAAATCTAGTGATATAAAATGTAGTGTCAAGTATTTGTAGCACCAAAATTTACTATCGTTCAATATACTATGGTAATTTCGAAGTGTCAAATTTGCAATGTCGTTAAATTTGTTTCGTAATTTATTTTTTGACACTACTTTATCTTTATCATGTTTAATTCAGTTTATCCAGCTCTTGAAGAATTAAAACAACCTTTATCATCAGATCAATTACGTATATTGAAAAATCAATTAGATTCTGAAAATCCACAAACCTCACAAACTAAATTTAATTATGCTTGGGGTTTAATTAAATCAAATAATCATAAATATCAACAAAATGGTATTGCAATATTAATTGAATTACATAAATTAGAACCAACAATGCAAAGAGAAATATTATACTATTTATCATTAGGCTCTTTTAAATTAGGTGATTATTCAAATGCAAAAAGATACATTGAAACTTTAATTAAAAGAGAACCCGATAATTTACAAGCAAAACATTTATTAAATGAGATAAATGATAAAATTACTCAAGATGGTTTAATGGGATTAGGTATAACTGCTGGTGCAATAGCAGTCGGAATTGGTATTGTAACTGCTTTTATGACAAAGAAGAGAAAATAATAAATAGAGAAATTTGAATATATATTATTTTTATGAGTTTAGGAGATTTAATTGCTAATAAAGTAATTGAAAAGTTTAATAATTTAACTGTGAAAAATGGTAAACCTATAATAAGATCAAATGGGGTTGAAGAATGGACAGTTTTAGCTAGTATTGTCATAATTGATGGAGATGAGATCGAACCAATAACTTTAACAACTGGTGTAAAATCATTACCTGATGAATTTAGACAATTTTCAAATGGAACTTTAGTACAAGATTGTCATGCTGAAATATTATCTATACGGCTTTTTAATTATTTTTTGCTTAAGGAATTTTCTAATTCAAATTCAAAAATTGTTGTGGATGGAAAATTTCGTGATGATTTAAAATTGGCATTATTTGTTAGTGAACCTCCTTGTGGTGATGCTTCGATGAATTATGTGCTATCTAATATGAAAGACTCTACTATATGGCAAGTTAAAGAGTCTACAGTTGGTATCAACCGTGGTAGAGATAATTTTGGTCAATTAGGTTTAGTTAGAACAAAACCTGGAAGATCAGATAGTTTAATTGCTTTGTCAAAATCTTGTTCTGATAAATTATGTGTGAAACAAGTGATGGGGATTAATTCAGCTATAACTTCAGAACTATATGAACCTATTTTCATTGATTATTTGGTTATTAAAAATTTAGATCAAGTTGATTTTGATCGATGTTTTAATAGATTAAGAGGTAATAATTTTAAGTTATTAACTTATAATAATGATGATTACAAATTTAATAAGGCTGATGGTAAAGCACCAGCTATAAAATGTTTGATACATTTAATACCAACCAATGAAACTCAAATTTTAAATAATGGGGTTAAAAATGGATCTGTAATTAAAGATAAGAATTTGAAATTTAAAAGCTTTTTATGCAACAAACTAATGATGGAGCAGTTAAAACAAGTGAAACAAGTTAACCATACAACTTATCTTGAGTTTAAACAATCAAATAAATCAAGACAAGAATTAAAGAAGCAATGCCGTGAGATTTTACAAAATTGGATATGTACTAGTTATGATAATTTTAATATATAAGTCTATTCAGATTCTGATGCAGATCCGTCATGTTCCTCTTCTTCTTTTGCAAATTCTTCCAATTGTTCTTGTTCAGTTGGTTCCATTGATATTGCAAATTCAGCACTTTCTAATAATTCAATTAATTTTTCATGGTCATCATCTTTATTTACATAATCAATTGGTTTTAAATTATCTTCATCTTTTATTCTTGGATCACTTCCAGCATCTAATAAATTATCAACTATAAAAGTACCATGTTCAATTTCATCTTGATTTGCATATTTAACAGCTAAATGCAAAGGAGTTTCATTTCTTCTATTTTGAGGATCAATTTCAACTCCTTCAATATCTAATACAATATCTATAAATTCCCATTGACCTAAATTACAAGCAATATGCAAAGGAGTATTTAATGTTATAACTTCTCTAGTTTCATTAATTAATTTTGATAATTTTAATGAATCATTTTGTAAATCAGATTTAATTTGTAACAATAATTCAGTATTATTTCTTCTAGCTGATTCTAATAATTGTTCATTATAAGAAGCTCCATTATCAGACATTTCTAGTATTTTCAATGCCAATATTTAATTAAAACCGACCAACAATAAATTTTTTTTATCCGAACCATCAAATAAAAAGTTCACCATGGTTAAACCAATTATTTCGCCATCCATTTTAGCTTCAGATTTTGCTAATTTAGGTTGTAATTGTCAAAAAGTTGTTGATACTGGTGATGTTGAATGGTTACATTTAGATGTTATGGATGGTCATTTTGTACCAAATATTTCATTTGGTGCTCCTATTATTAGTGCTTTAAGAAAACAATTTCCAAAAACTGGAGATAAACCAATTATTTTTGATTGTCATATGATGGTTTCCGATCCTGAAAAATGGATTGAAGATATTGCAAAAGCTGGTGGTGATTCTTATACGTTTCATTTTGAAGCAACTAAAGATCCAAATTCAATTATTGATTTAATTAAAAAACATGGTTTAAAAGCTGCTATGGGCATCAAACCAAGTACTCCAATTGAAGAAGTTTATCCTTATGCGGATAAATTAGATATGGTTTTAGTAATGACTGTTGAACCAGGTTTTGGTGGGCAAAAATTTATGGCTGATATGATGCCAAAAGTTGAAAAATTAAGAGCTAAATATCCACATTTAGATATTGAAGTTGATGGTGGTTTAGGTAAAGATACTATTCAACCAGCTGCTGATGCTGGTGCTAACGTTATTGTTGCTGGTACTTCAGTTTTTAAACCAGAAGATCCAAAAGAAGTTACAAGTTTTCTTAAATCAACAGTTGAGAAAGCCATTGAATCTAGATCTAAATAGATAGATAATATATATTAAAATGACTGTATACCTAAAGTTGTGCCTTCAGAATCTGGTTTTATCTGATATCCAAATTGTTCATAATTTTCTATAACTTTCCATAAAGTTTTCTTTATATTTTCTAATTTTGATGGTTGTATTTCTTCATCTTCTTCTTTCATTTTTAAATCTTCATCTAATTTTGATTGTAAATATTTTTGATTTCTAGCAATTTTTTTAGCTCTTTTATTTGACAAAGTCGTTGTAGTCATTATTGAAACAGGGGAAGGAGTTTGACCAGTAAATAAAGCTACTGCTTTTGAATCTGTTGGTCTAGGTGCTGTTAAATGTTTTTCGGCATATCTTGAAGTTGATGATCTTGTAGCTATAGTTCTACGATTAGCTCTTTTTTTACCTAATGATTTAGCATGAGATTGTGCCAACATTTTAATTTTTGGTTTATTTATAGCATTTCTACCAGCCATTATTATGAGATGTTAATCAAATTGATAAGATATAGATCAAAGATTCTTGAGATGATCAAAAAAAAAAAAAAAAAAAAATGGCTGCAAAAAAAATATAATTATATCGTCTATTTATCTTCTAAAGTTCTATAAAACACTTCTTCATCTCCTGTTATCTTTTCAACTTCAAACAAATCACTGCCTAATTCAATTAATCCAGTTTCTGATGCATAAATAGCCCAATCATCACATAATGATTCTAATATTTTTGGTTCTAATTCAGACAAATCTTTTGTTTCACCAGGATCTTCAATTATATTAAATAATTGCCATTTTTCAGGACCAAATGGTTTTGGGATATAAACAGCTTTATAGTTACCTTTTCTAATTGCTTGTTGACCAAATAATTCCCATCCTGTAACTGTGTTTTCATCATGAACGAATGATAAATCTCCTTTTAAATACTTTACCCATGATTTACCTCTTGGAATTGCAACCTTTCTACCTTTATACTTTTCACCAGGATGTTCAACATTTGCCAATTCTAAAACAGTTGGTAAAATATCCATAACTGTAGTAAATTGATTTAAAATTTCACCTTTTCTAGTATCTGTTAATGGTGGATATCTTAAAATTAATGGACAAACTATTGCACCCTCAGTTGACCACATCTTATACATGGCATGTGGTGCTGTTGCTGCTTGGGCCCATTGATCACCATAATATACAAAGGAATCTTTATTACCGATATTTTCTAATGCATTATTAAAATGTTGTTTTATATTAACATTAAATTTTTCATTTGTTAAAGGTAATGCTTCCATTAATTGACCTTCAGCACCATTATCAGAAGTAAATAAAATAAATGTATTATCTAATTCACCTTTATCTTCTAAATGTTTTAAAATTCTACCAACTTCTTCATCTATAATTTCAACCATTGCAGCATAAGTGGCAACAATTTTACTTTCGATTTCTTTCTCTTCTTTAGTTAATTCATCCCATGTTTTACGTGTTGTTTTAATTGGATGTGGTATAATTTCATCATTAAAAATTCCCAATTCTTTAGCTTTTTGCAATCTTCTCCTTCTTAACTCTTCGGGTCCACCATCATAAACACCTTTATATTTGGCAATTCTATCTTGTGGTGCTTGATATGGCCAATGTGGAGCGGTGAAAGTTAATAATCCAAAAAATGGTTTATCTTTAGGAGTTTCATCAATAAATTCAATAGCTTTATTTGCAAAAGTAGTTGTTGAATAAAAATCTTCAGGTAAATCTTCTTCAGGGTTTAATTCTAAATCATTTTCAGCATATAAAGCAGGTAAAAATGGAATTTGTTTTTTTGTAATTGGATCTCTAATTATTCGTTTATAATGATTTCCAGCTCCAGGTAATAAAGTCCAACTTTTTTCAAATCCTCTATTTACTGGCCAATATTCGCTTTTTAAACCTAAATGCCATTTACCAGATAACCAAGTGAAATAACCATTATCTTTTAAAATTTCAGGTAATGGGGCAACTTTATCATTTAAATAACCTTCATAACCAGGTTTATTTTTAAAGCGGTCATGTTTCACGGCAAATTCCGCCATTTGACCAAGTCCTGCAATGTGGTTGTCTGTACCACTTAATAACATAGATCTAGTAGGTGAACAAGCACTAGCAGTATGAAAATCAGTAAATCTAATACCTTGTGATTTTGCTAATTTATCAAGATTAGGTGTATAAATTTCTCCACCAAATGGAGAAATATCAGTGAACCCTAAATCATCACTAATTATTAGTAAAAAATTCGGCTTATCTTTATTTTCAATTTTCGTTACCATTAATGTATGTCATCTTTCGACAAAACTTTAATCCATTTATATATATTTCTTAAGGGGTTGTTGAAAAATAAAAACAAGGAAAAAAAAAAAAATTAAAAATTTTGCAACCACAGTTTGAAATCGGTAGTGCGTTATCCAATTTTATAAGTATAAACTCTCGTTCATGTCCCGTTTTGTTCTTTCCGCCACTTGGTGCTAATTTTGATGTATTGGACCATAAAGTGTTATTCGTACAACAATGTTGATTGTAATAGTGGATTGTTAATTTTGTAAACCACTTGTTATTCCAAACAAATATCCATCGAAAGAAGATTGTGGGAACCTCGTGAAGCCCAAAAGTTTCTACCCTAGCATATTAATATATTATTAGTATTAAAAATATACATTTTCTCTGAAACTAGCACGAGTAGTGGTACCAGCCTTGGCATTAAGAAAATCTGCAGGCCAAGTGATCGTTTAAAATTAATTGGAAATTTATTCCAGAGAAAAGAAAAAATTCTGAAACAGTTTAAGGTAGATACAGAATCTTAATGGTAACCTTATTACTTAACTTTAAGTAATTTCCTTAATATCTAAGCTCTTATTCTCAAACTAACTCACTAAAAACTTCATTTGAATCCTAGTAAGCTGACGGTAGTTCTCCTGACGGTAGTTCTCATTTGGGAAACATACCACTGATCATTTAATTCATCATCTAAAAATGGCAAATATCGATAAAGTGCAAGATAATCGACCCTTAGACCTCATTTAGCAACTTCTACGATGGATGATCAGGTTTTTCAAGTTCTTAAGATCCTTACTATAATAATTTCCAGACGCTATAATCTGTATGAAAATTTTGCAAAAATTTCGACTCACTTTTAAGAAACTTTTTTTCCAATTTTTAATAACTTAACACAAAAAACCCGGTGTTTATATAATTATAGAATTTAAAAATATTGTTAGTTTTATTGAGTTTTAAATTTGACGAGTGATTATGGAGTTACATTTCTCGTAAGGTCTTGAATTAGAATCACGTTCAATAATTAATCTGGGGTCCAATATATATAATTCGTCGTTTAATCGAAAGTTATGGGCCTAGTAAAAACCATACATTGATTCTTATTTTCTGCAAAAATTTTGTTTGATAAAAAAATGCCAAAATAACAACTTGATGGAAAAAATGTTTGAAATTTGAAACTTGAAATACGTAGCGTATATAATATAAGACTCCTGATTTCAATGAAATGGTAATTATTGTGAGAGATTGCATTGTTCATGACGTAAAAGCCAATTAATAGTACGATGTCGTCCTAAAGTTAGCGCGAGAAATTATATTTCGCGTTTTAAAAAAATATAGGCATAGATCAGAACGAGAAGTGGCTCAAGGTCGCGCATTGGAAATATAATTTTCTGGCGGTGTTCTTGTTCCAACTTGGCCGAAACTTGTGTCGTACTAAATGATGAAGTGTAATTACCAATTAAAATTTTTCAACAGAATATATTTTTATATTCAAGCATAAAACTCATTGCTGAATCTAAATAAAGTATGTCAAGTGCAAATTCATCAGTACCACAAGCAGTTGGTAATGTTCCAATACAACAATTAAATCAATTATCAATAGGAACTTTACCCCTGGTCACACCTCAACCACCAAGACAAAATAGCCTTTGGTCTAGTAATCCAGTATTTAGTTATTTAAATGATGTTTATATTACCATAAGTGAACATAGAAAATCATTAGGTTTAACCAATCCAGGTACAATTGAAAATTTGAATAAAGAAGTTAGTAGAGATGTATTTTTGAATCAATATTTCTTCACAGGATTAAGAGCTGATTTAAATAAAGCTTTTAGCATGATGCCAGCTTTTCAAACTTCACATACTTTAAGTATGGGTAGTACTATATTGCCAGCTTATGCATTTAGCTCGTTGTTCGCTACCGAGGACTTTTTTGTCCAAGGTAACGTTGACAACGAGCTCAACTTTTCTGGAAGAATTAATTATGGTTGGGATAAATTTAACATTTCAAAAATTACATTGCAATTAGCTCATTCACAACCTTCAATGATTCAATTAGAACAAGATTATCAAGCTTCAGATTTTTCAATTAATTTAAAAACTTTAAATCCAAATTTTTTATATGATGGATTTTCAGGTGTTGCAGTTGCGAGTTTATTACAAAGTTTAACACCAAAATTAGCTGTTGGTTTAGAAGCAATGTATTCAAAACAACCTATTGCTCCTCCAGATACTGCAGTTTCTTATGTTGCAAGATATAATGCAGGTAATTGGATTGCATCAGCTCAATTACAAGCTCAAGGTGCTTTAATTGCTTCCTTTTGGAGAAAAGTTTCAGATAAAGTTGAAGCTGGTTTAGAAACTCAAATTGGTGCTACTATGAAACAAGTTGCTGATCCATTAATGGGTATTGGATTTGAACCAGTTATTGAAGGTCAAACTACAATTGGTGCAAAATATGAATATAGAACAGCTGTTTTTAGAGGTCAATTAGATTCAACCGGTAAAGTTTCTGCATTTTTAGAAAAGAGAGTTTTACCAACTGTTTCTATATTATTTAGTGGTGAAATTGATCAATTTAAAAATTCAAGTAGAATTGGTCTAGGTTTACAATTTGAAGCTGCTGGTAATGAACAATTAATGATGATGCAACAAGGTTTAATTGATGCAAATGGTAATTCAATACCAGGTGCACCACCAGTACAATTATAGGTGTAGTTCTACTTGTAAATAAATGAATAAATAAATTAAATTTCATTAAATCGTCTATATATCTAATTATCACCAGCCAAATAATCTTTGAGTAAAACTTGGACTTCGTTTAATTGGTGGTGGTGTAGATTTAGGTTTTGAACTTAATAAATTATAAATTTCATTCGAATTTAATTTAACTTCTTCTGATTTTGGTTTATATATACTTTCTCTTTTCCTAGTAACATCAGATTGAACATTTGCTGATATAGTAGGTAATCGAGACATAGATTTAATTGATTTTGAATCAGGTTCATGATTATTTCTAATTATTGATTTATAAATATTATTTAAATCAAATGATTGAGTTGAATTTATACTATAATTTGATCTTGATTTAGGTATTCTTGAAGTCAGACCATTTCTAATATAATTTGGATGATGATATTGTTGATGTTGATGTTGATGTTGATGTTGTTGTTTTATATTTGGTTCCATCCATCCTGATTCATTTGTATATAATTCACTTCTTGATGATCTTCTACTTCTAAATTTTTCTTCTTCTTCGTCTTTATCTATTTTATGATGAAAATAATAACCTCTTGAATAATTTGGTATGTGATTTGAAACAGATTTTATAGACTGAACTCTTGATACAGGTCTTGAATGATATTTAACCAGTTTATTTATATTTTCTTCAAATTCATCCAATAATGAATCCATTGATGAGTCTGATCTTTCATCAATTGGAGTTATATATTTATTATGTGTTTGATATGGATTTGAACGTTTTGGTTTTGGATGAAGAAGATGATTTAATTCAAGACATGCTAAATTTGTAGATATTGATTGTAATGATGATTTTTTATTCAATTTATATTGTGGTGGTGGTAATGGTTGTAAAATTGGAGCTATTATTGGATCTAAATTATTATGATGTGGTGAAATTGGAGCTGATGGTGGAGAATCGGGTATTTCAGTTGATAAGAAATTTTTAGGCAGCAATTCTTCTTCCAATTCTTTTGGTTTTAAATTTATATTAGTTTCTTCTTGTAAATTTAAATATTGTACATTTCTTTCCAATGTAAATTGTAAATTATTTAAAACATTTTGTTCTTCAGAATTTATAAAAATTTTCCAATATCGTTCTGGATTAACTAACGGTAATAAAAATTGATTAAAATTAATTCTAAATATTTTAATTTTTGGTAATAATGGATATATAAATTGTGAACCACATGATAAATAAGTAACATCACCTTTATGTAATTGAAAAATTTCAAATTCACCGTGGGCTAATAATGAACCAGTTGAATTATTTGAATTTGACAATTTTAATATTTTCAGTGATTTATATTTGAACAATGTAACTTTTTCATCCATATTTAAGGATATTTCAGGCATATTATTATTACTATTACTATTACTATTATTATTATTACTATTATTATTACTATTATTATTATTATTATTATTATTTGTCGTAAGAGTTGATTCTTCAGTTTTTGATTTTAATTGATTTCGTAAATTTGGTTGTTGTTGTTCACCATTAGTTTGTTTATACCTCAATATAGCTTCTTTTCTTGGTGATTTATATTTATGAAATTCAGATGATGAATCTAATGGTGGGGTAATTGGTTGTGGTACATTTGGTACATTTGAATTTTCAATATTTTTAATTGGCTGTTCAATTGAAATAGAATCGGGTTTTTTATTAAATGTTTGTGATTTATTTTTTGATTTAGCTTTTCGTTTCTTAGTTGATTTGGTATTATTGGTGGTTATAGATTTATTTATAATTTGATTATTCATTGGAGATTGTTGATCTTGTGAATTCAGCAGTAGTTGTTTATTCTCAACCATTATAACTTAACTTGAGATATTAAATAAAATGCAATATAAATGATAGCTAATTACCCAAAGGGTTCTTTAAAAAGGAATTGGTTGTCAATATAAATTAATTTGAGATAAAACTTCTTGAATGTTAAGATATTTTTATTTTTTTTATCGTTTATTTTTTTGGTGGGGTAGTGTAAAATTGACTGAAAAATTTAAACATTCATTCAGAGTATGGAATAATAATGAAGAATTTACTGGATTTAACAGGATTTATTAACTATTGGTTGATTTATTAACTATTGGTTGATGTATTCATTGTATTTTCTGTTTAGTAGAATCATTGTTTGCATGTGAATGGTCATAGTTGAGGTTGGTAATTGACTTCAACAGAAATAAAACCTTATTATAATTGCTGAGAATGGAAGTTGAATATTGAGCAAAGGAGCTATTTATATGGTCTATACTAACAAATAACCGTCTCTATTTATACTTTGATATAGCGTGTGTGTGTGTGTGTGTGTATTTGTGTGTGTATTCTCTTACTTATTGTTATTTATTTGTTTATTTATTTGTTTGTTTATTTATTTATTTATTTTTGTCATTTTTTTGCAGCCATTTGAAAAATGTATACGAAATTGTATTCTAGACTTTTATCACTAAACTAGAGATCAAACAAAGTTTTTAGTTAGGTTTTATAACCATTTTATACTTTATAACTATTTACAGAATTTTTTCAAGTTTGAATTTGAAACCTCTGGCATAACAGACAGAGAAAAGTTAAGGTTTTGAGCCGATAAAGGTTTGCCTTGCCAATCATTGAGTTTTCCTAATCGAAAGTTGATACGTAATTTTTATTCTACATTTCATTTCATTATCACTATCATGGTTTCTTTATGCTGCTCAATTTTACCATTTGTTGGCTTAACTTTAGCTTTAGCTTTTGATAATTATTATACTTTTAATATTTATTATAAAATAGTTTCAGATATTTTAACTAGTTCAATTGATAAAAAAAACACAGAAATTGGCGGAATTATCTATGAAATGTGTTGGTAATCAAGGTTAATAATATCGAAATTTGTTTCTTATCTATTGACGATGGTCCAGTTTTGCAAGAAGCTCCTAAGCTTCTAACTTATTACAACAAGCTATTGTTAATGATCAATATGCTTACATTTTTTTAATTAATTTATTTCATTACTATAAATGGTGCAAAAAAAAAGATTATTTGCATAGTCAATAATTTGATAATTCAATGTATACATCATTAGAGAGAACTGGATTTTTAAATTACAATGGTAAATTAACTAGTACTAATCCTGATCTTGACAGTAAAAGTAAATGATGTCAAAAATAATTATGTTCTTGATAATCAGGTTGTAGTTCTTCCAGAAGAGCAATAGAGAGATTGTTGAGTCTAGTCTAGATCAACTTGGTAGGTAATTGTTTGTTTTAAATTTATTTTGTTTCGATTCAATTAGTTTAATGTTATCAGATGCATTTTAAAATATACAAACTTATGCAATTATTTATCATGCTTCACCTAATACCCTAACTTCATTAAATGAAGGTGGTTGATTACTTGTTGTTGATCCCACAGCATTATTAGCTGCTTCAATATCAGTACCAAATAAAGGTATATAATCAACATTTCTAATATGTTGAGCATCTTCTTCTTTATACCAATTAACTAAAGGATTCAACATTACAATGATTGGATTAATTTTCTCTTCAATTTTAATTAAAATATTTGATGGTGGATATAATTTATTTATATAACCTTTACTTAATAAATAACCAGATGTAATTCCAAAAAAGTGACCAAAAAACGAACTTTGTGGAAATATAATAAAACAAACAAATAGAAAAATAAATGGTGTATGAATAGGTTTGATATCAATTTTTGAAGTTGGACTTAAATGAAAAGTATAAATTATTGGTTTATATCTTTGTTCTTGATATGCAAAATAAGTCATAAATGAAAATACCAAACTACTACTACCAATGGCTGCAGTATTTGGATACAAAACCAAACCTACCATGCAATACTGTAAAGCAGTTATAACAGCTAATAAATTTAATGTAATTCCCGTATGAACAGTACCAAATTTTTTCTCAAATAATGCCAATGGTGAAGATATAGCCAAACTGTTTAATAACCAATGTGTATAATTCTGATGAATTAAGCAGTATAAAGAAATAGAATTTAAATTAAATTCTAATGGAGCCTTTGGATATAAAACTAATGAAGAAAATTCAATTGAAGTAAAAGATTTAATTAACAATAGTATTAATGTAAATATTATAAAGCCAGTAGTTAAAGCTGGTTGTTTAGGAAATGAAGTAGTACTATCAGTTGAACCTAAAACCATTGTCAGTATTTGGTTGTAAAATCGAAGTGCAATATTTTTTATTAAACTTTTTTCTTTGCTTCTAAAATTTGTTTCAGAATTGAAATCAAATTATCAACAGATTTTATATTCACTATTTACAAGATTATATTAATAGATTATTATAGTATTCCTTTACTCTGATCTCTTATTGAACTCTTCAAATTGTTTGAAATTATCATCAGTTTTATTCATTTCTTCATATTTCTTTCTATGTCTTTCTTCTTTTTCCATTCTTGCTTGTTCAATCATCATATGTGATCTTCTTCTCATCAGTCTACATTGTTCCCATCCAACAACATTCCCCAAGAAAAATCCACCAACTGCCCAATTAATTGAAGATTTAACATTTTTACGTATTAGAAAAGTAATTACTCCTAAAACACCCATTGCTTGAAATCCAGTTATCATAGCTTCTCTAAAACATGGCATATTAATAAATCTATCTACTGTGAAATCTGAAATTTGTATAGTTTTAGCAGCATCTATTAAAGTTGGTTGATGTTGTTGTTGAGTTGGAGGTGGTTGATCTTCAAATTTTGGAGGTAAATCTTCTAAAAATTGTGGTTTATTTGATTCATCTTGTTTTAGTTCTGTAACTGGACTTAATTTAGCTGGATTCGTATTAGAACTACCGAACCAACCCATTGAAAGCTTCTCTGTTTATTGATTATAATGATAATGATATTGAATATATTTTTACACTACTTTTTTTCAGGTAGCGTTGTAAAATTAAAATTCGGCCAAAAATGAGGCCAACAATTGCCTGAAGTGTAATGCGAATTTTAAACGATTGAGGCCTAACTGTCGCAAAATTAAAACGCCCAAAAACTCACGAATCTACAAAGTTGGTTCTGAATTGCAGTATCATTTTGGTTTAAAGTGATAACTTTTGGCATAAATAACTAATGAATAGAGACTAGTCAATATCAATTAAATAACTAATGAATAGCGACTAGTCAATTTCAAAATGATTCCCATCGTAAACTTATATTTTAAAGTTGGGACGAAAGTAGGGCCTGGTACGGTATCAATAGTAAAGCGACAATATTGGATTCATGCGAACGGCGACCAATATTATAAATCATCCAAAAATTACTAAATTTCGAAGTTAGCTCAGGATTGAAACATCATTTGAATTTACAATGACAACTTTTGGAATCAATTGCTAATGGCTAATGATCATCTAGTGTTAAGAAGGTTTTTGGTGAAATTGTTTATTTCGTGGTTGAAAAAGAAGTTTAGACCAAGAATGGGGTAAGAAGTGGTATGAAAATCAATGCGAATTTAAACTTATGATGCGAACAGCGACCTAAATGCAAAATGACCGAAAATCAATAAACTAATAAAGTTGTGTTAAGATTGAACATTAGATTCATTTCAGAATGAGAATCATTTAGTAATTGCTAGTGACAAGACAGTTAAATTTAAATTTATAGTAAGGGCCCAAATTGGGACAAACCGTGGCGTAAAAATCAAAACGAAACTTATACGATTAATGCCATTGTCGTCCCAAAATCAAAACGGTCAGAACTCGTAAACTAACAGAGCTGGATCAGATATAAAACGTGAACTCTATCTATAATATCAATTTTTGGCATCAATAACCAATGAATAGTGTCCAACTAATTTCAATTGGTGTTTACCAGTAGAGTTCTATTTTTTATTTTCATCAAAAAGTTACAACAAAAAATTTAATTTGTTTCAGATATTATTGAACAATCAACTATTACTTCATTCAATTGATATAATCATGTTTACACCAGATTTATTATTAGATCTACAATTGAAATATTGGGTATTATTACCTATATCATTAGCTATGGTGTTAGTAGGTTTACTTCGTTCTAATATAACATATTTATTACAGCCAAACCCAAAATTACAACCATATAAACAAGTTAGAGAACTGCAATTTTTATTTAAAGCAAAACAATTTAGAGAAAATAATGATATATTAACTACTGAAGAATTTGAAATGAGAAAGAATTATTATATTAAAACTTTAAAATCAGATGAATTTTATGCATCAAAGCCAAATGTTGCCAAAACTGATGAATTTAGTCCATTAGATCCAACACAAAATGAAGCATTAATGTCAATGGCTAAATCTAATTTATTAAATTATATACCACAAACGTTAATTATGGGATGGGTTAATTATTTCTTTGCAGGATTTGTTATAATGAAATTACCATTTGCATTAACTGATGGATTTAAAGCTATGTTACAAAATGGGATAGATACTCCAAACTTAAATGTAAGATATGTTAGTTCAATATCATGGTATTTTGTTAATTTATTTGGATTAAAACCTATCTATTCATTAATTATGGGTAATGATGAAGCTGAAGAATTGATAAAACAACAAAATCAAAATCAAATGCCACAATTATCAGGTCCAGGACAACCTAAAATAGATAAGATATTTAATAATGAAGCGGAGAATATTCAAATATTAACTCATGAATCAACATTTGATAAAATTATTGAAAGATTTATAGAAAAATATCAATAGAAAAAAAAATAGATCAATTCTGAAACATCATCTCTTTAACAAATATGAGTGAAACCAAAGATGAAAAGAAAGATGTTACAACACCAGTTATTATCTGTATTGGTATGGCTGGATCAGGTAAAACTACATTCATGCAAAGATTAAATTCATATTTACATACTCAAAAACAAATACCGTACGTTTTAAATTTAGATCCAGCAGTTTTAAAAATTCCATATAGACCAAATATAGATATTCGAGATTCAATTAAATATAAAAAAGTAATGGAGGAATATAATTTAGGTCCTAATGGTGCTATAGTTACAAGTTTAAATTTGTTTTCAACCAAAATTGATCAAGTCTTGAAACTAATTGAAAAAAAACAAGACAAGATTAAAAATGTTATAATTGATACTCCTGGTCAAATTGAATGTTTTATATGGAGTGCATCTGGTGCAATTATAACTGAATCATTTGCATCCCAATTTCCTACAATTATTGCTTATATTGTTGATACTCCAAGAAATACAAATCCAACTACTTTCATGTCAAATATGTTATATGCTTGTTCAATATTATATAAAACTAAGTTGCCTATGATTGTTGTATTTAATAAAACTGATGTTAAAAATTGTGAATTTGCAAAAGAATGGATGACTGATTTTGAAATTTTTCAAGAAGCTATTAAAAAAAATCAAGAAGAAGAAGGCGAACAAGGTAGTGGATACATGAATTCATTAATTAATTCAATGAGTTTAATGTTGGAAGAATTTTATAGTAGTCTTGATGTTGTTGGAGTGTCCAGTTATACAGGACAAGGATTTGATGAATTTATGAATGCTGTAGATAATAAAATTGATGAATATAATGATTATTATAAAACTGAAAGAGAAAGAATATTGAAACAAAAGGAATTAGATGAAAAGAAAAGAAAAGCTAAATCTTTAAATAAATTAATGAAAGATATGGATATGAAAGATAAAAATGCTGATGTATTATCAGATTATGAAGAATCAGAAGATGATGAATTACAAGGTGAAGTTTTAAGAGATGAAGAACAAGTTGAAAGAGAATATACATTTCCAGAAGATAGACAAAATGAATTAGGTACTGATGAAGATTTACAAAAAAGATATCAACAAGCATTTGAGCAAAGTGCAAAACCAGCATCTTCAAAAACTGCAGAATCAATAGCAAATTATATAAAAGGAAGTCAATAAATGTTTATTCCATTATATATGCCTTATCTTTATATTCTTTTTTAAAAATTAAATGAGGTTTATTTTTAGCTAAATGTAAAATTGTCTTTCCAAATTCAGAATTACACCAAGCAAACCATGAACGAGTATAATCTCTACCTTGTTTAGAATTTACATTTACACTTTCATGCATAAGACCAAGATTGGCAGTATTTGACATGATCATTTTTAAATCTGAAAGAATCTCTTCATCATCATTTGAAGTTCTAATTTTAACTAATAATGACATTGGCCAAGCATTTCGAATACCAATATGAGGACCACCAATGCCTTCAAAATACATACCTTTTAAATAATAAGGATTTCCAGATTTCAGTAATATCATTTTTCTTGTATTTTGATAAATTTCATCGGTAGCTGATTTATATTTCATTTCAGGTATACTTAATAATGACGGTAAATTAGCATCATCCATGAAGACAGAAGAACCATATCCATCTACTTCATATGCATAAACTTTACCATATACTGGATGGTTTACTATTCCATATTTTTCAATACCTTTAGATATAGTTTCAAGAAAATAATCTACTCGTTTTAATAATAATTCATTATCTGGTATTTTTTCAAGGTATGATTTTCTAGCCTTTTGTAACTCAGTTAAAATGTGGATATTACCAGGTATGAAAAACTGTAATATTGTAGCATCATCACTTGGTCTAAATGCACTTCGAATAAGTCCTGTTCCATAATTTACTGGATTTCCAACACCTCCCAAAGGTAATGTTTCACTACCAATATTTGTATTTCGTTGAAATGAATAATAAAATGGTAAATTTTGACCAGTTTCTTCATCGAAAGAAGCTATACTTTCTCTTCTCAATACTAATATGATCTTCTCAAATGCAGATCTCCAATGCTCAGTCAAGAATGAATCATCACCACCTGAATTTTCATAATATTCATTAGATAAAGTTAGAAAACTTGCCAAAGAATCAATTTCATATTTACACTCAAATACTTGTTTCCAATCTGGTCTAGGCTGAACATTATCAAAAGCAGTATCTCCTTTTTTAACTCCTGATCCAGGTGGTGGATGGAAAGCATTACAATATGGTGAATTATTAATATAAAATGCTTGAGTGTTAATAGCACCAAATATTAAATTTTTCAATTTTGCATCTTGTCTTATAAAAGGTTGATATACTGATAATTGTCTAGCTGCATCTCTCAACCATTCAGCATGAATATCACCAGTGACTACAAATGAATGATAACCTTCAATTGTTTTTCTATGCCATAAAATAGTAGTATCTAAAGTATTAGGTAGACAATTTTCAAATAATCGACTTAAATCTGGATCTTCAATACGTAATTTCAAATCTTCAATTACTTTTTCTATGGCTTCACTTGTGAATGTTCGACATTTTGGGGCTGGTCTCATATATGGATATTTAAAATGACCTTGGGAGTAAGGAGGATGTCTTTTTTGAGAATATGAAACGTAATCCGGACAAACCTTAAATTTCTTATTCATTTGAGATAGGAATTCTTCAGTTATTGATTCGTTAAAGTCCAGTGGTTCGTCTTTTTCCAATTGTTTCTCATATTTTAAATGGTTAAATTGTTGGTATATATCATCTGCTGGTGAGATTTCTTCTGTTGTTTCTTGATAAAACTTATGTATGAACATATAAACTATTAAGATACATAATAGAATGGGTAATAACCTTATTGATTTCGTTATTTTCGTTTGAGTAATCATGTAACTAGTATAAGTTGTTGATAAAGAAAATATGTCAAATCGAAACTAAACGCGCGGCGCAAACATTTCAAGATTGAGTCTCAACTTATATGCAGTCTCAAAGTAATGATCTTAATTTTTAAATCACAAATAATTCCTTCAAAATTCAAGATTTCTTTCATTAAAGCTCCATCCAAGGTGAATATGGTATGGCTAAATTTCTGTATAAAGCCTAATTTAAATCTTTTAATTTGTCATTGAAAAAATGGGAAAAAATGGGAAAAATCGCTAAATTGCAAGGTAAATAGCACTTGAACCTCATTCTACTTCAAATATATCTGACTCGGTTCAGTTGATCGCAAAACCCATGGTAATATGTTTTTAGGACGCCATAACTGGTTTGAAAATTTTACTAAAATCTCGAACCACCTTTGAAAATTACTTTTTGAATTTTAAATTCTTTAGCAAAAAGATACTTAAGAGTTAATACAAGACAGAACTACAAAACTCGCCAGTTTCATCATACTTCAATTAATTGTGGAATTAGTTTTTTCGAAAACTCGGATTATCTTTTCCATACTTAAGTGGAAATTTTTCAATTTTTCAATTTTTCAATTTTGAATTTACAAATCGAAATATTATTCAGAACTTTTATTTGAGGTCCAATATATAAATTCCGTTGTTTTTTTAAAAGTTATGGCCGTACATTAGAGTACACAACACTCGAGCAGTTTTAGCAAATTTTTTGTATGGTGAAAAAGGCTAAAATTTCAAATGAAAAAATTCTAGAAATTGTAGTTTCAAATACGTAGAATACACAAATCAGGGTTCTTGATTTTGTTAAACTGATCCATAATTCGTGAAATTGGGTTGTTCATGACATATGAGCAAATTTCAAAATTTGAAAATTAGTACGAGCCGCCCAAAATTTAGCGCGAGAGATTAATTCTGTCGCGTTCAATAAAATAACAAGGCGATAGACATTGAGAGCTTAAGAAGTGGTATATATTTAAACCTCAAGGCTAATTTCCATGCAACTAGCTGATTACCTCAATTATGTTTGCCAAATGATATGATCATCTGTCTCATCAATTTACATCCTTACATTGCAGCATCCTTATTTATTTTAACAAATATATTGCATTTTTTAATTTATTGAATTTAACATGGATCAAATTTTTTGCAGCCAATTTCCTTATAAACAAATCAAATCCGGTATCTTTCTTATCCTTTTCTTTAGCTAATTTAATCATCTCATCAAAACTATTACCCTTGTTTAAACTATTAATCAAACTAGTTAATTTTCTTCGTATGAATGGTTCATGAATCGATAATCTCACACCAACGATATCCAATGAGTCTAGTTTCAGTATCAATTCCTCGTCTAATCGTTTAATATCAAGTGTATAAAACGTATTGAATTCTAAATCATGAGGAACATCCTCAATTTCAACTTTATCATTTCGCAATTTTTTGAAAAATGTATTCGTTTCTTTTGGATTCATATCTGGCACTGACTGATTCTCCCTATTCACAACATCAACTTTTTCTTTAATATTATCTACTAGATCATCTCTCGTCAGATTAATTTCTTCCCATATTTTGCCATCATTATGTGATATTTTTTCAAGAATTTCGAAATTTGACATATCTTGAAATATAGTTGTCTTTAATGCCAATTTCAATACATCAGGTTTCAACACTCTAGATCCAATATCAACAAACATACTTGGAGTAAACGACCTCTCTTGTCTTTTAAAAATTATCATTATTTTCGAATGCCGTATCATTTGTAAATAATATAAATATGGTTTTTGAAATGATGTAATTGAAGGTATGCTTTTCAATGGACTGAAACATGAATTTATGATTTGAATTAAGATGTTTTGATGGATATTATGTGGTGTTTGAATATCTGGTACCGTGGGTAGAATAACATCTTTTTTAATATTGAATAAATCTTTAGTTTTCCAATGTTCAAACATTCCAAAATCTACAGGTTGAGTAAATGGTAATTCGCTATGCTGACCTCTCATTAATTTTGCGTTCTCTTTTAATATGAATTTACGTTGTTGGTATAGTTTATAATCTAGATTTGATTTTGCATTGAGTATATTCTTTTCTTTCTTTGTTATATGATGATATATTTTCAAAAATGGTTTTATATAATTGGGAATAGTTCTTTTAGTCATATTATTCCCTTCATTGGTGATTATGGTGGTTCTATCCTGGTACCTTCTTTTAATGGAATATTCGTAGAATAAAAGTATAAAAAATAAAAAATAAAATTCGATGCGAAGATGCATTCCACTATAAATTGATTTCAAACGAACCTATTGCAAATAATAACTAAGCATGTTTAAAAGAGCATTATACACCCAATTGAGATCGCTGAGTAGATTGATAACTGCTTCATTATTAAGACCAGTACCAAGAGCTGTTCTGTGTAATGTTATAACTATTAAAAGATTTCAATCAATTGGTAGAATTAATCCTAATGAAGGTGAGCTCATGATTCAATTTACTTGTAATATCTGTGATAAGAGATCTAGTCATACTATGTCAAAACAAGCTTATCAATATGGTACCGTTTTGGTTCAATGTCCATCATGTAAATCTAGACATTTAATTGCTGATAATTTAGGATTTATAGATAGAGAGAAGTTTAATTTACAAGATTACTTGAAAGAGAAAGGAGAATCAATTGAAACTAATCCAAATTCAACTGTTTTAGAATTTAAAAGTATTCCTGATAATTTAAAACAAACTGTTGAAGACATGAGAAAGGGTACACCAACTGAGGAAATGAAATTACCACCACCTAAAGATAAAAATAAGTAAATATAAGCTTCCTTATTGTAAATTTACCCTTCTTTTGCCTTGTACTCTTTTCTGTTCTTTCATTGTAACCATTATTCTTTGGTTGTTTCTGGAATAAAATTTGACTGCAAAAAATTTTGCGGCAAAAAAAAAAAAAAAAAAAAACAATTGGAAACATCAACCAATTGAAGTTGCAAAATGATGATAATAAGACACCAGTTGTTAAAATCAAGGAATTATAGAGTTCTACTTAGATTTAACTCATCTAATGCTAATAACTCACCAATTGATGACTTAAGAAAACAAATTTCTGAAAATATTCGAGAGAAATATCTTTCAAAATTACAAGAAAAAGCAAAAGCAGAAGGTTTATCAATAAATGAATTACGTGATAAATTTAAAGATCAAATTAATAAAGTAAAATCTGAATTAGATGCAATAGATCCAAATGAACAAATTAGAAAAATAAAAGAAGAAAAGGCAATAGTTAAAGATCGTGGTAAAATTGATAAAACAAAAGATCAAGCTCCATACAAAACGTTGGATGATTTTGTAGCATTAGATAAAGTGAAGGATTTACCAAAAGATGAAATAAGTAAAATTTGGAGTGCTAGATTTATAAATAAAGAAAGAGCATTACATGCTGTTACAGACAATTATCAATTTGCACAAATTTATGCGAATGCATTTAGATACCCAAATTTTCTACTACCAATTCCTAAAAAGCATGAAGGTAAAGAAGGATTTGAATTACAATTTATTCAATGGTCATTTGTTGGTCCTTTGACAATTCACTGTATGTTTACTACATTAGCGGAATATAAACTACACAATGAATATGCAAAACCACATACAACATTAACATTTCATCAAGAATTAGCAAAAGATAAAGATATAGTATTAATGAATGGATTAAGTGAAAAAGATTGTGGATTAACAATGCAAGAAGCTCAGTTTTTAGTTATTAATTTACAAAGATTTTATTCAGGTAAAGAACCTGAAAAATTGGCAATCGTAAAACTGTTCAACTTAGGTGAAGGCTTTAATGTTGATGATTTGATTGCACAATCCATGTCTTCATAATATATATTATTTTTTACCTCAATCTCTAGTAGCCTTTTTCTTTGGTTTATACTCTTAACTTTTTTGTGCTAAGGTATTCAAAATTGAGAATGTAGTTTACGACAGTGGTTCAAAAATTTTGAATAAATTTCAAATCGATTATGGCGTCTTGCAATTATCATACAAATAATTGTATCATAATTGCATGGATTGAGTCAGTTGAATTTGTTATGCTAGAAATTGTTAAATAAGGTTTAAGTGTTATTATCTCGCAATATCGCGCTTTTTTGCGCTTAATAAAAAATAAAATGATCAAAAATAAGTTCTTTTGAAACATACAGGCATGAGCTTACTATGTATTGACTGAAGATCTTGATGAGTTAAGTTTGACAAATGTAGCTTGGAAGTTGAAGGAGTTATTTACAAATTTAGTTTCATGATTAGCTTTTATGATACTGCATATTAGCCATTTTAACGCATCTCAGAATTTAGACTGTGGACTCTACAATAATGCAATAATGTCTCATGAGCTTAGTAGTTGAGCAGTTTTTAGTCGTTGATTAATTATCGTAAAGCGTGATTTTTCCAAACAGAAGTGAAAAAGATGATGATTAACAGTGCAGGAAGCTCAGATTTTTAAGTACAAAGATTTGAAGATTGTAAAGACAGTTCAGTCTAGGTGAAGGTTTTAAAATTGATGAATTAATTTCACAATCCATGTCGACATTATATATTATTTTTTACCTCTACCTCTACCTCTTCCCCTTCCTCTACCTCTAGTAGCTTTTTTCTTTGATTTATACTCATCTTCATCAGTGAGTATATCAACATCATTATCATTAACTTCTAAAATTTCAACATCTGAATCATCAGACAAAATTTCTTTAGATTTTTTAGATTTCCTCTTTGGAGCTGGTTTTTCTTTTATTGGTTCTTCTATATTAATTTCCATCAAACTTGGATCACCTTTTAACTCAGCTAATAATTGTTTAAATGCAGTTTTTTGTGTTTTCTCATCATCATTTCCATAAAATTCATTATCATCAATTTCAATCTTTTTTAATTTATTTACACTTGTTTTTGTTTCATTATTTATAAATGTTTGTATAGTATTTTTATCATCATTATCAACAAATTTTTTTACTGCTTCATTTAATCCGATTTCAGGAACTAATGACAACGTAGTCTGATGAAGGAAATCACTTATAATATCTTGTAATTGTAATTCAGTAGTTTTTGTATTAGATATACTTTCTTCAATCAAATCGGCATCAAATTTTGTCTTTTTAACTTGTTCTTTTGGTGTTTTCTTTTTATAAAATAATACTACATCATTTACATTTGCAGTTTTGCCAATAAATCTATTTGAAAATCTTTGAGCATTTTCAATTTCAAATCCCGTATATTCAACTTTAAGACGTATTAAGGGTAATGGAATTTCAGATTCATTTGGATGATTCTTGAGGTATTTCTCATTAGCTTGGAGAATTGATTTTTCAACCTCTTCAATTAATAATGCTATAACATCTGCTTTTGAAGATGAACCTGCAACTAATTTAGTTTGTGATAATTCAATTTCTTTCAACACAAATGGCCTTACTGTAGTTAATTGAACAGGTTCAATTGAATAATCTTGTCCTTCTATATACATTATAAATACTTTTTTATCAGCAACTTCACCTTCTGATAATGCAGTTGCAACTGAACTTCCAGCTTGTAATACTTCAAAAGTGGTTTCTTTATTGTGAATTGGCAGTGGTATACATTCATGTTCATGTCCCCATAATACAAAATCAAGAAAATGAGGTAAAAAAGTTTCAGGTATACATGATCTATAGGCATGTTGAGCATGATTTTGATGAATCACAAATAAATTAAACCAATCATCAGTTGAAGGCCTCTGAAATTTAACTTTTCCATCTCTAAACATTCTATGTAATCTTTCATCTCGAACATTTGCCATACCATATAATGCTAATTGAGTATTTCCCTTTTTTAATAAAACTGGTGACACGGTAATTTCTTCATTATCTTTAACCTTACCAAAATTATTAACTAAACCAGAAACAGCCAATACATCTAAAGCACTTAATAAACCCTCACCAGTTGCATCATCGTGATTACCAGAAATTGCAAACATTGGAATTGAAATATTTAAATTGGGATCTTCATAATTTACACTATCCAAACCATTTGAAAAAACCGCGGTGGGATCACTTAATAATTCAATTTCGCAAGGTTTATCACCCATACATTGTTGTCTCAAAGATTTAATTACATGAAATAATGATTTTTTACTTGGTTTATTAATATGAAATAAATCACCACCTTGAATAATCATATCAACATCGTAATTATTACCAATTTTTAATATTTCGTCAAATGTAATCCATGAATCATTACCTCTAATTGGATCATTTTCAGCATAACCAACATGATTATCAGTAGTTAATAATAATTTTATCGTATTTTCATTTGGTTCAATTTTATCAAGAAACATCAAATAATTTTTTTTCGTCTAACAACCAAATGATTAAATGAATAATATTGATCAAGGTTTAATAATAAGACAACAAGATGAATTAAGTAGTATAGAATCAATATATGGTGATATATTCAAAGATATTACTTCAAAAGAATTAATATGGAATAAAAAACCAAGTCCGCATTTTCAAATTAAATTAGAATCAATTGAGCTACAACAAAACCCCAGGGTTGCAATTATATTAGATGTTGAATTTACTTCAACTTATCCATTGTCGCCACCAAAAATTAAACTAATCAATCCGGAGAATTTACTCAAAAGTCAGGTTAATTTGTTGTATGATAAAGCTGCTTCATTAATAAAAGAATATCCAGAAGAAGAAGTTTCATTTATAATTATATCTGAATTGAAATTATTACTTGATGAAATACAGTCAACACTGAAGAAAGTACTATCACTAGAAGAAGAGAGGGAATTACGACTTAAAAATGAACGAAAAGCATTGGAGGAGAAAGAACAAAAGAAACAAATTGAATTGGAATTAATTAAACGAAAACAAGATAAAGAATTAGATGAACAAATACAATTACTAAAGAACGATTATGAAACGGAAGAGAGTTCTGATGATGAAAATTTATCTGTGAGTATTCCAGGTTCTACAGATGATTGTTTTATATTTGAAAATACAATGCAAGGTTCAATACCATTTACTAGATCTAAATTCAAATTTAAAGCTGTTTCGGGGTTTACTAAATATTCTAAAAAGAATATATTTACTTCTATAAGTCAACAATTTATAGTCAAACCATTTGTGAATAATGAAGTACAGGATAAAATTGATCGACAACTAGTTGAATTGACTTATTTACTTACTATAATTGAATTGGATAATAAATATTGGCAAAGTGATGCTGGGAAGAAAGAAATACAAGATTTGGAAAAGGAATTGGAGATAATAGTGAACTTACAAGACGATCACATTAATAAATTAGTCGGTTTTCAAATAGATAAACAAAATAATTGGTGTATTCGAATACTTACAGAATACTCAAATGATACGTTAAATAGTATATTACCTAAAAATGATATTAATTGGGGTATTGCTCGAAATTGGTTAATTCAACTACTACCAACACTTGAAAATCTACATAATACTGGTGTTATACATAAATTAATATGTCCATTAACTGTTAGTGTGGTAGAGAATGATTTAAAATTATCACATCCATCATATGGTCTACGACTATTACAAATGATTAAATCATATCCAAATAAACATCAAGAGACCATTCAAATTAATTCAAAAGATACAATACCTGAAAAATGGCAAGCACCAGAGTTAAAATCAGGGATAAATCAACAAAAGACAGATATTTGGGATTTAGGGGTGCTATTTTTACGAATCATGCTTGGTTCTAATACAACTGAAACAACTTTTCCAACACCACAAGATTTTTTAAATAAATTTCAAGTTAATGAGTATCCTAATGAAGAATATGCATCATTAATTTATGATTTATTATCTAAAATGTTACATTCCAAAGTTTATAAACGACCAACAGTATTAGAATTGAATTCTACAAGGTATATGAGAGAAGGTCCTGGTTATGAACCAATTACCCATACCATGCGACGAAAATCAAATAATCATGAAACTCCAAATTTGTATTCTCCAAATGCTAACGTTGCTAGATATGAACGTGATTTTGAAGAGATTGGGAAATTAGGTAAAGGTGGATTTGGAGAAGTTGTAAAAGCAAGAAATAAAATAGATGGGACATTTTATGCAATAAAAAAGATTAGACACAAATCTGAGAAGTTGGATAGTTTATTAAGTGAAGTTTTATCATTGGCAAGATTAAATCATCAATATATTGTAAGATATTATGGTACTTGGGTCGAAGAAATAAATGAAACTGCAATTGAATCAGGATCAGATATAGAATCAGAGGACCTGTTTTCCAGTAACTATAATAGAATAGGTAGATCTTCTTCATTTTTACCAAGTCATGACAATTCATTTCAAGTTGATTATATTTCAACATTTGATAAATTAGAATTTGACTCTAGTTCAGATGAAGAGTCTGATCAATTTGAATTTGCAAATTCAGGAACACAACAGACTAATGAAGTGTCAACTAATGAAATATCAACTAATTCTTCTACATCAAAACCCAAAACAAATACTAAATCTATACTTTATATTCAAATGGAATTTTGTGAAAATAATACATTGTTAAATTTAATTGAACAAGGATTACCTAATAATTCGAATGAATATTGGAGATTATTTCGTCAATTATTAGAAGCTGTTTCATATATTCATCGAGAGGGATTCATTCATCGTGATTTAAAACCAATGAATATTTTTATAGATAGGTCTAATAATATAAAAGTTGGTGATTTTGGATTAGCTAAGAATTCACAGTTTTCAAATTATCTACTGAGAAATAATCAAGTTGCAAATGAAGAATTGAGTACTATTGTCGGAACTGTATTTTATACTGCTAATGAAGTATCAACTGGTAAATATGATGAGAAAGTAGATATGTATTCATTGGGGATTATATTTTTTGAAATGTGTTATTCATTATCAACTGGAATGGAAAGGGCAAAAATATTGAATAATTTAAGATTGAAAGAAATTGAATTTCCGACAAACTTTAAAAACAACACTGAAAAGAAGGTTATCAAATTGTTGTTAAATCATGATCCTACTCAACGTCCTTCAGCTAATGAAATATTACAAAGTGGTTGGTTACCTGTCGAACATCAAGATCAAGTAATAAAAGAAGCTTTGAAATCTTTAGCTGATCCTGCATCTCCATGGCAACAACAAGTTCGTGATACTTTATTCAATCAGCCTTATTCATTAGCTAAAGATTTAATGTTTGATAATAAAGATAAACAATCAGATTTTGATTATTTATTATTTGATAAAATTACTCATGAAATATTCCGCATTTTTAAAACTCATGGTGCTATTGAGAATTTAAATATTAATCCATTATTACCTAAAGCTCCACTACAATCAAGGGAACTAGTTTATGAAATTTTAGATAAAAATGGACTGGTGTTGACATTACCTTATGATTTAGTTTTACCTACTGCTAGATATTTATCAAGAAGTTTAGAAACTGTGCCTTCAAAATTTTTCAGACATGAATTTGTTTATCGTCCAAATGTTAGGGGGATAGGTATGCCAGATAGATATTCAGCCATTAATTTTGATATTGTATCACAGACTAAAACAAATTCTACATTTCAAGATGCTGAATGTATTAAAGTTATGGATGAAATTATTGAATTACTTCCCTGTTTTAGTTTTAAGAATATTATTTTAGTTATAAATCATTATGATATTCTAAATGCTGTTGTTTCATTTGCATTTGATAATGTGGGAATTGATGAGAAATTAAAATTTGATGTATTTGGGGTGCTATCACAGTTGGGAATTGATAAGAATAGTGAAGAGATAAAGAGGTATTTAAGAGAAGAATTTCAGGTACCATATACTGTTATTAAAGAATTGATTGAAAACTTTAATTTTACTTGTGAGCTAGATAAAGCAAGACATAAATTACAGAAATTAATGATTGATTCTACACATTTCGTAAAGGTCGATAAAGCATTATGTTATTTAACCAATGTGGTAAATTACCTAAAGAAGTCAAACAATAAATCAACAATTGCATTTAACCCATTAAGCAATTATAATAATAAATATTATATAAATGGTATCATGTTTCAATCAATATTTAAATCAGATAAATTGAAAATGTGTAAGAGAATATTAACTGGTGGAAGATATGATTCAATATTACAAGGTTATCGTGCAGTTGGTTTCACCCTATCAACAACTATAGTCTTCATCCTAATGAAACATTTAATGAATAGAAAATCACAAAATTTATCAAAATGGAGAGGATCAAGATGTGATGTAATTGTAGCAAGTACTCAACAAAATTATTTAGATCAAGGAGGTTATGAAATTTTGGCAAGTTTATGGCAAAATAAAATAAGTGGTGATATTTTACCAATTGCAACTACACAAGATGAAATAATGCATAAAGCGTATTTAGATGGTGCTAGTTGGTTAATTTTAATTAAACAATTACCTGCGAAACGTAAAAAATCATCAAGTTTTAAACCATTAAGGATTAAAAATATATTTAATGGAGTAGAGTATGATTCTGATTATGATAGTTTTATTTATACGTTGCAAAAATTATTTTCTGGAGCTGTTGAAGAAGAACCAATTGAATCTACAAATGAATTATTACCATTGTATTCCTTAGATATTGATCAAAAAATAATCGTTGTTAATAATGATGCTCCGAGAGGTCGTAAGAATAAACGAGATAAATGGGAATATGAAAATGATGCAAAATTAGCAGGTTCAAATTTTTTAAAACAATTGTCGGTAGGTCCAGTGTTAGCTATTGATGCAAGAGATGAGTTCCTTGATGTCATTAGTAAAACATCAATTCAGCAACAAGATGAATGGTTAAGAAAAGTGCTATTTACTACTAATAACTTTCCAAAAAGTTTTGCTTTAAATATTTATAATGCATTGATTAAAGAAGCATCCAAAGGCAATCGATTTTGTTTATTAGTTTCACCTCGTACTCATTATACTACAATTGTTGATTTAAATAGATAACGTTTATTTAAGATAATGCTTTTTCCATTCCCAATATTCTTCTAATCTTAATTTACCATAATTTGAATAATTAAAATCAATATTTGATAATTCAGATTGAATCATTGCCCAAATACCCCAATAAAAACCAGGTAATCCATAAAATGTAGCAATTTCATCAATTAAATCGTCTACTGACTCTGAATCGCCGTTAAGGTATGATTCTACCCACTTTGCTAATACTGGGTTACTTTTTGTCGGTTTCGGTATATTATCCTTATTACAATCAAATCCTTGCCATTCCATTAAATGATTTGCAATATCAAATGCTCTTGGTGCAGGTAACATATATTCATAATCAATAAATTTTATCGGGTTTATTTCTGGTAATTTATCTAACTCTTTGAACTCAAAATCATCTGGTATAATTATATTCCCACTTAATAAATCACAATGACATGCAACTACTGGAGAATTGATTTTTGATAATTCTGATTTTAACCAATCAAATTCATCTTTGATTACTTCTTTTAAATTTTCTTCTCTAACTTCTACTTCTAAATTTGTATTAAATGATGATATTAAATCTTGATTAACTGGAACTATATTAATCCAATCATCTAATAATTCCCAAACATTACTTATAAATGTCTTCTTCTTTGATTTTTTCTTCGAAAATGATGAATTTCTTCTTAATCCACGGAATTTTAAGCTTCTAATTTTTTCGATACCTTCTTCAATCAATTTATAATTTAAATTTTTATGCCATTGACCTAATAGTTGTGCAATTAATGGGTAAACACTCTCATCAAATAATTGTTCTGGTTTTAATGATTTACCAGACAAAAAACCATATATTAATCCATTTTTAAATCTTGAATATATCGGAGGGGCTAAATTTATTGAATTTAAAATCAAATGAGATATAAATTCTCGATTTCTATCAATTATTAAATTTGTTCCATGTCCATAGCACCTTATCAAAACAATTTCTGATTCATGTTTACATGATAATAACATATTTGTAATACCACCAGTTAATTGAGTCAATTGTATTTGATTATATTCCCAACTTTTAAATATTAAACATAACAAATTCTTTAAACCAGTAAAGTCATTGATTATTTCATCTTGTAAATTAATAATTAATGTTTTAAAATATATAGCTGCTGTACCATCAGGTTGTTCAAAATCTGAATCTTCATCTGATGAATTATCATTATCCATTTCTGATGCGGATGGATTGTTAAGTTCATATAACAAATTTTTATTCTTTAAATATAATTTATCAGGTAAGAAATTTGTATTATCTGATGATGAAGGAGGAGTTATAGGTGCTTTGGAATACTGTAGTAATTTTTGCTTATCTATGGGGATGAAATGAACTTTATTATTTGAAACAAAACAATAAGAAGCTATATTGAAAGCATCTTCAAATTTATCATGACCATTTTGTGGATGCATAATTAATGAGTGTGGGAATTATGGGTATTGGTTAATTAAGATAAATATTTATTTTTCGTCTAAATTTTTTGATCTTGCCAGAAAAAACTGATAACAATAAATAACATTGAAAGATGAACTGTTATTTATAAACAAAGAGATGTTGATTGTTAGATCTACGAATATTGAATTTTGATTCGTGGCTTAAACTTTTGATAACAACCCCCAGGGAAAAGTAAAAAATTACGGTGTTGTAACTCAATTTTGTGTTGAGAACTTCTCCATATTTCATAGGATCATTCATTTGGAAGTCAAGATTCATCTTGACAAAGAGCTGAGTTTACTTAAATAGGAGATTTTGAGTTAACGATGATGATGATGATGGCGAAATTCGTAATTCGCAACCAAATAATTTTGACCAGGGCAAACCCGGAATACGAAGTTTGAATAACTATCAGACCCTCTCTATATCACGAAGGGCTATTCAAGCTCCTGGCTTGTGACTAACAACGCTTGTTTACCATTGTTAACTTAAATGGTCGTGTGATTAAATAAATTCACGTGTTTCGAAACACGTCTTTAATTTTCTTCTTCAATGTATGGTGATACTGCTAATAAACTAATATTAGATGCTAAAAGAACATCAAACTTATCAAATATATCATTGTATCAAGCTGATTTAATCAAAGAAATAGTTAAAGAAATTAATGATTTAAACAAAGATGTTGAATTTTTACAAGAGCAAGAAGAATTAAATCAAGATGAAGATAATAAGGTTAATCAATGTCAATTATTTGTAACTCATTTATCAATGAGACGAAATAAAAGATGTTTAATCGCTTATGAAAAATTAAGAAGTGATAAAATTGCTGAATTTATATGGTCAAATCAAGATAATTTAAATCAAGATAATTTAAGTTATCATGAACAAGAATTTGTTAAAGATTATAATCAATCGATAACTGCCTATAAATCTCATTTTAGTGATTTAGATTTATCTGGAGACTTAGAACCACCAACCAATATATTTATTGATGTTAGAGTACTAAAAGAAGGTGGTGAAGTTACTACGGAATATGGTTCATTTAATTTGATTAAAAATTCTCAATTCTTTGTAAGGAAAAGTGATGTTGAAAGATTGATACAACAGGGTTATTTAGAGCAATTGAGTAGTTAGTTAAAGTTATTTATGAGAAATGAATATAAAGAAAATTAGAGAATATTCTTTTTATGGTACTAGTATTTTTTAATTTCAGCGATTTAGCACAATAAATTGATTTTTTCTAGGTTTTTCTAAGTGTCAGTTAAGACGAATTTGATTGATAATCACTATAAATTCCGAAAATTGTGATTGAATTTGGCTAAAGGATTGGTAAAATTTATTGATAATTTTTTCTCGCTTAGATCTCGTAAAATAGAAGTGTGTATTAGCTAGATTTCATATTTAAATGCTACCAAATGCTTTCGCTTAATTGCTCATAACTTATAAAATTAATATATCGCCTGTACGGCATTTCAGCAAATTAACTTTTGCTATCGTATTCACCATTGACACCACATTGATAATAATATTGAATAAAATGTAGTCTAAAATAGTTTAATAATTATGGCGCATGACTTTACAAAAATTTCCTAAAATAGAGATCGTTCCTGATTAAATCAAGAAGAGAATCCGATTATGCTTCGTTTTTTACAATGCAACGTTCAGTCAGTTAGCTGAAACGTTACGATTTACTGAAAGTTGTTGAACTATTTAAATTTTTTTCCTGGTAATTAATGCCACACTTAACCACACTACTAACCATAAATACATAATTTACAAAAAAAAACAAACAATAAGTTCAACTACCAATTGGACTGCTTCAGATGGTCATCTTACTTAAACATGCTAAGAGATTGAATTAAGTGACGTTGGAAATTAGGTTGGAATCTGAAACGTCGGCAATTAAATTTTTTTTTCGCAGCACTTTGTTACTACACTTAATATGAGAGTTTATTTAAGATAACGAAACAATAAGATAAAAAACCTGATTTTAGGAAAGTTTAAGGTGAATACAAAGATAAGAAACTATGCTTAAATTAAAGACGTAATTTTAATTGATTAGCTTTAGTTTTGTTATCGCTAATTTTTAGTTAACCTGAAGCCACTTTTTTCAGAACTGCTATAAAAATGATTTGAAATCAGGACAATTTAAAACCAATTATTACAAGCTGTACAAGATGAGTGACTTCAAAGAGGATAAGAAAGGAGTCAATATTGAGATCGCTAGTGCCTCAGATTTAGATTCTTTGAAATTTTCTGATGAAGATGAAATTGAAGCGGAAAAGATTTTTGGTCATGATAAAAGTTTAGCAAAATCATTGAATTCAAGACTATTAAACACCGTGGCACTAGTTGGAACTATAGGAACTGGGCTCTTTTTGAGTAGCGGTGGAACTTTAGCTACTACTGGACCTGTTGGTTTAGTTATTGCATATTTATTTGTTGGTCTGGTAGTTGGAGCTAATCAAATCTGTGCTTGTGAGGTTTCTTGTCTAGTACCAGTTACTGGAGGCTATATTGCTCATTCTAATTATCTAGTGGATCCGGCATTATCATTTATGTTGGGTTGGATAAGTGTTTATTCAAGTATTTTACCAACTGATTTATCAGCAAGCGCTGTTTTAATGACTTACTGGTCAGATTTAAATCCAGCTGTCTGGATTACAGTATTCGGAATTGTCACACTTCTAGTTAATCTATTCAGTGTTAGAGTCTATACTGAATTTGAGTTCATTTTTGGTATCTTGAAATTACTTTTATGTATTATCTTTATTATTACTGGTCTTGTAATTGATTTGGGTGGAGTTCCAGGGCAAGAGAGGCTAGGATTTCATTACTGGAAGACTCCTTTTGAATCTAGATATGTTGAAGGTTCAGTTGGTAAATTTTTAGCCTTTTGGAAATCAGTTAGTTCAACAGTTTATGCATTTGGTGGCTTGCAGACAATCTCATTCTTGGCAGGTGAGTGTGAATATCCAAGAAGAGCAATTTATAGGGCATCTAAAAGAATATTCTATCGTGTATTCACGTTGTACATTTTAACTATCTTCATAATATCGTTAGTTGCAAATTCAAGAGATCCATTGATTGCAAACCCTGATGGTACAGCTGCTGGTTCAGCTTTTGTTATTGCTGTACAACGAGCAGGTATCAAAGGACTTCCTCATTTTATCAATGCTGTTGTTTTAACGTCTCTGATTTCTGCAACCAACTTAGGGCCAGCTGAAACTGGTAGAATTATGTGGTCACTTGCTAGTAAAGGTTTTGCTCCAAAATTTTTCCTTAAAACTAATCGGTTTGGATTGCCATGGGTTGGTATAACATTTGCTTCAATGTTCTTACCCTTAGCTTATATGAGTGTTGACAAGACTGCCTCGACTGTTTTCGGCTGGTTTCAAAATATCACATCCTCGAAATTATTAGTGACTTGGTGTATAATCTCAATCAATTCTATTAAGTTGAATTCTAGCCTCAAAAGTCAAGGGTTCTCAAGGTCTTAATTACCCTATCACTTCAAGTTTGCCGAATTATGTTCCTACTACAGTCTTTTTTGGTCCTTGCTAATATTATTGACAGCTGGATTCCCTGTTTTCATTCATGATAACTTTCAATTCCTGTTGTTTTTTTCATCCTACTTTATTATACCTTTGGCGATAGTTTTATTTATTGGCGGTAAGTTGATATTTAAAACAAGATATTTGAGATCCAACGAGGTTAAGATTAAAGCGTTTCTATTTGATGTTGTAAATAAACCAGAGCCAGCGTATAAAAAGTTGAAAGGATGGGAATGGTTAACTATATTATGGGCATAAATACAATTTTTAATATATATCATTACTATTACTTTGCATTCGATAATGTTCATCCAACAAAGCTGAAGGGGAAACATTTATGGTTCTAGTAATAGTTACTTTATATATAGAATTCTTTTGCAGCCAAATTTTTTTCCTCCTGCACTCCTCGAACCTTTTAGTGCTACCACTTGCTTATTCTAAATGTTGATCTTAATTGTAATAAATTAACATATTAAGTTATTCGGGGACTCACTTTTCAGTTGTAGACGAGGTCTTTCATTTATGCAGTTATCAGTTAATTGAGGGTATTAAATACCTTTATCTTGTAAAGATCCGAATCAACTAGAGATTTGTAAAAGTTTAAACTTATCCTATATTGAAGACACACTTTAAAATAAACACTTTTAATCATGTGTGATACCACAGCTAATAATTTAGCAGTCAGGTAAATTTACAGGAACGAAATCATATCTGGATTTAAATTTAGCACTCGGTATCTGAAAGCGGTAAACAATTTTAAGGAACTTGACAGGACCATCAACTAGTAATTGTGCCACTTGATATTGACAGAGTTCGTTTTCTTTGGGAAATAGACGTCACAATGACCTTCCAACAAAATATTATCCTACACCACCGGCGTCCGGATAAATCAAAGCTGAATTTAGTCAAATACAATAAGTTATTTCCATCTACTATCCTCCAGTCAAATTCTATATCGACTAAATTTAATTGAGTCAAATTTATGCATAACTGCATCGATGTGTAGTCAATATTAAGTACATTAATCAAGTGTATTAGATGCATTCTGTAAGGGAAACACAATCGTGATTGTTCTCCAATTTCAAATGATCTATAACCATAATATATTTTGAGTTTGATGCTTTATCAATAATGTTGCTAATATGTTTAAGGTAGTCACCAGCTTTCAAATCTTACCCAAGAATTAGACTCCGTACTTCAAAATAATAAAACTCGTTACTATTCAATTGTGTAAACTTCAAATGTTTAACCGAATTTCAGAACAACTCATATATGGTACTTCCGAACTCATGAACTCTCAAGTACTCTATAGTATTTAAGTTTTCTAACTGTTTCCATCCAAAACTTGAATAATCCATCTCCTGGCTTAAGTCGAGGAAAATTTTAGTAGGTAATGATATCAACTCGTAACAACTATGCATCACAATATCAAAATGGTGATGAAAAAGTAAAACAACGTACAGGATTTCTTAATATTCATTAAGGGTGAAATCAGGGACATAGTTTGCATCAAGTTCAAACATATCATCGTATAATTTGATGATATAAGTAACAATCTAGGAACAACTCTGAATTTACTCAATAATTTGTAGAATACTCCATATTCTTTAATAGTTAAGGCATCAATAAAAACGAATATATTACCTAATGGTAGCTTTATATATTTTGTCTTCGGATGACTCCTGTGATGGCAAAATATTTGAAATGATAACATTTGAAAATAAATGATGAATGGCGAATGGTTTTAAAATCGGATCATACAAGAAGGTGGCAGCTGTAGGTCTATCCAAAAGCAATATGATAATCTCAATTAATTCACTTGGTAAGTCACGTAATGGTGATAATAGATTGATAGTATTATATTCCATAATTAGTGATTTGTCGATAGTTGTCAAATCTATTTTTACATTAATTGATTTAAGACTCCAAATTCTAATTCCAAGCAAATTTCAATTTAATGAGGCTATCCAATTGTATTTCATCTTAGATAAATAGGCTTGAAAGAGTATATATAACGACGCGAAGACTGATCTATTGACACACTATAAACTCAATGTATTTACATTTACTAATTGTAGCTTATACAAGCAGAACTAGACCAAAATCTAGAGCACTTTTCAGCCTATCTTTTGCAACTCAATTAATACTCAACTTCTTTTTCAAATCAATTGGAATTTTCAATCTTCTATCTTGCTCAAAATTTATAAATTTAAGCACCTTTTTAATCTTAACATTTAGCCAATCATCAATTTGTAATTTATTTAATCCAGTAATACTTTCCAATCTTTCATCATCTAATACATGATCAAAATATTGAATAATATAAACTCTTAAAAAACAAAATAAATGAAATTCATAAATTGGATCAACGTCTACTCTTTCTAATACCAATTTAACACTTAAATCTGATTTATATTTAATATGTTGATGATAACAGTATTTCATTAGGATCTTTTGGATATTTTTAAACCAAGTAATTAACTCATAATTTGTTAAACCTGTTTCTTTCGATAATATACTTAATTGATCTAAATTTGGTTCAATTCTGATGATATGAATATTGAAACAGGAACTAAGAATATCTTCAGCATCTTTTGGAATGGATGAACTTGGAGTTTTAATAATTGGTAATGAAATTGATGAAACCGAAGTCGGTGGTTCTAATGATGTTGACTGAATACTTGTCGCCGTTGATATTGTTTCAGCATGTTGATCTTTCCAAAATTTAAACCTTTTATAAAATTTAGGTGATAATTGTGGTGATTTTTCCATCAATTTTCATTCCATTCTCGTATCTATTATTTATATTAATCATTTTTTCTCGGGGTATTAATTGTTGGGTACCTGAAACAAAGAAATAAATTAAATCTAAAATTAGATTTCGAGAGATTTTAAGGAGTAATTTCCTAATTAGATTGTGGCTTTTATGATAAATTTTAAGCCCAATTTGGAAAACGCGATTTTATATTTAAAAAGGGTCTTGTGTCATTTTCAAATTTACGAGCCACTCGCGAACAAAAAAAAGTAAACAAACAAAAAAAAATTGTCGAAAATAACAAAATATGTCAACCACAATATTATCGCCTTCAGAAGCATTAATTACATACTCAGACTATATATTAAGTAATATAGATACTTTACAAAAAGTAGAATACAACAAAAAAGGAAGAAAATATAGATTTGTAAATAATTCATTTCAAAGAATAAGACAAGAAGATAAACATTTGATTATATGTCCTGAGAAACTCGAAAGCAAATATTCATTATATTCAGCATTTACTATATTATACAATATAGGAGATATTCTCAATAGTCATCCTCAATTTTGTTGTACTATCCTTGGTTTAGCTTTAGAGTTGGAGAAAAATCAATGGTATGAAGAAGAAAATTCATCAGTTATTCATCTCAAAAATGCAAAATATGATCCATTAGATTTGAAAGATTTATGTGATGAGTTTTTAGAAACTTATCCAATTGAAGATAAACATATTGAGTGGGGTATTAACTTATTAATTGCATCAAAACTAAATTTTTTACATACAGATCACCATATTGGTTCTAAAATAGATCATAATGTTATAAAGAACTTTATTAGAATATATTTTGGTGAAGAAGCTTTAACTAGTCAAGATATTTTAACTTCATTGAAAAGTTGTGTTCATTGGGCAAACATTAAAGGAATTTTATATAAACTAGATTTACCAGTTAAAATTTCAAATGAACAAAAACAATTATTTGCCAATTTCCCAACACCAAGTGAGGAATTAAAAATTAATGTTTATGATAGATATCCATCAGGTACTTCAAAATATTCATTAATTAGAAAAAGTGTAGACATTTTAGCAGATTGGAAATATTCAAAACTTATACCATTTGAAGATGATATAGTTTGGTTATTTGATTTATGTCATGATATAGAAACCAATCCAATTAAATATCATTTAAGATCAAAGACTAAAGATTTATATGATAATCCAGTTAATCTAAGTGAATTGAATATTAAATATGGTAAAAATTTGAAAAATTTATTAGATTACATTGGTATTGTCATTAATATATTTGATACAACTGGTGGTGAATTTTTATTACAAAATTCAAAGATTCCAAAATTAACAAATGAATTGATACAAAAATATGAACCATTATATATAAAATTAATTAAAGTTAAAGATCAAATTGATAATTATGAATCAAAAGATTGGGAAGCACCTGATATAATAACTAGATTAGGGGAATGTGATAATTCATTATTTGATAAAGTAATGAAAATGAGACAACAGTATATAGATGATTATGAATAAATATTTCGGCCGAACTTTGGTACCATGGTCGGTCCAAGCGCTACCAAATTTATGTTTTTGCAAGCATACAAGGGTAATGTTAAATAGCCCTATAGCCAATTGGAAAAGTGTCTAAAAAAGTGGATAATTACAATCTTGAATATCTTTATTATGTTTAGTTTACTTAATGTATTACCAAGAGCAAAGTTTACCGATTAATAGTCATATCAGTATTCCGCGGGAATATGACCGTTTGATTCGTACGACAAAGTAGGACAAAAGAATATACGAGAAAATATTCCACCAGTTGTCATTTTCAAAAACCGGTTGATGCAAAAAGATGGTGTGACGTATGTCCAATCTTAATGATAAGTTTTGCAACCTGAAAATTTTGGGTTGGAACCGGATTATTCTTATACATAACTCAAAACAGGGGATATTTTAGAAACTATAGAATATTGCACAAAAATAGCCGCACCATCTTAGTACTTAAACATTCAAAGAGATTTTGTACCAATGGCTTTAACTAACCGCTCCTACTAATCTACATTTATCACTAAACCTGCTCGTCTTTTCATAAGTCGTTTAAAAGCATATTTTTAAATTGACTACACATTTTTAACCGGTTTAACGGAGTAGAAGCACATAATGTTGCATGTGACACATAATTATAATTATAATTACCATCCAATTAAAATAAATTTATTGTATTGTTACCCAATGATAATAGAAATCTTCAAATTCCATGGATCTAACTTAGAGTATCGTATTTTTTAGTATCGAATCTTCATCTAGATTTGTATTGTATATAAAGTTAAGCGAAAGATGGTTTTGTGAATTTCTCTTTTTTTTTTTTTTTTTTTTTTTTTCAGGAGCTGAAAATTTAAAATTCACAATCATACAATTTTATCAAACCATATCGATATTCATGTCACAGGTAGATTTTGATAAGGAAAAAGATGATATTTCATCAAATCAAAGATTTGTTGAAGATACATCATCTTCCGAATATGATATGACTGATTTAGATGGTAATGATGCCATCTTACATCAAAAGATTAAATTGATTAATGATGCGATTGATGAAATCGGGTGGACTCCATACCATCTCAAATTATTTTTCCTTAATGGTATGGGATATTGGACTGATAATCAATTAAATTTCTTGGAATCGTCAGTTCGTACATTTATAAACTATCAATTTGGTTACAAATTTCCTGTCTCAAATTTATGTTATGCCGGGGGAATGATTTTAGGAGCAATTGTGTTTGGATGTGGATCAGATTTAATAGGAAGAAAATTAGCATTCAATATATCATTATTACTTAGTGCTATATTTACTATAATAACTGGTATGATGGGGAATATGGCATCATTTTGTTTATTTGTTTTATTAAGTTCATTTGCAGCAGGTGGTAATTTAGTTTTAGATACTTGTGTGTTTTTAGAATTTCTTCCTCATAAAAATAATTGGGTTGTTACTTTAATGGCATTATTTTGGGGTGTTGGTCAAACTGTTGCTGTAGCATTAGCTTATGCATATTTGCCAAATAATTCATGTTCTGGATATGATAATTGTCCAAGTTCTTCAAATCATGGTTGGAGATATGTTTATTATACAAATGGATGTATGGTTTTAATTATGGCTATTTTAAGAGTAACTGTAATTAGATTGAAAGAGACACCAAAATTTTTAGTTTCAAATGGTAGAGATATTGAAGCGGTTGAAAATTTGCAAAGTATTGCAAGAAAATATAATAGACCATGTTCATTAACTGCTGATGATTTAATTGCTTGTGGTACAATTACTTCAAATGAAGATTATAGAAAAAATTTTGATTTAAAAGGAACTTTTAGATTAATTGGTAAACATATAAAAGTTTTATTTGCATCGAGAAAATCAACAAGATCAATGATTTTATTATTGTTTTCATGGGCTTGTTTAGGTATCACTTATCCATTATATTCAGCTTTCCTTCCAGAATATTTAGCTACAAGAGGAGCTAATATTTCTGCACCAGATGTTCATGGTGTTTATAGAGATAATTTGATTTCAAATTCATGTTCAACTGCTGGTCCTATAATTGCTGCTTTAATGATTGTTTATATACCTGTTATAGGTAGAAGAGGTGTTATGGCATTTGGAGGATTTTCAACAATGGCAGTTTTATTTGGTTATACAGCCGTAAGAACAAGAGCTCAAAACGTGGGATTGTCTTCAGCAGTCTACATCTGTCTTTACATTTATTATGGTGTGATTTACAGGTATGTTATTCCATTATTATCTTGAGTGTGTTTTCAATGGATCTCAACTTGTTAAAGATCTGTTGTTAAATCATGGTGGTTTTAATATTTTGTTTTAATACTAACTTGACTTTTTAGTTATACACCAGAAGTTATGCCTTCATCTGGTAGAGCAACAGGAAATAGTATGTGTTTGCTTGCTACGAGAATTTGTACGTTAATTGTACCCGTGATCGCGTATTACTCAGATACATCTTCACAAGTTCCCATATATATTTGCGCTTCTTTTGTTGCTGTAATTGCATTAGTGGCATTGGTTCTTCCTTATGAACCGAATAAGCAGAGAGTGGTGTGAGTAATTGTATCATATTTGACATTTGTATGTACCTTATTTATATTTAATAAAAGCTAATAGAGTTGGACTTTTTGTATAAAATCTTACAACTGAGTCGAGGTATCAAGCTTGATTTAGCTCATCATAATACTTGAAGGTTTTTCTTTATTTGAGCTCTTTGTTAGATTTGGTGTAAAAGATTATTCAATTTTTTGTTTGTTTTTTTTTTCTAAATCGCGCTTTTTGATTTTACGAGACTCATTTAATCAACTAACATCTTTTATATAGTTGTTGGTTCAAGTTAGAAAAGAATGTTCATAGGTGGAGATATAGTTAAATAAAAATAATAATTATGATAGCATATATTTGATCAGTAAAAAAAAAAAGTCAAAGTGTTTAATATCTGAGGTCTTTCACTGATGATCTTTGTACATTCATAAATGATCAAAAAAATTTGGATTTCTTATCTTTATTGGAATTGAATTTCGTAAGACTGGCTCATGTTATGGAATAGCTTAACTTCTGAATCACAGCATGATATAAACCCTAAATGCTTTATTTAAATTTTGACATCGGTACTTACTAAAAATGGAACTTCTCGTAAAAGGAGTTGGTATTCAATTGCTATAAATCTTTAACCTCAGTCTTACTATTGTAAAGTAAAATCTAACATAGGGCTTGGCAATTGAGAGTCATTATTTGCTTTAAAAGTAGAGTGAAACAAATGGTGCTAGCATATAAATTTAGCGCGCGAATGGGCGCAAATAAATGGGCGTGGATAAAGCAAAATTTGTTTTTGTTTTTTTTGCGCTGCAAAATGCGCGCACGAGAAATAGGCCAATTCTCGCTACCAAGCGTACGACACATACACGAACTTGTTGATAATTGTACATTAACCAGTTTAATCTAAACAACCCTATTTTTTGAAGGTTCAAAAGGTAAGCAAAGAGCTAACAACCCGTTGACAGCCACAAAGCTACCACATATCCATATGGGAACTGCTGATGAAGTGTCTGAATAATATGCAATCACAGGTACGATCAACGTCATTACTCGAGTACATGCGACTGCCAATGCATTTCCAGTTCCTCTAGCCACCGACGGGAATGCTTCTGGGGTATAACTAAAAATAACAAGTTAGTAACGAACAATTAAATTAGTAATGATAAACAACACCGAGGGAACCGCAATATTCCACTCATACTTGAAAGACAACTTTGCCATGATTCACCGGAGTTATTTATACCCTTTGCTATTCACTTACGCATATAACAGCAGATAAAATATATACATTGAAGCAAATGATATCGATGATAAAGCAACATTTTGAGGACGAGTTTTAATTTGAGTATAACCAAATAAAAATGCCATGGACATCAATCCACCAATACATAAAACACCTCTTCTACCTAAGAATGGAAAGAAATATAACATACCACCAGCAATCATTGGACCAGCCATGGAAACACAATTTGAAATTAAGTTGTCTCTATAAACTCCATATGTATCAGGAGCAGAAATATTGGCACCTCTAGTTGCTAGATAAACAGGTAAGAAAGATGAATATAACGGCCATGAGATACCTAAAAATAACCACATGAGGAATATAACGGTTGTTGATCTAATCATTTTTCTCCCGGTGAATAAAACTTTCAAATGCAGCTTGATTAATTTCCAAAGCCCTTTCAAATTAAAGTGTTTTCTATAATCATCATTAATTTCAATTTCACCCAATGCTTGTAATTCTTCTAATGTCAAAGAACATGGTCTATTATATTTTGTTGCAATATCTTGTAAAATTTCAACAGCTTCAGCATCTCTATTATTAGAGACTAAAAATTTCGGAGTCTCTTTTAATCTTATAACAGTAACTCTAAGTATTGCCATTGCTAAAACAATACAACCATTTGTATAATAAACATATCTCCAACCTCTATTTTCATGAGAAGGACAATTATCATAACCTGAACATGAATTATTTGGTAAGAAAGCAAAAGCTAATGCAGTTGCAATTGTAGATCCAATACCCCAAAAGAAGGCAAAAAAAGTCAACAACCATTGATCTTTATGTGGAAGATATTCTAAAAAAACACAAGTATCTAAAACTAAATTACCACCAGCAGCCCAACAACTAAGAAAAACAAATATACAATAAGAAGCCATATTATTCATAGTACCTGTTATAATAGTGAATATAGCACTCAACATTAAACTACAATTAAATGCAATTCTTCTACCAATAAAATCAGCAGAAAATCCCCATGTTAATGCACCAACTAACAAACCAGCTGCTAATAATTCATTTGAAACAGGATATGTATAACCAAATTGATAATTTATAAATGTACGAACTGAACTCTCTAAATATGTTAATTGCGTATCAGTCCAATAACCCATCCCATTAAGAAAAAATAATTTTAAATGATATGGAGTAAATCCAATTTCATCAATAGCATCATTTATCAATTTCATTTTCTTATTTAAAACTTCATCTTTTAATTCATATAAAGCGACATCATGTAAAGTACCCACCGATGAAATTGGTGATAAATTTTCTGTTGGTTGTTTTTCATTATCTGACATTGTAAATAAAACTTGAATAATTTAAAACATTCTGTAAAAACCTTTTGTATATAAGCTTTTCAATAGAATTTAAACGTCATGAATCAGATTACTCAATTGGGAAGAATAACCTTTTTTAGTCTTTCTTTGTTAAATTAGACTTTTTTTTTTTTAACTCTGTTAACCCACGTTTCATGATAAGGCATAGGTATATAACAGACGTGTATATTCTAATAACCAATAGCATGTGATATATAACCATTTTTGTTGAGAATCTTATACTTGACAGGTTAGATAAAATCTTTAAGATACGAAAGGAGAAACGTGGACCAGAGTTTCAAAAGAGAATTTTGACAGGCTTCTAGAAACAAAATAAATGTAATAGAACATCACAAGCGCGTTTAATATATACGTGACCAGGTTGATCGATCTTTCATGATTGTGTCAGTCAGTCAGTCTCATATCTATTGTATTAATCAGAAACGTATTGTAGATAAATTGTCGCGAAGGGCTTAAACTTGGCAAATTGGTAGTGTCGATTTGATTCACTCCTCAAATCTTAATTCTTAAGGGGTAGAAACAAAGTATTTACAATATACATGTTAGATAATAGGATACTTCTCTTATGAACAGAGTTGATAGGGTAAGTCGATAAAGGTTGCAATTTTATTTATTGATAAGCTTGATAAGGGGAAAGTGAGGCCACAAAATGAAGTTAATTAACAATTTTCTTGATTGCATGGTCACTACTCAAGACAGGGTGCTAATTCTAAATGATTCATGTTTTTTGTGAAGAGCTTTACAGTAACTAAGAAAGGAGATGGCTCAAAGCTCAAAGCTCAAAGCTCAAACCTCAAAGCTCAAACCTCAAAGCCTAAGAAGCTTCAATTTTATAAATTCCTTTTGAATGTAAATAATTGATCAATGAATATTATCAGAAAATCACATTAATCGTTTGTTACATCGATTATCGTGAGTACAGCAGGATCCATATGTTTAGCATCATTTACTTCAATTCATGTAAAAAACTTTTGAAAAAAATTTGTTTCCTTCAAACTTAGCTTTGGATTTTCTCTCGCACTAAAATTAATCGTAATACGTCAGTCTGTTTCCACAATCATTGACCTAATTAAATATATGGTCAGAGTAGTTTTTAGGAGTTAGAGCTAGCTAGGTAACTTCAACTTTATACTTAATAAATATTTCAAAAGAGACGCATTTAATTGATACTTGTAAATGAAATTCTTAATGCAATTGTAGACAAAACCAAATGTATTAGCATTTATTAATTTTAAACATGGATATATACCAATTTATTTATTAATTTTAAACATGGATATATACCAATTTCTTTATTAATTTTAAACATGGATATATACCAATTTGAAAGTTTACTTCTTTATTAACTATACAAGCTACAAGCTAAAAAGCTTGAACTACCTTAAAGTTTTTGAAAGTCGTGTATCGAAACATTTTTCAAACTTTTTGTAACTATTGAAAGATTCATTATAACAATAACTACAAAATCGATCTACTTTCAATTAGACTTTAAACAATACATTCTAACAGGATATAATTCCTTAGGCAATCCCTTTTGTATATCACTTGCAATTAATTTCAAACCTGCTTTTTCAAATAATTGTCTAAATTTAGCATCTGTTCTAGTTACTGAAGAGTCAATTTCATCAAATATATCATCGACTGGAGCAATATTTTCTTTTACAATAATTGTACCATTTTCAATTAATGCCTTTTTACATTTAATCCAAAATTCAACCAATACATCATCTGGTAATTGTCCAACACACCATTGACACCAAATCAACCAGTATTGTTTATCAGGTATCCAGTCTTGCATACCTATATCATATATTTGACCCAATTTACCTTTATTTGACACACCAATTAATTCTTTTTCCATTTGGGAAACAAATGGTTTTACAGGTTCTAGTAAATCAACTTTATCACTTACTTTCCAAAGCAAATCTCTTGTAATTCTACCTATTCCAGCACCCATATCTATTGTTAATTTCGGTTGATTTGTTTCCATTCTGGTTTGTAGTTTTCTTAAAAATGCTGTTGATCCAACTATATCTGCTTTTGGAACTGAAGTTTGCTCACCAAATCCTCCCAAAACACCATTTACTGATGCTGGTACTGATGACCAATATAATATTGCATCATCATAGTTTATTTGTGAATCAGGTATTATATCTGAATCTATTTCAACTTCTCGTTCTTGAACTTTAATTGGCATTGAAAAAAAATTTCAAAAAAAAAAAAAAAATAAAAATAAAAAAAAAAAATAAAAAATAAAAATAAAAATAAAAATAAAAATAAAATAAATTTGAAACATGCCACAAAATCAATCTTTAAAATATTGACAAAATGATATAGACGCGTTTAATTGATACCACCAAGAACAACTAGATGATTTGATCGAGAATAACCAGATGATTTGATCAATGAATTATCTCTTGTAACAATCCAACGCGTTTTGTGAATTGTGAAACTACAAACTCAGCAGAATCAAGAAATCATGTATTGTTTCAGTTAAATATAGAGATGAGTTTAAGACGAGTTTAAGATGAGTTAAAAATGAGTTTAATACACAACTATTTAATGTGTTTTATTTGTCATACTAAATTGATTTTCAATTTACGAGGGAAATTTATTTTTCGGTATTAAAAACTTATGTATTTTTTAATCAGATATATAATTGATATATTATACTTTTTAAATCAAAAGTTTCGGTTAATTTCAGATTTAATAGTTGGTATTTATTTCCAACCCAAATTTGATATTGTTTTAATAACTGGTGGATCAAATGGATTAGGTAAAGAATTAGTTTCAATTTTAGCCGCCAAAAGTACTAAAATTGTAGTTTTAGATATAAATTTGCCAGAAGAACCAAATAAGTATGAGAATGTACATTATTATCAATGCGATGTATCTGATAGGCATCAAATATTTGAAGTTCAGAAGCTTATAAAAAAGGAAATTGGAATTATAACAGTTTTAATTAATAATGCAGGTATTTCACACGGAAAAACAATTTTAGATTTATCGTTTAATGAAATTGAACAAACTATTCAAACAAATCTTCTATCATCATTTTATACAATTAAAACTTTTTTACCAGATATGTTGGCCAAAAAACGTGGTTATATAATTACAATTGCTTCTATTTTAGGTTATATGTCTCCTGCAAGATTATCAGCTTATGGAGCTAGTAAATCTGGTTTAATTGCATTACATGAATCATTAACTTATGAATTGGGACCACCAAGTTTAAATCCATATGGTATTAAAACATTATTAGTTTGTCCTGGTCAATTAAAAACTAAAATGTTTGAAAATGTTAAAACTCCAAGTACGATATTAGCTCCCGAATTAGAACCAAAATTTGTTGCTTCTTATGTTATTAAATCCATTGAACAAGGTAGAAGAGGTGAAATTAAATTACCAATGTATGGGAAATTAATACCAATTTTTAGAGCTTTTCCATGGCCATTAGTTGAAATTACAAGAAAATTTTCTGGAATAGATAAAAGTATTAAAAGAATAGCAAATAGTGTTACTTCTAGTGTTTCTTCATTAATTGGTTCTGCAAGAACTCAAGATTCAGATATACAAATTTAATATATATTTTTCCGCCCAACATGATTGAACAATATTTTAAAAAATTTGACGGTGCTGATCTCTATACATTTATTATTAAACAAACTAACTCAAACGGGTTGTTTATTTTATTATATTACATGGCTGCTCAGAGCATTCTTTAAATGTACAAGAATTTGGCTCAATTTTTATCCAATTTAAATTATGAATGTTTTTGCTTATGATTTCAGACGATGTGGATGAACAAAAGATTGTACAAATCATATTAGAGATTCAGATAATTATTAGAGAAGGTTTGTAACCACAAGGAGTTAAATATTATGGCTCATTCAATGGGTGGATTCTATGCATTGGAATATTTTAACAATGGGAAATATATAGATTTAATCATGATTTTAGGTAATCGATTTATTGAATTTACTAATGAACCATCATATCTGCAAATAATAGCTGCCCTAACTAGTTACCTATTTCTTTCCACGTTATTGGTATTCTGAAGAGAAAGACATGTAAATATTCAAATTAATTACCACTGATGTTGAAATGCAAAAGAGGTTATTTTACGATGATTTATGCAAATCTCAAGGTCCGTTAAAAGATTTGGTCCATTCATATTGATGGAAAAGCACCACTTGAAAAGTCAATTAATTTTAAATCAGATATAAATTTATTAATATTTCATTCTGAAACTGATCAAATTACAGGTGCAAAAAGTCTGAAAACATACTTTAAAAACGTACAAATCAAGAATAAATCATTTATATCAATAATCGGAGAGTACATGCATTGTTTCTAGAACCATCTATTCAATCACAGATTCAACAACATATAATCGAATTTATGAACGATAATCACCATTAATTGTAACATATTCATGAGATAAATCACAAGTCCAAAAATCAGCTTCTTGTTCACCACCAGTACCTAAATCAACTTCAATTATTAAATCTTCATCTTGTAAGATTTCACTTGCTTTTGACTCATCAACTAATTCAGGTTCACCATTAATTAAAAGATCCAAATTTTCACCATTTTTAGATATAAATTTAACACTTGTTTTTTCAGGTATTATGGAGTCACTATTTGAATAACCAATAGCACACAATATTCTACCCCAATTGGCATCTTTTCCAAACATTGCAGTCTTGAACAAATTAGAATTAGCAATTGAGGATGCAATTACTTTTGCATCTTTATACGAAACTGCATCTTTAACTTTTATATGAATAAATTTAGTAGCTCCTTCACCATCTCTAACTACTAATTGAGCTAACTTCTGTGCAAAATCAACAATTTCATCTTGTAATTTTGAAAATCTTTCAGCTGAACTTGCTTTATTATCGATTAATTCACCAGCAGCAGCTCCATTAGCCATTGCAACTATAGTATCATTTGTACTCATATCACCATCAACAGAAATACAATTGAATGATCTATCAACAGAATATTGTAATATTTGTTGTAATGCAGATGGACTTACAGGTGCATCAGTAACAAAAAAACCTAATAAAGTAGCCATATTTGGACAAATCATACCTGCACCTTTACAAAGACCAGCCAATGTATAAGTATCATTATTAATTTTAAATTGTTTTGTAATTAATTTGGGAAATGTATCTGTTGTACATATGGCCTTGGCACAATTTAACCAATGCTCATGAGAATCACCTAATTCAGTTAATGCTAATTTAGGAATACCCTTTAGGATATTATCAATCGGTAAATTTTGTCCAATTACACCAGTAGACATAATTAATGATGAATTTTGAGAGTGTTCTAGAACTGAATCAGTTACGATCACCATATCTTCAGCATCTTTAATACCTTGTTTTCCAGTGACAGCATTTGCATTACCTGAATTTATAATAAAAGATTCAATTCCACTTCCATTCTTCTCTTTTAAGATCTTTTTTGATATCTGAACAGGAGCAGCTTTAAATTTATTAGTTGTAAATACACCAGCAGCATTAGCAGAACCATTAATATTTGTTAATAAAGCAAGATCTAAATCCCCATTCTTTTTAACTCCACAGTGTATACTTCCAACTTTATAACCCTTTGGATATACTCCTGTCTTTGGTACAAATCTTGAATATTTGTTAAGTGTAGTGATTGTTTGTTTCATCTAAATTTAATTTTTCAGGTCCAAAAATTAAGCGCAGTTTTATGATTCGTCAAATACTACGACGAGTTCATACTAGTACTTCCATATTTGATATTGCAAATGATGCTAACTTAGAAAAAGGGTTAGATTTACAAGTATCTAAATTTATACATTCATTAAACAAAAAGGATTTAAACTTGATTTTTAAGAATATACCATCACCGCCGACTGGCTCATCTCAATTTAAATTTCAATTTTATAAAGATTGTTTAAAGATTTCACTAGAGAAATTTCCTAAACTATCTGAATCAGGTAATAATATGAATCTACTACGGCTGAAATTTGAAGAATACGAAAATTTAACAAATGAACCAGATATTGAAATTATTAAATTATTTTTGATTTCCATTTTACATACTTATTCCATATCATCAACAATTTTTAGAACTCCAATTATTGAATATTTCATATATGTAAAGAATAAATATGATATTGATGTTAATGAATTATCAGTACCTGAAAATTTAAATGAAGCCCTACGTGAAATATGCTTTAAACGAAAAATACCACTACAACAACTCAAAATTAAAGATCAAGTTTCTATAGATTCTTATCTTACAGAATACGGTGGAATTACATTTGATAATCTATGTAAATATATAAGCGATAGTAAATTTAGGTATAAAGGTCAAGATATTGCAAAACCAATATTTGAATATTACGATGAGTTGTCAGAGACAAAGAAAGAGGAGTTCATGAAGGATTATTTGGAATTTAATAAAATGAAACAATTGAATGTTGAAAATTACCAGAACTCAAGATTATCAGTTGAACCAAATTTGTATTCCATGAAATCTAAAAATCAAAATTTGGTTAGATATTGGATAGATGAATCAAGTAGATATATTGAAAACAAATTAACAGCCGACCCAATCAATGATGAAGATAGAATATTACATTATTTTGCATCTTATTTTGAAACTTTTCATCTTAAATCAATTTTAAATCTCATTATTAATGAATTATTAACTTCAAATGGTATCAAATTTACTATATTACGAAATAAATTAACTTATTCACTTCCCAAAAACAAAATGTCCAGTTATATAACTCCTGAATCATTTGCTAAATTAATATGGCTGTTAACTAACATAATCATATCAAATTCAAAAATAGACGCATTTGATGCATTTTCAAAAGAGGTTAAACATGAAAATAACAAAGATCATCTAATAATCAATCTCAACCCCATCTTATCAGACCTCATCATTGACAACAACTCAAATGGAAATCATTTACCAATGGTCTGTCCACCTAAAAAATGGACAACTCCAACCAATGGAGGTTATTTATCTGGATCACCATTAATATCATCATTTGATTCACTACAAAAACAAATATATTCTAAATTGGCAATTTCTGGAGATTTAGACAATGCATATAATTTCATAGATAATATTGGTAAAATACCGTGGGTTATAGATCAAGAGATGCTCTATGTTTTTAACGAGTTGATTAAATTGCCCAACGGATTTTTAGAAATACCTCCAATCAAAAATGAGTCTTTTGAATTAAGTCAGTATCGTTCTCAAGTTGAAATTGTAAATAAAATGGCTAATGCATTTGGAAAAAATGGTGATATTTTATTTCATTGTTATGTTTTTGATTTTAGAGGTAGAGTATATACGAAATCATGTTTATCTCATTATGGATCTGATTTAACTAGATCATTATTTAAATTTTGGAAAAGTGAAAAATTGGGAAATGATGGTTTTTATTGGATTAAGTATCAATTAAGAAGTGCATTCGGGAGTACAATTGATGTCAGACAATTTTACAATGAAAATATAGAGAATATTTTGAATTCTGCTGGTGATCCAATGAATTTCAAATGGTGGATTAAAGGTGATGATCCATTTTCAACCCTATCTGTTTGTTTTGAAATTAGGAAAATATTAAATTGGGTTAATGAAGGAAATAGAATAGAGGAATTTAAGTCTAGATTACCTATTCATCAAGATGGCTCATGTAATGGATTACAGCATTATGCTGCTTTAGCAAGGGATTGTGCGGGTGGTAAAGCAGTTAATTTAACACCACTGGAAACTAAACAAGATGTATACATTGAAGTTCAACAATTGGTTAAAAAGAAATTAGAAGCAAATTTTGAAAATAATGAATTGGCTAAATTTTTTCATTCTATTTTATCTAGAAAATTAGTTAAACGACCAGTTATGACTACCGTTTATGGAGTCACATTACGTGGAGCAGCAATTCATATCTTTGATGAAATTAAAGAAATTGTTCAAAACCATGAAAATTCAAATAAGGAAGACTATAACCAAGAAACAATAAGTCGAATGAAGAAAATTACATTATCGCAGACTTCATATCTTGCTATGATCATATTATCATCAATTGAGGAATTGTTTTTCAATGCAAAACAGATTGAACACTGGTTAGTCATGAATGTCAATCGAATGTTAACTAGTTTCAATCTCAAAACATTTCAATATTTAACTGACAAAGATGAAGATATCAGTACAATTTTAGATTCTCCAAAATCGTATTCTCCAATTATATGGACTACACCTATTCAATTCCCTGTTGTTCAAATATATCGAAATATTCCAAAACGTAGTTATACTGGTCATTATTTTGATTATACTCATAAATTATATCCCATGGATAAGAGAAAGAATATGAATGGAGTTGCACCTAATTTTATACATTCTTTGGATGCTGCTCATTTAAGTTTGACATGTAATGAAGTTGGTAAAATGACATTCAGTGCAATTCATGATTGTTATTGGACTCATGCAAATAAAGTAGAGGAGATGTCAAGGGTGCTAAGAGAGAAATTTGTTGAATTACATAGTATAGACATACTAGAACAAACTAAATTGGAATTTGAAAATCAAATGAAGGATAATTATCAATTTGTGTATTTTAGTAAATTTGAATACCCTGAGTTATATAGAAGAATAAAAATGATAAGGAAGAGATACCCAGAGAAAGGTAAAGTACAAAGCATGATCTATGAACTAAATGAGATTGTTAATTTGGGTCCAGACCATGATATAAATAAACTACTACAAGAATTTCAACCTAAATTGTATCATAAAGTTAATTCTAGCAAGTATTATGAGTATAATGATAGAGGAGAGAGTATAGAGTCAGTTAAAGGTAGAACAGGAGTTTGGATGCCGGTTCAAATTATAGACGTACCACCAAAAGGTCAATTAGATATTAATCAAGTTTTAAGAAGTAAATATTTTTTTAGTTAATATATTTATTCATCTTCATTAATCATATTTTTCAATTTATTGAATATTTTATCCCTATGAATTGCAATTGGATCATCTTTATCAGTATCGAAAAACTGGTTCCTATTATAGTTATCATCTTCAAAATAATCATCTTCTTCATAATTTTCCAATTCTCCATAATCATAATATTCATCTCCTTTTAAACCTGTTCCATCATAAGGAACATATCCATCATCTTCAGTCTCTCCCTCAAATTCCACTGGATCTTCTAACCCCCCAGCATCTTCATCACTTGGATAATCATTTTGATAAAATGATTCAGCATTTGAATCTTCATCATCAGTTAAAACTCGTTCATCATCTTTTTCATCGTCATCATTATTAATTAATTCATTACTAGTCTCATCAAAGAATTTTATATACCCAATTTGACTTGACGGATGATTTGCACTAGTTAATGGTTCATTAGTATCCATAATATAAACATCATAAACATAATCATCTAAAATTGGTTGTTTTTTATCCTCACTAAAACTTTTCCTACTACTTCTTTTCCTCCTTGGTGGTGAATTTTTATCAAAAGATAAATAAGATTGAACCATATCTGATAATTCATGAGGAATAGTAGTATCTTGTTCAATCTGATTTTTTGGTATAATGAAATTATTACCATTTGATTCTTTAAGAATACTATTTATAATTGATTCATCTTGAATATTCACTTTATCATCTGTTCTTTGTAATTTAAAAACATAATTATTAAAATTTTCAATTGATCTTGATTTTGTTGGTGTTGTTAATGGTGTTGATGGTTTTGATCTTTTAATTGATTGTTTATCTTCTAATATTAAAGCTTGTAATGGATCTTGATTTCGTTTCCTTTTAATACGTAGAATAGAAGGTGGTTGTGGCATCACAGTTATATATTTTTTTCTAATTATTTATATTTGTTTGAATGTTAAAAATAACTGATGGATAATTATTAACATCTGCTGTTACATTACTTTCTATACCAAATGACAGTAAGATACCTTTTATAATACCACATGGAAACCATAAATATATTCTTGACTTCATTAATGTATCTTTCATCCCTTTACTTGAATTTAAATGGGAAATTACTCTATAATTTGAATCAACGAGTACAAAAGTACCTCGATGATTTGTTCGTAGATTATCCATTTGCTTATTATATAATGATTTCCAAACATCTCTACATACAAACTTCATTATATCAAGTATATCAATAATTTTAGATTGATTATTTTTAAATAATAAAATCTCTGACAATTTAATACCCAATTGATAACCAAATGATTCTATTCGAATAGAAACATCATCTGAATTAATTAAATTTGAATTAAGTACATTTATTGTCCCTGGTAAATCATTATGAATTGATGATAATTGAGTATCTATTCTTGTTTGAAATTCTCTGGTATCTATTGTAGTAGTGGTTGTGTTTATTAACTTTTCACTAATTCTAATTGAAGTAGGTACTAATTCTTGTAATAAATAATGTAAACTTGATTGAGATACATAATCTTGTTTATCTAATATATCTTCTTCAATTGACATTTGGTTGTCAATTTATCAAGTGATGAAAAATTGATAATTTATCCATTCGCTACCAATTGTTATATATTGAGACATCAAGAGATTAGTACAGTCAGTATAACAATTGTATATTAGCATTATTCATATTTCATAGTATTATCAATATATTAGTTCATTTGCAATTAAATAAAACAATAGTATTAATAAAACACTTTGACGATTCCACACGAGTCACCAACGAGTCATCAACGAGTCATAATGAATATAATTAAGCAGAATCTCTTGATATAGTGGCTAGCTCTGCAAATTACCTAAGAGTCTTGTGAGGTTAGATTATCAACTTACGTTTAGTATTATCCCAATTGATTATCGCACCATTGAATAGCCATCAGCTATGCCCAGTGAATAGCCATCAGCCATGCCCAGTGAATATGAACACATAAGCTCTCACACAATTTTTTGCAGCAAGATCAAAATCAACACTCCTCCAATACCTCCAGTGCCGAAAAAATGAAAGAGAATGAGCAAACGAATATAGTAGAAGGACTGCCTACTTCAATGCGAACAGTTGGCCTCCTGAAAGTTTACTAGGTACCCATGAAGGTCTAAAACTCATCCTTTCAGCAAAAATGACTATAAAAACAATAATATCTTAAAAACTAACCACAGTGGTACTCTTTTGTTCTAATAGACGATGATTCCAATCTAAAACCATTGCAATAGTTGTATTGATCCAATTTGAATTATTTGAAAAGAAAATAATTCTGGGAAATTTTATTCAGTATTTATAGTAATTTATTGTTGCATCCTACTCTACCATACACCTAAAAATTTACTATTTTGATTTAACCCAACAATTCAAAATTAAGCATTGAAACCAGCATGTGAAGAGGATAGCCACTAAAATCACGTATTAAATTAAAGTTTGTTGGGTTACAGTGTTTATTCCTTTCATGCATTAATTTTAACTTGCATTGACGGTGAATTTCAATTTTTGTTTCAGATTTTTCTGTCGTCTATTTTGCGACACATGAAATTTTACGACACGACACATAAACGAAGTTATACAAGAGACATTAGTAAATTTAAGTTTTGTAACCAGTCAGAAGAGAGATAAAGGTTGTATTCTAAGTATATATTGTGCAGATCAATATACTAGTGTTGTGCATCATCCTTACGAATTTGTATCCTTACTTGCATTCTTACTTTTTCGCACCATATCTTGAAACTTGTTTACCATCAGGAATAGTAAATAAAACAGCAGGTTTACCTTGTTCAAAAGGTTGATCAACTCTATAATAACCTTTTCTTTCAAACTGAATAATATCACCTGCTTTCAAATTTGCAACATTTAAATCAGCAAATGCTTTTGTATGAAATTCAGTTTTTGGAGTAATAAAATCTTCAAAATTATCATCTTCATCTAATTTATCTTTTGTAATTAAATGATCAAAATCAACTAAATCAACTTCAATTTTATCTGATGTATTTGCTAACCAAGTAATTTTTTTACTTGTTTTTCTAAAATCACCATCTAAATGTAATTTAGCTTCAATTGATTTAACAACATCATTATCCTTTTCAACTTTTGTAATAATAATATTACCCCAATCCATAAATGTAATTTCTTCACCTTCTTTTAAATCAGCATCTTCTTGATCAATTAAAACTTCATTTGAATAAACAACTTTTTTATCACCCACTTCTGGATTTTTTTTATGTTTTGGTTTTAATTCAATTTTAGTTTGTTCTGGACCATCTAATTTAACAGGAACTGCATTTTCAAATAAAACAGCTGTAAATCTTGGAGCAACTGGATCAATAACTTTTTTATTTAATGACCAAATAACTGACCAATCTAAATTAATAATATTCTTTGATGGACCTTGTGAAATAATAAAATTTCTTAAACCTTCAACGGTCATACCTCTTCTTCTAACACCTCTAACAGTAGGAAATCTTGGATCATCCCAATTTGAAACATAATTTTTATCAACAAACCATTGTAATTTTCTTTTTGATAATAATGTACGGACAAAATTAACTCTACCAAAATCCCAAATATTAACTGATCTTAAACCTAAAGCTTTTTGAATCCATTCATATTGTGGGTTTCTATCTCTATATTCATTAGTTCTTAAACAATGAGTAATACCTTCGATACTATCGACAACTGGGTTACAGAAGTCATAGATTGGGTACATTTTCCATTTTGAACCTGTTCTATGATGTGGTTGTAAATTACATCTGTAAATTGCTGGATCTCTTAAAGCTTTATTATTATTTTCGAAGTCAATCTTGGCACGTAAGACATGTTTCAATCCAATCTCACTACCTTCCTTCATTTCTTGAAAGATAGCGAGATTTTCTTCGATTGATCTGTCTCTACGGCAAGATTTGACTCCATCCATACGTTCTTGTCTCATTTGTTCTACTGGAGTATCATCACAATATGCATTACCATCTTTAATCATTTTAACAGCTAATTCATACATTTCATCAAAATAATCAGAAGAATAAGTAATTTTATCACCTTTTATACCTAATAATTCTAAATCTTCAATAATTGAATCTTGAAATTCCATTTTTTCTTTAGATGGATTAGTATCATCAAATCTAATAATTAATTTACCTTTATAAGCGTGTGCAAAATATTCATTTAAAATAGCAGCTTTAGCATGTCCAATATGTAAATAACCAGAAGGTTCAGGTGGAAATCTAGTTACAACTTTTCCAATTTCAGCACCAGGTAAATCAATTTCAAAATTAGCTTTATGGGTTTCTTTTTTACCAGTAGCTTGAGCTTTAGCTGATTTAGCTGATTTTTTCAATTCATTTGTAGATTTAGTTAATAATTCAACCGAGCCGTTAAAAGCTCCTGATAATGATTCAATAAAATTATACCATCTTGAAATATTTTGATAAACTTCATTTTTTAAAACTGAACCCATTAAAGGATTTGCTCTTAAAACACCCCAAATTGCAATATCAGATAATGACAAATTATAACCAATAATGAAAGATCTAAAATTTAAATGATGATCCAATTTTTCTAAATCAAAAGTTAATTCTTTAAAATTTTTAATATAAAATTTATCTAAAGCAAATTTAATCCAATCTTGTGATTTAGTCTTTTCTAATAATAACTTTGGAAAAGTTTGACCTAAATAATCTAAAGCATCTAATTGAGAAATAAAAGTTTCACCAGGGGTAGTCAATTTTAAATTTCCACCATCAATTTCTTTTTCATCAATGAATTCAATTGAAATAGAGACATCTAAATTTGATTCATTAATAATACCAACAGCAATTAATACTGGATATGGAATATTAGTAGTCTTAACAGGAATTGATAAATTAAAAGACATGATGATGACTGTTTGATTAAATTTTTCATGTCGCAAAAAAAATATAAAAACAAGACATTCTTCAAAATATGTCATTGTTGCCATTCCAACCATGAATAATAATCAAAAACCAACAGCTAAAAGATCCCCAAGTATATTGGTTACTGATGCTAGATCACATCAAGTTAAAGGTGCTAGAGCTCCATTTGCTGGTCAAAATTTTAGAAAACAACAACAATTACAAGAACAACCAAGTTATAACTTTTCACAACAGATACATCAACTGGCGTTACAAAAAAGACTAGCATTTAGGAAATATAATGATGTTTCAGTTGATCGATTGTTAAGTAATTCAAGTGATATACCATCTGGTCAATCTAGATTACCACCAAGATTAAGAAAAGATGAAAATTCTTCTCCACCTTTATTACCAAAGAATAATATAAGGAGTATTCCAAAATTATCACAATCATTACCATCTAGAACTTCAAAAACTTCACATAAATTAGTATTGATTCCTGATGATCAAAAAGAAGCTTCTCCGCCTCCTCCTTCGGATCAATTTCCACAAAGTGACCAAATACAAAGGTCTCGAGCAGAATTGATGCCGAAGGAGGACAGGAAACATCAGTTTTCTAGAATGACGGCTTACTTTATTTGTGATCAGTTTAATTTACCCTTAGTTGCAAAATTTTTAAAATCAAATCATGAAGTTAAGCCTAGATTATATGATGAATCATTATATGTACCATATGCATTACCATTATTACCAGGAAACGAAGGTTTAAGAGTTAAATCAAATAATTCTGCTAAATTGATTGCTAAATCTAAATATATGGAAAAAATGATTAATAAATCAGAACAAACAGATCATAAATATGAATATTATTCAGGTGTTGAAACTCCAGAAGATGCAAATAATTATTCAATGGATCCTGAATTTGAAAGTTTTGATACTAATGCACCTTTTGATCCATCAGAACCACAATTTTTTGCTCCACCAATTGAAGAAGGAAGTAATAATCAAGAGACAACAAAGGAACCTCCAAAATTAGAAGAATCAGAATCTATATCATCTACTCAATCTGATGTTTCTAAACATCACGCAGAGATGTTCATCTTCCAATATGGAATAATTGTCTTTTGGAATTTCGCTGAGCTCCACGAGAAGAATATATTGGCTGATTTAACATTTGCAGAAGATGATTTATTAATTAATCCTATAGATGAACAAGATATTGAAACCGAAGAATTTCATTTTGAATATGATAAAAATATAGTAAGACCAAGGATATATAATGATATGATTACATTAAGATCAGCCGATCATTTAATTAAATTAACTATGAGTCATGCAATTGCTCAACTGACAAAATTGGGATTATTTGAAAGTAGAATGGTCAATATACTACATTCAATTAGTAAATTACCAAAGAAATTAGCATTAACTGGACGATTAGGACTAAAAAGGAATCAATTATTAAAGAAATCTGGTAAATTATTTAAATTGAGAGTTGATGTTAATTTATCAAGTAGTATATTAGATACACCTGACTTTTTTTGGGATTTTGAACCTGCTTTACATCCATTATATAATGCTGTTCGAGATTATTTAGAAATTGATCAAAGAGTTCAAGTTTTAAATGATCGTGTTAAAGTATTTTTAGAATTTGTTGATATTGTAACCGATTCAATGAACGAAAAGAATACAAATAGAATAACTTGGATGATTATAGTAATTATATTCCTTTCATTATTTGTTAGTTTATTTGAATTTATATTGGAAATTTTGTAAACATAAATTTTTCGCGTTTATATGTTTCTATGTCTTTACCATCGCGATATGCCAATGAAGGTTTATCAAAACAAGATCAATCAAGAGTTATAACTAGTGGTATAAAACGTAATAAACCAATTGAATATAAACTAAAAAGTATAAATGAAAAAGTTCAGGACCAAGTTGATTATGATATTGCCATGCTGCCAATTGATGATTTAGAAACAGATATAATTGCATCATTTGTAGATTATACAAGAAATAAACAAAATATAATACATTCAAATTATGATGAAATGATAATTGAACAACAACTGGAGATAATCCTCGATGGGAATGTAAGTTTATTAATTATTGATACAAATTTCATATTAAGTCAATTGAATATATTAGATGATATAAATAAATTAGCAAATCAATATAATTTAAAGGTTGTGATTCCATTATATGTGATTAAAGAATTAGATGGGTTAAAATCTTCCAAATTTAAAACAGATAGAGATGCAGAATTATCTTCTAATTCAGTATCGCATTTGGCAAGGTGGGCCAATGATTGGATTTATTCTAATCTTGCTTCTTCTTCAGAAACAATCAAAATTCAAAAAATGTCACAACGACTACAATCTGATTTAGTCAAAGATCAAGCTATACTTGATTGTTGTTTATATTTCAAACAAAAATTTCCACAATATTTAACTATTTTATTATCAAATGATAAAAATCTATGTTCCTTGGCTTTATCTAATGATATATTAACAGTGAGTTTTAATAATGAAATGACGGGTGAAGGTATATCAAAAACAATACATGAGGAGAATTTAAGAAGATTTGGTAAACTTGAACCAAAAGTAATTCAATCAATTAAAGAAGAGAGAGTGAAATCAAAAAATACTATTAATCCATCAGACGAATGGATAAAAGAGACTCAGAAATTTAATATAAATAGTGAAGATGATGCCATAAATACAATTTATACCGAAATTCAAACTGTTTTATTAGCTGCACTACATCATTGTATGGAAAAAGAATATGGTGAAGATTTAGACTTGATTAGAGAGTATGATAAAGAACAAATTATAACTATACTAGATTGTTCAAACTTAATTATACGATTTTGGTTTACTGTTTTTAAAGAATATTTTCAGGGACATAACAAAATATTACCTTTTGGAGAAGAAGGTAAAAGAAAAGTTCCAATTCATGTTGATCGTCCAAGAAATTATTTTGAATTGAAAGAATTTGTTAAATTTTGGTCAACTATTTTACAAAATATTTATGATGAAATTATGAATGAAACTGAACAAGAAGCTTTAAAATATTTACAACAGAGATGGGAAAAAATGGCAAGCTTATTAATGTGAAATAAAAATTTTAAGTTGTCATTGTACTGGTAGTCATTAGTTATTCTATCCAGATTTTTTTGTTTAGTCAAACGTTAGAATATTATGAGTTAGGTCCTGTCTGGCTTAGAACTAGTTACATCTGTCATCACAAATGCATATTGCACTGATACTAGACGGTGTACATTCTATTCTAAACTTTTCCAATCGTTTTTATCAACTAAAAGACTCTGGTAACTTCAAATTTTTCAATATTTCTTGAAATTGGTCAAATTTGAGCTCGTCAACGCGGAATGCAAGTAGTATATTTGAATAAGGGATTATCTATTAATCTAGTTATCAAAATAGTCTATAAATTATCTCTATAAGTCGGATACCCGACACCAATATTGAATAATGTTGTTGATGACACTAAATCGAAACCATTTCCCTTAAATAGTACATTAAAACACTGACCATATTCATTATTATTTCCCAATTAATAAAGCTATGTAACTTAATAGTCCTAAAGCACTAGCATATCGAACTGATGACCGCAAAGCATCCGAACGTTCTTGTGCAGGTAAATCTCTAAATTGACATCAGTCATATGCTCTATACAATTCCGCTTCGAAAGAACCTAAACAACTTATATTGAAGTTCCTAATATTATTGAACCCCCATATTTTGAGAAAGCATCATTCATAAGTTCTGGCCAACCCGAGCTATTGAAGAAAGTAATGATATTGTAAATCTGCGGTTTTATTGATCCATTCCGTGAAAACTCTTCAGCCAATCCAGAAAAACCTATCTTTAGTATTTTACATAGTATTATTAAAAATCGCGCTTTTGAAATATTCAATCTCGAGAAAGTGGCTAATTTGAAATTTTAATATTTCTTTAAACTGCTACCAAAAATGCTTTACTGTCTGGATGAGAAATTGAACCGATTTTGGTTAGAAAATTTGTTTATAAGCATCTTGAGAATTCAAGTCATGCTATAGTCATATTCGATTGTCGTTCGAACTTGATTTTCAATATAGTCTCTCCATATAAAAGCCTTGGTCTAGCGATACCACAGAATTGAAAAATTAAAAAACGAATTAACTTATATGCAGCTTTATAACAGTCAATCTCAAAATTGAATTTGTAAATAACTCCATCATTACTCAAGCTTTTACTTTCAAACTTTTTTGTTAAGGACTTGCCAACTACTTGAGTGCAATGATGTTAATATTTCTCGAGAAAACTTGATTCTGATCAATTTATTCCTTGTTTAAAATACCGCAATAAACACAAAATTGCAAGATAAACAACACTTAAAACTTATTTAACAACTTCTAAGACAGCTGATCCGGTTTAAATAATTTCAAAGATTTTAACTATGACAATTCGCAGACGGCATAATCGTTTTGAATTATATTCAAAAATTTCGAACTAGTCCGAAAAATTACCGTTTTGAACGCCTTAACAGAAAACTATCCAAGGTTTATTAAGAGACAAGTCTACAAAATTGAATAGTTTCATTATATCTTGATTTGAGGGTTCAATGTGGAATTAAATTTTTCATTTAGTCAATTTGTTCGATTTTCTCCATACTTAAGCGATTTTTTTTGAAATTTTTTGACTTTAGTTCAAATCGCCTAAAATTTAATCCAGGACTTTTAATTGAGATATGCTATTTATATTTTATTGTTTAATTGGACGTTGTGGGCGTAAATAGAAAGATATAAAAGTTCACAGTTCTAACAAAATTTTTGTATGATGAAAAAAGCCCAAAATGACAACTCCAAAAAAAAGGTTTAAAAGTTTGATATCCAGATATGTAGAGGTCATGATCCACAACTCCTAATTCCATATAAATGGCATTTTCCTCGAGAGAATTAGTTGTTCGTGACTTATTAGCCGATTAATTTAGTACGGGTCGCCCTAACTATAGGTCGAGAAATTAGTTCTATTGCAGATATTCGCATTGACAAAATAAAATTTTTAATTTGCGTTAAATTTGCGCTTCGATGGGGCTATTCTTAAATCAGAATTCAAGATTAAAATGAACAACTACACATGTAATTGTATAAATTTAATCAATTATACTAGATGCTATTCCTAATGCAATTGAAAAATCAAACAATTATGCAAATTGCCACTCCTAAAAACAAACATCAATTCATAACAGCCGCTTATCTCCTAAATACGACCAATTTTTCTTCTCTTCTTGGTAGAAGTCTCCTTAACTGGTTCAGGTTTAACTTCTTCTTCTTCTTCTTCTTTGAATTTACGTTTAACAGGTTTAGATTTAACAGGCACTTCAACTTCTTTCTTCCAATTCACCTGAATAGCGTTTTTCAAATCATAATCATCACTTTGCTTATTTCTAAACTTTCTATATTCATTATCTACCTGTCGTTCCCATAATAAATTATCAAATTTTTCAATACTTGATAAATCAGAACTATTTATTTTTTTATATTGATTAATTAAATCATGACCATGAGCCTGAGTGAAATTATTAGTAATGAAGCGATTGTACGAATCCTTAGCACTAATTACTTCTTTCAAATTATCAATCTTATAATTTAAATAAGCAATGTTTGAAAATTGTTGAGCATTTAAACCACTCAAAAAGGAAATTGTACTATCCTTGTCTTGTTCGACTAAGTTGAAGATCCAATTTATTTCCCCTTTTAATTCTACATCCAATCCCTTAAATTCGAACTCTGTCTCTTCTTTTAATATATTTAATAAGCTAATTAAACTTGATTCCGAAATTTCAATACCGAATGCCCTACATTTTCCAATCAATTCTTCTTTATTTAATTTTTCAACATATACTGATTTGAAATTAGTTAAATAGAATGAATATGATAATGTATCACTATCAATTATGAATCCATATATACATTGACCAAGGTGATTTAATAATATTGAATTCCATTTTATTGGGAACATAAAAATTGAAAAATGAGAATTTATTTTGATGAAATTGATAAATTAGTTGATAGAATACAACAAAATTATAAGAACAAGGATAAGAGGTACTTGATATCATTGGCTGGTGTACCTGGGAGTGGTAAGACTACTTTTGCTAATTTAATTGTTGAAAAGTTGGAAATTGTAGGTAAATCTATTGTATTGTCTCAAGATGGTTATCATTTATATCGACATGAACTTGCAAAATTAAATGATCCAGAAGAGGCAGTTAGGAGACGAGGTGCTCCATTCACTTTCAATTCTCGTAAATTTGTTGAGTTTGTAAAGAAATTAAAAGAAAGAAGTGTTGTTAAAGCTCCTTCTTTTGATCATGCTATTAAAGATCCAATTGAGAATGATATTATAATTGTTGAGAGTATTGATATTGTAATTATTGAAGGCAATTATGTTAGTTTGAAAGATGAACCATGGTCTGAAATTAGTGAATTTATGGATGATACTTGGTTCATCATTACTCCTCCAGATCTTGTCAGATCTCGGATTATTAAAAGACATTTAGATTCTGGAATTGCTCAAACGGAATTAGAGGCAATTGAAAGAGCCGATGGTAATGATTTAATAAATGCTAATTATATTATATCAAATTCTAAACAATCTAATGTTTTAATAATTACAAGATGAATAAATATTATACTGCATCCTTACACTTCCTTACTCATGGTTCCACATTATATTTCATCTTTATACCCATTGCACTCAATTCAGAATCTAAATATTTCAATACAAATGGAATTGCAACAGTAGTTGTATCATCACCACCAACAAATTTTTTACCATGACCATCTTCCCAAATTTCTGAATCTTGAGCATATCCTTCATAATTAGATAAACTTATGGCACATCTTCTACATCTTATCAGTGCCATTGATCCAATTCTAGGAACTGATGTTTGTGTAGTTAGTATTGATCCACAATTTTTACAAATTGGAGTTTGAGTATAATCTGAGCAATTTAACAATCTGTCTTGTAATAAAAATGCAGTACCATGACCTATTAAAGCATCTCTTTCCATTTCACCAACTCTTATACCACCAGATCTTTTTCTACCTTTTACAGGTTGCATAGTTAATGAATTTACAGGACCAGTAGATCTAACTTGAAATTTATCATTAACCATATGTCTTAATCTTTGATAATAAACACATCCAATATATATATCACATCTTAATTCTTCACCAGTTGCACCTGAATACATTGGTTCATTTCCATGATAATTATAACCAGCAGCTAATAATTGTTCACCAAAATAATCAGCTGGAGTATCTGATTCATTAAATTTCCATGGTGTTGAATCTTGTGCAATACCATGTAATGCACCTGCTTTACCTGCCAAAGATTCAACAAACATACCAATTGTCATTCTTGAAGGGAAAGCATGTGGATTAATTATAACATCTGGTTGCATTCCCGATTCTGTAAATGGCATATCAATTTGTGGCCATTTTCTTGAACAAACACCTTTTTGACCATGTCTTGACGAAAATTTATCACCAATTAAAGGTTGTCTCGTTATTCTATATTTAATTGTTAATTGTTGACCTTCACCTATTGAATCATCTCCTAATAATTTAACTTCTTCAATATAACCGGGTTCTGATGAATGATATGTTTTAACTTTAGTTTTACCCAATGTATCATCATAATATGCCAATATTGGATCACCTTCTTCAACTTTAACCCCAATCAAAGGTAATCCATCATTATCTAATTTAGTTTTCCAAATTTCAGGCCATTCATCATTTCCAAAACCAAAATGTTGTGTAATTGGATCACCTCTTCTTCTCAGTTGTGATAAATCAATTTTTTCAACTTTATAAACTGTACCATAACCAAACCCACGTTCATCTGCAGATTTATTTATAATCATTGCATCATCCATATCATATCCAGTATATGAAATAACAGCAACAATAGCATTCATACCATTTGGAAAATTATCCATTCCATAATCATCATATAAATTTGCTTTTACAATTGGAGTTTGACCAGTTTGTAATCTATATAATTTATTATCTGATCTATGAATTAATGCAGTACCTGGAGTACCCATAGTTTGTTTACCCATTTGACATTGATACATATTTCTGGGAGATTGATTAAAATCTGAAAATGGTGTAAGATTAGCAAGGATTGATAATATATTAGTTGGAGAAAATTCAACATGTGAATGTACATTATTTTCAATTTCTTCTGGAGTAACTGCAACATCCATATAAACTTGTTCAAAAGGACCAACAATATCTTGTTTATCAAGTGGCAAATATTTAACAGGTCTCATCATTCTTGAATGGCCACCAAAAAGAAATAATCCCGGATATTGACCTTTGTTAGATGGTGGAACATAACCAATTTCTAAATCTAGTGGTAAATTATATTTACCTTCAACTTTCCAAAATCTTAGAGTGTCTGCAAATATTTTACCCTGTTTATGACTAGTCCAACCTATTATTTTCCCATCCAATTGTACACAACATAATTTTGGACCAGCAGCAAATGAATCTGCTGGTAACATCCCCAATCTAGATAAAACTTCAGAAACGGTTGATACATTTGATGCAATTGTTGATATTTTACATTTATGAGCTAAATGATTTAATAAACCACATGGTGAACCATCGGGAGTATGAACAGGACAAAGAAACCCCCAAGATTCAGGTAATAATTTACGAACAGTTGTAGTTTTTAATTCAGCAAAAAATGAACCTCTATGAACCATTCTAAAATGGGAAATAAATCTATGAAAATTAATCTTTTCAGCAACAACAGTATAACCAGAAACTTGTTGTAAATCTAACCCACTTTGTGATACTAAATTACCAGTTGATAAAAAATATTGCAATTTTTGACCAATATTTTCATTAACTCTCATTAATACTCTATTCATATATTTTTTATCATAAAAATTAACACCAATACCTCTATTTATATCTGATGTAATTTGTAATCTTATATTTTGTAAATATTCATCAATTTTTTCTTTTATAATCATACCATAAAGAAAACCAGGTAATAAAATTTCTTGATGTTGAGTTGCATCTGGATTATCTGGAGAACAATCACCAGCAACAAGGGCATATAATTTTCTAATCATAAATAATAACATTCTAAATTTATCTTTATTATTCTTTAAATGTACAAGAACAATTCTCTGTAAAACTTCTTTACCAACTTCAATATCTGTAATGTCGGGAGTAGCACCAAATACAACTCTAAACTTATCACCAAGATAAGCCAATGTTTCTTGTTGACCATTTAATTGATAAGTCTTATAACTTCTTAATAATAATTCCAATCTATCGGTTAAAAATGAATTATTTGTTTCATCACCAACTATTCCATCAAAAATTTCACGATCATTAGTTTCTATCAAAGCTTTAAAAATCATCATTACTGGTATTAAATATTCATTTTTTCTCCAACTAAATCTAAAAGTAACATTACCATCATTTAAATAATGTAATACATTAGTTTGAGAAGATTGATCAGGTCTAACACATCTAATTTGAATACCAAATTTAGTATATGCTGCACCTCTATTACCAAAAGAAGGTCTGATAATAGCCATTGGATGGTTTCTTCTTTGAACAATTAACATTCTAATTAATTTTTCAATACCATTTACAATAAAATAACCACCTAATTCATCAGATTCTTCTTTTACATTTATTAATTGTTGTGGTGACATTTTTTCTAAATGACATCTATTTGATTTTAACATAACTGGAATTTGACCAGCTTCTCTAACTTCAGTATGTTCATCTGAATCATTTATTGTCCATTTTAAAGTTAATAATAATCTTGATCTATAAGTAATCATTCTTTCTCTTGCTTCAAATGGTAATGTTTTTCTATTAAGACTTAATTTATCACTTGGAGAAACAGATGGTTTTGCAATTGAGACAGAATCAACCCATACTTTTAGTTTATTACCAGTTATTATACCTTCATTATTATCAAATATAGTTTTTTTACCAATATCTTTAACACCCAAATTTAATAAATTATCATCAGTTAAAGCATTAAATGAACCAATATGAGGTTGAACAGCATCTCTTAATAATGGATATATATCATTTTTGTCCGTGGGTGGATTCTTAAACCTATTTTCTCTTTGCAAAGTATTAAATTTAGCCAAGGTCATCTTTTCATTCAATTGGTGATATTTTGAAAAATAAATTTTTTGATCGAGATGAGATTTTGATACGCATACATTAGAACCTCACTAGTATAACCAATAGTTTACCATGGCCAATTCAAGATATGAATATGTTAAACAGTTTGAGAAAGAGAATTATTTATTACAAGATTGCTATATCATAATTAGAGTTGATGGGAAATCATTTCATAAATTTTCATCTCATTATAATTTTAATAAACCAAATGATGAAAAAGCATTAGAAGTAATGAATTTAACAGCAGAGAAAATAATGAATAAATATGATGATATATTAATGGCATATGGCGATTCAGATGAATATTCATTCTTATTAAGAAAATCATGTAGTTTATTCGACCGACGAGAAATGAAATTAATTACATTATTTAGTTCATTAATGTCATGTTATTATATATATTATTGGCAGAAACTTATAGGTCAATTAGATGAAGATCATCTACCTTTATTTGATGCTAGAGCTATATTATATCCAAATTTCAATTTAGTAAGAGATTATTTTTCATGGAGACAAGTTGATTGTCATATTAATAATTTATATAATACTACATTTTGGAATTTAGTTAAATTAGGATTAACACCACAAGAATCAGAAAAGAAGTTAATGGGGACTATATCATCTGATAAACATGAAATATTATTCAAAGAATGTGATATAAATTATAATAATGAACCAGAAATGTTTAAAAAGGGAACTATATTAGTTAAACAATTTGATAATTATGAAATGCAATCAAATAATTTAACAATACGACAAAAACAAAGATATGATAAGAAATTAAAGAAACAATCAATAATAGTTAAATATCATAATGATATAATAAATGATAATGAATGGTGGAATAATAAACCGTGGTTAAAAGATTAAATATATGATATACAGTTACCCCTTAAAACCCCTTAAACCACTTGGTAGCGGTCCATTTACATTTGATGCGAAAAAAAAAAATCTCTTATTCATAAATCATCACCAACTATTCAGTATGAGTATTCCAACAGATGATGAATTAGTATCTTCATTTAAATCATTTGGTTTCGATGATAAGAAAACTAATGCTATTATAACAACTAAGAAAATTGCTTACTATTTAATTGAAATCTTGGAAAAATCAAATAATTCAAAAAATGATGATAAAAAATTGAATTTATTACATCAATTGGCAATATTTGAAAATAAAAATGGTGGTTCAATTCCAAATATTCAATTTATAATCAGTGGTATTGATAATGATGAATTGAAATCAAATTTACAAATTCAAGAGGGAATTAATTATTTAAAATCAACTGAATCTCCTAGTAAATCTCAATTTGATCAAGCCCTGGGTGTTGGTATTAACATTACTGAAGATCAAGTTAAACAACAAATTTCATCATATTTAGATTCAATATCATCAGAATTGGAAACTAAAAGATATTCAATTGTCTCCCAAGTTTTAACAACGATTAAAAATTTACCAAATCTAAAATGGGCATCTCCTCAATTATTTAAACCTTTAATTGATGATGAATTTTTAAAAAGATTAGGTCCAAAAGATGAAAGGGACTCCAAAAAGAAGGAAAAGAAAACAAAAGCTAAAACTGAAGAAGTTAAAGAAACAGTTTCAGAACGTAATATGTTTAAGGAAGGTTTCCTTGGTGATTTACATAAACCAGGTGAAGAACCACAAATGTATCCTGAATTATTAGAAAACCATAAAAAATTTATTCAAGGTCAAGTTTATACTAGATTCCCACCTGAACCAAATGGGTTTTTACATATTGGACATTCAAAAGCAATTATGGTTAATTTTGGATATGCTCAATATCATCAAGGTAAATGTTATTTAAGATTTGATGATACTAATCCAGAAGCAGAAGAAGAAAAATATTTTGAATCTATAAAAGAAATGGTTTCATGGTTAGGTTATTCTCCATTTAAAATTACTTATTCATCCGATTATTTTGATGAATTATATCAATTAGCTGTTAAATTAATTGAATTAGATAAAGCATACGTTTGTTTTTGTACGCCTGAAGAAATGAAACTTTGTAGAGGTATTAAAGAAGATGGAAGCAAAGGTGGGGATAGAATTGCATGTAAACATAGATCACAAAGTATTGAATATAATTTATCTGAATTTGAAAAAATGAAAAATGGAGAATATCAAGTTGGTCAAGTCACTCTCAGAATGAAACAAGATTTAAATTCTCCATCACCTCAAATGTGGGATTTAGTAGCATATAGAGTTTTAAATACTCCTCATCATAGAACAGGATCAAAATGGAAAATATATCCAACTTATGATTTTACTCATTGTTTAGTTGATTCATTTGAAAATATTACTCATTCATTATGTACTACTGAATTTATCCTTTCTAGAGAATCTTATGAATGGTTATGTGATGTTTTAAAAGTTTATCGTCCAGCTCAAAGAGAATATGGTAGATTGAATTTAACAGGTACAATAATGTCAAAAAGAAAAATTGCAAAATTAGTTAATGATAAATATGTTAGAGATTGGGATGATCCAAGATTATATACATTAGTAGCTATAAAAAGAAGAGGTATCCCACCAGGTGCAATCTTATCATTTATTAACACATTAGGAGTCACAACATCAAAAACTAATATTCAAATTGTTAGATTTGAATCAGCAGTTAGATCATTTTTAGATCAAACTACTCCTAGATTATTAATGATTTTGAATCCAATTGAAGTTCATATTGATAATTTACCAGACAACTTTGAATTAGATACTGAAATTCCTTATAAACCAGGAAAAGATGAGAAAAACTTTGGAAGTCGTAAATTAACATTTTCAAATAAGATTTATATCGATAGATCAGATGTTAAATTGGAGTCTGATTCAAATTTTTTTAGATTAGCACCTGGACAACCTGTAGGATTAATGAAAGTGCCATTCAACATCAGTTTCAATAGAATTGAAGGTAATATTTTACATGTTAATTATGATGATGGAATAAAATCAAAACCTAAAACTTTTATTCAATGGTTACCTAAATCAACAGCAATTGAAATAGATGAAGTTAGAATTTATAATCAATTATTTAAATCAGAAGATCCATCAACTAATCCAGATGGTTTTCTTGCAGATATTAATCCAGATTCAGAAGGAGTTATAAAAACAGCATTAATTGAACCAAATCTCAAGGAAATAATTTCTAAATCTCCAATGAATATTGAAATTCCAAATTCACAATTTAACATAAAAGAATCAAGTGGAAATAATACTGTTAGATTTCAAGCGTTAAGGGAAGGTTATTTTTGTTTAGATAAAGAATCAAATGATGAAAAATTAATTTTAAATAGAATAGTTACCTTAAAAGAAGATTCAAATAAATCATCATAGATTAACTATATTTCTTTAGTATATCAGCACATAAATATAAACTACCGCATACAATCACTGGTCGATCTAATTTGAAAACCTCTTCAAATTCCATCTGTTTAACTTCACAGAATTCAGAACCTACTTTCTTTAATTTCTCTAATGATTCAGATTTAATCCATGGCATATTCTCAGGTTGAGAAAACAGTGTTGGAACAATTATATCATTTGGACCAACTAATTGACTTATTAACTTTCTTACATTCTTACCCTTGGTCATTCCAATGACAAACACCTTGGGGATGTCACCATATGTTTCATTTAGATATTTTCTTAATTCAATAGCTGCATTTTCATTATGAGCACCATCAATTAAAACATCACCAAATGGAGTCTTTATATTCTGTAATCGACCAGGCCAATTGACACTTTTAATGCCATCGATGACATTCTCAATATTAATCTCCTTCAATATCCTAAGTGCCAATGATAAATTATTAATCTGATATGATCCCTTTAATGGTGAATACTTCAACATTTCTCTATCTTGATCACTCGGAATTACTACTTCCAACTTAGCATTTCGTTCACTCGCCACCTTTCTAACAACGTCAATCACTTCCGGAACATTAGTAGAATCAATAAATACCGACACACCATCTTTCACAATCCCAGCTTTTTCAAATGCAATTTTTTCAATTGAATCACCTAATAAACTCTCATGATCCATTGAAATTTTAGTAATTCCACAAGCTATCAATTGTTCAGCTCTTAATACATTAGTAGCATCAAGACGACCACCTACACCAACTTCAATTAAAGCAATCTCAACCATTTCATCATGGAATATCTTCAATGCCGTAGCAGTCAATATTTCAAATTCAGTACATTGTAACTCCAAATTGGTATTCAATCTTTTAATCTCATTCATTTTCTGATCGAATTTCGCTCGGGGATAAACTCTATCATTAATACTTAATGAATCGTTGTATTCTATTAAATGTGGACTTGTGAATTTTCCATTTCTAATCTTTGCATGTGTCAATATCGAACTTAAATAAGCCAAAGTTGAACCCTTTCCATTCGTTCCTGCAACATGAACACATTTATATTTACATTGTGGATTATTCAAAATTGATAACAATTTCGTTATTCTATGTAATCCCAATTCAATCATCGAAAAAAAAATTTCCTATTTCGTAAATCTAAAACAACGAACCAAAAAATGTCAATTCAAGAGAGACTCGACTCCTTAGCTGAAATAGACAATAATATAAGTATATTGTTGAATGAATTCTCCAATTGTTTTCAATCATATGCTGGTCAAGAAAAGGACAATTTCGAAGAGAATGTCAAATTGATCTATGGAACTTTATCTAAAATTGCAATTGATTTACGTAAAGAGGTTCGATTTATGGATAATAATATTGGACAATTTAATGATGAAAATTTAATGATTTTACCTATTATTATGGATCATAAGAATCCAATATTAGGTACTTTGAAATTAAATGATGAGATTCGAAATTTGAATGATTTGATTAATGATGATTTGAAAGATTTGGAAAATGATGATGAGAAGGAAGTAGAGGTGAAAAAGGAAGAAGGTGATGGTGATGAGGCTAAGATGAAGGATGTTGTTGAAGTTAAACATGAAGATGTCGAAGTCAAAAGTGAAGATGATAAGAAGGATGATGATGTTGTTATGATTGATTAGGTGGTTTAACTACATGATTTGAGCAATTTTCAGGAAGTATTCAGATAGATAGAGATAGATAGAGCCTGATGTTATGCATTTAATTTGCCTGGAGAGGCTTGGATTGATTCTTCACCCATTCCCGGTATTTAAAAGTATCAAAATCCAAGTTAGTTTCATCAATTGACTAGTTGATATACAGAATATCTTATGATGAGTCCAAGTCTTAGTTCTAATGGTTCTTGATGGATGATAAGAGCTCAAGTAGAAGATTTCTGATTTGGGTTCTTATTTGTCTAGCCTCAAATTGTTTAAAATTCGATTTACCAGCAGCTAATTTAGAATTAAAACTTTCAGTGTTAAGTAGAGTAAATTAGTTATTTATTAGTACAAATAAAAATACACAAATTATTTCAATATTTCCATTTTTCAATAAATTCCATAACAGTACAGTCAATTAAACTTTGATCATTATAGTACCCATCATCATCATTATTATTATTATTATTATTTGAATTATTTTCTTTTTTGTTACCAACATGAGAATCTCTATAATGTCTTAAATAATGACCCAAAACTGAACTTCTACTAGTACAATTTACTTCCAAAATTTGCCAACAAGAAGTACATAAAACACCCAATCTTTCCAATAAATGAGCATTAGTTCTACGTTTTTTCTTTTCAGGTTCATCATATTCCCCCTTTTTAAATTTATATCTACCGTAAAACTTTGGATTAGGTATTAAATTTCCATTGGTTAATATTCCATGTTTATAAGCTAAATGATTTCCATAACTTGAATTCTTAAGCCCAAAAAATTCAATTGATTCACAATAAGGACATAATCCAGCACGAGTCGAATTATCTGGTAAATTATTTGGTTTTAATTTAGTTAGAATATATTGTGATTCATATGCTGTTTTTTTAAAATTTGAATTTTTTGTAATTTCGAAATTTGGAAATTTATAACAATGTAACTGATCTCTTAAAAATAATGTTCTATCCATTTTAACTACTGATTGATCATTGATTGGTTCAATTAATTTCAATAATAATGATTCACATTGTAATTTGTTTGGAATTTTACCTAAATCGATTGATAAATTTTTTGAATATGAATAATCTGGATAACTTAAAATATTCAATTTTGAAAAATCAAATCCTAAATTTTGATTAATTGTAGATTTCTTTGGAGAATTTGGAGTTTTTGGAGTTTTAATTGGAGATGTAACATTTGAAATTGGTTGGAATTGATTATTTTGATTTTGGTTAATACTATTTCCATTTGAAAAATTTGAAATTGAAAATGTTGAATCTGTTGAAATTGATCTTTTATTAGAACTTGATACTAATTGATTATTAACTTGAATTATATCTTCAATTTGACTTGTTGATTTCCAGTCATCAATTTCTTTACATGCTTTTTCAAATAAATCGATAACTTCATCGTGAGATAATTCAAAGAATTCTCCATTAGGATAAGGTAAAGAATGTGCTTGTGGTTGTGAATGTAAATGATCTTGATTAGAATGATATGATTGTCTTTGAATTTGAGTAATTGAATCTTCAAAATTTGTTGCATTTCCAAAAGTTTCATGATCAAAATTATCAAATGTATATTCATGTGTTGAAGTAGTTGATCCATTAGATTGTGGCGGAATTATAGTTGGTTGTGTTTGTGTTGATTGTCTTGCTTGTTGTTGATTATAAACTACAACTTCTTCTGGAAATGTATAATTAATTAAACTATTCTCTTGATACGATGATGATGACATAGTGAATTTCAATCTCAATTTCTTTGTAATGTTTGTAGATTTAAAAAGCAGTTGAATGTCAGATAAAGTGAAAAGAAGGTTTAATTAATTTTGATATCTTTCTGTACTTTTTTTTGGAGTAGAAACTAATAGTATAATGGAATAAAAATGGAACTATTAAGATCTCAATTAGTATGAATTTGTAATTGTTTTCGTTATGCTTTAGTTGTTCTTATTTCTTTGTTATGTTTTTGGTGATTTTATTTGTGTAGTTTAATGATATGCTAAATTTTTTTGCTGCAAAAAATTTATAAACATGTTGCAAAAAATGTAAACAAAGGTAAACAAGCTTAAAAAAACATGTAATTCTGATAAATAATTGAAGTAAATAATGCACTCTAGATCTATGCTCAAAAGCTATGTTTGGTGTCTTCTTTATTTTTAAATCAGTAAAGTATGATCATTATACCACCTAAAACCCCCTAAAAAATTTCATATTATAAAATAATAAGCAATTACTATTAATCACCATATAACACACTAAAAATAGTCTACATCGTTTTCAATCAGCTCGAAAATCCAGTGTAATGGCCAATTCACCTAAAGAAATATCTTAAATTCTACCTCATTTTGTTTGATATAGCTTATTTTTAGTTTCGAAATACCTGAAATCTCAGATAATGACCCTAATGAAGCTTTGAAGAACAATGTTTGGTAATTTTGTTTATCCCCTTGATTAAGCAACTAATAGTTGACTTGTTTTGTTAAAAAATAAAGAACCAATCAATTATGCGACAAGTAAAAAATCATAAATTGCGGATACTTAACATTATCTTCTCAGTGCTTTTTGATTTCATGTCCCTAATCTGGTAACTGAAGTAATTTATCATGTCTTGATGTTTGTAAAGTAACTTTATTACCAACTAAAACAGTGTGGAGACATAAAAATAAATTCATGAACATTGTATAGAATCAATTTCACCCATATACATTTTGTCTAGTCTGGAGCAAAGCAGAATGTTGTAAAACCCAATTCAACCAAACCTAGCACCAACTGCATCTTTTTAGCCGTAATTTAACCAATACAAACTGATAAAAAATTCAACATCAAATACTTTTTATTAATCAAGACTCTCAAAATGATAACAAATGAATACTTTTGAACATTTCAATTATCATACTCCCTAATTAAACTATCTTATCATCATAGTCAAAATTTCACCATCGTTTAAATTTGAAAAAATCCGATGCCTTGAGATTTTTCACCTAATACTTCATTTCCACATCTATCAATCACTACAAACCCATCGTTATACAATCAAAAGCTTCTAATATAACAGAACTACACCAGTCACTATTCTTCCAATAGTTTCTTATCTTCTATAATTCTGTATATAAATTTTACAACCGACATCAATAATCAATGAAATAATATTATGCTTAATCGTAACAGCAAATAATGACGTATAAAATCTCAACCGGTTCCAATATCTAAATCAACCATCTCTCAACCATCTCTCAACCAATCACCTTTCATATTTCCTTTCCGTGGAATCACATTTCAAATCAAACCCCAGATTTTTATCAACAACTTCTATTTTTTTCCGGTCCATTTTTAATTTTCACCTTATCATGTCAAATAGTAACAACCAATCATTAGATATACTAAAAGAAACAAAACAACAAAGAAATGAAAGATTTAAATCTCAGTTATATCATGCTGGTTTAAAAGGTATGCTTCAAGGAACATTAATTGCTCTTATATCAGGATATGCACTTTCCTATAAATATAACCATGGTCCAAACAGGGCATATTTTCGAAATGTATATAAGGCTTGGTGGTTTGTTTGTTGGAACATTGTTGGTATTACTTTCACTACTGATATTGCTAAAATTAACATTTCAAGACAAGCTATGATTGAAGATGAAATTAAGAGAAATCTGTATTTGGAACAGGAGATAGGTAAGGATGCTAAGTAGGTAAGGGTGCCGACTAAGTAAGGATGCTAGTAATTGGTAAGGATGCCCAACAGATTAAATTTCAAAGCATGAAAGTGCATCTATTCCAATTGGAATATCAATAGGTAATGATTGAAATGAAATAAATATATATTTACGCATAAAAAGCTTCCTCATGAAATTTCAAACCATATTCCGAACTCCATAATCTAACATTTTCAACTAATCGCTTTGGACCAGCACTTAAAACCCATATTTTCTCAGCATTAACATCTTCTTGAACTATTTTATTTCTTGGTAAATCTTTACAACATATTAAATTATGATTTTCATCTTCTACTGGTCCTGAACATTGAGTAAATCCTTCATTAATACACCAATTGAAATACTTAGTATTCAATTTGGGACGACCCTTGTAGATCTTATTCTCTAGACCTAATCTCTTAATACATTCTTTGTATCTTTGAATATATGACTTTAAATGAGCACCAGATGGGAAAAATGGCTCATTAGTACTTGACTTCCTAGCAATACCACCAGTGGTAAAACTAATCTCATTTTCATTCTCATCAACTTCCTCTTCTGAGCCATCAGCTTCAACACTTCGTATGCTTGGAAAATCATGCGTGCAGTCTGATTCACTGTCTTCTTCTTCTTCTTCTTCATTGATTGATACCTCAACGTTTTCTACTTGATTTTCATTATCTAATGTAGTACTTTGAGGAAGTAGTGGAGTTGTTTCAGTTTCGAGGTCGAAACGTTGTGATTGCATCGATGTACAACTTTTTTGTCTCATCGTTGAGTTACTATCTCCAGTGATGAATATTTCAAAATCATCACCATGAATAAACCCATCAAAATAATTTAAAATCAAAACGTCTCTGAAATCTTTGATGACCCAGACTACTTTTATTGGTATTCCATGATAATTCATAACTCGAAGGATTGGCAATGCAAAAGATATAGCTGAACCACCAATAATGATCAATAACCTTTTGGCATTGATATTCAACTTTGCGATTGAAAATTTCAGACTACTCTCCTTAATGAATAATAAATAAGGATCATAAACACCAGTGATTAGATATTTGTGATTATTGTATAATTTAAAGTTACTTTTTCGAATAATTAGTCTTTGATAGTTATCTGTAGGTAACGTAACCAAAGTATACGGATGGTAATTTGGAATTATTTGTTTATATGTTCTTGATAATATATTTGAAGCATAGTTTGTCAATCTTACATGTGAAGCGGGAGCCAGTGCCGGTTTTTTTATCAATCTGTTTGGAAATTCAATCAATGCTAAATTAGGAGACACATCAATGACCTTAACTTCACCTTTCTGAGAAACTATGGTTAAATAAACTCGATAAATCACTTGCCAGATGAGTATTGCACAGTTTGCAACAGTGTAATATTTGAACAGTTTTGGTCTAATGTGAATCTGAAGACTTAGGACAATTACCCAAGTTAAACCGTAATGCAAGGTATAAAACACTCTATAATATCGATTTCTAAATCTCAGTAATGATGTAATTATAATTAGAATGAATCCAATCAATGCAAGCCATCCATATAAATTCTCATAACTCATTGATTTTCTTAACGTATGTTTAAAATCATAATAACCCATATATAATACCGTATGAACTACAGCTTGGACTATAATTATCCGACTTAACCATTTATGAATGGGTATTAACGTCAAATAAAGTATATTAGGTAATGGAGAAGGTCTAAGTGTGAGAAATAGCACCGTGGGGAGAGTATTAGCACTGATTCTCCCTAATCTTCTGGCTAAAAATACTAAATCACCATGAAATAAATCTAAAAACGTCAATATACCAAATAGAACACACCAAAATAATAACTGTGAAATCGTAGAATAATGAAGAAATATCGTAAACATCACTGATTTTATAATACTCGATATTTTCGTCATCAATTTCTGCTTTAGATTCGCCGTGGAGCAATTTGGATGATGTTGATGACTTATATAATGATTTAATTTCCTATTGAATGATCTCAAGAAATGACTTTTGAATTTATAATTATGTATAATGAGATATTGATAAATTGGAATGGCCAAAATAAATATGATCAAACATATAGTAGTAATGATTCCATATTTATTTGTAATATAATTTCGATAATCATTGTATGGTTTTGTTTTTGGACCTTTGGGGAAATGCCAATATTGACAATTTGTACTATTCATTCTAAGAACATTGGATTGAGATCTGATGAAGATTGATTCCAATTCCGTTTCATGACATGGCGCAAAATAAAAGAATTTAAACGAGAGAAATGGACGTGCATATAGAATTCTGTTGTCAAGTAATGTAAGGGAAATCTACTGATGGAATAGATAAGCTTTTTGTGCACGACCTCATCTGCCAAGCAGTTAGGATGCAAAATCGTACATAAACACTGTCAGGATGCGATATAACTGTGAGGATACAACTAAATTCAAGCGTAAGGATGTAAAAGAGCCTTGGTAACAATGCAACAAGAAAACTTTCACGTTATAACAGCTCATTCGGTAGAATGGTTGTAAAAGGATTAATCTTTGACGTAAATTAGTAATACATTTTCTATTTAATATTTCATTTTCTTATTCTTCTTTTTATTATTATTTAAAGTACCACTTCTAGTAGGTTCAAATTGTGTAGTACCACCTCTTTTCAATATCCCAGATCTTGAAGGCTGATTATTTCCATTATTATAATCTCTAGTTTGGAATCTTGGAACTTTTGGTAAATTCTTTGATATATTTATATTTCTAGCTGCTGGTGGTGGAGGTGCTGATGGAGGTGCTGGCGGTGGAGCTGGCGGTTTCTTAGGTAGATTATTATAAACTGGTGATTTAGATCTCTGTATTCCTGATCCATTATTAAAATTAGAATTACCAAAACCATTACTTCCAAATTTATTGTAGTTACTTTTACTTGATTTTGGTCTTGATGGAATTATACCTGATCTACTTGGTGGTTTATTAATATTATTATATCCAGTATATCTTCGATAATCTCTCACTGCTTCATAAGGACTATATTCCTCATCATCAGAATATGATTCATTATTTCTTAATTTATCAAAATAAACTCCTCTAAATTCTCTAGGTAAATTATTTCCACTAAATGCAGAACCTAAATTTGGAATTCTAGAATTTCGGGGTGCATAACATTCATCACCATAATGAGAAGAAGAACCACAATTATAACAAGACATATTTGGTAGTGATATTGATTTTTGTTCTTCTTTTCTTTTTATTATGTAACTTCTCCATATACTTGGACAATTTTCATCAGAATGTTGAAAACTATCACATCTTTTACAATATTGACGCTTTTTAATCTTCAGTTTACATTCAGTTGAATAATGTCCCTTTTCACCACATTTAATACATATTAAAGTTGATGGACATTGAGATTCATAATGATCATTTACTTTACCACATTTATGACAAATTACAATTTTACATTTAACTCGAGTGTGACCACGTTTATGACAATTTGAACAAACTGGGCCAGACTTTATCTCTACTATCTTGTCTTTTTCAGGATCTGTTACACCAAAATATCTACCTTCACCTCTTAATTCAATTAATTCATTTGCATCATTATTAACTTGATCAAAAGAGAAAGAAGTTAAACCAGATTTCTTACTCTCCACTACTTTTATTGGTTCTGTTTCTTTATACTTACTTCTTTTTAGTTTAGTACCTTTTGTATCTTCAGAATAGGGTAGTATATCAACCATTGGTATATAATTTGATGGATATATGATTTTTTTTTTGGATATGAGAAAGATTATTAGTGATGAAAAATTATATCCTTCTTACTATATATAGCATGCGGCTCGATACAAACCAATGCGCTTTATTGCGCTTTACTACCAAATATAATAAACCTGTTTCAATTTGACCGACCATTGTTAGATAGAAGAGATATTCATATATTAATAGTGATTATAAAACATTTCTAACTACATGTTCACCAACTTGTGCTTCCAATTGACCATTACCACCAGTTCCAGTAACATCAATACTCAGTTTTAAATATTCTTGATTTTTCAATTGAGCTAATCCATAACAAGCACTACTTAAAGTGAAAAATACAGCTACAACAATTAAGCTAGTAGCTTCTAAAGTTAATGATAACCATTGAATAACTGCATTTAATAAATAAAAACCACATCTAGGTAAATTACCATCAAATCTACGTATAAAATTTGTAAAAGTATCAGTTAATGGACAAATCCTTAATAAAAATGGTATTTCAACAAATAAAACAATTAAACCTTGTACTAGACATATTATTGAAAATATAATAACTAAATTAAAATGAAAAATATTTGCAATTCCCAATGCTATACAAAGAAAGATTGTAATAATACTGATCCACTGACCATATAACGAAAAATTCTTTTTTTTAAAATCATTTGATAAACCACCAAAGATATTGCTCATGATAGATTGACCTAATGCCATTGTGTATGTCGGGATGTAACAAAGTGTTAACTGTTAATACTGGGTGTATTAATTTCCTTATTTGTTTGTTTTGTTGAGAATTAAATATGTACTGCACTATATGCAGGATATATCGTGTGTACCAAGAACTTCATACAAACCAATAGGGATCAAGGAAAAAGCTTATACTCTATTTGCTAGTAGATAAGAGATATATAGTGTATGTTTGTATGAACAGTGTAGTGTTAAGAAGCAGTAGCAGTAGTTTTTTATGATTGTTCAATTGGTAGCATAATTTTTCAATCACCGTGCGAAGAGATCTCATATTTTGCAATTCATTAATACAATCTTTGGTATTTATTAAATTCATTAATACTATCTTTGGTATTTATTACATTCTTACATGGGTAAAGAAGTTGTCATTGGTTTAGTTGGTAAACCTTCAAGTGGGAAATCAACAACATTAAACTCCTTAACCGATGCAAATGCAAAAGTTGGTGCATTCCCATTCACTACAATTGATCCAAACAAAGCAACAGGATACCTCGAAATTGATTGTGCTTGTCAAAGATTCAATCTCCAAAATAAATGTAAACCAAATTATGGATATTGTAGAAATGGTAAACGAGGAGTTCCAATCATGTTATTAGATGTTGCTGGTTTAGTACCAAATGCACACTTGGGTAGAGGACTAGGTAATAAATTCTTATCTGATTTAACTGAAGCTGATTGTTTAATTCATATTGTTGATGCTAGTGGTACTACCGATGCTGAGGGGAAAGCTACTCGAGGATATGATCCATTATATGATATAGAATGGTTACAAGATGAAATTTTTAGATGGATATTGGGAAATTTAAAAGAAAGATGGGGTTCAGTTGTTCGAAAGCATATAGGTACAAAATCAACAACATTAGAAACTTTAAGACAACAGTTGGGAGGATATTCTGCAAATAAACAAATGGTGGGGAAGGCTCTAGATCTAATACCCAATTTACCACCATTGCAAGATTGGAATTCAGATATAATTGAAAAAGTAGTTAAGGCATTCATGGAGATTAAATTTCCAACAGTATTGGCATTGAATAAAATGGATCATCCAGATTCTGATAAAAATGTGTCTAAAATTATCCTTAAATATCCTAAATCAAAAGCAATACTAACTTCTTCAATAACTGAAGTATTTCTTAGGAAGTTAGCCAATCAAAATTATATAAAATATGATTCAGGTACGGAGTTTATAGACACGAAAGAAGATCTACCTGATGATCCTGACCTAAAAGATCTAGATGAGAAATTAAAAAATAGAATAGAAAATATTAGAGATCTTGTATTGTATAGATTTGGATCAACTGGAGTAGTTCAATTATTACAAGCAGCTGCTGATTTATTACATTTAATTCCAGTATATCCAGTTAGAAATATTCATAATTTCACTGGTAATTCAAACGATTATGTGTTTCGAGATTGTATATTAGTTAAGCGGGGGACTACTGTGATTCAAGTTGCGAGGAAAATTATGGGTGATGTTACTATTGCGGCTATTGAAGGTGTTGGCGGTGTTAAAATTGGTGAGGAAGATATTGTAGATAAAGGTAAAAATGATATTTTACTGTTTAAATTAGTACCAAGTAGTAAATAGAGACTAATATAATATAGATGTTTCATTTATGAAATAGATGCTTATGGCTAGATAATACTAGATCAAAAGCAAATTAACTGATTTTGAATTTTCAACCCGTAGTTTATGTCCCTTTTATTATTTGGTACAAAATTCAGTCTAAATTACCATCCTATATTGAACAATCATTATTAGAAATTGTTATTAGATTTATAAGGGCTTCTTTTAGATGACAACTTAGCTATAGGTTGTATTTCTTGCCTTTAGTGTGCTATTTTCGCATGGTAAATAATAAAGGGGTATTCATTAGGTGATAACCAGCGCTACCAAATACGTGAATTTACAAATTTATAAAGTTTTCAATTAAACCCAGTTGATCGCTACGGTCTAAAATATATATCGTAACATTACAAATCAATTGTTACATTATATAGGGCTGGTTTTTACATATTTGCATAAACCATAGTTTTATTTGAATTTGAATTTGATGCGTAATAGATCGGTGCGACTACATAATTACTTGCCCTAAGCTTAGGCCGACTCGTACTACCCATATCAACGTATATGTCATGAACAACTAATTTTCTTAACGAAAGTACCAATTAAATCAAATCAGGAATGCTAAATTATACATTCTGCATACTTTAAATCTCTAGTTTTGGAATCTTTCTTTAAATTAAAATTTTGACGATTTTTCACCATACAAAAACTTTATCAAAATTGAGATTGCAATATATGTCTTTATTTGCGGCCATAATTTTCAATTCAAAAACGGAAAATATCTATTACAACTCAAACTAAAGTGTTGAATTAATTTGTAGGTGATGTAGTTCAACATTGAAATATTTAAAAATTTCTCTTAAGTATTGCGAAAATCAAAAAAATTGACCTCATGAGAAGTCTAACCCCATAACTGAAGTCGAGAGTTAAACGTGATAACACTATCCAGTTTTATAGTTCTGATTTTTAATTAGCCTTGGTAATCTTTCTGTTAGGTTATTCAAAATTGAAAAAGTAATTTTTCAACCATGAATCGAAATTTTTGCAGAAATTTCAAAACGGTTATGGCGGCTCAAGAGCATCATAGCGAGTAATGTAGAAATTAAATAAATCAAATCATCTAATTTTAGAAGTTGTTAAATAAGTATCACTACTTGTATCACTACTAAGTAGTGTTCATCTTGCAATTTAACGTTTTTTGCCATTTTTTGAAAAAGTTGTAAAGTGATCAACATCGGGTTTTATCAAAAGATATACTAATACTCATTTAATCTTAGCAAACTAAAGCTCTAGCGAAAAAGGTTTGACATCTACAGACTGAACACAGAGGAAGTGATTTACCATTCAAGTTTTATTATTATTTACTACAAGACTGCATATAAGTCAAATTTGTTTCAGTATTTTTTTTTTAAAAACGGCCAACTTGAAACGAGGGCACGGCCAGTGAAATCTTAATTCAAGGCGAATGCTAGTACCACTATTTGTTCCTACTTGAGTCCAATAAAAAAATGTGTATTTCGAAATTCCGTTTTTAAACCCAAACTAAATAAAATAAAAGTATTACAAATTAAACTTGTTAAAGTAGATATATATTAAGCTTAGTTTAGCTAACCTCAAAATCCCACCTTGAAAATGTTTTCGAGCTAATTGTGTTTTTTTGAAATTTGGCAATTTCTTAATTCTTGCCCCAACTTTAAGAATAAAACTATTAGTCCAAAACTAAACCAATGCTAAACATCTTAATGCAAATAATTATTCTACAAGCTACTAAGCTCACCAGCAACATCTTAACATAAGTTTTAGCTAGATGATAAATACATAGTTTAATGTCGTGTCACATTTAATTTTTGATAGGCGCGGCAGTGGCGAATTTTTTTTTTTTTTTTATATTAAAAGCAACAAACCATTTACTGGCATCAATTAATTAATCAGTCAATTGTACCATGTCTAATATCATTGTATTAGGGGCTACTGGATTAGTAGGTACTCAAATCATAAAACATGCTGAAAAACAATCAACAATTAATAAAATCATCACGTTAACTCGTTCATTACCAAGTTTTAAATCGGATAAAATTGAATCAATAGTTGAAGAAAATACAGGTAATTGGCCATCAATAATCAAATCACAAACCCCAATTCCAGAAGCATATATCTCATCTTTTGGTACTACTAAAGCTAAAGCTGGTGGAGCACAAGAATTTAAAGAAATTGATTATGGAATCAATTATGAGAATGCCAAAGCTGCAAAGGAATTAGGTTGTTCTACTTGTGTTTTAATTAGTGCTCAAGGTGCCAATTCAAAATCTCCATTTTTTTATTTAAAAACTAAAGGTGAATTAGAGGATGATATCAAAGCTTTAAATTTTGATTACTTTATTATTTTAAGACCTGGTGTTTTAATTGGTGAACGTAAAGATTCACATGGATTTGGTAATGATGTAGCTATGAAATTAGGTAGATTTGTTAAAGGTACATGGTTTCAACCATTATTAAATCCTATTGATGTTTCAGATTTAGGTGAAATTGCAATTGATTTTGCAAATAGAGGAATGAAAGGTGATTTAAGAGAAAAAATATTAACTGTTGGAGGTAGTGAATTAATTGAAATGGTTGATGATTTGAAAGTAGGTAAATAGTTAATATAATAATCATTGCAATATATGGTATGGTTTATGGCGTTAAATATTATATTTGGCGGAATCATCGCACCATTTCTTGGTCAATCACCAACCCCACAAAATTTTTTTCGAAGCGCAAGTTTAAGACCGAAGGCCGAATCGTGCATAATCGAAAATATAATAAACTTTTCATAAGCCCACAAAAAAATATAGATCAGTATTTTAGAATAACTAAAACAGCAAATCATCAAAGTTTAATTATTCATCTTTAACTTCATTGTATGATGGATGAAATTAGTTTTATCACGAAATGGTATATTACTATACCATCATTATTGGTCATTTATATTTTATTTCAACATGTTTACACATTTTATCTTAGATTTAGATATAATGCATATCAAGTAACAAATCAAAATGGAGATGGTTATTACGGTTTTAAATTTCCATTTGATTCATTAAAAGCAAAACTTAATGGTAGTTTATTGGAATTCACAATGGATGGATTCATAACTTGTCCAAAACCTGAAATTGCAACTTTTAGATTACAAGTCTTTTTTAAAGATTTAATAATGACTAGAGATCCAGAAAATATTAAAGCTATATTAGCTACTCAATTCAATGATTTTTCATTAGGTACTAGACATGCTCATTTTCAACCTTTACTTGGTGATGGTATATTTACACTTGATGGAGCTGGTTGGAAACATTCCAGACAAATGTTGAGACCTCAATTTGCTCGAGACCAAATAAGTCACGTTAAAATGTTAGAACCTCATATTCAACTTCTTTTTAAACAAATAAGAGCAAATTCTGGGTCTTTTTTTGATATTCAAGAATTATTTTTTAGGTTTACTGTTGATTCAGCTACTGAATTTTTATTTGGAGAAAGTGTACAATCACTTAGAGATGATAAGATTGGAATGGGTTCAAATTCAATTGATTTTGATGGAAAAAGTGAATTTACCGAAGCTTTTAATTTTACTCAAAATTATGTTGCTTCAAGATCAATGATGCAACAATTTTATTGGTTATTCAATTCAAAACAATTTAAACAAGCTAATTCTAAAGTTCATAAATTTGCAGATCATTATGTTCAAAAGGCATTAAGTCTTACACCGGAAGAAATGGAAAAACAAAATGGTTATGTATTTTTATATGAATTAGCAAAACAAACAAGAGATCCAAGTGTATTACGTGATCAATTATTAAACATATTAGTAGCTGGAAGAGATACTACTGCTGGATTATTATCATTTACATTTTTTGAATTGGCTAGAAATGCAGAAATTTTTAATAAATTAAAAACTGAAATTGATGAAAAATTTGGACTTGGATCAAATGCAAGACTTGAAGATATTACATTTGAATCATTGAAATCTTGTGAATACTTAAAAGCTGTCTTGAATGAAGCCTTAAGATTATATCCTTCAGTTCCAATCAATTTCAGAATTCCAACTAGAAATTCAACATTACCAAAAGGTGGTGGTAAAGATGGTCAAGATCCAATATTAGTTAAAAAGGGTCAAACCATTTTATATTCTGTTTATTGTTTACATCGTGATCCAGTTTATTATGGTAAAGATGTTGATGATTTCATTCCTGAACGTTGGTTTAAACCAGAAATGAAAAAAATTGGTTGGGCTTTTGTTCCTTTTAATGGTGGTCCTAGAATTTGTTTAGGTCAACAATTTGCTTTAACTGAAGCTAGTTATGTTGTTGTTAGATTAATTCAAGAATTTGGGAAATTGCAATTAAATCCAAATGCAATTTATCCACCTAAAAAGATGTCACATTTAACTATGAGTTTATTTGATGGTTGTATAGTTAAAATGGAATAAATATATCGATGTAGTAAGGATATAATTGAGGATACAAACCCAGTAAGGGGATGTACATCAAACAACTATATTTTCGTCAGAGGAGCGAATGTAAATTCTCTTATTTATATATTAATACAACATGAAAATGATAAATGATACACTAAGAAATAACTATACTATAACTATAACACTATAAAAAATTTACAAAATTATTAAATTTAATCAATGCAAATTAATGATAAAATGATAAATGTTAAAAATGAAATGAAATAATGTTAAAAAAAAAAAATGAAAATATGAAAACAATGTCTGAATTAAAAATGAAATTAAACATCTAGTTTTATTGTGCTTGAAATTGAGGCTTGTTGACTAATGACAGAAACTATTAATGATAATATCTAGATTTACGGAGCTTCTTGATGTAATTATTGAGGTCCGTAAATGTTTTTGAGTAAAATTGTGCTGGTGTTAACCGTTAATATATGTAGATGCTCTTTCTGAACTATTGTTCTATTGTGTTTGAGATTGTCCTTGTTGTCCACCATTATTATTTATTGGATTTTGACTTGATCTTCTTGGATTATTAGGACCCCTTACCCCCAATGGATTTTTTGAAAAACTTAATCTTATGCCACCTTTATTTATAGTCCCATTAGGTCTAGGTAATGCAGTTCCATATAATTCAGCTAATGCTCTAGTAGCCAATGCAATATCTTCAAATTCAACAAAACACATAGGACCATGATTGGACCCACCACCACCTCCACCACCACCACCACCACCAACATTTTTTTCATTTGTTTTAGTTCTAAAACTTAATCTTCTGAATCCTCTTTGTGGTTGAAATAAACTTCTTAATTCTACTTCAGTTGCATCTGGTGGTAAATTCCCCACATAAAGGGTATTACATGGTGGATTTTGATCTGCTGGATTAGCAGGTGGTGGAACTCTAGCTAATAATGATAAATCTGGTATATGAGAATTAGCAACTCCTGTAGTTACAGGATTATCACTTGTTGGCGATTGTTGTTGTTGTTGTTGTTGTTGTTGTTGCTGTTGTTGAGGTTGTTGTTGAGGCTGTTGTTGAGGTTGTTGTGGAGTTTGTTGTTGGCCATTTGAAAACGTAATTGCCTGTTTTAATGATTCAGTATTAAAGTAACTCGATGGAGAAGTTGTTGTAGGTTGTGAAGTTTGTTGAATTGGTTGTTGAGATCGTATTGCAGGAGGTTGAGGTATATAATCATAATTAAAAAAGATTGAAGATCTACTTTGTCCCATTTCTACTTTTATTGGTAAATTATTTTTCCCAAATACTCTCTTATTATTTAAAAGTTGGAGTGTAGTTTTACAAGTCCCAAAATTGGTAAATGTTGCGATAATTTTATAATTAACAATTTCTATATTTAAAATATCATCAATAACAAGGGCAAAAATTAACGAAGCTTCTCTTTCTGATAAATCAGGAGGAATATTACTTATTTTTAAAGTGAATGGCGGTTGTTGTAGTTGTTGTTGTTGTTGTTGTTGTTGTTGCTGCTGTTGTTGCTGTAGATTAGACATAATGAACAATGATTAATGATATGATTATATGAATGGTGTAATAAATGATTATGAGGTTTTTTTTTTATTTATTTTTAAATTATTAAATTTTATAATTTTTGGTTTTGGGGAGTTTTATGTTAGTCGTGTACTTGTGCTCAATTTATACAAAGTTTGTTTGTTATGATTTATTTAAATAGTTATTCCAATGATTATGGGTGATTGTTTTCAATGGCAAAGAGTTGAAAATACTGGGAGTTGAGAGATTGAAAACAAAATTTACTTTTGGATTGTAATTGCACGATAGTTTATAGTTTAATTATCAACGTTATATCTCGATCTGTTACTTTAATGCATTTGTGTAATTACAAGACAAACGCGTATTTCAATCTATTTAGTTTTGACTGTGGGTTTATGTATTCGCACCTCTGTTGGATAATTGACAACTTAGAATCATTATTGCGATTAATTCTAAGGTTATCCGATAACTATAAAGGTGTGATAAAGGCGATAGAATTGAAAGATTTGAGTGGCGATATCAAAATTTATTGTGCTGGTTATTAGACGTCAAAATTGACGTCATTGGGTAATAAAATTTTCAGCCATTAAATTTGACTGGATTCTAAGTTTATGGTCTATCTCCTATATCTACATACTTTTTATGCTCTTGTTTAGTTATTGATAGAGTTATTTAAAGAGTGTTTTTGAAGTTGCAACGTTTTTTAAACCTTAGATCTCTCTATGATTATAATTTGTTTTTATTTTTATTGTTTAAAAAAAAACTAGTCACACAAAACCGTAAATTTTGGCTGTTAGATTTGTTAAAAGTACACGACTTTGGTGATAACACGTCAAATTTACCAAAAACTGAATATGGTTGAAAATTTGATAGCTGATTTGATAGCTTGTCTGAATTGATAATAAAAAAGACGTGTTTTTCAGCCGTAAAAAAAATAGCCATAAATGTGTAAGCTTGAGTTAAAGAGCAATATTGAATATCCGTGCTGGATTTTGTTACGCAAATACTTATTGTAATAGAAATTCTACATGGTTGTTGATTTATTAAGTTTAGAGAATTTTTTGAAAGAAAAAGTAATTTGTTAGCTCGGTCGGCGCATTTGTCAAAAAGTACATTAGATCTATGTTCAAGACATTTATTTAATAATCGTAAACTCATCGTACAGACTGGAATTCTTCTTAAATTAAACAACTTTAATGAATATATTTTTAACAAATACTAGAAATGTAAGTAGTAGTTGTTGAAAAGTAATAACTTTTTTTTTTTTTTTTTTTTATTCTTGATATATATACACAATACAGAAAATTAAAATATGTAACGGATTTGTAAAATGTTGAATAAGTAGTAGTAGTAGTGAAATTATAAATTATAAATTAATAAATTAATAAATTGATCATAAGCTTGAGAACGTTTAAAACATTACATTTTTTAACACATGATTGAAATAATAGAAATAATTGATTAGTTGTTAGGTTGTTGTTATCTTTATCTAAATTTCTTCAGCTTCATTTTTAGCTCTTTTCACTCTAAAAAATCTAAATTTTGAAGCATCAGAAACTGGTTCACCACCAACTACATTTTCATCGTCAGCATAATGACCACGTTGTTGATATTCAGGACCAACTTGTTCTTTTTGATAAGAACTAACAGGTTGAACACCTTGATCATATCTGTTTTTATTTCTTCTTTTAGTTTTAAATGTTGCAACACAAGCACCAATACTTGTAGCAAATGAAATTAATAAGCAAGCAACAGCAGCCCATAATATACCAAAAGCTTTAGCACCCAAATTAGTAGAATGACCAGCATTATTGAATTCATGTTTACCTTTAACATGAGCAGCAGTAATTAAAGCAGCCGCAGTTATAGTGAATAAAAATGATATAAAAGTAAAAATTGAACCTATAGTACCACCAATTGAAGTACAAAAATTAATTGGAACAAAAATTAAAGCCAATACAGCAAATACTAAAGCAACTAAAATAAAAGCCCAACCACATCTTGAAAGATAAAAATATGTATTTCTATCATCAATAAATGAATTTGGTAAACCCTCTTCAGAATTAAAATTATCTTTTGGTGAATATGGGTAAGCAGCTGAAGATTTTTGACAATTTGAGTTACGACCATCTGAACTTACATCACAAATTCTATAAAAAGTCCATCTTGTTCTATCAAATGGAGCACCTTCAATACCTGATGTATCAGTTTCAGACCAATAAAATTTACCTAAAATTGATGAAGTACCAGATCCATTAATAATTGTTAAAAGTAATAATAAGGTACTTCCTAGTAAAAAAAAGATTGGTATGATAGTTAAGGCTCTCATAATGTGTGATGATACTGAATTTAAACCAAAAATAAAATCAAAAATAAAATCAAAAATAAAATCAAAATTAAACTTAAATTTAAATCTAAAGTTAAATTTAAATTAAATTAAATTAAATAATGAAAAGGAATCAACTAATGGATATATAAATATAAATATATATATATATGTATATATATATTTTTGATATTAAATATTAATATTAATAAAATAGATTGATGAGATGGTATAATTAATTATAATTAATCAATTGCTATTAATATTCAAATATTATTAATAAAAAATGAAATAGTAATTAATAAAAAAAAATAGCTATTATATCAATTGACTATAAGAATTGAAAAATAAATCTGTCTCTTTTGGTTGTTGTCAAAATTAACTTGTTGAAAAGAAAGGAAATGAAATGAAAATGAAAAGTAAAATTAAGGATATATTTATATTTATATAGTTAATTTTGTAAATAACAACACAATAATAGAAAAATAAATGACGTGCATAATTGTACAATAATTTCTTTCAATAACTGAAATTTTGCAACTTTACACTGAAATGGCTTATATTATTACTACCACTTCACTTTATTATTTAAAAGAATGCTATTGGACAACAATTAACAAATTGTAATGATATAAGCCTTACGAGCCTTACGAAACTTATTGATCTTGAAAGCAACCAAACTAAGAGAAATCACAGATCATTAAAATAGCAAAAGAATTGTTTGTATCAAATGATTTCTTAACATTTAGAGTTTCAAATAATAGAAGGTGAGAAAAAAAAAAAAAAAAAAAAAAATATGATGTATAATTGCTTCCATAGTTAACAAAATGAGAATATGAATATATGATACAATTGATTGATCTTGTTCCATGGAGGCAAGGTATTATTCATGACCTAATTTTTATTCATAGCAAGGCTGTTGTTTGTAATACTATTTTTTTTTTCCATAGATCATTTGTGCTGCTCTTTTTCGAAAAAGTTTTGATTTGATTGAATTGAACTAGCTGTAGAATGAAATAACAACTATACTATTACTAACTACTATTCTTCAGTTTTAATAAATGTATTATGCTGTTATATGTCATCATCATGATTATTATCATCATCCATGTTCTATTATCATTCGTATTATATATTAACGCAATTATTGCTAATTGATAAAAATGAAAAGTTTATTTATTTATATTGTGTACTAATTTGGATTAAATTAAGCCTAATTAGGAAATTGGGCTGCAAACTTGAAAAAAAAAAAAAAAAAAAAAAAAAAAAAAAATAATCAATATATTTGGAGATAATCAAAGTTGCATATAAAAATTATGTCAAACACGCAAATAAGGGAATGTCAAAAAATTTGATTGAGAAATGGTAAATAATTGAATGTCAAAAATTTTGATTGAGAAATGCTAAATAATTGAATGTCAAAAAATTTGATTGAGAAATGGTAAATAATTAAATGTCATAACTTGATCAAGAGTTCCGAGTCGGAAAGCAAAACAAAATATATATATATATATATATTTAAGAATATAAATATAAATATAAATGTAAATGTAAATGTAAATGCCTCGGATTTAGTTCCAATCAACACCGAACTACTTCGTTCTTTAATCTGATCATTTCAGCTTTACTGATCATTTCAGCTTTTTTCAGCTTTATTCAGCTTTTTTCAGCTTTTTTCAGCTTTCTTTCGCTTTCACCAGCTTAAAGAAATTGTATATCGCTCTGTTGTGTCTACCCAAAGCATTCATTTTTTGTTTACAAGAGTTTAATTTTTCCACCAAGTGTAACTTTCTTTCTTTCTTTCTTTCTACCAATCATCAAAGTTTAAGTTGAGTCACATCACACTACCTTGTCACGTGATCTTTATTCGCACATAATTCTTTAAACTTCTCCGATCTAATAATTTATATTGTGATCTCATTAATCATTCAAATTTATCAATCATCACCACCAGATTGAATAACTACAATATCACGATAAATTCACATCACATTATAAACACTCATCTTAGATTCATGTTGTTTGATTTATGATTCATCTTTCATATAAATTTATTTATCTCTAAATGAATCAACGTTAGAATTATTTGTATAATTAATTAATTTACAATGTTAGATGATCAATCATCATCATCAACAGCAGAAATAGAAGTAGTAGAAGTAGTAGCTCCAGAATATCCACCACGATATCATTCACACTCACCAGACTACAATAGTTTACCAATAATCGGACGAGATTATTTTAAAACAAATTCAAAACCTATTTATGAAGGTTCAAATGGCATTATTCTAAAAGGTACAAACAAACTACACACAGAGAATTTTATTCTCAAATTAATCAAACATCATCCATTTGATTCGTCCCTGAAATACAAGTACCTCGTTTTACGAGAATTTGAAAATTTGAAAAAACTGAATCATAAGAATATAATTAAACCAGTTACTTTATCACTCGTAACTGAATCAAATGAATTTTGTTTAATACTTCCATATTATCCAAAAGGTGATTTATTAGATCATTTATCGAAATTACGTAAATTTAGAAAAGGTTTAGATTCAAATACAAAAGATTTCATATTTAAACAAATTTTAAATGGAGTAAATTATCTTCATTCAAATAATATAGTTCATCGAGATTTAAAGCCCGAAAATTTCCTAATTAATAATAATGGAATAATTAAAATTTCCGATTTTGGATATTCTATGAATTTGAATAATTTAAATCATGATTATTTAAAAGATCATGTTGGAGAATTATATTGTGGTACTAATTCTTTCAAAAGCCCTGAAATATTTAATCTTGAAACACAAGTACTTAATGGTTTTTTTTCATTTGAACAATTTTTTGAAATGACTGATTTCGCTATATTTTATAAATCTTGTGATTATTGGAGTTTAGGAATAATTTATTTTAATATTTATTTGATGAAATTTCCTTGGGGTACTGCAAACATAAATGATCCAAAGAATATAAATTTTATAAAATATATGAAAATATATCCAAAAGATCAGCATGCAAGTATTGAAACTATGAATTTACAATCTAGTAGTTTTCAATTATTTAAAGAATTACATCATGATGCTAAAATATGGGTTTTTAAATTATTAAATCCAAATTATAAATTGAGAAGTAATTGTGAAGAAGTATTGAATACGCCTTGGATGATTAATACTTTTTCGGATTATAAATTTGATATATAGTAGTTTAATGTATAATTATGATACCTTGAATCGATATTGACATGGATGTCTATAGAATTTAACCAGAGTCGAACTACAATTCATGATTCTCCTGAAGTAGAATATAGCATTTTGTTATATGTGATACTCTAACTCCGGCTCTCTTTATACATATTAAAAAGATCTCGCTCAATGTAAATAATACCTTAAAACAGCTACTATCATAACGTTGAATGAGTTGGGAAGAAAATTTGATACAAAATGAATTTCAATGAGAGAATAACTATAAGAAAAAAAAAAAGTTCCTAATTGGGACATCTGAAACGCTCTATTAATTATTCCATTGAACGTTTAAAAAGCATTAAACAGACAAATAAGACTGATAAAAAAAACTTACAATATCCAATAAATCATTGATCATAACTATGATAATTAAACGATAATTGAATGAGCTCGGTTAGTGCTACAAATATGCACCAATGATCATAATAATTTTATATTAGATTGATTCTCTTCAGCGTAGTTCTAATCAAAAAGTATGAAGAAGTAGGTTTTAGATGATGTTTAATACGTCAAGCTACTTTTAAAGTCTTTAATTCCTCTTACTCTGATGTTTAATATATTCGAAATTAGAATGAGTAATGATACCAGCTCTCGCCTGGAATGAAGAAAAATCCGTCGATGTTCTCGTTTCGCGTTAATCGTAAGCTTCATTTCAAATAGAAATTAATTTGAATTATATGCAGTCTTGGATAAATTTCGTTGTTTCTCATTGGTGGGCCACCTAAGTATTGCCCCCTAATGTCTTTTAGGTAAAATAACCCAACAATACCTCCTCGAAATCAGCTATTAATTTGTTACAAGCGTATTAAAGGTAGCTTGAAATTTACCGTTAAGAACAGATAGCTGCTACAATATTAAACAACGGATATTGTAATATTGATTAATATTAAATTCGAGTGAAATTTAATTATTCTACATATTTATTTTGTAAATAATAAATTGCACTACCTCAGTCAATTTTGATTGATGATTTAATCAATATTTTGTTCAATTTGCAATTCAATGAAACAATAGTATCAATAAAACACTTTAACGATTCTACACCAGAGTCATCAACGAATAAAATTCAAATAAAATCTTCAGATTTTTCTCGCAGGCTCCCCAAAATCCTAATTTTCTTGTGAGGTTAGATAATCAACTTGCGTATAGTATAATCCCAATTGATTTTCGCACCATTGAATAACCATCAGCATGCCCAGTGAATTTAATCAAGAAAACTCTCAAGCCTAATTTAGCAGCATATATTGACGAGACTACATCTCGTGTCTCGGTCCAACCTATTCAGGTTTCATCAAACTCCACAAAAATCAAACAACACTACAACCATTGAATGTAGTGTAGCATCATATTCCATGAAATTTGCATTGATTGCAATTACCCAAAGATCTTATGGACATCACCCCTGCAGAAGTTCTTATTGACTGCTCCAATATAGAGCGCCAGTATCATCCTAAATCTATCATATATCAGAAGACGATACAACGATCTATAAATTAGTCACGTGTTTGAAAAAAAAATTCAAAAAGTCAATAATTTGAAAATTGGTAAATTATAAACCTTCCAAATCAATTACAATGGAAATTAAAAGTTCAAATATATCAGCTAATGTATCATCTAAAGCTCCATTGTACTTAAATTTGCCTAAATCCACTTCTAAGACCAAGGTTTAAGGGGTGGATGTATCTATGGATATTTGATTTGTAAATTTTGCTATTTCGTTTATTGCACGGCTGAAACAAGATCCGAGATCTCAAAATCAAAATTCTAATTTAAAGTAGAAACAACATCTTTGGCTGCTTTCCATAATCCATAATCATGTCTAATTCATTCCAGAACGGTCCTAACTATGTAATATCTGTGTAAAAGAAATACTTTTATTCAATATTATCAAATGAACCTAAAATAATTCACTAGTTTGAATCATCACCTTAGCAACGTAAACCATCCAAGACTGTCAATATGAGCAAAACAAACTATGTAAGAGTGTAAATATGAACTAAATGAGTTGTCAAATCTTAGAAATATCAATTGAATTAAAAAAATCCACGAAACCAAGAGAATCTATCATTGCAAAAATTAATATTTGGAGAGAATTAGAAACGTTTCAGTAAATCTAAGACAACGAAACGAGGAGCAAAAATACCTAGATCTATCTATTTCAACCAATAGATAACTGCAATTACAAAAAAAATAATGGATAACAGGCGACCCTTTCTTATTTTAGAACAAACAATTTGCTCATTAACTTAAGTACTCTTACGTTCAAATATAATAAAATCGTTCCATGAAACTATCAATCAATTTGGAATTTCAAGTTTACGTCAAATCATAATTCAAAAATTACTTTCAATATTGAAATAAGTGACTGAACACTCAACAACTTACAAGAAATAATCGATCTAGATTATTAACCAACTAAAATTTGCATACAATCATTCACAACAATCATTCACTAAATCTATTTTGCAACCAAAAAAAAAAATCTAAATGCAACAATCGTTTAAAAATAAAATAAAATAAAAAAAATAAAATAAAATAAAAAAAAAAAAATAAAATAAAATAAAATAAAATAAAATAAAATAAAATAAAATAAAATAAATTAAAATAAAATAAAATAAAATAAAATAAAATAAATTAAAATAAGATAAAACAAAATAAAGTAAAACAATTTGTGTCATGACTAAGAAAATATCTAAATGTCAACGTGTAACATTGAAAACCCTAAAAGATCAGATTCTTAACTATAGATCTCCACATGTGAAATTATAGTTCAGATTCAATTACGGCGAGATTTTAGTCTTTTTAGTTTACTTCACCGTAATTCAAAATAGAATGAGATACGAAAAGCCATTAAGGTTGCATAAAAAATAAAAATGAGTCAATTAATTATATACGCCTTGAATTAATCAAATTTATGAATAGGAATCACAACTGAATGTTTTGGATATTACATTAGAATTGGTATACTTCAATTATTCATCATTACAATTGGTAGTTGAGTTCTTCAAAAGCTTGTCTTAATTAAACGGAATTTAAACGGATCTAGGACTTAATTCATCGAACAAAAACAAATCCAATTAAAATAATAATCCAATTTTGAAAGATAACTTAAATACGTCAAATTTGTAATCAATTAAGTAATAAAATAAAAAAGTGTCTGATTTTAGAAAGATTTAAATTTTTTTTTTTTTTTTTTTCTAAATCTTGAAATCTTAATTTTAGAATTTCTGACCCCTTTTCAAAAATCTTTAGATTTAAACAAACCAATGTGAAAGATTAGACTTATTTTCTTATTGTGTTCTGAACAATCAAAGCATCTATCTTTTACTTCTTGCTTCAAGTCAGGTACAGTTTAATTAACCACCAATGATACAAGAAGTTGTAATCAATCTTAAAGAAGTAGTAAGTATACACTTTATTTTTTAATGGGCTTATCTTCAATTTTCACTATTTCAAATTTAATCATATTTTTAAATTAGTTGATACTTTTTTGTTTATTATATTTTTTTTCTTGGCAAGAAATTTATATTTAGGTGGTTTTGCATACTTCAAAAAAAAAAAATTGAAAGTTTAAATCTGGAGAATTTAAACTAACCATATTAATTATTTCCGTATTGATTGTTTCCAGAGATTTAGCCGAAAAATATATTATTAAGATTAGCTTATACAGTTATATAATAATATTCATTTACGATAAAAATGTCAAGTAGTATTGTTTCCGGTTGTCCTAACCACAGATATAGAGAAACTCTAATCAAACAAGAACAAGAACTATTCTAGTTCCATCATATCCAGTCGACATTGTATTAAATTAAGCCTGGATATGTATTTGTTGGTTTCTTTTGTTTTTAAGTATACCTCAGCCATTTAAAGCTATATATAAAAAAAAAAATATGACAATGGAAAAAATTAAGACAATGTGAAATTTGACAAGTAAATTGTTTTTCAAATGGAGTTAGGAATGCGATATATCCATTCAAGAAATTTGTAATTAGTTGTCAATTTAGTTGTCAATTTAGTTGTCATGATCAAATCAAGAAAAATACTGATTCTCCAATTGTTTAATTAATTTCATTTCAATTCGTAAATTAAGAATATTATAATTGAATACAACAACCATTTATAAAGGTAAATCTAGGCGGTAATGATGATTTTATTAGTTTTCAACTATATATTTCTTATCTTTCACGGCATACTAAGCTAGTGTCAATTGCTAAAAGCATAAGTCAATTAGTCAAATTGCGCAAGTTTAATATGGAGAAAACAACACGTAGACGAAATTATTAACCAATTAGGTAATTCGAAATGAGTCTCACTTAAATATGGAGTGAAATCTGACTTTAATAACAATAAGATTTTTTTCTTTTTAGATTTAGTTTTAAAATCTCATCTATTGTCATTGATAATTATGTCAAATTAAATCATATCAAATTAAATCATATCAAATTAAATCATATCGTCGTCCACTTCAAACAAATGTATTGTAACTAAAAGTGATAAATGCCAGCTATTATTATTATTATTCATATTCAATCTCGTCGGACAAATCAAAGTACTCCTAGTTATATATTTCTATGCCAATTTAACAAATGGCTTTAAATCTTTGATTTTTCTTAATTTTGTGTCACAAATTTTTATATTTTTTTTTTTTTTTTTTTTTTTTTATTTTTTATTTTTTATTTTTTATTTTTTATTTTTTATTTCAAGAAATGTCAAAAATTTAATTAGAAACCCTTCATTCAATATTGTCTTATGACACAGCGAAAAACAATAGATTTCATATTGTTGAACCCCCAATTTTAACATAATCTCATAACCCTTTACCTTCAAGGAAAATCAAGATTCAAATCATGACTACTAACTACGGATTTAATCGAAATAAAGTAATACAATTTATTTATCGCTTATTAATATGCCGAACCAAGTGCTACAAACAATTGAAAATTAACAACTAGTTAAATAAATTTATATTACGTTTCATCATACACAAATCATACCTTCATTAACAAACAAATACCAATTAACAAACAAATACCAATTTTAACAAACAGATACCAATTGTATTATTATTATTATTATTATTATTATTATTATTATTATTATTATTACTATTCTATACCAAGTTTAATCTCTTTTGTTCTTTAATGGTTTTTATTTTCCTCCTTCTTGCATTTATAAACCAATTTGATAATTGTTGTTGATTTAATCCAGTAGCCATCATTAACTGATTTTTTTCAAATGAATTTGGATATGGATGATTAATATGATCATGTAACCACCTTAATAATATATATGTTATTTCTTTTGGTAAATTATTTCTAGTTCTTCTTGATCCTGAATTATTTGATGAACCGTCATTAACTAAATTAACTGGATTAATTGAGTTATTTCTCTGTATTGTTGATGTATTTTGTTTTTGATGAGTATAATTAAAATATTGTTGTGGTTGATTTGGTCCATGTTGTTGTTGATGTTGAGATTGAGATTGAGATTGAGATTGAGGGTAAAGATGCGTTACTGATGGGAGAATATGGTTTGGCGAAGATAAAGGAGATTTCTGATGATTATTATTATTTTCTTTTAATATATCTGATATAGGTGGTAATGAAATAGATTTTAATTGATGAATAGGTGGTAATATATTATTATTTGATGAACGATGATGATGATGATGATGATGATGTGAAATTGAAGGTAATGGAGATGGTCTATTAATTGTGGAAGTAGAACTAGTAGTAGTAGTTAATTGCATTAGTGATTAGTGAATAATGAATAATGAATAACTAATAAAATTTGAATGATAAATTGAAAATTCAAATGAAAGAGATTTCTATTAGTTTATATAATAAATTTACAAAAGTGAAATGCACAGTTTATTAAATATGGAATTAAAATTATAAATGTCTATATTTTTGTTTTTTCTTTCTTTTTTTTTTTTTTATTTTTTTTTATTTTTTTATTTTTTTTTTTTTTTTTCTGCCCCTAATTTTTATTTTTAAATCTCTTTATATTATACAAATTTAAACTTTTCGATTAGATCGACATTTATTATGTAATAGGTTGATCTACAGATACGTTAAATACCATATTTTGCAACGTTGCTAGTCAAATGGTTCAATAAGTATGAGATAGATAAAAAGAGTGAGTTATACAGTTGTACAGTTGTACAGTTGATAAATGGTTGACTTATTGACTTATTGACTAATTGACTTATTGACTTGTTGACTCATTGACTTGTTGACTTATTGACTTGTTGACTTATTGACTTGTTGATTTGTTGACTTGTTGATTTCAGTCACTCTTGCTTTCAGATCTAAAGTAGTTCTTTTCCTTGCTTGTAATAAATTGTTTAATATCTGAGATCTGAAATGTTTGTGTCAGACAATTAATAGTTTCTTTTTGATTTTATTTTATTTTATTTTATTTTTTTTATTTTATTTTATTTTTTTTATTTTATTTATTTTTTTTTTTTTTTTTTATTTTTCTTGCAGTTACAGACACTAAATTTCTAGCACAATAAACAAAAAAGAGAAAGATCTTGGCTTCTTATTGTATACTGAGATGTCTAAAAAACCTAATTCCTGACAATAGTAACAATATTTTGGTTGTAATATGCAATTTAAATGATTAATATTTAGTGTTGAAATGATGATTATATCAATTACATAGTCTTATTCACGGATATATTCAATTTCTTAGCCTTGTTATCTTTTATCCTTGAATTTTTCAATTTGGTTGCAAATTAATTGGTCAAATAAAATTCTTAATTAAAAAGCTTATTTTCAAATATTTTGACACAGAAGAATTCAATATGATGATTATGTAATATTTATTTTTAGCATAGCCTTGATTTAATTTTTTTTTTTTTATTTTTTTTCTTTGATCGACACGTCAAATATTTAAAACGGGAATGGGGGATCTTAACACAATTGTTAATAATATATATTGAAGGACAATTAAGTATAATATAACACTTTTTGTTCAAATTGGTTGGTTTATATTCAAACATGGGTTTCAAACATGGGTATTAAATTTAGTTTTGATAATGTTGAGCTCATAATTCAAATTTTCTTGATATTTGAAACGTTTTATTTGATTTCTGATTTGATAGATTATTTCTTAATTGTCTAAAAATATTTTTTCTTAATTTGAATAGACTTACGAATATTATATTATTTTTGTTATTGTGATTTTTTTGTATTGTTATTTGATGGATTTTTTGTTCCTAGATTTTACAATATTAAACAATAGAACAATAGAAATTATATTGTTGATTAATACAATAAAGCTTAATTATATGGGTAAGAACTTTTTATTAGAGTTATTAGAGTTATCAGAGTTATTAGAGTTATATTATACTTTATGAATGATCATCAATCCATAGATAAGCTTTTATTGTTATTAATGTTGTGTGTTATGGCTTATTGTTTATTTCTATTGTTCAATTGCCGAATAATAAATTTTGGATGGGCTTAAAGTTTTTTTTTCAGGGATGGAATTTGATTTCTATTCTAATGACCGATAAAAAAAAAAAAGAAAAAAAAAGCTAGCGTTGACAATTTTGTTATTCAATTGATTTAATGTTTTGGTGGTATAAGCCTTGAAGTTGAGCGTAGTACGAAGTTGAGCGTAGTACGAAGTTGAGCATAGTACGAAGTTGAGCATAGTACAAAGTTGAGCGTAGTACAAAGTTGAGCGTACTCCAAAGTTGAGCGTACTCCAAGTTGAGTGTACTATTGAAGTTCCATTTGATCTTATCATATCTGAGATATAATCACACATCTCAAACTTATTTTAATGTTTTTGTGTTTATTTGTTCTTGAATGCAGTAGTTGGAATTTTTGATTCTATTTGTTGTATGGATGAAATGATATGATCTAACATAGCCAATTGATCAAATACACTGTGAATCAACAGTTGAATACCAGATATACAGATATAGAGATATAAAGATATAGAGATATAGACATTTAGAGATTTCTTATAGAGATTTAAAGATTTCTCACCATTCTTAGTATCTGCTTCCTACAGCTAAATACTTTGTTTTTTTTCTTTGCATAGTTTTTTAATTATTGTAATAATATTGAGTTTAACAACAATTAAAACGATTCTTTTTCGCGTATTACAAACTGTTGATAATACTAATTTATCAAATAAAGATTCGAACATAGAGTACAGTATTCAAACTTTGTGGGTTGAATTGAATTACAATGTTTTACTCATATTCAAACCTAATCCATTTATTTTTTTTTTATTCATTTTTTGTTTGATTTCATTGTAAATCAAATAGAGGGTTCATAAAAGAAATGGAAATATATAATAGAGGGTTCATAAAAGAAATGGAAATATATAAGAAAGAGAGAGAGGGTCATTATTAGGTGCTATTGTTACTTGAAAAAAATTAATTGATTTACTATAAAATATATAAAATATTTAAATGATCTTCAAAGATTCAGAACACGGAAGTACTGAAGTACTGAAGTATAAGTATAATAGTAAAATAATTGGTTGATAAACGTGCTACTAAAGGAAAACTATTTACATGGCTAATTCTTTTTCTACACTTGAGAATTTTATACACATTGATTTTTTGATAGAGTCCTCCCTCCGAAACGACAGGGAGTTGTCAATCACCGAAGAATCACTTACAAATCTATATCAACTGAGAACATTCAGTTAATCAATCTTGATTTCTTGTTTCGAAAAAGAATTCTAAACTTGGGGTTGTTTGTTCTTTTCAACAAAGTACTTACTTCATCAAATGACATTCAAGAGCTTTTGAAAATCATGTATGATTAGGACAAACCTAATATGTAATTTACAATGGAAAACTTTTACGGTTAATGATACAAAGGAGTATCAACAAGCGTTTAAGAAACTTAAGATTGATTACATTGGACGACACCTCAGAATTTTAGAGTTTCGATAATTTTTTTACTACAATAATATTTATTTGAAGTTTCAGATTTTGTTTTGACCAACTTTCGACATGCGCGAAAATCAAAGTTATCAGCTTTGAGTTGAATCAGATTATTTTATATAATAATTAGACATTACTGATATGAATAGATTTTTTGCTATCTTTTGATTTTTAGCCAAGTTTATTCTAGAAAGGTTTAAGGACCACTGTCGTTAATATAGGCTGAAGTTTAGTGCGAGTTCGATATTTTTTCTGGCGATTTTATCGCCCGAAAATTGATGGGCGTGTAAACAAATATGTTTCATAATTTTGTAACAAATTCGCTTATATGCAGTCCAGTAGTAGCTAATCTTAAATTTTAAATCGTGTATAGCTCCCTCAAAATTAAAGTTCAAGTTCTCAAACCTAATTCATTCAGAAGTTCAATAAATTACTGTTAGTTCCTATCAGAAAACTTAATATTGATGCTTTAATTCATGATCTAAGAAAATGTAAAAACGTTAATTTGTGAGATAATTCGTACCTAAACCTCATTTAGCAACTTTTAATATAATTGATAGGGTTTATTGGATCAAAAGTACTTCCTACATAATGGTACCGAGACACCATAATCGTTTTGAAGATTTTATGAAAATTTCGAAACAGCTTTGAAAAATTCCTTTTTCAATTTTGAGGACCTTAGCAAAAAAATTTCAGGTCTTATCAAAAAGCAGAACCACGGAACTGATTAGTTTTATCATGTTTTAATCTGAATATTTAATGTGGAATTAAATTTTTTGGAAGGTCAATTTATTCGATTTTTTGGGAAAATTTGGAAATTGTTCAATTCTGATTCAAATGAAACAAAACGCACTCCAGCACTTTCACTTAAGGTGTAACATATAAAATTTGATTTGATTGTAAGTTGCGGCCCTAAATGAAAAGATACACAGACTTACATTTTTCGATAAATATTCGTATGGTGAAAAAGGGACAAAAATGCAAGTTGAAAAAAAAAAGGTTCGAATTTCGAGATTTTATGTGTAGCATACATGAATTAAAGCTCCTTATCTCATTGAACAGGTTCTTATTTTGTGAAAATTTGTTGTTCATGATGTATAAGCCAGAATATTTAGTACGAGATCTTCGTAAGGCTGAAACGAGAAGAATTTTTCGTCGCGCCAGTTTTACCGCATTAAAAAATTCATTACATTCATTCAGGTGAATTTTAACAAACAACATCACATATTTTTAGTTCAAGCTACATTGTAGAGAGCAAATTGATAGAAGATCATTATGATCATTAATGTATATCCCTAAAAATTCTTCATTTATGTTTGTAATTACGACCTTTAACTATTGAACAGTTTGTAATTTTGCAATATGGTAAGTTTTTAGGAACCAAATTATAGACTTCATTACATCTGATTCCATGCAATTGTAAAGATTTCACATTTGAGGGAAAAAAATTGGTGAAAAAATAGTTAAATAATCTCTCCCAATATTAATATCAATGTTTGATGTTTTTTTTTGGAAAATGAACATCTTCATAAGATTCCAATGCCCGTCCTCATAAATTTTTCATCATTTCAAATCCGAAAAATTCTAAATTTGGTAAGTTGTCACCACCATCAAATACTTGCCAGTCAAAGTTCGTTCCAAACAACGTTAATTTACTCAAATTATTAGAAAGTTGCAGTGATTTATCGACTTCATTCCTAGCATTTTCTAAATGAATACATCTTAAATTGTCTGGAAAAATATAAAGAAAAGTCATCTTGAGATTCAAGTTTATAATATTTCAAATTCTTGGAATTATCACCAAATTCTAATCCAGTCCAAATATTTTCATGAGTGATCTCTGAGTCTTTAAAATCCTCATCAAATTGTGCAATTTTTAAAAATTTAACAGATTCTTTTAATTGGTTATATAATGAATTACTTAAATTTAGGACCATTACATATTCAGTATTCTAAAATTTATAGTTATTAAATCTGAACTCATTAAAATGAACATCTTCTTCAAGATACTTTCTCTCCCATTCGTCATACCTTAAGTCAATGAATAGTTTTGCTCCAAGATTCATCAAACTAAAGCAACTAAGCGTTTCAATTACTTCCTCCCATAAATTTGAATACTAATCATCGTCATACTCATGACTATATAATGAAATATTGTCCAAAAAATCTTCAAAACTATCATCCAATTTCGTGATGAAAATTAATTTAGAAACAATTTCAAATTGAATCTAAAAGCTTGTAGAAAACATTATAATGATTGAAACGTGATACATCAGTAAAATCAAACTTTTCTCCTGTTGGTAATTCAATTCTCGCTGTATTTACTGGTACTTTATATGCTGAAAAAGACTTCGATATGGCAACTGTTGAAAACAAATGCTTAATTGCAAATGGTTTCAAAATTGGATCATATAAAAAAGTAGTAAGTGTAGATTTATCTAAATATGAAGTAGTAATCTCAATTAATTCTGGTGGTAAGTCACGTAATGATGATAAAATATTAAAAGTATTAGATTCCATAATTAGAGAGTTGTTGATAGTTGTTCAAAATTTTGTCGAATTTATTTTTAGAATTTTCCCTATTGGTAATTTTTCAATTTCTACATTCAATTCTGAAACAAATTATTTTTTGATTATGTAATACGTACAAAATAAAAAGCGCAAAATAAGCAGATCGCGCAAAATTGAATCTAAAAAAAAAAAAAAAATCAACGATTTATGATGTAAAATGTTGTTATTCATTAGGTGTTTTAGTATATCTATATTCAATTTATGTATTATTAATTTCCAAATATGATACTGTGATATGGTTTTATTTTGTGTATCAAACAATCATATATACTACTGCATTCATTATCCCATTTTGTCTATTTGACTATAAAATAAATGAATCAAATAATTTGAGATGGCTGCTTATTTTGCTCATACCCTTGCATACTTACATCAGAATCAAAACCGAAATCGATTAAGAAAAATTCAATTTTTGCTTTGCTCTTTTTGGTTTGTTCTTTATATTATCCATACCAATTATTCGAAAGAAGAGAATTATAGTGACAAGCCAAGTCCAGTCTAATGCAGAAATAACGTCAGCCTAATGACTGCGTGCTCAACTGCCTTAGTATTTGTTGCTAAATTCTATAACGAAATTCATGATGATTACGTCGAAGTTGTACTTTCGTTTGTTTACAATCATCTAAGACCGTTTGCTTTAATATGCGTCAGTAAGTATAGTTGTCGAAAAGTTTATATTGAAATTTAGTTGCACAATTCCGTAAATTTTATAACGAAATTCATGATGATTACGAAGTTGTACTTTCGCTTGTTTACAGTCATCCAAGACCGATTGCTTTAATATGCGTCAGTAAGTATAGTTGTCGAAAAGTTTATATTGAAATTTAGTTGCACAATTCCGTAAATTTTATAACGAAATTCATGATGATTACGAAGTTGTACTTTCGCTTGTTTACAGTCATCCAAGACCGATTGCTTTAATATGCGTCAGTAAGTATAGTTGTCGAAAAGTTTATATTGAAATTTAGTTGCACAATTCCGTAAATTTTATAACGAAATTCATGATGATTACGAAGTTGTACTTTCGTTTGTTTACAATCATCTAAGACCGTTTGCTCTAATATACGTCAGTAAGTATAGTTGTCGAAAAGTTTATATTGACATTTAGTTGCACAATTCCATGTCTAATGTAAATGGAAATAAATTTAGGTTGGAGAAAAACTATAAAACGTAGCCGTGCCATCTCTTGTCCAGTTCTTCGATCCGGAGATAAGACTAATGGTAATAGATGCGACGTAAAATATTTTTTCTGGGCCCTTCGAAAACATGTTTTTTTATTTTTTGACCCTGCATCATAATTCAACCAATAAGAGTGATTATAAACTTGATTACTCTACGAGATGGTCAAAGATCTTTTGAAATATAAGATACAGATTAACTGTAGTAGATCAAGATCCTATTCCAAAGACGAATTTCGCCAAACCATCTCTTAAATCAATAGTTTCTTCATTTATCACATGATAACTAATTGATCGACGACAGAAATTTACATTAAATAATAATAAATAGAGCAGTATTACAACTACTATATTAAAAAACATTTTATATTTAATTATATAAAATGCATCAACAATCAAATCAAATCAAATCAATTGATCATCATTTGTAGTTTAAATCTTGTTCAATAAATATAATCTATGAATGGACGGATGAATGAAAATGTATCATTTCTATGTTTTCCTAAAAGTTTGTCTTATAATAATAAGCACCAAATGCAATTAAGAAAACAATAACAGCTATAATTGGTAAATTAATTGTAGACCCACTGGTTTCATAAGCTTGAGCTCTTTTAACTTCAACTTGTTTCGCACCTTTTAAATTACCAATATATAATTTTTGTAAAATTTCATGAGCTTCATCGGAATGACCAATATCATCAAAAGCTTCAGTAGCATCTGTACCAGCAACATCCAAAATAACTTCTTCACCACCAGGATGTTCATCTATATATCTTGAAATATCATAAACTTTACCATTTAAAACAACCCATAAATCATCATGAGATTTATGTTTTTCAATTTCATCATAATCATAGATAACAGGCTCTGTGACGGCAGTAGTAGTAGTGTCAGACATAATCAATTAATCAACAAAGAAAGCAGTTCCAACTGATAAAAAAAAAAATTGACACAACAAAAAAATATTTTATACGATCAACAGTTATATGCAGGAATCGACTCTTTTTCACAAGATATTGCAATTACTACTATTATGCTATATGCCTATTGAGGAGATATTCTAGTGAGTAGGTGGTTAAAGATTGATTGGTATCAGGTCATTGTTGCATGAACTCAACTAAACTCAAAAAAAACGACTTTAAGATGTAGAGTTTTGGGTATATCGCCATTTTTTACCATTTTAAGTTATACATTTCCCAGTAAGTAAGTATTCTTCTATAATTATATATTCTTTAAATCAAAATCAAAATCAAAATCAATTCCCTTTGATTTCAATTCTTCTTGTTTATTCTTTTTCAGTAATTCAAATTTTTTAACTATAATTTCCCATTCTTTTTTAGTTTTTGGTTTTTCGTATTTATCTTTTGATATTTTCTTCCATGGTATAATTTTAAATTTCTTATTACCATTTTTAAATAAATCCTTATGGACTTCTTCTACTACTTTACATTTAATTAAATGTCCAAATAATAAATAATTATCCATTGTTTCACTAGCAATTTTAGCAACTTCAAATGATTCAAATTCAATATATCCATAATGTTTTGAATTACCAGTTTTTTTATTTCTTGAAAGTCTTAAATTTATAATATCTCCAAATTGTGAAAAATAAGTTTTTAATTCTGATTCTTGGAAACGTGAAGGTAATCTACCAATATATATTATACCTGTTTTATCACTTGACTTTTTTGATTTTTTTGATTTTTTATTTGAATCTGCTTTGGTTATTTTTTTGTTTATGGTATGACCTGACTTAGTTTCTGCTTCATCATCACTTAAACCGTAGATATCTTCAGATTCAATATCGTCATCTGAAATGTGTTCTTCTTCTGATCCGGAGTCTGATTCTGATTCTGATTCTGATGATGATGATGATTCTGGTACTTCTAAATCTTGTTGTTCTTCTGCTACTTCTTGTTCGACTGGTGTTTCTTCTTTTGGTTCCTCTACCTTCTTCTGTATCTTTTTATTCACTTTTGGTTGTGATTTCTTTGCTACTTTGTTACTTTTAACTTGTTTCCCAGCCATGGTTTGATAAATTTAATGAGATGAGAATTAAAAAAAAAATTAAATTTCAAAAAATATACGAGAGATGAGATTGATAGACATTGAATTATACACTTATGGAATCAATTAGTTTGAGTATTATGGGTCGACAAAAAGTATGGATATAGACTGGCATTTGATAATTAGTATAGCTTACTTTTCAGCAAGTCTTTTACATCAATTGCAAATTTCATAATTCTCGATGCGATTCGGAACCAAGTTTAGAGCGAGACAAGAATTTTTCTACCGTGAAATCGCATGAAATTGATACCATCAATATTCTACAATGATATTTACGTCGAAAAGTAGCCTTGCATCTCAGTTCAAAATAAACCCAAGTCTCTTTACTAAAGTGATTCTTATCAATAAGTTTATTGTCAACCATGAATCATCTAATCAAACATCACTTTTCATCAATTTGCAACCATCAACAATTGTTCTGAAAAAAACGCTACCATTTTCCATCAAAAGTGAAAAATTATTTTAAATCAAATTTTATCATCAACCAATATATCAATATGTCATTAAAACCAATAATAACAAAAACAGGAAAATATAACTCAACAATCCGAAAACAAATAATAAAACTTAATAATCTTACAGGAACCAAAGAAACAGCGTTCAAATTTAATCCATCTTTTTCCAAATTTGAAATGTGGATATATTTACAAAATTCAATCCCACACCCACCGTCAAATGGTTTGAAACAATTCTTTGTTGATTATTTGCCAACCTTAAGATTCCATAATCCTGATTTTGAATATAAGATCAATACTATAATGAATGTTGAATCCGAATCTCAACTCAATAAAATTCCATTGAAGTTGAAATTAAGTGGTGATGATACCGTTGAGATTGATTGTAAGGGCAAGAGTGGTAGTGATATTTTGAAAGAGTTGACTGAGAAGGGGAAATTGATGCCTGTATCTGAGGAGGATATTCCTAAAATTCCTTTGAATCCTGATACTAAAGAAAATAGATATTTGAAATAATGCTTGTAAATATGATTGTAAATATATATTAGAGATCTAGTTTATTGAGATGTTTGTATTTTTGTAGTTCAAGACTTGATATATTTCGAAGTAGGTTTGAGAGAAGCGTAGGGTAGAGGCATTTTGATTGATCGTACTACCAATTATCATATATTAGAGGCATTTTGATGATATTACCTATTATCATATATTAGAGGCATTTTGATGATATTACCTATTATCATATATTAGAGGCATTTTGATTGATCGTATTACCTATTATCATATATTACTATGTCTATTAATGATGCTAATTGAAATGCAAATGTGGCCCTATATGTTAATGATAGTGAATGATATCCTTTTTAACCTCGAAATGAATTAACTAAAGCATGATCTTTATTTGTCTATCAACCTTTAGTTGTTCTTTTAGCATGATCCGTATTGCAAACTACTTTTCATACACCTTAAGAATCTTTCATTGAATTGGATTCATTAACAATCATGTCCAGTTGGTTGTAAATTGAAGTTCTTCAATAAGAGATATTCTAAGTCTATAATTATCTTCATTTGTATATTATCTCTTTCTTTAATTTCATGATTTTAAAAATTCCATTAATTTATCATATCCTTTCAATTCAATCAACTGTTTAACCTTCTTCAACTCATCAATTTCACAATCATTCAATTTGGACAGTATTGGAGGTAAATTCTCCTTTGAAATCACATTTAACAACGCATCTAAATTCAACCTTCGTTTCTCTCTTTCCTTAATCTCATTTATATTATTGACAAATTCATACTCCTCTTTATTGTTTTCTATTCTTGCATAATCATCATATAATTTTAAATCATTTAAAATATCTTGTTTACTTACCTTATTCACAAAATCAAGAATGATTGACCGTTCAGGTACTTTATAAACTTGATTCCCATTCATTTTCTTAATTATTGATTCCGAATAAACTCCTGTCTCATTATTTTCTATTTTGTAGTTTTGTGGTTTATAATTCGGATGAATTGCCGATTTATCATTTCCCCAATTTCTTAAAACGTCATAATCTACAACTTCTCTCTCAATTGGAAGATGGTCCACCTCTTCTTCTTCAACTTTGATTATTATGTTCCCCATAGATGCAATTTTCATGAAATTTGAATGTAATGAGGTTTCAATATTCTCTGTTTCTTTAAATTGTCGAAGTTTGGGAAATCCCCTTGGTAATAAATCCAGTATATGATTTGGACATTTCCATTTATTTCCAATTGTTTTAGGTCCATACATTGGTGGATTTAAACAATATAAATGATAGACCAAATTACAATAATCACAATGAATTAAACCACGTTGATTTTGTCCTGATTCTCCACATGAATGACATAAATAAGGATGTCCCAGTTCATCATACAATGAATCAATTTCTAAATTCATATCTTTATTAAATCCATTAATTTGATTATTTTTAATTGGTTTATTTGGTTTTATTTCATCATCGATATAATCTCCATTATCATCTGTCATTACTCCTTTGAATGTATCTTCTCTTAGAAATTTCGGTAGTTGAAATGTCTTTTTATCTTTAACTTCTAAAACGTTTAACAATTTTCCAAAAACACCAAAATCTGAATAGTCCTTGAGTAGAAAGGGGTATTTCTTTCCATAACATTCTTTACAGAACCAATCCTCTTCTGGGGGAATATCTATTGGTGGATCACAACATAAGAAATGGAAAGATTTGGGACATGATTCGCAACAAATAAATATACCAGGTAAGCCACAAGCATAACAAAAATCATCATTTTCAATACCATCCTGTGAATTTGAAACCTCGGTAGTAGTTGATATTTTATGATCTAATAATTTCGTAGATGGAGATTTTGAAGGTGATATAATTTTAATTTTTTTAAGTCTTTTAGTCAGTGGTTGTTGTTGTGGTGTTTTTAATGTTAATTTTAATTTACGAGTTGGTTGTTTTTGTTTAACTGGATGAACTTCACTCCGTAACTCACTCTCCTCCACTTCCTCTTCATTCAATTTCTCAAAACTCTCATGATATGTTTCTGAATCTAATTCTATATCCGGTGTTGAATCCTTTTTTGATTTCGTCCATAATGCTTCCTTTTTAATCTTTGCACTTGGTGGTTCTTCTAATGGTAATCCAGTATATGAAGGACATGGAGATGCTAATTCAGGTTCGATGAATATCTTTCTACTATTCTTTGTTTCAATCAACTTATTATTATTGGTTTTATTTTCAATTATGTTTGGACTCGATTTTAATTTTGGAATTTCAGCCAATCTAGCACTTTTCCTTTGACCATTAGCAACTTTCTCAGCTTTCCTTTTACCGTTATTCATTAGCATTCTAGTTATCAGTTGTTGTTCTTGTTGTTGGTTATTTTTCTTTTCTTCATAGCTCATCTATAACGAAATTTGGAGTGGTAATTAAAAAAGAATATAAATGTCGAGAAATTGAAAAGCTGAGAAATATGAATTTTATATACACCAAAGATAAACTAGAAGGTAAGGATGCAATAACAATAACCATAACAAGCACCATCGTCGGGATGCAATAAATCAACAATCACCGTCGTCGGGATGCAATAAATCAACAATCACCGTCAGGATGCAACAAACAAACAATCAATGGCATCCTTACCTATTTTCATCCTTACTTAGTTTTAGTATTAATTGGTTCTTGTAACAATTTAATAATTTCTTCATCCTTAATTTCTTTATCAGATTTATATAAATCTTTGTTAAAATTTGGTGATGTATATTTTACAATACCATGTTTTGTCAACGCAAAAGTAGTATAAAATTGAGCAATAAATTCACCATCTTTTTCAATTACAATATCATAAGGTAACAAAATCTTATGATTTACAGATTCAGCTAATCCACCTCTTGCCTTCTTTGGATCTTCTAAATTTCTAATATTATAAGGAAATGGTTGAGAATTACATTTTGATTTAAATTCAGATAAGATCTTATGTGACATTTTCATTTTCAACGCATATGTCTCACCTGTTAATTTATATAATGAAGTTCTAAAATTAGAAGGTTTAACCTTACCGTCACTACTTGTTGAAATTAAAATATCTAATCCGAAAACATCACCTTCTTCAAATTTACATGTTTCCATCGATGATTTATTTTCTTTTGATGGATTCAAGATTATTTCTTTTGGTCCATACAATTTTAATCTTTCTTGATTATGAGATAACATATTTTCCAATGGTGAAGTTTCAAACTCTTTGGCAACTTTGGATACTATGTTTGTAATGTCCCAATTTCTATTACCCGGTTTGAATGTACCAATAGCAGCTTCAGAAGCTAACCAAGCAGCATGCAATAAATCTGCTTTCTTTCCGTCAATTGTTTTTTCTTCACCAATTACAAATGTTTCACCTACAATAGCTGGAAATCCATCAATTTGAACACCCAATTGAATAGAAACAACATCTCCGTCTTTCAATACCAAATTAGCTACATCATCTTGTGAAATTGGAGATAAATGAGCTGGAATATGATTTGGATTAATTGAAGTTGGAAATGCAATTCCCTTAGGTACGTTCTTAGTCTTTTTTGAATTATAAATTTTTGATAATTCTTCATTCATTAATTCATCACCTTTAACACAAATATCATAAATTTTAGAACCATCAACTACCAAGTGTTTGACTTGTTGTAATACTCTATTTGAAATATCACCTGCTGTTTTATATTTCGAAACAACATCTGAATTCTTAATTGAATAATCAATTTCTATATCAATTGTTAGTAATACATTGTCAATCTATAGTATAACATACTCTTATCTTGTTTATCAGTTGTAGACATCTTCAACTCCTAATGAAAAAGTGTTGATAGTGATAATTTTTTTTTTCAATGGTCAATTATATTATTTGTTTAGCACATTTTTGTGAATTACATGGCCCAACTAGTATAATATGTACTACTACTACCGCCAATAAGGATGGTAAGGATGGTAAGGATGGCGGTGATACTACTAATACCACCAGTACTACTAGTACTGGTTCTAGCTGCTCATCTTGTCAATTGATTTTACCGAAACAGTGTAAAAACATATCAGATGATCAATTTATCTCAATGCATTATCCACAATCAACAACAAGATATACTATACTATCTAAAATGATTATGAAGTCATTATCAGTTGAAACGGTGTCAGATTCTTCAAAACCTATATTTTTCGGTGATGCTATTAATGGTTATTGTTTAAGTAGAGTATTTAATTTAAAAGATGTAAATGCAAGAGGATCGGAGAGAAAATATTCACTATTAGTGGTTTCTGATTCTGAGATGGATATTTTGAATAATTGGGATATTGTAAATTTATATTTCAATGAATGGATTGAAATACTACAACAAAAGGTTGAATTGGAATTGAATAAACTAACTGCTGATTCAAATAATGAAAAATATCTACGAAGAGGTAATGTTAAACCTAAAAGTTTGATTGAGTTAACTAATGATCAAGAAATATTTATTAAGGTTCATTTATGGGCTAGTGAATTAATTAAAGATTTATTAAAATGAAAATTTATATACGAATTATGATTTATGAAAATCATATCCTTTTATATTGATTACTTTTAGTTGAGCAAATGGAAAGATGTAATGGAGTAGATATTAGTGATGTAGATATTCAAAAAGTAGTGATTTATGGAATTTGATTCTAACCACTTTGTATTAAACCTTAATATCCAGAAAAGAAGCTAAAATAAGCATACTACTACGTGATAATTTAAATGCGATTCTTATTTCAATTCACTTAATTAGATCTCGTGAAGACAAGGCAATATACGTCTATGCCATGGGCTTTTTCAGGGTCCATTTTTAGTTCGATTTATGCCCAAGGCATTCTCAGATCCAAATTTCATAAATAAATTAAAGACAATTAGATAAAGGCTTGAATATTTGTAAAACGCAAGGATGCAATATAATGTAGGTGTGCAAGAACGGCTTCATGAAACGATGCAATAATATGGAATAACAAGCATCTTTACTTTACATCCTTTCATTGTATATTTAAACTCTATCTATTCTAAAAATATACAAACAATGGCTGATCTTCAATTATATCATGCTTCAAATTAACAACTTTTAATCTATCATCACCAATTTCGTAAATCCCATCCTTTTTCAAATCCATTGAATCTTTATATAATTCAGTCAATGTTGTATTAGATTGATAAGCCAAAGTAGGAGGAAAACAACCAACAGTGATATGTAAATGTAAATTAAGTGGTTCAATGTCGATCTCAATCTCCAACTCACCTTGTTTAATTCTCAACAATTCAACTTTTATACATATCAACTTACCTTCATTAACTACAAATTGTAATGGTTTAATATCAGCTTTGAAATCCAATTCATTCTTACCTTGATTAGAATCACCTAATCCTAATTTTTTAATTATATTTTTCCATTTTTGTTTGTTTCCTTTTGAACTAGATATATGCGCCAATGTAACATGAAACTCCTCTTGAATAAATTTCTGTTCTTTCATTGATTTATAATTTTCATTGTCTGAAATTGATTCTAATAATTTATATACATGGGTTGAATTTATTGATATTCCATAATATTGAGGATCCAATTTGGTAGTTGTCATATCTTTTATGAATGTAGGTTTATAATTCAATGCTGATTCAAATGCAGAATTAATTTCTGAGTCACTAGGTACTGATTTAATTAAGTCTGGATATTGGTTATGTATTTTATTAATCACAGTTTTGACATTTTCTAATGATGAATTGATGTTTAATTTTATCATTAAGTCGAAATTTGAATCTGGTGGGATATTAGTATCTACATTCTGAAACCTTTTTATAAATCCTTTCATTACATTAATTACCAAATTTGGATCGTTTTCAAATTGAATTGATTGATGATTATTACCTCTATTTTTTATTCTATTAAATGTTATATCCCATAATTCATCATCTGAAACATCATTTATAAAATTCAATCCGATATATTTTAAATTAATTATATCATCAATATAATCTCCTCGTTTTTGATTTATTGTATCAAATATTTGTTTCCTTTCCCTTCGTTCTGAATTATTCCTATCGAATAATACAACTCGATTGTTATCTAATGCTTTTAAACATAACTCTGTAACTTTTAATTTTGCTTTCTTTGCAACGTTGTCATTCTGGATATGTATCCAATCGGGAAATAAATTATTTAGTGTCATGAATAATGTAGTTTTACCACAGCCAATTGTAGCTATAGGTATGATTACATATTTGACAGTATCTAATTTTTCTGGTTCTTTGAATTTTTCATCAAGGTTTAATAAATTCATTCCAGTTGATTCATGTAAATGTTCGAGAAATAATTGACGAACTTTGATTATTCCATGTCCTTCTAAAAATTGTGATTTCAAATTAGGTTGTTGTTGAAATAGATTGTTTGCAAATTCTAAATATTTCCTCGTGATATATTTATTCTTCTTCATTCTTATTGAATGAATAGGAACTCCATCTATCAACTGTCGAGTAACTTCTCTAAATTGTCTATATAATAGATAAGGTTCTTCAAATTTATACTTGAAAAAGAAATCAGAATTATCTAATTTCTTACACCTAATTACAAAACCTTCAACTTCTCGTTGATCATAAGTTCCCGTCTTACTACAATCATGTAGAAATTCAAACAATTGATCCACATTATCATAAGTTAAATATTCAATTAATTTAAATCCCCAAGTTTTTGCAAATTCATTAACGTCTTTAATTGGAACAGTATTAAATTCAATTGTATTATAATTCAATCCATGTAAATATAAACCTGATTTATCTTTAGGATAACTTAATACATGTTCTTCAAACTCATCATCACATAACTCAGCAATAGCTGTTAAATTATTCAGATAAAGATATTGAGCCAATTCAAATAGTTTATCTCCCAATTGTCTTTTTAAATGGTGTTCACCTTCCAATGCATGGTTTCTAACAGTTTCATCCCTTTGACCAGTTGAATGTTTAGAGCAAACTATAATTTGATCATGATATCCTGATATAAATATAATACAACCATTTTCTTTCAATGTAACATCATAAGGACCAATTGTATTCTTTTTGAGTGAATCTTCTTGAGTGAATTGTTTTTCATTCACATTGAAGAATTTATCATATCCTCTAACTAATATCTCTTCATCATTAAATGTGAATAATCCTCTTGCTTGAATCGGTAATTTGATTTTATCTTTACCATAATCCCAATCTAAAAATTTCCAACTGTCCAATTGAATATTAGTACCATTCACGGTATTACTGAACTTAATACACTTCCCATTCTTCTTTAGTTTAGTTGATTGTTCTAACTGGTTAACTAATTCTTCAATGTCTTGTTTCAGATGCTTCATTTTTTCATTATCAACAAAGAAAAAAAAATATTGAACCAATACTATAACCAAATACAAAAGAATTAAGTGTCCAGTGGAATACCATTGAATACTATACTATTGAATATTATACTGTTGGTTATTATACTATTGAATATTATACTGTTGGTTATTATATTATCGCGTCCCTACTACAATGTACGTCGACGTAGATGAAGCAGATGTTACAATTCTCAATCAAAATTTAAACAAATCAATAGAATTATTTGAAAATATATCAAAATCATTACATATAATGTCAAATAAATCAAAAACTGCTTCAAATACAATTAAGCCAGTATTGAAAGATGTAAATGAATTAATAGAATCAAAAAAGGGAGTAGAATCATTAATTAATACCCTTAAAGAAGTTAGTGAAGCAGCTGGAAAGGTAACAAGTTTTGAACATATATTAAATGATAATATTGAATCAATTGGTTTAATTAAATATATGAATTCATTAAATTCTGCAAAACAATTATATAAATCAATACAATCAAAAAGTGGAAATTTTAAAGGTGTAGTAGGTAATTTCAATAATTTGATAAATAATTCAGAAACCAAGGTCCAAAATTATCTTCAGTCATTAGTCAATTCAGATCCTAATACTTTAATCAATAAGAAACCAGATATAAAATATATTTTCGAATATTTTACCAAAGACAATAATGATGAACAAATCAAAAAACAATATATAACAGCTAGATCTCAATTCATGATCAAAAAATTGTCAATTCTAACTGGTGATTGTCTTAAGACTACAGCTCCATTTGAAAAAGGCCAACATTCAATTAATAAATATACTGACCTATTTCTAGATTCAACATCTCAAGAATTCGCAGTTATAAAACAATGTCAAATTCCAAACATACTACCAATAATAATTGAAAATGTGTTAATAAATTACATTGGATCCATTATTTCAAAATATCAATTTAGTGAAGATAGTTATTTATTAATTTTAGAAATTACTGATAATTTAATTAAATTACAATATATTTTGAAAAATAAATATAGTTTACTGAATAATCGATTCAATTTAGCAATTGAAGAATTCATAAATGATCATAGGAATATATTTATTACATTTGTACATCAAACAGATTCGAAATTTAATATTGGTAAATTAAATGAACAAATTTCACAACAGTTGATCACCGACATCCTAAATAAATTGAGAAAATTTTCAGAGTTTAAAATTCCACTCATTCAATTAATTTCCAAATTTCATCCTGGTCAATGGTTAATTCAACAAAATCCACCAGTTAAATTTGTAAATGTTTATTCTTCAGTTATTCCTAAAAATGATGAAATAAAACCTGATTATTTATTATCTAGTTTTTATAGTGATATGATTGATTGTATTATGATAAATATTGAAATTGGATTAAAAAATACAGAATTAAAGAAAACAATTCAAGGATTTATATTAATTAAAGATATGTTTATGGTTGAAACGATTATAAATCGATCACAAGATCTTTTCCAATCATTAGGAAGTATAGGACAAGAAAGAATGACAAAATTAAAAAACCGGTTCTTAAAAATATTTCTTGATGATTTTTCACATTCGAGTTATATTATTATTCGAGATATGACTTCAATTGCCACATCACAAGCTAGTTCAACTTCTGGAAATGCTACTAATTTAACTTCAAAAGAGAAGGAAAATGTAAAAGAATTGTTTCAAAATTTTAATAAGTCATTTGAAGAAGCATTGTCAAATTATCAAAAATTATCCTTTGGTGATCAAATTTTAAAGAATTATTTAATTAATGAAATCAAAAAGATGATTGTTCCTAGTTATAATAAATTGTATGATAAGTATGGAAATTCAGATTTTACAAAGAATAAATCTAAATATGTTAAATGGGATAAATATCAATTTGAACAATTATTAAATAGTAGTTTATAATAAATACTGTTAATAATTTATATACTTGCAAGTGTTTGTTCAAATGTACCATCGAGTGTAAACAAGCCCAAATGTTTGTTGATACTCCTTTGTATCACTAACCGTAAAAATTTTCCATTGGTTGGGATGTTAGGTCAATTCTGATCATATATGGTTTTTTAAAAAGCTCATGAATGTCTTTTGATGGAGTAGGTTCTAACCCCAAATTTTATGATTTCCTGCCGAAACAAAGAAATCAGGACTGATTATACCGACTATGAACTGCTAAAGTTTTGGCTTAAAGAATATGAAGATTAAATTATTCAAACAACTTCAATCCTTATTGCTCTATCAGTACTAGACTACTTTCCAATTAAACAAGAAAGTTGCCAAACCTGGTTGGCGCTACGTCAAAATTAATTTTTACAAACATCTATCTGCAAAAGTAACATAAGCTTCAATTTTGAGTAAAAGTGAGTAGTTGTTAAACGGGACATTTTGCGGCTACTCGACTTTTTTAGTAGTGGTTAAAATCATGAATCAATTTTTAACGTTTACTATTTTTCAACGATTATCATTGGTCAGCCACCTAGTAAGCACCACCCCCTAAAGCTTAAAAAGATACCGACGCCTCTCAAGAACTCAATTTGAATTTGATTTTTTATCATTAAGCGGTACAGAATGCTTGTCTTACCTCTAACCACCTCTAACCGACAGTCTTAGCTGTCCTTCTCATATATTTAACTCTCGATTGTCCTTCTCATATATCTAACTCTTCGTTGTCAAATTATAATTCGGCTAAAAATCGCCTTAACTCCGAAGCGCAAAAATCAAAAAAAAAAAATCAAAAAAAAAAAAAAATAATAATAAAAAAAAGGATCACCAAATCAAATTTTGAAATATTTATCAACAACAGCTTCAACAATGACTAGTTTACAATTAACGAAAAAACTCGGTATTAAATATCCAATTTTGCAAGCACCAATGGCTGGAGTATCAACTATAGAAATGGCAAACAATGTAACTAAATATGGAGGATTAGGAGCCATTCCATTATCAACATATGATATCTCAACACCAGCTTCAATATCAAGTATAAAATCACAACTATCAAAATATGAGTATAATAATCAAGTAAATCTCAACTTTTTCAGTCATAGTATCGCACAACCTCCATCATCTTCACAAATTTCGACTTTTCAAAATCTTTATTCAATGACCCTAAATTCAAAATTGCCAGACATTAACTATAACCGTAATGCAAATGTTTCATTTCATCAAATTCATAACTTAGTAATTGAGTTTGTTATAGATTTTAAACCAGCCATTTTAAGTTTTCATTTCGGGCCACCTAAAAAAGAATTGATTCAAAAATTTCAAGAAAATGGAAGTATGGTATTTGTTACAGCTACTTCTTTGAGTGAGGCTAAATATTTAAATAAATTACATGTAGATGGGATAATATTACAAGGTAATGAAGCAGGAGGACATCGTGGAAACTTTTTAGATGAGAAAGATGAACATTTGAGTACGAAAGATTTATTTGAACAAGTTATAAAAGAATTTAAAAAGAGTCCAACTACGTTTATAATTGTCAGTGGTGGGATATATAATAGTCAACAGGTTAAAGAATATATAGATAATGGAGCTTCTGGTATTCAACTTGGTACGGTATTTTTAAATACTCCAGAATCTAACAATCATCAATTTTTTAAAGATAAACATGATGAAGATACAGTTATGACTGATTTGATATCTGGTCGACGTGCAAGAGCAGTCAAGACTCCTTTTATTAATGATATAATTAAGAATTATAATGGTGATGCCTTGCCAGATTACGGATATAGGTATAATTCATACAAGGAGTTAAAAAAAAAACAAGTTAAAAAAGATGTTGATATAGGGTTTTATTTGGCTGGTGAAAATTACAAATTATGTAATAGAGAAGCTTCAATTCAAGAAATAATGGAAAATATAACTAAAGATTTATGATTAATGATTTGTGATTTGTGATTTGTGATTTGTGATTTAAGATTTATGATTTGTGATTTAAGATTTAAGATTTGTGATTTGTGATTAATGATTAATGATTAATGATAAAAATGGTTCAAGACCAAGATGAATAAAGGTTCACGCGATAAAATGAAAGATAAAAAACAAACGAGCAAAAAAAAAAAAATGGTTTACGGATATTATTTTGAAAATATATTATTTTACCCGAATATACAACAACCGAAATATTTATGGCCAAATTCTAATTCCAATTCTAATTCCAATTCTAATTTTAATTCCAATATTAATTCCAATTTTAATTCCAATTCTAATCCCAATTCTAATCCCAACTCTAATCCCAATTCTAATTCAAATCCCAACTCTAATCCCAATTTCTAATTCCAATTCCAATTCCAATTCCAATCCCAATTCTAGTTCCAATTCCAATTTTAATTCTAATTCCGATTCCAATTCCAAGAACAAGATTGCAAATTATCAAGTTTCCTTGATCTCTCTACCAAAGCTTAGATTTGGGTTATTAGTAGCTCATTTCATTTCATGTCGTCTCAACTCATTTCATCTCATTTCATCTCATTTCATCTCTTTTCATCTCATTTCATCTCATTTCATCTCATCTCCACTTATCTCATCTCACCTCATCTCATCTCATCTCATCTCTATTACTGCCTCGAAGTTTCGCCTCGAAATTTCTCCTTAATTTTAAAGAATTTCAAACGTTTATAAATATATATATATAATACAAATTAATGCATATTTAAAACAATAAGAAATAAAAATGTAAGGGCAAATGTTATTTTTTTTTTTTTTTTTATCGAGGGGAATAAAAACGAAATTTGTTGTGTTAACACATTTAAATTTTAGAGTGTTTCAGATCTTTTATTTGATACGCGTTAATAGTGGAAAAAACAAAATTAATATTAGATCTCCAATATACAGTACCAAATCTCTTGTATGCCGGAAATTAGTGGGGAGTTGATAATTACGAACCACAGTCAACAAAAAAAGGAAAAAAAGAAAAAATAAAAAAAATAAAAAAAATAAAAAAAAAAAAGAAAGAAAAAAAAAAAAAAAAAAAAAAATGCTTAAGCGCCGCCGCCCTAAAATGACATTAATTACTCAATTCAACTAAATTATTATTGAAAAGAGACTTACGGTTCAAAAAAATATGACGTATTATAAATCAAAAGTAAGAACGTAACATTAATTTATTCACTTATTATTTATAATTCGGTGATCGAATTTCCACCAATTGATATGATTTTGATTTTGATTTTGATTTTGATTTTGATTTTGATTCCACAATTTTAACTTTTTCAAAGCATAAGTATATTATTAAATGTTCATCAAATCAATTATCAATCGAATCTTTATTGTATTATATTGTATTGTAAATCTCATCCCTTTAAAAACCTAAAATTTAAAATTCAATATTTAAAATTAGAAGTTTGCGTGTCTGGTTATGAACAAATTGATGAACTCTAAATAATCTCTCTCTCTCCTTTTTTGTGTTTAATTGCTTTTAATTCAAAATGATTTCATCTGGTTTGATTTTATGTCGTTTGATTTCATCTCGTTTGGTTTTATCTCGTTTGATTTTTGTTGTCAAGTAGAAATTGAAATTAAGTGAGATGAGACAAAATTAGATATTGAACTTTGTTTGTGTTGTTTGTGTAGTTTGTGTTGTTTGTGCATTTTCTTGTTTTGATTTACCATTTTAATAACCACCTGATACTGATGATATCTTGTGTTTTTTAATTTTAATGGCTGATCATCAGATGACTTAAATCTAAATCTTAATCTTAATCTTAATCTTAAGCCTAAGCCTATATATATCAATATACCAATATATCAATATATCAATTTGAAATCGAAAGATTAAAAAAAAAAAAAAAAAAAATAGATTAAAAAAATTACACAAAAACACGACTTTGTGAAATAACAAAACAATTTTTTCCATCTTTTTAAGTAATCACAAAATTAACTTTCTTGAACGAAATTAATTACTCAATGATTTAAGTTTTGGTTTGGTTTGGTTTGGTTTTTGGTTTTTGGTTTTTGGTTTTTGGCTTTTGGCTTTTGGCTTTTGGTTTTTGGTTTGAAGGGGGTTCAATATGGAGATTGTGGGTTTTAATGTGGGTTTTAATGTGGAGTTTAAATTATATAACCATTCAATGGTTTAGTTTTGTTTTAATGTATCAAAGAGGATTTAATATGACTTTTAAAGATTATTAATGATCAATTGATATAATATTGGTATTGATATTGATATCAATATCAACTTTATGTGTGTATATTGTATAATAATAGCATAATAGCTTCTCATTGCATAATCTCAAATTATTCTATTTCATAGTAAATGTTTAAATTTCTTAAATTATTTCATTTCCTTTTTCCGCATCGAACAGAAAAAAAAAAAAAAAAAAAAAAAAAAAAATAAAATAAAATAAAATAAAATAAAATAAAATAAAATACTATTGCAAAATTTCGGACTTCAATTTTTATACAATTTTGCACCCAAATGAAATGATAAACTTTTTATTCAAAGTTGAGTTAGAAACATCGAGTTAGAAACATCCAATTAAACCTATATATATATATATATATATTTGTATTATTTGCTTGATGTCTTTCGTCACCAGGTTGATGTGAGATTACATTACATTATATTAGATTAGATTAAATTAGATTTTAACATTACACTTACTTACTTACTTACTTACTTACGTAAATATTAAAAACGTTCTCTCAATATCTTCAAAAAGTCAATAAATTTCTTAGCACTTTGATTTAAGATTCAAAATACTAAAGTTACAACAATTTACGTCTCAGATTAAGAAATTAAAAACGTAATTAATACTCAAATTTGTGTATGTTTAAGTAATGTTTTTAAGTGATGTATTATGGTCAGTTTTTCTTTTTAATTTCACGTTAAAATAATAAATTATTATTAATTGTAATAAATAAGATCATTTCACACTTCCTTACTAATTACAACATAAAAGAAATCGAAATCGAAATCGACACCTTTTGATAATCAATCCAATCAATCCCAATCAATCCAATTAATCCAATTAATCCAATCTATCATAAAACATACTTTGACGCTTGATATAAAAAATTGTTGGGTGTAAAAATTGAAATATTAAAAATTAAACTTTTTATGCACGATTTCTTAAAATTAAACTTTTTATGCACGATTTTTTAAAATAAAATATCAAAATAAATTAAAATAAAAAAAAAAAAAAAAAAAAATATATATAAATAAAAAAAATGTTGCCAAATTTTTTACAAAATTAAACAACTTTTTCATTTCATTTCTTTTCAATTAATCTAGGAACAACGGGTATTTACTTGTTTAGTTGTTTATTTGTTCATTTGTTCATTTGTTCAGTTGGTTGTTCCATTCCATCCCATTCCATCCCATTCCATCCCATTTCATTCATATCAATAAATATTATTAGTTATTAATTAGTTTTTGTGAAGAAAAAATATCTTATCTGGTTATAAGAAACAATCATACAATTACAAATAACTAATTTATTACATAATATTTTTACGATTTGAATTATTTGGTCACTTAATAACGGAATACAATTTTTATAACAAATCTAAAAGTTATATTTAGTTGGATCAATATATCAAATCAAACACATTATTAAACACATTATTAAACACATTAGACACACATTATCACACACATTATCAAACACATTATCAAACCCATTACCAAACACACATTATTTATTGAAAGACTGAGCATCCATTGTATTGTATTGTATCGTATCAACTCACTTCAGCTTAACTCATTTCAACTGCTCAAAATTATTCTAGCCACAACTATTCCTTATCATACCAAAATAACATAATATAATATAATATAATATAATATAATATAGTATAATATAATACAATATAGTATAAAGATTACAAAATATGTCAACTACAATAACTTCATCAAGAGAAGATTTATTATCTACTTCTCCAAATACCACTACAACCACTATAACACATCCATTAACTTATACTAATTTACTATCATCAACAACATCATCTTCAACATCATCTTCCTTACCTCGAGATTCATCATCTACTAATTCATATTTTACTCAAAATCATAAATCAAATTCTTCTACAATAGATTTGGGAGTACCCATAATAATCAATAGAACTGCAGCTACTCCAACCCCTCCTCCAGAACTTTCCACTACCTCATCCACTACCACAACAAAACCAAAAATAAAAATTCCAAATTATTATGTTGCTCCAAAACATATTCAACATCAAGTTTCACAACCAACAACAACTACTTATTTAAATCCTCCTCCATTAATAAGAATGAAAAGCGGTCAATTATTAAAACCATCTTTAAAAAGATGTAGTTCAAGTCCAAATTTTGGTGGAAATATAATCCCCTCATCATCTCCAAGAAAAAGTGTTAAATTTGCAAGTAGATTATTTAATATTAAAACTTTTGATGGTTGTGATTCTCCAAGTACTGTCAATTCAGCTTCTCCTTCATCTCCATTAGATTTTACAGATTCTTCAACTTCTGATGATGATGATGACGAAGATATTGATTATTTTACAACTACTACAAAATCGAATTTAAAAAAGACTGAATATAAAATGTTAAAACATAATATTAGATTAAATAATAATGATGTTATATCATTAGTTCAATCTTATATCATTAAAATGGGTCAAAAATATTATTTACAAGGTTTATTAAATGTTCAAAATTTACATTATGAAAAACATATAATTATTAAAATTTCTGTAGATAATTGGTGTAGTAGTATTATATTATCGGGTCCAATAATAAATTATCATCGTCAAATTAATTCATCATTGGATCAATTTAAATTTAATATTAATTTGGAAAATATAATAAATTCAACAACAACAACAACAACAACAACAAAAACAACAACAACTTCAGAATCATCAAATATTACTGATTTACAATTATGTTTTAAACTTGAAATGGGTAATCAAACTTATTGGGCAAATAATTATGGTCAAAATTATAAATTTCAAATAAAATCATTAACAAAAGAGTTTCAATCACCATCAACTAATTCATTTGATTCATATGATTTATCATTACGATTAAATAAACTTAAATTAGAGTCAGATTTCATACTGCCAAAAACGAGTACAAGACCAATTATGACTAAATCATTTTCAGATTTAAATTTATCATCATCAACTAATTTAAATACTCCAAAATATTCTCATAGACAAAAGAATAAAAATATTAATTTAAATCCAACTATTTCAAGTTTATCATACGAAGATTTATTAAAGAAATATTGTTTTTCAAGTAATGAAATAAAGAATAGTAATAATAATACTACTACTACTACTACAAAAGATTCAAATGTTTTAGTCAGGAGTTGTTCTTCATTACCTTCTACTGCATCAACATTATATTCATTCACGGATCAAGTTCACATTTAATTCTTTTGCTTTTTTATAGTTTTTTGATTTAATATAGGTTTGCATTTATAGATTTTTTATAATATATCTCTTGTTGATGAAACTATAATAATAATCTCCCTCTACTCATAAAAATATAATTTACCGCTTGCACTTCCACCAACAGCCCAATTTTCAGTAGGATGTAAAGTACACACAGCAGGTACAGCTCCACATAATTCATTTAAATGACCTAGTTGTATACCATCTTGATTATAAATATCTAAACCTCTTTTCATATTACCAATTATAAATTTTGAATATTGATCTTTTGGTGAATATTGCCATTTTGATTTTAGAATTGAAACCCATCTACCAGTTTGACAATTATGATTTATTTTAATTGTACTATTTATATTATCTGGTAATTCACCTTCTTCAACTTGATGTTTTGAAGGAATTACATAATCCATTTCCCATTCACTTATACCGTTCATATCAAAAATTCGAATTGTATCATCATAACCATTACATAATAATCTATCATTAATATTCCAATCAACTGTAGATATAGATAATCTTGAGGTAAAATTACCATATAAATGAGGTGAATTTTGATGTTCATGCAAATCAGAATATATTGATTTTCCAATATTTCTTAAATCCCAAATTCTTAATGATCTATCTAATGAACTTGTTGCTATTTGATTCAGATTATTTGGATTAATTGAAAATCCTCCAATTTTCTTATCATGTAATCTTAATAAATTTTTTTTAATAATTTTCCATGGTTCTCTAACATCATGTGTGATAAATTGTCCATCCATATTAGTTATATAAAGTTGATTCGGATTACCTCTTGGGATATTGAAATCTGTAATTGGAATTTCAATATCTCCTTTTTCATAAGGATCTTTCATGTAAAGTAAATGATTTGAACTCATTTTATTCAAATCTAAACTTCTAATAGTACCATCAAAAGCTGAAGTATAAATTTTTTGATAGTCAGAATCTGGAGTTAATATTTTTGATACATTTCTACCATGACCGTGTAATATAGTTATTGCAGGTTCATTTTCATTAGATGCATCAACGGCCCATAAACCAACATTACCAGATGTATCACCAGCAGCAATAATTCTATCTTTAGTAGCTGGATGAAAATAAATTGAAGTAATTCTATTATGACATATTTTAATATCTAATGGATCAAATTTGTGATAAACTTTTAATTTTGCAAATTCTTTTCTTTTTGATTCTATATCACTATCACTTTTTAATACTTTTATTTCTTCATAAATATCACTAGGTGAAAGTTTATCATATTTATGACCTAAACTTTGCAACACGTTTAAAATTGTATCATCATCATTTAAAATAACATCCAAATCTTCATCATCATCACCTTCCTCTTCTTCTTCTTCTTCCTTTTTAATCACAGTCTTTTTCTTACTATCCTCATTTTTAATTATCTTATCTTCAAATATCATATTACCTTTTGAATCAGTTAATAAATCACGTAAAGCATAATCTCCAGGTAATTTTGAACGTTTCAATCTTTCTACTTCTCTTTTTAATTTTTCCTTTTCTTCTTCTTCTTTTCTTAATTTTTTATATTCTTCAGGATTTTCAGTTTCTGATTTTATACCAGCTATTCTTTTACTTCTTCTTGTTGGTTCAATTGATTCTTCTTTATTTGTAAATACTCTTTTTTGAGGTTTTGATCTTTTCAGTGGTGGAGGAGTTGCACTTTTTTTAATTTCATTTTTGATTGAAGATGAAATAGAATCTAAATTTAATTTTGCTAATAGATCTTTATTTCTTTGTATATTTTCTTGTCTTTTCCTTTCAAATTTTGATATATTCATCGTAGTTAATGGTTAAATAAAACGCGTTTCAGAAAATTATCGCTACCATTTGATGATGATGATGATGATGATGATGATGATTATGATTTATTGCTTAACCAAGTAACCACAAAGAGTTTTAAAACGTATTAATTCATATATTATTCTCTATTTATACAATTGTTTTCACCTTTAAGCAGATGGAGTCATAACTTGCCAGACTCTAATAACATTATCAGTATAACCAGCAAATAAGTTTTGACCATCAGCTGACCAAGCTAATGAAATAGCTTCTGGATCTTTAGCATTAACACCAATAGCAAATTCTGGTTTTAATTCATCTAATAATGATCTTTCTTGTAATTTAAAGATCTTAATACCAGTAGTAGTAGCAGCAGCTAACCAATATCTATTTGGTGAGAAAGCTAAAGCATGAACTTCAGCTTTAGCATCTAAAGTGTATAAAGTTTTGTTTGAGTTTAAGTCCCATAAAATGATAACACCATCTTTACCTGCTGAAGCACATAATGATCCATCTGGTGATAAAGTAATGCATGAAATATAACCAGTGTGACCAATGAAATCAGCATTGACTGAATAATCAGCTAAATCCCATGACTAAGACAATTGTTAGTATTAAAAATTTTTCTTCAATCCTCTTTCTATCAGAGATCTTGGTGATTAAAATATGTCTCATTCGCCCGAAGACGTCTGAAGTAGCAAATAAATTTGATCATCACTGAAAGGTTAATAATTTAATTTAATACATACTTTAACAGTTTTATCCCATGAAGCTGAGATAACGGTTGAAGCTGAATCTGATGGTGAGATTCTAACAGCTGAAACCCAATCTTGATGACCAGTTAAAGTAGCCATACATTCACCAATAGTATTCCAAACTTTAACAGTTTTATCTCTTGAAGCAGAAACAATTTGTCTTAAATTTTTAGCAATTGAAACTGATAAAACATCACCTTTATGACCAACGAATCTTTGAGTAGTTTCACCTGATTCTAAATCCCATAATCTTAAAGTTCTATCCCATGAAGCTGATAAAGCATAAGCACCATCAGCTGAAATAGTAACATCTTGAACAATGTGTGAATGACCTTTAAATGATTTTTTTGGAACACCATATTGATTATCTTCACCACCAGTTAATTTCCATTTAATTAAAGTTTTATCTCTTGAACCTGATAATAATAAATCTGGATGAGCTGGTGTGGTAGCTAATGATGTAACCCACCCGTTGTGACCTTCTAAGGTACCTCTTAAAACTAAAACTTCGGAATCTGACATTGCAATTGAAATTTGAAATTGATATAAAAAGAAGGGAAGTAAAAGTAAAATAAAATTTTGAAAAATTTTGCAATATGGTAGTGATGATATTTGAAAATACACGACTTTTCATCAATTTTCATCAACTTCAACAAGGAATTGTACAATTGAGGTTCAAGGTAGAGACTTGAGAGTTGGTCAATCAGCTTAGAAGCAGATACGGTTTTGGTATATGTAGTTTTTTTTACTCAAATCGCCAATTAACCTTTACATTCTGGATGCGTAAATTTCAGACCTAACAAAATTTCAGCACAGTAAATTTTTTGCTGCAAAATTCTGAATCACATCCAAACATCAATATTTAACGATTTGAATCAGTCTAAAATTTACACTAATAATCAAAAGGTCCTTAAATTTCAACTACAAAAGCTACAATTGAGCCACAAGATACTAGAGTAGGCCGTATGCATAAACAATACTACATTGAGCTTTCAGAGCTAGTAATTGAAGTATTGTTTCAAGCATTTTGAGAGTAGTAGTTATGATGTGTAATTTAACACCTTATGACATATAAGAACGCCAGAAAGACATTATGACTTATTGAGGCGTTCGTTAATTACTTCTAGCATGAGATCTGGTACATTTGGCCCCGATGTGTTACAATGTAAATGAGATCTTGGTAGATCTTGAAAAAACACCACCTACGGCTGTCAACACCACCTACGGCTATCAACACTCAGTTATCATAGAGTCAAGTATTGATCCAGTTGGTTAATCAATCGTTATGCAAGATCCTATACTCAATTTTGTCAACTTACGCTTGTATAAATTTGGCTGCAAAATTATAAATCACGAAATTCTTACATAATCAAAATTTATTTTTAGAAAATAATATGTCAACAGATATTAACAAAATTACTATTATATCAGGCGGAACAGCTACAAATGAATTAGTATCATTATTTAGCCAATTATCAAATAATAATAATGTATCATATATTTTACCAATTTCAGATAATGGTGGTTCAACTTCTGAAATTATAAGAGTTATTGGTGGTCCTGCTATCGGTGATATTAGATCAAGATTAACAAGACTAATCCCCAACAATCAAGAATCATTGAGAAATTTATTAAGTTTTAGATTATCGCCAAATTCTCAAATTGCCAAACAACAATGGAATGAAATTGTTGAAGGTACTCATGAATTGTGGAATCCAATATCGTCAAGTACAAAGGAAATTTTTAGATGTTTCTTTGTTCATTTACATGTTGAATTATTAAAAAGATCAAGAATTCATCAAAGTACAAAAAGAATATTTCGTTATGAATTAGCAAATATTGGTAACTTATTTTTAACTGGTGTTAGATTATTTATTGGTTCGTTAGATTCTTCAATTGAATTATTTTGTAAATTAACTGGAATTGATTCAAATATAAATGTTTTACCATGTATAAATACAAATTTTACATATCATATAAGTGCATTATTAGAAAATGGATTTATAATAACTGGTCAATCACAAATTTCACATCCAAGTGAATTACAAATTTATCCACCACCAATTAATAAAACAAGACCACCTACTCCAACTGATGAAATTGATGGATATTTTGAAGTACCAGTTAATGAAGTTGCTATGAGAAGATTAAGTATTGATTCATTTATATCTGATGAAGAAGAAAGTGGTAATGTACCACAATATACTCATCCAGAATTGAAAAAATCACAACTACATTTTAATAAACTGGAGAATATAGAACCTTTAAAAGCTCCAATAAAGAGAATTTTTTATATTAGTCCATATGGTGAGGAGATAAAACCAGCTGCAAATAATAGGTGTATACTGACAATATCAAATACTGACGTTTTAGTGTATTCTATTGGTTCATTAATGACTAGTATAATTCCAGTAATTATATTGAAAGGAATCGGTAAAGCAATTGCAAATAGTCAATCAAAAAAAGTTTTATTACTTAACGGATGTTTAGATCGTGAAACATTTGGAATGACTGCTCTTGATTTTGTTAAAACAATTGTAGAAGCTGCTGAATATTCACAAGATAAAATTAATGAACCATGGAATAAATACGTTACTCATTTATTATACATGAAGAATCCAAAGATAAAAGTAGATGTACTACAATTAGAAGTTCAAGGTATAAAATGTATTCATGTTGATAAGATTGAAGGTACTGAATTTTTTGATTTAAATCATTTACAGTCTATATTTAATCATACCATATTTTAATCAATTCTTCACTAACTGCAGAAGGAGTCAATACACCTAAATCAGTTATTAAAGCAGTAATATACTCATGTGGAGTAAAATCAACAAAATAAGTTTCCTTTAAATTATGTTCATTATTTTGTTCTTGTAATAAATTTATATTATTATTCATAGGTAGATCATTTGGACTTAATGGAAATAATCTAACAAATTTGTGAGATTCAGTTACAACATAAAATGGTTTGTTATTAATTTTTGATAAACAACCAATTTGATAAGTACCAATATGATTTATTATACCACCTTCGGCCACACCTTCAGCTCCAACTAATACTTTATCTACTTTGTGTAATACATAACCAACAGCATTATCAACTATAACTTCACAAGGTATATCTGCTTCTTTTAATTTATTAGCCATATAAAATCCATTACCAGTTGGCCTTGATTCAGTAATTAAAACTTTGAATCTAATTAGTTTTGATTTAGCTTTTAATAATAAACTATGAACAACTCTGGAATAAGAATGAACTAATATCACATCATCATCTTTTATAAATGATATACCAAATTCTGCCAGTTTTTCTCTTGATCGTTTAGCTCTTTGAACAAATAATTCACCATTTTCAACCAAATTTGTTGAAAATGATTCCCAATCTTTATAAATATTCGTATTTCTTAATACAAATCTCATAAATAAATCACAACCAGCACTTAAAGAAATATTATTTGGAATTGATGATTTTAATAATTCAATATTTTTAGAAACTAAATTGATTAATTCACTTGAAGTTGAAGGTTGTTTAATTCTCAACATTGATACCAATGATTCAATTGCAGCTATAGGCATTGTCATATCTTTATCATCTTTTAAGAATGCCAAATATGTCTTTGTTATATCAAAATCTGTTATATCATTCATTATTATTAGTTACAATAGCGCCTGGTGAAAAAAAAAAAATTATCAGAAATGTCAAATTTATTTGTAAATGATGATGATGATGATGATGTACAACAAAGATATCAACCAACTACTACTTCTATAAAAGAAGAAACTGAAGAAGAACCAGAAATAGTAATTAAAAAAGAATATGGTAATGATATACAATTAGAATATCAACAATTTGAAGATAACGCAGAAGAAGATGAAGGTGAAGATGACCATGATCCAATTATAGATTCAATACCATTAGTTATGAATACGGTTTCTTCAAAACAAAGACATCTGTTACATATTTTACAATATCCAGGTAGGCCCAAAAATAGACCACTCAATAATGGTGCATATTCTGGTTCAATAAAATTAGAATCTCAATATCTTGAAATGACAGTACCTGCTGAACAACAATTTTTTAACAAAAATAAAATAGACAAATGGGGTGAAGATATAACTGAACAGAAACTCAGTGGTGTTTTGGATAAATTAGAATCTGGTGCTTTTGCGGGTAAACTTATTAATGATGGAAACGAAAGAAAAGTAGTTTTGATCCCCATTGATTCTTCAGCTCAATTAAGAACAAGTTTTAAATACATAGACAATTCAGATAATGCAAATCATCAAATGTTAAAAAAAGAATATGCAAAACCAGAAAGTGAAGTTAAAAATGTTACAATTTTGCAAAGTGCAGCAAAAAATTCGACGCAAAATCAAGACGGATTTGCTCATACTTTAGGAGACTCATTAAAACTGATTAAGAAATTTGATGAAGAAAAATGGAAATATTTAAATTGGAGAAATAATAAGAATGATCCAATTATAACGAATTTAAAAAATGAGTTAGAGAATGGTTCAAATCATATTGAATTATCAACAAATACACAATTTGAAGATTATATAGATAAATTAATAAATAACTAATGATGATGATGATGATGATGATGATAATGAATTACAATTGGTAGTAATCTTTTGTATATATTTTTCTTTTTGCAGCCATTTATTTTTTGATCTCATCGCACAGTTTTATCAATTTACGATGGATGAAGATGATGGTTTATTATTGAATTTCGATACTAATACTACTTCAAATGATTCAAAAGTGCTGCTGCTGAAGGTTAAAGGTGGCAGATGGAAAGACAGAAGGAAATTACAATTATCATTACAAGGTAAAAAACCAAAACCAAAAACAACAGGTGTAAATAATATAGAAATTGATGAATCAAAATTAAAACAACCACAACAGCCACAAACAAAGAAACCAAGAATAGATCAAAGAAGGTTCACAGAAACAAAGGGTGAATTTGGAGGTAAAAATGAAAGTTATGTTTCATCCTTATTCTCGAATAATCAAGATACACAATTGAAAATCACCAAAGAATCGGAAAATATCAAACATACTCCATCTAATGCTCCTATAATAGACACAAATTCATTCAATGGACTAGGATTAAATGAAAAATTATCAAGTCATTTAACTGAACATTTAAAATTTAAGTATCCTACAAAAGTTCAAAAACTCGTACTTCCAAAATTATTAAATTCAATTGTTGATCTATTCGTCAAAGCACAAACTGGATCAGGTAAAACTCTTGCATTTTTATTACCTATATTAAATCAACTAATGATTGAAGATAGATTAAATCGAGAATCGGGATTATTTGCAATGATATTAACACCAACTCGAGAATTAGCAAATCAAATATACCATGTATTGGAATCTTTAACACGTTGTTATCATCATATTGTACCTGGTATAGTTATTGGTGGAGAAAAGAAGAAGTCAGAAAAGGCAAGATTAAGAAAAGGGGTTAATATCTTAGTTGGTACACCGGGTAGATTAGCTGATCATTTAGAAAATACAAAAAGTGTAGATGTAAGTCAATTAAGATGGTTAGTATTAGATGAAGGTGATAAATTAATAGAATTGGGATTTGAAGAAACAATTACAAAAATAACAACAAAAATAGAATCAACAAATAAGATAAATCAAACAATTACAAAATGGCCAAAATTACCAAGCAAAAGAATCAATGTTTTATGTTCAGCTACATTACAGAATAATGTTAAGAAATTGGGACAAATGATATTAAATGAACCAGAAATGATTTCAGTAGATAATGAAACTGAAAATACGATAACGTTTCAAGATACTACTCATTCAACTGCTCCTGATCAATTAATACAGGATATATTAGTAGTGCCGTCAAAATTAAGACTCGTCACCCTAAATGCATTATTAAAGAATATTTCAACACAACCATCGAAGACAATTGTATTTTTTTCATGTTCAGATTCGGTAGATTATCATTTTGACGTATTTACAAGGAGTGGAAAACAAATAAAAAATGAAGAAGAAGAAGATAGTGGTATTTTAACAGCTCCAATAATTAACGATTCTATAATTTATAAACTTCATGGTTCATTATCACAACAGATTAGAACAAAGACATTAGAATCATTCATCAAAGATAGATCTGAATCGAATAAAATTTTATTCTGTACTGATGTAGCATCTAGAGGTTTAGATCTACCTAACATCACAAACGTGATTGAATATGATGCTCCTTTTACTATAGATGATCATTTACATAGAATAGGTAGATCAGCAAGAGTAGGAAATCAAGGAAAAGCTACCCTTTTCTTATTACCTGGTATTGAAGAAGGTTATGTAGATAACAAATTAAAAATTGTTCATCCAAAACAAGGAAATTTAAGAATTATAAATTATGAATCTCCATTACAGACTGCATTTGCTGAGGGTGAATCAAAATCTAAAGATCAAAAGATTGGTAAATGGGATATACATGCTACGACATGGCATTTGGATGTTGAAAGGTGGTTATTGGAAGATCAAAGCGCAATGGAAAAGGCAATACAAGCATTTACATCTCATATTAGAGCTTATACTACTCATTTAAATTCAGAAAAGCAATTTTTCAATGTAAAGACTTTACATTTGGGTCATTTGGCTAAAAGTTTTGGTCTTAGGGAAACTCCGAAAAAATTGGGTAAATCTGTTAATGTTAATCAATCTGCTAAAGTTAAAAAAGAAGATCCAAGGAAGAAAATGTTGAGAATTGCTAAAATGGCTGCAAAAGATTTGAATTCTGAGTTTAACTACTGATACAATGAATGTACATTGAATATTCGAAGCTAATCATCTCTATATAATCCTCAATTGGAATTTTATGTATATTCTTAAATTGTATGATCTATAAATAATGAATATGTGCATATTATACGGATATTCTAACAGTGAATAAATTGGTTTCAAGCAAAAACAACTTGAGGTATATACGTGATTCTTTCCGATTCACGTTGCAGAGTTGAAATCTCAAAGCAAACAATTTGTCTGAATCTTAACTCTAATTACTATTATCTCTTTGAAGCTTCATTAGCAGCATTTCTATACTCTTCAATTTTCCAAATACCATGATTTTCACCAATGACATAATTTAAAGTCTTTCTCTTATAATAATCAGAATCAATCATTAAATTATCAATCATGTCATCTAATAAAATTGCTTTACCTACACTTATACCATCACCTAAACCAGGATGTTTAACATTAACAACATGGACATGAAAATGATAATAAGAAGGCTGATAATGAACAAATAAACGTAATTCATCCCTCTCCAATCCAAATCTCTCCTTCGTAACATCATAAATCTTTTCCCTTATGTTTTTCAAATAATCGACATCAACACCATTCAAATCTCTAACATTTGAAATGTCCATTCGATTTACAATACAACATAAGTATAAATTAGTCAAATTTAACATGTCCCATTTCATATCAGGTAATAAAACAAATCCACTGGGTGATTTATCATGATATATAAAAGTTTCAGATTCTTTACCATGAAATAAGATATTATATACCCATTTCAAACGTTCACCCTTCATTGAGTCAATATATGGAACCACGTAATTTATATACATTTCTGGAGTTTCTTTAATCATGTGTAATTTCTGATCATCATATTTTGAAATATGAGTTTCTGTAGCTGGATAAATTAGATTTAATTTTGCTGATGGGTTTTTGTTTATTGATTCTGATAATATGATTTTCAGCCAGTAATAGATATCATTTGAATTAATCAATGATATTTCTGAAATTAGGGAAGTTAATGAATTTGTTGAATCTTCATTGAATTGTGATTTTTCAATTATTATGATTGCATTTTGGGAATTGATTGTGCCTAGTAGTGCTATTGTCTTTGTTTGAACATCATTCTTGAGTAATTTAGTGAATCTAAATTGGGATATTAGATTGTTAATAGACATATTGGAGGGTTTTAATTGGGATGCGAAATTTATATTCATTTTTTCAATTTTATACGATGAAATTAATACGAGATTTGGCATGAACTGTGGCACTAGCGCTCGCCTTGAAAGAATAATTTTTAGGCACGGTGCTCGTTTAAACTCGGCCAAATATTCGATTTATCAGATCGAAAATTCTGAAACAAGATTGTCTTATATGCAGTCTTGTAGTAATTAATCTTCAAACTTCAATCGTAAATAACACCTTCAATATTTAAGCTTTCACCCTCAACGTTTATTATTGATAGCTTATAATATTTAGAGTAAAATGAGTATATTTTGTTTCAAAAACACTTCATACTCGTCATTTTATTTGCTGTTTAAAAGATGTCAAAATACACTAAATTTCAAGATACATAATACTTAAACTTCGTTTTACAACTTATATCCTATTTGAGTCGTTTCATTTGACACCAAGTAAAATATTTATTACGTTTTAAAGACGACAAAATTAGTTTGAAATTATTGCAAAATTTTCGAACCACTATTGAAAAATTACTTTTCCAATTTTGAAAACCTAAACACAAAAATATTTAAAAAAGTATACAAAGCCAGAGTTCTAATATTGGATAGTTTTATCATGTTCTAGTTTTCATGTTGATTTTGGAGTTAGAGTTTTCGGAAGGTCAATTTATTCGATTTTTCACATACTTAAGAGAAAATATTAGAATTTTCTTCGAATTTTGAACTTTGCAATCCAAAATTTGATTCAGGACCTTTATTTAAGGTCTAATATATATAATCTGCTGTTTATTCAAGAGTTTTGGACGTAGTTAGGAGTACTTAACACTTAATCAGTTTTAGTAAATTTTTTGCATGGTGAAAAAGGGCCAAAATTCAAATTGAAAAAAAAATTTGCAAATCTATAAATTCAGATATATAGGGTACATAATTCAAGACTTCTGATTTTATTGACCTGGTCTTTAATTTACGAAATTGTGTTGTTTATGACATATGAGCTATCAAGCTGAGTCGCCCTAAATTTAGAACGAGAGAAAAATTTTACCGCGTGATATAAAATAGTGGGGCGAATGGGAATGAACTGAACAAAACGTGGCTCGAATTCTTGCCATGAATAAAACCTTTCGCGGTCGATCTTTTGCTTTAAGTTTGTCCAAGCTTATGGTTTAGTTTATATACAGTCTTACACTAGTTGATACGGAGAATTAGTTATAAGAAGGCAAAGTAGTGGAATCGTTCGGTATCGAGTACCCAACATTTCGTTTTTAGTATTAGATTATCATCAATCCATATTAGATGGCATTAAATTGTCATTAATTTAGATCAAATTCCATTTATTTACAATATCATTAAGTTAATCTTCACTAATTTCCATTATCTACATTTCCATCAACTTGTTCATTATTAACATCTTCACTTTCCTCATCATCATCATCATCTTCTTCTACTTCCTCTTCTTCATTTAAATCTATACATATCCAACTGGGCCAAGCAATTTCATCCCTCAATATATTTCTCAATTGTTCCATTAAAAATTTTTCAATCTTACTTACATTTCTCAAAACATTAGCTTCAACTTCACCAATTTCACTCTCAATCTTTATTTTTTTAATTATATCTATTCTTTCTTTATTTTCAGATCCACCACTACTCGACATTGTAAAATAATCAATAAAATTACCACCAGAACCAACTGATCCACTATCTGTATCTTCATTAATATCACATAAAAATGACAAATAAATACAATTTTTTAAGTATGCAATTGTGGCAATTGAATGAATTACTAAATCAGTGATATGTAATTTGATAGGTAGACTTATAAAATTTGGACTAGGATAATTTATCAATAATGTCACTAGGATATTAATATATAAATCTCCTTTATAGTTTATTTCTAAAATTAGCTGAATATCTGATTCATCTCTATTTGTTTGTTTTTGTCTTGGTATTATTCTCGTTGAATTAAATTTCAGTTGTTGATTTAATATATTAGTTGGTGTTTCTGATCCTGTTGTCGTGGAAATTATATTAAATGGATGTAGGATACTTTGTGATTGAAATGAAGTTAATGGAGGTGGATGTAAATTTAATTTTGGATCAACCGATGAAGTTTCTGATTCTGAACCTGATGAATCGGAATCGGAATCGGAACCTGAATTCGAATTCGAATTCGAATTCGAATTTGAATTGTTTTCTTTTGGTGATGCAGGAGGTGAAATATTTGATTGTGATAGATTTTTCACCAATTCTTGCTGAGTCGGATTATTTTCTTCATAAAATTCTTCAAATACATCTCCAATATGTCGTATTGTAATTTCTGGAGGTATTGAACCAAGATTAAATTCTGTAATTTTTAAATTAGTAATATAACTAGGTAATTCAATATTTTGAAATTGTGAATCTAAAAAATCTCTAATAGATTCATTTATATTTAAATCATTAGCAAGACCATCCCAATTTATATCAAACGACATTAAACTTGAATATTAACCTTAAATCTATTCAATGTCTATTTCCGTTGTCAATACGAATAAGATCTATATATATATTTTTTTCTAACCGTGCGTTTCAAATTTCTGTCGTGGTCCAAAAAAAATTTGACCAGCAGGACATAAATAAAATATTAGATTAGACGACTAAACGAAACTTTGAATTATGAATGACTATGTATACATTAACAGATTCTATTTGAAAAACTATAAATTAGATAGGTTCAGCCCTTTGTAGATTATTTTTCTTAACTAGGGTCTCCTTTTTTTTTTTTTTATGTCCAAGTTTTACTTATCTGATTGTCATTCTGATTGTTCATGTAAAAATAGAATTGATGACAATGTTATTATATTAACAGAAGAAGAAAAATTAAGAGTTAAAAGATTGAATTATTATAAATTTCTTGATTCTTTATGTTTAAAAGCAAAAGATGCTATTGATGATTATTTACATGATTCTGAATCTTATGGATTAAATGAATTTCAAATTGATGAAAGGATTAAAAGTTATTTAAAGATTATTAAAAAGGCAATTGAAGGTGAATTGGAGCAATAATGTTGGTGATAATTGTTGGTGATAGCTGTTGTTGATAATTTAATATATGCATAATTAAGGTACACAAAAATGATCTCTAATCAATGATTTGTTTTATTTGCGTATCTTACATTCTCGAAGTTTATTTTTGGAATGTAAACTTAAATGTGTCTTCAATAATGAATTTTGTGTCTAATAAAACAAGTCATCGTTTTGGATCTCCTCCATAGATTAGCCATTTTGTGTCATATATAGAAGGTCTTTGAATTGAGGTCGTAATTACAATAGATAGCTCAACAAATTGAACTTCGCATAAATTGGTGAATTTGAGATTTGGAGAGTTGATCAAGGCTTCAAAAGTATCTTTAATTAGACATGTTTTGTATTGCAACGTATGGTTAAATATCAATAAATTAGACAATCGAGTTGCCCTAAAACTACTGATTGTTTAAATAAGAATTAAAGAACGAGATAGAAGACTTTAGAATGTCTCAAAAATAGTGAATGACAATACATCTCAAATGAATTGTCATTAAACATAAATTTTATCAGTGTTTCAAGCCAGAAACTGATTTGTTGAGCAAGTCACTTTTTAAAGCCACACCGAATAACAACTTGAACTATGAACCTACCAGAGCACTTATTGTCTCGAATTCTTCTCGTTGTCAACTTATAAAAGTCGAAACAATACTTCAGGTTTTGCTTGAATTATTCCACATTTAGGAAGGTTTCAAAACGTCATTACTAATCAGATTTGTAAGTTCAGCTAAGAGTTTGACTTTTCAACTCTATTGTCTCTTTTCAAGTTGTAAACTCATTTCACGAATTGACAATTAAATAGGCTGCAAAAAGTACACTTTCGAATTGCAGCTGAAATTAGCAACCATCAACTCCAACACTGCAAATGTCAAGCCAAGAATAAAAAAATCTTTATTCAACTTGTCGACTTTTTCAGCAACATATCATTACAATGGCCCTATACTCTTCCGAATCAACTAATTGCAAAAAACCTTATCCACACATTTGGTAGCACCCGGTTTCTCATTAATGTTTTTTTCACCACCAGTCAAATCAATTGAAAAAAAATTACTTAATCAAATATCAAAAACTAGAACAATGTCAGCTTCAAAATTCATTATACCTACAACATTAAAAGAAATTAGATTCCATTTATCACAATCAGGTTCAAATAGTATACCATTAAAAAAATTCATCACAAGCAATTATTCATCTTTAAAACAACAAACAAATTATAAAATTCCAATTTTAATTAGAGAATCATTTGGTATTTCTCCTAGTTTAACTTTTAGATTTGAAAAAGGTAAAGAAATTAAAAAGGGATTGGATGGATTAGATGAAGGTCAAATTGAAAATACATTTAAAGAATTATTGAAATAGATGGAGGAAAAATTGATCTTAGAGTCTGATGAGAAGTGGATAATACTGATAATTACGATGATGTAACAAATAGAGCAATAAAAGTTTAATATATATACATATTTATTCATATTATTGCATTTATTTTGTTTGAGGTTTAATTAGGTTGATCTTTTGAAAATTTCGCTAATTTCAAGATGCTTAATTAAGTATAATTGGGTAGTAGTTACTTCAAATTACTTGGAATTAACTGGTCTGAGCAAGCATGTACATAATCAAGGTACTAACTAGCCTTGTTTCAATTAAGCTTAAGTAGAGGTTTTAGAGATTTTAATTTTTCTCAGATTTAAATTTGAGCTACTTCGCTATTAACAATCTACAATCAAAAATTATTGACCATGTATATATTTATTACGAACCATATAAACTTGTCATATACTTTTTATAAGCCATAAAATCATATTTTTCTTGTTTCTGTTAAATTTTATGCACTAACTAAATTCATAAATACCCCAACCAAGACTTAAAAATTCATCATTATAAATTTCTTTAATTTGTTTATTATTCATACCGGAAGCAACAACCAATGGTAAGAAATGTTCTAAGGTAGGATGAGCTCTAAATAACATTGTATCCTTTTTCAAATCTTTTAAATTTTGTAAAATTTTAGATTGATCATCTTTAGTTAAAATTTGTTTCAATTTTTGATTGAAAGGTTTAACATATGGCATAATTTGACTAGGTTGATTAAAACTAGAACTTATATCTCTTAAATTATGAACAGTCATTCCACTACAAATTATCATACCTTTCAATTCTTTACCATCTATATTTACAAGATTATCTTTGAATTTACTTAAAATTTGACCCAATTTATAATGAGAATCAAAATCTTTATCATTAGAAGTTAAACTTATTTGAATTACAGGAATATCTAAATCAAATTCTTTTGAATCATCTCTTTTAATTTTATTTTCATAATTATAATTTGCAAATGCAATTTTTAAAGGCACCCAAACACCATGATCTAATCCCCTATCAACTATCTCAGAATTGAAACCAACATTAATTAATTCCTCCTTAATTAATTTTGCCAAACTAAGATCATTTTTAGTATGAAATTGTTCCTTGTACATATAATTTGGAAATCCGTAAAAATCATAAATTAATGAATTCTCGTGTGTTTTTGACATGAATGGATATCCTATTTCAATTAAATTTTGACCATGCGATTGCCAATGAGCTGACACAACTAATAAAAAATCAGGTTTCAAATTTGAAGTTATATTTTTACCTAATTGAGTTATCTTATTATATGCGCCTTTATTTGAAAATGATTCTGATTTGTATAAAAATGAAGGAGCTCCATGACTAAAGAAATAAGTTGGGAATGGGGACTGGTTGGTTAAAAATTTTGAAACCGTGGAAGCAGCAGCAGTAGTAGTAGTAGTAGTAGTAGTAGTTGACATTTTTGAATTATTATAGCTATAGTAATTGTAATAGTAGAATATAATTGACGATAAGATTGATAAAAATAAGATATATTTCATTTATATAACAAGATTGGAACGATAAATAATCATTATTAATAGTTTTATAATAGGAGTGGTAAAAGTTTCAAAATTTGAAACTGGTAGCGCATGTCAGCTTGCATATTACTAAAAAGCTTATTAATGAATAATGAATGAATAATGAATGAATAATTAATGAATCAAAATATATATGTACACGTGAATAGGCACGTGACTTATAATTAATGACTCAAAATATATATACACGTGAATAAGCACTTGACTTACCAAAAACGTGACTTATTTTTATATCCGTACCATTCGTTTTATACCCGAAGTCCAATTTCGTAAATTCCAAAATATGCGAAATTAGTATATTTGACATAATTGACACAAATATATTTTCATAACTGTGAGAATTATTACTATGTACAATCTATTAAATACAATCTATTAAACTGGTTACTTATTTATAACCGTAACCGTTTATTTGTTTAAAGAGAATGAAATGATTCGATTGTTATTGTACAAATCATTTAATGACCATGCGTTCTTTTACTATCAATCTCAGTTAAATACTGTCAATAACTTTACTGTTAAACAAATACCCATTTATTCCTATTTTAAACCCACATCTTCCATTTTATATTCATTCTTATTTGCTAACGTTAATTAATTGTATTAGCTATCAAAACATAAATCAATATCATCATCGTCAATTAATGCGAATATGAATATATATATTCGAGCCGCACAACTCAAATAGGCAAGATATATACAATCAGGTAGCAATTTAGGGTTATATACAGGACAAAATAATAGTTAAATTTTGTATATAAAGGATACCTGAAATTCATTTCACTATAAATTTATATAAATAGTATAAATATCGTCATTTGTTTGTTTTAAATTTTTATAAGCATATATGGTTGCCATTATTATATTTTACCATTTATCGTTTCATTCACCAGATTTTTATATCAATTAGTGATAATTCATAATTTTATACCGTGGGATATATTATATATTATATATTATATATTATATATCATAATAAATTATAATGGTTGGTATATTTAATAAAAGGGTATGTAAATGATTAATTGTGGATGATGTCAAAAATATAAAATTAATTACTTACTAACTATGATGTTTTAAGAGAAGTAGACCAGATTCTTATCAAGGTTTTAGTAAATATGCTCATGAAATTAATAACTATCACAATCAACAACAAGAACAACAACAACAACATTTAAATGCAGGATTACCTGTTCAATCCACTCAAGTTAGAAGTCAATCAATGACTAGTGCAAGTCAAGCTGCTGCTGCTGCTTTAAGATTACATTCTTCACCAATAAAACAAAGTCCATCTCATCAAACTTTAGCTCAAAAACAATATGGTAGACTGAATTCATTAAGTTATGCAAATGCAAATAGAATTAATGGTAATAGATCAAATTCTTTAAGATCAAATTCGTTAAAACAGTATACTTATACGCCAAAACCATCATATTCACCAGGTCCATTAAAAGAACCAACCAAATCTCAACCAAGAAGATATAATAGTCTTAATTCTAATGCTTCTTATATACCCAAATCTGTTAATCTTCATCAACAAGATTTCATTGAAGAAGAAAATGATCGAGATTTTGATGAAGAAGAAATTACTGTTACTACTACTGAAACTAAAATTTTAGATTCTCAAGGTAGAGTCACTAGTATCACCACGAAAATTGTTAAACAATTACCTGATGGTTCAGAAGTTGTAGAAACAAAAACTAAAAATATTTCAAGAATGAATTCAAGAGCAAATTCTTTAAGTTCAACAAGTCAACCTCCAAATTTTAATAGAACTAATTCAATTACGAACCAAACTAATTTGAAAAAGATTGATGAACATTTACATAATTTTGATTATGATTATCAAGTAGATTCGAATACTCAACAACAACAACAACAACAACAACAACAACCGTTAAATTTGAATCAAGAAAATGAAATTAAAGAATTGGGTCCACCATTTGAACATAATAATAATAATATTAATAATAATAATAATAATAATATTAATAATAATAATAATAATAATAATAATAATAGTAGTATTCAAAGAACTTCTTCAATTGCATCACTGCAAAAACCATTAAGATCAATTTTGAAATCTACACCTAGACCTAATTTCGATGATGCAAATGAACAAAATATAACTGCTTCTTCATCACCTACTGATCATCCATATAAATCACTAAGAGATAATAAACTAATTTCAAGTCCACCACAACAAGCTCAACAACAATTTTCACAACAACAATTTTCACCTCAAAATGGTTTAACTTCACCTGCTAGTTCAATCAAATTTAATGATAATGTAACTACAATTCCAATCCAAGCTGATAAAAAGAAAAACATATCATCACCACCTCAAATTTCAAAACCAAAAGCTTCTAATCAACAAATTGATGCTGATTTTTATGCTGCGGCAATGCAAGCAGCATATAAGAAAGTATATGGAGAAAATGCAGTTCCACCACCACAACCACCACAACCAATTCAACCAATTCAACAATCTTCTCCACTTCAAGATAATCCTGAATTAAATGAAAAACATAAAAAATTTGGTTTTATTCCATTATCTCCAAAAAAACAAGAACATCAACCAAGAACAAATTCAATTGATTCATTAGTTGAAAATAAATTAAAAAAAGATCATGATGCGTTTGAAAGAAAAAATGAAGTTGAACAACAACAACAAGTACCTTCAAATTATAAATATCAGAATCATTATAAAGAATTTGCTGTTCATTCAATGAGAGATGATCCTAAAATAAATAAGGGAAAAGCAAAAGAAGAAAAGAGAAGAGCTAAAGAACAAGCAGAAGAAGAAAAAAAAATAGCTAAAGAACAAGCAGAAGAAGAAAAAAGAAGAGCTAAAGAACAAGCAGAAGAAGAAAAAAGAAGAGCCAAAGAACAAGCTGAAGAAGATAAAAGAAGAGCCAAAGAACAAGCTGAATTAGAAAAGAAGAGAAAGAAAGAAGAACGTAAATCTAAATTCCGGAATTTCTTTGGTTTAAATAAAGATAAAAGAAGAAATAGTTATAATAGTTCTAATAGTATTGGTGGTTCATCATTTGAAAGTAATCAAAAACCAAAAGAACAAGAATTAACTACATCACCGATTCAACAACCAATTAAAGAAACAAATGAAGTTCCTCCTCAAGCATTTGCAGCAACAACACAACTACAACCGATTAATGAATCTACAGTTGGAGCCGTTCAAAATTCACCAATCCAACAATCAAATCAACCAGTTCAAAATACAACAATTATTGAAGAAGAACCAGTTATAATAGAACAACCAAAACAACCAACTTCACCATCAAGAAAACCAGTACCTGAATCTCCATTAATTGAAAAAGAAAATCCAATTTCATCAAAAGATATTTCAAAACCAATAGATTCAAAACCAATTGGACCTAATCCAATTGAATCAACTCAACAAGGTAATATTGTAAAACCAGTAGAAACAGAACCAGAATTAACTCAAGATACAACAGTTATTGATTCACAAATTTATAGAATTTCAGTACCTCGTACTATTTCAGATGATGCAATTTATCCATCACCAAATATTAATAATTCACAAAGATTATCAAAGTTTTATTCTGCAACTAATGAAACTCCATTACAATCAAAACAATCAGTGATTCAAAAACCTCAATTGGGTGAAATTGAAGATGGTGATGATGACCATGAAAATGTAGATGAATTTAAAAGCTTAAATGATGAAGATTTAGCTGATTTTGAGGAGAAGGATGGTACTGGTGTTTATAAAGAAGATGATGGAGATGATGATATTAGTGTTTATGATGATGAAGGTGTTAGACCTGTTAATTCAAAGAAAGATTTGTCAAATGTTGAAAATACTACTACTTATGATAATTCAAAAGAAATAAAAACTAATGACTTTAGCAATGCTGCTGCGTATGAATCAGATCGAATATTGAATGAAGCTTATACTGCTGGTTTAAACAAAGGTGCAAATCGTGAAGCTCAAATCACTGATTCGAGTTATAATACTGGTTTATCTAAAGGTGAAGAAATTGTTGAAATTCCAAATCAAGTAAATGATAAATTTGGACTAGAAAAAGCTGTTTCTGATGTTTATCCAAGAGATGCTCATCATGATGAACAATTTGTGAATTCAAATTACAATACTGGGTTATCAAGAGGTGAAGAAATAATTAAAAATTATAAAGATAATAAAGATCATCGTGAATCAGAAATTATAGATGCTTATGCCGCAGAACCATATGAGAAAATATCCAAAAATGATGCAATTGAACCTAAAGAATCATCAAGTTATGAACAAGTTGAAAAACCAGTAGAGAATGATGTTACACCGCAGATTAATGCAACTCCAAATTTTAGTAATCATAATGTTTCTGATGAAGTTAAACCATCTGCATTTGTAAAAGATCATACTCATTCTAATAATCATGGATTTATACCACCTTTACAGTCACAACAAAGACAACAACAACAAAAGCCATCAGTTGCAACTGATGAAACAACACCAATAAGTAATAAATCATATCCAAATACAAATAATTCAACAGTACAGACTGAACCCGAATTAATAGAAGCTGAACCTGACTCACAGATTAACGAATTGGTAGTTGATGAAAAAGCAAGTAAAAAGAGTAGGAAACAGAAGAAACCAAGTAAATTTAAAGAAAAATTTTTTAAATATTTTATTAATACTTATGATTGAATTTAATTCTATAAATTTAATTCTATAAATTATGTTGTTTTTATATATTGTGTTTATTTTTAATTAATGTTATAATATTTTGAAATGATGATAATGTAGATAAATAAGAAGCATTAATACCACCTTCACTTTTGTATTCCCCTAATATCGATTCCAATTCTGTAGTATTTGGTGGACTCAAATCCCAACTGATATCCCATTTGTCATTTCTTTTTCTATTTAATAAAGTAATTGCAATTGGCGTTTCTGAAATTGTTGATTTTGAATAATTTGAATCTGAAGAATATAAAACACCACAAACATCATTATCTTCAACTCTAGATCTAAACATCATAGATTTAAACGTTTTGAGAATCCCTGGTTTCTTTTTAGGTTGTAAATTTGGAGTTGATTTATACTTTTGTAACATAACTATTTATAATTTATTTATTTTTTTTCAATTAATTGTGATACTAAATCTTTAACTGATTCATCAATACTTCTTAATTGAATTTTATATATCTTTTTACTTTTTTCATCATTAGGTTTTCCTATGTAGTTTTCTGGAACTGATTCACAATCAGGTAATTTATCTTTCAATTCTTTAAAATTAGCTTTGATTACATTAATCATATTTTGATTAATCGCCTTGCCAACTTCAAGTAAAACACGATTACCTTTAAAATCACCATCTTTAATTGCTAATGAATGAATCTTGGCAACATCTCTAACGTCAACTGCACCAGCAGCAAATTCAGGAATTGAATCATCTTTATTTAATTTTAAGATTTCAGCAATGATTGAAGTTGTAGAAGGTGTTCCTTCTTCATTTGCATCAAATTTTGGTCCAAGGACAAGAGCAGGACAAATTGAAATTAAATCAAATTTGGCATCTTTTGCAATTTTCCAAGCTTCTTCTTCTGTAAATTTCTTACTTGCAAAATAAGCCATATTGGCATTAATTTTACCCATTTCGAAATTTAATGGACTCCAATCTGAATCTGAATAATCTCCACTGATTCCAAATGCCTTATCTGGACCAACCATAGCAGCAGATGAAGAAGTAAGGATTACTTTATTGATATTTGAGGTTTTGATTTGAGTTAATATATTCTTAATCAAGTTGATATTTGGATTAATTACTTCATATTCTAAATCTTGACTTGTGAAATTTATAATTGCGGCAGTGTTGATGAATGTAGTCACATTTGGATACTTTTCAAATAATGATTTTAAAGAATAAGAAGCAAGTAAATCTGGAATTATTTCAGTTGTTAAACTTGAAGAGAACAATGATTGTAATTTTTTACCCAGGGTTTCTGATCTAACTATTGCTATTACTTTATTCCCATCGTTGATTAATTGATCGATTATATGTTGACCAATGTATCCTGATCCACCGGTAATGAAAATTGAATTTGACATGGCTAAAATTCTAAAAACGTTGAAGTGTTCCAGAAGTTTTCCAGAATTTAAATTTATGTGGAACTACTAAAATATTTGTAAGATTGAAAGGAGAATGTTAGAAATTTGGAGCCTTAAAGAAGGTAGAATTATAATTGGTCCATTTAATTTGTGCTATAATGGTTCTCGTTTAGTGAGATGGCGTTTGTTTTAGTTTTGTAACTATGCTCGGATTTATCCTGGTTGAGAAATTTAGGGTTTAGCTTTGAATTCAGATTTGGGAAGGCTAATTAAGATTAATTTATTAGCCTCATCTTCGCTTAAACCTAGTCTTGAACAAGAATTTGAGTTACTCCGATTAGTTTGAATTGGCCCCTTAACATCTATGATTTAAAAATCGCTGTCTTAGTTTGTAAATATCAGTGTACATACTAGTTAATCTCATTTGCACCCCATATAATAATGAAAAACAATAGAACGGTGGAGGGTGCTGATCCTCGCACTCTGCTGGTCCCAAAGATAAATTTTCGATGGCAGGCTAATGCGACATCGCCTCAATTCTTGTCATAACTGGTGCAACAAATTGCGAATATTTAACATTGCGATAAAATAATTTCTCGCCCTAGTGCTGGGACAACCTCGTACTAAACGTGTTTGCTTATAGGTCAAGAACAATGCATTCTCCTGAAACAAATAGCATTTATATGAAATCAAAAGCAATAAATTATATACTCTAGGTATTGGAAAACTACAATTTTCATCTAATTATTTCAAGTTGAATTTTTGGCACTTTTTCACTATACAAAATTTTTTCGAAAACTTGAATGCAATGTATCTTTTTATTTACAGCCAAAACGATTAACTAAACATCGAATTATGTATATTATACCTCAAACTAAGATTGTGAAATGAAACTTAATTGATCAAGATCAATGGTGCAAAATTGCAAAAATGGAAAATTTGACTAAGTTGACTTTACAAAAATTCTAATTCCACAGTGTAGTTCAAACTAAAATATGATGAAGCTAATCGATTTTGTAGTTCTGCTTTCTAATAAGGCTTGAATGTTTTTGTGTGACAGTATTCAAAATTGCAAAAGTAATTTTATAGTAGTGCTTTGAAATTTTTGCAAAATTTTCAAAACAATTATGGCGTCTTAGAAACATCATAAATATAAACTTTAGAAAAGAATAAATCAAATCAGCTATACTAGAAGTTGTTAATTGAGGTTTTAGTACTAATTGGCTTGCCAATTAACGTTTTTTTACATTTAAGATGAGGAATAACTGACCAAAATTGCTTCTTATATAAAATATTATCATCACTTCACTTCAAATTTAATGTTGTTTTCAATTAACTTTGACCATAAGAGTTTGGATATAGAGGGAGCTATTTATAAATTAAATTTTGTAATTAACTGTTACATGACTGCATATAAGTAAAACGCGTTTCACAATTTTGGGTGTAAATATTTTGACCAATCAGCGCGTTTTATTACTTAAATTTATTACCCCTTAACGACAGGTTGGACAACTTTCTAGCAAAATAGCTTACAATTGAATTCTTTCTAGACTAGAGGCCCTTTTATATTGTTCTTAAGTGTGCTTCAGTAGTGTCTCTTTTGAACATTGCCTAATTAATCACCATATTCATGAGATGCAACTGATTTTTGTATTATATTAGTTCAGTTGTTAGCCCATTCTACTCTTTTATAAATTAACTCTAATTCTAAACTATCATAGAATCAGCTATTAACTATCTAATATATCTATCTTTATCAAATTCTCAATCATCGAAGTAGTTTATTTTACGGAGTAGCTCAATTGTATTTCAGTTTTTTATTTACATGAGACCAAAATACAGAGTTGAGCAGTTTGAACTCAATAAAGAAGGCCAATTTAAAACTTCACACATTATTTCTTTTAATTCGGATTTCGATTATACGAAACAACCATACGAATTAATCAATTCAATTAACATTCCTAATTCTCTAGTTTCTATGCTTAGTGTTAGTAAGCGTCCAATTAAATAAATACTCGAGTTCAGTTACAGAGGAGATTAACAAGCAAATGGCTAATTTCATGTACATTGGGGTTCAAATTTAATTACTATGATTAGCTTTTATTGTGCAATATAAACAAGATCTATATAATCTAAACTTCAGTTAGTTTATAATTTGAGTAAATGTATTTCAATTCAATTATCGATATCATTTCAACAAAGTTTTATCCATTATAACACTGTCCATCGACTCCACCGTATGAATCATAGTATACTTCACCTACCCAGGCTGAGTCTTGAGTTCTCTGACGTGACATTCCACCTGCTAAACACCATTTAGAACTCACAGCATAGCATCTAAAATCATTCGTACAGGGTTGGACTTGGCTAACAATACCTACGGAATTGTCATATGCAAGTCTTCTAGCTGCTTTACCATATTCATCCCAGATTAACCAGTCATTTAAGTAGCCCTCATTCACACCCCAATCATTGTATGAGGCCCAATTACCTGAGGAATCTCTTTTGGCTATTGTTGAGTTCAAAAGCCTATGTTCACTTACACACCATTCTCCGCTTTTACCGCACGCTTTATACAATTCAGCAGCTTCATCTAACGCATCTGGTTCAATAAAAACAGACTTATTGTGATCCTCATGTTGCAACACTAATTGATAACCTACGTGTACCGGTTCTGAGACATTAAACCAATACACAGCACCACTTGATAACACATTATTACTACTATCTTCTCTTTTGTCTGTGAATAACTGATCAATACCCATTAGGTCTTCCGTAACGTACAATCCTTCAATAAGTGGTCTAGCTGCACCTAAACCTAAATTATTTAACGTTTCCATGTGCATTTCAATTGATCGTTTTGCTGCACTTGAATCAGCATCATTTCTCCAGCCACCATCTTGTCTATAATTTTGAAAAGTATAACTTGCAAAATTTAATGCTGCTAAAAACATAAATGCAACACCGCAAGTTACTAAAACTGATCCAGCAGCAGCCGGACCTGCTAGTCCAAGTGCACCTAAAGTTGCTGCTGTACAACCTGATCCCAACATCTTGTTTGCACCGGAAACGCCTAATCCAAATGTACTTATAGCTCCATCAATTGCGGCCTGTTTCCAGTCTGCTCTAGTCAGTAACTCTTGCACTTCTATCGATAGTAAACCCTCACCATTTTGAGTATTTTCATATTCAGGTACGACAATAAGCCCCTTTTCTTATATTGCCTCACCACATGGAATTAATTGAGCATTAGAAGTGTTAAACATTAATAGAAACAAAATAATTAAACCTAGTGCTGCAAATATCCCTGTAAATTTAACTATAAACTTACCAAAAAGATCAATACATTCCATAATATAGCTCTTTCTCGCATCATCATTTGATAACTTAATCAAACCTTCTTGATCAGCCAAATCAATTTTAATATCAGCTTTTAACATAGTTGTTGAATTATCTTTTTCTTGCAACTGAAAACATCAATAGAATAGATTGGTCTTTTTATGCTTACCCTAGCGCCGGATTGTTTACTGCCGATACTTCATGTCTTTATTAAGATTATGAGCATTGAATAGACTATAACCGTAAATAAGTGAAGATATTAGACCGCGTGTTCAAAATTTTCTCTGTACTTGCTATTGGGTCCATTAGACAGGCTTTGGATAACCTTGTTTTTTCTATATTTTTGAACGAAGCTACAGTAATACGAATTTTCGGTGTCTAAATTTATAAAAACAAAATAAATCTTATTAATTGATTTACTGTTGTTGATGAGATTTACTTAAGTGTACTTACAGGATTGTGAGTCTCGTCTTACTTTGCCTAATATTGGGGTTGTAATAAAATAGTCTAATACGTTTAGTATCTAACCATAAAGTCAACCAAAATCATACGATTTATTTAATTGGCTGAATTTGAAGTAATGGCTCAATATTTTCAATATTTTGACTAAAATATTTAGATGCTAAATGGCTCATATCAATTTCAAATAACCTTCAAGTCCTTACTCGTATACTGCAATTTTGATGATTTGGGATCTACAGATATTTCCTTCGACAATTGAACTCTCAATATTCAGGATTCTTAGTACTGTAGTCAATGAAACCTGTGATTTTCATTATTTTGATCATTCGACAGTATTGGTACTCTTAAAGAACTCCAATTATCGTTTGAATGTCAGACTCAAAAGTAAAGAAAGAAAAATTGCGTCATAGTTGTCGTGTTTGGCCCAACCAACGTTAGTCAGAATCATCACAAGACAGCAAAAAAATTGAAATTGGCTTACTCTAATCACTGTGGTGGCACTACTATTCGCTTAAATAATGCTTGTATACGTTTTTTTGATCTTCAAATAGTAAATGAGAAACATACTTAGACAGGATATCACGCCCACATTTGTATTAGAGCCTATAATATATTAGAGAGACTAGAGATTACATTCTGGTTGTATTCTAAGAATTCTTAAACGGATTTATGAAATTATACTAGTTAAAATACGTCAAAATAAATCCAATTTATTATATTTCAAAATTGAAACAAACATTAATCTTTGGAATAATCCATTTAATAATTAGCAGAAGTTGTATTTAAGTATATTATTGAATAGTAACTTCTTTGTTCGACGTCTCTTTTACAATTAATTTACGCTACTTATCAAGGGTTACCAATTAGACGATAAAATATAAATATTAATGAAAAAGATTTTGTATTGCGCGCAAAAAAAAAAACAATAATGCCATCAATAATCACTTTAGTACCTTCTAAGGCTATTTCTCTAACCTGGCACGTAAAATGTTCGTTTTAACCTTTTGCGGGGCCCAATAAACTTGTATTGTCACATATTCCTCGGCTTTCTGACCTCAAACCAGATACACAATTGTAATCCATGCATAATAATGAGATCACGTGAAATTTATTTATGTAAGGTGGTTAATGATTGAAGCGAAGCGCTACCCAATGATTGATAGAATTGAAATGTTTCACTATTATTCAGTAGAAGATGTCTATAAACTATGCAAATAACGATTCTATTCAACTGCTAGGGTCAATGTTTGATCACATGTCATTATCATCAGCATCTCCACCAACGGCAAATGAAGAAGAGTCATCGTCAGCAACATCCACAGTTTTTAATGAGATTTGCATGGCTTGTAGAATAGGAGATTATGAAGTTGTTGATTCATTATTATCTACACCTAATTTGGATATTAATCAAGTTGATGAGTATGATTATTCACCATTAATTTTGAGTTCATTGTGTGGACATTATAAAATTGTTGAATTATTATTGCAAAGAGGTGCCGTATGTGATAGAGATACTTTTCAAGGTGCAAGATGTATTTACGGTGCACTTACTGAAGAGATAAGAGATTTGTTGATCAGCTTTGATATTTCGAAAGCTGTCGATATTTCGCAACCTTTTGCTTCTCATATATCATCATTATTAAATCCTTTAGTATCCAATTATCAAGATTTAATTATCCAAATTGGTAATGAAAATTTAAGTTTACATAGATTCTTGCTATCTGCAAGATCAGACTATTTTAAATCAAAACTAGAGAGCGAATGGGAAGAATTGACCGTGGTGAAATTAAATGAAGCGGAAATTAATCCTGTAGTTTTCAAGGGTATTATAAATTACATTTACTTGAAGTCTGATTCAATAGGGATCGATGATGAGAGTATACAAGATGATTTGTTGAACCTCGCTATAAAATATCAATTGTATGATTTAGTTGAAGCAATTAGGCAAGTTAAACTGAATAAATCTGAATCCATTTCAAAATTAAAACATGATTTATCATTCAAGTTTCTAGAAAAGGCTAGATCAGATTTAAATTACTTCTTAACAAATAGTATTATACATGGTTCAATAAATTCTGAAATGAATTTAAATGATGAAATAGAATTTGAAGATATTGAAGTCGAACGATATCTACTGGAAAAGAGAAAATCAATATTATTATCAAGTAAGTCTATACCTGATTTAATATTAGCAACCATAGATATATCATCAGAGTCTGTTGTTTATTATCCAGTAAACAAATCGATAATTTCAAGATCGGAATATTTTGACACTATGTTCAAATCAAATATATTCAAATTTTCACAAGAGGAAGATTTACCGACTTATCAACATGATACAAAGTTGCAAGTTATAAATAGACCACAATTATTAGTTGATAATTTACCAGTCATACAACTTTCTTTAAACACATCAAATATAGAAATTTCTGAATTAATACTAACTTATTTATACCATGATGATATTTCAAACATACCATTAAAATTAACTATTGATTTATTGTTTGCAGCTGAAGAATTATTATTGGAGAGATTAAAAACAATGTGTGCAGTTAACATTTCGTCCAAATTTAATAAATTTACATTTGAAGAATTGGAGAAATTACAGGATAACCTAGATCATGATGTATTTGATTTAATTCGAGTTTCATGGGAGGCAAGATGTGAAAAATTGGAACAACATATAACCAAATTTTTAGCATATAATTTAAAAAGTATATTTGATAATACAAATTATAGAGATGCATTTTCAAAATTAATTAAAGAGAGTGCTGAAAGAATCAAAGAAAGACAAGATACTGATACAATTGAATTAATTGATGATATAAGATATTATTTAACTAAAAAATATGCGATTAATGAAGATACCGAAAGTTTTGATCCATTAAATTTTTCAAGTGATGATAAAAAAGACAATATTAAGTTATATAATAATGCATTAGCTAAATATGAATCAGATATTGAAATAATTGATTATTTATTACAAGATTTACAATTAGATGCTTAATGTACACGATTGGTAGCATTTTTGGCCCTGGCAAATTTGATCTCATCGCATATTTTTTTATTTCCCTAAGTAAACCATGTCTGATACTAACCCAGATGGTGGATTATCAAAGGAGTCTATCGAGTTAGATGATAAATTATCTAGAATCAGAACTCAGATAAATTCAAAATTAGAAAATCAAAAGCATTTAAGTATTATATTATCAGCAGTTGAAGAAAATATTGAAGAACAAAATAATTCAAAAACACCAGTTACATATTTTGTATCATTCTTATCATTGTTAGATCAATGTATACAAAATGATCAAATGCTAGATCAACAATTAGCTGCTACTACTGCATATTTTTTGGATTTAATTTTCCCATTTACTCCTAAATCATTATTAAAATCAAAATTTAGTGAAATATTGGTTAAATTATCACAGCCTTTAAGTTTAAAATCAAGTGATGCTCCATTAATTAGATCAACTATAGGTGCATTAGAAAGTTTGTTATTAGCACAAGATTTTCAACAATGGAATCAATCAAAAAATAATCAAGTATCGCCGCAAAGAGCATTTTTAGCATTATTAGAATCATCATTTGACCCAAGACCCAAAGTTAGAAAAAGAGCTCAAGATGCAGTGCAGAAAATATTGGCAAATCGTCCAACTTCACCATCACCAACTCATATAGCAGCACCGTTAGCATCCGACATTGCATTAAAACAATTGATAAATTTAATGGACTCATATAAAAAGAAGAAAGGAGATAAAGAATTGAATTCACAAATAATTCATTGTTTACAATTAATTACAATAATTACATCATCTAATTCATGGCCTGCACAACAAATCGAACAATTATGTGATATACTATTGGATATTTCAAAAACCTCCGATCAATATTTAGTTTCATATTCATTCAAAGCATTTGAAGGTTTATTCAAATCCATGACTAATATAGTTGATGTTGAAAAATTTACTAAAGTATTGAATATCATATTTGATTTGAAACCTTCAATCAATGATACTCATTTAGCTGCTTCTTGGTTAGCTGTAATTGCTAAAGCATTGGAAAGTTTTGCACAATTATCACCAGTTACATGTATTGAAAAATTACCACATATTTTATCATTAGTTTCACAATTTTTAGCGTCTGAACATCAAGATATATCTGAATCTGCTTCACAATGTTTAATTGCAATTATAAGTCAAACTATACCCGATAAATTTTTATTAAATCCGGGAGTTGAAGGAGTAACTCAAGAAATTTATGAATTAATCGATGATACAATTACATTTATTTCAGAATTGATTGAAAACGAATTATTTTCAATAAAATATCAACATGCAACTAAGGAGATTTTAGAATTTGTCACATTAACAATAGAGAAATTAAGAATTAGATCCAATCCGGATTTCATTTCAATACTAGAAATAGTTGGTTCTTGGAGAACGAATGAAACGGAAAATTTCAAATATAATAAAGAAGCTGAAGACTTAATTTCCGCATCAATAAGCTCAATGGGTCCAGAAGTTGTTTTAGGTGCGTTGCCACTAAATTTGTCTGGTGGCGGTCCAGGTAGAGCTTGGTTATTACCATTATTAAGGAATAATGTAAGATTTGCAGAATTGGAATTTTATAAAAAGCAGATTTTACCAAATGTTGAATTCTTTGAAAATAAGATTAACCAATCACAAAATAAAGAAAGTTTGAATAATAAAGTTTTCCAAACTATAATTGATCAAATTTGGTCAATCTTGCCACATTTTTGTGATTTACCAAAAGATTTAACAAAAGCTTTTGATGAAGCTTTTGCTACTAAATTAGCAGAATTGATGTTTGCAAATGTTGAATTGAGAGTATCTATCTGTCACAGTTGGAGATTATTAGTTGAATCCAATTTAGCGTACGCTGATGGTGCCTTGAATGATGATTTAATGATGTTACAAGAATTTTCAATTGAACAAGCTCAAAAGAATATAGAATATTTGAAATCAATCTCATCAAATATATTAACTGTTTTATTTAATATTTTTACATACACCATGCCAGAGTCAAGAGGATTTGTTTTAGAAACAATTGAAACCTATTTACAAATTATACCTAAAGATGAATTAGCAAATACATTTGATAAAGTATGTGAAATGTTGAAGAATGCAATGGATGAGGAAAAATCAAAACCACAACAAGCAAATAAAGACGCTACACCAGATCAAAGTGTGACAATGATGGATTTGATTGTTGCAATGGCTAAATATGTGCCTGAATCATCACACAATGCATTATTCTCAATTTTTTCAACTACTGTTTCTTTAGATAATGCGTTATTGCAAAAAAGATCCTATAGAATAATTACAAAACTATTGGAAACTGAACAAGGTAAACAATCAATCTTGAAATTTATATCCGATATTGAATCAGTGATAATCAAAACTTCAGACATAACCAATAATTCAGCAAGATCAGCAAGATTAACTTCAATATTATCTATTTTGGAAGTGTTACCATTATCTGACTTATATTTCATTCCATCAATTTTGCAAGAAATCATAATGGCTACAAAAGATGTCAATGAAAGATCAAGAGGTTTATCATATCAAATCTTGATTAGATGTGGTCAATTAATGAAGAATGGTGAGCAACAAGGAGGTATAATTGATAATTCAAAAGTTCCAGGTTTTGACTCAACCACACCATCTACAAATGCATCATTAGTTGAATTTTTTACAATGGTTTCTGCTGGTTTAGCATCATCCAATGCACATATGATTTCAGCTACAATCACAGCAATTTCGTGTTTAATATTTGAATTTAAGAATGATATACCAGTTGAAACTTTACTTGAAATAACATCAACTATTGAATTATTTTTAACTCATAATTCAAGGGAAATTGCAAAATCGGCAATTGGATTTGTTAAAGTTGAAATTTTATCATTACCGGAAGAATTAGTTAAACAGAATTTGAATGAATTATTAACGAAATTAATGAGATGGTCGCACGAACATAAAGGACATTTTAAGTCAAAAGTTAAACATATTCTTGAAAGATTAATTAGAAAATTTGGTATTGAAGAAATTGAAAATAATATTCCTGAAGAAGATAAAAAGTTGATTCAAAATATTAAAAAATCAAAGAATAGAGCTAAAAGAAAACAAGAAGAAGAAGCTCAACAAGCTCAACAACAATCTCAACCAACTGAAAACAAATTTATTTCTGCTTATGAAGAAGCATTGTATGATTCAGATATATCAGATGGTGAAGAAGGTGTTGATATATATGATGAAGATAAGATAAGGTATGGTAATAAAAAGAAACAATCAAATCAATATATTCTTGAATCTGGCGATGAGCCATTGAATTTATTAGATCGTCAGGCATTGGCAAATATTTCATCTTCAAAACCAAAGAAGGGTCAACAGTCAATTAAATCCAAGACTGAAGAATTCAAAACTAAAAATGGAAAACTTGTTCTTGATGATAAAGATGAAGATCCGTTGGCTAATAAAGGCTCTGGTATTGATGCTTACTTGGATGCTGTAACACAAGCACCGGTAAGAGGTCAAAAGAATAAATTGAAATTTAAAAAGACAAAAGGTGATGAAAATGAAAATTGGTCAGATGACGAAGATAAAAGACCAAGTAAAAAACAAAAAGTTGCCAACTCAAGAATATCGAAACCACAAAAGAAACAAAAATTCAAAGCTAAAAAGAAGTTGTAATAGTGACATATAGATTCTTAAAAATATTAAACTCGTATATCCATATTTTTCAGGTAGCGCTTTAATTCTCGTGTGAAGAACAAAATTTTTTTTTTCTTGAAACTTCATTATCATCTACTATACCAATCTTTAATCAAATGTCAAGTGTCAAACCATTATTAGAACTAACCAAAGCTCAAAGGAGAGAATTAAAAAAGGATACCATAAAGATAAGATTAGCCAGATTTGGAAGAAAACATCAACCAACTTATAATATAGTAGTGACAAATTCAAGAAAAGCTCAACAAAGATTACCAATTGAAGTTATAGGAACTTATGATTCAGTACCTGTTAAATTACCATGGTCAGAAGAACCTGTTAAAGATATAAGTTTAGATTTTCATAGAACAAAATATTGGTTAGGTAAAGGAGCTGAACCAACTGAAAGAGTAGCATGGCTTTTGAAAAAAGTTGGTATATTACCTCAATTTTGGCCAAAAGAAAGTTCAAATACTAAAGAAATTATTAGACCAATTGTCGAAGATATAAAAGAAGTTCAAGAAATACCTGTTGAACTAACAAGAAAAAGATAAAATGTAAATAGTATGCATAGATTTTGTAAATATTGATCAATAAATGTTAATGATTACCAAAGAGACATCTTTGCAGCTAAGAGCGATAAATTTGTAAATAGAGTGATCTCTCTAACTATTTTCAAACTGCTTGATTTCGATGCCGAACATTTCTAAATGCAATTAGTTGGTGCGACAAAAATAATTTATCGCGTTAGTTTTAGGGCGACTCGTACTAAACTGATTGGCCTATATGTCATGAACAACATAATTTCACGAGATGAAGACCCTTTAAATCAAATCAGGAGCTTTGAATTATATATTCTATATACTTCAAAATTATAATCTCAAACATTTTTTTTTGGATTTTTGGGCTTTTTTCGCCATACAAAATATTTGCAAAAACTAAAAAAGTAGAGTACATCTTATTTAGGGCCGTTACTTCCAACTAAATGACGGAATATGTGTAGTCAAAGTAAATTTCAAATGCATACGATCCTGTATTCTTTATCTATTTAATCAGTCAAAAGCAAATTTTTTGCTTTTCAAAATAACAGTTTTGATAGAGATATAATAAATGTCTCGTATCAGCCACTGTAGTCTGGTACGAATTAGTCGATTGAAAAAATTTTGACGCAAAAATTAACGCGAAATTCGCTCAATTTGAGACCATGTAAAACTACGGTTTAAAAATTATATTAACAGAATTTATCATTAAATGTACATATGTATACAGTTTTAGTTTAATCGAATAAACCGAAACCCATATCATCATCAGATTCTTCTTCTTCAGCTGGAGCAGCTTCTTCAGCAGCAGCTTCAGTTGATCCAGTAGCAGCAACAGCAGCTGGAGCAGCAGCAGCATAAGCTTCTGGGTTAGCTAATCTATCTTTAATAGCTTCTGAACCTTCAAAAGTGTAATCAGTAGCAATAGATAAAGCTAAAACGTTTTTATAGTTGTTGATAACTGAGTGACCAACTGATGGTAAGGTTGGGTAACCAACGGCTAATGAAACTGAAGTAATAGTGTTGATAGCTGAAACAAAATGAGAAATTAATTCTTCATCAGTAATATCTAAGACTGATGATGGGAAAACTTGACCATTATCATAAACTTGAACAACAGTCATACCGTAAGTAAATGGTGAAATGTTTAACATGTTTAATAATGTAGCTTCTGATGGACCAACTTTACCATCTTTTGCAACAACTTTAACATCTGAAACAATTTCAATGGTACCTCTAGCAATTTTAGTTGGAACACCTAAAGCTTGGAAAAATGAAGTTTTACCCGGTTCCATACCAGTGTTACCAGCTGGAATCCAAACATCAGCTGGAGCAACAGCACCTGCTCTAGCTGGAGCGGCAACAACATTAGCAGTAACAGTATCTCTAATGGTTTTTAAATCAGCATTGGTGAAAATGAAACCAACATTACCTTTAACAAATGGTAATAATTTTTCAAAATCTGGTAATTCAGATAAGAAACCTCTGATAGCTCTTCTAACCATGGTGTTTTTACCCATTAAAACAACAGCATCGTTTCTTAAAGCTTTTCTGATTTCATGCATTTGTTGTGATGAAACATTATCAACACCAACAACGAAGATTGATTTATATTCTTCTAATAATTCTCTTAATTTTGAGAAATATTGAACTTTTTTATCTCTTGTACCACCCATTTCGACTTATAATGTTATCGTTAGGAATTTAATGGTTCGTTAACTTAACTTAGAAAAGAAAGATTTCAAGAAAACTAATTTTCACTTTTGTTAGAATGGTGATACTAAGAAAATTTCACTAAAAATGGAGAGTCATTAGTATTTCACGTGAAATAAATTTTGGAACCCTAAAGTATATGCAGGATTTGCAGCCATTTCTTGCAACCATTTGGAATATGCTAATAAAACAATAGTCTCGGAACCGTAATCATAGAATAAGGGTAGTTGATGTATTTAAAACTTATTTTGACCCTAAATAGAATATGTGTCAATTTTGAGCTTTTTTCGTAGTTTTATAACGAAAGTCTGCTTTTTCCCAAAATTCTGCAAGTTTTTTTTTTTTTTTTTACGTATATATTAGGTATAGCTATACAAGCGAATTTCTCTAAAGGACCAATAAATTATGATAAAGATTAAAGAACTACAGAAGATAACTTCTTGAAACAATTGAAACAGCTTAGAGATGACCTATTACTTCGCTTTCACTCTAGGGTACATTATTCTTCAACTGATAAAATAAATTTGTAATTAATTCGGTTAGAAATACGACTATAAATATACGAGATCGAATAACACAAAGTCGTTTATTACAACTGCATGATATAAATTACATCAGCAACAGCATTGTAAAACAAGTAGCATTCAACCAATCAAGAATTCACCACTTTTTTAAAAACCAAACTTAAAACCAAAACTAAAGAGTCAGCAAATCCCATTCAAAACTCCAAACTTTAAAACCATCACAAGCCTATATGATAGCACCTTTCATTCATCAATTCCTTTTTCTCATGTTTTGTTCTTTATTCTGACAAAGAAAGCAATTGCAAACATGTTGTTTATTTCTTTTCCAAAACCAGACCATATCAATAAATTTACTTAATGATATAAGTTCGAGATTTTTTCACCTCTTATATATTCAAAACAAGGGTTATGCATCAACAAAACAAGCTTTTATTAATTTTCGTGATTTGATTTATTTGGTAGTCAATGCAATGCATCAATCGTCACTTTGTTTCAAGTTGGAATGTTATGGTAGCGTGTCTCAAATATCACAAAATCAAAAGAATTGTAAATAGTATAACGAATATTATGTATTAAAAGTATAAATCTATCAATCAATTATCCTGTAATTGTTCTTTATTCTGCATTATAAACCAACTAAGTGTCTTATTCCATGTCTTAAAATGAACCAGTTCTATAACTAACTACTCAAGACTTCTGTATCTTTTGTTTAACCTAAACCTTTATGCTCATAACCTGAACTTACGAACGCATTCTTTAAATATTCTTGCCACATATCATCTAATTCCTTATCTGACCCATTACCCTTATTATTCTTACCTTTCTTTTTCTTCTTCTTTTCAGTTGATGCTTGTTTATTCTTATTCTTTACTGGTTTACCTAATTTTCTACCATATTTTATCCATTCATCAACTGTTAATCCATTTAATCCATATAATGAATCATCAGTCATATATTCAATTTCGTAATGGAACTTTTTGTTTCCTTTATTTATAGAATCTAAATCAGCATAATATTGAACATATCTTTCTGGAGTAAATGTTTGATTTACATATGCTGGACCTAATGGTAAATTTTTAGGCATAGGTAATGGGAATGTCTTATCTCTTTTCTTTTTCTTAAATATAGAAAACCAATCATCTTCTTCATCTTCTTCATCTTCATATTTATCTTGCATTTGAATCAATTGTTCAACACCATTGAAAAACTTATTCCATGGTTCAAATTTAACATTGCTTTTAAGATCATTGTGTAAATTGGTTATATTATATTCCCAAACTCTTATACCTGGATTAAATGTGGGGATAACTGAAGCAGTAACATGTGCAACTGAATATCTTTCACTTTGTGGTTTTGATTTCTTCTTTGATTTAATATTTGCATATAATGATTCTCTTAATGTTTTCATATAATTTACTTTATTTTCAGGAACACCACCTTGAATTTTAAAAAATTCTTCACTAAAATTATCATCTAAAACATTATAAATATTAGTTTCTTCTAATGCAACGTCGTCATCAGAATCAGAATCAGAATCAGAATCAGAATCGTATTCCAATTCCATTGACTTACTCTTCTTCTTACCCTTCTTCTTTTTCTTCTTCTGAGATTTTTCAATTGATTTATAAGCTGCAACGGAATCCAAAGGTATGAAATGATCTAAATTCATATGACCATATAACCCACCAATTATAACATCTCTATATTCATAACTCCAAACTATATATTTTCTTAAACATGAAATATCAAAGTTTTTCTCATTTGGTGGAACATGACCAGTTAACCAAACTTTCATTTTTCTTGCCCTCATTTCTTTCAATACATATCCTAACCACTCAAATAATTTATAACCTGGTTGTTTCTTCTTATCACAGTTATCAACTAAAGGATTTGATTGAAATAAATATAAAGTGTTAATTGATAATACCGCCAATTTATTTGGAATAATTTCTTGAAAAAAATAAGCACCTCTATTAAATGTATGCATTTGATGTTGTGGAATAAATGGTTGCCAGATCTGATATAATTCTCTGGTTTGTAATGTCGGACCAGGACTGAATAGATTATGTGGATAAACGTCATTATTACCAAGGGAAGGAACTAAATCAATTTGTAAATTTGGGGTACCGTCGTCTTTTTTAAATGTTTCAAACATTATATTTGAAACATGATCATTTAAATCAAATATGTTTTGTTCAGTTCTTGGGTAATTTCTATCATTATCATGTCTAACATTATCTCCAGTCCATACAATAAAATCTATCTTATCTTTTAAATGATCATTTACCCAATTTATAGTCTCTTCCATTAAAATCATTGGTGAATCACAACCTGAAATTGCATCTCCATATTTATTTGAATAACCTTTACCTGAATGACACGCTTCATCTGGATCACTGCCTATTTTATAATATGGATCTGGATGAATATCGGTGATGTGTAAAAAACGACCATGGATAATTTGTTCACCTTTTTCATTTGTAACGATTTTAACCGGGTTTTTAGGAGTCAAACCTAATTTTTTGATCTCATTAACCTTTGAAGCATCCAATTGTAGTTCCTCAATAGATAAATATGGATTAATATAATCATTAGTTGTAAAATTGATTACATCATAATATTGGAGTGGTAGAAAAATGGATAGTAGTAATAAAACTGAGAAACTGAAATTTCTTAATAAAGTCAGTTGTTTTACTTTTGAATGAATATGTTTTTCATCCATGATTTCAATAGTTCGTGAGTTGATTAACCGTTTAATATAGTCAATGCTTGGAGATTTCTTAAATCTGGTTTCGAATGATTATGTAATCAGTCATTTGTAGAGAATAACACGACCTTGCACGTTTATGTCGCATATAATATTCGTTAACTATTATTATAAGATCCGAAAGACAGATCATAATAAGCCTATAATTGAATCAATAATAGGCTTATAAATTGAATCAAAATTGAGTCAAAAGTGAATCAAAATTGATCTAGATCTGAAAGTCGTAAAAAAATACGTCACATAAATCTGAAACATTATATCGGGGAACAAAAAGATAGCATGTGAATAGATATACTCGGAAGGAAGAAGAAGAGATGATTTGACAGGTTCCATATACATATATAGCATCACAAGCAGCTCCAGTTAATTTAACACGATTTGATTAATGTTGTGCAATTTAATTAAGGGGATTAGATTACATGAAATTTAATTTTTAATATAATTACTTAATAGAGTAAGTTAAATACCAAATTAAGTAAAGACATGAAAAATCTCAATTTAAATAATGAAGAGATGCAAATTTCGATCCCTTACTAATAAAAACACCATCAAGAAGCGTGAATATGTTTGATCTTTTCTTAATATAAAAAATTTTCAAAGGTTCTTTTTGTTTATTTTTTGTGATTTTTTACGTGTCGTGTACTAACTGTTTTAGGTTGAAAAGTAAATACAACACCTGCATATACTTGTTTTTTTGGCTGCAAATCAAAATGCGCTGCCAATTGAAGGAATTTTGTGTTAAATTTGTAAAACAATTTAATTACTCAACAGAGTTAGATTAAATCAAACGCGTTTACATTTAGGAGTAATTATTAACGTTTTAGTTAAATTGTTAATTATGTTTATTTATGTTTACGTTTAATAATTTCATAGATTTTGTGTAGAATTATACATTTCTTTTTTATATCCAAATTCGTACAACAAATTAATTAATATTTCAAATCTATATATATATTTCAATTTCCATAATTTCACTTTCCATAATTTCACTTTCCATAATTTCACTTTCCATAATTTCACTTTATTGTACAAATTATTATTCATTTTCAATTCATATTCATCTGTCTATTCATTCATTCAATTTAATTCTTTATTAACTTAACTTACATTTATTCATTCCTTTTAGTTCAGATTTATCATACCTAGCCAAAATGATACATTTACAAACTCCAAAAAGACCATTATATCCACCATTAACTCCATCTACAAATAATAATAATGCTAAATATTCATTACCACCATTATCGTCAGTATTATCATCATCAGCTTCGCAATCAAATTATATAAAAGATCATCCATTAAATAATAGATCTAGTTCATTCTCGACTCCATATAGATCCTTGCCATCAATTGATTCAATTACAAGCACCCCAATTGATACTTCGTATAATTATAATTTTGGTCATAATTCATCAACTTCATCATTACCATCATCTACAACTTCTTCACATTCAACTCAACAGCATACACCAACTTCAATAAGTTCTTCAAAAAATGTTGATTATAGTTTAGATGAAGCAGATACAAGTATTATTGAATCGAGAAAATCAAAATCAAATAATTCAAGTTCAATTAAATTAGAATCTGTAGATAAAGCATATGCATTTATTTCACATTCACCAGCAACTTTCCCATCTCAAGAACCTTCAATTGATAATGCTCCATTAGCAAGAAGAAAAAGAAGAAGAACTTCAATTCAAGAATTAAATATTTTAAATAAAGAGTTTAAATTAGGAACAACTCCGAATAAAATGAGAAGATTTGAAATTGCAAAAAAAGTTTCAATGACAGAAAAAGCTGTCCAAATTTGGTTTCAAAATAAAAGACAGTCATTAAGAAAGCATCTGAATTGTGAAAAAGAAATAACTTTATTACCTGAAGCACCACCAATTCTAGATCAACAAATTCAAACTTTGTCAGTACTTCCACAACAATTACCAATGCCAATGCCAGTAACACAACCACAACAATTACAGTTAGAAAAACCAGTTTTAATTTCATCTACTCCAACAAAACCAATTATAAATAAATCATTATCATTTGTTGGTTCTCCACAATATCAACAACCTCAACCTTCAATTCCATTACCGAGATCATATTCAATACCAGTTTTCAAACCAATGCCAGCTAAATCCACTACTCCACCTTATCCAAAAGAATTGGAATCAACTACAATGATTCAAACAAATAAAAAACAACCACAATCATTAAATGGTGATTCTTCATCTACAATGACTTTTAAATTAATTCCATCAAAGATTACTCAAAAATTACAACAAGCAATTACTTCAGATAAAAAATATGCACCAAATACATCTCCAACTAGCATAAATACTTCAACAACTTCATCTGTAAGAAAACCATTAGGTGATGTGACTAATAAAATTCAATTACCTACAATAAAAAAATAAATAATACCCAGATAATTATCTTGCAATAATTATAATATATGAATAAACGAAATTTGAAAATAAACTAATCACCTCTGTATATTCATATTTTGCAACCATAAAAACGCTAAAAATGGCTGCAAAAAAAATTCTTGGTCAATTTTGTGTCACACGATTTTTAAAAGCTTATTCCAAATATAGATAAAATACAATGAACTAGACCAAATCAGTACCTGACAACCAGTTACTAACCTATTTAAATATTAAAAAAGCTAAATTACTACTAGAGATCGAGAGTAAGAATTAAGAGTTAGGATACATGTTAAAATTAAGCTAGATCTGGAATAAAATTCATCGATCAAAATTTAAATCAATTTACGCATAATTGGGTATGAATATTAGTTGATTCTCCAATATACTTTAAATTTAATGTTACAATGATCTTTCATGCTCTTCTTTACAACTCTAAACTTTAAATTCTTATTAATGGTCTTGGGTGTTTTATTGTTAATATGACATATTAAGTTGACAATACAACCAATTTTTAAACTATATATAAATGATACTTGAACTCCACAATTAACAACTTGAACTGATTTTATTCTCACTATGGGCACTATAGTTTCCATAATTGAAGACGATAACGATGAATTAAAAAGGACAAAACCATTTGGTTATTTCTGTTTAATTTGTAAATGTGAATTTGAAGATAAATGGATGGCCATAGATCATATCAAATTTGAACATTCGTTAAATGTTCCAGAGAAGGAGTTATTTGGATATGTTTTATGACTGACATATTTGGGATAATTACACGGAATCGAAATTGAGAAATGCAATATTAATTTTGTTTCAGAAAGAAATGGTCTAGACAACTTGACAACATATAAATTTGAAACAGTTTCCAGACTAAAAATTAAAAGAGAAAGATTAACAGTTGTTAAAATGAGTATCAATAAAATTTATTTTTGTTTAGAATGTGAGAAAGAATTCAGTACCAAAACATTATGTAATAGGCATACGATGAAGAATTATGGTAAAAAAGATTACTGCAGATCTGAATTTGAGGATTAAAATAGTAACTAATATCAATAGATAATTACAAAAGTTAATTGAAAGTTGTTGATCAATGTTATAAAACCCACGGTCAAAATCAAAATCTCCTCAATCAATATTAAATTTATAGCTTTACTTATCTATGAAATCATATTTTTATTCCAAATCTCTACATTTATAATCCCAGTTACTTAATTTTTATATTAAATTATTTTATACATAATGGCTTGAATGAAAAAGTCATTAAATTCCTTAACGACCTCTTGAAGTAGTTTTAGTATGTTGACCTCTAACTTTGAGACCCCAGAAATGTCTAATACCTCTGTGTGATCTGATTTTCTTCAATCTTTCTAAATCATCTCTTAATTTTGATTCTAAGTTATTTGCTAAAACGTGATAATCTTTACCATCAACTTGATCTTTTTGTCTATTTAAAAACCATGCTGGAATTTTATAGTTGGTTGGGTTTTGCATGATAGTAACAATTCTTTCTAATTCTTCTTGAGTTAATTCACCTGCTCTTTTTGATAAATCAACATCAGCTTTTTTACAAACTAAGTTTGAGTATCTTCTACCAACACCTCTAATTTTGGTTAAAGCATACATGATTTTAATTCTACCATCAATATTGGTATTTAATAAACGTAAAATGTGTTGGAATGAACCTTGTTCTTGAACAACTAATGGCATATTGACGATGTTACTTGATTAATTAGCTGAAAAATCTATTTCGTTAAACAGAAAAAAGTTGTAAAATTTCTTAATACTATGAAAAAATTAATGTATGGTAGTGCGATGTACACCAGAAAAAATGGCAGAAATAAAATAGCCCTAACATCAGTCACGTGGCAATAACACTATGTAATAATTAGACGATAATTGAAATATATTAATACTATTTACAAGTTTCCATTTATATATCCCCATATTTTGTTATCATCCATTGTAATGCTTGTTTTTCAATAAATATACGATTAGCTCTGAGTATATCTCTAACCATTACTTCATCTTTATTTATAATTTTACCTTTTAATTTTGATAAATATTTAGCTTTATCTTTTCTAAACATAGTTTCTACATTCTTATCTCTTGTAAACCATGATTTCATTGAATTTTCCAAATTAGATCTTGTTTCATCAACTATAAATAATAAATTTAAATCTTTTAATTTATGTGAATCAATAAATGATTGACTAATTTCTGCAAAATCATGTTCAAAATCACATTTTCCATCTATTATATTTAATCCACCTTCTTTATATTTTAAACTTAAACTTTCATTGCATGCTTTATTATATTGTTTTTGATTCAATTCTGTACTCCAATCATGATATCCTTTTATAACATGTGCTTTAATTTCATTATCCATATGAGGTGAATTTGCATCACCTAATCTTGCCCTTCCTGAACCCTTTTGTGGTCTTAATTTTCTTTTTGAATATGGTGCCTCTGCTTTTTGAACAGCATAATTAGAACCCACTCTCATTGAATCTTGTTCATATATTACTGCACTCCATAATAAATCTTTTCTTGTATGTTTATGAGCTGGAGTGAAAATTGATGATGGTAATGGTAAAAAAGTTATTGGTTCTAATGTTGGAAATGATCTTAATTGCGCTAAAGTATATGAAGATGGTTGTGATATATTAAATGGACTTGTTGTAGTTGGTGTTATCTGTTTGACTTCTGTTGCCAATCGACGTATTGATTGTTTAAACATGTATGATCTTATAATTTTGATGTTTTAAATTTTTTTCAGTCGATTTGACAAACGCACTTCGAAAAAATGGCTGCAAAAAATAATAATTAACAAGGGTAACGACAAAAAGAGTAATTACTTCAATAAATATCGTTTCTAATCTATATTTTATACTATACGATCATTGTTATTTCTATCATTTCCATTTTCAGTTTCATCGTCATTACTGGCTATTATAAAATCATCCAAATTTTCATTCAATTCTATATCATCAGTGTACTGATTATTTATTCTATTATATTTATTATCTTGATTCGATTGGAATGGATTTAGTTTGGAAAGGAAACCACCATTATTCTTTTGTGAAGGTGATCCAATTCCATCACTATCATCATCAAAATTATTTAATTGATCTGACCATTGAACATTCTTCTTCTTCTTCTTTGACGATTTCTTTTTTGGTTTTTTAATTATTGATGATGGTCTTGATTTATAAGATGAATAAAGTATATAAATACCCCATATTAAGATTAGAATGACTCCTAATTGTATTAATCTAGTTATTTTTGAACCAGTAGGTTCTGTAGATGAGTCAGGTAATGATGTGGATGTAGATGATGATGATTCTTTAGTTATTGATTCTGTAGTAGTAGATGAGGAACTTGTTGAAGATGTAGCTGGTGTTGGGATTTCTTCAGGTTTTGGTTTTGGTTCTAGATCTGGTACTTTTTCTTTTCTATGTCCAAATGGATATGTGACAAATTCAGTTTTACCGTTATTATCTCTTTTATCATAATTTTCAGTAATCAAATCCATTAATGCTCTTGAAACGTCAGGTAAATCATAAGGAACCATATGTGAACTATTTTCAATATTTATAAATGATAAATTTCTTTCTTGTAATATATATCCAACACTCGAATCATTATAAATCCAATCAATTTGATTAGTATCATTTTGAAAACCAGTTACTCCACCCCATGATAATTTTTTAATGTACGATAATACACCAACTGAATTACATACAATATCATTAGCACCATTGAATAAAATAATTGGAATTTGTTGTAATAGTTCAGGAAATAAATGTATTGATGGAACTGAATTTCTTGCCTTGAAATGACCACCTACTCTACCATTACATTCAACCCATTCTTTTTTATATTGTAAATTTAAATCATTCATAACTTCATCCAGTCTTAAAAATGGATAAACGTTACTTAACTCATTGGGCCAACTCATACCACACGAAGGATAAGAATCTCTTAAATTATAATCATAAATATTAATACAACTTTCACCATGATTATTAGTAGCTCTAAGTAATTTATTCAATATACTTTCACATTCCCCACTATCTATTTCATAATCATGAATTTGACCATCTTTAAATGTTGAATCTATTTTATTTACAATCTTTTGACAATTTTCATGAGTTTTCAAAATTGTTAACCATTGTGGGTTATTCGTATCTATTAATTTCTTATCAACAAAAAATGGTAAATAACTTAGACTTTGTTCATTTGGAGACACCCAACCATTACCAATTAATAAACCTTTTAAATTATATTTATTTCCTTCTTTTCTATTCAATATGCCTTGAGCTATATATGGAATATATTGACCAGCATAACTTTCACCACTTAAGTAAATATCATTATTGATTTCATCTGGAAATATATTAAAATAAGCATCCATGAATTTCAAAAAGTAATCACTGATTTGATCTAAATCACGTAAATATTCCGAAGTTTTACTAAATCCAACACCACCGGGTTGATCAACATAAATCATATCTGATAGTTTATGCCAAGATCCATTATTATGAGTGACTTTTTTATCTGAATTTATTCTAAATGGACCTGTTTCTAATAATGCACCATCCATGGAACTACATCCAGGTCCACCATTCAACCAAAATGTTGTCCTATTAGTGAATATTTTCTTATTATCTTCAAATTTCCAAAAGAAATAACTTGTTTCTGTATCCTTATCAACTTCAAGTTGCCCCGAGAACATTAAAGGTATTTCATCTTTTGGTATATTGAAATAAAGCCCTGGTAAATCAGTGACTAAATATTTTGATGTTGAATCCGGACTTGATGTGCCTAGTTTCGGAGGCAAAGCAGATATAAAGTTTGTGAGAAACAATAACAATAATAATACACTCATGATGGTAAGGATGGTGATGGTTCTATTACGAGTTTATTATTAAATGCTGTCAATCTTGAATAATTTCTTATAATTTATTGATTTTATTGATCTCCACACTAAACAAGGATGCTACCAGTTGCATTGGAAAAACGTAACAAATAAACAAAGTTGCAAAAGTAATTAAGATTAAAAAGGTGAAAAAAGGCAGCCTATTCATTATAAAGTTTAAAATAATATGTCTATAGTACATTCACTTTAAATACATTTTGACCTTTGTCGTTGCTCAATACATTCTTATTCTCACTATCTTTAATCAATTCTTCCAACAAGTTTCGAGATACAATTGGCTTATCCCAAGGTACCATATGAGAAGCATCAAAGATCTCAAAGAATTTCAATCCACGATCTTCCAAAATCCAACCAACAACCTCATCATCAAAAACATAATCTTCTCTTGATTTAGTAAAACCTTTACTACCATTCCATTCCAATTTATTCAAGTATAACAAAGCACCCTTAGTGTTACATACAATATCATTACCACCACTAAATAAAATAACATTGAGATTTTCTATCAAATTCGGTAATAAATGAACAGCAGGCAATACAACCAAATTATTAAAATGATCACTAACATTAGCATTACAAGTCACCCATTCAGATTTATGCTCGACATGTAATAAGGTTTGCACCTTTTCATCGTTCAAGAATTTATAAACCTTTGCTTTGTCTGTAGGTATGTTTGAACCACAACTAGGATAAGAATCTCTCAATTTGTAATTATAAATATCGACACACTGTTGACCCTCGGGAGCAGTTAAATTGAGTGTGAAGTTTTTGAGATCAGATAACATGCTTGAACAATATGTTCTATTCGTTTCATACTCATTCATGAGTCCATCATTAAATGTTTCATCTATCTTCTCAACTATCTTTTCACATTTATCATGCTTTTCTCTGACTATATCATATCCATATGAATCTTTACTAAATAAGCCTAACTTGATATATAATGGTAAAAATGATAAACTTTGTTGAATTGGAGAAACTGATCCGTTACCAATCAACAAACCTTTCAATTTATGACTAAATTCACTTTTCATCACTCCATCTGCAATGTACGGAATATATTGACCTGCATAGGACTCACCAGCTAGATATATATCTTTCGTTGAATCTTCTGGAAATATTTCAAAATAAGATTGCAAAAATTTGAGAAAATAATCTCTAACTTGATTCAAATCTGAATAATATTTATCCGTTGTACTTAAACCAACTCCACCCGGCTGATCTACATAAACCATATTTGAAACTTTATGCCATGAGCCATCATTTGGATACACTCCACTAGAATCTGATTTCACTTTGAACGGACCATTTTCCATTAATGCTCCTTCCATTGAACTACAGCCAGGACCACCGTTAAACCAAAATGTTAAATGATTGTTACTTGATTCTTTATTTTCTACCTTCCAGAAGAAGTAATTCGTGTTTGATGTTTTGTTAATCAAAATTTGACCAGAATACATTATTGGAATTTCTGAAGTAGGAATATACTTGAAGCCTGGTAAACTTGTAATTAAATACTTTGATTTAATATCATCATTTGCTGTTGGTAGTGATATTGCATATGCTAGCAACAGTATGAAATGAACTAAATATAACATTTGTTGATTAATGTCGAGATTTGATATATCGGAGATACGAGGAGTGATACCGAAATCTCGGCTTTTATCCGAGATATGTATAAAGCTATTTCACTAATAAAATTTTGTACAATTATAAAGTTATTTAAGTTATAAATTTGATGGCTCAACATTCCAGATATTTTCAGCATATTCGTCAATACATCTATCACTTGAAAAGAAACCCATATTTGCAACAGACCAAACTGATTTTCTGACCCATCTAAATAAATGATCATCATCTTCAGAATCACCACCATGATGACCAAATTCTTTTTCTAATTTCTTATGAGCATCTAAGAATAAATCAAAATCATCAGAAACTAAATAATAATCACCATGATCTCTTATACTTTCAATTAATGGTTTAAATTCATCTGCATGACCAAATTTACCCGATTCAATTGCATTAAATACTTTTTGTAAAGTTTCCGGAATATGAACACCTTCTACAAAATGTTGATGTCTTATTTCATCAACACTTTCAGCCAAATTACCAAAAAGGAAAATATTTTCTTCACCAATTTCTCTTGTAATTTCAACATTTGCACCATCAACAGTACCAATTATTAATCCACCATTTAATGCAAATTTCATATTTGAAGTACCTGAAGCTTCAGTGCCTGCAGTTGAAATATGATTTGATAAATCTGAACCAGGACAAATAATTTCTGCTTTTGAAACATTATAATCTGGAATAAATACAACTTTTAATAAATTATCAATTGTATCATCATTATTAATAACTTCACCAACTTTATTAATTAAATGTATAATTGTTTTTGCCATATAATAACCTGGTGCTGCTTTACCACCAAAAATTGAAGCTTTTGAAATATAATATTTTTCTTTAATTTCATCAATTGATACACCTTGTGATTGTAATTCTTTAATATGTAAATATCTATAAATAACTGCAAATATATTCAATTGTTGTCTTTTATATTCATGAATTCTTTTAACTTGAACATCAAATAAAACAGTTGGATCTAAATCAACATTACATTCAGATTTAACTAATAATGCTAATTTTCTTTTATTATCAAATTTAATAGCATCCCATTCTTTCAAGAAATGTTTATCATCAATAAAACTTTCTAATTTCTTTAATCTACCTAAATTGGTTAAATATTCATAATTTGGATCATTCAATTTCTCAGAAATTAATTCTGCTAATTTTGGATTTGCTTGTCTTAACCAACGTCTTGGAGTAATACCATTCGTAACATTTGTAAATTTATCTTCACCAAATACTTTAACAAAATCTTTAAAAATTGTAGTTTTAATTAATTCTGAGTGTAATTCTGCAACACCATTAACTTTATGGGATCCAATAATTGCTAAATAAGCCATTCTAACTTGTTTTGGATTACTTTCTTCAATTATTGAAACTGATGCTAATAAATCACGATCTTTTGGAAATTTATGTTCAACTGATTTTAAAAAGAAATAATTAATATCATATATAACTTCTAAATGTCTTGGTAATAATCTTCCTAAAACATCAATTGGCCATTTTTCTAAAGCTTCAGCCATAACTGTATGATTTGTATATGCAAAAACTTTTGTAACAATTTGCCAAGCTTCATCCCATTCTAAACCTTCTAAATCAACAAATATTCTTTGTAATTCAACAATTGCCAATGTTGGATGAGTATCATTTAATTGTATAGCAACTTGTTCAGGGAATTTTTTCCAATTTGTTTTATGATTCTTTTTAAATCTACGTACAATATCATGTAATGAAGCAGCAACCCAAAAATATTGTTGTTTTAATCTTAACTCTTTACCTTTTTCAAAATTATCATTTGGATATAAAACAGAAGTTATTGATTCTGCTCTTTGTTGAGCTGCAACTGATTGTTGATAATCACCAGCATTAAATTTAGTAAAATCAAATTCATGTGTTGGTTTTGCATTCCATAATCTTAAATTGTTTGTATTTTCAGTATTATAACCAGGTATTGGGAAATCAGCAGCAACTGCTAAAACTCTTTCACCACCATTCCATTGTTTTTTAACTTTACCAGTATTTGGATCTTCTTGTTGATAAACATAACCATAAAAATCAACAGGAATTTGAATTTCTTTTCTATCTAATACCCAAGGATTTGAATATTTTAACCAATAATCAGGAGTTTCAATTTGATAACCATCAATAATTTTTTGTTTAAAAATACCATATTGATAATTTAATCCATAACCCCATCCACTATAATTTTTTGAACTTAAAGAATCAACAAAACAAGCTGCCAATCTACCTAAACCACCATTTCCCAAAGCAGCATCAGGTTCTTGGTCTAAAACATCTTCTAAATTAAAACCTAAATCAGATAAAGATTTTTTAGTATTTTGTTCACATTTTAAATTAATTAAAGCATTATCCATAGCTCTACCCATTAAAAATTCTAATGATAAATAATAAACTCTTTTACCATCTTGAATGGTTTGTCTTTGTTGAGTATTTGCCCAATCAATGACTAAAGCATCTCTAATAGTATTTGAAGCAGCTTGATAAGCAGCTAAATCATCACAATTATACATTGATCTACCCAAACCTGTTTCAACATGTTTAACAAATTCTTCTTCAAATCTATCTGGTTTATCAACAATTGATTTTATATTTTTTTTATGATTATTATTAACATGACCATTTCTTTTTTCTAATAAATCTAATTGAGAATATTTATACCAAATATGTTTAGCACTTTCAGGAATTGAAGCATCTAATGCAATAATTTGATTTGGAGTAAATCCAGTATTTGTTCTTTTTAATTTTGGTTGCGGTAAAGTGGTTGGAGTAAGATAATCCATAGACATGATGAATTATAGAATTATACAATTATTGATATATATCTATAAAGGAAAGGAAAGCAAAAGATTGTTGTTGTACCTTGTAATAAAAGTTGTTGATAAAATGAAAAAGGAGGGATAAATTTATATGTATCAATAGTTTAAATTATTTTAAATTTTGTGTTAGATTCTCACGCAATTTTATTTTTAGTTAAAGAAGGAATATTATATCACCGATTATAATAGACTACTATAGAACAACCACCATAATTGATCAACTAATAACAACATATATCTGTTGATCTTGGGCTTAAGCTATATATTGACGTAACTTTGAATTGTTCTATTATATTTGCAAAAGTATTATTACAACTCTCAAAAAAGAAGGATTATTCGGTTGCAAATTGTGAATCTAAATTAAATCTTAAGCAATTATTTTATTTTCTTAGTTACGTTATTGTTTAGAATATAGAGATAAACGTGTATTATAGATAATTGTTCCATAACGTGATGGCACAATAAGGGTGTTATTAATGCATTTCTTACATCATTATGGCTGGCATTTCTCCGATCGTTGCTTCATTTCCAAAGCCAATATGAATTCAGATAGTATTATTATGATGCTAATCTCCGATCTCCGAAACGAAAACTCTTTTTTTTGTTGGCTTCGAGACGGTATGAAATTCGGGGGTAGTGTGGGGTGATACAATAAAAGCGCAATTTTTTTAGATCTGAAATTTTGCAGCCAAAATAAATAGCTAGAACCGAAGACTTAAAATGAAGGTTTTGAGAGTTACAATTAAATATACGATTTAAGCCTAGCTACTGACTGACTAAATTGAGAGCTTGGAAGATGAGTTTTAATAGTTCCATATTATTTGCACTATTTCGTCGAAATTTATTAATTTGTTTGATTTAAGACAGTTAAAAAAATCTATTAACGAATTTGGGAAACAAACACATGAGAAGGTATTGTATGTGTTAAAGTCTTTAGACAATGCGTACCTTACTAAAGCATCATGTTGAAGAATCAGAAGGTGAACAATAAGATCAAGTATATTTTAATGTTATGAGTGTTGAAACATTATACTAGCAAGACTTGAATAAGAGTCTGATCATACAAACCACCTTTAAACATTAAATTCTTGAGATAAATTACAGTGAAACCAATGCAGTATAAATTCTTGAGATAAATTACAGTGAAACCAATGTAGTATAAATTCTTGATAAATGAATAGAACCAACCAAATAAATCTCTCCAAAAATCATCAGAACCACATCTCAATCCTGTTCCCTTTCCCACAGAGCCATCTAAATCACTCATTTCCCTATATATGACAGATTTGACAATTATATCATCTTCTGTATATGATATATTTGCACATAATTGAAATCGTAAGACTCTAAGAAACAGCCCCTCAATTTAGCATTAATATCCTTGTCTGTTCTCATGTAACCATACTTTTGTCCTACACAGACTGTATTCCTTTCGTCTATAGTGACATTTAATTCAATTGTATCGTTGTTTATACAATTTTCGAACTTGACTAGTTCTAGTTGAACCTTCAATGCAGTTTCATTATTGAATACTCTTTCATAGACCATTTCAAATGTTACTGTGACCATCGTTGATAAGATGTAAGTTAATTTTGTTAACTCAAACGTATTTATGAATCAGTTCAAGCGTGTACAATTTTGCAAAAGCACAATTACTTATAAAGTATTCGTGATTGGTTTATTCTAAAGTATTAGAGCTTGAAGTTATAAGATACAATACGAGTTCTAACTTCTATTCTTCTTGCTAAAACATCGTTATAGAAAAACATACAATTTTACATTATATAGATTTTGCAACCAAAAATCTAATACGACAGCCGCAATACCTAGTACGATTTGACGTTTATCAATTTTTTTTTTCACCAGGCGAAAAATCAAAAGTTAATTTTCAAAACATTAAAACTATCAATTCCATCTATTCTAAATTTATAATGTCTAATGATTTTCCACCAACTACAATTGTATTAGCTAAAGTTAAAGGATATCCAGCATGGCCTGCAATGGTCCTAGATGAAGAATTGCTCCCAGAACATATATCTTCCAAAAAACCAAAGTCAAGAAAAGCAGCATCTAATTTCTTACCAGTTAGATTCTTCAGTGATGATACATATATATGGATAAATATAACTGATGTAAAACTATTAGCTCCCGAAATGATAGATGCTCATTTTGTAGAAAGTTCAACTAAAAGAAGGAAAGATAATCTACTAGAAAATGCATTTGAATTAGCTAAAGAACCACCAGAAATGGAATTGTTTATTCAATATGGATCAAGAGCTGCTCCCCCAGATGAAGAAGAAGTTGCACCGATCTTAGATGAAGAAGATGTAATAGTGGCTAAACCAGCTAGGAAAAAGGCAAAAGTTGAAAAGAAACCAGCTGAAAAGAAACCAGTTGAAAAGAAATTAAGTGCAAAAGAGAAGCAAAGATTGCAAGATTTAAAAATTTGGGCTGGTTATGATTCAGATTGGGGATTAGATGATTTTAATCAATATGATTTTGAGAATGGAAATTATATATTTGATAATGAAGAGGAGCAAAATGAAATTTTTAATAATATTGATTTTGATAATTTGGATAAATTAACTACAAAATTTGCAAAAATTGAAGAGAAATTAATATCTAAAATACTTAAAGATGGAATATACAGCGAGAACGATAAAGAAGTTATATTGTATCAATTGCATTTATTAAATACATTATTGAAAGAATTGCCTAGATCTATAATTAATAAATCTAAATTATTGAGAGTATTAATATTGAATCAAAGAAGATTACCCAAAGGTGAATTGGAAAAATTTAAAAAAGAACATGAAGAAGCACAACAACAAGAATCGGTAGAGAATGGAAGCAAAGAAGAAAATGAAGATGAAGATGTACAAGAAGTAAAAGAAGAAGTAGTTAAAGAGGAGGAAGTAAAAGAAGATGAAAAGGAAGAAGAAGAGATAGACCCTGAAGTATTTGAAGCTAATGAGCAATTCAAGGAGGAGTTAAGATTAAAAATTGACTCGATATTAAAACAACTCGATATAGAAATAAGACAAAATAGACCAGAAGAACTAATAATCAAAAAGGAAATTCCACAAAGTAGTACTCAAACACCAATACCATCTACTCCACTTCCGGAAAGTTCAGGAGATAAATCTGAAAATAAAGAAAACATCATTCAAAATGGAAGTAAAGAAGTAGTTACAAAACAAGAACCAGAATTTGATAAAACAGAGCATATTTCAGCTTCAACTACAAATGATAATAAAGCCAAACATGAAACTGCAATTAATAATGATTTATAGACCATGTAATATATAATATCAATTGAATAATATATATAATATCTATTGAATGTCGTGTATTTAATTTTTTGGACTTTTCTGAATAGAAATACTTGAGGTGTATTTCAATCAATTTCACCGAAAATGGTTCACTGTTGATCCTTATAAATTGTTGATCTTTTTACCAATTGTTTGCTAATAAATCTCATATAACCCAGATAAGGTTACATTTATTTAGTGCAAGAAAATTACCAATGAAATCCTTATGTAAATTGTATTTCCTGTCTTTTCAACGAGTGCGATGAAGTTTGAATATGTAATGCCAAACGGTAATATTTAATTATATTTTTACGTTTCCAATATACCTATTAAAGAAGTAAATGACATCTTCAATGATGCCATGCTTTTTTGAACAAAATATATAATATTACTGGACACCTGATATTTTGTCAATTATAGTGATTAAGATAACGTAAAGATCCATTAGGTTTAGGTGTGAATAAAGCTGGACTAGCATGGGGGGACATTACCAGAATATCTAGATATTCAAAATTAATAATATTTTTGCACCTGAATAGCCTATCCGTATAAAAAAAGCCCACTATTGTGATGTACAAGCATTTTATCACAATTAGTGTGGCCAACAAACACTTTTTATGTTTTATGAGCGGATTTTTGGATTCTGTTTTTGAAGTTGTTTATGTTAAATTTTGGTTTGAAGGTCAGGATCATTCATATTATTTGCTTCAAGATGATAATGCATACTGATTAAATTGGGGGATTTTTATCTTTATCAAGTCCTGTGCAAGGACTATTTATGCCAGTGTTATGAAACTGGTTACAAAGTAATTGGAAACATTTAATAAGGACTGGGATATTTCAATTGATTGCTAGGTATTTATGGAATACCTGGATTGATTGGTATTTCGTCCGGCACAAAATGGACAACTGAAGTCTGGTTGTAGAAGACAAGATTAATTCACCATGTCAGTATTAAACTAAATGGTTGAAGTAATATCAAACATGATCTTAGTACATGAAATCATGAATATGCTTCATAGTTTCATGTGCGATCGTGGTATCATGATATATTTTTCAAGAATTGATATTTGTTTTGGTATATCATTACTGAAATAAATAGTTATTGAAAAAACATTTATAAGGGATTTAGAGTAAGGTCAAATCTTTTCCTGCTGTAATAATTAGAAAGTTAGTAATCGAATAGTTCATCCTATTATATCACATAATAGACAGGCAGGTATCAGTCTAACAAGAGAATACTACAAGATGGCCAGGGCATATTTTTAAAGAATTTGAGCTAAAAGTTTAAAAGAACAATCGTAATTTTGAGAAAGTTTATTATTAGGGAGTATATGTTAAGGGGCTATACGAAATAAAACATGGTCCGAGGAATAAACGCGTCTTCATAGTATCCGGATCTCAAATACTTCTAGTAAAAATGATTTCACAGTTATATAGGATATTATAACATAATTTTCAAAAGACTTGTGAATCAAACCGTTTATCCGCCTTTATTCTCGATCGAAGAGGTCATGAATAAAATATGGCATCATTGAGAAATTCGAAGAAAAGCCAGTAAAGCTAAAACTTAAGGTATTGATTCGGTTTCTGGTTCATTTTTTCAACTACGTGACCGTGAATATCTTTTACAGATTTCTTTAAATTAAACAAAACTTTTTGAGCCATTCAATGAATGTTTCAGAATCACAGTTTTGGTAATTTTTCAATAGTCGTGCAACTAGTACCAAACACCTGTACATCAATACATAAGCTGATAAAATTATAAATATAAATCAAATTTTCCCAATTGGAATTTTTTTTTTTTTTTTTTTTTGTCCTTCATTTTGACAAAATAGGGAAATAGTCAACAATACAATTTAATATATTCAAATTAAGAGATATTAAACACAGTTAATATAAATCATTTTCATTAGATTTAATTAATAATACATAATTATACTTTGCTATTTGTTTAGTATGTAAATTGAAAGAAAAAAAACCAAATTGGGGTTAAAGTTTTTTTTTTTTTGACTTTTTTTTTTGACATGGGTATATGGGTTTGTTTTGGTTTTACATTTTTATAATCAAAATCACAATTACTTTAAACCAAGATGAGAAATAAATAATTTAAAAGTGATATACTAACATTTATTAGATAATGTCTGCTAAAATTGAAGAAGGAAATGAATTTGATCAAGGAGATCAACAAAATTCTGGTGAACCAGGTGGCGTTCAACCAGATTTAGATGATGAAGATGATGATGTTCCAGGTGGTACAACAAAGGCAAAAGAAAGAAGAAAAATTGAAATTAAATTTATTCAAGATAAATCAAGACGTCATATTACATTTAGTAAAAGAAAAGCTGGTATTATGAAAAAAGCATATGAATTGAGTGTTTTAACAGGTACTCAAGTTTTATTATTAGTTGTTTCAGAAACTGGTTTAGTTTATACTTTTACAACACCTAAATTACAACCATTAGTTACAAAATCTGAAGGTAAAAATTTAATTCAAGCTTGTTTAAATGCACCAGAAGAAGGATTAGGAGATGATCAAGATAATCAAAGTGATGGAAATGAAGGAGGTGACTCACCAGAACAGAGTCCAAATCCACCACAACAACAATCACAACAATCACAACAATCACAAGCTCAACAATCTCAACAACAACAAATTCCTCAACATAATCATCAACAACAACATGCTCATCAACAACATGCAGCAGCTGTTGCACATTCCCAAGCTGTTCAACAACAACAACAACAACAAAATCAACTACAACAACAACATAATCAACAAATGCCACCAATACCTCCACATGGTTTACCACATTATAATCAAGGTAATACACCAGGTCAACCAGGTCAACCAGGAATTCCAATGCAACAACAATATGGAGATTATCAATATTTTCAAAATATGCAAAATAATAACATACCTAATCAAGGTCAATATCAATAAAGAAAAGAAGAGAATTAAATTTATACATTTTTCTATTTTTCAATTTTTCAAATCAATTTTGTTTTAGTTTGGCTTTTCCATTGGTTAGTATTTTTTTTCACTTTTATAGTTGTTTGAAGAGAGTACTTTTTATTCAATACTTGTTTTTTTAGTATTTTGTTTTTAATGCTTCAGTTTTTTTAATTATTATTTTTAAATATATTCTTTTAAAGTTTGTTATATTAGTTTTATAATTTTTTAATTTTTTTTTTTTTTTTTTGGTTTGTTTGTTTGTTTGTTTGTTTGTTTTTATTTTTTGCAGCGGAATTACCAAATCAAGAGTTTGAAGTTTGCAACTTCATTACCAAATTAAGATCAAGGCGAGAAATTCATCTATGCGTGCAAATTTTGATCTGTAAATTATTACTAGAGATAAATAATAGAATTTTTGAAGGAATGATTAACTAGTCTGTCAGACAGGTTGTTTATAATCGAAAAGGTCACGGTACGACCATCTCTTCAGTTTAGAATATAAGTGTGAGGTCATATAATGTATTTGGAACTTAGAATAAGCAAATTAGTCAAACCAAATAATGCTATAATGCTATAATGCTATAATGCTATAATGCTATAATGCTGTAATGCTATAATGCTGTAATGCTATAATGCTATAATGCTATAATGCTGTAATGCTATAATGCTGTAATGCTATAATGCTATAATGCTGTAATGCTATAATGCTGTAATGCTATAATGCTATAATGCTGTAATGCTATTCTATATTATAATTTTTTTGAGTAATACTACTAGAAGATGTAACATTTCATTTACGACACTACAGTGTTGCAATCTAAATAGTTTCTAGCAAATTACATCACCAACCACTAAGACTTATATTCCATAACATCTAGCCATTATAGATATCAAATCTTTACCCATGGGAATAATACATTATGAAACATGGTAATCTTTAACAAAATTTAAATTGAAATTAAATTTAAAATTAAAATTAAAATTATCACATCATTTAGCTTTTGTTCTTTCTCTGATCTCAACAAAATTATATAATTAATATTACTAAATCTTATTATAAATGCAAACTGAAGCTGATGACCTTGTATGAAGCATAATTGTACATTGTTGTTGAAAAAATTTCTATTATCATACAGTATATACCGTAAAATCAATAATAGTAAAAAAAATTAAACATATTAGGTGATTTGATAAATCCGAAATGCCAATAAATAGAACGATACATTGATTAATAATTTAAATCCGTCGTGTCAAATAACATAGAAAAAAAAAAAAAAAAAAAAAAATAAACGGTTTTTTTAAGCTCTGATCAAAGTGCAAAAATTCAATTTTATATGGTAATAAATAAATCTTTCTCTCCACATTATTTTTTTGTTCCAACTTTAAACTTTTTTCAATAACAAAACTCTAAGGAAAGTGAGTTGCTTTGAAATTATTCAACAAATCTGTAATTTTTGATCAAGTTTCAAAATATTTTAAATTATGAAAGGGGGTTATTATAATAGTAAAAGTTGATGAAGTACATGAATCAACTTGATAGTACATGACTCAGTTGAAATAATAATAAATATTAATATTATTGAAATTGAACACCAACTTGTATAATTGTATAGATTAAATTTAAAAAAAATTGACAATATATAAAACGTTGATGATTTTACCAATATTTATTTTTTTGCAATCATTATTTATATTTTAGATTTAAATTTAAATTTAAATTTAAAAATAAAAATAAAAATTAAAAAAAAAAAAAAAAAAGACGTTTTAAATTTAACCCATTTTACATTTAAGAGATCCAAATTACCATAAACCATAATTAAATAACACAATTTGCGTATACCACCTTACAGTAGTATATGTATATCATAACCATTTAGATTTAGATTTAGTTTACTACAGATTTATTAAGTCATACCACCATTTACTCAAAATATCAAAATATCAAAGTATCAAACAATAAAAAGTAAAACGTATAATATAATATAATATAGTATAATATAACATAATATAATATAATATAATATAGTTTTTAGTTTTACATCATTTAGCAACCAACTAATTTTATAGATCAAAATTACAAGAATTTAAACTTTTTAAATCAAGTGATTACAATATATAAAGTAGTAATCACACCATCATTAATACATTAGATTTAAATAAGGCTAAGAGAAAGCGAGAGGCAAAGACAAAGAGAGACGCAAAAAGAAAGAGATTAGATATTTTTTTTATATTACAATTACACTAATAATAGAAAGCAAGGAAGCAAGGTACACAACAGTAAGAATTTAACAAAACAAAACAAACAAAACAATAAACTAGCCTAGTGTTAATTAATTACATACATACATACATATCTAGGTCAAAATCAAGAATTTAAAATATTATTGACTCAATTGATTTAAAATTTAAATATTGGCTGTTAAATCATAGATAATTATAGATAATTATATATAATTATATATATAATTATATATAATACCAATAATACCAATAATACCAATAATACCAATAATACAAATAATACAAATAATACCAATAATACCCTTGTTAATTCCTCAAAATAAGAGATATAATTCAAATCTAATATCTTTTTCCAATTGGTGGTTCCATATAAAATCAAGAAATTATTAATTATTACTTATTGACATTGAATTGAATTTTCCTTGAATAAAATATCAAAATTATAAATTATCAATTTTACGCACAATACAAAAAAAAAATATATAAAATAAATAATTAACAACAGACAACAAATTAATAGATTTATACAAAATCAGGTTTTTTTTTGATATAATATCAAGTTTTATAGACAGATCCATTATCTAATAAAAGTATCATCAATAAGGATTAATTTTATAGAGATTTCATTTATACAATATGATGATACACGATTTTACAAAATCGCAACATCAACATCAACATCAACATCAACATGAGCATCAATCACAATCACAATCTCAATCAAATACTGCAAGCAATGTAGGTAATAATAATAATAATAATAATAATAATGATAATGATAATAATGATGATAATAATAATAATATTTCATCAACAATTAATACTGCAAGTTATTTAATGAATGATTATAATGCATCTACTACTACTTCTCCACCTCCTCCAAGTTTTATTCCAAGTTTTCAACCACAAAACACAAATTTAAAAAATCAAACTTCCTCATCATCTTCAATTTGGAATATACCATCGGCTTCTTCATATACAAATACATCTACAAATAGCTCATCACAACGTAGAAATTCATTAATTGATTCAAGTAATATATGGTCATGTACAAATCAAAATACAAGTGGAAGTGCAAGTGCAAACAATTCTGCAAATATTTGGTCAAAAAATAGTTCAAATAATATTTCGCCACCAGGAGTTGCATTTGAAAATTATACATCGGTAAATAATCAACAACAACAACAACAACTTAGATCTTCATCAATTACTGATTCTTTAACAAGTCCATTACCACCTCAAACTTTTGAAGAATCTTTACAACAACAATCTGGAGATTTATTATTATCATCACCAAATCAATTTATAGACTCCGCAAGAAGACATTCATATACTGATGGGTTTTCAACTACAAATTCAACTTTAACTGCTGGCAGTTTAAGTAATGGCGGTTCATTATTATTAAGTGATAAAAATATTTTACAAATGGTTGATGATTATTTTGAAACTGATCCTCATGAACGTGTCAAGGTTACTATGCAATTATTAAATGATAGATTTTTTGATGAAGAAAAGTTTTTAAATGATGCTTTTCAGTTACCTAAATTTCCAATTGAATCATCATTAAGAAATTATCAATTAATTTTAGTTGGTTTTAAAGCTGGTAGAATTGATGTATTTTATTTACCAACAAGTAATACAACAACAACAACCACCACCACCACGACCACCACTATTGGTTCAGATTTATCAAAATTAAAAGTTGGAGATTTAGTCATTGTTGAAGCTGACCGTGGTAGAGATTTAGGTAAGGTTTTCAAGATGAATGTATCAATTGATGAAGCAAGATTATTAAAATTGTTACAATTTCAAGAACAACAAGCTGCTTTAAATGAACATGTTGATAATAATATTATTGATGATTTATCAGTTAAACAAATAAGTCAAGATCCATCATTAATTACAAGTCATGCTGCTGCTGCTGCTGCTGCTGCTGCATCATCATCAGTTTCACCACCAACTTTACACTTCCCCAAATCTGTTTTATCATTGGCTCAACCAAATGAAATTTTTCAAATTTTAAATAAAAAACAAGATGAAGAAAAAGCATGTAGATTGTGTCTTGCAAAAATTTCAAATGCAACAAATTCATGTATTTTAGGAGCTCCAACTTCACCAGCTACACAAGATTTATTACAAATGAAGTTGATTGATGCAGAATATCAATTTGATAGAAAGAAGTTAATTTTTTATTATTCAACATCAAAAAGGATAGATTTTAGAGATTTAGTACGTGAATTATTTAGAATTTATAAAACTAGAATTTGGATGTGTGCAGTTATTGGATTACCTTATCAAATTACTAGTAATTCAAGAAAAAATTCTAGTCCAATTAATAATACAAATATAAATACAACAAGTGCAAATACATCTGCAAATATTAATCCATTTATTCCACAACAACAGCAACAACAACAACAACAACAACAAAATTTAAGAAGATTTAGATATCAACAACCTCCACAATTACAACCACAATGGAATTTTCAATTTAATCAACAACAAGATGTTATACCAAGGGCATTACCAAATTTTCAACCAAGTATGAATATGAATATGAATAGTAATACATTTGTTCCAGCTAAACAACAATTGCAACTTCATCAACAACAACAAACATTTTCCAATTTTAAACAAATTTCATCTCCACAATTATCACCGCTGGAAATTCAATTTAGAAAAGATTCAAATTCAAGATCTAATTCTCATTCAAATTCACCAAAGAATGTCAATAATGATGAAAATGTAGATGATGGTGAAAAGGAGGAATCTTCATTTATGTTGAAATCTTTAGTTGATTCAATTAATCATTAAAAAAAATTTCATTCATTCAATTTAAATTATATATATTTATGTAGACAATACAAATACAAACACACTATATAACGCCTCTGATGACTGACTGACTCTCATCTTGCAAACTTATACTCTTATCAAGTGCTACTAATTATAAAATTGGTTGCAAAAAATTCGACGCTACCAATTGAACAATTACAATTTTCAAGACCTGAAATTATAATTTAATGATAAACAGATTACAGACATAGATTCTATATAGGATACTTTTATCTAAATGATACTATTCTCAGCTTCATCATCCACATAATCAATTAGTTAGTCTTCAGGTTTCGTACTCAGATTACATAATAATATCATTTTGTTTCAAACTGGAATGTTTCAAACGTAGAGGTGAAATGATCATTAATAAGGCTGATTTGGAAGGATTTGTTTTTCAGATGGTTATAATACTCCGGTAAATGTATCTTCATTAATTGAAGAAATTACCAATTCAAAATATTTCAAATTTGAAAAAAATAGATGAAAATGACTTTGAACGTGATTCACCATTTATTACTGCATCAGTATTAGTCGGTTTGGATTTATTAAAAATTCTTAAAAGTGATTTTTCATCATTAAGAGAATGTGAAAGTTTAACAGAAATTATTATGGTAAATACAGCTTTCAATTGGTTTGAATTTCGTGGACATGGTTATAAGAGTTTGAAAAAATTTAAGTTCATGTTAGATAAAAGAATTAATACTGTATGTCAATTTTTTCCAAGTCTTGTTCTGTTTCCAATAGGTTGTCAAGTATTGAAATCTTAAGTTTAGGTCGCATTTTTTTCAATGGTATCTTCTTTTACGGATCAGGAGTTAAAAGATTAATTTCAAAAGAAGCTAGTTTCAAAAATTGGGATTATTCTCGACCAAATTTAGAGCAATGAGAAATTGAAGATTGTAAAGAGTTTTCTCCGGAAGCTATGATAAACTCGCCATGATATATATCCTAAATATACTCAGATTAGTATTTCGTTTTCGTAACTCTTTCAAGTTTTCTAACATATCAAACGAGCTTGAGGTGAGAAAATAAGCTTTACATTGTATTTATTCTACATTGTGAACAAAATACAACTAGTTGATACATTAATTTTGTATATCAAATTACTGTAGATAATTGGTAGCAGTGATACCCAATGGGACGTACTAAGGAAATGCAAATTCATGGTCATGGCCTAAGTGAGTAATTTGTTTTGTCAATTATCATTCCTTCTCTGATTATAAAAATTGCTTTGCATTCACTTTTTATTGAAATATATATTGGAGTACTGCAGAATCAAAATTTTATATGTTCCAGATTTTCAATTTGAGTTTTTTTTTAATTTATAATTATTCATATATTTAATCAATAGCTATATATTAGTCAAATCATATATACTCAACAAAATTAAAAACTCAATTAAAATTTTCCCCATTTCCAAATTGATTCATTTGGATTAATCAATTCATTATCTAATTTTGAGAAATATAAACCTTTATCTAAACCTTGAGCAATTATAGCTTGTAAATAAAATAAGAAATCATTTGGATTAAAACCTTTATTTAATTTATCAACAAATTCTTTTTTACCATCTTCCGCAGATTTCTTTGAAGCAATTTCCAATTTTTCACCATTTAATTTATCTTTTGAATATTTATCAATCACATCTTGAATAGTAATAACTTGACTTGAAATTCTTAAAGTATCTGGTAAATCTTTTGGATTAGTTGCAGAAATTGATAATAAAGCATTACCTAAATCTTCTAATTTTGTAATATTGAATTTTTGATTTATATCACCAATTAAATCAACTTTATTATCTGAATTTATACCAACAGCACCTACCCAATCATATAAAAATGCACCAGGAACAGCAAATAATGCAGTTATAACATCAACAACTTTAACACCTTCAATTTTTCTTAAATTTTCTGAATGTTGAGTTTTTAAAGCTAAAAAACCAGGTGCGTAAGTATCAACTTGTAAAATATCAGTACCAAATTGTGATGGAATATAAATTTTTGGTTTTAAATTTTGAGCTAATTTTTCAGTAGCTGCGAATACTTCAGGATTTGGACCAGTTAATTCAATAATAACATCAATTGAACCTAATTTTGATGAAACTTCGGAAACTTCACCAGTAACATATTCGATCTTATCAGTTGATTTAACATCTGATTTTCTTGTAATTGCTTTGATTGGATATTGAATTTTTGAGTCAAATTTACCAGATTCAATAGCTGAAATAACATGTTTACCAAGGAAACCATGTAAACCGATAACCGCAATTGAAACTTTAGACATAGTTATAATATTTAATGTAGTGTGATATAATAGATTGAAAAGTGATGCAAATTGAAAATTGGAAAATGGAATTTCGGGGTTAATTTATACTACAAAATAAAGAATGTGGCTTCATATTAATTAGGGGCCAACATAAAGAGTTGGTAATTATAATTGGAATTGGTTTATAATAATTTGTAATCAATATTGTGATGGATTACATAATTTTATTAATGCTTATTAAACATGCATTGACAAATTGCAGCACGTTTGCTGCATTAGTAATAAGGCGCATGTTAGCGCAACCAATTAGAGCACAGCATGCCAAATATGGTAGTAATATGATTATTCATCGCTTATAAATTTCACCCAATCAACTATTTAACATTGATTACTGATTTACGCATAATTAGTCAATTGTTTAGTTTATTTGTGGTTAATACTGAAACTATAATTATTCACTTGCTTACACACTGATTAACTAACCACAGTATAATTACACAGTATAATTACACAGTATAATTACACAGTTGGTTACTAACACAGCAAAAGGTGGCTCATTCACAATTATCAACTCATCGCTAATCAGATTAATCAGATTAATCAGTTAACATTACCATTACCATTGTAGTTCATTTCTCTACGTTTGTAATACGACGAGTTTTAGTTTATTTCATATTCGTAAATTTGTGTTCATATACAATTGGTTACAAACATGTTTTATTCTTGAGCATTTCCCCCATGTGCTTTAATACTATTTTTATCTTCCTTTTTATTAATCACTAATCTACCATTACACCATACTTTGACACAATTTCTATCATCACCTGAGAAAACCCATTTACTTAATAGATCAAATATTTTCTTCTTTTGTTCATCTAATGAGTCTGTTATATCGCTTGGAAGTTGCCATTTAAAAACGTCAGTAGCACCTTCTTGAAAATCAATTAATTGTGCATCAAATTTCTTCCCTACTTCAAAAGATCCTACTAATTTATCTAATCCTACTGCTTTTGCACCACCCATTGTCGCCATATATAATGCATCTTCAATAGAAATCTTTTTATTTGAGTTCTCATGCATAGATTTATGATGACTTACCAATATAGAATGTTTAATAATCTGTAAAATTGAAGAATCAAACCCACCACTCACATCTGTTCCCAAACTAACATTAATTTGATCCTCATACAAGTATTTATAAATCGGAGCTTCTCCACTTGAGATAAATGTATTTGAAGTAGGACAATGAGATATGGAACACTTTCTTTTTTTTATCAATCCTATCTCTTCTTCTGTTAAATGTATACCATGAGCCAATATTGTCTTCCGATTCAATAATTTAAAATGATCATAGACGGCTGCATAATTTTCACATTCTGGAAATATAGATTTGACAAGTTTAATTTCATCTTTATTTTCACTTATATGAGTTTGAATCGGGAGATTTTGCTCTTTACATAATTTTCCAAGATATGTTAACATTTTTCTTGAACAAACAGGAGCAAATCTTGGTGTTACTATAGGTTTAACTAAACGTTCACCTTTTGGATTTACTTCATTTATATGATTGATTATTTCATTCATTGAAGAAACACACGTTTCATAACTTTCTTGATAATTCTTGTATGTATCATTATGATCCATGCATACTTTTCCCACAAATCCACGTTGTCCATGTTCTAATAATAAATCAGCAAAAAAATTAGTTGATTTGGGATCAATTGTAGTGAAATAAGAACCACATGTTGTACCATTACTTAAAGTTTTCTTTATAACTTTTGAATAAACATCTTTTGCCATTTCTAAATCAGTACTAAACTTAGATTCTAAAGGAAAAGTATAATCATTTAACCAGCTCAATAATGGTGTATTTAAACCTATGCCTATATTTGGATATTGTGACGCATGTATATGAGTATCAATAAAACCAGGTATAAAAAATTTAGGACCATGCAATCCATAATTATAAAACACATAATTTTTATTAGCTCTAAGCGGAATCATTTCATCTAAAAGCAAACTATCTTCTTTTTCCCAGTCCCAGTCCTTAATTATAAATTCTATTACACCATCTTCATTAACTCCAATCAAGGTCTTCATACAAATTTCTAATTCTGATAAATTGGGAGTATGGATAAAAGTACCAAATATGACACGATAAGGATTTGGTGAAGCAGCTTTTGGAATTGGCTTGGAAACATTTGAAGGCATAATATGAATGAGTTAACTATAATACAAACAAATAATTGAACGAATTGATAGTATTTATCTTGAAATCATTTTCTATTTTATGTTAATGTTTCCACTTATCAACGAAAAAAATCTAGGGCCGAATTTTTGTTCCGCTGGAAGTTCCGAAATATTTGTACGTAAATTGAACAGTAGCCAACAGTACTTGATTTCAAGTGCGGACTGGTATTTCAACATTTGATTACTGACTCGTCATCAAAACTCTTGATTGAGGTTGCTATTAGCTTTGTCAATAGAATAAATTAACTAACGTACACGAAATCTCAAATGAATAGCATACTCAATATCGGAATAAGTTAATTTGATTCTTTCTGGAACCTTTCGAGCTTCTAGAGTATGTGATGCAACATTGAGTCAGTCAATTGTTAACATTACTGTTATTGAATTACATAAACCTTAATTCCATTAAATGATTTGGTATTAAATTAATGGTCAACTTTTAACCAATTTATACAACAATCACTACTAGGAGTCCCTGAATATTGAAAAAGGTTTAGTAAATATAAAAATAATAGGTATAATTACGCTCTGATTTATCCAAATTTGTACAGTTCTATAATTTCCATGTTGTTAGTTGCATATAATTGAACGTATTTAGTACCAGGTAGGCTTAAAATTAGCGCGAAGAATCATTATCTCGCTCCCAATCATTAGGTAACAGACCAAATTCACAGTAAGGTATAATAATAGCAGTTATATAAAACTTTAGCGCATTTTTTATAAAAACACCTGCTATTAAGTAATGTCTTTTCGATTATGATGATTATTTGGCTAAATGTTCAAAAGTTTACAATTTTGTAAGCCAGTATAAAGCGTCATATTGCTTCAATTTTTAAAGAGTAATTTGCCAAAAAGCACTTAAGCCATAGCAAAGGATAGGGAACTACTATCACATAATTAAATAGCTGATTGTGCTCAAGGTTTTGTGTTTTGAAATTCTTTTTAGGGGGGAGTATTCAGTTAGGTGAGGAAGCACCCTGATTAGTCAGAATATAAAAATTCAGAATTTCAAAGCACAAAATAGTGTTGTCTTCATAACTTTCAGTTAGGCTTAAGCCAAATTCCTTCTTCGATTTCATAAATCTATAAAACCCCTTGGTGAAACAAAAACCAGCTTGGCAAAATTCTATTCTGAAGCAGAAGATCCGACAAGCTTTTTTCAAAGAGGAAATTACCGATACAAAGAAAAATTCAATTAAAGCGAACGTTTATATCTTAAACTATGAATGTAATTTAAATTTTTTTAATGAAAAGAAACAAGTAGTAGTATTTTTATGGTATCATAATGATATAATAATTTCTAAAGTTATAATAAAGCAGCAGCAATCAAACCAGCAACAGCTCCTAAACCAACTTTATTAGCAACAGCACCTGCTTCATCTGATTGAGTAGTAACGGCTGGGTTAGCAGTTGAAGAACTTGAAGTTTCTTGAGCGACAGTTGAAGTTTGTAAAGTTGATGATTCAGCAGCAACGGTTGATGATTGTTCTTCTGATGATGAAGGAGCAACAACGACTTCTGATGATGATGGAGCTGCTGATTCAGTTGATGATGGTTCAGCTGGTGATGAGCTTTCTTGAGCTGATGATGATGAAGCTTGAGTTGATGATGATGATGATGATGATGATGATGAAGAAGCTTGAGTTGATGAGAAGGCTGATGATGAGCTTGAAGAGCTTGAACTTGAAGCTGATTCATCATAATAATCACCACATTGTGATTTAAAAGCTGATGTTGCAGTATCAGCATCACCATTTGGACAATGATCTTGTAAACATTGTTCAACATCACTTGATAAATTACCACAAACACATGATAAATCATTTAAACCATCACAATTTGATGATTTTTCAATTTGTGAAACACAAGCTAATAAACAAGCTGGAGGAGTAGCTAAAGATGTTGACAATATTGAAGCTAAACCAATTAATGTAGATAATTTTAAAAATGAAGCCATATTTGAAAGAATGTAGAACTATTAATTAACGATTGACTTTTTTTGATTAACGATTAAAAAAAACAAAAGGTTGAAAAGTTGTTGTTTTAACTTATTCTATTTTAGGAGTTTTGTTTTTGTTTGCCAATCGAATGAAAAAAAAAAAAAATAAAAAAATAAAAGCGACAGGGTCGTGTATCTGAAATCTTGCTAAAAATAGAACATTTTAAGATTCACTTAGATTTAGATCTAGATTCACTCACGCTACCATGTGTATATTAATCGTTTATTAAAATCTTATTTTACACTTTAATTGTTTACCATTATATAATAAACTAACATCAAATTTATCTAGTTGCAAATTCATTATTGCCATTATTGTGATATCTAATTCATTATTTAAATATCTTTTCAATATATCCATTGAATCATTTGAATTTATTTTTAATGGTAATCTTTGAGTTTGTGATATTCCTGGTGGTATGATTAAGATTTCACGATGTGATAAATAACCCAAAATTATATCTTCATGTTTAGCTTGTGCTGAAAATATTTCAATTATAATTTCTGAATTATTAATTGGATTGAATACTTTAATTTCAATTTCCGATGTAAATACATGTATGATTACTTCAACAATGAAAGGATTATATTCATCTAAATCATTAATTTGGAATTTTAAGTTTGGTAGTTGTAAATCTTTAATAGATACTTCTTCAATCAATTTATTTAAGTTTGGATTGGTGAGTAATTCATTATTGTAAACGTCAATGGATAAATTCTTTGCACCATTTGATATATATGAACTTATGAAATTTTCTAATCCTACTCTTTCCTCATATGTTTCTAAATTAATGTGAAATTCACACGATAAATAAAATTCATCTTGATTTGGTATGTATACATTGTTGAATATTATATTTCCTAAATTAAGCCCCTTTCTGTAGATTCCAAATTTAGTAATTTCATGCAACATGTCAATTGAGAAACTCGTTGGATTAATTAATGATAAATCAATTAAAAATTTGACTTGAGTGTTTGTTGACTCAATAAGGAATATACTATCTATGGTGACATTTAATTGATCTAGTAGTTGATAATCTATGATTGGTATATTACAAGGTACTGATAAACTAGGTAGTTTTAGTTCTTTTAATTTTATTTTCATAAATAATGGTGTTTTCATTTCTATGTCATGCATGGTAACGTTTGAGTAAATTTCATGTGTTGTTTTATTATTTAAAATTTTGTTTAGTAATTGACCAACTGTTTTTGGATCTATTAAATCCAATTGTAGATTATTCAAAAATGATTCAATTAAATTTTTATTATATTCAATCAAAATTTGATCCGTTTCACCTTTTAATATAACATCACTACCATTTATAACATCAAAACTGCTTCTAAATTTCAAATTATCAAACTCAACCAATGAGTTATTATTAAAAATTGTGAAATTTGAATCAAGATTAATATTCTTTTCATCAATATATAAATTTGATGAGTTTATGCAAAAATGATTACGTGGAACGATTGGTAGGTCGATTTTTGGTAACTTAACATACAATCTAATTGCCTCTTCTTGTAACAATCTTATTAACCAACTAGGTAAATTTGATTTAGTTTCATTTAATTGTAGATAGAAACAAACAGGTTGATTATGTAAATATTGCTGTATTATATGATTTATTGGACTTATATCACTACCACAATCTTCCATTAAACAATCAGGTACAGATTCAATTGATCCTTTAACGAATACACTAACTGATTTATCACCTTTCGTTATATTTAAAGGCAATGTAAACCATTTTCCAACTTTAATTAGTTTTTTGGTACAATCTTCAAACATCAAATTCCACGATAGTTTTTCTAAATTGAGTTCTGGTAATTCAACTAAATCAGTTTCTATACTTAGATGAGTATCAACATTAATCATCTCTGAAGTTGAATTAACTTTGAACGTTTCAATATTCATATTGGGTTGAATATATTTTTTGTTGATAACCACATCTTGAGCAAATACAATATCTTTAAACAGGAAGTTTATAAATCCATATTTAACATTGATTTCTTTCCCAATTCCTTTGAGTTTTAAATTTATCTCTGGTGTTTCTATTTTATAATAATATTTTAAAAATTGCATAATTTGAGACTCTTTAAAATTGCATTCACTGATAAAATTTAATTGATTATCTGTTCCATTTACAACTGTGATGTTCATTGGAGGAGGTAATAAATTACCCAAGTATATGAAATCAGTATTTAAATCAATAAATTTGCTGTATATTTCAATTGGTTTTAAACTTTGTATGGTGATGGTTCCAATTAATGAAGTAAAACTAGTGATGACAAACTTTTGCACCGCATTCTTTAGTTTATAATTTATATTCACATCTGATTCCATTATTAAGTTTACACCTTGGGGAGTAGTATTTTGGAATGAAACTTGAGTTAATTCTAATTCAACTGAACCTGAAATACATTGTTGTAAATGATCAAATAAAAAATATGAAAAGACTAAAAGTAGAATAACAATGATGAATATAGAACCAGCTATGACCCCTCTACTACATTTTCTTTTTGATCTTATTGGTTGTGATGATTCTGACTCATTATATGATTGTAAAAATTCCTGAACTTCATCTTCATTTAATGGCTCCTGGGGCACTTGATGTAATAATGGAGTATTTTCATCATTTAAATGAGTATGGAATTGTTGATTAGACATTGTTATTATACCATTCTTTGAATAATTAGCAGCAAAAGATTAAGAAATGACTTTAAATTAAGGATTGGTTTCGTAAATTTTAAAAAATATTATTATACATGATTAAGTAAATTTTCGTTTACGGTTGCATTTTTTTTTTATTGAAAAATGCTACCAATTTGATTTTTCACAGCCAAATTAAAATTGAAGATTACGTAGAATAGTTTGATTTAGAGAATCATTGATATTTATGATTAGTAAATAAAAGCATCATTAAACCACAGCTCGACCATAGCTTCTAAATAACACAAAAATGTTTAACAAAATATGTTTCCGCGATAGCTTTAGGGCGACTCGTGCTACCTATATTAAGCTACATATCATGAACAACACTATCTATCAAGATAAATACCAACTATATGATATCAAATGCTATAAATATAGCTTGACAATTAAGTTATCTACCTTGGGTAATAGCATGACAATTGAATTCGAAGTATCATCCATCTCGTGAAAACATATGCACTTGTCACATAGCAACCACTACTCATTCGTGATTGCAAATGATGACATTGTACTATAACTCGATAAACTCGACGGTCCAAGGAATTATGAGCATTATGAAATTAAGAAACCAAATTATGCAATTGAAGATAATGAGTTTTCAACTGTTTAACACCAAACATTCTCCATAATTTGATGCTAGAATAATGAATAATTAAGGATCCTTAATCATTCCAAGGCACACATGCATTATAAAAGATTCTAAGTTTAGTTTGACAAGTGTGTAAAGCACCTGGTTCATGTCTATCAATAGTGCGCGGTTCAAATTGGTTTGGACCACCATTGTCAAATCCAAATCAAGTAATTTACAACTTACGAGAAAAATCTGAAACGGGATAATCCCCATGACGCCTTTTGATATGGTCAAGGCTCTAGCCAATCTGTGTTTGACTAAGTTCGTCAGAGATCAATTGTGGGGGTCGTTGAAAATTTTTACATAAGTCATAACATCGTGTATTTTAATTTATAAACCAATATAAGGACTAGCTACTTGATTTAATTCTAAATTTCATTTATCACACTTCTTCAAATGTTCTTTAATCTCTTTTGATGTTGGAAATGAAGCACCACAATAATAACAATGATATTTATAGTCACTCATAACAATAAGAACTAAAACCAAACACTATTAATCAAATAATTTAAATATATAAAACAAACTGATAATTTTAAGTTTCTGATAATTTGACGTGTTTATATAATTTTATACTTTATTAATCATCTACACTTAGTTGTTGGGTAATTTACGATGACGACAACGCATTAATTGAATTTTTCAATTTGTTACATATTAATTTTCTTAGTGATCTTAATTAGGAAAGTGAATTTTACGAATTTTGTTTAGAGATAACAAAAATCTATCAATTTTAAGATTTACATTTCAATTTGATTGCAGCTTTTTTCGTATTTACTAAGCATAATAATGGTATAAAGGTAAATCTTGTGAATATTTGAGTAAAATATTTAATGGTAATTTTTTCCAGTTGTTTTTAGGATAAAACAGTTTTACGAAAATGCTTAAATATCTTGATTTGACCTGGTCATCTTTTCTTCATGTGGCCTATGAGCTCTAGTTGGAGTTCTGAGTATACTATAATGTGAATGATTGCATAGCTTCGAAGTGTGCACTTCAATTTTTTTAGTTAGCCAGATGAGTTGAATTACTTTTGGAATATTGAACTCAATACCTACATATCAATATTTCCACCCTCAACAGTTACAAATTCTTCATCTTCGTTAGTTTCATTGATTTTCACTAGACTTTACGTCAAATTCTTCGTCTTTTTCGATGTCTAATTCTTCGTTTTTTCGATGTCCATCTTTTTAGCCTGAAGTTGCATCATCTTGTCTAATTTCAATACCTCTATTACTAATTCTACCTACAACTTCAAACTTTTCCAAATTTTGAAGTATAATACCTTTCCTATATTGTAAATACTTTCATCTAATGTTGAAGCTTTGAGTGCTTTGGAAAAATGAACCAATTTCTTAAAACGAATAAGCTTCGAACTTAATGTTGTGATACTTGACAACTTTTGTGGAAAGAAAATTTTATTCTCAACATATCGAGTTTCAATAAATTTAGTAAATATCATAACTAATTCAAAAATTTCAAGATTTAAAAATCGTACCTATTATCAAATAAATCCCAATCAAAATAGCTATCGACAATGTTCCAAATTCTTTAAACTATATTGCACTTTTATCAGTGGAAGTGTGAGTATAGAACGTACTGCGTGTACCAGTAATTCTAGATACCTAAGGTTTTGAATATTTTCAATCAAGCTAAGTATTTGACTAAAACCATCTTTTTCATTGACTTTCTCTGAGAAGCCTTCTAATTGTTTAATAGTAGGATATTGAGTTGATTTGGAATATATGGAATGGACGGCTTTAAAATTCTTCACCGAATCTTTTAATGTTTCGATTTCACTGATCAGTATTACTCTTCTCAGAAAATATTCGATGTCATGAAAATGAGGATATCTAAAAAATTCGGTTTCCAAATCCGATCTATTATAAAAGTAGAAAAAAGTTTACAAGGTAAATTCACAAATTGATAGCAACTGAGAGCCATCAAATCTGGATTCACTTGTTCAATTTTCGATAAATCATACTCTTGACGAAGGTCGTAATAATCAAAATGTTCATCATAACAGCTAATTTCACCATTTAGTTTACAACATCCATCTATAACTTTTAAAGCAAGAATTAATTTTGGAACTCGTTAAAATTGATTTGATAATCATGCAATTGCTTATATTCATCAACTAGCAAAGCATTTGTAAAATCGTACTCTCTCTCATTCAATAATCTAATCTTGGAAGTTTCTTCTTCATCTCCCAACCTGAATTTATCGTCTCCTGAAATTTTGACCTTTGAAAATAATTGTTTATTTGTAATTGTTTTTAATTCTTCATAAAGAAAAGTCTTAATACTTTCCTTATCTAAATATCCCATAACATTTTCAGCTAGTTCTTCAGGTAAAGCACGTAATTTTGATAACAAATCATAAGTATCAGACTTTGTAATGATTTTTAAAAATATTGTTGAGGGTCAATCTTAGATTAATTTAAATCAACATTCCCAAAATAGATGAAAAAATTATATTACATAATTTAAGGCACAAAACTCTAAAAGGTAGTGAGTTGATGCAAAGCTGTTCAAAATCAAAATAAACTTTCTGAAGCTGCTAAGCTAACATAAATTTTGACTGAATTGTAATCAAACTTATTTTAACGAAAGATTAATGGCTCAAATTGCGCTACAGTTATAAATCGATCTCTAAATCGCGCTATTATATTATTTGAAATGATAAGATGCAATTGGTAGCATCATATATTTTGCAGCCAAATTTAGTCAGTACTCAAAATTCGAATATACCTTCTACAACAGTCTTTGAGAAGCAGTTTTGTTATCAAAAGGAATAGTTGATAATTAGCTAATCATATATTTTATAGTAGGTAAATTAGATAGCAATATACGGTAAAATTATTTGGTTTTTTTAAAAATTTCACTTTCTCCATCATTAATACCTTTTACATTTTCTGAATTGTAATCACTAGCATCTTCAGTTATTCCATCATCACTAAAATTTCCTCCTAATGACTCTCCTATATAAATCTCTCCATTCCAGCAATAAGTTTCAAAACATTCCCTACATTGTTTACTTTGTGGTAATCCCATTTTTTCTTGTTCTCTTCTAATGATTGCACAACCAATACATGCTTGAAATTCATCATCTAAAGTACCATTAAGTCTTGTTGCTACATTATAACCGTTTTGAATCATACTATTTCTCTCTTCATTTGAATATTCTAATTTAAATGTTGATGTATTTGACCAATATGTAAAAGGACGATTGGCAATATAAACAACTAATGGAACATCATAAATATCATTAGTTAATGATGACAAATTATTAGCATCACATCCAAAAAATGTTGGTTTTGAAGTTAAATTTAAATTAATGAAAGTATAAGAATCAGGAACATAAGGAAATGGTACACCTTGAGATGAAAATTGTCTTTCATAAGTTTCAATTAATGATGTTCCATTTGGCCAGTTTAATTGAGTATCAGCAGAATTATCAAATGCAAATATAACACTTAAATTTCGATGTAATAATGGAATTAAAGGTACATTTTGACCATCTTCACCACCGTCTACTAAATATAAAGTTTCAGATTCTTCAATTTCATTTTGTGGATCAATTGATTTATAGAATGGATTTGGATTATATTTTGCTGTTAAAGAACCAGGTTTATTAAATGTATCATTGATAAAATTTTTTAGAAAAGTTGGTAATTTTGAATCTTCAACTTCTAAAATAACTCCATTAAATAATGAAGATGAAGTACCCATAAAAAATCCAGCATTATCAAAACCATTAATACAATAATCATTTGTAGGTAATCCATTATCTAACTCAGTACCAACAAATTTAGTATCAACAAAATTTTCTAATGTTGGATCAAATGAACCAATTTCAAATGGGGTAATTTCAAATACTGTTGAATTTACATTAACAATTGTAGTATTTGGTTTTTGACCATTTGCAACCAAAATTGGAAATGGCATTGAATAGTTTTGAAAATTTGAATTATTTCTAATATCTGAAAATGTATAATTGACTCCCATTTGATAAAAATCAGCTAATAATGTATAACTTAATGCTCTACCCCAAATATCAGTGATACTAATCTCAAAACCTGCATTTTGTTTACTTTCAACTTGTTCTCCTATATCAAACCACATTTCAATAGTTTTAATAATATTGTCATAATAATCTAAAATTGAATTAATAACCCATAAGGTATTTTGAGCTATGATTTCATCAACTGAAATAAAATCATTTGAACTAATTGAACCTACCATCCACAGTCCCCCAGATAATCCAGCGATATAATCACTTGATTGTAAAATTCCTGATAAAACTGGATTCTCAGTTTCAGTTCTAATATCCAATGCAGCAAATTGACCTGAAGATACTAACATTGATCTAAATCCACCACCTGAATAAGCTAGACCAATTGTTGGATTAGTATTTGATAAAAACCAATCGACGTCAAAATCAGACATGTTTGCAGATTTCAAATAATTTGATAAAGATTCATTAACAATTGGACGTCTTGATTGAATATATTCTATTTCTTGAAGATTTAAACCTAAATCTGCTGGTCTAGTTAAATTGCCTGATGGACATGAAACTTCAAATGGAGCGTAATTGGCGTAAACAAATTGAATTAAGAAAATAAAATAAACAAAGTAAATCATGATATAATGAAATTAAGTTAAATAATTGATATAATGAACTCTAATTTGCGATTAAATTTGTTAAAGTTGATGAATAAGGATGGTAAATAAAAAATTGAAAATGTGTTGCAGATAAATCTTTTGCAGCATTTTCCGTACAAAATGTTTCAGAATCTATAGTATGTATGATAATTACCAAATACTCCGACACACTGAAGTATTACGAGTTCTTACAAAGGTAGAGAGTAGATTCAAGTAACAAACATACACAAATCTCTTATATTGAACTCCTATCACTACACGAATACTGCTTAATGTTTTAATAAATCAACTTTTAAAATATCATCAACAATAGTTTTACCTGCTGCAACGATTTCTTCGTCAGTATATCTTCTACCACTTAATTGTAAACCAATTGGCGCACCAATAAATTCATCAGGTTTATAATTTTCATTTTCTAATTTTTCTAAATCTGATCTATATTCATATTTCAAATCTTCTTCAGTCCATTTATCAACATTTGGATCTTGAAAAATACCAGTTTGGAAAACTAAAGTTGGGAAATCTAGAATGTTAAACAATGTAGTGTATGACCAATTGTAAACTTCTTCTGAATGAGGAGCAACATTATTATAAGTTGGTGATAAAATGAAATCAATTTTATTTTCAACCAAGAATTTAGTATATTCATTTCTTAAACCATCTCTAATATAATTTAATTCTCTATTTTCTTTGACATTATAATGTTTTGAACCATCTCCAAAATTTAAATCCCATTTAGTCAATCTAGTTAATGGTTCACCAGATGCACTTAAATATTTCTTTTGCATGTAATTTCCATCACAATTATACATCTTGTTAATTGTTTCATAAGCTAATTTAGTATTTGGTGGTTGGAATTCAACAATTCTAACACCAGCAGCTTTTAATTTTTCAACAACTTCATTTAAACCTCTTCTAATTGGTGGTGAAACTCTAACTAAACCATCATCTCTAATAACAGCAATTGTTAAATCTTTTGGATCTGGTTTTGGAACTGATCTCCATGGAATAGGTAATGCCCAAGCATCAATTAGCCATGGTTTACCTTCATTAATATAAGATTTCATCCAATAATCAATATCATCGATCGATCTACCAATTGGACCAAAAATTGCAGGTACAGATTCTTGACCAGCACCAGCTGAAGTAGTTCCTGTTTCAGCAATTCTTCTAGTTGAAGGTCTTAAAGCATTTGTACCAGAAAATGCACTTGGTGATCTAACTGAACCACCAATATCAGAGCCAACACCGATTGCAGAACCACCAAATGCAGAGATTGCACCTTCACCAGATGATGAACCACCAGCAGATAATAATAAGTTGAAAGGACATTTAGTTAAACCGGTGATATTGTTATTTGAATCTAAATGCATTAAAGTTTGAGGTTGAGTAGTTCTAATATAGAAAACAGCACCCAAATTTTCTAAAATTTTAGTTGTACCACTATGTTCTGGAGTAACATTTTCAATTAATGAAACAAAACTAGCATGAGTGACTTTACCTTTGTAATTAAGATGTTCTTTAATTGAAATTGGAATACCGTGTAACGGACCAACTATTTTACCATGTTCTTTCAAATAAGCATCTCTTTCCTCCGCTTGTTTCAAACCTTCATCAATGAAAATTTCAGCTGCACAGTTAGTAAATTGATGTGCAATAATAGCTCTATGTGCAAATGCATTGTAAATTTCAACAGCTGTTAATTCACCTTCAACTTGTTTATCAACTAATTGAGAAATTGTTGAGTCAGTAATTTCAAATTCTTTTGGGGTTAATAACTTAGCAGAATATAAATAATCAACTGCATTAAATTGTTCTTTGATCAATTCTGCAACTGGTTTTGGTAATTCAACTGTTAATTCTTTTGGAATAGCATTTTTCAAGTTTTCTTGATATTTTTTAATTTTTGGTAACCATTCAGCTTCATATCTTGCCTGATCTTCAAAACCAGCAAAATCTTCTATTGTCAAAAGTGATTCAAAAATTGAGTTGTTAGTAGACATTGTAGATAGTAAAACTTATGTTTTGATTTCAAAAAATTTCGAATTCGATGCACAATCATCTTATAATTTGAATCTTAATTTATTACACCGAAAATTGCAGGTCATTGGAGAAAATTCAAATCACAAAATCATCATTATAAATTTATAAAAATCTTCAAATTATCCAGGATGTTAATTATTCTATTGAAATAATGATATACTCCACAACTGATACGGACTTTGACCAATCGCATTTGATAGCTTCTTATGGTAAAATATCTTAAATATTATGACAACTTTGCAAAATTGTTTATCCATGCTTAGTTATTTTCAATAACTCGCAAATATTCTTTTGAAATGTGGGGATTTACTAAGAAAAATTAAATAATATTATAATTTCTAACAGAAACAAAAACTGTTAATGTTTCATTTTTATTGCATTAAATTGCATCATAATGTCTTAGTTACGGCTGAATAGATCTCTTCTAATTTTTCCATTTTTGGTCTCGTCCAAGAAAAGCAAAATTAAGATCTTTGCGGCTATTTTTTAACGCGATTTCTTAATTTAGTTACTTGATCCGCATAGAGAAAACTATCTACTTTTGTAAACTTGATTACCTATTAAGATTATTATATTTACAGTGAAAATTTACGATTTAAAGAAACTTCGTTTCTGGTGGGGGGAATGACAGTTTATAGTTGAAATATCTTATGTTTTGGGTTAAACGGTGAGATTTTGATTATTATAATAGTAATGATTTACTATTATCAAGACATTCACTTTACTCCACATTTCATGGTTGGTATATTAATTTAGACGGTGATGAGATGGTTAAGGTTTAACTACGCTTAGACTTACCAGTGAAGGTTTTAAAATTGGATTTTGCGGTTACAAGGTATACTTTAGTCAAAAAAGAGGGTCACCGAAGCTTATAACTTGATCTAATCTAATATCTATCGATAACTTTTATCACTGGTTTGTTTTTATCATGGGCCAAGAAAGAAACCAACAAAAATGATTTTGATTCATTTTATTTTTTAAGGTTTTTATATTTTGAACCATATCTAGCATGAACTCGCGGATAACTCATAGTTTAATTATTATACAACCAGTAATTATAATGACTTCAAGAGATATATAAGAGATATATAACTCGAGTAAATTCCCCATTGGATTAATTTTTTCAGATCATCATCAAACTTATTTACAATCAAAAATGGGTAAAGCAGACGACATAGATTTCGTTCATGGAACAGTTTATTTAGTTGACGTCATAGGTACTATGAATGTCAAAAAAGAAGATGGTAATGATATCATCTTACAACCACAACCAACCAATGATCCAAATGATCCATTGACATGGTCAAAAACTAAGAAACATCTTCAATTTGCGATTGTTTGGGTTTGGGCATTTTTATTAGCTGCTACTTCCAATTTCGTTGGTCCTTTATTCACTACTTGGTTAACTGATTTAAACACTACTGCTAATCAAATTGGTGTTTTCATTGCCCTTGGGTTTTTAGCTTTGATGATTGGTGTTACTATTGTTCAACCAACTGGTTTAAAATTAGGTAAATATGGTGTTTATAACGTTTGTACTATTTTGGTGTTTATTGCCGTTTTAATTGGTGGTTTTGCTAAAGGTATGCCAGAAATGGATTTCTTTAGATTCTTATCATGTTTTGCTGCTGCTCCAGTTGATACTTTAGTTGAAATCTCAGCTAATGATTTATATTTCCAACATGAAAGATCAACAGCTTTCAGTTTATTAATTTTAGCTTTATATGCTGGTTGTTCATTAGGTCCAGTTGCTTCAGGTTTAATTTTACAAACTATTGGTTGGAGATGGTGTTTCTTTATCCAAGCAATTATTTATGGTGGTTTATTCATTTTCCAAATTTTATTTATGGAAGACACAACTTTCAGAAGAGATGCTCATGCTATAATTGAAAAAGGTGATTACATGGAAGACGAATCAGAATCAAACAGTGTCGAAAAGAAAGGAGGTGTTATTACTACAGAAGAAGTTAAAACATCAGATGAATCATTATCAAATGTTCCAACTAAAAAAACTTGGAAACAAACAAGAGGATGGGTTAACAGAAGACAAAACGATACAAGAAGTTGGTGGACTATCTTTTACAGACCAGCATTTTTGATTACTTTCCCTGCTGTTGTTTGGTCAGGTATTGTCTATGGTTCACAAATGATGTGGTTATCATTAGTTGCTAATACTCAAGATATGATTTTCAGTGCTCCTCCATATAATTTTACTCCTCAATATGTTGGTTTCACTACCTTAGGTCAATTCTTTGGTAATATCTTTGGTATGCTTTATGGTGGTCTTTTCGTTGATTGGTTAGCTGTTAAATTAGCTAAAAAAAACAATGGTATTATGGAACCAGAACATAGATTACATTCAATGTGGGTTCCATTTATTGTTAATGCAGTTGGTGTTATTACTTATGGTTTAGGTTCTTACTATGGAGCTCATTGGGCTATTCCAACTGTTATGGGTCAAGGTTTCATTGGTTTCGCCATGTCAAGTTTGGGTGCTATTTGTTTGACTTATGCTGTTGAATGTTACCACAATTTAGCTTCAGAAGCTTTGGTCTTAATTTTAGTTATTAGAAATGCTATTGGTACCATTTTCTCATTTACTTTCCAACCATGGTTAGCTGCTCAAGGTTTAAGAGATTTATCATACACTTTATTTGCTTTATCACTTGTTTGTAATGGTGGTTTCCTTATCTTTTTGAAATGGGGTAAAGATTTAAGAAGATGGACTGGTCCAAGATACGAAAAATACAGTGCTGGTGCTGGTGCTCCTCATTAAAGGTTTTAATGGTTCTTCATTAATGAAAAACTATTCTATTTATTAATGTTTAATATTTATTGTTTAATTCGACAACGAGGAATTGAATTCCTTTTGTTTATAGCTCAAAATATATTCAATACAAAAAATATATGGTATAATATTTATTTCTACCTCGATATGCTTTTTCTGATTCTAATATTTAAAACAACGATTGTTATTAGCCGCGTATTTTTTTAATCTCACGAAATTGTTTAACGCTTCGGAAAGCGTGTAATGAAAAAGCCACTGGTTAGATCTTAGATCTTACTTTAACGCTTACACAAACTAACAACTCTGAGATAAATTGAATTAATCTAAGATCGAAGTGGAAACTTTTTATGAAATTTTCATAAAACTTTCTATGAAAATTTCATTTTGATAATTTCATTTTGATAAATTTTTGCAAAATTCTCAAATATTCCTTGAATTATAAGCAGAGTCCAAGAAAATTATTTAAATTGAAAAATCTATTTGATCTATTGTTTCAGTAAATTATTTAAATTGAAAAATCTATTTGATCTTCATTGTTTCAGTAAATTATTTAAATTGAAAAATCTATTTGATCTTCATTGTTTCAGTAAATTATTTAAATTGAAAAATCTATTTGATCTTCATTGTTTCAGTTAATTCCTTAGACAAATTATGTTAAAAGCTCATCTTAAACTATACTAATCTATTTTTTGTTATATAAAATTTCCATATAAAAATTTCATTTCATCAAGAAATAAATTCTTAGGGAGGTGGTATCTAAAGAGTATAATACTCTACTCTCAATTATCAACAAGATGAGCTATTTCAAAATAAACTTTTCATTTTAAAGTTTTACGAAATCAATTATAAAGATCTAAATTAAACACAAGCAATATGGACCACGTTTTCCACACTGTAATGAACATCGTAAAACAAGAATATGGAACACTTAGAAGCAGGCGTAGGGTCTAATAGAAAAGTTCTTGGTATTATACTATATCTAAATTTTGCATCTTCATGGAATATCTTTTGGGACCATTCTTGGCATCCTGCATATAAGTAAAATAGACCATCACAAATTGTATAGGGAGCTAAAAATTCTATAAAGGATCATTGCTTGATATTGTAAAGATTTCAGTTGAGGAGAGTACATGGTTGTTACCACTACTTTATGGGGGTATATTAAATTATAAACATTATTTTTGGCTGGCAAAATTTGTGGAAAAAGAAATTCTTGCAACCATCGCCTAAAACGAGAGCGCAAAATAAATTAAAAAAAAAAAAAAATAAAAAAATAAAAAAAAATAAAAAAATAAAAAAAAAAAAAAAATTTCAATATAAAAGTTTCAGATTTGCTCTTATCAAAAGGCTTTTACGTTTTTCTCTTTTTATCTCTACAAGTTTTATATAAGTCAATTTTCACAAAAAAAGACACAACTAGGTGCCTATTAAGATCCATTATAGTAGATTTTAATAAGTTTTATTTTTAAGTTTTTTCTGTGTGCCTTTTTTATTTTAGAGTTTTCAAGAGTTTTTTATTATTTTAAGTGAATCTAAGTTCTATTCACTTTTTTTAATTAGTTTTATTTGTGGAAAATAAAGTCTGTAACTGAAGAAAAAGTATTTGATAATGGTTCGTCTATTAGTCAGAAAATTGAAATTCAAAGCGGTCAAGAATCGTCGAAGCAACCAAACTCAAGAAATGTAAATGAAAATTTAGAGCCTTATCGTTTAACAGTTCAAGATGTTGCCAAATTATTACAAACGGATGTAGATTCTGGTTTAAGTGATGATCAAGTTACTCAAAAGAAACATGAATTTGGTTTAAATAATTTAGGTAAAGAAGACAAAATTTCGATTTCGAAGATTTTAGCCCATCAAGTTTTCAATGCGATGGTTTTAGTTTTAATTATATCAATGATCATTGCTTTAGCTATTAAAGATTGGATTTCTGGTGGTGTTATTGGGTTTGTCATTGGTGTTAATATCGTAGTCGGTTTTATTCAAGAATTCAAAGCTGAAAAGACCATGGGGTCAATTAGAAATTTAAGTTCACCAAGCGCAAGAGTTTTAAGAAATGGAGTTGAACAAAATATTAACGCTGAAGATGTTGTTCCTGGCGATATAGTTTTTATAAAAGTTGGTGATACTGTACCTGCTGATTTAAGATTAATTGATACATTAAATTTAGAAACTGATGAAGCAATGTTAACAGGTGAATCTTTACCTGTTGCAAAAGATCATGGAGAAATTTATGTTAGTGATGAAGCAATTCCAGTTGGAGATCGTCTAAATATGAGTTTCAGTTCTTCTATAGTTTCAAAAGGTAGAGGTTCTGGTATTGTTACAACTACAGGATTAAATACTGAAATTGGTAAAATTGCTGATAGTTTAAAAAATCATGGTGATCAAATGATTGTTAAAGTTACAGAGCCAAGTTTTAAAAATTATTCACTTGCTGCTGGTAAAACGTTACTTAATGTTATTCAGAACGTTTTAGGTACAAATGTTGGTACTCCATTACAAAGGAAATTATCATGGTTAGCTATTATGTTGTTTTGGATTGCTGTGATCTTTGCAATTGTAGTTATGGGATCTCAAAAGATGGATGTTACTAAAAATGTTGCAATTTATGCCATTTGTGTTGCTTTATCAATGATTCCTTCTTCATTGATTGTTGTTTTAACTATTACTATGGCTGTTGGAGCTAATGTTATGATTAGTAAACATGTTATTGTTAGAAAATTAGATTCATTAGAAGCTTTAGGTGGTGTTAACGATATTTGTTCTGATAAAACTGGTACTTTAACTTTAGGTAAAATGATTGCTAAAAAAGTTTGGTTACCAAATATTGGTACTTATCAAGTTGAAAATTCAAATGAACCATATAATCATAATATTGGTACTGTTAAATTTAAAAATTTATCACCGAAAGAAATTGATGATACTGATGAAGAAATACAATTTCATGCAGATTTACCAAAACAAGATGGTGGTGCTGAAAAATGGTTAAAATCAGCAACTTTAGCTAATATTGCCACTGTTAAATTGGTTGATGATCAATGGGAAGCTCATGGAGATCCAACTGAAATTGCAATTAATGTTTTTACAAGAAGATTAGGTTGGGAAAGAGAAGATTTAATTTCTGATAATAAATTACATTTTATTAATGAATTTCCATTTGATTCTTCAGTCAAAAGAATGTCAACAATTTATGCACAAGGTGATGAAACATATGTTTATACTAAAGGTGCAGTTGAAAGAGTTTTAGAAATTTGTGAATATTGGAATGATGGTAGAAAATTGACTTCTGAAGATCATGCTATTATTGATGATAATATGGCAGCATTAAGTTCACAGGGTTTAAGAGTCTTAGCATTTGCAAGTCAAAAAATTGATTGTCAAGATTTAAATTCACGTGCTTCAGTTGAACAAGGTCTTTCATTTCTTGGTTTAATTGGTATTTATGATCCACCAAGAGAAGAATCTAGAAAATCAGTTAAATTATGTCATCATGCTGGTATTAATGTTCGTATGTTGACTGGTGATCATCCTGGTACTGCAAAAGCAATTGCTCAAGAAGTTGGTATTTTACCACATAATTTATATCATTATGCACCAGAAGTTGTTAAAGTTATGGTCATGACTGCAAATGAATTTGATGCATTATCAGACGAACAAATCGACGAATTACCAGTTTTACCATTAGTTATTGCAAGATGTGCACCACAAACTAAAGTAAGAATGATTGATGCATTACATAGAAGAAATAAATTCGTTGCAATGACTGGTGATGGTGTCAATGATTCACCAAGTTTGAAAAAAGCAGATGTTGGTATTGCAATGGGTATGAATGGTTCAGATGTTGCAAAAGATGCTAGTGATATTATTTTAACTGATGATAATTTTGCATCCATTTTAAATGCAATTGAAGAAGGTAGAAGAATGTCTTCAAATATTCAAAAATTCGTTTTACAATTATTAGCTGAAAATGTTGCACAAGCAATCTATTTAATGGTTGGTTTAGCATTTATGGATAATGATGGATTTTCAGTATTTCCATTATCACCAGTTGAAGTTTTATGGATTATTGTTGTTACTTCATGTTTCCCAGCTATGGGATTAGGTCAAGAAAAAGCTGATCATGATATTTTAGATAAACCACCAAATAAAACAATTTTTACATGGGAAGTTATTATTGATATGTTTGTTTATGGATTTTGGATGGCTGTTTGTTCATTGGTATGTTTTGTTGTTATTGTTTACGGTAAAGGTGATGGTTATTTGGGATCTAATTGTAATGACGGATCAGGTACTGGTTGTAAATTAGTTTTCCAAGGTAGATCAGGTGCATTTGCTGCTTTTACATGGATGGCATTAGCTTTATCTTTTGAATGTTTACATTTAAGATATTCATTTTTCAATATGAGAAAAGATTCAGAATTACCATGGTGGAAAGAATTGGCATTACATTTATGGGGTAATCAATTCTTATTCTGGTCAATTGTATTTGGTGTTGTTAGTGTTTTCCCAGTTGTTTATATACCTGTTATAAATGATAAAGTATTTTTACATGGTCCAATTGGATATGAATTTGGAGTTGCTGTTGCATTTACAATTGCATATTTTGGTGGATGTGAAGTTTATAAATGTTTGAAGAGGGTATATTTTAGAAAACTGATTGCTAGAAATGTTAATAATCCAGAATATGAATTACAAAGAAATGATCCATTTACACAATATGCTTCATTTTCAAGAAGTGGTACTATGGATATTTAAAGATTGACTTTATTTGTTTAATTATGAAGGTTTTTATAGGTTAAAGTCCTATTTCATCCATGATGGATTTTCCTACCATGATTAAACCTTGTTATTGTATAATTTTGTATTAGATTGTTTTATATATATTCGTTGATATCTTTTTAAATTTTGCAACTAATTTCCTATTTGGGAATAATATGCGCATTGATGTACCAAAATATTTTTAGCGGAAACAATTTTCAAATGTGGAGTCAAATAATAATAAACTATTGATTTAATGGGCATTGGCATGAAGCCCAAGCCTTGGTTAGATATGTTGCAATGGTCAAAGAGTTCTGTTACGTTTGGACGGTGAACCAGACCAAGTAATGTAGGTTATATATTAACGTAGATTCTCTTATCAACCAGATCTATACTTATTGTTTAGGCAATGTGGCTTAAATTTAACACAAAATTTTCAATTTTTCATTGATAACCAAAAATTATTATCAAAATATTTACATCGGAGCTGTCTTTCCTTTTTACATACCAAGAAGTATAAATAGAGTTTAATAGTCTCAATTATTGAATTTTCATTAATTATCATATTTCAAAATGATTACTTCAAAATTATTCCACTCCTTATTAACTAAAGATCCACTTGATACTTATGAAGATTCAGAAAAATATACAAAAGATTGGTTACCTAAAGTTGAAAAATATAGACAAGATTTACAAAATGCCATTCCAAAAGATTTAACTGTTGAGTTACCGAAACCAATTGATGAATTAATTAGTGAACAATTTAATGCAGTTGATTATTTATATTCTGCTAAATTATTATCACCAAAAGAATTCGAAATTACAGATACTCCAGCTTATAAATTAGTTGAAAAAATGTCAAAAGGTGAATTAACTGCTGTTGAAGTATTTAAAGCTTTTGCACATAGAGCTATCATTGCCCAACAGTTTACAAATTGTGCCATGGATATATTTATCGACGAAGGTTTAAAACAAGCTGAAGAAAGAGATGCTTGTTTCAAAGAAAATGGTAAATTAGTTGGTCCTTTACATGGTATCCCAATTTCCCTTAAAGAACAAATGAATTATAGAAACAAAATCACTCATGGTGGTTATGTATCAATGCTTGATCATATTCCAGAAGAACATGGTACTACAAATCAAGTTTTAGAAAATCTTGGTGCTGTATTTTATATCAGAACTACTCAACCTCAAACTTTAATGCATTTAGATTCAAATAATAACTTTACTGGACTTACCAAATGTCCGTTCAATTTATTATTATCTTCTGGTGGATCATCATCTGGTGAAGGTGCAATTACAGCTTTTGGTGGTTCTGCAATTGGTGTTGGATCCGATATTGGTGGTTCAATTAGAGCACCAGCAGCATATTCAGGAAGTCATGGTTTTAGACCAACAACTCGTAGAATTGCTGGTTCTGGTGGTATTTCCAGTGGTGCTGGACAAGAATCAGTACCTGCTGTATTAGGACCATTAGGTAGATCAATTGATGATATCGAATATTGGATGAAAAGTTATATAAATGAAGGTAAACCATGGGAATTAGATGCTTGGTCATTGCCAATGAAATGGAGAGATGTTGAAAAACCAAATCCAAAAGATTTAACAATTGGAGTTACTTATGATGATGGTTTAGTTAGAGTTACTCCACCAATAAGAAGGGCACTTAATGAAGTAGTTGAAAAATTGATAGCTGCAGGTGTTAAAGTTGTTGAATTTACTCCACCTAAAGCAAAATTAGCGTTTGAAACAGTTAATAAAATGTATACCTGTGATGGTAATTATATGCAACGTAAGTTTTTAGCAGATTCAGGTGAACCATTGACAAAATTAACTAAATGGAATTTGAATTATGGTGATGGTGCAAAACATTACACTGTAAAGGAGAATAGAGAATTGAATGTGATTAGGGATAATTTAAGAACAGAATATACTAAATTCTTAGTTAAGAATAAAATTGATTTTATAATTAGTCCAACTTATAGTAATGTTGCTCCTCATTCCGAAGAAGTTTATAATTGGTCATACACTGCATTATATAATATTTTAGATTTCCCAACTTTAGCTTTCCAAACTGGTGTTTTCCAAGATCCAAATGTTGATAAATGGACTGAAGAAGATTTAAAATACAAATTTAGATCAGATTTAGAAAAATTGGAAAATGAAAATTATAAACCAGATGAATTTATTGGTGCTCCAGTTGGTTTACAATTAACTGGTAGAAGATATTTTGATGAAGAAGTTATTGCTGCTGGTAAATTGATTGTTAATGATATACTTAAAGTAGATTTATACAAACATTAAATATATATAAGTGAATCATTTTGATTTTATTTTTTAATTGATAGATAATCTCGTAGTCAGTTTTAATGTTGACTGTAATACTATCTTAGCTACAGATCCATTTATAATACTAAAAATTTGGCAAAATTTGGCTTCTCTAGGTTTTGAAAGTTCAACTTTTGAAATTCCCCAAAGAGTTAAAAGTATACACTAATTTGTCTACAAAAGCTTTAACATTAGATACTCTTAACAGTTTTCAAAATCACGTCAAATGTTTGGTAATAGAAGGTGGGTTGCATTCAGACAAGGATAATTTATGTGAAAGTAAGGCGACAATTGAGAAAGATGTTAATATTGGTGCTGGGTGCCTTAATGATTTACTTAGAGCAATTCAAAATGTAAGATACTTAATGCTTGTGGATCCAGAAGATTTATTTACTATCAACTTTCCTCCCGACTTGAAATATTTTACAATGCTCAGAGAGAGAACTGCAGTAAGACTAGAACAATACGAAGCATTGATACGTTTGAATTTTTTATCATTCCCTTTTCAATTATTTAGAGCAGGTTTCACATTTGATAAGCATAAAAGGTTTAGATATTTGGCTCCTCATAATTATGGCATTACATTAGATGCCAATGTTAACTTTCTAACCACAACGCAGAGCCTTGATATCCAATCTACTACGCCTAAACATCTTATATTGATGAAATCTTTCGAATTCCCACCAAGTTTGAAAAGTTAATTTTGCGCGTTTGCTCCAGGAATGAAAGCTAAAAATTTTCAATACCCACCTACGTAACTATTGTTGTTTACCATTAATTTCAATGAATTTCAAGCATATAATTACAAATTATCATGAATATGTATATATTGCCTATATATACGAAATTGCGTCAATAACTGCGTTCTCTTTCACCCTTATCGTCGAGGATGTATTAAAAGTCATTCTGTATAACGTTGGAGCGTATATGATTCCTTAAAAGGTTTCCGCTCTATTGAACCCTTATCGTTGATTTCCCAAATAGGAAGATCGATCCGAAGCCGGTAGAATATAAATTGATTAGATAATCTTTTTACTAATTCTCGATTATCAAAACACGCTTTATGTCAAATACAGAGTTAAATACTCTTTTTGAATCCTTATTAAGAGAAGATTCATATGCTGGTTGTGAAGATGCAGAAAAATTCAAGAAATGGATCCCCAAGATTGAAAAATATAGACAAGATTTAGAAAATTCAATACCTAATTCTTTAAAAGTTGAACTTCCAAAACCTAGAGAAGAATTAATTAAAGAACAATTTAATTCAATTAATTATCTTTATAAACATGAATTGCTCACACCAAGTGAGTTTAAAATTACAGATACGGAGGGTTCAGAATTAGTTTTTCAAATGTCAAAGGGTCATATATCTGCCAGCGATGTATTTAGCGCATTTGCTAAACGTGCAGTAATTGCTCATCAATTTTCAAATTGTGCTGTTGAATTCTTTCTTGATGATGGATTTCATCGTGCCCGTGAATTAGATGATTATTATGAAAAACATGGAAAGATAGTTGGACCATTACATGGTTTGCCAATATCTTTAAAAGAACATTTAGCAATGAAGGGTAAAATTGGACATGTTGGTATTGTATCATTATTAGATAATATTACACCAGAAGATGCAGTCACAGTAAAAGTTTTACAAAATTTAGGAGCTGTTTTTTATGTTAGAACGAATGAACCACAATCTTTACTTCATTTAGATTCCAAAAATAACATAACTGGACTAACTAAATGTCCATTCAATTTATTATTATCATCTGGTGGTTCCTCTTCTGGTGAAGGTGCAATTTGTGCTTTTGGTGGGTCCGTAATTGGTATTGGATCAGATATTGGTGGATCTATTCGTTCACCAGCTGCATTTTCAGGTTGTTGTGGTTTAAGACCTACAAGTAGACGAATTTCAGGTAGAGGAGTAGTTGGAGATGGAAATGGTCAAGAATCAGTGGTTGGTGTAATTGGACCATTAGCTAGAAGAATTTCAGATATTGAATTATTTATGAAAAGTTATATAAATGATGGGAAACCATGGGATCTTGATCCATGGTCATTACGTATTCCATGGACGGAAGTTAAACCACCAACACTCTCAAGTTTGAAAATTGCGGTAGTTAGAGATGATGGAGTAGTTAGAGTCTCGCCACCAATTAGAAGAGGTTTAAATACAATCGTTCAAAAGTTGAAACAAGGAGGAGCTGAAATTGTTGAATTTACTCCTTTTAAAGGAAGATTAGCTTATGATGTTGCATGTAAATTATCAAATGCAGATGGGAATAAAGAATTACATGCTGCATTCAAAGCGAGTGGTGAACCATTACCTAGGATAACTAAATGGTATTTGAATCTTGGGGAGGGAAGTAGAGAGTTATCAGTTAGTGAGAATAGAGAATTGAATTCAATTAGAGATAATTTAAGATATGAATATAGTGATTATATGGTGGAAAATAAAATTGATATTATTTTAGGACCTGCTTATAATAATGTTGCTCCTCATTCAGAAGAAGTTTACAATGAATCATATACTTTATTATATAATTTATTAGATTTTCCATCTTTGGTTTTCCAAACTGGTTTATTTCAAGATCCAGAAATTGACAAATGGACAAATGAAGATTTGAAATATGAATATAGATCTAAATTAGAAGAATTGGAGAATAGAGGATATAAACCCGATGAATTTAAAGGTGCTCCTATTGCTTTACAATTAAGTGGAAGGAGATATTTCGATGAGGAAGTGGTTGCCATTGGAAAATCAATAGTTGATTATTTAGGTGTAGATTTATTAAAATGAACACACCAATCAAACGATATCTCAATATAGAATTACTTACAATTAGTTGATTATTTAGGTGCAAAATCATTTAATATATACTTGGTAGCATTCTATTCTAATTTGAAAAAAGAATAATCGTTAGTGTATTTCATTATGGATTTCGATGAAGATGAACTAGATTATCAAAGTCAAGCAGAAGAAGAATTCAATGAAGACAATTTAACAAATGAAGAATATCAATTATTACATGATTTACTTCCACAATTAAAACAAAAATTAAAAACATATAATGATGAAATACATGATGAAAATTTAAAAGAATCATTATATTACAATTACTTTGAAATTGAACCAGCTATAAATGAATTAAAATCTCAATTTAAGAAAAGTATGTATTACACTTATCAACTCTTTCTAATTTTTTAACCAAATTAATTTTCATTTTCATATTTTTCATTTACCAGCAATAGAAAAAACTTGAGTCAATATGTCAAAATTGGCACAATTGGCAAAATTAAGATCACAACAAAGAACAGCTCAATCACAAGCGAAAGAAAGTGAAGGAATAAAAGAACTGAAATTGAGTGCATTAGCCAAAAGTCGATCAGATCAAAAAGTTACCCAGGGCAATGAATCCACAGCAATTTTAGATAGATTATCAAGTTCAACTACTCCAAAATCACAAGAATCAATTAACGAACCAATATCTTCAGTATTCAAAAAGAAAAAAGAACAACTACCGAAACCAGAACCTGAAATTGAAAAGAAACCGACATTGCCTAATATTCAATTTGATATTTCAATTGATGATACTATACTACGAAAGAAACCAAAAGATGTCTCAATGTTTTATTTCTCCAAAGATGAAAATGAAAATAAAAGAAGAAAATTACAAGATTCAATTTTCAATTCAATTACTAACCTTCCATTAGAAAAGTTAAATAAAACAAAAGAAAATTTTTTAAAACCTTCACCAGACGATGAAGTATTATCAGCTCAAAAATCAGCATTTGAAGGAATAAATAGTTTAAAACTAGAAGATAAAAAGAGGGAGAAAGAGAAAGAAAAATCAGTTGTTAAGACTACGAAGCCATTTAAAAAAATCGATCTTGATTCGGAGCTATCTTCAAATCCAAAATATTCAAAACCTCAAAAATCATTTGTTGTTATTGGACACGTCGATGCTGGTAAATCAACACTCATGGGTCGTTTATTATATGATTATGGTATAGTAGATGCTAAAACTGTTAATAAATTAGTTAGAGAAGCCGAGAAAGCAGGTAAAGGTTCATTTGCATTAGCTTGGATAATGGATCAAACAGAAGAAGAAAGATCACATGGAGTTACTGTAGATATATGTGCTACTGATTTTGAAACAAATACAACTAGATTTACTGCAATTGATGCACCGGGACATAAAGATTTTGTACCACAAATGATTTCAGGTGTCTCACAAGCTGACTTTGCTTTATTAGTTGTTGATTCAATCACGGGTGAATTTGAAGCTGGTTTTGCAATGGATGGTCAAACTAAAGAACATACAATACTAGCTAAGAACTTTGGAATTGAAAAAATTTGTGTAATTGTGAATAAAATGGATAAAGAACAATGGAATGAGAATAGATATGATATCATAAAACAACAACTAACTGAGTTCCTCACTGGTGATGATGTAGGATTTAAAAGTGATCAAGTCGATTTTATTCCAATTTCGGGACTAACTGGTAACAATGTAATAAAAAGGGATAATTCAATTGAAAAGTTTAAATGGTATAAAGGGCCAACTCTTGGGGAATATATCGAGGATGTGAAACTTGAGAATAAAGTTGAGAATTTGAATACGGAAGAGTTTTACTTATCTGTTCATGACGTATATAAAGACAAGGGTGAATTAAAAGTATGTGGAAAAGTCTCAAGTGGTTATATTAAATCGGGTGAGACGATAATAGCATTACCAAGTGAAGAATCACTACAAGTACAATCCATAAAGGTAAATAAGTCAGTTGTTGATTTTGCAATCAGTGGAGAGCTCATCATTTTAAGTTTTAAATCATCACAATTATCAAATGAATCAGTTGATCAAATTAGAATCGGTGATCTAATAACAAAACAAAATTCAAGTGCCAAAACTGTTAAAAAATTAATTGCAAATTTACATTTATTTAATATGGATAAACCATTATTGGTCGGGATGCCATTTGTATTATTTAGAAATAATAGTCAAGTACCCGCACGAATCTCCAAAATTATAGAAATAACAAATGGTAAGAAAAAGAAAAAGGTATTACATTTGACTTCAAAACAAGATGCCATTGTTGAAATTGAAATTGATGGGAATATATCATTACCAATTACGAAATTTGAAGATAATAAAGTATTGGGAAGGATTGTTATACGTAGAGAGGGGGTTACTATTGGTGCTGGGACTGTATTAGAGTAAGGATGGCAACAATGTTAGGATGCAATAAAGTGAGGATGCCCTTTATATGTAAGGATGCAATCATGTAAACTGTAAGAAATTGAACTATATTAAATAAATTTTATATAATCTATAATTACTAATAAAATACCCAATATAAAACAAAGCATAACTAATAAATTAGCACTTCTTTTATTCTTTTTTGTAGCTTGATTCAATTGTTTATTACCTGATTTAACTTCCATTTCAACTTGAGAATGAACGTCAATAAGATTTGAAATTTGATCACCTTGAGATTGTAATTTAAAACTTAATTCATTTTGTATATTAATTATATCCATTATAGATTGTTGTACTTTCTCAACTTGTTTCAATTGATTAGTTTTCATATGGAGAAACTCTTTATTCTCAGTCTCCAACTCTTGCAATTGTTCTTGACTAAAATATGACTCCCCGGATCTCTCTACTTCAAGACTCTCCAAATTTGTAATTTGAACATCATCCATTTCTTCTTCTTCTTCATCTATGTTTTGGAAATTTAATGAATTGATTTGTCGTTCTCTAACATGTCTTTTATTTTGAATATTTGTAAATTTTGAATTCACGTAATTAACACACTCCATTAAAAATTTCAACATGGCATTTCGGTGAGAAGATAATGTTTCAAAATAAATAGACTGATCAGATTTACCACCGAAAATAGATGTCCAATTTGAATGTTTGTTGATAAGTTCATTTCGTTTAGATTCATAATTTTCCAAATAGGTTAATTTTTTATATGTTTGTTGAATTTTAACTTGAAGTTCTTCATCGATATTATCTTTCTCAATTGTTGATAATCCTTTATCATCATTTAATGCAAGATAATTTAATTTGATTTCATTTATGAATTGATTCAAATTAGTTAAGATTTGATATAATTCGAAACATTCTTTTAGGAATGTATCTTTTATGATATAATTTGGTTGTTCTATTGGTTTTATTTGTGCTGTTTTAATTTCTGATTGTATTATATTTATACATTGTTTGAAGAGTGGTGTTTGATCTGCCATGGGTGATAAAATATAGAGTATACAAAAAACATCATTTGAAAAAATCTGAAACATAGGCACACTCTGGTATAAGCTTTGGTCACAAACTCGCACAAAAAATAACAGGTTGATGCCATTGAAGATGGCCCCAGCGTCACCAGCGTCGCCAGCGTCGCCACCGTCGCCAGCGTCGCCACCGTCGCCATTTAAAGTTCGAGCTTTGATTATTGAAGCGAGAGACAAGAGCTAACATTAGATTTTTAACAACTGAGATTCCCCTTAGTTTAGTCATGATTTTAATTGGCGTATTTGTATATTTGTATATTTGTATATTTTTACAATTTCTATTAACCACTCAAATAATCAGTACATTTTGTAATTTCAACCCCATCTTTAAAACCTTTATCATTAACAACTTCAATAGTTTCAGTATCATATATTAAATTCCATCTACCTATTAAATCAGGATAATCAGGATCTTTATAATTTAAATTATAATCTTTCTTTTCTTCTGGCGAATATCTAAGATATTTTAAATATTCAGGTGCACCAGGTTTTATAACATTATCAGCACAAATTAAAGTTCCAGGTGCAATTAAATTTATTTGTTCCATTAATTTTAAATCAGGTAAATATAAATTTTTCCAATGATCTAATAATATAAAATCCAAAGGTACAAATTGTCCCTTTTCCGACTGTAATCTTTCTTTAAATAATGGTAGGTTATAACTTGCTTTACCTACAATTATTTCAACTTTTCGAGATAATCCAGCTAATTTAATTACTTCAGTTGATATTTTAGCAAATTCAGGGTTTAATTCAAATGAATAAAATTTAGCATCAAGATCGTCTATAATTTCATTTGCTAATAAAACGGCTGAATAACCAATATAACCACCCAATTCAATTAAAATTTTAGGTTTTTTGGACCTTATTTCTTTGGTTATTATTTCTCCCTTTTTGGGACCAATGTTCATAAACCAATCTGGATAATTATCAATTAATTTTAAAACTTCTAATGGCTTATTTTTAACTTTCGATATAGTTTCAGATGGTAAATTTGTAATATATTCATAGAATTTCTTTTCCTTTGTGAAATTTGGATCATGTTGGTGATGTCCACTATTCATTGTACATAATATTAATTGGTTGCTAATAGATTGGAAAAAAGTTGATATATTTATAGATAAAAATTTGCGTGTATATGTTTCAAATGTTTTTGCTGCAAATATTTATTCATTTTACTATACAATCGGCTTATGAAAGAGTATGGATGTACACCTAACGTGTTTAGTATAATACCCCCTAGTTTAATTCGCATGGCTCGAGCTATATAAAGAAGTTTATTGTTGTTTAGCTTTTATCCCTGTTCCGTTTCGGTGATTGAAAATTGCTTATCTATTTTATCTATCACTACAAACGTTTCTTAGTTTATTCATTGATTGGCTATTTCTGTATCAAGCTCTTTTGATTGGCTATTTCTGTATCAAGCTCTTTTGTTACAATGATGTGCTTAGCTTTCTTATGTTCTTTCTTTTGTTAAACTATTTATGTATACTTTGTATTTTGGCCGTACCAATTTTACATTTGGTAGCATAAAATTAAATTTATCGCGTTATAAAATATTACTACCAATAGTTATTTAATACATTATAGTTTATGATACAAGGTATGTCGGATATATCGAAAAAAATAAAACTATCAAGACTAGAAAAACTAAAAGCTAAAAGATTAGAAGCAAAGAAATTAAACCAAAAAGCTTTAATAGAAGATCAAAAAAGACAAAAATTATTATCAATAAAGTCTAAAAAAGCAGAACAAGAAGGTTTAAATGGCGAATTTCATGACAGTAAGTCAGAAAAGCAATCAAGATCAGTATTAGATTATACTTTAGAAGAAGTAGAGAAATGGAATGAAAAACAACTCAAAATAACAAAGAATAATAATCGAGACGGTTTAGTTAATCAAGATAAATTGGCTGAATTGACTTATTATAAAGAACTCAAGGAGTTTAAAATAGATAAAGAAGCTTATGAGAAACAGAAACTCGACCTAATGAATAAATATAATGTTAATGAGTCTGAATTAAAGCATATTGTTGATTTACTGAATAATCCAGATGCTAAAACTAAAGATGAGTTATCTAAATTATTATCCCAATTTAAAGAAAATAAGACAAATAAGAGAAGATATAAGACGGATGATGATTTGGAAACTGGTGGGTATATTAATGAAAAGAATAAACAATTTAATATGAAATTGAATAGACAATATTCATGAGAAAGCTAGGAAAATAGGGTTCAAAGCTCTTAGAACTAAATTGAATAGACAATATTCATGAGAAAGCTAGGAAAATAGGGTTCAAAGCTCTTAGAACTAAATTGAATAGACAATATTCATGAGAAAACTAGGAAAATAGCGTTCAAAGCTCTTAGAATCAATTTAAAATGAACTATAATGGTCTATTTAGGCTTAGTAACCGTTAATGCTGCAAATGGGTGCTTTAAAGGCATTTAAACAAAGCCCAAGGTCATGTTAATTAGCTTTAATAGTCAATTTTACGTCGAAAATGAGTTTCTTCGAGGTGAAAAAAGCACTAGGTCAATTTAATAGTACAAAATAGTCTAATATACTACTTAATAGTCTAATTGATTGTCTATAATACCATGTTATACTCTACTGTTGTACTGTTTCATCAGTTTAACATTTCTACGCACCAAACTGAAATATATGGTGGTAAATTTTTTTGTTTTTCAATATCAATTATAAATTTCGCCATGGACAAAGAAGAATATGACGAGAGTAATAACCATGTAGAACAATTCGACGAAGAAAAAGAAGAAGACAACAATCATGATGATGAATCTCGAGATAACTTAAGTGAAGATGATTCTTCAGAAGAAGATGAAGAAGATAATCCAGAAGAAATTCAAAAAATTCAAGAAGGTTTTATAAATGATGAAGATGAAGAAGAACAAGAAGAAGTTTCAAAAAGAAAGAAAAGAAGAAAAAGAAATAGAGAAAAATCTCAAGAGGATGATAATGATGACGCATTAGATCAAGATGATTTAGAATTATTATTAGAAAATACTGGTCAAAGATCTTCTTCAAATAAATTAAAAAGATTAAAAAGAAGAGCAGATTCAGAACAAGTAGAATCTGATCAAGAAGGTGATAATGGAATTGAAAGAAGACCTGCTAATTTACAAGATATTTTCTCTGATGAATCAGAAACTGAACCAAATATGTTGGATGAATTTGAGGATTTTATTGAAGAAGATGTATTATCTGATGATGAAGCAAATAGACAAAGAGAAGTTAGAAAGAAAAAGACAAAATTAGATACTTCAAAATTATCAAGTGAAGATAAACGTGCATTATCTGAATTATTTGAAATTTTTGGTGATGGTTCAGAATATCAATGGGCTTTAGAAGCTCAAGATGTTGATGATGTTACTGGTGAAAATAATGATGCTCCGCAATTAGATTCTGTTTTTGAACATGCTGAATTAAAAGAAAGAATGTTGACAGATGAAGATAATTTAATTAGAATTATAGATATACCTGAAAGATATCAAAAATATCGTGGTGCTTTAACTTATATTGATTTAAATTATGATGATTTAAAACAAGAAAAAGATTGGATTGGTGATATATTATATCAAGAAAAACGAAATTTATACCCAAGTGATTTAGAATTACCATTTAAAGAAGCTGTTGGTAATGTTGTTGAATTTATATCTCAACAATCTTTAGAAGTTCCATTTATTTGGTCTCATCGTCGTGATTTTTTACTTTATTCACAACTGATTCAACGTCCAGATGGTCAATATGAATCTAAATTACATAAATTATTATATGAAGATGATTTATGGAGAATTGTACAATTGGATATTGAATTCCATTCATTTTATGAAAAAAGAATAAATACTGAAAAATTAATAGATTCATTAGGAATTGATGATGATTTAACTAAGGATATAAAAAGTTTAAATTCAATGGTTGCTATACAAGATTTATATGATTATATACAATTTACATATTCAAAACAAATTCGTCATGCTGCAAATAATGAAACTGAAACATTGGAATCAAAAGGTAAAAAACATTCTAAATTTGCTATATTTGAAAGAATCAAGGACAATATTTTATATGAAGCTGTTAGAGCATTTGGTATAACTGCAAAACAATTTGGTGAGAATGTTCAAGATCAAAGTTCACAAAATTTTGAAGTTCCTTATAGAATTCATGCAACTGATGATACTTATGAAAAACCAAATGAATTAATTGAAAGATTATTAGACGATGTTGAAGTAATTTTTAAAGATTTGAAAACTGCAAAAGATGCAATTAGAAGAACATTTGCTGAAGAAATTTTTCATAATCCAAAAATAAGACAAGAAGTTAGAAAAATTTATAAACAATTTGCTTCAATAAGTGTTGCAGTTACTGAAAAGGGTAAAATTGCAATCGATGATCATAGTCCATTTGCTGATATAAAATATGCAATAAACAGAGAACCAATAGATTTAATAAGTCGTCCAGATGTTTTATTAAGAATGTTGGAAGCTGAAAAACAAGGTTTAGCTGTTATTAAAGTTGATGTATCACATTATGATGGTTGGTATAAATCAGTTTTAGCTTGTTTAAAATCTGATGGTTCTTCAAGTATATCAGATGAATGGAATAAAGAAAGAGAAGTAGTTTTAAAAATGGCATTAAAAAAATTATGTGGTGTTGTTGCATTAAATACTAAAGAAGATTTACGTCGAGAATGTGAAAGATTAATTGCAGCTGATGTTCGTAAAGGTTTTATGGTTAAAGTTGATCAAGCCCCATATACCCCAATTGGTTATGATAAAGGTACAAAACCAAATGTTTTAGTTTTAACATTTGGTAAAGGTGAATTTGATAGTGCTGTAGTCGGTGTAATGATTAAAGATTCTGGTAAAGTACAAGATTTTTTCAAATCCGATTCAAATCCTACAAGATATGGTGAAGAACCAAAATATAATTTTATTAATAATTTAAAAGAATATTTTGATAAAACTTTAAAAGAAAAACCTGATGTGATTGTAATTGCTGGTTTCAATGCAAATAGTAAAAAATTATTTGATATAATTCAACAATTTATTAAAGAAGAAAATTTATTGGTTACACCTCCTGAAGGTGTTACAATAGATCCAAGAACAATTCCAATAATTTGGGGTGAAGATGAAACTGCAAGATTATTTCAAAATTCAGAAAGAGCAATTACTGAATTTGCTGATAAATCAACTTTAGTACGATATGCAATTGGTGTTGGTAGATATATTCAAAATCCATTATTAGAATATGTTGCTCTAGGTGAAGATATATTATCATTATCATTCCATCATCATCAAAAATTGATATCAGATGATTTAGTTAAAGATGCAATTGAATCTGTCTTTGTTGATATTGTAAATATGGTTGGTGTTGAAATAAATTTAGCTGCAATTGATCCATATTATGCACAATTATTACCATATATTGCTGGTTTAGGCCCACGTAAAGCTTCAGGTTTATTAAGAAGCATAAATACAAATTTAGGTTCATATTTAGCTACAAGAAGTGATTTAATTGAAAATGAATTAACTACACTGTGTGTTTTCATGAATTGTTCATCATTTTTAATAATCCCCAATGAAGAAAATTCAAATGTTGCAAATACTGAAATTTTAGATGGTACAAGAATACATCCTGAAGATTATGCATTAGCTAAAAAAATGGCTGCTGATGCATTAGATTTAGATGAAGAAGATGTTAGAGATATGGATAAAAATGAATCATCAGTTATAAATCAATTAATAAATTCAAATGTTAATAAAATTGATGAATTAGATTTAATTGCTTATGGTCATAGTTTAGAACAACAACATGGTCAAAAGAAATATGCTACTTTACAAATGATAAAAGAAGAATTGGTTAATAATTATGAGGAATTAAGAAGACCTTTCCATGTTTTAGAAGAACATGAAGTATTTTATTTATTAACTGGTGAATCTCCTGAAACATTTGCTATTGGAACTGTTGTACCAATTACAATTTTTAAAGTTGAAAAAAATCAATGGGATCCACAAGCACAACCTAAAAAAGTATATGTTAAAACTCCATCTTTAATAACTGGTATGATTGAAGGTAAATATATTCCAAGAAATATGGAATTGGAAGTTCAAGAAGTTGCACAAGCTGCTGTTCAATGGATACAAGTACATGATTTCACTGCTGGTTTTAGTTTACAACCAAGAGAAATTAAGAATGCATCAATTAAAAGATTTCCTAGGGATAAAGAAAAATGGGATATTAATGCAGAATTAGAAGATACCAATAAAGAAAAAGAAAAAGAAAGACAACAAAGGGCAAAAATTAGAAATATTCAACATCCATTATATCATAATTTTAATTTTAAACAAGCGGAAGAATATTTAGCACCTCAACCAGTTGGTGATTGTATTATTCGTCCATCTTCAAAAGGTTCTGAATTTTTAACAATTACATGGAAAGTTGGATTAAATTTATTTCAACATTTATTAGTTGAAGAAATTAGAAATAAGAATCTTAAAGAATATAAAGTTAACGGTAAAACTTATACTGATTTAGATGAATTGATTTTTAAACATATACAAGCAACAGCTAAAAAAGTTGAAGAAATGGCATCTCATTCTAAATTTAAACATGGTGCTTTAGGTGAAGTTAATGATTGGTTAGAATCATATACAAAAGCAAATCCAAGATCTTCAGCTTATGTATTTTGTTATGATCATAAACATCCAGGAAGTTTCTTATTGTTATTTAAAGTTAATATGAATGCAAAAATTGGTGTTTGGCATGTTTCAACTGGTCCCGATGGTTTCATGTTAAAACTTCATAAGTATTCAGATATGATGTCATTATGTAATGGATTTAAAAGTTTAGCAAGAGCAGAGGCTTCAAAGAATCAAAATTCAAGAATGTCATATTGATAAAAAATTGTATAAATAAATTTATAATGTATTTTTAATGTTTGATCTATTTAAATTTTCTATAATTTACACGTAGTTTAGATCTAAAACTATCTCCATCTACATAAGTACCCATTAACCATCTATCACCACCATTTGAATCACTAAATTCATTTCTTGAATGTAATGCTCTACGATTTTCAAAAATGACACAAGTACCTTCTTTCATTTTAATTTCAAAATGATTTTTGGGATCATTTATAAAATTTTCAAATAATTGCATACCTTTGAGGAAATCATCAAATAATTCATAATTTGGATCATCTTTAGTTATACCAACTTCTAATGGTCCTTGAAATGGTGGTGAATAATTAATTGCATGAATTTTAGGGAAATTTGAATCTTTAGGTACTTCTAAACCTTCAATTATTAATGGCCTTTTATAATAATAATATTCATTGTTATTATCATAATGATAGGTAATAGGTATCTTAGTCAATGCTTTATATGCTTTTAAATCATTGTCAAATACATATTTTGCAGCTAAAAATGAATCACAAAATATATTTTCACCACCAAGGGTTGAATTTTGAATAAAATGTAATAATTGTAAGCCGGGTGGTGATTCATAATATAATAAGTCCATATGTAAAGGTAAGAAAGTATTTGTATTTGCTATATTTTTAGCTTCTTCTTTTTCATTCTTAACATCGAATAATGTACCGTAGAATGTCTTTTTAATGTATCCAAATTTTTCACCGAGTTTACAAACTGGCCATTCTGAAGCATTTAATTCGGACATTTTCTTAGTTAAATCAGGTTGTGGAATGTCTTTAATGAAAACTAAACCGAATTTATTTAAATTGAATAAAGCTTGGAAAAATTTATCATCTTTATTTAAAAAGTCATCACAGGTGATAGTTAAGCTATCCATATTATCTTCAATATCTTGTTTACCCCAGAGCTTCTTGTCACTGTCGAAAAATTTCTCAATTCTTCGTCCTTCAGCTGTTGAAAATTTCGATAACCAAGAACTAGAATACTCTGAATCTATTATTTCATTATTATTATTCCATTGAATCTTCAAAAGTGGCTCGGATTTACTATCATCTATACTTGGTGGTTTCGCAATTGTTAAATTAGTAGCTGCTTCTGCCGTGGTGAATAATTTTTGTTTTGAATATGGATCGACTGATTTTAAAGATTGACATGAATCTCGTAAAAATACATTATTGAAAGTAACTGGTTTATTATTTATTAACAATGATATCTCTTTGTTATTAAAACTTGATATCGATAAGGTAGATTTGAATCTAATAGATCTAATTTGTTTAAACATAACTGATTCGAAATTTTTCACTTGGTTCCTAATTGATTTTTGTGGGGTGAGAAAATGGGTCGAGATTTTAGAGAAAAATTTTAACTTTAGCCGAATGTCCAAAAATTGTACCTTAACGTTTCATTTTTAGTTTCACGACATTCACAATAACTTCACAACTAGGAACAAGTTTGGTTTCTTCTCTTTATTTCTAGTTACCTTTTTTAACTTTATCTTCAGCAGTAAGGTGCTGATAAAGAATGCATAAATTTTAGTTGTAAAATTATCACACTGATCTAAAAAGATTCTGTTTGATATACTTCAATTTAACATCCTTATTGAGCAAAAGGTGAATACTTTGATCTTCAAGTTATTAATTGCCGGTGTAATCTGGATAATTCCATAATGCTGATTCTAAACATAATGGAAATGAAAATAGTAGAAGCTCGGATGATCAAGAAATCAAGAGACTAGTACCATCACAAATATTGTAAAAGAAGAGAAAATCTTGATCATTTTGCAGATAAGAAAATGTATTTACAATCAATGATGAGTCGGGCGTTCAAATTCTATCTGACTTGTTTGTGTTAGTGTATCAAAGAGAAGCAACGGTTATAGTTTTTAGTTAAGAGATGTAAGTATTTAAATTAAATATGGTTTTTTGATTACAGACTTTTCTATCATTTTGAAGTCTATCAACAAAATTTTAACCACCGGCTAATGGCGAAAAATAAACGCGATTAAATCTTCTGGTAATAGGCTAATGACAATACTTGCTGTAAATCACGGCAGCTTTAGTTGTTTCAAAACTTAGAGTTTGTTAAATGAAGTTTCTAATTATAGCCGCATGTAATTTAAAAATAAACGAAGAGAGCATGCTCATACACGATCTGTACATTTAAGCATTTATCAGCGTCGTTATGAATTACAGTTAATTATATGTAGATTAACATTAAACTGAGGAAACTCTAGTAGTATTAACAAGTCCCTAATTTGTTGAGTTACTCATTTTCTAATCAAAAATCGATTACCTTCATCATCGTCTTAATTATGTATTATCTCAATTTACTCAGCTTTTGTGTTATTATCACTACATTTTTCCAGGTTTCGTCACAAAATCTTATTCCTGTGGCAAAATATCTCGTTGATAATGATACTGCTTGTACTGCTTGTAATGAAACTGCTAATACTTTAAAGACAGAATGTAAAGGTCAAATGAATCACCTACAAGAATTCTTTCAATGCATTTGTAATAGAAATGATAAGTTCTTTGATTCGTTTAGTGAATGCATTAATGAGTGTGATGAAATACATGCAAATGCTAACAATTCCAGTCCAAAAGATTTACGAAATGCATATTGTGATTTAGCTGAGAGTATTCCACCACCAAGAACTACTGGTACCCAAACATTTGTTGTATTTCCAAATGGAAGTGTCTTTTACTATAATACAAGAACAACTAATAATGAAGCATGTGCTACAAAAGGTTTTACGGGTTTATCAAATTTTATTTTATTATTTGTACTTTCTATAATTTAACAAATGTTACTCAAAATTGAAACTTGGTAATTTTAAACCATCTATTCTAAATCTTTGATGATAATTTGAAGGCATCAATTATCTTGTTTTATCTAATTTTGAAAGGCCAAGAAATCATTTGCAACCATTTTTGCAACCACAATAATTTAAGATTAGGAAATAAATAATCAACAAATTAATGATATATAAGTCATGGAATAACCTTACCCATTCTCAAAATTAATTCAGGGCCAACTATGAAATATTCACATACATTATTTTATTTATTTTTGGCGCAGGCTGCCTTTGCAATAGATTTTGGAGGATTTCCAAAGAAAGAATCGCCAAAAGAAAACGAAAAGACTAGTCAAGAAGAAACAAGTCCAGCAACTGTTGCACCAACTGCTTCACCAACTGTTGCACCAACTGAAACATCTCCAGAAGCTACCCCAAGCTTGGAAACTTCAATTGTTACCGAAGTAATAACTGTTACTGAAACTGAACAAGGTACGAAAAAAACTATTGAAACTACTGTTGAAAAACCTGTTACAATTGAAAAACCAATTACTGTTGAAACTACTGTTGAAAAGAAATTTCCTGTTACTATTGAAACTACAATTGAAAGAGAAGTTCCAACTACAGTTGAAGTTGTTATTGAATCAACAGTTCAACAACCTATTCCAACTACAATTGAAAGAACGGTAAAATCTGTTATTGAAAAGCCAAAAACTATTACAATTGTTACTGAATTACCAGCTCCTGCACCAGCTCCTCCAGCTACAACTCAAGAAATTTTGCCACCACCACCACCACCAGCTCCTCCTGCCCCACCGGCTGAAGTTCCACCAGCTCCTCCCGCCCCACCGGCCGAAGTCCCACCAGCTCCACCAGCGCCACCAGCTGAAGTTCCACCAGCTCCCCCAGCGCCACCAGCTCCTGCTCCAACTGAAGCTGCCCCTGCTCCTGTACCTCCAGCACCTCCAGCACCTCCAGCACCACCTGCGCCACCTGCACCACCTGCTGAAACTATACAACCTGAAATACCACCTGAAACTATTATTCCACCTGAACAACCAACTATTGTTCCAGCGGGTTCTGCATCAAGAGTTTCTGCTGATTTGTTAATTTTATTGGCTCTTGCTTTTATTTAATAACTAATTAATTTAATTTTCAGATATATATCATTTTATGACAAGTTTCGAGATGCAACTAAATGCAATTTTATTTAGCAATGTATACAATTGTTTTGAAAATCGCTACCATCTCTTTTTGTTTTTTTGCAGCAATTTTTTACTTAATGTAGATGTCATAATTAATTGTTTCCTAAAAAATTTGTTGATATCTACATTACATCTCAGGAACATGTTATATTATTAAATTGCTAATTTATGCAATTAATCTCCATTAACTTTTCAAGTTGGTATAAAAATAATAAAAATTGTAATTATGAAAAATCATTAATCAAATTTTTCAAAAATGTTTTATTTTATTGCACTCGTTTGTTATTTACTTCAAATAGCTTTTTCATTTAATCCAGAGGCTATATTCAATTTAAAAAGACAAGATGGACAAGATTGGACTCCAGAAGAAGGTTGTGGAGCCTGTAATGCTGCTGCTGGTATTTTAACAAATTCATGTGGTAATGCCCCAACAGATCCAACTCAATATCAAACATTTTTCAGTTGTGTTTGTGGTTTAGATGATACATTTTTCGATGTATTTGAGCAATGTACAAAGCATTGTCCTCAATATCCATATCATCAACCAGATGCAAATGCAACTCTTATTAGAGAAGGATTTTGTTCAAGAGCTCAAGAATGGTCAGGTGGCAATGCTACTACTACATTAAGCTTACCTGCTAGTGGATTAGAATTATTTGGAGTTACAACACCTCCAACACCTCAAAATACAACTTTACCACCACAAAATTTCACAACTGAATTAAATACAACAATTACAATTATTGTACCAAATGCAACTGTAACTAATACATCTCCAATTGCGATTATAACTCCAACTGCTGTACCAGCCTCTGGATGGAATTTGAATTTCCCTAGTTCAATAATTTTATATTTACTTGCATTACTTTAATTAATTTTGTAATTATATTTTATATGCTAAAGACTGATAATTTATGAAATGAAAACTAATACTATGATCTTTGTATAGGTTATAATACAACTGTTTTAATAACTTAATACTATTCGTTTATGAAATTGGTAGCATTTTGCAGCCATTTTTTATAGTGTCGTAGTAAAATTAAACCAATTTTTTTTTTTCGCGTTTTGTGAAGTGAAGGAGAAAAAACAAAAAATAAATATTGTTAATACGAACCAACCAGGAATACTATTACGAAGGAATCAACTTTCAATGGATTAACAATGTCATTGGCTCCTACATTTAACAATAATAACTATACTAAGGATGTCTATAATAATAGTAGTGATAATCAAAGTTCAAGTAGTGGTAATGGTAAATCAAATAGTCCTGGACGACTAATAAAGACAAATTTTCCATCTCTAAATAAACCAATTATAAGACCAAGACAACCATTAAGAGAAACAAATTCAAACTTGCCATCACCTAGAAAAAGACAAAAATTGAATAATTATGGAAAAAAAACACCAAAATCAAAGAAAAATTATCATCAATCAAATTATCAAAAAACTTATTCACCACCATCATCCAATCAACCAAATTCAAATAATAAACGTGTAATTGTGGAAACTAAACCAAATCCTCATGATTATTTAATACTAGAGATGGAAAATGAACAACCTGAAGTAATTTCAATTAGTGACGAGAGTAAAGAAGATTCAACATTTATTGAAAGTCAAGAAAATCAAGAAGCTTTTGAAATTAGTGATGAAGAAGATGATGTAATACTAGTGGAAGAAAAAGATAAAAAGAAGTTGATTAAAGATGTGCATAATAATCAACATGGTAATAATGAGGAGGTTAAAAATATAATAGAAGATCAAGTTGGTAAATATGATGAAATTTTACAGCATGAGAAATCTAATGAGATTGTACCACATAATACTGATGAAATTCATATCTCCAAGATAGTTCAAAGCAATCCTTTTCTAGATAATGCAATTGATAATACATCAAAAGTAAATCCGATGAGCATGGCCAAAATAAATCAAATTGATGAAATTAAAAATCAAATGGTGATACGATCTGAAAAGAAAGAAAATGATAATTTCAAAATTGACCAATTGAAGTTTTATCACGACAAGGAATATCATAATGAACTCAAAAAACAAGTGCTAGAAAAGAATAGAATTTCCAAACCAAAGCAAGTAGAGGAAAAGAAACGAATTTTAGTTGATTCAACAAATACCAAAAAGAAACAAGAGGCTCAAAAGAACCTTGGAAGATTATCTGGAGATGAATTATATAATTGGCAACAATCATGGAGAAAAATAATGAAAGAATCAGTTGTATATTTTGAAGGTGTGCAGGATAAACAAGTAAATGAATATAGAAAAGCAGCAAGACTATTAAAAGTAGTTGGATGTAATATTGTTCCTTTTTTTAATGGAGATGTTACTATAATTGTATCAAAAAGATCATTTGATGATAAAATTGATTATCCAATGCATGATATTTTCTCAAATGTTTCAAAACTGAAAATCAAAGTATGGAATTATGACAAAGTTTTTAGATTCTTGAAGAATTTAGGTATAAATGTTCAAACTGGTGAAGATGAACAAGCAGTTAATACTCATACAATTTTACCAAATTCATTAAGTACTAATAATAATTTATTGAATTTATTAAAAGAAGAAAAAATTTATGGTTCTGCAGATCGTGATCCAAATGCAAAACGTGATGATTTACATTATTTGAGTAAAAATTATTTATATGTATATGATTTAAATCAATTAGTTAGACCAATTGCAATTAGAGAATGGAATGATGGTGAATATCCAGTATTAAATTATACATTAGATGGTAAATGTCCATTTATACCCGATTCAAGTGATCCAAACACTGAAAGGAAAAGATTAAAAAGGTTGAAAAAATTTGAAGCTACAAAATCACATCGTCAAGCATTAAGATTAGCTACTTTTAAACTAATTAATGGTGTTTCAATGATTAGTATTCATTTTCAAGGTACCAGTACAAGTACCGATAAAATCGAAGAAGAAGATGTAATTGAAATTTCAAATAATACAACTACAAAAATAACAGATACAACTGAATTTAGACAACCATTAATTAGAAATTCATCATGTATACAATCAAAAGTCAATGATGTTATGGCTTCAGGTTATAATGGTGCTTCAAATGCACAAACTTTGTCAATAGACTCTAATTTAAATAGTAATGCAATTGCAGCTGGAAATGGTTTAGGTCCACAAGTGTCACAAGTTCCATCTAAAAATTTAAATAATCTTAAAAGAAGGATATTTTTGAAAAAGAAATCATCTGAACAACAAAATCAACCAACTAAAAGAGAAAAAGATTATCAACCTGGTTATTGTGAAAATTGTAGAACAAAATATGATAATTTTAATGATCATATACAAAGTAATAGGCATAGAAATTTTGCATGTGATGATAAAAATTTCAAAGATATTGATGATTTAATAACTACATTAAAAGAGAATAAATCATTGGGTAATGCTATATCTAATGGTGATTCAATATAGAGTAAAGCTAGTTAAATATTTATTCAATTTGTATAGTTTCAAATGTACATATAATTTTTTAATGCACGGTAAAAAAATTAAGTGTACGAAGATAAGATTGAAAAATTTTAAACTATGATAAATAGATGTTTAAGACTACCGAGATGTAATTTACAAAGAAGATCATATTCAGATGTGCTAAAGAAGCCAAATAGATTTGCTGAACAATTTAAAAACAAAGGGAACGAAGGATCAAATAGATTTGCTGATCAATATAATACTAATCAAAAACAACAACTGCTGAAAAATTCTAGTATACTGAATCAAGCGCAAAATCAAGGTCGGGAGAATCAACTGGAAGTAGATAATTCACAAGACTCTACAAATAGATTTGCGAGACAGTTAGAAAATTCTCCAAAAACTGCACAAAATGAAAATCAAAATTTTACCCCAAGGCAAGATCAAAATGGACTGAAAGATAATCAATTGAAGACGGAAAAGCCTACTAATAGGTTTGCTAAACAATATGAGATATCGAAACAAAATCAACGTGCATTAAATAATCAATCTAACGTCAATAAATCAGAAAAGCCTGCCAATAGATTTGCAGGACAGTATGATAAATCTCCGAAACTAGATTCAAAACAAACTCGATTTGATCAATTAAAAAAACAGTTAAACAAAACTACAGCTAAACCAAAAGTCCTCAAGAAGCAAGTGAAGAAAAAAGCTAAAAATAGAAAAATTATCAAAATTCATATACCTCCAGTTATATCAGTTTCAAATTTTGCGGCAAGTATGAATGTAACACTAAATGAACTATTTAAAAAATTACAAGGATTGGGATTTGAGGATATTAGACATAATTATATGCTCGATAAAGAAACTGCTGCATTAGTCGCAGATGAATTTGATATTGAAATAGATACAAGTGAACAATCAAAAGATGATATATTTCCAGATAAAGTTAATGAATCATTACTCACAGAAAGACCACCGGTAGTAACAATTATGGGTCATGTCGATCATGGTAAAACTACAATTTTAGATTATTTACGTAAGTCGTCAATTGTAGATAAAGAATTTGGTGGTATAACTCAACATATTGGTGCATTTTCAGTAACAGCACCAATTTCAAAAAAGAAGATTACATTTTTGGATACTCCTGGACATGCAGCATTTCTAAAAATGAGAGAAAGAGGTGCTGTAATTACTGATATTGTTATTTTGGTAGTTGCTGGTGATGACTCAGTTAAACCACAAACTATAGAAGCTATAAAACATGCTAAAAAATCAGGTGTTCCAATGATTGTTGCTATAAATAAATGTGATAAATATGGTATTAAAATTGATAAAGTATTAAGTGATTTATCTGCTAATGGTGTAGAAATTGAAGATTATGGTGGTGACACTCAAACTGTACAAGTTTCAGGTAAAACAGGATTAAACATGGATAAATTAGAAGAAGCAGTAATCACCCTTAGTGAATTAAGTGAGTTTAAAGCTGAACCAAAAGGTGTTGCTGCTGAAGGTTGGATTATTGAATCTGAAGTTGTTAAAGGTTTAGGTAATGTAGCTACTGTATTAGTACGTAGAGGTTCTTTGAAACCTGGAGATTTTATTGTAGCTGGTGATACATATTGTAAAATACGTGCCATGAAGGATGAATTTAATAAACCAGTTAAATTAGCAACACCATCTACACCAGTTCAGATTATGGGATGGAAAACATTACCAAATAGTGGTGAGTCAATAATACAAGCTAAAAATGAACAACTGGCTAAAAAATGTATTGATTATAGAATTGCCAAATTTCAAGAAATTCAATCAATCAGACATATTGAAGATATAAATAAACAAAGAGCAGAAGAAATTGAAAATGCTAAAAAACAAGAGAAAATAAATGCATTGAAAGCAGCTGGTTTAGATACAACAGAATTGGAAAATAAAAAAGAGGATTTAGTTAAAAAATGTTCATATATTATAAAATCCGATGTTTTTGGTTCTGCTGAAGCTATTAAAGAAAGTATTGATGGTTTGGGTAATGAAGAAGTTAAATCAGTAGTTATAAATCATGAAGCTGGGCCTCCAAGTGAAGGTGATGTTGAATTGGCTAAAACTTTTAATGCTAAAATTTTCTGTTTCAATGTTAAAGTACCTAGAAATATTCAAATGAAAGCAGATAAAGATAAAGTTGAAATAGTTGAACATAACATTATCTATAGATTGATCGAAGAAGTAACTGATGATTTATGTTCACATTTGGCTCCAAGAATAGAAACTAAAATTACAGGAGAAGTAGACATAAAGGATGTTTTTACAATCACTGCACATCAACAAAAGGTTAAAGTTGCAGGATGTAAAGTTGCCACTGGGTTAATTACACGTAATTCAAATGTTAAAGTTCTAAGAAAACGTCAAGAGATATATAAAGGTACATTATCATCATTAAAATATATCAAAGATGATATTTCAGAAGCTAAAAAAGGTAATGAATGTGGTTTAATGTTTTCAAAATGGTCAGATTTTGAATCTGGTGATAAGATACAAGTTTATGAAGAAATAGAACATAAAAGATTCTTGTAAGTATGTAATAATAATTAATAGACGTTCTTGTAAATGTTTAATTTTTTTTTCTTTTATCGTCTCGTATAATTATCACAATGTCATCTCAAGATTATTCATCAGATGAAGAAGATTTATTCGATGAATCTAAGAAATCTCAAGTATTATTAGGATTCATAGATACTCCAATTGATAATGAAGAAATTCCAACCATCGAAGATACTTTTGTTGGATCACAACCAATTTGGCTACATGAAAATTCAAAGCCCAAGGAAAAATTAATAACTTGTAATAATTGTAATTCAAAAATGGCATTGTATTTACAAGCATTTGCTCCAATTGATGGTAAATTATATGACAGAGTAATATATGTTTTAGGTTGTAAAAATTCAAACACTTGTTCAAAGAAAAAGGGAAGTATAAAAGCAATTAGAGGTATAATTGAAGATCAAGAAACAGTGGATAAAATAAAGAATGAAGAGAAAGCAAGATTGGATGAGAAATTGAAATTGGAAGAGAAGAAGAAATTAAATGATGAGTTGGTGAAAAACTTGTTTAAAGAAGATGAAGCAGCTAAGAATCCATTTGGTGGTGATCCATTCGGTAATAATCCATTTGGAGGTAGTCCATTTGACGAGAAAGAAGAACCAAAGCAAGAACAAAAAGAATCTAAATCATATGCTGATATAGCTTCAAAAAATATTCCTAAGTCAAAACCAGCAAAAAAATTGCATGATGAATTGCCTGAATATACTGGAAATTTCCTATATGTAGATAATGAAAAGTTCAAAACACAGGCAAACGATGCAGAATTAGAGAAATATAAACATTTAATAGACAATCAATCAGATAAAGAAGATGATGATGAAAAAGGTAATTCTTCATCAAGTGTATTAAATCCACAAACTTCAAAAATTTCAAACATGCTAGATGATAAATATTTCGAAGCATTTTCAAACACTGTAAAACATAATCCTGGACAAGTTTTGAGGTATGATCTCGGTGGTAAGCCATTATTATATAATGGAAATGATGAAATTGCTAAAAAATTTCAGTCACACCCTTTTAATATACCTAAACCAGCTTTTAATCCATCTTCAGAAAGACAATTTGAATTACAATTGATGCCTAAATTAATCATAAACCTTGAAAATTTAAATGATAAAAATGTTGAAATTAAAGATATTTTAAATGGTATGTCTTGGGGTACAATTATTGTATGTACTGATAAAGAAGATTATGTACCTGATGAAGAATTTGATGAGAATAATGTTGCTTATATAGAAGAATGGTGTGGTGTTCAATGGGAAGAAAGTGTATAATGATATTTAATGAATATTATAGAATAATAAAAAGTTAATCTATTGCATATGAAAGAGAAAGATCCATTTGAGAAGTTAATTTCTAAACTATAGTTTGATGAAATCCTCTATTTCAATCTTTGACAAGTTGTAGATTACGATAGCAAGCTCGACTAATAACCTTGATAGATACCGTACATAGAGAACAATTCTGAAACAGATTATATGCAGTCTCATATAGTTAACGCAAAACTTCATTTGCAAATAATTTCATCAACATGCTAGTTCATCTGCTCAAACTTTTTTCATGAAACCTTTCATAAATTTGAAATAATTTGATGTTTGTTTCCTGATAAAAAATCCTATTTTGATCAATTTATCTTTGCTTAAAAAATGCAAATAAACGTTAAATTGCAAAATAAACAGCTTTTAGACCTCGCTTAGCATCTTCTAACTTATCTGCACTGGATTAGCTAACCTCAAATATCATTGGTGTTGAGGTTTGAAGACGCCATAATCATTTTGAATTTTTTTCAAAATTTTCAAACCACTTTAAAAAATTACTTTTCCAATTTTGAATACCTTAACACAAAAATATTTAAGGCTTACTTGCAAACAGTGCTACAAATAAGGATAGTTTTACTATGATTCAATTTGAATAATATTTGTGGAGTCAGAGTTTTTTTGAAGTCAATTTATTCAAATTTCCCCATACTTAAGAGAATAATATGAAATTTTTCAATTTTGATTCAAATCGAAAGAAATTACTTCAACACTTTAGTTTGAGGTCCAATATATATAGTTTGTAGTTTAATTGAAGAATATGGCCCTAAATAAAAACAAACATTGCGTTTTCAGTTTTGACTAAGATTCTGTATGGAGAAAAAAACGCCAAAATTTCATTTGAAAATTTTTTTTTTTGAAATATAGCATACTAGATACTTAAAATACATAATTCAAAACTCCTGATTTTGTATAATTGGTTATCAGCTAGTTAGCTTGTCTTGTTTAGGATATATAAGTCACTACACGTAGTACGAGGTAAATTGTTTTGACGCTTGAAATGGAAAAAAATTTAATTGGTGCTATGTATCGACTTTAATTTCAGCAGAGATTGGCGCCGGCATTCGCGTTATTTTCTTTTTTTCGCACAAAATTGCGCGAGGTCATTAGCCACTTTGAATATAGATCTTTGACGCGCAGCTGCTTAAAAATGAATCTATTTTTAGAAATTTACAATTTTATCAAATAATCGGACTTAAATATCAAATTTTACGTTAGTGTTGCGCAAGAATATTAAAATATATTATCTGTCTTTTAATCTCTATGATGCATAGTACTAGTGAACCTCTAAATGAGGTGGTTCACCGCTTTTCACTATCAAATAATATCAAAATCAATTCAGTTTCATTTCTCTACAACTTAGTTTAAAATAAGTCTAGAAGACATCGGATGGATCGAATATATCTCTATCTCAATCATTGAATCAGAATAAGTCTGTTTCCAAACTTTATTGTTAGTCTATTAAGGTCCATCGAGCTGTTGAAAAATTTTTGGTCTAGAATAGATTGTGCAGACCAAATGCAATCCTAAAATTGCTACCAACAGATTCAAGAAATTCCAAGCAAAATGGTTAGATTGGATCGAAAGATTAATCAAGGTAAGAGAATAGAAACAATAACTGCAAATGGATCTAAATTTGAAACGTTTCAAATGCTTTATATTCGAAACCCTTTCAAAATCTAACAATGATCTACATTTGTAAAATTTTCAGATTTGGATTCGGCGATTTAATTTTCTAAAAATGCTCAACTTACAAAAACTTTCAATTGCATGGCAATTTTCATCACCACCAATTCCTTGAATAACAATTCTAACTTTCTCTTGATCAATTAAAAAAGCTTATTCTTTCATTGAATAATATGACATCATACTATTGTATGAGATTTGTATTTTACACTACTTTCATTATAAAATAAATGAGACACAAAATTATAAAATATAAAAATTATAAAGCAACAAGATATTACAACAATTTTCAGCTGTTGCATTTAACCATATTTCTCCTTTCATCATCATATATATATATCCATAGATACCCATTTACATTCATCCTTTTTGAAAATTCTATATTTTAAATTATGTCAAAAAGTTCTTCTGATGATGAATCATTCACTCAAGATCAACATAGATTTCATATTCAACTACCTCAAAGACAAATAAACTTACAGCAGATTCGAAAACAAAACAGTAAAAAGACTCAACCTTCAAATCTTGCAAAAAAGGCAACTTCAAATTTTGTAAAGGCTACTAAAATCAAGTCAAGCAAACAACAATATCCTGATTCTTATACACCTAAAGATCCCAAGGCTTCAGTTTCAAGTTCAAGACATAATTCAACTTCTGAATCAAGTGATGATGGCGAAAACGATAGTGATTCAATTTTTAGACAACACATAAATATAGATAAACAATCAAATTTACCACAATTTAAATTTACAGAAGGTGATTTTCAAAAAAATACAAGATTTGATGATGAGAGTGAATCGGAAGGTTCTGATGAAGATTTACAAGAAGAATATAATCCAGCTCCTGAATTTTATCAATATGATTCCTCAGATGAAGATGAAGAAGAAGAAGAAAATAATAATGAACCAGAAGTTCCAATAGAGAGAAAACAATCACATAAATCAGTTAAATCCACTAATTCTAGAAAATCAAGTACTAGTTTATCACATTTGCCACCTCCACAAAGACACGAGACTAATAAATCGACAGAATCAAATAAATCAAAAGATTCTGGCGTTTTAAAAGGAATATTACGTAAAATGTCATTAGCTGATAGATCACCAATAGATGAATTAAATCAAGATATGTCACATAGTGATACTTTTTTAGGTAGAGTATTACAATTTGGTTCACAATCTCAACAAGGTGGATTATCGGGTGGTGGTTTAGTACCTGGAGCTACAAAATGTTCAGATTCAATTCCTGAAGAAGATGAAGAAAAGAAAGTTGGATTTGCAATTAATGAAAATGATAGAGATATTGAAATGAAACCTATAAATTATGATGATTTAAGTGAAGAAGCAAAACAATTAATACATCAACATATTCCAGATTTACATTCACGAGCCAGCTCAGCTACTAATTCAAATACAGTAACTCCGAATATTTCAACTGATGATTTATTGAAAAAGAGAGAAGAAGATATTAATGAAAAGCAAACTTCAACTGCTTCATCAGCTGAAAATCCATTTTATACACCTAATCCTGATTTATATCTCCGTGGTGGTCATGGTGAAAACAATGAAAATGAAAATGAAAATCATCCTCCTTATGAAGCACCAACTGATTTTTTACAAGATTTAGATGGTGATTATATAGCACCTCCAAAACAAGTACAAGCTGGTGTTTTATCTTCATTATTAAGATTATATCAAAATCCACAAGATAATAAAAGTGCAAGTTCATTAAGTCGACAACTGACAAATTTTACATCTGATGGAGAAAGTTATGAATCAGATTCAGATAGGAAATCATATGCTAGTGAGTTCAAGAAAATTAAATCTGGAGTCAAGGGTGTCCAAAAAGCACCTGGTAAAATGTATAATAAAGTAAAAGGAAATTTCAAACATGATAAAAATACACCACAACATGATCTTGATTCAGATAATGATGGTGAAATACCACCACCTATGGATTCCAATCTTCCTAGTTTTCAAAATGCAAAACCAAAAGTCCCCAAAAAGAAACCAACAGATATAAAATTGAAAAAATTAAAACATAGTAAAAGAAAAGCTGAAAGATTAAGAATTACAGTTCATATTGCTGATATTTTACAACGTCAAAAATTTATAATGAATATGTGTAGAGCACTAATGCTATTTGGAGCACCAACGCATAGATTGGAAGAATATATGATTATGACTTCACGAGTTCTAGAAATTGATGGTCAATTTATGTATTTTCCAGGTTGTATGTTGGTTAGTTTCGGTGATGCTGCAACTAGAACTTCAGAAGTTCATTTAGTTAGATGTGCTCAAGGATTAAATTTGTCAAAGTTGGCAGATACTCATAAGATTTATAAAGCTGTTATTCATGATTTAATTGGTGTTGAAGATGCTAGTAAGAAATTAGATGAATTATTAAAATCAAAGAATTTATATCCTCCTTGGTTATGTGTTTTATTTTATGGTATTGGTTCTTTGGCAGTTACTCCATTTGCTTTTGAAGGTGGTTGGATTGATTTACCTATTAGTTTTGGAGTTGGATTATGTGTTGGTTATTTACAATTTTATGTTTCTTCAATGTCAAATTTATATAGTTCAGTTTTTGAAGTTTCTGCTGCTATTGTTGTTGCTTTTATAAGTAGAGGAATTGGATCAATTAGACTGGGGAATTTATTTTGCTTTTCAGCAATTACTCAAGGTAGTTTAGCTTTGATTTTACCTGGTTATATAATTTTATGTGGTTCATTAGAATTACAATCACGTAATTTAGTAGCTGGTTCAGTTCGTATGTTTTATGCAATTATTTATTCATTATTTCTTGGGTTTGGAATTACCCTTGGTTCTGCATTGTATGGTTGGGTAGATCATAATGCAACATCACAAAATTCATGTCAACTGGGACATTCAATGAATGATAAATTCAGAATTTTATTTGTTCCAATGTTTGCTACAATGTTGGGATTAATTAATCAAGCAAGATGGAAACAATTACCAATGATGATTTTCATTGCTTCAGTAGGTTATATTGGTACATATTTTGCTGGTAAACATTTTTCAAATGTAACTGAATTTACTGCATGTATTGGTGCTTTTATAGTTGGAATTTTAGGAAATTTATATTCAAGAATTTGGAAAGGTATGGCTGTTTCGGCTATGTTACCTGCTATTTTTGTACAAGTTCCATCTGGTATTGCTTCAAAATCTACATTGATTTCAGGGATTGCAACAGCTGATCAAATTACAAGCAGGAATGGGACAACAACAACAACAGATGCTAATGATAAAACATCGAGTTTATCATTTGGTGCAACGATGGTTGAAGTTTCAATTGGTATTTCTGTTGGATTATTTGCTGCTGCTTTAGTTGTTTATCCATTTGGTAAGAAAAGAACAGGTTTATTTACATTATAGTTAAAAATTAGATTATAGACAATAAAATTTATACAGTATAAAAATATTACAACGCGAAATTTTAAACTCTTTTACTCTATCAATGTTGCAACAGAAAGAGATATCAAAGATATTATATAGGGGATTAGATGCAATTGATTCAAATCAACCAATATCAATCTCATTATTATCTCATAATGGTAATCCATTAATTACTTTAACGAAAGATAAGGAATCTGATGATGGTAATATAAATTTTAAAATTCTTTCATTATTGACTTTTCAAATTTTTAATAATAATCAGTCAGAAGATCAACAAGATTGGAATATTATAAATTTTAAGAATCATGATATAAAGTCTATTATTAAAAAAGTTGAGAATTTGGAATATTTTGTTATTTTATTTTATGAATTTGATAATGATGGTTTTGCCAAATTAAAAATTGATCTGGTTGTAAATGCATTAAATGAAGGTTTTAAAGGATACAAAGCAGATGAAACATGATTTTCTAATAGATTGCAATTGGTTAAATGTGAAATTACAAGGTAAAATAAAATTATGCACGCACTGATTATATGTGCTTTGTTGCTACTGGTCGAGTATGGATTACATGTGCTTTGTTGTTACTGGCTGAGTATGAAGTTGAAAGAAAAAATGTATTGCTCAGAGCTTTGACACATAAAGGTGTGATGATACTGATAATCATGTCTCAAGAAAAATAAATCCAGCTTATTATTTATAGTCGTCAGTACATAGAAAGATTAATGAATGTCATGAGCTTAGTCGGGTTTATTAGCTATTTAGTAGTATCAGAATTTTCAATTTTACTATAAGTATAAAGAGAGGTTTCTTTTTTATCATTTTTTCATATATTTAAACAACCTAATAAAAAATTATGCTAAATAGGGTATCATTATCATGAGCAGAAATAAAATAAGATTATTATTGGGATATTAACAGTAGGTGTTTGTTTTGTGTTTGGGTTTTTATTATTTATTATTTTCCACCCATATCTTCATCATCTTCCTCTTCTTCTTCATCATCTTCTTCATCATGATCATCAATATCATCCATTAAACTTTCTTCATCAAAACTTTCTTCTTCTTCGCTTTCATACCAAAAATCTTCATCAACAGGTTCATCTAATCTATTATTTAAATTTGAATTTGAATTCGAATAAGCATTTAATGAAGAATCAGGCATTATAAAATCTTCAGGAATATCTTTTTTACTTCTTTCAACTTCTTTAAGAACTTTCTTTTTATATTCATCAAAATTTTTTCTAAATTCAACAGATGCATCAATATTTGCTGGAGAATTACCATTTGGATCGTCTAATAAAGAAATAATTGAAATTAAAACACTTTCAACAGTTTGAGCAGGAGACCAAGTTTCACTTTCTGGTTCATCATTAGTTGGATCTCCACCTTGATGTAAAATTGAAATACATAATCTACCATCTCTATAAACATTTGGATGATAAATTGAAGGAGTAAATCTAAAACTTGGAGGAGAAAAAGGAAAATCTTGTGGAAATCTCATTTGACCTTTAAAATAACCTCCATGATATAAAGAATCTGGATTTAATACCATAACTCCAATATTCCATAAAAAAATATTATCATCATCTAATTCTATATGGAAAGATGGGATACCTTTTTTTGCATCTGTTAAATCTTTAAATTGTCGTTGTAAAATGGCAGCAGCTGATTTGGAACTCATAATAAAACTATAACTTCTTTCAAATATGTGTATTAATAATTAATAATTAATTTGTGGGATGGAAAATCAAATTTATTTGTATTTGGTTTAGTTTGTTGTTTTGTGAGTGATATTAATAATTTGAAATGGTAATAAAAAAGAAAATACTTGTATGGAAATGGATATAAGAAAACTAAGTAATAAAATATGAGTAAAAACACTTAATCAATAACTATCAATACCTAACTAAACTGATATAATACGTTATATGGATATATATATAAAAATGCCTGTTGTTTGTTTGTTTGTTTGTTTGTTGAATAAAGAAATATTGTTGATAATAAATGAATTAATTTGTGGTTATTTTATTTTAAAAATTTGTTAGAAAAAAAAAAAAAAAAAAAAAAAAAAAAAAGAAATTAAATACGAGACCAACGAGACCAACCAGGTACTGCATGGGCCCAGCAGTTATCGTATTATTTAATGCCATGCCATGGTGTTCCGATGCCAAGTGGGGCGGGTCGCCCCAATGTTTATATTGGTATTGGGTATTCGTATTATACCCAATACCATATCATGCGACATATCATGCGACAAGTTGTTAAAAACAAACAGTCATCGTTAGAGTATGTCTAATGAATTATATCTAATGAATTATGATTTATATCTAATGTAGAGTTGCAGGGTAATGATTCTTCTTCTCTGCACCCATTGCAATTTTCGCTTATGATAAACTTTATTTTTTGGAACTATAGTATATTACAAAGTTCATTTAATTTTCCTCTAGTAGTTAAAATATAATAATCTGTTTTCTAGTTGACATCGGAAAAATGAACGATCGCATTTATACATTGTTTATAGAGATGATTTGAAATCATACCAAAAAAAAAATATCAAATTTTGTTAATGCAACGATATAAGAACGAATGAAAAAATTATCAAATTTTGTTAAAGCAACGATATAAGAACGAATGAATTATAAATAAACAAACAATAGTCAAAAAGTATTCTCAATAGCAGTAAGAATTAAGAATACGAGTATTAATTCAGTTTACTAACTTGAGGTGCATAATTGAAAAGGTTAAATGATTAAATCTTAGTTTGTATAATATTCCGTCTCATCCAAAAGGTTTATAAAATTTCATTAAATAAGCATTTTCGTGTATTTGATTTTACTTATAAACAAGTGAAAAAAAGTAACATCAATTGGTTAATTGGTTGATTGGTTAATTGGTTAAGTGTTTATCAACTCTCTCTTGAAATTTTCTTATCAGTTACGTTACTGTGATTTCGTAGTTCAAATGTGTCAAAAATACGAAATAGGAAAATTTGAAAGTAATAACTTATGTAATAACTCATGTAATAAATCTCGTAATGCATTATGTAATACATGATATATTTCATTATGTAATGTATTATGTAACACCTTATGTAATAAGTCATGTAATATTTTTTTTTATTTATTAAAATAATTACAAAGAGATTATTTTTCTATTAGACGATAATTGAAACTAGTAGTTCAATATTCTCCTGTTGAGAGTTGAGAGTTGAGAGTTGAGAGTTGTATGTATTGGGTTGTTGTTCAAATGTACTTATGTTATTTACGCCGCGGCCAAAATAAGTAGTTATTTAAATCATCACCGATAAATGGAGAACAAATTGAAATCTTATATTTTCAAGCACACTACAATTAATACTTATTCAAATCAAATCAAATCAAATCCTATTCTTATTTATTACTTTCATGATTCACAATTATCATGTTTCTACCTATTCGTTTATACTCATCCAGATCATCATCATTAACTTATTATCAATTACTTGACCTAAATCCAAATTCGTCAATTAAGGAAATAAAACTTCAATTTAAAAAATTATCAAAGAAATATCATCCAGATTTAAATCAACATTTATCAGATGAAGCAAAAGAAGAGAATAATAGGAGATTTGTAGAGATGGTTAATGCTTATGATACTTTAAAAGATGTCAAGAAGAAAAGAGAATATGACGCTTCATTAAATCTACATTCAAAAAGAGATATGTCGAATAAATATTATTCAGATAGTAAAAATTTTAGAAAAAAAGGACATACTACTACTAGTAGTTCTGGTTTAAATCGAACTCGTCATCATATTAAATATCATAATGGTTATGAAGATTTACATTCTCAATTTTCTGGTCAACATAAAAATTATGGTGATAGATATGATGTGCCACATTTTGATTATGATAAACATTTAAATAGAAATTTAAAATTTGAACAAAGATTAATTGATAAACATTTAGATGCAACTACTAAAACTAAATTATTAAATCAACTTAAGAAATCAAGTGGTGAGAATGTAAGTGAAGAAATTATAACTCAACATTTATTAAGACATATTAATAGTATAACTACAAATCCAGATAAATTTCAGAATACGAATAATTTGAAATATGGTCAAACTGTAAATTATAATCATGCAGGCTCAACTTATGCTTCTCATATCTATCAAAATCCAAATGATTCAAGTATGTTTGGTGCTTTAGCTTTAATTGGTGGTGGTACTTTATCTTGTTATATAATGTATAAATTGATATTTTAAAGAGAAACAAACAAACAAACAAACAAACAAACAAACAAACGATATTAAACGATGTTGTTGTACTTTTATTTTTATACAATAAATAGTAAAATTAACATCTCAGTATTATCTATTTAATACCTCGAGAATGTCATTAATATGCATGCAATTTTTTGTTACTTTTTTTTTTTTATCTATCTATCTATCAACTTCACCGAAAACTAAATCCATAGTACCAATTATAGCAACGGCATCAGCTAATAAATTACCTCTTGATATATGATCAAAAGCACCTAAATGAGCAAAACCAGGGGCTCTAATTTTACATCTATATGGTCTTTCACTACCATCACTTACAACATAAACACCCATTTCCCCCTTTGGTGCTTCAATTGCAGTATATGTTTCACCTGGCGGAACAGAATAACCTTTTGTAAATAATAAGAAATGGTGAATTAAAGCTTCCATATCTTCTTTCATTAATGCTCTTGATGGTGGTGAAATTTTAAAATCTTCAACTTTAACAGGTCCTTGTGGCATATCATTAATACATTGAAAAATTATTCTTAAAGATTGTCTAAATTCAGCCATTCTTATTAAATATCTATCATAACAATCACCATATAAACCAACAGCAACATCAAAATCAACTAAATCATAAGCATCATAAGGTTGAGATTTTCTAACATCAAACGGAACTCCTGAACCTCTCAACATTACTCCTGATAATGAATAATTTAAAGCATCTTCAGCACTTACAAATCCAACCCCAATTGTTCTTTCTTTCCAAATTCTATTATCAGTACATAACTCTTCAACTTCATCAATTCTATCACCAAATTGTGTAGCCCACATATAAATATCATCTAATAAACCAGCAGGTAAATCTTGTGCAACTCCACCAGGTCTAACATATGCTGAATGTAATCTTGCACCAGAAACTCTTTCATAAAATTCCATTAATTTTTCACGTTCTTCAAAACCCCATAAAAATGGTGTTAAACCACCAACATCCATAATATGAGTTAAAACAGACATACAATGATTTAATATTCTTGTAATTTCTCCAAATAATGTACGAATATATTTTGCTCTTATTGGAACTTCAACATTTAATAATTTTTCAACTGCTAAAGCAAATACTTGTTCATTTGTCATCATTGAAACATAATCTAATCTATCAAAATATGGTAATGCTTGAATATAAGTTTTTGTTTCAATCAATTTTTCTGTACCTCTATGTAACAAACCAACATGAGGATCACTACGAACAATTTCTTCACCATGTAATTCTAAAATTAATCTTAAAACTCCATGAGCTGCTGGATGTTGTGGACCAAAATTTATTGTAAAATGTCTAACTTTTGTATTTTGTTTTTCAACTTTTTCTGGAGCATCTGATCGATCCCAATTCATATTTGTAACATCTAATATTTCAGTGAAAGTTGATGGTTGGAAAATATTACCGTGGCTACTTTCTTTTGTTGGTTTTCTACCTAATGGATTTAAATTCGGTTGATGAATATCTTTTGATGTTTCAGGTAAACTTGTAGCATAACATCTTGTAAAAAGTTTATTTATGATAGGTGATATTCTTATTCTATGTGAATGTGCCCTTAACATTATAGGTGATATATATATATGTATATATATATAAAAAAAATTGGTAGATGGTTATTAAAGGTTTATGATTTGGTAGGTTTGGTTTTTTCAATGCGTGTATAGAAAAATCATAGTATTATGCAGTACTCAGTAGTAATATATAAATAATTGTTTATTATTGGTTAACATTGACATTTGATACAGGGACACGACTAAATTAAGAGAAAGATGTTGAAAGATGTTGAAAAATTTGATAGATTTGATAGATCCAGTTGATACTTGGAGTTGATACTTGGGGTTGAAAGAAATGTCGGGTACTTAATAGAGCTCTTTCTATGATTTAGTGGTTTTTTCTCTGCGTGAAAGAAAGTTGTAGTTGATACTCTGCCAAATATATTCGATCTCGATGATTAGAGGCTGCATTTTTTTGCAAAATTATAACGCTTAGAGTAAATTAATCTCCCGATGAAGCTCAAGAAACGAAATTAAATGAACTTGAAAACTCTTAACAAGCAGAATGTAAGAGTTATAGAACGTAAAAAAAAAAAATCTCGAGGGGTTGTCTTTTTGGTCTAGACTTGAAACAAATATGGGCTGGTTATTGGATGATTTTGAAACATACAAGTTCATAGAAACAATAAATATCGGATACAATAAATAACGGTTGTAATCAGTTTAAAATTCTACTATAGACCGTTCGTTCAATTTAGAATGGCTACAACTTTATTATTTAACCAGACGTAAAACTTCAAGAAATTAAAGTTGTAATACAAATTATTGAAAGTCTTGATAATAATTGTTTGATATAGAGTCGTGTATTTTGTTACAAGTTTCGCTAGTAGTTTAAAATTTCTATCAATTTGAAGTTTCTTTTTCATTTTAATATTAATTTTTTTTTTTTTTTTTTTTTTTTTTTTTTTCACTTTTTATTTAAATATTCAATTCTTTCCTTTCCAATTTACAGCCAATTTGTTTAACTAGAATTGTTTCAATTCATTCATTTTGTGTTATAGCTATTCCATTTAATTTAAACTTCAAGTAGATTTATTTAATAACTACAATTCTTCAAAATGTCGACCTTTCAATCTAATATAACTCCACCACCTCAATCTAAAAGAAAATATATTGAAGATGATGATTATATACTGTATGAAGAACCAATCAATCAAAAAGAGCAACATGAAATATTAAAAAAAAATCTCAAAGATGAAATTAATCATAATCCAGAATGGCCACAATTTATACATCCAGAAGGTGGAGTCATAAAAATAACTCCCTGGGGATCATTAAGACAATATAAAGATTTGAAGACAGGAGAAGTATTAACTAAATTTGAAGATTTCTCGTTTGATGATTTTAATAAATCAATATATGAATCAGAAAAATATGAAAAAATATATAAATATACTCCAGATACTCCGATGTCAATTAAAAATCAAAATAAAGATATTTATTATAGTCCTAGTACTGAGGCTGAAAGTTATGTAATTGATGGATATAGAAATAATGTTGAATTTCAACAAGAACATGAGAATTATTTCGGTATGAATGAATATCAAGAAGAGTTTGATATTAGTACTTATCAGAATGAAGATGAAGATGAAAATGAAGATAAAGATGATGATGATGAAATGAATTAAGAGAAGGCTGCTGTACTATTTGTATAATTATGTAAAATTAGAATAAAAGTTTATTGTTTCATATTCTTTGTTTCATGTCTTTCTTGAGCGCGTCTATAAAATATCTTTTTTTTTTTTTTTTGACCACGCGCTATATTTTTTTTTTTTTTGGTTGCAAAAAAATGGTTGCAAAATTTTTAAAAAGCTTTAAACAAATGACAGTTTTATATTCTGCTGTTTGATTGCAGTGACTTGAGTGTAAAAATCAATATTCTCTAGTCATTAAAGTTAATTCGGTTGTTGTTGTTTGTGCAGCTAGTTATATGGATGACTTTTACTATAATACATTGATCATTGAGGCTTGACCTAGTCACTCTTTTAAAATACATCAATCTTAGTCATACTCAATAGCATCATGATTCAATAGCATCGGTAAGACATATTATGAGAGTTTAATTTGCGTTTTTGGTGAAGTAATGCTAGGAAAATGAAGAATTTTGTTTACAAAATTTTTCATTTGAAACTGATGGATGAACGGTAACATCTTCGTCTTGAACCCCCTAAAAACAAAAGTTGGTATTCTTTTAAAAAACAAAATACAAAATTTTGCATTTGAAACTGATGGATGAACCGTAACATTATCGCTTTGAACCCCTAAAATCTTTAAAAAAATATTTAATTAATAGTAATTGTGAAAAGTTAGTATTCTTTTAAAAAACAAAATAAAGCTAGTTCTACACACAATTGATTAGTGTTATTACGAGGTGCTTATCTCTGGTGATCAAAATCTAAACAAGAGAAAAAAGAGATTTGTCACTGACAGCTTCAATGTGTACGATGCTAGCATAGTCGTATATTAATATACTATTTGACACTACTCTCAAAGTAGTAGTAGCACTTCATCTTTGCTGAACCAACTTATTCTTGTTTAACATCTAATGGAGTTAATCTTAAGTATGGTTTGATAATTCTGAATTTTGGGAACAAAGTTTTAGCTTCTTCATTTGAAACTGATGGATGAACGATAACATCATCTCCTGGAACCCCTAAAAAAAACAAAAGTTAGTATTCTTTTAAAAAACAAAATAAAGTTAGTTTTTTCTACGCACAATTAATTGGTGTTGTGACACGGTACTTATCCCCGGTCAAAAGGGCGTCAATAGTACGCAAGACTTCAGCAGTATTTCTACCAACTGGTTTATAGGTTAGTAAATGTTCTCCATAAAAAGATTTGGTTAAATTTGGCGATAATTTTACAATGCAAAAAAAAATTGTAGTGTGGTGGCAACACGCAATTTATCCATGAAAAAAACCTCGAAAATTGCGCTTTTCGCAAAATTATCATCAATTTTCCAATACTTAAAACATACCTTGAGCTGGATAAGATAAAATCAATCTAATTGTTTTCTTTGGATCAATAATAAAAACTGATCTAATAGTAAATTGAACACCTTTATCATCAACATTAGTAGCATCTTGATAATCAATCATATCGTATAAATGAGCAACTTTTCTTTCTGGATCAGCAATAATTGGAAAAGTTAATTTTGAACCAGTAACTTCATCAATATCTTTAATCCAACCTTTATGAGAATCTGTATTATTAGCACTTAAACCAATTAATTTAACATTTCTTTTAGCAAATTCTGGTTCTAATTTTGCAAAAGCACCTAATTCAGTAGTACAAACTGGTGTATAATCATCAGGATGTGAAAATAAAACAGCCCATGAATCACCAATATAATCATGAAATGAAATTGGTCCATTACTTGTTTCTGCTTGGAAATCTGGTGCAATTGAACCTAATCTTAAAGTTTTATGATCTGAAGATGACATTTTATTAATTGATATTAATTGATATTAATTGATATTTACTTTTTGGTATTTAACAATCACTCCTGAAAATTCAACAATACTTCTTTCTTCCAACAGCAGAATATAAATTTATATAAATATAAAAACTGTGGTTCCCACATAATCAAGAATTTTTCAAATCCCTATTCGTATATTACGTCAGCAATAACAAATTATGATAATGCACGTGATATGAGTTTACTATTGACTATTAAAAGTTTAATACTAAAGTTGAAAGATTCATTCATACATTCAACAACAATTGGTTGGTTAATAGATTAGTAGATCTTTGGATGAAATTTCACAATCTGGTTATTAATTGAGAAATTAATTGACAACTGATATTGTGCAATAATTATTATGTATTCTCGAATATTCTATTATTTTAAGAATTACTTTTTGTGACCTCCGAATTGGAATTGAATAACATTAGATGATAATTACAGTATGGGAGAGCATCAATGATCATATAGCTATGCATTTTCAAATCTTCGAAGTGGCAAAATTGTCATTTATCGTCATTTTTCGTCATTTTTCGTCATTTTCAATATTTCTTCTATAGTTTAATTTGTTTGTCGCAAAATATTAGCCGCGTTTCCTAAAATAGAAATGAATTTAGTCGTGTCTAACAAAATTTCAAAATTTCAGAATTTATTCTATTCAGGCAGAAAATTGTTCTTTTGTTACTATCCTGGTTGAAGGTTTCTTTTTGTCTAGTAATATGATAACGGAGATAATTATTCACTGGAACCGCTCTCGACTGATTAGTATATATATATATCATAATTTGATTCAATTCGAATATGATTTTTAGGTTCTGATTTGTGTATTGATTCAATTCAAGTACAATTAGATCATACTACAGAAGAGTGATTTTACAAACCAGGTCAGCAACAAGCTTTGATCTTGTTGTTAGATTTGGTTTGATACTCAAATTACTTTTATTTTATATTTATTAAGTTTTATAAGTTTAGTTTATTTGCAAATTAAATTTATATTTATTTAAGAGTGTAATTCTATGATGATAAAGTATACGATAATTGTAGTAGATGCGTGATATTTAAACATCTTAAGATTATCAAATGTGAAATTGTTGCAAAATATTCCGTAAGGAAATGTATTATTAACAATTTCTAATTGTTCTAAGGAATTCAAACGTTTCAATGCTTCATAATCTACTGATCTTACCGTTGTCGTTTCTCCAATTAATGTAAAAAATTTCAAGTTGTGAGGAAATTTGATGGTAGATAAATCTTCTGGATGTACAGCGTCTACATGCATTACGTTTTGAATTGCTTGAAGTAATTCATTAAAACAGTCTTTATACTCAAAGCATTTAGCACCAAATTTCACAATATTTTTAATTGTTGCATTAGCTTTACGTAATATATCTTTGTCTGAATGCAACCCCACCTTCTATTACTAAACATTTGACGTGGTTTTGGAAACTGTTAAGAGCTCTTTAATGTTAAAGCATTCGCATACAAGTTAACCGGTACTCTTAACTCTTTGAAAAGTTAAAAGTTTTCACTTTTCTGGGGTATGATATGAACTTCTTTGATCCTGTTGATTTTAGAACAATACTTTGCCCGATTTATTGTAAGCTGATATATGATAATATTATCTGGTGAAAAATTGTATTTGTTCCATTAAAAATGCTAAAAAGTCCAAAGATTTAATAATTTCTGACTTGAAATCATAGCACCATCTTCATATCAGTAAACCACATTATTTTAAACATAAAATCGTTAGAAGCTTCTGTCGAACCTAGAGCTACAACAACTGATAATAAAATTGATAAGGCAACTGGTTTGAAATTTCTATCATATAAAAAGTATACAAATGAATCAACCAAACACTAAAGTTACTAATTCATTTGATAATTGTAATAAACCATCATATAATTTTCTTGTTTCATCCATTGTTGATAATTAATTAAACTTTGTTTCATGCAGGACCAATTTTTTGGATCTCTTAAATACACAAAAATAGATCTACTAAAAAAATTCATAACCTCAGTTTTAAACTGTTTATAAACTAAAAAGGAGAATTAGGCTAGTGAAGCACCACTTTTGCTCGTATACTCTAATTAGATAATTGGATAAAAACATTTTAATAATTCTCAATTCTACAGCTATTCTTTGAATTCTACAGCTATTCTTTTAATTATAGCTAAATTTAGCCATTTTTTGTAATTTTTCGAAAACAATCAAAGATACTAGATATAAGTATGGCGGATTAACGAAACACTCAACAATACAACTTACTACTCATAATCAAGAGAGATTAATTATAACAAAACACAATTAATTCAGAAAACGTACAAAACTCAAATGAACTTTGGTATTATTCAAACACAGTAGAGCTGATTAAAACACAATCAATACATCAGAGAAACCAGAAAAAATTATATCAAATCATTCAATATATATATATTTAATGTTTAAATAAATCAACTTTTAAAATATCATCAACAATAGTTTTACCAGCAGCAACAATCTCTTCATCAAAATATCTTCTACCAGTTAATTGTAAACCAACAGGAGCACCAATAAATTCATCAGGTTTATAATTTTCATTTTCTAATTTTTCTAAATCTGATCTATATTCATATTTCAAATCTTCTTCAGTCCATCTATCTACATTTGGATCTTGGAAAACACCAGATTGGAAAACTAAAGTTGGGAAATCCAAAATATTATATAATCCAGTATATGACCAATTATAAATTTCTTCAGAATGAGGAGCAACATTATTATAAGTTGGTGATAAAATAAAATCAATCTTGTTATCAACTAAATATCTAGTATATTCAGTTCTTAATTTATCTCTAATAATATTCAATTGTCTATTTTCACCAATTGTATATTGTTTAGCACCATCACCAAAATTTAAATTCCATTTAGTTAATTTAACTAATGGTTCACCAGAAGCTGATAAAAATTCTTTTGATATTAAATTACCATCACAATTATAAGCTTTATTAAGAGTTTCATAAGCTAATTTAGTATTTGGTGGTTGAAATTCAACAATTTTAACACCTGCAGCTTTTAATTTTTCAACAACTTCATTTATTGCTCTTCTAATTGGTGGTGAAACTCTAACTAATCCATCATCACGAGTAACTGCAATTGTCAAATCTTTTGGGGCTGGTTTTGCAACTTGTCTCCATGGCATTGGTAAAACCCAACCATCTCTTTCCCATGGTTTACCTTCATTTAAATAAGATTTCATCCAATAATCAATATCTTCAACACATCTTGCAAATGGACCCATAACACAAGGAACAGTTTCAAATCCACCAAATGCAGAAACTGAGCCTATATCAGAAACTCTTCTAGTTGAAGTTCTTAAACCTAAAGTACCTGAAAAAGCAGCTGGAGATCTAATTGATCCACCAATATCAGAACCAATACCTAATGCAGCACCACCAAATGCAGAAATTGCACCTTCACCAGATGATGAACCACCAGCAGATAATAATAAATTGAAAGGACATTTAGTTAATCCAGTATAATTATTATTTGAATCTAAATGCATTAAAGTTTGTGGTTCATTAGTTCTAACATAATAAACAGCACCTAATTTTTGTAAAATATCAACTGTAACACCATGTTCTTCTGGAATATTATCAATCATTGAAACATAACCAGCATGAGTAATTTTACCTTTATAATCCATATGTTCTTTTAATGAAAATGGTAAACCATGTAACGGACCAACAATTTTACCAGTTTCTCTAAAATAAGCATCTCTTTCTTCAGCTTGTTGTAAACCTTCATGAAAGAAAAATTCCATAGCACAATTTGTAAATTGATGAGCAATGATAGCTCTATGAGCAAATGCTCTATAAACTTCAACTGCTGTTAATTCACCCTTGGACATTTGTTCAACTAATTTATATGCTGGAGTATCTGTAATTTTAAATTCATCATCAGTTAATAATTTAGCAGAATACATATAATCCATAGCATTAAATTGTTCATTAATTAATTCATCAATCGGTTTAGGTAATGGAGCTTTACATGAATCTGGAATAGAATCTGCTAATGCTTGTCTATATTTTTCAACTTTTGGTAACCATTCTTTAGTATATCTTTCATTATCTTCAAAACCTTCAAAAGTTTCTTTAGTTAAAAAAGAGTTAAAAATAGCTTCTTGAGACGACATGTTTAAATTGTTAATTAATGATGAAAACAAAATTGTAAGAATATCACTAGTTTATATAATACTTGAGTCATTTCTTAATCCGAAAATACCTCAAGTATAATTATTCTCATAGTCCTATTGGAATATTATATTTTGATTCATAGCGGGGGTTGAAGTTTAGGAGTTGATCCCCAAAAATACGAGATAACGGATTATAATCCCATTTTAAGTAATTCAAACCACCGAGTCTATAACTTACATTATCAAACCATCTAAGCAGCATCAACTGAAAAACCATCGAAAGAGTTTGTTTCATATTGTTCTAAATTGGACTGGCTATGATGATTTATTATTAATTAACACAGCAGCTTCATAACTTCTATTGGTGTATCAATAACCTACACGGGATCCAACCCCAGCCAAAGTCCGAGAAGTCTACTGCCCTGTTTGATGGTGGGCTTCTAATTTTTAATTCTGGTCTCTCCACATTTCAAATGATCGTACAAAATAATAAATTATTTTTTGAAAATCGTCTGGTTCAATTCCTTTGACGAGCAGTTCAAATTTCACTGTTTTGAGTAATAGTACGCGTATATAGCTTCGTAATAACAGCCAGACTTGTTATTTGGACTTGACTTGTTATTACGAAGCTACGATCTAATAGATATTAAATATCGCGAGATTTTGACCACGTAAGCTTATTAAAATTAAATTTCGTTAACATTGTAAATTATGATAAATTAGGAGTAAATCAAAGGACAAGAAAAAGTTGGTTAAACAAATCGAATTAATTAGATTGTTTGTATTTCTTGATTAATAGTTAAATAGTCCCACTTAATAGAACGTAGAATATGTAAATTGGGCAATCGAGGAGAACACGGTTGAGGTCCAACTTTACAACTACATTAAGAAGCTTCAAGCAAGTTTATGTCCAACGAAAATCGTTCTATTCTAGCTCTATATACTCCTTGTTACTAATTCATAATTATCATCATCAGCATCGATATCAACGCCAAAATCATTTAAATTTTCACCATAATCATTAGTCCAATCATTTCGTTTTAAATCTGATTTTGGATCTAATCGTTTTCTCAATTCTTTATAATTTTTTATATTCCTTAATTCATCATCATTCAAAGCATTTACACTTATTTCTTCTTGGTTGTTTCCATCAGGAGGCCAAGGTAAATTCAATTGATCATCTTCTTTATAATCTTGAGATATTTTAGGTGATATTCCATTATTTAGAGGTTTTGAGAATGGCCATAACCAAACCCAAGGATAATTTAAAGCTTGTATTATATTTGACCATATGCCCAAATCATAAGGGAATATAATATCATCAATTGTGAAATTTTTAGGAACTAAATTGTTCGACTCCTCTTGTTCCTCTTGTTCCTCTTCTTCATTATTATCCATATTGTCTAATTCTATTGTGTTATTAGTCCATGTAGTCAATTCAGGTAGTTCTTTATTATGTAATTTTCTATAATTTGATCTAATTTGATACCAAAATCTATTTGAATAAAATTGATTATCGATTCTTTCCCATTCCCAAATTTCAATTTGAGTCATACCTTTACAAATATTAATAAAACATCTAATAAACAATAAACTAATAGATATCAACACAAATAAATCCAAAGGTGTGAAGAATATTACACCGATCATTTCTGATTTTCTAATTAAATATATAGGTAAATCTGATTGTTGATAATATGAAATTATACGTTTGACTAATTGGATAAACAAGTAACTAGTACCCCAAATGACCCACCCCAAAAATCTCATGAAATTAGGTAAATTTTCAAAACCAACACAATTCATAGTCCATGGACAATGATGATCCATGTATAAAATACACTGATTACATGATTTACAATGATGAGTTCTTGGAGGTTTATATTTGTTACATTTTTTACAATATCTTTTCCATTGACCACTAGATGGTTTGTAATTTGATGGAGATGTACCTGGTGATTTCATAATAGCCATGAAATAAGATACCCATATCATAGTAACATAAAATTGATAGACCACTTGTTGATTAGTTGTAAGATAGTATTGCAATATCAACCAATGAGAACCATAAGATAGTACGAATATGATAGTAACTGGTATTACTACGCCGAGTACTGGCCATTTGAGCTGTATAGGCATCGGTTTGTACTACAAATATAAAAACGCTACCATCTATTGATAATTTATATTTTTTCAATCTTCAACAGAAAATTAAGTATACAGTGGCAATAGAATAGTATACAATGGTATGTATTAGAGTGGAAGAAGTCAAGGACTTAGCAATCCGAGCTAGTAATAGGATGTAAAATAGAAGAAGAGTACTAACATTTATTTGACTTCAATTGGAACAGGTTATGATTTATCAAATTCAGTATTTTCCCCTGATGGTAGAAATTTTCAAGTTGAATATGCAATGAAAGCAGTTGAAAATGGTGGTACATCAATTGGTATTAAATGTAAAGACGGTATAGTATTAGCTTGTGAAAAAATTATAAATTCAAAGCTATTAGTGCCTGGAAAGAATAAAAGAATACAAACAGTTGATCGCCATTTAGGTGTTGTATATTCTGGTTTATTACCAGATGGTAGACATTTTGTTAATAGATGTAGAGAAGAATCACAAAGTTTTAAATCAATTTTTAAAATTCCAATACCTGTCCCTAATTTATTAGATAGAATTGGTTTATATGTTCAAAATTATACTTGTTATAATTCAGTTAGACCATTTGGTATAGTTGGTATAATTGGAGGTATTGATGATAATGGTTCTCATTTATATATGGTTGAACCGTCTGGAAGTTTTTGGGGTTATTCTGGTGCTGCAACTGGTAAAGGTAGACAAATTGCAAAATCAGAATTGGAAAAATTAAAATTTGATGATTTAAATATAAAAGATGCTATTAAACAAGCTGCCAGAATTATTTCATTAGCTCATGAAGATAATAAAGATAAAGATTATGAATTAGAGATTAGTTGGTGTTCAAAAGAATTTACAAATGGTAAACATGAATTTATTCCAATTGAATTGTTGGAAGAAGCTAAAAAATTTGCAGAAGAAGATGAAGGTGATGAAGATGAAGATGAAGAAGAAGGAGAAGGAGAAGGAGAAGGAGAAGGAGAAGATACTGAAATGAATTAGTTACATAGTTAATGCACACTAGATTAATCTGTTGATGATTTGCATTCTTATTAACTCATTTGCATACTATCAATGTATAAATCTCTTAATTTATTTGCATCCTAACCTAATTCTTGCATCCTTACTGGATCCTTACTGGATCCTTACTTGCATCCTTACTGGATCATCACCGTGTCCCAATTTGGTAATTTTTAATTTTTATTTGTCGCGTTTCAAAAACAAATGTTCCATAATTAAATGTCTAGAACAGTAAATGATGATCAATATGATACCCAGACTCAATTCTCAGATGAAACAAATAACACGGAAGAACCTTCAAATATAATATTCAAATCACCAAAAGAATTAGAAATGAATCAATTGAAACTGCTGTCTCCATTTATATCAAATCCATCATCACCGATATATTCAACTTCTGAATTAAATAAATCATTGAATGAAATTAATTTACAATCAAATACAGAAACATTGCATAATTCAATAAATTCTACAATTGAATTACCATCTTTCATAGATGCTCAAACTCCAAAACTTAAACAAATATCGCCATGGCGAAAATTTAGAAATACAACAAATATAACCACCAATAGTCATATTTTTAATTCTCCAAAGAGTTTATTTATTAATAAACCAGATCTACAATATAAATCCGAATCCAATAATAAAGAAATAATAAAATTACAAGTTGAAAATAAATGTTTAAAGAATTTTTTAAGGGAATTGGTAGATAAATGTAATTTATCTACTAATGAGTATAATGAGTATCTTAATTCAAGTCCAAATGAAAGACAAGTAGAGTTGAATAATTTACAAGTGGAATATGATGAAATATATAAATTAAATCAAGATTTATATTCTAATTTAGAATCATTTCATAATCAAATAAATGAAAAAGAAACAAAAATCAACCAATTAAACGAATTTATAAACAATATTGAATCTATAATCAACGATTTAATATCAGAAATGGCTAATAGTACAACTGGTCCATCTTCAAGTGCTTTAATGTCTAGCATCAATTCAAGTCTAGAAGTTAAATTAAATGTAATGAAATTGGAAATGTCAAGAGAATCAAATTTGCATTTACCTACTCCACCAAATACTCAAACTGACCTAGTTAAAGAATTGGAAAAACAACAAGCACAAAAAGAGGATATTCAAAAGGAATTGAATAGTCAAATTGAAGAATGTTTAAAAATAAAAAATAATTTCCAAATCATTTCAGATAAATTCAACAACTTAAAGTCATCAATAGATGAAGAATCAACTCAAAACAAACAACTCAAGCAAAAATTAGAGGAGAAAGATAATAAGATTCAAGAATTGGAGAAATTGGTGGATTCAGAACAGTTGTCTAATTTACAAGGTGCTTATAATGAATTAACGCAAGATTATAATACTCTAAAACTGAATTATAATGTCAAGACGTCTCAATTGCACGAAAAATCCATTGAGTTGAGGAATCAAGTTGAAGTTGTTGAAAAATTAAGAATTGAATTGGATAATTCATTGGATAAACAAAGAAAGTTTAATACTGAAAAGATTCAATTGAGTTATATAAATGAAAAATTACAAAAGGAGAATGATTTGTTACATGATAGATTATCTAGAATGACTGATACTACCTCTGAAAAAGAAAATGAATTATTAGATAGTAGATATTCTAGAATGTCAAGTGCTAATACCGATAAAGAGTTTTTAAATGATAGAGTTTCAAGACTGGGTACAGCTAATACAGATCCAGGTCAATTAGAATATATAAATGACCAATTAATCAAAGAAAATGAAATATTACATGATAGATTAACAACTACAAATGAGCAATTTATCAGAGAAAATGAAATACTCCACAACAGAATATCACAACTTAATTCAAATAACAACAACAATCTAATCAAACAAAATACACTTCATAATAAATCATCACAACTAACTACAACAACAGAAACAAATCTTAAAAAATTATCAATACTAGAATATCAATATATTGACCTATTATCCTTTGACATACTTGAATTTTCAAAATTAATCAATTCATATAATAAAATCGCCGATGATACATCATTAAGAGATCCACGCCTCAAATTTGAAAAATTAAATCGCAAACTCAATCAAGACATATTTGAAAATATAGCATATATAAGAGAAAAACATAAATCCATATTTGAATATTTCATAAGGGCAACGGACATACTCATCAACGACCATATTAAATTATTATTAAAAGAGAATACTAATGAGTTGACCCAGTTAAGGAATGAATTAACGAGGTTGAATAATGAGAATTATGAATTGAGAAGTAGGAACGAGGGGGGGATAAGTAAGTTGAGATTAGATGATTTGAGGAATAAATGGAAATTAGAGAGGGAGAAACGTATTATTGAAGATAGGGAAAATAAGAAAAGGTTTAAAGAGTTGGAGTTGGAGATTGATAGGTTGAGCAGATAGTAAGTATGCAAAATATATTGTAAGGGTGCTGCTATCGTAAAGATGCAAACTATAATGTAAGGATGCAGCTACTATTTTTACTGTAAAGTTGATAACTGTAGATTGAATTTTCAACTGCATCCTTACATGAAAAGATTTGAAGTCTAGAATTAGAAATAGAAAGATTAAGTAGATGACCGAATGTATAATTGTTGATGATGGAAAGTTGAAGATATGATTGAGATTATTTCGCAATGTATAATTGGTCTACTTTCTTGATGAAAATCTGAAAATAGGGTTGAGAATATCTCAAACTCCTACCATTTACATCCTGACCGTGTTCATACTTCCATGTATCCAAGTACCCTAGTCTGCTGTATATTTACTTCTATTTGCAGCCAATAGGCACTTGGTAGCACTTTACATTGTAGTGTCTTTTACAATTTTGAAACAAAGTGAAATTTTTTTTTTCAGATTTTTCAAAATAGAAAAATATTTTGATCCATCAGTTAACAGTTGTTAATTATGTTACCAGAAGAAGAAGAATATTTACAATTAGAAAAAGAAATCAAATTGGATGATATTGATTTTTCAGATTTAGAAGAAAAATATAATTTTGAAATTACATTAGATAATTATATTTTAGTTGATGGAGCACCAATTGCACCAGAATCAAAAGTGCCAATTTTAATCAAAGTTTTAAAAAAATTATTTTCATCAGTTGGTGAAATTGATGAAAATGGTGAAATTAAGGATGGTATCTATATGCCATTAGAAAATGGAAAATCAAAAGGTTATTTATTTATTCAATATAAATCAAATGAATCAGCAGAATTAGCTGTGAAAAAATTGAATGGTAAAAAATTAGATCAAAATCATAGATTATTAGTTAATAAATTATCTGATATTGAAAACTTACCAGAAGATAAAGAATTTAATGAACCTGAAATCGAACCTTTTAAATCTGTTGGATATCTTAATGATTGGTTAGTAGATTCACAAGGTAGAGATCAAATTGTGTTACATTTTAATGAAAATGTAGGAGTATATTGGAATAAAAAATCAAATGAACCAGAACCTGTAATTGAACCAAGAAAAGGTTTTACTTCAAAATATTCAAAATTTTCCCCCAAAGGTACTTATTTATTCTCAATTCATCCTCAAGGTGTTCAATCATGGGGTGGTAAGGATTTCAAATCAATTAAAAGATTTTTCCATAATCAAGTCAGATTAATTGATTTTTCACCAAATGAAAATTATATGGTTACCTTATCACCAATTCCAATTACATTACCTGATTCAATTCATGAAAGACAACAATTTCCATTTGGAAAAGAATCTGAAGGTCATAAATTAGTTATATGGGATATGAATAATGGTGAACCAGTTAGAACATTTGCATTACCACCACATTTAGAACATCAAAAAGAAATGCCATGGCCATTGGTAAAATGGTCATTTGATGATAAATATTGTGCAAGACAAGGACCAGATGCTTTAGCAATTTATGAAACTCCATCTTTCAACTTACTTGATAAGAAACTTGTCAAAATTGATGGAATTCAAGATTTTGAATGGGCTCCAAGTTCAGTACCATTACAAAATTCAAAACAAATTGAACATGTTTTATCTTATTGGACTCCAGAAAGTAGTAATCAAACTGCTAGAGTTGCATTAATGTCAGTTCCATCAAAAGAAATTTTAAGAACTGTTAATTTATTTCAAGTTTCAGATTGTAAAATGCATTGGCAAGATCAATCTAAATTATTGTGTGTTAAAGTAGATAGACATACAAAATCTGGTAAAACTATATTTTCCAATCTTGAATTTTTTAAAACTACTGAAAAGGATATACCAGTTGAAAAAATTGAATTAAAAGATGTAGTTGTAAATTTTGCATTTGAACCAAATAGTGATAAATTTATAACAATTTCAAGATTAGATGATGGGAATCCAAATCCAGCTATCCCTAAAAATACAATCACATTTTGGGCAAAAGAAACTAAAGGAAATAAAACAAATGGGAAGTATAAAGCTTATAAGGAGATCGAAAATAAACATTCAAATACTATTGTTTGGTCTCCAAAGGGTAAATATGTAATTATAGCTACAGTTTCTAGATCTTCAGGTGAATTGGAATTTTTTGATTTCTTATTTGATGATGAAATATTAAGTAAAAATAAGAATCTCCCAGCTAATGTTAAATTATTAAGGACTGAAAAGTTTTCAGGAATGACAAATTTATCATGGGATCCAAGTGGTAGATTTTTAGCATGTTGGTCTTCTTCATGGTTACATTTAATTGAGAATGGTTATAAAATTTACGAATTTACTGGTAATTTATTAAGAGATGATTCAATTGATCAATTTAAAGAATTTATATGGAGACCAAGACCAGAATCATTATTGAGTAACTCTGATAAGAAGAAAGTTAGATCAAATCTCAAGGAATATTCTGCTCAATTTGAAGAAATTGATGTTATGGAAGCTGATGCTGCTGTTAAAGAAGCAATACTTGCAAGAAGAAAACAATTGGAAGATTGGAGAAAATATAGATCTAAATTTCATGAAATCAATAAGGCTAAAAATGATGAAGCGATTGAAGAAACAATTGAAGAAATAAAAGAAGAAATTATTGAAGAAAAAGAAGAAATAGTAGAATAAATAAAATAATGTTAATATATATTAAATAGCTTTTTGAATCTAGCTCTATTTACTTACCAACTTACATCCTGACTGACTACATCCTGACTGACTACATCCTGACTGATTGCATCCTGACTGATTGCATCCTGACTGATTGCATCCTGACTGATCGCATCCTTACCTATGTCCCCTTTGTCTTCAATTGCAAACCATGCCATTTTGAAATTTCGTCTTTTAAAATATCATTTACAATTCTATGTTGCTTTATTGTAGTTAATCCATTAAATTTATCACTTTGTATGAAAATACTAAACATTGATCCACAACCACCACTTACATCTTGAATTTTAAGATCTGTAGGTTTTAAGCGTTGATCTAATATTTGAAATATCTTTGACTCATATTCATTTAATTGTTGTGAGTAATAACGTATTGGTTTTATTTTACTTATTTTACTTATTGATTGTTTTGTGAATAGTCTATTAAACATTATTGGTGCTTATTACTAATTGATAGATTTTTATTGAATATCTTCGTATAATTTTTTTTTCACATTTTTCAGTGTTTCAGATTTTGTGTTTCAGAATTTGATCAGACAGAAATGAAATTATAGAAGCTATAGTAGATATATCGTAGACTAGGATCTAAAGAAGAGCTACTGAGGGATTACTGATGTAGTTCTTTGAAAAGCCGGAGCTGATAACGTAAAAAATGAGCCCACAGTCAAAATTTAAGCGTTGTAATCGCAGATAAAGCTGATCTATCAACTAGATATCTCTCCAACATCTACATCTTCACCTAGGGTGCATATATCTGTTGTTTCTGTTCATTCTCTTACTAGTATAATCTGTTGATAGTAGTGAAATTTTGACAATTGGTCCGGAAAAACCAAATTTGTTGAAAAAACTAAAAGTAAACTATTATCAACAAATAACCGATTCGTTTTATTATTGCACGGAATTCTTTCATTAGTCATAGTTATAGGTATACAACATGAGTGGTAAATTTGTTAGAGCTTCTAAATATCGTCATGTGTTTGGTCATTCAACAAAGAAAGAATTATGTTATGAAAATTTAAAAATCACCAAGAATGCGTGGGATTCAAATATAATCCAAACAAATGGTAAATATATTTCAGTTAATTGGGATTCTTCTGGCGGTGGTGCTTTTGCTATTATTTCAATTGATGAGGTCGGTAAAGCTCCTGATCAAGTTTCATTATTTAGAGGTCATAAAGGTCCTGTATTAGATACATCATTCAATCCATTTAATAAACAACAAATTGCGAGTTGCTCAGATGATGGTAAGATCCTAATTTGGGAAATCCCAGAGAACTATTCTTTCCACAATTATGTTGATGAAAATGACGAAATTATAGATATTACTCAACCTATTAAAATTTTATCTGGTCATACTCGTAAAGTTGGGCTTATTGAATTCCATCCATGTGCTGAAAATGTATTGGCAAGTTCATCGTTAGATTATACTGTTAAAATTTGGAATTTATCGACTGGAAAAGATGAAATCACTTTACAACATAAAGATTTAGTTACTTCATTTGCTTTTAATTATAATGGTTCTTTATTAGCTACTTGTTCAAGAGACAAAAAATTAAGAATTTGGGATATTAGATCTGGCAAAATCATATCTGAAGGTCAAGGTCATACTGGTGCCAAACAAAGTAGAATAACTTGGTTAGGAAATACAAATAGAATTATAACTACCGGATTTTCAAGATTATCAGATAGACAAATTGGAATTTGGGATATTGAAAATATTGAAAAGGGTCCAATTGATGGATTTTTAGTAGTTGATGCTTCTTCAGGTGTTTTAGTCCCTTATTTTGATGTTGAAACTTCAATTTTATATATTGCCGGGAAGGGAGATGGGAATATTAGATATTATGAATATGAAAATGATAATTTATATGAATTATCACAATATTCTTCAACTGATCCACAAAGAGGTTTCGCAGTTGCACCAAAATATAGTGTAAATGTTAAAGAAAATGAAATTACAAAATGTTTTAAAACTGTATTGGATAATTCAATTGAACCAATTTCATTTATAGTTCCAAGAAGAAGTGAATTATTTCAATCGGATATATATCCTGATTGTCCAAGTACAAAAGCTGCATTAAGTGCTGATGAATGGTTTGGAGGTAAAGATGTTAATGGACCATTGTTAATTTCAATGGAGGCATTATTTGAAGGTAAAGAATCTGAAATTAAAGAAAGTAAGCCTGCAGTAAATGTATCTGAAGTTAAGAAACAAGTTGAAGAGAAAAAGAAAGAAGAACAAAAGGAAAAAGAGGAAATAAAGAAAACAGAAACAAAAAAAGAACAATCTAAAAAGGAGGAAACTAAGAAGGAGGAGTCAAAAAATCCTGGTGTTCCAGGTAAGAATGTTGATGATTTATTAACTTCTTCAAATGAAGTTGGTGAGTTTTTAAATAAAGCTAATGAACAAACTGATGAAGAAGATAATAATGAAGAAGAAGAAGATGATAAAAGTGATGAATGGGAAGAAGTTAAAAAATCAGAAGTAAAAGAAATGAAACCAGAAGAAGCTAAACCAGAACCAAAGAAAGAAAAACCAAACGAAGAACCTAAAGAACAAAAGAAAGAAGAAGTTAATAATGAAGAACCAAAAGAAGCATCTAAAGAACAAAAGAAAGAAGAAGTTGAAAAAGAAGAACCAAAAGAAGAATCTAAAGAACAAAAGAAAGAAGAAGTTAAAAAAGAAGAACCAAAAGAAGAGCCTAAAGAACAAAAGAAAGAAGAAGTCATAAAAGAAGAACCAAAAGAAGAACCTAAGGAACAAAAGAAAGAAGTTAAAAAAGAAGAACCAAAATCAACAACAACTACTACTTCAGAACCATCAAAACCAAAACCAACATTAGTCTCAACAGTAGAAAAACTAGCATCATTAGTAGATAACTTAGAATCACAAATTCAAAAACTTACCAACGCAGGATTAGAAAAAGATGAAAAATTAAGCAAATTAGAATCAAAACTCGAAGAACTCCTCAATAAATAATTGTATATTAATGTTTTTTTATATCATAAAATTTACTAAATATAAAAGCCATAAAATTGTTAGAATCAAAAGTCGCTAACCCATCAAATAATTCAAATTTAACCCTATTCTCATATTGTAAATTCAATAAATCATCCAAACTAATAACATTAGAAGCACCAGGAATGTTTATTGAATTATTAGCAACTTCAATTGTAAATTTTCCAATTTGATGACATGAGAACATGAATTCAAGTTTCGAAGAACTGAAAGCACCTTTAAAGTTGTAGTCAATTAATATTTTCATATCGGTTAGTTTCTTACTGGAATATTTGTAGGATCCAAATTTTGGTAATCGATTACGTTTTCTTAATTCTCTATGATAAAAATATTGTTTTGAAAACACAGGGATGATATTAAAGAAGACTCTTTTGTCTTTTGGCTTCTTTGTCAACTCTGTCAAAATCATATCTATATGTGAATTATAATCAGCTAATTGTTTTTTGAGAAACTTTTCCTTTTCTGTGAGTTTTTTGATTACTTGTTCATAGTTTTTCAATTCTTGTATCCTGTTTGATCTTTGAATATCTTTTGTCTTTATATCAACTGATGTTTGATTAAGTAATGTCTGGAACGAATTCTTACGAGTCAATTCACCCATTGATTCCAATTTCAATAAATTTTCAAGACAGATTTTCTTTAATTCATGATAGGATAATTTTGTTAAATCTCCTATTGATTGTTTATAATATGGATTCTTCTTATCTTCTTCTTCTCTCTCTTGAGCGACTATCCTTTTGAATTTTTCTTCATGTTCAGGCTTGATTCCAGATATGAGTAATTCTAATAAATCATCACCATCTTCCTGAACTCTAATTATATACAATAAACTCCTCTTCGCTATAGTAAACAATGATTTATTCTTCGCATCGTTTAAATTATCTTCATGTGTTTGTGGATTAAGAATCAATACCAATTGAGATAAATCAGTCAAACTAATGAAATCAGATGGTGATGAGTTTAAGCTTTCTAAATCAGTTACGTATTTCAATATTGGATCATGCTGATATGGTGCTATAATATCAGCATTGGAAACGGTTATCTTTTCTAAGTTTATCATATTGTTTATCTTCATTAATAATTTGGGTTTTTCATGATTTAATATGTCGTTATATTCAGATAACTCATATACTGAATCTACATCACTGATATTAATAAGATCAATAATGAATAATTTGATAGTCTCAGTCAGATTCGTAATATAATCATTCAATGGTTTGAGGAAATTATCATTAAATAACTTCATTGAAAAAATCTGCAACATTACTCTGGATAAATGTTTGAGGTTGTCTTCACATTTTGGATATTCTTTCTTATATCCATAATTCTCCGGATGATTAAAAATCAAATTAATATAATGTTTAATGAAAATAACTCCAGAAACAGCTAAATGTTGTAGTTTAGATTTATCAGGAAAATATCGACATGATAAGTCATAAGCTGATTTACATAAAATTCTAACATGGATTGGAATATGACATTTTTGAAGAATATAAATCAAATCATTAGCTTTTTCTCTTAATGAAATTAAATTATTAATAAATTTATTAGATACTTGTGGAATTTGAATAGCTTCCTGTGGTGATAAATTTGAATTACCAGTTGACGATCCATGTATTTTAATCTCTCTGCTAATCACATCGGCATTAATTATAGTTGGATCACTTTCAAAATCTAAATTTTCATCATCAATGACACTAGACACAAATTTGCCAACTATTTTCTTCAAGTGTTGTCTTTGAAATGTCAAATTATTGAAATGATATAAATAATCTATCCAATATGTCTTTTGAACTTTTGTTAAATCACCTAATAAAATTGATTGTCTTGCATCGAGATCCATTAAATCTAATACAAATTTAATATAAAAAAATTCTTCTCTTGAATGGTTATTGATTGATCCATTTTCAATTGGGAATAGTGTCGTAATTGATGAGAATAAATCACGATTAAATTTTGATTCCTTATCTGAATAACTCAATGACAGATACAACCTTTTAAAATATATGCTATTGGTTTGTAATATGTAGAATAACGATTGATAGATTTCAATTCTTGCTCTTGCTGATTTATTCAATCGTTCTAATGTTTTAACATTACCTATTGAATTTGAATTCAACTTTATCTTTTTTGGTTTTACAAATTCTTCAATTGTGATTTTATTCTTATCCAACAAACCTAGTTTTATATCCAATTGTTCAATTTGACATTCTAAATCTTCATTAATTTTGGATTTTTCAATGATTTTGTCTTTCAATTTAGTTAATTCCATCTCCTTGTTAAAATCTGATTCTGAATTAGATAACAAATATGCAAATTTTCTAATTACGCTTAATGTTGGATTTGTAGTTGTTGTTAATTGTTTATATGCATTTTGGATAAGAGTTCGTTTAATTATTGATTGTGCTTTGATTACTAAATCCACATTTTTCAAATAATATTGTTTATAATCATGTTGTCTTAATCTAATTATATGACCTCTTGTAATACTTTGTAATTTTATAATTGAATCAATTTGATCATATAAATCATCTAATGTAATTTCTTTATGAAATCGTGTTAAAACACCACGAAATAATGTCTGAACGGGTAAAATTGAACTTGATTCAAGACTTTTTAATGAATCCTTCTTTTGGTTTGTTTCTTTTCGAAGTTTGTTTCCTCTCACTTTTGCAAATAATTCATTTAATAAGTCGTCCTCGTAGATTAGGTTAATTAATACATTATTACACAATCTCGTTCTTGATATTCCACCTCTTGCAATAGCTTGTAATTCAATGAATTTACGCTTTTGTGATCTTGTTCTCAAATGTTTATTATTTAATTCCTGAATTACAAAATTTCGACGTATGATTGATTGAATTTGAATAATTGGTTTTTCTTCAATTTGTGCAGATATCGAAAATTTCAAATATAATTTTGATCTAGATATGGATTGTAATTGAATAATAGAAGGTAAGATTTTATGTTTATGTGAAATCAATTTGTTAATTTTCTTATAGACCAATTTCATTCTTGACATTGATTGAAAGTCAACAATAGTAGAAATAGAATTACTTAATCCCTTCTTGATAGATTCATTTCTATCCCTGAATATCTTTCCTCTTAATATGCTTTGAAATTTGACAATTTTATTCTCTTCGAATTCTTCTTTTGGTAATTTATCAATTGCCAATTTCTTTCTAATTAATGATTGTAATTCAACAATTTCATAGTCATAGAACCTAAGTTCATTTCCATGTTTATGAACCGTCTTTGATTTTGATAAATTACTTCTAATTACTGAAAATAACACATTAAATTCTTCAACATATGATTTAATTAATATTTTTTTAACAAACATTGAATATCGACAATTTACACCACGAGCTAGTGATTGTACTTTGATTATGTTAATTACATGATAATCCAATTCTGGTGTATAATAATCTGAATTTTGATAATTTGCATCAGTTTCAATATTTGGAGATTTAATTTTAAAACTTGTATCAATTGGTGATTTAATTTCAAATTTAACTGATTTCTTCTCCAGTTGTTTTTCTTCGAAATGATTATCCATTGATGTTTGTTTGTTTATTGGTGAAAATTTAATTGGTGATGATTCTGTTACTTTATTCATATAATTTGTATCTAAATCATTCTCTTCATTTGAATCGGCACTTGAAAAATTAGGTAATGGAGCCCCAATTAATGCACGATCAGCAGTTCTAATATCATCGTCTTCAAAATTTAATTTATCTACTAAATTTAACATTTTTGGATATTTTTGGGGATCTTGCTTGTTTAAAATATAACTTAAAGCATGTAAACAAAACCATACTTTTGGAACATTTTTAGCATCGTATAAATCAGTCAATTCAAATCTAAATAAATCAGGCATGTTTAAATAATCCAATAATTGAAAAAATCGATTTATGTTTTCTGTATGTTTGAATTGTAAATTTGAATCATTTAGGAATACATTACGTTTATTTGGTAATATAACATTTGATAATTTTGCAAGATGAATTCCATTTCTTATATACTTGATTAATTCAGATGATGATTGTATTATTTCTTCATTTAAAACTTGTTGTAACCAATTTTTAATCGATTCAATTCTACATAAATATTCATACCCTGGTGAATGCTTTGATGTTGACTTTGAAGGTGATGAGAAAAATGGTTTTGAATTAGATGATGGAGAATCTAATATTGGTTTTTTTATTTGTTTTAATGGTGTTTTAGTAGGTGATTTATTTAATACATCTTTATAATTTCGATTAGCCCAACTTGGATGATTTTCAGAAGATTTAAAAGATGAGATTGTAGCTGATGGTGATTCAAATTTTGTTCTAAATAAATTTGAAACATTCTTATTGACTACTAATGGAGATGATTGTGATTGTTTAGTTGGTGATATATTTAATTGTCTTGCTAATTCATCTAAATCTTTATTATCTTTATGATTTGGTTTAATTGGTGATATATTATTATTATTATTTAATGAAAATCCAGTATTATCTTTTTCTAATGAGTTTAAGTACTGTGATGTGATATCACTAATTGGCATTATGATAAACCAATAATGATAATACTATTAAATGAATGAAGATATTTTGATCTGAATGTTTTTTGATTTCAAATTTGATTCTCTTTATTATTATTATATTTCCTAATTGGGCGAAATTTAAAACAACGAAAGCATTTGGTAGCACATTGATTTTGTTTTTTTGTTTTTGTTTTTGTTTTTGTGTCAGATCTATAAATTTTGCAGCCAATCTCAGATCTCACGATTACAACTTTGACTTACATTTGATTGATACTACACCACTTTGGCATGTTAATAGTATATATAACCTAAATAAATAAAAAATAAAATCAAGTTTATTGATAATAGTAAGTACTTATAGAAGTAAATAGCGTGTATTATACTTAAACTATAAGTTTGCAATCGTTTCAGATGAATTATTTAGGTAGTAAAATCTGAATTGTGGTACGGTGAAATTGTTCTCAAACTCTTAACACCAAACTTTGATATTCCGATCTTCTTTAAGTCTTTTATCTGTATAAAGAGATGTACCATCATATAGATGAAACTAATTCACACTTTTATTTACTGTTCTTATTTCCATAATTTACTCTTCTTATTACCATAATTTTCTCTTTAATTGTATCTATTGAATCTGATAAACATTTAAATTCAACAGCAAATAAGGTGTTACAAAATGCAAAGTCGATATTCTCGAGTCCTAAACTTTCCTTCAATTGGAACTTCTCAATTGACCTTGGTAAAATAATCAGATCTTGAATAACATAATGTTTGATGGAAAGTTTTTCCAAAGTTCCTCAAATTAAAGACAGCATTTAATTAGCCATATTTCAACAGAAGAAATTTATTCTATTGCGTATTGATTAAGTCTTTGTATATTTTAATAAATCCTCTATATTTAATTATTTTATATTTGATTATTTATATTAAATTGGCTATTTAAAAGTTGTAAAAATTATCCAATAGTCGGGGTTCAATCATTATCAATTAAGTAATTCAGCCTTTAACATATCAACATATTCCTTCATAATATCTTCAACTTCATCATGAGACCCCAAAACAATAGATAATCCAGAATTAGAAGTCATGATATTAAATTGTAAATGTGACAGAAATCCATTATCTTGACTAAACCACCCATTCATAACATTCAATTTACCAACATTAGATACTTCCATAGTCGATCTATCAAAACTGCCTATCTTATCCTTTAATAAATTTCCAATATTCATTAATCTCAATAATCCAACAACATAAAACGGATTTCGAGTGTTTAAATCAGTAGCTAATTTCGTAGATATATATTCTCCAACTTTATCATCGTTTATCTCTGGATTTACAATAATATTTGAAGCAGCAGTACAGATTTGAAACATATCTAAACCGTTATCATATCTTCTTCCATTCATGGGAATAGCTAAACTTACTGATTTATCATTGTGGAATTGTCTGAAGACTTTAACGGCACACGATAAGAAATATGAAGTAAATTTTAAAGATTTTGATCTTGTTAATATGTGTTGTAACTCGTGATTTGTAAATTGTAATATTCTATAATTGACTTTTTGTCCAATTGATATAGGAATCGTTTTGAAACATTCTTCTTTGGGGAGTAAATAATGTTTACCAATCTCATAAATTTTAAAAAATAATGAAGGTTTATATAAATTTGATACGTCATCAATTGGAACAGGAACTGATGTTATATTCCCATTGGTTAAAATTGATTCAAATTGACAATCTTGATTTTTCAAATTTGCAATTAATTCATTATGGAAGCCGACTCCACTGTTACCATCTAAATAAGTATGATTACATACTATAGTTACATAATTTCCATTTACCAATATTTTCCACAATGGTTTCTTCTCATCTAGATTAAAATAAATCGAATTTAAATATTGAAAATATTCAGGTGTGATTTCATAGTTTGTATAGCTAACAACATCGTCAAATTTCACTTCAAATGGTCTTAATACGTAATTTCTACAATCATCTTCAATCTCATCTGTTTTAAAGAAATTGCAACTTAATATTGGATGAGCTTGTATGAGTGATTTTAAAGCTTGTGATAATTGTTCCTTTGTAAATTGTGGATATTCTATTGTTATATTAAAATTTGAATAATATTTATTCACTGTTCTGTGTAATTGATATCTTTCAAAGAACGATGGTTTTCTTAAATCCATTTCATTTAGCTTTTGTTGAATCTCGTAAAATTTCCTTCGCTTATCTTGAAAATTACGATGCGGAGTTCACGTGATGCGGAGTTCACGTGATTAGTTTTGAAAATTACCAATATATAGAGATCTAGAGCTTCAATCATTATCAGTTAGTTCATTCATTAATCATTACCTCAAGTGTTAGTTCATTCATTAATCATTAAGTAAGTATAAAGTATAATCTAGTTATGCTGCATCCTTACCTCTTATTTAAATATTCTAATATCTCCAAATGTTCTTCACATTTCACCATATCAGCTTTCAAACTAGTTAAATTCTTATTTGTCTGCATAATCGTGTCTTTATACTTATTAAACCTTTCGCTTTCATCTTTAAACTCATTCAGATATACTTCAACATCATCAATCTCACTGAATTCATCATCATCATCATCATTATCATCATTATCATCATCTTCTTGATCTATTTCTTTTAATTCGTCATTTATCTTCTTCATTATATCATCATTCATATGTTTATATTTAACTCTAGCTTCGTTCGGTAAATTTTTTCGTAAAGTAGTTAATTCTTTAATTTCGTTTTCATAAGTTTGTAATAATTCACGTAATTCTTTATTTTTGACCAAATTAAATTCTTCAACTCGTTCATATAATTTGAATAACTCAGATATTAATATTTCATCAATATCTTTCCCTTGTATACTAATACACTTTTTTAATTCTTCAAACAAATCAAATATATACTTTTGTAAATTTTGATATACTTTAAATTTGAAAATATCTACTTCTTTCGAAGAAGTTGAAGGTAAATGAATATTCAATTTGTTAATAAAACTTTTGAATAATTCATCAAATATAGTTATAAATTGTTGTTCTGTTAATTCTATTTTGTTAGTATCCATATTGTTTATAGTATTCGTGTATTTTTATTTGAAATTTGTTTTCTCGATTGGAAAGAAAATTCATTATCAACAAACAACTACTAGTAGTAAAAACGGAGTTACCATAATGTCTGATCAAGTACTTGGAGATGAATATTATCCTGCTTTCGCCCCATTTCTTGGATTTGGTGGATGTGCTTCTGCTATGATATTATCGTGTGCTGGTGCAGCTATTGGTACTGCTAAATCTGGTATTGGGATTGCTGGTATTGGTACTTTTAAACCTGAATTAATTATGAAATCTTTAATACCGGTAGTTATGAGTGGTATATTATCTGTTTATGGTTTAGTTGTAAGTGTATTGATTGCTGGTGGATTATCTCCTACAGAATCTTATAGTTTATTTAATGGGTTTATGCATTTAGCTTGTGGTTTATCTGTTGGTTTTTCTTGTTTAGCTTCTGGTTATGCAATTGGTATAGTTGGAGATGAAGGTGTTAGACAATTTATGCATCAACCAAGATTATTTGTTGGAATTGTATTAATATTAATTTTTGCTGAAGTTTTGGGGTTGTATGGTATGATTATTGCTTTAATATTGAATACAAAGGGAAGTTAAAGTTAGAAAGGTAAGGAGAGGAGGAGGAGGAGGAGAATGTAAGTATACAGCAAAGTAATGATGGTAAATAAAAACAAAAGATAGAGATATAAATGTTGTTACTGTTGTGTATTATACATTAATTTTAATCGGTTTCCATTTTATCTTCATCTAAACCTATTTTAACATTACCTTCATCATCAATATATTGTGATTTATGTTCTTCAACATGTTGTACAGATCTATCAGAATCTAAAAATAACATATAAGCTCTTTTAATATCTTGTAATTCAATTTGAGATTGTCTCTTTTTTAATGAAATTTGTTGAGATACAGAAATTAAATTTGAAGCGTATCTTAAACTTGTTTCTTGTCCAATTTTTGTTAATAAAGCTAAGGCATCCAGTGATAATTCGCATTCTTCTTCACTTGATCTTATTGATAAAATTGTTCTAATTTCATCACTTGAATAATTTGTTGTATGTATAATTATTGAACGATCTAATAAATCTAATGGTAATCCATGTGGTGATTTATAATTTGTTCCTCTTGTTTTTGAAATTCCTCTATTTGTTGCCATTATTACAATTGGCGAGAATTCATCTTCTAAAGCTCTATTTATAAATGAAAAACATTCAATATCTAACATATGAACTTCATCAATAAATAAAACACCAGGAATAATTTCTGCTTTACCTTCTTCTTTCCATTCTGCAACTTTTGTATTAATTTGATCTCTAATTTCACTTCTGATTTCTCCTGTATCTCCACTAAATAATGCAAGAAATCCTTGTTGTCTTGAATTGATAACATCAATTTCATGTAAACTTACAGTATGAACAACTTCTTTTCTTTTTTGTAATTCACCTTCTGGACATTGAATAAATTTAGTTTCTGGTCCCATTGCATCATAATCTCTTGCTCTTGTAAATGATTTACCAAGTTTAGTTATCTTTCCACTTGCTTTATCAATATTTATAACATCTCCAGCTAAAACTTTTTCTTTAGTTAATCCTTCAATCATTTTATTTCCTAATTCATATATTGTTTCCATATCTGTTGTTTTTATAGTTAATTTACCTTGTTTATGACCACCAGTAATTGATCTATCAATTTGAATTTCAACAACTTCACCTTCAATAATTTCAGTTTCTTCTTTAATTCTAATACCTATGGATTTTCTAAATGCTTGAATTAAAGCTTCAGTTTTACTTAATTCTAATGAATAAATTTCACTTGCTGCTATTGCAGTGAAAGGTACTTCATTACCTAAACTTTGTGATAATCCCATTGCAATTGCAGTCTTACCAGTTGATGGTGGACCTGCTATTAATACTGCTCTACCTGCTATTTTACCCATTGTTATCATTTTTAATATTACTCCAGCTGCTTTTCTTGCTTTTAATTGACCAACCATACCTTGGGAATTTTCTTTCGGTTGTAAATTATCATCTAAACCTAAACCAGAAATATGAGAATGGGCAGCAATTAATGACAATCCAGTAACATCTTTGGTTTCAGTTTTCGTTTGAATTGTAGTCATGTTAACTAATATATTATGTATGATTTGGTTAATTTGTTGATGTGATGAATTTAATTACACAGTAATTTTTTTTTTTCAAAATTGATTTTTTTTCACTTCAGTTGTTTGATGAAAATTGTACAATAAATTCGATAAAACATGAGATAAATGACAAACTTCTCAGAAGACCAGGCTAAATCGGACCTGTTTTGTTAGAATACTAGGTTTTTATGAGCGTATACGTTTTGAAAGAGGTAAAATTGGTCGATTTTTCGTCAAATATCATTTTGTAAAAGCTATTCGAATGAAAAATGACTATCAAACTTTTCGAAATCTCATGTATCGTTGTAGAAATATCCTGATACCTTGACGTACTTGTAAAGTTTCTGTTTATATCTGTTTATAGTTAATGAAAAGCTTGTGTTGATTCTAATATGGATAAACATAAATTGAATCTATATTATAATTCTATTTAGTGATTTTAATTGACTAAGATTAGGAGTATTTTATTGATAATAAGATTGACTGTGTCTACAAGTAAATAGCGATCATTTTCAAAATTCTATGACTTGTAGTGACTTGTATAGGTATTAATCTATGTGAAAAATTTGATCAGCAAAACAATATTCAAATCTAATAAACAATATTCAAATCTAATAGATCAATGAATTTACATTTATATCCCATAAAACAGTAGCTAATACTCAAATATAATTAATAATAACTTTGAGAGTTAGTATCGATCACCTTGCAAATCAAAAGCCATAATATAATCTCAAATTTTGTTTCTAAAAATAGCTTGTAATTTGATAATACAATATTAATCCAAAAATAGGCATTCTTGTATGATCGTAACCTATAGAACAATAACAAGCCTCCTTCTTTCAATATATTCTCTATATAACCATTGTGTTGGAATAATCTTAATGTGGAACAAATTTAATAAATTCTAAAAATAACCATGGTATAGCCTCAAATCTATAAATACACCAACTTTAAAAACCAATAGAGCCCTTAATAATCCATAATCCAGTTCCAATTATAGACAAACCACTAGTTTAAGTCACAAGTACTAACAAATTAACAATTTTTCAATTACATATTATCACCTAATTCATGAATTTGATTAAATTTATTTAATAAATCATTTATAAAATAATTTGAAGGTTGTGATTTAATTGATTGAATTGAATTACTTATAGATATGACTGAAATAGTAATTAATAACCAAATAAGAAAGATAATAATATAAACTTGAAATGAAGATAATGAAGATTTGACCATAATGACTTTTATAGCCTCTAAAACACTGAAAAATCAGTTATATTTATATAAACTCTACAGTAGATTTGCAGATCAATTAATCTATTTATAAGTTGTTCTATTTTAACTTTTCGCCTTTCGACAGTTGTAATTTATGTTTCAAAAGTTTGAATGACAGATAATCTAAAGGAACAACAATTATAATTTGCCCCTCATCATCTGAAAACCACTAAATCAATGATACAGAATCAATTCTTATAAAGTTTAATCTGTTGTTATTGTTGCAATTATTTAATTTGTAATAATAAGAATTACATTGGTTGTTCTGTTCAATGTTACTAAGAAAAAAGTTAAAAGAGAATTTAATATACTAACAATTAACAACCAAATGTATTAACAACCAAATGTATTAACAACCACATGTATTAACAATGTATACACTGTCTAATAGCCAACCAGCAGCAGATAATTCAGCAGCATCTCAGCATCTCAGCATCTCAGCGTGTCTCATTCTCTTTCACTTTTTATTCTTTTTTGGACATGTCGCTTGATGAGCATCAACTTCTTCATCTAAATAAAATTCACCACAATAATCACAAGGAACAACCCATGGAATTTTAGTCATTTAAAATAAAGCTATCTAATTTAAAGATTAAGATGGAACTTTGTCCCCTTTATATATAGATTTTTTTTAGATTTAGTTATTCAGTTTTGTATTTCCTGGTTTTCATTAATTTCTCTAAATCTGGTTGCCATGTCTACATATACGAAAAATTGTAATATAATAGAATGTAGACAAGAATGTATACAAGAATGTTTATTCTCGAGAATGTTAAACCTAAGAATATCGACATTACAACCACGATAATACCCCCGATGATATCATTAAGTTACATATTAACAAATAATAAATCAGAAATTTATTAAGTGTCCCCCCATTGTTTTAAAGTTTGTGTTTTATATTTTATGATTTGAGGATATGGGCAAAGCACGATTTTGTGTAAAAATGGAATATTAATTCTTTGTATTGTGGTTGTTTTTGTTTTTGTTTTATTGTTGAATGTTCAATTAGTCGAAATCTAGATCTCGTAAACAACTAATTACATTATTAAATTTCCGTACAATTACTAAAAATAGATTTTAGATAACGCGTCAGTCCAACAATACTTAATTGATTGGATATACTAACAAATTTGTTATAATAAAAGCCCCGATTGATGACTCGGTAGTCAACTGCTTGTTTTTTTCATTGTTTTTTTTTGTTGATGATTGTTGCAAATTAGTTTTGTACCCACACTTGGTAGCACCTGAAGATAGTAATGTGATCAATGTGATGTCATAAATATTATCAATTGCGTGTCTAATTATAAATCACGTGCTCAATTATAAATCACGTGCCCAATTATATATCACGTGATCTCTTATGTAATAGTATGTAGTTATATTTGGATTACAATACTCCGAGTCTACTATGCGATAAATGCTACCAAGTGTGACATCATAGTTAATCAGAAATATTAAATCTTGCGCAACAGAATAGAATATTCATTAAATTGTTGCATCAGGTGGTTACTTTTGTATCATACAATTATAATCAACAGATTTAACTAAAAGGTTATATATAAGGTTATACATATCATATTTATACATTTTACTATTTCATTTGATTTAGCATCCATAATTAGTTGGTGATGATTTCAATTGTTAATGGTACTTCAACACTTTATTTCATTGCTTATAATAAAGATTTATTAAATGAAGCAATTAATTTTTATACAAATATTCTTGGTTTAACATTACATTCAACATTAGATAAAGAGAATATAACTTATTTAACTAATGATGATAATCAATTAGTTGTTAAATTAGAACTAAATTCAAAAAATTCATTAAATAAAGATCAAATAAAGGAAAAAAAATCATATATAAAATCCAAATTGAATATAATAGATTGGAGATCTCTTGATTCTTCAGCTGTTATAAAGGTTGATAATTTAGTCAATTTAATTGATAATTTATCAAGTTTTAATTATTCTTTACAAATTACTCCGAATGAATTATATCCAAATGAAGTTTACACAATTGATCCATTAGGTAATATTATTGGCTTTACTGCTTGCAAAGAACCATTAACTTTAATACCTCCCTTACAAAAATCATATAATAAAAATCAAGGTTTAGCTACAACTACTGTAATGTCACAATCAACAAGTGAAATAAGTAATAATGCTGATTTAAAAGGTAAACATCGTAGAAATATTGGTGTTATGACTTCGGGTGGTGATGCTCCTGGTATGAATGCTGCTGTTAGAGCTGTTGTTAGAGCTGCTATTTTTAGAGGTTGTAAAGCTTATGCTATAAAAGAAGGTTATGAAGGTTTAGTTAAAGGTGGTTCAAATTTTATTAAACAAATGAAATGGCAAGATGTAAGAGGGTTTTTAAGTGAAGGTGGTACAAATATTGGTACTGCAAGATGTATGGAATTTAAACAAAGAGAAGGTAGATTAAAAGCTTGTAAAAATTTAATTGATGCTGGTATTGATGGGTTAATTGTTTGTGGTGGTGATGGCTCTTTAACTGGTGCTGATCTATTTAGATCTGAATGGCCATCTTTAATTAAAGAATTAAAAGATTCAAAACAAATTAATGAAGAAACTTATGAGAAATTTAAAAATTTATATATTTGTGGTATGGTTGGTTCAATAGATAATGATATGGCTACTACAGATTCAACAATTGGTTGTTATTCAGCATTAGATAGAATTTGTAGAGCAATTGATTATATTGATGCAACTGCAAATTCACATTCAAGAGCTTTTATAGTTGAAGTTATGGGTAGACATTGTGGTTGGTTAGGTTTAATGGCTGGTATTGCAACAAGTGCCGATTATATTTTAATTCCTGAAAAACCAAGTTCATCAAAAGATTGGCAAGATCAAATGTGTAATATTGTTGATAAACATAGAAAAAGAGGTAAAAGAAAAACTATAGTTATAGTTTCTGAAGGTGCAATAACTTCTGATTTAAAACCAATTAGTTCTAAAATGGTTAGAGATGTTTTAGTTGATAGATTAGGTTTAGATACAAGAATAACTACATTAGGTCATGTTCAAAGAGGTGGTACAGCAGTTGCATTTGATAGAATTTTAGCTACTTTACAAGGTGTAGAAGCAGTCAAGGCTGTTCTAGAATTAACTCCAAATATTCCATCACCATTAATTGCAATTGATGAAAATAAAATTGTTAGAAAACCTTTAGTTGAAGCAGTTAAAATTACAAAATCTGTTGCTGAAGCAATTGAAGAAAAAGATTTTGATAAAGCAATGTCATTAAGAGATCCTGAATTTAAAGAACATTTATCAAATTTTATGGCTATGAATTCTGCATGTCATGAACATCCAAAATTACCACAAGAAAAACGTAAAAAAATTGCAATTATAAATATAGGGGCTCCAGCTGGTGGTATGAATTCTGCAGTTTATGCAATGGCAACTTATTGTATGTCACAAGGTCATACTCCATATTCTATACATAACGGTTTTTCAGGTTTAGCAAGACATGAATCTGTAAAACTGATTAATTGGATTGACATTGAATGTTGGAATTCAGTTGGTGGGTCCGAAATTGGTACAAATAGATCAACACCAGAACAAACTGATATTGGAATGATTGCACATTATTTTGAAAAATATCAATTTGATGGATTAATTATAGTTGGTGGTTTTGAAGCATTTGTAAGTTTAAATCAATTGGAACAATCAAGATCAATGTATCCAGCTTTCAGAATTCCAATGGTTTTGATACCTGCTACAATTTCAAATAATGTTCCAGGTACTGATTATTCTTTAGGTTCAGATACTTGTCTTAATTCATTAATGGAATATTGTGATATTATTAAACAATCAGCATCAGCAACAAGAGGTAGAGCATTTGTTATAGAAGTTCAAGGTGGTAATTCTGGTTATATTGCAACTTTTGCATCATTAATTTCTGGTGCTCAAGCTTCATATGTACCTGAAGAAGGTATACATTTAGAACAATTAGAATTGGATATAAATTCATTAAGAGAATCATTTGCAATAGAACAAGGAATGACAAAAGCAGGTAAATTAATAATTAAATCAACAAATGCTTCAAAAGTTTTAAGTCCACAAGTTTTAGCAGATATTATAGATGAAGAAAGTAATTATGAATTTGATACAAAGACTGCTATACCTGGTCATGTACAACAAGGTGGATTACCATCACCAATTGATAGAACAAGAGCAGATAGATTTGCAATTAAAGCTGTTCAATTTATTGAAGATAATATTGATAAAATTGACAAATATAGATATCAATTAGATTTCCCACAAGATAAAAAAGAAATTATTAATACTGCTGCTGTATTAGGTGTAAAATCTTCACATTTAAGATTTACAAGTATTAGACAATTGTATGATTTTGAAACTGAATTAGGTAGAAGAATGCCAAAAAAAGTATTTTGGAATTCAATTAGAGATACTGCTGATCTATTAGTTGGTAGAACAAGAATAACAAGCAATGAAGTTATGTAAATAAATATAAAAAATACTACTAAAAAATATATAAAAATTCGTTAGATTTTATTAAATTTCCACCTCTTCGGTATAAATATTTAAATTTTGTACCAAAAAAAAATATAATATGAATGTTTCAGATTTGAACCGTACGTTAAAATACAGCCAATTTAAGATCTAACTAACTTGAACTAGAGTTAAATAATGGTATAATTAGATGTAATACAATGAATGAGTTAAAACAATTTCAAGCACGACTAAATATATTCATTGATGCAAATAGTCGTCAATCAAATGGACCTGCATATCTACAGAAATTGAAAGAGGATAAAATTAAGAGCATATTCAAGGTAATAGAAAAGAAACAAAACCAACTTAATACAAATAGGTTTCAATTTGAAGGAGATCCAATTCCACCAACCACAATAACAAAACAACAAGTAAGTCAGAGTGACCTAATAGAAGAAGATTCAGAAATTTCTCAACAACGAATTACCAAATCTGAAAACTATACTAGTTTACACCACCTTCAAGAGTGTATAGTAACTATCAACTCGAATACAATCAACATAAATAATGCAATAGATTCAATTTTTAGAATGGATTGTAATGGATCCATCATGATTAATAATTTAAGTAATTGCATTTTGTTAATTTCGCAAGGTCATCAACTTAGGATTCACAATTGTCGAAATTGTATATTCATAATTGAAAAGGTTGAAAATAACCAAATCATAATTGAAAATTGTCAAAAGTTGAAAATTACCAAGGGTATTTTGGTCGATGATTTTAACTTTCCAACTAAAGAACTAAAGAATCCAAATTTTGAGTATATTGATGATGAGTCACCTATTAGACAAGTGTTTGATGATTTAAACGGTTTAAATTTGGAGGAGGTTGGAGATGTTAACAAAATTTTGCAGTAATACCGTTGTATACTCGATTTGGTATATGCGCTTAAAATAATAAACGTTTAAAAGGAAAGTTAACAACAAAATAAGCCACCAGCGTCTTTTCAATTGTTTCTTTTTATCTGGTTCTATTCGTTAACTTCAAACCAAGTCTCTTGTGTATCTCTTGCTCTGATATTCTATCGGATTTATCAATTCTTACGTCGGTATCGGTATTATAATCAAAGCGCAATTGTTTCTTTTAGGCGCGATTTGTGATCGTCTCCACTTTTGACGTTGAATTTTATTTTTTTTACTTCCGAAATATATATATATATTTCTCGAATTTCCATTTAACCATTCTTTTCAACCAACTATTTATACAATAACTATTCCTGTTTGTTTCGCTTTAGGTTAATTAGCTGCTATAATGTCTATGAAATTACCATCCATAATTGATACTGATTCAATTTTTGCTAATGATGATTTAGAATATGTTTTTAATAATGACAATGATTTACCCGAAAATGTCTTGGTTAACAATTTATTACCATTACATATTGATTATGCTAAATCGTTCAAAATTCCAGGTACTGAAGAACCAGGTTTTTCACCAATTATTAGAAATAAAGCTTTCCCAAATGGATTAAAATGGAAATTAACTAACGATTTAAATACATTTCATAAAGTTTTTGAAAGTTGTGCTAAAAGATTTAGTAACGACCCATGTATATCTCATCATGAATATGATTATGAAAATGAACAACATTTAGAACAATATAAAAGCGAAACATTTGATCAAATACATCAACGTAAAAATAATTTAGCCAGTGGGTTATTTTTCTTACTTGAATCAAATCCATTTTTAAATTATGCATTAGAATCACATCAAAAAATAAGAGATCATTCAAAAATTTATAAAGATTTTGATAAAGATAATACTTCATTTATTGTTACTTTTTATTCAGGTAATCGAAGAGAATGGATAATTTCAGATTTAGCATGTTCTTCAAATTCAATTACTTCCACTGCATTATATGATACTTTAGGTGCTGGTACTGGTAAATATATTTTAGAATTAACTGAATCACCAGTAATTATTTGTTCAAAAGATAAAATTGAAAATTTAATCAACTTGAAAAAGAATAATTTTAAACAATTAGAATCATTAATTTTGATTATCTCAATTGATCCATTATTAAAGAAAGATAAACATTTGATTGATTTAGCAAATGAACAACATATAAAAGTATATGAATTTACTCAAGTTGAAAAAATTGGTGAAATTTTCCCAAAAGAAAATTATGAACCAAGTCCAGAAACTGTTTATACAATTACATTTACATCAGGTACTACTGGAGCAAATCCAAAAGGTGTTGTCTTAGCACAAAAAACAGTTACAGCAGCTATTTCAAATGTTTTATTAATGATTCCACATCATAAAAATCAAAAAGAATTTGCATTTTTACCATTAGCTCATATCTTTGAAAGACAAATGTGTGTAAGTACAATCTCAATGGGTGGTAACGTTGCATTACCAAGATTAGGTGGATCTGCATTAACTTTAGTTAAGGATTTAAAACTATTTAAACCACATTTCTTTGCTTGTGTACCTAGAATTTTTTCAAGAATTGAACAAGCTATTAAATCAGCAATACCAGATTCTGATAAACCAGATTTTAAATTTACTAAACCTATAGTTAAAAAAATTAGATCACAATTTGGTTTTGATGAAATTGAAAGAGGTTTTACTGGTGGTGGACCAACTAGTCCTGAAACTGTTAAATTTTTACAAAAAGCATTTCAGTTTGAACTTGGTTCTGGTTATGGTTCTTCTGAATCATTTGGTGGTCTAATTATGGCTAGTAGTAACCATCATGTTGGTTCTGATGGTCCAATTGGTGCATCTTGTGAAGCTAGATTAAAAGAATTACCAGAGATGAACTATAAATTAAATCAAGAAGACGGAGATAAAGGTGAGTTACAATTACGCGGTTTTCAAATGTTTAGTCATTATTATAAAAATCCAGAAGAAACTGCAAAATCAATTGATTCAAATGGTTGGTTTGATACAGGAGATGTTGCTCATTTTAGAAAAGATGGGTATTTTAAGATTATAGATAGAGTTAAGAATTTTTATAAACTAGCACAAGGTGAATATGTAACTCCAGAAAAGATTGAAAATTTATATTTAACTACGAATTCAATAATTACACAAATTTATACTCATGGTGATTCATTAAAGACATTTTTAGTTGGAATCGTTGGAATTGATCCAATGAATATTAAAAAATATTTACAAGCTTTAAAAATACATGATATACCAAATTTTAAATCAAATGAAGAAATGTTGGAATTTATAAATAAAAGAGAAGTTAAAACTAGAATTTTATTAAATTTTAATTCAAATTTATCTGATAAATTAAATGGATTTGAAAAAATTCAAAATTTATATTTTGAAATAGAACCATTAACTTTAGAAAGACAAGTTATTACACCAACTTCAAAATTAAAAAGACCAATTGCTCAAAAATTTTTCAAAAAACAAATTGATTCAATGTATGAAGAAGGTTCAATTATTAAAGATTTAAAATTATAGATTATATATACATATTTATTTCACCTAAAAAATCTTCTTTTACCAGTAGATTAATCATATATTCTATCATTAAAATAACCATTTTAAATTAAAATAAATTTGATTTGCAATTAAAGCAAACTTATAAAATTTGAAAACATATGAATTGAAAGTAACTTAAGTATCAAAACAAATCGAACAACAAGATCAAAGCTTGTTGCTGACGTAATTCGTATAATCTACTTTGTAAAAAACGATCTGCAAGTATTTGAATTTAATCAGTATATAAGTTAGACCCAAAAATATCATATTTGAGTTGAATCAATATATGGTATCTATACACTTGAGGCTCAAGAGTTATCTGCCGACTTGGAACATACTAATTTATGAATTCGCTGCGCTGCCGACTTCGAACAAACATACTGATTGATGGATTAAACTTTAAAGCGTGAGACACTGATTATACTCATTATATCGAGATGGATAAATTAAAACTGATTTCAGAGTTAATGAATTATACTTCTTTACAATTCATGAATTTACCAACAAAAGATAAAGAAAAAATCGAATTTTCTGGGGAATTTCAGATCTATTTATAGTTTTTTAAAAATTAACTATGGGTAAGCCGCGCGCTACCATTTTTGGCTCTACTTAAAAATTCACCTAATTGCATTTCTCAGACACATCATAATTAAACATTGAATTCATCACAGACACTTATTAATTAGACTATTTATTGATGAATATACAAAATGACTACTTGAAATATTATTCTAGAACGCGTTTCTCTCATAAACATGTTGGTTCGATCAATTTTAAATTATTCAAATTTGCAACCAAAAAAACATGAAAGTGATAATAATCAGCTTGAAAACAACCGCCTGGCCCCAGTTAAGCGTATATTATATAGAAATCAGACAAATAAACAACTGCAATGAGTTATTAAATAAGCTTTGATGTATTTATTTTATCTACAGAATCCTGATAAGAACTACATACATTGATTTAATTATTTTTGAAATTGGCCTTTTTGAAATCAATATTATAAAAATAATCTAAGCTTAGTCATAAGAGCAGATCTAGACCAGTAGTGGAGGCCCATTTGACTTTATTAAAAAACATATGAGAATACGTTTCAAATGACACACAAGCCATTTTATTTAGTACGTGTCGCCCTAAGTGTAGTGTGAGAAAAAAACACTAGGCCTAGATTTGGGCGACAATTAGATACCTAAAAAAATAATTTTGAATCCTTATGATCGGTTTGAATTTTTTTCAAACATTTCAAACCACTTTCGAAAAATTTGCTTTGGATTTTGAATACCTTAACTCAAAAAAATCAGAAGAATATCGAAAGAGGGAACTAAAAAATTGGTTAATTTCATTATAGTTTAATTTGAATATTGATTGTGGTATTGGTTTTTTTTCAGGGACAGCTTTTTTGATTTTTCCCATACGTAAGGGAAAGTTTTGAAATTTTTCAATTTTAGGTTTGATCAGCTAGAATTAAGTTCATTACATTTTTTAAGAATCTAGTAATTATATTCTGTTATTTAATTGAAGGTTATGGCGTTAAATAAAATATACTCAACATTTCAGTTTTAGCATATTTATATATATGATGAAAAAAGTCCAAAATGACGACTCAAAAAAAAGCGTTCAAAAATTAGAGCATGAGCTAGGTAGAATGTATGATTCTTCTCTTCTGATTTCATATAAATAGTATTATTTTAAGAAAATATGCTATTCATGACGTATAAGCCAATAAATTTGGTAGGAATCGCCCTTGAACCAAAACGAGAATTATTTTGCCACGGCCGATTCATCATACTGGAAAATTACACTCTAGAATACAAATTTTTCCTTCAAATTTCCTTATATGCAGACCTCTCATATCTAATCTTGAAAGTGGATAACTTCGTCAATAATGAAGGTCGTTTCATCAAACGTATTCTATTATAGATTTCATCTCATCCCAAATAAGTTGATACTAAAATGCAATGGATAAATACAATTTTGATGAATTAATTCTTCAGTGAAATAATGCAAAAAAAAAGATGTTTGCGAGATAGTAAGTCAGTTTTTAACTTGTCTTTAATGGTAATAGCTCATTAGCAAATATATCATTGCGATAAGTCATTATTTGCAGCATGTAGATTTTCACCAACTGTTATTGTTTCAAAAACTTTGTACATTGTCGTAAATTTTTTACAATTTGAAACTTCATCATTCGATAAATTTATTCTCAAAGAGCATTATCAATATTTGACTAGAGCTCAGATAGAATTAGTCTAGTAACCACAATCAGTTCAACAACACGTACATTTAATCACTAGTTGTTAGTCTTAAATTTTTTGTTGATTTTTTGTATGTTTTTTGCAATGTTTGACTACAGCTCAGGTACAATTAGTCTAGTAACCACAATCAGTTCCACAACACGTACATTCAATCACTAATTGTTAGTCTTGAATTTTTTGTTGATTTTTGTATATTTTTTGCAATTTTTTTCAAAGAGTTCATAATTTCGTTCCACTTTCAGCTAATTTTAAACCGAAAATCTGGTCAAAGATACTTTATAACTACCTGTAGCTGTTCATCTTATCCTTATTCTCAATAGTTCTTGATCTTAGATCATTCTAGATCATCTCTAAATTTGCCACCGTAAATTTCCGAAATGACGTAATTTAAGGAGTAATATTCGTACTTCCCAGCTTTAAACAAATCAATTTCCTAAATAGGACACCTAAACCTTAAATTAAAGTTTCATAATGCATGACTATCAAAATGACTCGTAATTAAAAAAATATAAATTAACCCAACAACTACCCCTGGAATTTTTTCATCAAATATAAATTATTTTATTAGTTATGGGAAGTTCTGATTTTGAATTTACTTGCTTTTATTGTGGTGAAAAGTTTGAAAACTCCAGAGATTTAAGTGAACATATTAAGAAATGTGAAGATAAGTAAGAATATTTTCATCAGTAGCAGGAGCTGCAATTGTTAAAATATAATTTAATTGGTGTGGTTAAGATGGTGTTGGTTGGTTTGATTTTATAAATGGTTAATATATGTTGTTCGTATAATGTTACACTTAGATTTTGCGTTTCTTCTCTTATTCTTTTATCCGTTTGGTTATGATCATTTGGGTTAAATTGAAACATTAAACATATGACAAATAGTTACTGATATGGCTTAGATCAAAGTGGCTAAAAAAAGAAAATGACAACAGTCAAGCCAAACTATAAATAGAGATTAAAATTCTCTACTATTTTCTTAGCATATTCAAATTTTAGTTAAGGTCAATGGGTGCTGTTGGTATTGTTTTATATTGTAATTATTGTAAAAGAAGATATAACGATGCAAGAAAATTTCAAAATCGTATTGAAGAAGAATACGAAGAACACGGTGGCAAATAATTAGATGCTGGTTAATTAATTAGCTGACTATAATTTTGTTCAACAATAATTAATAAATGATGGAATATATAATATAATTCAAGTTTGATCCCCACATATGCATCATATCTCAAATCTCGTAAAGTATAAATTAAACAAACTCCGACCGAAAATTTTTAGATATTATACAATGCAAGATATAATTTATGAAATGGTTCTTTTTTTAAACCAACATCGAGATCAACATAACCAAGAGCAAGAAAAATCAATTACATGTATTTACAATTATAATGACATTCTATTTAAATAATTTTTTCAATTTTGAACGTTTTGATTTTGATGTTGAACTTGAAGAATCAGAAGAAGAAGGTGGTAATTGTTGTGGTGCTTGCTGTCTTTTTTGATAATGACTTGGTGCTTGAGTTGATGGTATTTCACCTTTATGTTTTTGTTGATATATTTGTTGTTGTTGTTGCACCTGTTGATGGAATTGTTGATCTTGTGATGATAATTTAGGTAAGGATGGTTGTTGGTTATATTGATTGTTTTGTCCATTTGTAGGTATTGATGATCTTCCATCTTCATATAAATATAATGGAACTTCCTTTTGTTCAGTTAATTCTTTAACTATATTCAAATTTAAATCTTGTAAATTTTTATTTTGACCAATTGATTGTAAACCAATTAAGAAATCTCTTGGTTTTAAAATAGATTCTGAACCAATATAAAATTCTTTATTCATTGATGATGTTAATTCATAAATTGATCTAATTTCACTATATGTCATACCACCTGCTACAAATGCAAATATTCTTTGTTTTTGTTTACCAGAAGATATACTACCTGAATTTCTTGAATTAGTAGCCCATGAAGCTTTTATTCTTGAATTTCTTAAACTTCCATTAGATTGAAGGTCATTATTGGTTGTGTTCTTTGGTAAATCTTCTTCTAATGGTTGATCTCTTGAATATGGAAATTGTTCTTTATCTAACGTATGTTTAGTTGCATTTATTAAAACTCTTTTGACACCAGGTATAAATCTTGAAGTATTATATGTTCCTTCATTATTAATTTGATGATACCAAAATTTGTCAAAATTTTTATCTTTTACCAGGTTTTTAAATAATTCAAATCCCAATTTATCGACGTTATTAAAGCATTTTTCAACTAAACCAGTAATATATTTATCATTTACACCAATAAATTTAATTAGTTTCTCAAAATCATTTCGGATTAATCCTCCTCTATAAAAAGTATAAATGAGGATTAATCTGATTTTGTCATTAATATGCAAATCATCTCTTGCTAATAATACAATTAGATCATCGTGCAAATGGGAATTTTTTTCACCTTCAAAGGTGATCCCATTTGCACAACAGGTTTGTTCCATATCGGCAGCAAACTCTGCTAATTTTCTATTTGCATTAATATCTAAACATTTATCAATTAAAGATTTATGTAATGTTAATTGTTTTCTTTCTTCATCAAAACCTTTTAAATGTGCAACTATATACATTAAATCTGAAGAAGTACTTGCTTTTGATCTATCAATCATCATTGGATTATTTTTGATAAGTTCTGAAATTTTATTATAAATTAACTCAGATGATTCAATAATATGTAAATGTCTTAAATTAATCCAATCTTCATCATTTTCATTATCTAAAGTAGTTTCCACATCATTTATCTCACCTTTTTCATTTTCAGTTTGATATTTATATACATTTTCCCTTTCTAAAGATTCAATTATATCCATTGCCATAGCTTGATAACTAAATTCATGTAACAAAGGAGCATATAAATCTAAAGTACGATCACAAATTAATAATATTGCTCTTTGTTTATTTGGATTAGATTGGGGTGAATATGATTCATTATTTCTATAATATTCATCTAATTGTTGTTGAAATTCTTGAGCAATTAATTGAGGAAGAGTTTTGGCTTCATAATTTCCTTGTTGTGGTGAGTAATATCTAATTAATGGATATTCATCCATTACAATCATTAAATTTAATAGACAATTAGCAACCTTTTGAACTTGAGGTAGAACAAAATCATGACAATTTGAATTGTAATAAATTGGCATTGAATTTGGAGTCTTATTATCTGGTAAAAATACTCTTGATTCAACAGGGTAAAAATTTGAATTAATAAATTGAATTTGATCATTAAAATATTTAAGAACTTTTGGTTGATTTATAAATTTTGAATCCCAAAATTTATCATTTCTAGGATTAGAAATCTGCTTATTAAATAATCCCATACCGGCCTTATATCTATTTGTTTGAACATCACTTAATATACATTTTAAATTATAAATATTTAAATCACAAAAATAAATACCAGTCATATACGTAGATTGTCTTCTTTTTGCATCTATTTTTTCAATACTTGCAACTATTCTTAGAAGTTGTTCTTTTTGAATAACATGATAAATTAATTCTTCTGAATTATCATCAAGGATCAAATTATATAATTGCCCTGGGATTTGTACATTTTTAATTAAGTTATAAATAAAATCATGTTGGATATTTAATAATGAATTCGGATCTTTATTCTTTGACATAATAATATCTGCTAAAACAGCTAAATAACCAGTTGTTGATCTTTAACCTCAAATGAAATTCTGTTGCCAAAAATATAATTTCCTATTTTAGTTTCATTTCACAAAATTGAACAGTGCAAACCAGCGCTACCAACTTGTTTTTATTATTATTGACACGAAACTATCAACATATATTAATTTATACGAGGAAGCGATTGATTGTTACAAGCAACAAATGGGTTATATACTATGGCAGCACATAATAGAGATAATGTAACACCATCAAGCGTAGTAGATGATAGTGAACAGTCAACAATTGACACAGATTTCAACATTGACGAATCATCAGTTATTCAATCTTCACCATCGCATTTTCAAAATCAAACTATTCAGGCAATTATTTATATTTCAGGTTGGTATTTTTTTTCGCTTTCAATTTCGATATATAATAAATGGATGTTTGGTAAAGGTCTAGACTTTAAGTTTCCCATATTAATCACTAGTTTTCATCAATTTTGTCTTAGTTTATTAAGTTTATTATTATTATATAAAAATCATCAATTGAGGCCGAGTCATTTATACCAAGGAAAGAATATAAGTAAATTCTTTTCTAGTTTCTATCTTATTGATTATAAAGTGTATATCAGTCAAATATTACCGTGTTCGGTAACTTCAGCTGGTGATATTTCATTAAGTAACATTTCAATATCAATGATTTCATTAAGTTTATACACTATGCTCAAGACTTCAAGTTTAATATTTGTGTTGATTTTTGGTTTGTTTTTTAAATTGGAGAAATTCAATTGGAGACTAATTATAATTGTGTTGATAATGACGGTTTCTGTGGTTATGATGACTGATAAACCAAACAATAGTTCAAATTCAGATGATTATTCGATAACGGGAATTACATTGGTCTTCTTAGCTTCTATGTTATCGGGTTTACGATGGTCATTTACTCAAATATTATTAAAATCAAATCAATATACTTCAAATTCAATACTGACTATATTTTATATTTCACCTTTCATGTGTGTGTTTTTATTTACACTTGGATTGATATTTGAAGGTTGGAATAATTTTATATCACATTCAATATGGGAAGAAAAAGGGATATTTAATACTGTTGTGTTGTTAATCATACCTGGAATTCTTGCTTTTATGATGACGTTATGTGAGTTTAAACTACTTACTGTTTCTAAAGTTATTACTTTATCTATTGCTGGTATTTTTAAAGAATTATTAACTATCATTTTAAGTTCATTTATTTTTGGTGATCATTTAAGTTTTATTAATATTATTGGTTTGACTATAACGTTCGTAGATATTTTATGGTATAATTATTATAGATTTCAACAATCACTGGATTATATAAAGTTAAAAAATATTAGAGATAATGTTTAAAATTAGATATGATGATTTGATATTTGCATTTCGGGTATTTACGTGAGTTAGAGATAGAATAGATATAAAATATGCTTAATTGCTTTACTTGTACTGTCTTTGATTACAAGTCTATGATTTGGATATGCATAGAGAATGTAAAGTTGATTTTGATTTGCAACCTTACTAGAGTTATTTGCATTCTTACAATTACTTTGCATTCTAACAATTATTTTTCATTCGTATGTTTATTAAATCTATTTAACCTTTAATATAGTCTATAGTAGAACAATCAAAACCATTATAATCGAAACCAAAGTACTAAGCAATCCCAAATCAACATAAACATAACCAATCTCAACCTTATTATTTAATATCCTTGCACCACCTCTTGAACTAGTACTATTCGTATCACTTGTAGTTTCATCTTCAGGAGTTGGTTGACCAGAAAATCCCGAAACATAAATACTTCCACTTCTAATAATAGCACCAGTTAATCTTGCAGGTATATCTAAAATCATACTATTTCCTGAATTATCACTCATTGAACTATAACTTAAAGTTAAGTTATCAGTATTATAATATTTATTCAGTGTAGCAAAGGGAATATTGCCAGCCATAATATAGTCAATACTATAATCGGCTGTATTATTTGTAGATGATGAGTATTGAACTTGACTAAAACTGGACTGATTAAATTGGGTCATACTCTCTTGCTCTTCTTCCTTTTCTGGATTTATGTGTTTGTTAGATTGGGCGATTGCAATTTTACGACCTTCATTATCGACAACTAAATAAATATTACGAAGAAATGGAAGTCCAAGTACGTTCAATCCATCTCCACTTGTTGGTATGAAAGTTAAATAACATGCTTTATGACCATTTTCAAAATTTAATATCTTATCTTGATATAATGCGTCTATTATAAATTCATTAATTGGAACTTTTATCAGGAAATTACCCATTTGAAAATTTACACTTGCATCTATGTTTTGTAATGTATCACATTCAACTAACCATTTTCCAATCTCACTTGCATAATAAGCATTTGTCTGGATAGCTAAATTTACAATAACATCCAATGGTAAATAAGAATAGATTGATCTTGAATTAAGTAGTACAGGTAATCCCCCAGTTCTTGACTTTATAGACACGATTTGTCCCGTCAATATATTTTCAATCTTCATATCATCTAATGAAATAATGGGCAACGTCAATTCTATCAATTCTTGATTTGCTTGTTGTTGAGAAGCTGGAAATTTATAACCTCGTTGTGGTAAAATATCAAATGAATATAAATTTCCAATATAAAATTTTGAATTAACTACTCCCGGTATTAATTCACATATTGCATTTTCAGAATCAGTAAAATTATTAAACCATAATGAATAACCTGGTGACTTTATAATGTTTTGATTCACCAAGTTATATAAAAATCCACGTCCATACGGATTACCTGCTAATCCTAACCCCCCAGCAAACATATTAGTTTCATTAACATCAATAAATGAAAAATTTGATAGTTTGCCAGTATATCCATTTGTGAAATTAAATAAAACATCATCAGTGACCCATTTTCCACTAGCCATAATTTGATTAATATATGGTATAATATACGGATCTCCGTTTTCGATGTTACTATCTGATGGTTGGGGCATGTTTGAAGTAGCACTAACGTATAAACCATATTTATCACAATTACCAGTGTATTGAGAAGCAGTAGTTATAGCTGCCGGTAGTGAAGTAGTCTCAGATAAAGTAGATTCAACTGAACTTAACCAAGATTTTAAATAATTACAATTTATAAAATCATCATGATTCATTACCCATATATGAGGTTGTATTAAATCGAGTCTAAGTTCCAAATTTTGATCATTTTCTGGACCTAAAGCTAATGGTGCATTATAATAATTATCACCTTCGGGTATAGTAAATTGTAGTCTAAAAATCAGTGAATCTATTTGATTTATAGTTGTCTTTGAAGCTGGCAATGTACTTGTGAAAGATACTCGTGATGTTGACCTAGTAGATGGTGTAGTTTGTGATGTTCTGGCAAATGTCCATCGAATAATGCCGTCATTCGTTGTTGTAGTTGGAATATTATCGTTTGTAGTTGTTTCTCTAGTGGAGCTTGGACTATTTTGAGTGTTTGTAGTTAATATTGAGACTGTGCTTGTTGTGGAATCATCATTTTCGGAATTAGCATTATCATTAGTAGTGGAAGTTGATGGATTTGTAATAACACTCATCAGTATACCGGTTGAAGAATCATCAGATAAACCAACATGTATTAAACTCAGTAGTAGTAGTAGTGATATTAGTAGATTATTAAACATTATATAGTATTATAGTTTATTGATTTGAATTGGTCTGCTGTAAAATTTAGTTTTTTTTTTGTTTATTTTTAGAATCAAATTTTTTTTTTTTTTTTTTTTTTTTGTAATGTTTAAGTTGAAGCTTAAGGAGTATTCACTAATAAACAGTGCATAGTGGCTTATATATATACCCTCGGTAATACAAGAGGATGAGCATTATTATATTATTACATCATATCTCATTTACTCGGCTTTTGAGTTGATCATGCTACAATCAAATTGGAAAAAATAGAATTCTTAGTTAATATCGAAAATCTCTTAGGGGGTAATTTATAAGAATATTATTATATTATTAAATAATATCTCATTTACTCGGCTTTTGAGTTGATCATGTTACAATCAAATTTAAAAATGGAATTTTTAGTTAAGATTGAGAATTTCTTAGGCGGTAATTTATAAATATATACATTAAAATCAATCAATAACCTTTCAAGACACCACATTTAACCTTCATTAACTCATTATCTTCTTTTTACATACTTTATTCAATTTTAAATCTATCATTACGTTATTCATTACATTTTCTTCATTTTTAAAAAAACTGGATATTTTATCTACGTTAGTCAAACAATCTTTAACATCATTAAACGAATTCAACGAATAATTCAAATGAATCAATAACTTAATATTCAAAAGTAGATTATCTCTTTCAAATATCTCACCAATAATCTCCCTTATATCACCAAGAAAGTTTATAATTTGTTTAAAACTGTTGATATTTATATTGACTTGATAATTTTTAAACTGACATATGTATTTCCTCTGCTTGTAATACCGCGATATACGGTACCCTTCATTATATATATCATCTTCCTGGTTTGATTCATTACAATCTATATTTAATATCATTTTAAAGTGGTTGAAAATATAATGAGTAGCAGATCTATTAAAACGTGAATTTACTTGTAATTCTTTTACTCTATCACCATCCAAATAACCATACACTATCTCTAACAACTCATCTGGTAAATCATATATACTTGTCATTCTTAGCTGATTAACTTAGTAGTGTACTTTTAACAATAATTTAATTTTGTCAAACATTCATCAACAAAAAATCTTCTCATTAACAAACAGTCAATATGGTATGTTTAATAATAGATAGGGTGGAATTGAGTTATGTTACTAACTATTGTTTTTTAGTTACCTTTATATTTATTAACATCAGCAAAAGAGAAACCAATATTAGTAGAATTAAAAACGGGAGAAACTTTTAATGGAAATTTAATAAATTGTGATCCATGGATGAATTTAACATTATCAAACGTAATACAAACAAATGCCAATGGTGATAAATTTGAAAAAATAGAGGATATATATATTAGAGGTATACATGTTAAATATCTTCGTATCCCTGATGAAATTATGTCGTATGCAAAAGAACAAAGTTTAATAAACATGGAACAAAGAAATACAAATGCAAAAAATAGAAGAACAGAAGGTGGTAATCGAAATAGTCAAAGTCATGGAGGTCACCATGGTTATAGAAATCAAGGAAGAAGAGGTGGTAGAAGAAATCCACAAAATTAAATAAGTCAGTTTCATTTTTTTTTTTTTATTTTTAGCATTTGTATGGATTTGGATAGTTCATTGTTTCATAAGATTGTATTAATATATAATGAGGTTTATGAAGTCTATATCTAGTGTAACAAAGTAAACTTGGTAGTTAAGTAGTTATTATTCCCATTTTGGTATGGTTGCAAATTTTTTTTTTTTTATTTTTTTATTTTTTTTTTTTTTTTTTTTAATTTAAATTACCCCCTAACAAAGTATATTCATGACGATATACGCCAATGGATCATTTAACTCACCTTCCTTAATTCCAGCTAACATTAACTCAATAACATTCACCAAATGCAAATTACTCCCAACTAAGATAATCCAAAGAGGTAAATTTAAAGGATATAATGATATTAGAAGATTTCAATGTTTTAAATCATCATGTAATTTAAATTTTAATGAATATAAAAATTGTAAACATTGTAAATATTTACCTTATTTTCCATCACCGTTAAAAAACAAATCTAATTTATTTTTAGATAATACTGAGAATGTCAAATTTGAATCAAAGGGGAATAATTTCATCAAACGAAAAGAATCAACCATTATTTCCATTCCTGATGCTCCAAATTGGATAGTTTCAGCTAGTTTAATTAATGCTAAAGATGATATAAGCAACAAAATTACAGATTTTTTTGAAAATTTGGAAATTTCATCTCAAATTAAAAACAAATTAAAAACTAAAAAACGTAATTGTTTCAAAAAAGTAATGAGATTGGATGGTGAAGACCCATGTATATTCAATGAAAATAGCTATTAATAATTCCAATGCCAAGGTTGATTAAGAAGCTGCTCCATTTTTTAGTTTAATAAATTTCTTATGTTAATGAATTTCTTATGTCTCTCCAATTTTCCAACTTTTTAAATCTGATCTATATTTATATTCATTAATTAATCCATTCAATTTTCTATAATTTTCATTCTCAACCAATAATTCAGGTTTTAATTTCTCTTCATAATAATTTTTCAAATCTAAATTACATCCATATTTATTATTTTCATTATTGAAAATATCATTAATACATTGATTTGGACTATATTCTAATAATGGATATAAATCAGGATCCCAATTACATTCGAGAATCCTACAATATAACTCCAGGACAATTGGATCCATTAATATTTGTTGTTGTTTTGCATCATCTGGTGCTTTTTTTTGACCTGGTGGAGGAGAATTAGATGACAGTTTCTCTTTCTTGAATCGACTTCCATTATGATGAGGTGCCAATTGTTGAAGGAATGAATTTTCATGGTGTGTAGTAGTTTCAGACCCTTGTGATGATTGTGAAGACAACTCATTATTATTATTATTATTATTATTATTACTATTATTATTATTATTATTATTTTCCGTTTTTTGATCTTTATATTGTGGTGGGAGAGTTGGTTGACTTGGATTTCCATTAAATGTCCCATTTTCACCAAACACATTATTAATTCCATTAAATACAAGTTTTTGTTCAAATTGAGGAACATTAAATGTATTCTTTTTATGATTTTGACTATTTCTTAAATCTAAATTTGTCTTTGTGTTTGTTGCAGTTGAACTAGTACTTGAATTATTATCAGTAATTTGTAATTGAGTATGAAAATCAAAATTTGAAGGTAATTCATTTATACCAATAGTTAAACTTAAAATACTATTTACTTTCGAATCACTAAGTAAATATTTTGTAGTTACAGGTTCATCGAAATTCAAATATTCCGAAAGATTAACGTCTACTTTTCCTAATTCAATAGTATGTTTGCTACCAATATTGCTTAAATGATGATGTTCTGAAGAATCAGTAGTTACATAATAAACCTTAATCAATAAGTATTTATTCAGTATCAAATTCTTTTTTTTTTGAATTCCAAATTTTAAATTACAACTAAGTTGATAATTGAAATTACATTTAAAATTATGAAGTTTCTTCAATGACGTAGTTGCTGATATGTTCCCAGTTACTACCGAATTATTTTTCACATCTTTTGAATTGGAAGATGTTTGGGAAATAGATGTATTATGTTTATTTGAATCTTTACCTAATGCTAAGCTAGTGAGTGTATCATCAAACTTATTCAAAAATGATTTATTCACCTTTTGATTTCCATTATTATTTTCTAAATCTTTTGCTGTATGCGAATGATGTAGGTTTCTTCGCTTACCATCTTTGATTTGTAGTTCGATGAAACAAGATCCATGAATTTGTGGGACATTAGTTAAATCATTTATCGTTAATTGAAATGAAAATTTAGGTTTATCTGACTTAAACATTTGAATATATTCCTGAAACAAATTAACTTCTGGTGATAAATATTCGTTTCACATATTTTTTTTTTGACCCGTGATAAGCAAGTAAAATTATATTATGTATTGATGTTTGGATGTATATATTTATAACCCGTCAGATCCATTACTATTAAATGAACACTGATTGAGACTATCAACTTCCATCTATCGTATAGTCTTTACTGTAAGCTTGAGTCTGTGGTTGTTGATCTATAGGCAGATTCGTATAGTTGGTTGCAATCAACAACAATCAAGATTAAATTTGCTACACCACAGAAAATTAAAATAAGGTTTCGATATACACTTATACAATAAGATAAGCCATGGATTTAAAATGTTCTTAGAGTATTGTAGAAGTCCTTTGAGATCTTTCAAAGTTTAACAGACAACTTGTTGATAGTAGAGAATGCAAATTGAGCATTCTTCTCTGCATCAGGATCTCTGCATCAGAATCTCTGCATCAGGATCTCCGGTTCATTATCCTTGAAGTTAAAAAGATCCTTAGCAATGATTGGATTTATTAGCGACGATCATAAAAACTCGATCCAGTTAATTACACTATTTAGATGCAAAATAATACAGGGTCAAAGAAAAGCGCATCTTGAAGTCTCAATATAAGAACGCAAATTAAAATACGAGCAAAGTCGCCGGGTAATTTCAGGTTGATTATTTTGATACGACGTGTATTCTATAGCCTGACATATTAAGTAATCATTTAGAACTTTTCCTGAGTGGGTAAAATTGTTACAAGAGCAAACTAATGCTTACATTCATCAATGAATGTCTGCAAATCCATACAGGGTAGCTGTCGATGGCCGGTTCCTGACGTGATACTGGTTTCAACAGTTGATTAAATTCTCTTTCATAATTGCAAATCTTAATTGGGTAAAATTATGTAATTTATTAAGTAATTTTTAATAATTTCAGCCTCACCATATTATTGAATGTTAACAACCGTGTTTATTGACACCGGAAGCGATTGAGAATATCTTGAGAATAGTTGAGTGGGCACTTGAGGCACTTGAGTCTCAATATTTGCATATACCTCTAGTGAAACTCGTGTGAATTTCTTTCCATAGTCAGTTTTATTCATTTTTATTCATTTAAATTGATTGCATTTGGTAGCTTCCATGCATAATAGAGTTAATTTTTTACACGCTAATTTTTTTTTTTATTTTTTTTTTTTATTTCTAGTAAAAAATAAAAATTATCAAAAGGCCATTTAATAATAACAAACAATTGACATTGAATACTTGAAATTGAAATTATACATTATAATAGGAAAGAAAAGAACAACTATTTATTACTGGAAAAAACTATAGAATAGCTTTATTTATTTATCATGATGACTTCACCATCAATTCAAAATGATCCATTCATTAATAAACATCGAATTTCAACATCGCCAACCCAACAAAATTTAAATAACAATTTGAATAATACTATAGATTTAAACTTGGATAATGACTTTAAAAACTTGTCATTAAATATACCGCCACCAGATGTTAAAAAATTTACATTTATATGTTTATTCCTCAATCATATACTTAATTTACACGATCCAACAATGATTCTTGAAACAGATAAAAGAAAGAATATCAAGCTTAAAAACCCTAAAGAATCAATTGAAATACTTCCTAATACAAATTTCCCTATTGATATTTGGTTAATTGATGAAATTAAAATCAATGATATTAAAATTAAATCAGCAATTTTAAAAGAAATAAATTCAATGATTGAAGTTGAATTAAAAGATATTAATGATCAATCTACATTTGAAGAAATTACATTAAATTATTATTCAAAATTATTAAATGCTTATAAAGTATATGAATTACCAATGATTGAACCAGCAAATATACGGAATAATAATATTTCTAAATTTAGTAGTTTACAAGAAGAAGATGAGGTTCATCATAATAATAGTCCTACTTCAAATTTCAACTTTGGTTATTTGGAAAAACCCGTATATAGAACAAATTCAAATCAATCAATTGGATCTGGAGGTGCGAAAAAGTCTAAAAGAACAAGTAGTGCTTCAAGTTTAACTAAGAAGAGATTATCATCATTTTTAAATAAAGATAAAGATAAAGATTCAAATAATAGTCCGCAACATGTTATAGAGCATGCTATTTCATTACCTTCAACACCTAATTCTCCACCTCAACCATTTTTTCATTATTCACATTCTCAACCAAATACTACTACAACTACAACTACAACTACAACTACAACAGCAACATTCAATTCATTAAATTCAACTATACAATATTCACCAACTCCAAATCTGGAGAATCCTACAGAGAATTCAGCTATTAATTCATTACTATCAAAATCACGAATCTATAATAAAATTAAAAAACATCGTGAATCTTCAGGTTCAATGACTTCTCAAATTTCAAATCCATCAATACAAAGTAATTTAAGTAATAGAAATAGTATAAGTACGACAAACACAACAACATCATCAATTGGAAGTAAAAGAAGATCTAATTATAATACTCCAAATAATATTAATTCAGGTGCTAGTTCAATTGTATCTTCATCTACTTATGTTCCTGATACTTCAGAATTTGTAATGACACTTGAACAAAAAATAGAGAATCAAAAGGAGAAATATGATTATTATATTCAAATACTTCGATTATTTAAAATATCAGAAAAGATTATTAAAGTTCTTAAACATTCACATACATTAAATGAAAAATTGGTTAAGTTTATTGAATTTATAAAGAAGAAAATATTAAAGTTTATTTTAATCGATGTCATGTCTATGATTTTGAATTATTGTGAATTGAAATGTTGTAATATTAAATAGAGCATTTATCAATAAACATTTTCATGAGAGCTACCATGTGTTTTTAACCTTACTCCTGCATCATCAAAATTCATTAAAACTATTTACTACATTACATCTTTTGATTTTTTTGAGTATTTTATATATTCTAGATCAAAAACGAACCTTTATTCAGATTTTTCGAACATTGATTATCAATCCTTTTCAACCGTTACGTTTCTCACATGTGCAAATTTCTATGTTCATGGTTCCTGAGATTATATGAGCCAGTAGCAATTTTTTATCTTGCACTTTACTTCGTAAGGAAGAAATACAAGTGAAAATAAAGTGTTGATGTGTTACTATTGGTTTAAGTTATCTTCTTGATTTATCTGCTATTAGCTTTCCTTATGAGTTATATAAATTATACGAATTCTTTTCAATTTGAGGCTCAATTATCATCTACAGGATCTACTTCATCAGCACCAAGATTCAATAAGAATTATTTGTTTTAGTGAAAAATTTGACTGTTTTAAATATTTTTTATATTCAAAGGAAAACCATCAGTCGGTACTAAAGTTTGAGTATATATATTTTCCAAACTTTGAAAATTTCATACAAGAAAACTGCATTTATTCAATCAAAACTCTAACTGAGCCAGTGAAGAGTGTATTGGTTGATTTACATTTTTATAATAATTGTAAGGATTGAAACAATAATCGTATTAGTTGTGTCCTTTGAACAAACATTCGCTAAGTGCACTTCATGATATTAATATTAGTTGGCTAGGGCAGTACTCGATAAGTTTCCTTAATGTTTTACAGCTCCATGAAGTGTAGAAGTCTTCGTCATATTATGAATCTCTAATTTTTATGAGTAGTGAAATTGCTGCAAAAGTTTGGCGCTACCAGAAAATTATTTTAATTATTATCATTAATTTATACTTTGAATTTGATTTGCATGAGAGCACTTGAGTATGTTAATGAATCTTCTAAGAAACATTTTGTTCAATGGCGGTCTCACTCACCCTTAATTGAATCTGACTATGAACAAGCTAGAAGCGAAGATCAAAGATTATAATTAACTACACAATATATATAGGTGATGTGAAAAGACAAGAGCAATTCAATGTAAGATTTCGTTTTACTTAGCTAAGTATCCCACGGTGAGTATTTTGTCCTTATTCTAGAACGTTATATAAATCCTCAACTATTCTTCTTTTTTGAGAAACAAGATTAATATCTGATGTCTAAAGAAGATAGAATCACTGCATTATTTGAGGAAAAATAACAACTTGCTTGAGAAAGTTTTAGTCGGTCAACAATACCAGAAACCAACAAATGATTTCAGTAAAGGTATTTTCAAGTTACCTGATGAAGTTCATGAAACAATTTTAAGATATGGAAATCAAATTGACGTTTTTAATTTTGCTGTTATGCATCCAAATTTTAACAAGATATGTCAAAGATTACTTGATGAAAAGATTCACATCTATGATGATTCTTATAATTTGATGTATCAAAGAGATTTTATGATTTTCAAACTTATTCCAAATATACTATTTTGAAATGGTCTACTTTATGGACCTTGTTCATAAAGCTAGTTGTCCTTATGAATTAATTTCCGAAGCTTTATTTCAGAAGTATGATGATGCTTACAAGTTACCAGCTTTAGAGCATATCTAACGTATGTCTGAGTGTGTACAAAGTGTATTATGGCATAGCCAATGAAGAGTTTGTTAAGTTTTTTCAAAATTGTACTGTTTCTACAATAAACACAATTAAGCATTACCATGCACAGTTCAAAGTTTTCATCAGACAATTAACTCATAACGCACCTGCTTATACAATGAACTTTGAATACTTAGATCAATCTGATTTATCAAAAATGGTTTCATTAACAGTACCTAACAAATAGGAATTTCATGAAATTGAACTTGCTCAATGATTGACCTCTGTTATAAATTTAGTGGTAAATTTCACCTTTCATAACATGGTTGCTTTAATTAGTTACTTGAGACCCAATTCCTTGCAACTTGTGGATATTACGCCTCTTTTGACTAAAAGTTACAAAATAATGAGTAACGTCTAATATTTCAGCTATTTAAACTCTTGACTCTTCTTCGAGTAGAAAAATAGTTCAATTAAAAAGCAGTAAAAGCATTAGACATCCCAGTCTTTTTATATCCGTATATATTAAAAACCAAAGCCAACCTATACATTAAATTTATTTACAAGTGCTCAACATTTGAGAAATAACACTCAATAATTGCTCATTTTCACAAGCAGCAGCAACTCTTTCCTTATCATTTAATTGTTTATTAACTTGATTTTCTGATTGATGAGTACCTTCTTTAATTAAAATTTTAATTCTAAATCTAGCAGGTAAACTTCTTTCCAATCTGACTCTAATACCCAAGCCAATAAGTGTCGCTAATGAACAATGAGTTATAGTTGGTGTGATCTTTATGAGTACTTCAGTTAAAATACCAACTTGTTTTAATTCAATATCTGATAAATTTACCACGGCAAGTTGAGCTAAAGTTAAAGGATGTTCAGGATCAGATATACTTGAAATAAGATCAAATATTTCTTGTTCATCTATTGGATCTTCTTCCTCATCTTCTTCACTTTCTTCTGATGTTGAATCATCTATTAATTCTGGATTTTCATTTGATATTAAAGACAATGATGTAATTTTATTGATTAGTTGTTTATTCTTATCTAATTCTTTATCATTATTTATTCTAGAAGGTAAATTTGAAATGTCTATTATTGTAGGATTAGCATTTATTGGATCACTCATACTTGGTAGTTGGTAGTAGTTGATGATTATTGATGATTATTAATATTCACTTTTCAATCTGATAACGAAAAAAAAAAAAAAAAAAATATTTAAAGATCAAATATTTACAACCAATTTGTATGAACAATTATAATACAATATTTATACAGCAATTAGCTCCATTTGTAAAGATACAATTGGATGATGATATTAAGGATTTACAATTGATAACAGAACTAAAAAGAAACTTAAAATTACATGATATTTCAAATAAGCCATGGGATAATTCAATAATAAAGAATAGATTATCAAGTAATAAATACATTATAGATATTACAGAAGGGTCAGAATTAAAAATACCGAAAAAATTGAAATTGGAGAATGTTCATTCTATACGGTCACCATTTAATAAAGATTCATCGATCTTTCCAAATGGGATACTAACTCACGAATGGCTAGAGAAATATATCCACCAATACCCTTTCCAATTCATATATGTGCTCAATTATGATAATTTGGATATCACAAGAATAAAACAACTCAAAATTGATTTAAATAAAATTAGTGCTAAATTAACACTCATTTTAATTTCATCAACTATTCCCAAAGAGACAAACCTAAATAATCTTAGACTTGAATTGGATCTACCTAAATTAACAGGGTTGATATTCTTACATAATGAAGAACTAACGATTGCAAGAGACGTAGAAGTATTAGTCAATTCATTATTGTCTAATTTGAAATCAAATTCAGTTGAATTTTATAATAGTTTGGAGTATAAGATAAAACAAAGGTATAAGAAATATTACAATATGCCATCCGATTCAGAAAATGTGGATACAGCAATTGAATTAACTCCATTTTTCTTAGAGACTAGAAACTTAATCAAACAGTCATTCACAGTCCAATTTATAAATCCAGCAAATATGGAACCAAGTATAAAACTACTTGAAATAAGTTATCAAAACTTAATTCAAATTTTAAACTCCACATACCTGACAAATTCGAGTCCTCATGATGAGAAACTCTTTGGTCAAATTAGAGTTTTATTAGATATTGTTGCTTTTCATATTGTTAGAGGTTATTTTTCATTAGAAGAACCATTGAGGGCATTAAAAAAACATAAAACTCATATTATTAACGTCATTGATTGTGTTGGAAGTGACGAGAACTTAAGTTGGATTTCAATCCAATATGAATGGTTAGGTCAATTAATGTTATTAATTCCATATTCAATAATTACAAATTTACATACTACATTTTTAAACAAACCAAGGAATAAATTGAATGTTTTGTCATATTTCGGTGGTGTACATTTACCTGAATTTGATCTAATTACAAATCCAGGATTAATTTATTTAAAAGCATATATGAATGCAGACAATACTACAAAAAGGATAGAATTATTGAATAATGCAATTGAAGCACTAGAGGAGATTAAACATGATGCATTACAGAAGGCTTCTATTTCAGGTAATGATAATTTGAAGTCTTTAGTTTCTTATATTAATTGGCTACTCGGTGAAGAATATTATAACCAAAAGGATTTTAAAAAAGCAAGTGATTTTTATGAATTTAGTTTTAATTTAATGGATAAAAATTGGAAAAATATAGCAAGTTTAATACTTGAAAAATTATTAAAATGTTACAAAAGCATAAATGATAAACAATTACAATTAAATACGATATTAAAATTACTGACACTAAATGAATCGACGAATTTTGAAGCCATTGATATAGATGAGAACTTAGATCTTGAATTAATTGAAGATAAGACTAATAAAGTGTTTGATGTTGATGTATTATTAATCAATAAAGATTATAAACTAGAAACTAGTGTGTTGGACGATTCATTATTACAAATTGAGATTAATTCTAATATAGATATAATTAAATTAGTAAGTTATTTTGTGAAAGATACTGAGATAGGTATTGTCATAAATCAAATAGATGTGAATTTCACTCGAACTGATGGAAAGTCAAACATGCCAGGATTAAAAAACATCACTATAACAAATGACAACACAAAAGACAGTCATCAAATATCAAACTTAAATGAGTCTGATCATTCCATGAACTTAAGTATCACAGATTCTAAAACTATTCAATATGTTCAAAAAGTTACAAATCCAGGTTTATTTGAAATTGATTCCATAAAGTTACAAATCACAATTAGTATAAAACATAAAGACAAAACCATCAATTTAAACAAGATAGAGATATACAACATTTTCAGATCAAATTATACTAGACTATTAAAACAAGAAATCAATGGTAAGATCATGGATAAAAAGATTAGATTATCGGAGGCAAGTAATTCAATTAGAGTACATCCTATAAAACCAGATATTTCAATATCATTAACAAGTAAAGAAACTCCAGTATATATCCCCGGCGAGAAATTATCACTCCCATTCAACGTCGAATACAAGAACAAAGAATTACAAAAGAAAGCATTCTTAGTCTCTGCGATCAAAAATGATAATATAATTTCAAATTGGGATAATTATAAAGATGATGAACCGATTGATCTTTTAAAAACAAATCAGACACAACATAATTTAAATATATTCACGAGATCAATAACTTCCGATGAGATAATTATAAATTTTAAAGTCATGACTGATGTTGATTCAGAAGAAGATGATATAATCTACGACATTGAATCAATACAGATCCCAGTTCTTCAAAACTTGTTCAAGTTCGAATATTTAATAACTCCAACATTTCGAGATTTGGTTAATGATATGCCATCACCATTCATTATATCTAATGAAGCTCATCAGATGCCTATCGTAGTTAGATTATGGCAATCACATTTGAAACTAACCCCATCCATACCTATTGATATTACAGATATTGACTTTAATATAATTTCAAAAAATCCAGAACTACTCATAGATTTAAAAGATAAAGAGACGGCAGAGCATCAATTATTTACCACTAGGTCAAAGAATGGATTCAGTCACCGAAATGTTACAATTACAACATCAGCAATTATAAAATGGAAGAGAAAAGAAGATAATGAAAATGTAGTTAATGAATATGAGACAGACGAATGGGATGTTACTTTGACTTTATCTGATCCGAGAGTATTATTAAGAGTAGAAAAAGGCGAAACAGAGCATGATTTTAAAATTGAATATGTTTTAGAAAATCCAACTCCTAGGATTTTTAACTTCACTACTCAATTAATTGATACTAGTGATTGGGAATGGAATGCTGATAAAAATATAACTCCATTAGTACAATCTATTCCATTCCCCGTGTTGCCTTTTACTCGATTCCATATGATTTATTACGGGAAATATTTGAATGAGATAAGTGATGGGTTGATTAGTTTGCCTCAGTTTAAAGTGTTTGATGTTCAATATAAAGTTGGGTTGTTGTCGTTGCCTACACAAAATAACATCATAATTAAAGATAAAGAATTATATTATAAAATTTAATTGTAAGAATGCATCAAACACTGGAAAATAGTTATCTACTATCATTTCGTACTCAAAAAAACATTACGTTTTAAGATTAATATTATAGAATTTAATATATACGAATCGACATTGAATTATATCATAATATATAGATCTCATTTATTATAGAATTTAGTATATGTTATATATTTATTTAATTAACATTAATTAATTCAACTTCAAAAACTAATGTTGAATTTTCAGGTATTAAACCAGGAAATCCTCTATTACCATAACCTAATTCAGGTGGAATAGTTAATAAAGCTTTTGTACCTTTTGAAATTTTAGGTAATTTTGAGTCTGAATTAGTTAAAGAAATATCCCAGCCTTTTATAACTTGACCAACACCAATTGTACAAGTGAATGGTTTACCTCTTTTTCTTGAAGAATCAAATTCTTTACCATTTGTTAAATGACCATCATAGTGAATTGAAATTGTATCACCTTCTTTAGCAAATGTTTTACCATCACCTTCTGATAAAATTTCGACTTTTAAACCTAAATCAGACATAATTGAACAAACAATTGGAATAGATAAAACAGAATAAAAAGAAAATGAAATAAATTCAAATCGTCAAAATTGAAAAGCAAAAATGGTGATATTGGTTGGTACACGTATTATTTGTTATGGCACAAATCAACAATTATTGATATCGACTGCATTGATCAGATTTAGACTTAGACTAGAGTTTGTTACTATTCTGACTATTCTGATATATCTTGTTCCAATGGTTGCTGGCTGAAAACCTTCAATCGTTAGAGTTTGCAACTAAAAAGATGATCTTTGATTACAAAACATCACAATAATTGGAACTCCAATCGATGTCAATGCTCTCTACCATGAGAACAGCTTAGATTGTAAAGAATTCTAAGAGTTAAGTCTCTTTTTTACTCTATATTTCTCACATTTTAACAAAACTGTTGTAAAATCAGCCGTGCTCAAATGTGTTTTTCATGTTTTTCATGTTTATTTATCAGTACACCACTTTCTAATCTGTACAGATCAGTGCTCTGGTATTTATAATGATAGTCGAGAGTAGTGTCAGCTATTTAGTTATTACAGCATAATCACAATTTCGTGTTGTTAATTTGATTGTTATTGTTACAAAAAAAGATCAAGATCTATAGATATGTGTTGTTCGGTATTACACAAAACGACATGAAATTATACTAATTCTACTAATTGACTACAAAAGAGAGATCCGCTCTGTCTACCGTCTATTCCGACCATTGTACGTTGTTGAAGTAGTAGACAGTGTACTAGTGATATATAAGGTAAGAAGAAAAGAAAGGGTTCAATAAATTTGATGATAAAATATTTTTGTTTGTCAAAAGCAAAAGACAAATTTAATTTTTATCAACTCACGGCATACTTTTGATAAACTAATATACTAATACTTAAACTAACCATCCTAATCACCTAATAACTTGCTAGATATAAATATATTGCTAATCATTTTATTTAATACTAATTTAAAATAGCCCACGGCATTTATTTTATCAAATCAATTTTCACGTCAATTTCAATTTATAATAATTTATAATAAGATAATTTATAATAATTTATTATCACAGCCTTGTGAATATTTATATGATTCAACAAATTATACTATGTCAGATGTAAAAGTTGAAATAGACAGATCTGAAACTGATGGTACTTTTACAAATCATGATATTATTAAAGGTAATATTACATTAGTTGTAACAAAATCGATTTCATTAAATTGGATTCAAGTTAAATTGGAAGGAGTTTCTTCAACTCAGTTATCAATTCCCAAAGTTCCAATAAATAAAAAAGATAGAGATAGAAAAGATAAAATTTTGAAAGATGTACATAAAGTTTTATATGATACTGCTATTGTTTTCCCACCTGATAATGTGCGTCAAGTTTCATCAGCAAAAGAATTTACTTTAACACCTGGAAATTATTCATATCCATTTGAATTTAAAATACCACTTAACAATTCGTGTCATAAATTATCTGGTATTTCAAATAAACTAAGTTTTAATTTAAAAACTATGGATTTAATGATTAATAATGGGAATTTTAATTCACAATTTGTCAAAAATAAAGCTCAAAAATATTATCAAGATTATAAATCAAATGGGTTTAGTAATAGTAATGGTAATGGATCTAATAATTCACCTCCCAATTTCTCACAACCTTATCATATTACTTCACAATTACCTCCTTCATTATCTGGTATTGGCGATTTTGCAAATATCAAATATTTTATAAAAGTAACTTGTAAAAGATCAAGTTTTATAAAACCAAATTTAAGAGCTTTTGATCCATTTATTTTTTTACCTTTAGATTTAGATTCTCATAATAAACCAATTGTAGCAAATCAAACAACTGAAATTGAATATAGAGAAGCTTTTGTTCGAAAAGAATTAATTTTTAAAAATAGAATACCTGAAATTGTTGGTGTTAAAGTCCCTTTATCTCCAGAGAAGAAAGCAAATATTGAAAAAAAGGCCCTTCCAAAAGTTCCAGTTCCACAAATTCAACCAAGAAAACAAGGATTTATACAAAGATTATTTAATGATAACCCCATACCTACTCAACCTCTCAATAACGATAGTCCACCTCAACCAATTAGAAAAAGAAGAGATAAAATACCTGAAATTGAAATGAAAAATGTTCCATTTTCGTTTGAAATTAGGTTTAGACATCCAGCATTTTTAATCCCTACTAAACCACCATCTTTTAAATTATATTTAGTAAGTAACTTGAATCCATTAAGATATACATTAGCAGAATATGGTAAATCAGATGAATCAAATGGTTTAGGTATTGTTTATTTACAAAAATTAAAAATTACATTAATTTCAACAACAATAGTATCAGTAATTGAAACTGATGGATCTACAAATGAATATCATATGGGACAAAATGAAGAAAATCTATTAATTTGTAATAATACTTATCAAAATTTGAAATTTGATTTAATGCATTGTATCAAGAATAGAAATGCATCACAAACTTCAACAAATGTAAATAATCAAGGTTCAATATTTGAAATTGAAATTCCGAAGAAATATTTTGCAAATGCTGTTTTACCTGATTATTTATCACCAAGTTTTAAAACTTGTAATATTACAAGAAGATATACTTTAAATGTAATTGGAGGATTTTCCTGTGAAAAGATTAATGATTTTAGAAATAAGATGGAATGTGATAAAAAGATTAAATATGTTGATTTATCATGTCCAAATATTAAAGTATTAAGTGGATTAAATATGACTTCGACATTACAATCAAATGCTTCAAAATCATCGATACCAAGACATAATAGTTCTACATCGACTCCACAATTAGCACATACTCCACCACCACAACAAATACCATTTCTTGACGATAGAAAGAATTCTCACCTTTCAGTTGATTTACCTGATGGTAATAATGAAGAAAGTGTATTACTTCCAACATATGATGATGTTATGAGAGAAAGTAGCTATCAAGATAATAGTGAACATCAAAGAGCAAGAAGAAGGTATCAACAACATGAGCAATATTATAATAGTATAGATCCGTAGTATATAGTGTATCAATAATTATAAATATATCAAACACAATTGGTAGCCCTTGCTTCAGTAGTGTATCAAACAATTTTAATGTTTTGAAATTTTTTTTATTTTTTAACGAATGAAAAACTTTTTGTATTAAATTGCCATTCACTTTTAATAGTAACAGAAGTTGAATAAATATGTCAGATAACTTCTTTATCAAGAATAAAACTGCAATTGTTGTTACTGCTTTAGCTGCTTTTTCAGCTGTTGGTGCTTATTATTATTATACTTCATTAACAAATTCATCAAATACTACCACCACGCCAAAATCAGAGAATAAAGATAAAAATACAACTGATTCAACTACCACCTCAACATCTAAAAATAAAAAGAAAAAGAAAAAGAATTCTTCATCTCAATCACCGGAACCAACTACATCTAATGAAAAATCAATTAAATATCCAACTACAGGTAAATCAAATCTACCAAATATGACCTCAGGATTTATAGATTCATTAAATTCATCACAAAAAGAAGAAATAGCAATGCAATTAAAAGAAGATGGTAATTTACAATTTAAAAACAAGAATTATAAAGATGCTATAAGTTTTTATAGTGCTGCTTTATCATTAAAACAAGATCCAATTTATTATTCAAACAGATCAGCTTGTTATGCTGCTTTGGATGATCATGATAATGTTATAAAAGACACTACTGAAGCTATAAAATTAAAACCAGATTATACAAAATGTATATTGAGAAGAGCTACCTCATACGAAATTTTAGAAAATTATGAAGATGCAATGTTTGACTTAACAGCATTAACTATATATGGAGGATTTTCAAATAAATCAATTGAACAAGTTTTAGAAAGAGTTTTAAGAAAACATTCAATTAAAATAGTTGATGAAAAACCAAAAAAATTAATTTTACCATCAGCTGCAACAATTGGTTCATTTTTCGGTGCATTTGTTGTTGAAACTGAACCAGAAGGTATTAATGAACAAAGTGAAGGTGGTGAGAAATTTTTATATGATGCAATTCAAAAAATTAATGCAAGTTCACAAGATGGTTATGAAGAAGCAGATTCTTTAATTAATCAAGCTGTAGCATCAATAAATCCAGAATCAAAAGTATATCCAATTGCTTTAGAATATTTATCAGCTTTTCAGTTTTTAAAAAATGATCCATTAAGTGCAGCAGAATCAATTGAAAAAGCAATTCAAATAAAACCAAGACCAAGAGCTTATGTATTTAGAGCTTTAATTAATGCTGATAAATCTTCATATGATGCCGCATTAAACGATTTTAAATTAGCTGAAGCTTTAGATCCAAGATGTCCTGATATTTTTTACCATTTAGGTCAATTATATTATTTAACTGGTGATTTATTAAATGCAGAAATTAATTTTAATAAAGCAAAAGATTTATATCCTGAAAATGTTTATGCTTATATTCAATTAGCTTGTATTACATATAAAAATGGAAATCAAGATTTAGCAAATGAAAAGTTTACAGAAGCAAAATTAAAATTTCCAACATCGCCAGAAGTACCAAATTATTATGGTGAGATTTTAGCAGATAAAGGAGATATTCAAGGTGCTTGTAAACAATTTGAAATTGCAAGTAGATTACAAGAAAAATTGGATAGATTTTCAGTTGGTGCATTACCTTTAATTAATGAAGCAACAGTCATATCAAGAGAAAGTTTGGAAAAAATTTCTGAAGCTGAAGATTTATTAGTTAAAGCTTGTGAATTAGATCCAAAATCAGAATTGGCAAGAATTTCATTAGCACAAATTAAATTACAAAAAGATGAAGTTGATGAAGCAATTACATTATTTGAAGAAAGTTCAGAATTAGCAAGATCAATTGAAGAAAAAATACAAGCTACTTCATTTGCAGAAGCTACAAAAATGCAAAAAAGAATAAAAAATGATCCAATTTTGACTAATAGAATTGCTGAATTAATGAGACAAAGTGGTGCCATGTAAGGATGCCAATTGGAAATGTAAGGATGCAACAATTACCTGAAGAAATGTATTAGATAGACAAACAACAAACATCAATATCAACTCTCTCTTCTTTTGTATATAATTTTAAGTAATATAAAAATATCAACAATTTTTCCACTTTGTTTACTTATTTTTTTTTATTTTGCAACCAAAATGAAAATGATCAAAACATTAAGTAGATTAATTATTTCATCACCAAAGAAATGTTATTATGATTCATTAACTGGTTTAATTTATGATTTATCATTCATATTACCTAATTTGATTGTATGTTCAGGTCCTGTAACAAATTCTTATTTCAATTCTTTTTTTAGATATGAATTAAATGATTTAATTAAAATACTTTCTTTCAATTTTGGTAATCAGTGGCATTTATTTAATTTCAAAGGTGAAGATCCTGGATATTTAGATTCTGAAGTATTTGGAAAAGTTTCACATTATCCTTTCCCGGATCATTATCCACCAACATTAAAAATCTTGAAATTGGCAGTTTTGGAAATTCATAAAGTGATTAAATCTGGGAGGCGTTGCTATTTTACATTGTTTGAATGGTAAAGGTAGATCCGGCAGCATTTGTTGTGCGTATTTAATGTACTCCCATTATATTAATGGTGATGGTTTTGATCTTGATAAGATATTAGGATTTTATACTGCTAAGCGAATGAATTATATGGCTGGAGTTTCTATAAAATCACAGATTAGATATTTGAATTACTGGGATGAATATTTAAAGGATGAGCAATTGAGATATAGTTATGATTTATGGAATGGACAGTTTTCAATTTATAAAATTAGAGCAAAGGGTAATAAATTTATACAATTTGAGTTACTGACTTATAAAACAATAACAGAACGAAATAATACCATAGTTAATACATTGGTTGAATTGAATTACAAGAATTGCAAGTTTAAAAAAGACAAGGAATGGCTTGAATACAATTTTGATCCAGTTTACATCCATGAAGATTTAATGATTAGTTACAATTGCAACTACATGTGGTTAAATTTGTACTTCGAGATAAATGGAAATGAAAAGGGATATATTATAAAGGGTCAAGAATTTGATGGAATTAAAGGAACTTCATTCATTGGATTTTCAAACCTCGAAGAAATTGAAATATATTATAAAGTTGTATAAAACTAGTTTAACCACCTCTTTTTTCATTATCAATTTCTAACCATGATTGTTTTAATGCTCTTGTTATTGATTCTAATCTGTTTGATTCTTTATTTATTAACTGAATGTTTTTTGGCGTGTTTGTAAATGGTTTAATTAATTTAATTTCTTCAAATAATATAATTTCATTATGTTTTCGATTTGACCATTTAATATTCTTCTCACCTAATAATTTCTTAAGTTTTTCATATAATTGATCAGATACGTTTGATTTCTTTTTATTTGATTTATTATTATTGCTGTTGTTGTTATTATTGTTGTTGTTATTATTATTGTTATTGTTGTTATTATTATTATTGTTGCTATTATTATTGTTGTTGTTGTTGGTGGTGGTGGTGGTGGTTGAATCTTTTGAATCCTTAGAATCCTTTGAATCTTTACGTGATGTTTTTTTGTGGGATGAGGTTGATGTTGATTCTTTGATTGATTCTTTTTCTTTACTTAGTTCTTTTGCTTTTTCTTTATTTGTTTCTTTGATAGCAGTTTCTTTTGTAGGTTGATTAGTAGTTGGTTTATTGTCTTTGTTTTCTTCATAATTTATCGGTTCTGGTATATAATTATTAATTGATTTATTCAATCTTGAAATCAATTCGTTAATATTTACAGGCTCTATCACATCTTGATCTTCAATATTATAATTCTCTTTATTATTATTTCGTTTTGATAGTTTTTTAGGAAACGGTTTTTCAACAACTATATTTTTAATAGATGCTGTATTTATAATTTTATAAATTTCATTCTTTGGATCACCAAGTTGTAATATAATAATTTCATTTGATGAGGAATAAGTAAAAATTTTACCAATGATTATTTGATCTAATACTGTAGTTATTTTAATTTTTAAATTTATAATTTGATCTATTTTTGACATCATTAAAAGAATGCAATGGGACATATGAATGAAATGAAATGCTATGAACTTGATAAATTCCTCGAATAAATTTTTTTTTCAATTCCTTTTTGTTAAATCAAAAAAAATAAAATTGGTCATGTGACTTGGACCATATTATTAATACTGTATGGCTGATTTGATATGAATTGATACTACATTATACTAAGACTGGAGATCAAGTTAATTGTACTTAGGGGTTTTAGTTGTACTCTTGGATTTCTGTAACTCTTTTCTACCTCTTATTGGTCATATAAAGCGTATTCTAGTTATTGAAGTTACTCATTCTAATATGGAGTTGACTAGCCTATTTTCGGATAAATCAGCTCTTGTTCTACTTCTTTTAAAAGTAATAAAGAGGCTCCTGAGATACATAGATTAGATAGAGTACTGAAATCATATATCTTGTGTACTTTTATCCTACGTGTCGCATCATATTATTTTGATGTCGCAAAATAGACGATAAAAAAAATCTGAAACAAATTAAAATTCACCGTCAATGCATGTATTTCGTTTACGATAGGACAATTTTTCGTGCTGAATGTTCGCGCCACCCAGTTTGTCTCGTGTAAACTCTGACACGATATAGCTATACTTTTAGCCGATACATAATGAACCAGATTTTTTCTCGAAGTAAAGTCTACTTCCATCTTCTTCGCGCTAACTTTAGGACGACGGGTACTAAATTGTATTAGACAAATTGGGTCAGATCTCATGAACAAAACAATCTCTTGAGAAAAGTATCAGTTATATGAAATCAGGTACCTTAACTTAAATATCCTACTCACTCAAAGTTTTTAATCTCAAGAATTTTTTTGAGGTTGAAATTTTGGGCTTTTTTCATCATACAAGAATTTTGGAAAATATGAAATCGCAACTCATTCTTGATTTAGGCCCATAACATCCAAATAAACATTGGATTATTTATATCAGATCTCAAAAGAAAATGCCTAACTTAATTCTAGATGATCAGGACTAAAATTGAGAAATTTCAAAATCTTGTTTTAAGTATGGGAAAAATCGAATAAATTGACCTCATAAAATATCTAACCCCATTTTCCCTGTTCAAAGTTAAGTATGATAAAATAACCCGGATTTGTAGTTCCTGTTCGAGATATCTATTGGAATATATTGTGCTAAGGCATTCAAAAATGGCAAAATATATTTTTCAATAGTGTTTCGATATTTTTGAAAAAAATTCAAATTAAATTTGATGACAGCAAACCATCACTAAAAGTGACTTTGAGAATGAACGAATTTTATTAAGTCAATTATATTAGGAGTTTACGAACAGATTTTAAGTATAGATTAACTCGCAATTAGCGCTGGTTTGCATTTCTTAGATCCTGGATAAAATGATGAAAATTATTCTTTACATACCGCGACGAATATCAGATCACTCATAGTTTTCTAAAGGCTTGGTGAAAGGGTTTTGAGTATTATAGCTTGAGAATTGCGAGAGTTATAAGCAAATTAAGTTTGGAGATCAACTATTAAAAGACTGCATATAAGCTAGTTCGTCTGAGATTTATTTTTCTATGACACGTAAATTATGATGCGATGATTTGCTGCGACTAGAGCAGTTTTTCGCGTTAGCATTAAAACGACTTCGTGCGAATATTGCTACCACCTTGTGCTACTTACTATAATTTTCAACTTACATTTAGATGATTGAACATGTTCTAACTTTCTTTGAATATATTAGATTGGTTTTTAAAATAACTTTCAAGTGCGTCTTTTGTAACCGCTTGTGTTATTGATTTCATTTGATCGATAATGTTTTATTGGTTCATCCTATTTAATCTAGCAATGCAATGCCCCTTAATTTTAAATTACCCCTTAACAATATTTCTGTCGTTTAACTTAAAAAAAATCCAACGCGACATTCAAAAATAATTTTTAAATTTTATTTATTTAGCAGTACCATACCATTCATTATCAATGGGAATTGAATTAATATGCAAAATGAAAATATTCAAGTAGATCAATTAGAAGACCAAATTATAGATCATCCAGATTTATCTACTCAAGAAGAATTATTAAATGAATCGTTAGATGAAACATTTCAAAGAAAATTAAATGCAAAAGCTGAACAAATAAATCGTGGAGAATTATTATTTGATCAACAATTTGAAAAGGAATCAAGTGAAGGTGGAAGTTCAAATGATCCAAATAATGTTAATTTTCAGTTTTTAATTACTAAAAGTCATTTAAATTATGATTATAAGGATTATGGAAACTTGGAGAAAGAAATTTCAGAATGGTTTACGGGTGGTGATTTGATAAAAATTGGCTTAAATAATTTAATTAATTATTATGATGCAAATACAACTGAATTAAATCAATTGGTTTCTCAAATTGAAGAAAATGAATTGGATAACATTTCTGTTATTTTAAAAATCGTACTATATTATGCCTTTGGTGAATATGCTAATAAAAAGACAAAAGAAGAGCAAATTGAACAAATCAAAATTAATGTTAATCATTTGTTAAAGTTGAGTATTTATAAACCACTCGTAACGAAATTGATAAGGTTCTTTAATGATAGAATTGAAATTGATAAATCTAGTGATGGAGCCAAAATGTCGAATTCCACCGAGTCCAACTATTTTAAAATATTAACATTATTGTATTTTTTAACTTTAATTGCTTTAGATAATAAGGATACTAAGTTTAGAGGTTATATAATTGAATGTGAGTTGTTAAATCATTTAATCAAATTTCTAGAACATTGGAAATGGTATAAAAATCAATCATACCGTGTCAGGTACCTAATTTTAATAGTCAACAAATTGATATTTATTGAATTTGGAGATTCCAACCATTTAAAACTGTGTGATGAGTTCTTAATCAAGTTATATGATATCAAAAATAAAAAAGGAAAAGATGAACAATCAACTTTAACTTGCTCTCCACTTGATTATTTTGCATTTAGAGAAGATTTATTAGATAAATATCCAATGTTTAATATTAATCCAGTCGATTTTAACAAATACAAACAATCACAAGAGGAAATTGACCAACAAGGTGATAAATTCATGGCATTTAATTCTTTTTCAAATTCACTATCTAATTTAATTCAAAAAGCAACCACAATAAAAAGTCATACAATTCTCAAAGAGTTGCCGGGAGTGGAGCTACACATTTCCACTCCCCTTCCCTCACCTACACTAATGAATTCAGATTATATGACAGGTGGAGAAAAGATACGAAAATCATATCAAGTTAATCAATCCCTCCCATTCATATTTCCAAATGATCAAATAAATAATTGTGTCCCAAAATCCATAAAAGAAGCTGATGAAATATATAGAAAATCAATTTATGAAAGTTATTCAATTAAAAGATTATGGAATGAACGTGAAAATTTTATGCAACAAGAAAGAGGATATATTGCTGAAAATACTACAAATGAATCTGATTATGATTTTAAAAAATTATATAAAGAATATCCAACTGCTAAAGCACAAATCTCATCAATTGAAAGAGTTGAATTTTTTTATTCATCAAATTTATCTCGATTACATACAATAATTGAAATATTTATGGAAATTATGATTTCAAATAGAATAGAAATTAATCTACATCATACTCAATCTGAATTAAATCCTGTTTCATCAATTATAAAAGATAAAGTTACTAAAACAAAAGTTGAAGAAGTTTTATTTGCACAATTGGAAGTTATAAATGTGAAAGAAATTACATTGAAAGCATCCATTAATATAATATTAATGTTATTGAAATGGTTTAAAATTAATCATGTTTTGAAATATTATTATTTCAGTTCTTTACTATTTGATCAGAAATTTTTCAACATTTCTTTAGAATATTTAAGTAGATGTTTTAATAATTCAAATATTCAAAATGTATCAAATAAAAATGATGATAATAGTGATTTAATAGAATATGAGATTCTTATTAATCAAAATAAATTAATGAATCCAAAGATTAATTTACCAAGAAGAAATTTTTTCAACAATTGTTTAAATAAGTTTTCTGATTCTTATGAATATAAATTTATAAATGACAAGCTTATATCTAAATTACCTGAAAAATTAGATTCAAATAATATAAATCATAGAACTATAAATCAATTTAATGATAATTTTGTATTTATATTGATTAATATTCTTAATATTATAAATAAAATATTAATTAAAAATCAATCCCAAAGAATATTTGCATTAAATGATTTAAAACCATCTGAAATTTATAAAATGATTTTAATAAATTATGATAATGAATCAATTACTCCAATTATTTTAAAAACATTAAAAAAGTTAGTTCCTTATCAAGGTCGTAAATGGAAAAGTGTAAATATGGATTTAATATCACAAATATATTTAACATTAAAATTAGATCTTAAAGATAATTGGTTAAGTGGCAAAGATTTAGAACTGGATTTTAATAGTTGTTATGATCAAGAAATTGCATTACGTGGATTAATACAATTTTATAATATGAGAAAATATAAAGATGAAATGAAGAAGATTGGCTATAAACTTGAGGATATGAATAATGAACCATTACAGTTTAAATTAGACGATGATGATGATATTAATGATAATTTTAATGATTTAAGTATTGATAAAATGGAATTTTGAATATATAATTTTGAATATATAATTTATGCATATGGTAGCGATTTTTCAAACGTAGTGTAAAACACAAACAAAATAAAATTTTTATATGGATGAACAAAATTGAAATAGAATCAATTAAGCAATAGATACATTCACAATGGTTAAATTAACTCAAATAGACGACGAAACTCATCAACAATTTGAACAACAACAACATACTACTTCAAAATCAATTATTGAAGATGATTTTAGTGAAGAAGATGAAGAAGATTCAGATATTGAAGATGATTTTGATTTTGAAAATGAAACAATTTATGATAGAATTGTAGCTTTAAAAGATATTGTACCTCCAGAACATAGAGAAAATATATATAAAGCATCAACAACATTACAAAATTCAATAAGTTCAATTTTTAATCAAGGTGGTAAATTATTATGGGTATTAACTTCATCAAGTTTATTATTAGGTGTTCCATTAGCAATGGCAATATTATCAGAAACTCAATTACAAGAAATGGAAAAAGATATGTCATTACAAAAATCAGCTCAAGATGTTTTGGCACCAGGTTCAGAACAAGCTTTTGATAAAAAACAATAAATGTGATTGAATACTTGTACATATAAATAATAATATAAAATCTCTAGTTTCTAATTTAAATTCTAATCCACTTTCTAATCTACTCTTTTATGTTTAATTGATAATGCATAAATGTCTAAATATTGAGTAATTTCAGTAATAATGTCAGCTACAAAGAATGAATGAATACCCAAAGTAATACCACAACCTAACCAACTTATTCCATTTAACACATTAGTTTCATTATATCCATAAATTTTAATTAAAATTTGACTAATTATTAATTGTCCAATTGGTACAAATATTGGATATTGAACATATGGAAAATCTTGTAATGTTAAATGAGCTAATATAATTCTACCTACAAAAAAAGCAATTGTACAACCAATTGATATAATTAAAGGAAAACCAAATTGTGAAATTATATTTGGATAAAACCAAGCTAATAATATAATGAAACCATAATAAATGAAAAAAGGAAATAAACCTTGATGTGCATTTGAAATTTGTACTTTTGATTCTTTTGAATGTTTACCAAATTTTTCATCATAATGTTTTGATACATTTTGCATAGCTGATATTATATTAAAATATAATGATCCTAATCCTAAAACAACATAAAATAATGATGTACTAACTTTATAACTTTGATAACCTAAACTTGATAAATCAATTTCAAATAAATCCATATTAAAAATATCAGGACCAAATAAACCAGCTAAAATATAAACACCAATAATCATCAAAATACCTTCAACAGGACCTGAAAATTTAGATAAAAATAAAGTATGAGTATGATATTCTTCCCAAGTTGAAGTATAAAAATTACAAACTGAAGCAAATTGTGATAACATCATTAAACCACCATAACCCATTTTTAAAACTGAAGCAAATATAATTGAACCAAAAGTTGTATTAATTGCGTCTATTGAATGATCAAATAATTCACCAAGAGGACCACTTTGACCTGTTCTTCTAGCATGACAACCATCACAACCATCAAAAGTTTGGTACATAAATAAACCAAACGCATAAAAAAAATAACACCATGAAGGTTGAGTTCGATCTAAATATGGATTATAATAAAAAACAACTAATAAATTTGAGATTATAAAAAATAAACCTAATAATGTGACAACATTAGGTGCCATCCATAATGGGAAAACTTGAACAAACCAATTCCACCACTTTTTTAAAACATATTTTGAAATAATTGAATGATCTTCTGATGAATATTTATACAATTTTAAATTTGGTAACTTATTACTTGGAATAAACAACCCCATATTGATAAATTCCACTAAATACTATCTAATGTTTTTCAAAGAAAATCAATTGCCGTTATTTATATGATTTATTGAATGCCAAAGCTTTTGTTTTGTTGGGGGTAATTTTTATTTCTTCGTTTAAAACGTTGTTTAGAATTTTAACCGAGAAGAGCAAAAATATAAAGAATAAACTTTTAAATGGCGTCTAATAATAAACAATTAATTACCAGAAATAGATAGTAGAGATTAAGAACCCACCATTAAAGCTTAACACAAGTTTCACTGATTGGTGGTTGTATTGACAACAGAAAACAAGTGATTTGTTTTTTCTAATTACAAGCAATTTTATATATTTTTTAAAAATACATGTTAAAAACAATCATTACATTTAATCAACTTCTTCCATAGCAGATTCACCAGTTGCTTCTTCAGTTGTAGCAGTTGTAGTTTCTTCTGGTAAGGCAGTTTCTTCAGTATCATCATCAATATTCAAACCTAATGAAATTAATCTATTAATTCTGTGAGCAAATTGTGATGGTTCGTCTAATGTAAAACCTGAAGTTAATAAAGCAGTATCAAATAACAATGTAGTTAAATCTTTAACTGTTTTGTCTTCAGCACCGTCAGTTTCAACCTTCTTTTTCAATTCTTTAATAATTGGAGATTTTGGTGAAATTTCAAAAGTTTTTTTTGATGACATGTATGATGACATTGTTGTATCTCTTAAAGCTTGGGCTTTCATAATTCTTTCCATATTTGCTGACCAACCAAATTGTCCAGTTCTGATCGCAGCTGGTGCATCAACCAATTTATATGAAACAACAACTTTTTCAACTTGATCACCTAAAATATCTTTCAAAGCTTTAGTTAATGATTCAAATTCTTTAATTTCTTGTTCTCTTTGTGATTTTTCTTCATCAGTTTCTTCCAATTCAAAATCTTTAGTAATATCAACCAATTTTTTATCTTCAAATTCTTTCAATTGAGTCATTGCATATTCATCAATTGGATCAACCATAAATAAAACTTCAAAGCCTTTAGCTTTTAATGCATCTAAAAATGGTGATTTTTCAACAGCTTTAATTGATTCACCAGTAATATAATAAATATTTTTTTGATGATCCTTCATTCTAGTAACATAATCTGATAATGAAGTCATTTCTTCAGTTGATTTAGTTGAATTATATCTTAATAATTTGGCTAAAGCTTGTCTATTTTGAGAATCTTCATGAATACCCAATTTAATATTTTTACTAAAAGCTGTATAAAATTTGTCAAATTGTTCTTGATCTTCTGAAATTTCATTAAAAGTTTCAATCAATTTTTTAACAATATTCTTTCTAATAACTTTTAAAATTTTATTTTGTTGTAACATTTCTCTTGATAAATTTAATGGTAAATCTTCTGAATCAACAACACCTTTAATAAATGATAACCATTCTGGAATTAATTCTTCAGCATCATCAGTGATAAAAACTCTTCTAACATATAATTTAATGTTATTCTTTTTCTTTTTAGATTCAAAAGCATCAAATGGAGCTCTTTTTGGAACAAATAAAATAGCTCTAAATTCTAATTGACCTTCAACTGAAAAATGTTTAACAGCTAATGGATCTTCCCAATCATTAGATATTGATTTATAAAATGCATTATATTCTTCTTGAGTGATATCTTGTGGGTTACGAGTCCATAAAGGTTTAGTCTTATTCAATTCTTCAGTTTCAGTGACTTCTTCTTTAATAGTTTTAGTTTTTTCTTTTTTATCTTCACCTTCTTCATCTTTAACCTCTTCTAATTTTGGTTTTTTATCGTCACCTTCTTCTTCAACTTTAGCTTCTTCTTCTTCAACATCAACTGGAACTTCTTTTTCAACTTCTTTAGTAACAACTAATTGAATTGGATAAGCAACAAATTCTGAATGTTTTTTAACAACTTCTTTAATTCTTTTTTCTTCTAAATATTCCAATTGATCTTCTTTAAGGAATAATCTCAACATAGTACCTCTACCTAATCTTTCATTTTTTTCATCCAAGGTAACAGTAAATTTACCACCAGCGTTTGATTCCCAAATATATTGTTCATCATCATTATGTTTTGAAATAACTTGAACATGATCAGCAACTAAAAATAATGAATAGAAACCAACACCAAATTGACCAATCATTGAAACATCAGCACCAGCACTTAAAGCTTCCATGAATGATTTAGTACCAGATTTAGCAATAGTACCTAAATTATTAACTAAATCAGCTTTAGTCATACCAATACCTGAATCTCTAATTTCCAAAACTTTTTGATCTTTTTGAGGAATAATTCTGATAAATAATTCTGGTTCAGTTTCCAATTGAGATGGATCACTTAAAGCTTGATATCTAATTTTATCTAAAGCATCAGAAGCATTTGAAATTAATTCTCTTAAAAAAATTTCTTTATTTGAATAAACAGTGTTAATAATTAATGACATCAACTGAGAAATCTCAGCTGTAAATTCATGAGTTTCAACTTTTTCACCAGACATCTTTAGGTTTTGATTGAATTGATAATTTAAAATTGTTAGTAAAAAAAGAATGGGAAAATAATCAATATTTATATATTTTATAAATTGGTTGTAAAAATCTGTTGAAAAATTTTGAGTTACAAAATTAAAGAAAGTTTAAGAACTTTCTATAATATTCTTTTTCGCCAGGGGTACACTACCGTACTGAAGCGCTACCAGTTGGTTTTTTGCAGCCATTTTTATTATTATAGTATTGGATTTACCCTATTTACATTATTACAAATTCTTCAGTTTCTATACCACAATCTATACATCTTCTTTTTATTATATTATCCAGTATATTTATAGGTGCTGACCAATCATGCACATGTTTCTCTCCTATTGATTTACCGTCTCCTCTCATTTTTCTAGTAAATTCTTCGGCTCTTGTTTTCTTTCTCATTTCTTTTAAACTATCTTGATATTTCTTTTCTTTTCTTTTTAATTTATTGAGTTCTCTTCTTTCATATTCTTGATCTAATTCATTTGGTCCTCCCCATTTCTTCCATGCAAATTCTTCAACTTGAAATCTTAAAAATAATTGCATTTTACTATAACCATGTGGATTTGGTTTCTCAATTCTTGGTAATATCAGTAAATCTTTTAATTCAGGTTCAGTTAATAAATAATCTTCTTTACATTCAGTTTTAGTTAATAATGAATATTTATCAGGTTTTTCTTTAATACATTTTCTACAAGCTTTAACTTTATTAAAATTATGATATAAATTTAAATCTATATCAACAGATTGACATTCAAAACATTTTGGTAATTGATTTAAATCCATTGGTGGAGGAGCTTCTTTAAATTTTTGTAATTCTTTTTGTTTATCTTGCCATTCTTGAAAATTTTCTTCATCAACTTGTTTAATTTCATCTGGTAAAAAACCACCTTTTGAATCTTGCATAGTAGCAAAATCATAATCAATATAGTCTTTTCTGTTAATTGGAGGTGGTATAAAACGTTGTTTAGTTTCTGGATCCGGTTCATTTTTATTTAATCTAACAATATCTTTGATATAATCTTGCGGTTTAGGAGGTGTTTCTATACCTAATTCTTTATCACGTAATCTTTTTTGAATTTCAATTGCTTTTAATCTATTTTGTTCTATTTTTTGTTTCTGTTCTTGAGTTAAAACTTTGGGTCTTTTAATTGAACCATCTTGATCATATTCAACAAATTTAGATTTCGATTGTACTGGAGTATCAATAATTTGATTAATAGGACGTTTATTAGAAGATGATTCTGAAACAACTTCTTCAGGTTGTGATTGTTTTGGTTTCTTCTTTCTACCTAATCTTTCCAAAGTTTTTTGTCTATTTGCCTCCTATTAAACCCATGGTTAGAATGAGATCAAATAATGAAATAAATTATAATACATACCACTAATTTTCTTTGTTCATCAGATAATAAACCATTCATCATGTATAATATAATTGTTTTTGTTTATAAGTATATATTAATTAATCATTGTTGAATGAATAAATGATGTGAATAATTGATGATGACTATTTCTTCTTATTAATACACCAAAAATAAAATAAAATAAAATAAAATAGAATTGTCGTGTTTTATTTTAGTGTCGTGTCATTTAGTGTCGTGTCATTTTTTGTTGTGTCGTGTTTTGTTGTGTCGTGTTTTATATTTTTAGTGTCACAAAAAAAATATAAATTTGACAACAACATTTGATTTGATAACTAACTTAATTAATAAACAACCAATTATTATAATGAGTTCTAATTCAAGAAGAATCAAATTTATATCTATATCTGTTCCTATTTTATATGGTAACCATGCTATTAAATTAACTCCTGATAAAAGAAAACCTACTACTCCACAAGATCATACTCATGAATGGACAGTATTTTTAAAACCAGTATTAGGTGATATTGATTTAACTCCCTTAATTAAAAAAGTAACATTTAAATTACATGAAACTTATGAAAATCCAATTAGATCAATCGAAACTCCTCCTTATCAAGTTACAGAAACTGGTTGGGGAGAATTTGAAATTATAATTAAAATTCATTTTCATCCTGGTGTTGATTTAGGTATAAATGAAAAAAATTTTCAAATATTTCATGGTTTAAAATTACATCCTTATAATCCACAACATCCAAAACGTGAAAATGGTGAAGTTCATCTGATTCTATATGATGAATTAGTATTTAATGAACCGACAGATAAAGTATTTGAAATTTTAACAAGAAAACCATGTAATTTATTACCTTTTAAATTATCATCAGAAAATAAAAGAGATCAAGAATATATACGACCAGATGAAACTGATGAGCTTAATAGATTGGATGTATATATTGATAAAATCAAAGTAGAAATTGAAAATCAAAGAAATCAATATAAAGAATTAGAAGAAGCTAAAATAAGTTTAATAAATTCATAAATAAATATAAAGAATTAGAAGAAGCTAAAATAAGTTTAATAAATTCATAAATAAATATAATCTATATAATCTTGAATAAAAGATTTAATACAATTGAAATGTAAAAAATTGAAATGTAAAAAATTGGAACTTATATGTTTTTGATAATTTACTGGAATTTTACAAATGATTTTATTATTATGGATAATCACCAAATAATCTAAAGGATATATACCACCACCTATAGGATCTAATATTTCGAAATAATTAGATAACATCTTACAAACTTCATTGGTTCCATCATAATCATTATTTGCTGTAATATAGTATATATTAATACTATAATCAAATTCTGATTGAATATCTTGAATATATTCTTTTCCTATAACTCCCAAAAACAATAACGCTTTAAAATTTGTGTCATTATTCATATTTTGGTTAAGACACTCTAATAAATTATGTGGTATTTCAATTTGAGATGATGATTCAATATATGAGCATGGTGGTTTTTTAATTATCGACTTGAATTTCTTGAATGTTGGTAATTGTAATTGTGATTGTAATTGTAATTGTAATTGTAATGGTGAATAAACATCTATCTCAACATCATATGCTCTTTTCATTGATGCTTCATATCAAAGAAAGACTGATTAATCTTTGAAATATTCAATGATTAACGAAAAAAAAGATTATGCGACTTTTCAAAAATTTTTCAAACTGATTCACGCATTTGTCAAATAAGTTGAAAAAGTGGATAGACCATACAATTACTTTATTTATTCAGATAACAGTTCATTAGTGCTTATAGATATGTTATTTCTAGGAAAAGAACAATATATTGTGGTTTAGTTGAACATTGACTTTTACTAATTTTCAGGGTCCAAATAAAAAATCACCAGACGCGTCTTGATGATTTTGATGAAAATTTATTTGGACCTCAAAAAAACATCAACAAATAGACTTTCAACAAATAGACTCTCCACCTCTCACTCTTTAAGATTTAGTCTGTTTAACAGCACTAAAGGAAGTTTTATATGATATTTTTAGTTATGTGACATGGTGTAATGAGCTTATATAGAGTATTATACGCCATGTTCATAGTAATGAATCAATTAACTCTATTAGTCTCTTACTATTAAAATCGAAAAATTGGTAGCACTAAAAAAAAAAAAAAAAAAAAAAAAAAAAAAAAAAATAAAAAAATAAAAAATAAAAAATAAAAATAAAAAAATTATTACACAATATTCTAGTTATAAAGTGACAACCAAATATTTATATAGATCAGGCGTATAATAGATAAGAAATAGTCAGTTTAACAATGGCTACTCAAGTGAAAAGAAGTCATGACTCTTCTTCATTTGATACATCTGTATGTATAACAAAATATATTGAAATAATTACCCACGGTAAATCTATTAACTAACATTTGAATTTAGAATAGTCAGCAAAATATTCAAGAACATATGTCACAGTTACTAATGATGGGAACGAAAAAGAGAAGGAAAATGATGAGTCAAGTTATTGATGAAGATAGTGAGAATATCGATAATGATGTTGGTGTTGATGTTGATGATAATGATGATGATGATGATGATGATGACGATGATGATGATGATGATGATGATGATGATGATGATGATGATGATGATGACGATGAATCATCCGAAAATGAAGAATCAGAGACGGATATAGATGACTATGATGATGCTACTCCAGCTCAAGCAGGTGTTATTGAAAAATTATCGCTTAAAAATTTTATGTGTCATGATTCATTTGAATTAAAATTGGGTCCACAAATTAATTTTATAATTGGTAGAAATGGATCTGGTAAATCAGCTATTTTAACTGGTATTTCTGTTGGTTTAGGTGCAAAAGCAAATGATACAAATCGAGGTAGTTCAATTCGTGATTTAATTAAAGATGGTAAACAAACTTCAAGAATTTCAATTGTTTTTAAAAATGAAGGTCAAGATGCTTATAAACCAAATGAATATGGTAAAAAAATTATAATTGAAAGAAAATTACAACGTATTGGAGGTAATTCATATTCAATTAAAAATGAAAAGGGTAAAACTATTAGTATAAAAAAATCAACCTTGGATGAAATTTTATATAAATTTAATATTACCATTGATAATCCATTAGCATTTTTATCTCAAGATAAAGCAAGAGAATTTTTAACTTCAGCTACTGATAAAACTAAATATGGATATTTTATGGATGGTGCTTATATCACTGAAATTTTGAAAAATTTTGAAGTTACAACTACAAATATAAATGAATTGAAAAGTAAAGTTTCACATTCTGAAGAACATACAAAAATTTGTAAACAAAATTACAAAGAAATTAGTAAAGTTTATAATGCTCATAAACGTAATGATTTTTTAAGAAAACAATTACAAATAGTTCATGGGAAAATTTATTGGTTTAATGCAAAATTGATTAAAGAAAAATTAAGAGAATATGAAAATCAACAAATGGATTACAATTCACAGAAACAGAAGATAAAAGATGAAATTCAGAAATTAGAGGATAACATTAAAGACAAAGAACCAGAAAAAGTAAAAATTATGCAAGAGATTGAAGATGCACATAAATTGTATGAAACAAAACACAATACTTATCAACAATTAAATAATAAAAGATCAGATTTAAGATCAGTTGCACAATCAAATAAAGAAGAAATAATCAAGAGTAGGAATGAAATTCAGTTACATGAAAAAGATATTGAAAATCGTAAGCAGAAAATGGAAGAAGAGCAAAAGAAATTGCATGCTTATCAAGGTGATTCAAAAGATTCATTAAGGGAAAGTATAAATAAATTGAATGAAGAGTTTCATCAATTGGAGTCTGAATATAAAGAAAATAAAAATCAATTAAATGAAATGAATTTAAGTAATAATAGTGAATATCAAAAAATTATGCAATTAAGAAGAGAATCACTAGAGCACTTGCAACAAATCAACAAACAACTATCTGAGTCTAGCAAGAATAAACCTTCAAAATATGATGCTTGGACTTTTAGGATGCCCAAATTAATTAATGAAATAAACTCAATTCGAGATTGGAGCGGTGGTGCTCCAGTTGGACCTTTAGGAAGTTATATATCGGTTAAAAAAGAATATCTGAATTGGAAAATTTTACTAAATAATATTTTTGGTAAAAATCTTGATTCATTTATTGTCACCAATGAAAAAGATAGAAGAAGGCTAGATCAATTATTAAAGAAACATGGTGTACGAAGTAGTATAGTTGTTCGAAAACATGAAAGATTTCAATATGAAAATGGTATGCCAAGTTCTGATTTAATAACAGTATTAGATATGTTGGAATTTGAAGAAGATATTGTACGTTATACATTAATTGATTTAAATTTTATTGAAAAAACAATCATTTCAAAATCTACTGAAGAGGCAATAAAAAATTGTAAGAAATCTAATGTTTATAATGCTTTGGTATTACTTAGAAGAGATTCTGGTAGAAGAGTTAGTTTTCAAAATAACACTCTAAAGCAAGATCCGATTCATTATCAGTATCAACAGCAAATAAAATTTTTAAGTAAAAATCAAACCGATTATATTGATGAATTAACGAAATCAAGAGATGAAGAAAGACATACGTTAAATGATTTGGATCGTAAATTAAGACTGATGAAGATGAAATTTGATACAGAACATCATGATTTAGATGTTAAATGCAAAGAAATTGCCCGTCGAATAGCAGCTATAAAACATGAAAGAATTAAAATACAAGACAAATTAGATGAAGAAGTTGATGATAGAAAAATACGAGCTTTAGAAATTCAAATTAATGAAATTCAAAGTCATATTCAAAGTTTACAAAGTATAATTGAATCTTTAGAAGAAGAAAATAATTCAAAAGCTGAAGAATTTCAAAATATGAAACCAGAAATTGAAGAAGCAAAAACATCATATAAAAAGCAAGAAATTGTTATTGAAAAAATAAAAGATAAATTAATTGAAATAGAAACAGCTTTAGAAACAAGTCGAGATTCCATAAAACATTTTACCTATGAATCGGCTGAAGTTCAAAGAAAAATTGATAAAATTTCAAGTAAAATTGAAATTGGTAAACCACAATTGATTGATGCTTTGAGTAAAGCACAAGAATTTTGTGAAGAAAAAGATGCACCAATAATACCAGAAGATACTCATGATTCAATTGCGCAAGAATTTCGAGATATTAAAAATCAATTAGAAGAAGCTGAAAATGCATTAGGAAGTTCATTAGAAGAAGTTATGGTACAAGTTGAATCAGCAAGAAATAAATTAGAAGCAGCTCAAGCAGATTTAAAAACTTTATCAGATACACAATATAAATTAGACTCTGAATTAAATATAAGATTAAATTATTTGTATACTACAATTACAATTTCAGTTGAAGATGCAAAAAGAACATTTGAAAGAGCAATGAAAATTAGAGGATTTAAAGGTAGTTTAGATTTTAATTTTGGTGATAAAACTTTAAAATTAAATGTTCAAACTAAAAAAGATGATGAAAAAAGACCTGTTGAATCATTAAGTGGTGGTGAAAAATCATTTTCACAAATTGCTTTACTATTATCAATTTGGAAAGTTATGAATTCAAAAATTAGAGGTTTAGATGAATTTGATGTTTATATGGATTCAGTTAATCGTTCAATAAGTATTAAATTATTATTATCTGAATTAAAACAATATCCAAAATCTCAAAATATTTTTATTACACCTCAAGATATAGCTGTTGTTGGAGATTTAGATGATAAAAGTGTTAAAATTCATAGAATGTCAGATCCAAGACAAGATTAAAATAATGGTAAGGATGTTAAGGAACACTTGAGGTATCTTTTTATAGCTATATACAAGTAACTAATGAATCATATGTATTATTAAGTTTTAAATTTTTGTAATTGTCGTATAATTTATCATTAAGTATTAAAAGTTTTGATTGTTTTGATTTATAAGTGGTTAACAGTTGCAAACTTTTAATTATTTCCTCTTGATTGTTTGAATAAAGAAGGACTTTGATGTATGATTTGAGTACTTTAAGATTAATTGACCCTGAGTTGAGAATTTTGTGTTGATTAAATATTTCAGTTGATAAAGTAATTATATCTGGATCAATATTGTCTTGTAAAGAATTAGCCATACATTGAAATATATTGATAAAACTTTGATGTTTGACCAATTTCAGATGGTCAATGCCATTTCGTATTGATATATGTTTTATAAATTGTAGTATGATATCAAATTTCTTTAGTTTACATAAACTCGAGATTATGAATAAGTTGATTGAATAATGTGATGATTGTGATATATCTATCAACTTATTCAACAAGTCTTCCTTATTACTTATATCTTGTATCTTCTTTGATAATAAAAATTCAAATTCTGGTAAATCACTAATTGAAATAGTACTAGCAATAAATGGGATTGGTGATTTATTGGGAGATTTATATACATTTCTTTGAATAATAGGATTATATTTATCTAGTTTCAAGATATTACAAATTAAATTTTGATGAATATCTAGATTAAACTCCTCAAAATCATCTAATTTAAACTGATTAGTTTTTATATTTAAAACTCTCCAATTGATATTGTTCCTCGAATGATAATTCTTATTTGGTGTTTTGTCACTTATCAAATAACATAACTTATTAAGCAGTAAAATTGCTTCTTCGTAATTGTCCAATCTTGAATGAGTCTCAATTAATAAAATTAACAAATTTTTATAGCTTTGATTAAGTTTATGAAATGAGTAAAATCTTTTAAAGTAGCTTAGCAATCCCTTAATTCTAGCTATATCATTATTATTCTTAAATATCACACCAAATTGTTCTAAATTTGAAGGTGTGATAAGAAATGATATTTGATCATTCATTGGTAAATAATTTGTAATATCTTGGGTATAAAATTTCCAATTATCTATGATTTCATGATATATTAACATAGCTCCGAGATGATCATTATGAAGTAATACTTGATTTAAATAATAACACCAAATTTCATTCGATATTTTAAAATCACACGATAATAATTTATGTAATAATAAATTAACAGGTTTTAAATCAAATTGATAAATTAAATTGAAAATATACAACTCAACTAACTCATTATTTAATATTTTATAATTATCAACTATAAATTTGAATATTTCTGGACTGGAGTCATTAATCATCATTTTGAATTTTAAATTTAAGAAATTTTCATTCTTTTCTATTAATTGACGTTTTTCTTTAGTTGATAATGATTTATAAGCAGGTAATAATTGTTTTATCAATGGTATAGTTATTCTAGTATCATTGAGTATATTATTTAACGAATATAGTCGTGTTAATAGTATAGCAGTTGATCGTATTCTAGCCCTACCATACATTAAATGAAAAAGGTGTTTCAGAAATTTGTTGATATTGAACATTTTGCACACCCCCTTCCACCACTTTAAATTTTTCACTTCCTTTCTATTAAACAGAACCATACAATATGTTAAGATTGGGTATTATATCACGTAGTTTGAGGACTACTATGATAAAAGGAAATACTATATCTCGTCCTATTATATTAAATACTACTGGTGGTTTTAATGGTGGTAGAAGATTTAATTCAAATACGTCAAATACTTTAAATACTTTAAATACTTCAAGTACTTCAAATACTAATGAAATATCAGATAGATTAACTTCTTTTGTTGAAAATTCAGATTTAAATAATACTATAACTACTAATTTACATTCAAATCAATTAGGTTATCTTGATAGTATAGGTTTAGCTCAAGGTTGGGGTCCAACTAGTATAATTGAAAAATTATTAGAATTAACTCATGTATATAGTGATTTACCGTGGTGGACAAGTATAATTGTTTTAACTTTAGGTATTAGAGTTTTATTATTTCCTTTATATGTTAAGTCAAGTTCAAATGCAACTAGAATGTCAAAAGTTAAACCACAATTAGATCTATTAATGAAAGAAATTAAAAATGGTGATGTACAAGATCAAATGAGAGGTATGGAAAAAAGAAGAAAAATAATGAAACAAAATAATATATCAACATTAGCTACTTTAGCTCCAATGGTTCAATTACCATTGGCTTATGGGTTTTTTCAAGCTTTAAGAAAAATGTCAAATTATCCAGTCGAAGGCTTTACTAATCAAGGTTATGCATGGTTTCAAGATTTAACAGCTGTTGATCCTTATTTAGGTTTACAAACTATTGCTGCCTTATCAATTATTGCTGTTGTTAGAATTGGTGGTGAAACTGGTCAACATGCATTTGCAAAATCAATGAAAACGGTAATGACAATTGTTCCATTAGTTTCAATTTTAATTACTAAAAACTTTTCTGCTGCAATTGTATTATATTTTGCTGTTAATTCAATTTTTTCATTATTTCAAAGTTTTATACTAAAAAATAATTTTTGTAGAAAATTATTAAAAATGCCTCCTAAATTAACACAACAACAATTGGAAAATTCAAATCAAAATGCAAATCAATCTTTAAAAGAAACATTTAATTCTTTTATTGAAACTAATAGAGAAAAAGCCATTGAAAAAACAAAACAAGCAAATAAGAAATTAGAAGTTAAACATCAAAGAAAATTAACAAATCAAAATACTTATATTAAAAGACATTAAGAAAATTAATGAATAAACAGAATCCTTGTATATAACTGATAATGAATAAATAAATGTTCAATTTTATACCAAAATTGTTTATTAAAGATCTCAAATTTTCGCCAAATGCTGCATAAAATACATAAATTCAAGAAATAAATGTCAAGAGATAAAGAAAATCAGACATTACCTTAATTGTTTCAATATTTTTTCAATCAACAATCAATTACTACCACTCAGCAGTATTTGTCTTGTCAATATAATTATCTTTGATTATTATTAATTGAAATAGCGTCTATTTATAAGTGTCACATTTTTGTGTCGCAAAAAATCCATATGCAAAGGAAATCTGACATGACTTACAAATTAAGTAATTTTCAAGATTTCCATGCGAAAAGGAAAAAAAAATAATAATCATTTATAAATATAATACGGAATATTTTTACCATAGATTATTAGACTTTGGAAACTGAAGTTTAGTTAGTATTAATTATAAATATTAGCGGGTAAATTGATTATAATTTTATGTCAAAATGAGTTTTTTCATGGTACCTTCAGTTTCTTATCAAACTCAACAGAAATTAAATAAACAACGAAATAGTCAAAGTAGTGGTAAATCAAAGGATAAGGATAAAAAAGATCATAAAGAAAAGGATAAGGATAAAGATAAGGATAAGGATAAGGATAAGGATAAGGATAAGGATAAGTGTAAAAAACTGAAATCGAAATCTTCACTGAGTAATTTACCTGCGGGTAATACTAGATCTTCACATAGTTCTGGATCTAGGAACAGTTCAGATTCAAATGATGGAAAATCGATCTTATCAACTACAACTACAACTACAAACAAACTGGAGAGTCCTAGTGTTTCTTATAGTACATTGACCAAATTAACAGAAGATCAAAAAGAAGATGGAAATGATGAGAAAGTTGGAAATAAACAAGGACCGGGTGAAGATCCAAAAAAATTTAGTGTTAGTGATAGTGATAGTGATAAAGGTACACGTCATCCTCATCCTCATCCTCATCCTCATCCTCACCATAGTACTGCTGATTGTAAAGAAGATCTTAGTCATACTCATTGTGATGAAAACAAAGAATATGCTTCAAAAATAGCTTCAAATTATCGAGAAACCATGGGCACAGATAATTTTAAAGCGTTAAATTCACTTAAAAGTTCATCTAGTTTAAATATGTTGGGTTCTACTCCAAATGCACAATCAGCAACAACACCTTCAATGTTAAAACCAAGAACTAATTCGACATATGGAGACCAAAATCAACCAAGTCTCGTTACAACTCCACCTCCAGGTGGTCATTCATTATCTTATTCACACTATAATTCAAATCAACCTTTTCACCGAAACACTTCAACGACGAGTTCATCATCATCTACAGCTTCACAAAATTCAAATCCAGGATTTCTTTTAGGTTCAAATACACATCAAAAATTTAGAAAATTATCATTTTTAGGAAATTCAACATCTTCAGCTGCTATTAAAAGAAGAGATAGTGCTGGTGCTGGTGCTGGAGCTTCACCAGAATCACCAGGTGCTCATATCAGAGGAATACCAGGATCTCCAAATATACGAACTTCTTATTTTCCAGAGGTTACTTCAAAATTATTATCAGGTAAAATTCAACCCTTTATTCCAATTTTAGATTTATCAATTTATAATTCAGTTGAAAGTTTAAAATCAAGTTTCTTTACACCAACGTATCAAATATTTAGGTATAATAATTTTTTATCTTTACTTGGTGATTATCATTCAAGTGATGCATTAAATTTTGCAAATATTAGAAATCATTCATTATATAAATTCATGATACGACAAAAGAAAGCAAAAGCTTATTTACAAGAAAATCCAGAAAGTAAAGAATTTAATGATTTATCTACATTAGAAGGTGTTTTATCGTATAAATTATATGCACCAGCTAGAGGATATTTAAGATCAATGATTAAAGCCGCAAGTAAGAATCATAAATTACAAAATCATGAAGAATTAGTGCAATCTAATTTTGTAAATTATATAAGATATTTGATAAATTTACCTAATGATCTAAATGTTAATGAGTTGAATGAGACTGAAGAGAGACATTTTGAATTTAAAATGTTGTTTATGAAAGTTGTTGATACTTTACATTCTTTAAAGTCTGATGATGCTACTGATATAATACCTAATGAAGCAACTGCACAACAAACAAAAACTAAATTACTCGTTGAAGTAATCACCAAGGTTAGTTATGAGTACATTTTATTGGAAAAATATAGATTTGATATTACAACCAAATTTCATGGTAATAGATTATTTGATAAGGATGTTTTAGTATATTTATTCAACAAGTATAAAGAAAATATTAAAAATCATAGTAGGGAAAATGTAAAAGTATTTATATTTAATAGTTCAAATTCAATTCAATATGGTTGGTATTTAGCTATTACTATTCCATTTGTAAGATTTGTAGAAAGTCATATATATAATGAAGAAACTGAATTGATTGAAAATTTTGAAAATTATCAAAGATTTCAACAACATCAATCAATCAAAATTGATTTTAAATCAGGTGATAATGAATTATATGATACATATATTAAAAAACTTGGGTTTTCATCATTTCAAGAATATACAAACATGAGTAATGAAAAATTAGTGAAATTAGCAAAATTAATAGATAATCAATCTCCAAAATATAATAAAATTAATCGTCATGAAGTTTCAGATCCATGTGCTACTTTCTCACATCGTCCAATGAATTATGAATATTTAAGTTATAGTATGGCAAGTATAATGTCAAATTCATTTGAATTAATTCATTGTAATGATTTAGCTTATCAAATAAAACAACAAAATTACAAAGTTATTTTGAATGAATTTCATAGAATTTTAAAACCCACAGGAATTTTAGTTATTGAGTTTATTCATTTAGGTTCTGATACAATTGAAGAATTTATGAAAACACATCAAGATGGATCATTTCCAAAAGTTTGGAATTTTAAAGAAACTTCAGTATTGAAATACTTTGATGCAATGCCAAATTTTGTTGAAAATGTATTATTTGCATTGGATGAAATATTTGGTAAAGGAAATGTTAAATTTTCATTTTCATTATTAAATTCACAACTAGATGTTAATAATTTTTTGATTAAGTTTGCCGGTATGAAATTATATGAATTAATCGGTAAATTTAATGATTATTGCGAATTTTTTCATGATTCAAATGAAGGATTAAAAGCGAAAAATGGACAAAGTGTACATTTTAATATTCAACTAAGAGCATATAAGAAAGACGAATGTTAATATTTATTTATCTAGGTGTATTTTAATAAAAGAATGCCGGACATTTTATACAATTTTCTTCTTTGTTTCATTTTGCACCCAAATTTGTTTTGACTCATTTTGACTCATTTTTTTTTTCAATATTTGATCTCGCTTAAATTAATTATTTATACGTATACCCATCATTAAATTCTTCTTCCTTTGATATGTCGTTAGTTCATATTATTGATGTTGAAAGTGGTAATTTACAATCATTATCCAATGCAATTTTAAAAATTGATTCAAATTATCAAATTAAATTTATTCATAATGAATCTGAATTTATAAAATATAATTCTGAAATTGAAAAATTAATATTTCCTGGGGTTGGTAATTTTGGTCATTTTGTTCATGAATTAAATAATAGAAAATTGTCCAAACATATAAAAGAATATATAGAATCTGGTAGATCAATAATGGGTATTTGTGTTGGATTACAATCATTTTTTAAAATATCAGAAGAATCGGGTAGTCAAGTTCATGGTTTAGGTTTATTAGATTTGGATTTATTTAAATTCAATCCAAATGATGATATATTTATAGAAAAGGGGATAAAGAAATCTGTTCCACATATTGGATGGAATTCAATAGAGGATATTGTAATTAATGGAAAGGTTGAAAATGAGAAATCTATTCATGGTATAAATACTCAAAATAAATATTACTTTGTTCATTCTTATGCTGGTATAATCAAGAATTCAGAAATAGAATCAAAAATAAAAGCATATGAATCTAAAGGTTGGAATTTTGCTATTGGTAAATATGGATCAGAAAAATTTGTAGCTGCAATTTCAAAAGATAATTTAGTTGCAACACAATTTCATCCTGAAAAATCTGGAATTGTTGGATTAAAAATAATAAAGAATTTCTTAAATGGTGAAAAATATCCAGAAATTGATGCTAAAAATGAATTGAAAAAGGGAACAGAATGTACACTTTCTGGTTTAAGTAGAAGAATAATTGCTTGTTTAGATGTTAGAACCAATGATGATGGAGATTTAGTAGTTACAAAAGGTGATCAATATGATGTAAGAGAAAAAACAGATTCAAGTGTTAGAAATTTAGGTAAACCAATTGAATTAGCAACTAAATATTATAATCAAGGTGCTGATGAAATTGTATTTTTGAATATTACATCATTTAGAAACTCTCCAATTAAAGATTTACCAATGTTGGAGGTTTTGAAGAAATCAGCACAAACTATATTTGTTCCATTAACTGTTGGTGGAGGTATAAAAGATATGATAGATCCACAAACTGGTAATTTAGTACCAGCTGTACGAATTGCGGATTTATATTTTAAAGCAGGTGCAGATAAAGTAAGTATTGGATCAGATGCAGTATTAATAGCTGAAGAATATTATAGAAATGGGAAAAAGGGAACTGGTAAATCATCAATTGAAACAATATCAAAAACTTTTGGGAATCAAGCAGTTGTTATTTCAGTTGATCCAAAGAGAAAATATATATCTGATCCAAATGAAACAACACAACAAGTTATTAAAATTGAAAATCCAGATGAATTTGGTCCAAATGACGAACAATATTGTTATTATCAAGTTACTTCTCAAGGTGGTAGAAAAATTCATGAATTAGGAGCTTTGGAATTATGTATTGCTTGTGAAGCTCTTGGTGCTGGTGAAATATTATTAAATTCAATTGATTTTGATGGTTCTAATAATGGATTTAATTTGCAATTACTAAAACAAATAAAAACAAATGTGGGTATTCCAGTTATTGCATCTAGTGGTGCTGGTAATCCAAAACATTTTGAAGATGTATTTAAACAAGATTTTAATATTGATGCTGCTTTAGGTGCTGGTATGTTTCATAGACAAGAATATACTGTTAATGATGTTAAGAAATATTTACAAGATAATAGTAGAATGGATGTAAGATTGAGTGAAGATATAGAATTATAGATAAAAGTCAATTAGTTAATTAATTAATGCATAATTGAATGCTGAAAACCAAAATACAGATTAAGATGAATGAAATTTTAATACATGTCCGTTCTTAATCACCTCTCATATTGAAGCCGATTGCCTATTCTTAAATTGGCACAACGCTTCAACTCTAAAGTTCGCTCATAATAAAGATGATCAATAGGTTGTAAATATGATTGGGTAGTCCTCTTTAGAAGTATGCACTTTGGAGAAATGCGATTTGAGAATTATTTGACTAAAATAGTAGAATATGTTGATTTTCAACCACACGATTTCTCTGAATGTCACAAATAAGGTTAAATAATTGACAACATTTGGTGGATCAAAAAACTAGAGTAAACCAAATATGGCTTATTATTTGTGTGAACTTTAGACAATCTTTTGTGTCATTAAAAAATAGACGACCAAAAAATAGTATGAATTAATCAAAAATCAGTAGAAATGGAAATCGAATAAACTAGTTTCCACTGAGAAATTCACTTGTCGATGCTAGTAGAAACCCATAATCAATGTGATTATTTAATAAACTATTGGGTAGCCAGTGTAATTGATGAAAGCTATTCATAGGAACCTTTGCAATCCATTCTCGCCGCGAGTTGTTGTTAGGATTAACCCCATTTAAAGTTCACTTTTGCCCATCAATCAAAAAGGACATTCTATAGAAAGAGTATAAATACTGGCCATTGATTCAAAATAGCTTTAGGTTGTACACTGAATCAACTAAAACTTCCATAATAAAATTTATTTTTATTATTAACATGAATGTTTTATTAATTTTTTTATTATTTACTTTTCAATTATGTATAACCAATGCTACTAGGGAATCCATTGGTAATAAAAATTTCATACGGACCATGAAGACAGAGAATATAACACAGATCCATACCGTTACGATTTAGATCTACCACAGTTACAAGAATGTTTAGGTAATAATGCTCAAGATGATTTATGGCAGGATGTCAATGATGGTTATATTGTGAGAGCAAATGGTAAAAAAACTTAAAATGATCCTGATTGGGCCAGGTGTTTACGAGAACAAGAAGTTGCACAAGTTGTTAGTCTGAGTAATGGTGTATTTACCGAAGGTTGGAGCTATATTGGAATAACTGATGTGAGTACCTCGAGTATATTCGACATTGGCTTAAGGCACCGGACTTGGTTTGTTCACTTTAAAGCAAAATTGAATAATAGAAAAATTCACAATTTTCACTTAACTATGGGGAAAATCGAATAAAGTACCTTACTTAAAATCTAACTCCACAATCAAAACTGTAATGAAGACATAACAAAAAAATTTGTAGTTTTGCTTTTTGATATCGTTTCATGTCTTTGAGTTAAGGTAGAGTAAATTGGGAAAGCAATTTTTCATAGGTGTTTCAAAAATTTTGCAAAAAATTCAAACCGATTTTGACGCCTTCAGAAAACATTATACAAAAACTATTTGGGCTTAATTGAGTCCAATCAGCTATATTAGAACTTGCTAAATGAGGTTTAAGTATTGAGAATCTTTCAATTTAGCGTTTTTTTGCTTTTTCTTAATAATTAATAATATGATTAAAATTATAATAATTAAAATATGATCAAAATTATGTTTTATTAAAAAATACACATATTAGAAGACGCCAAATTTATTGAAGATTCAATGAAAAAAGTTTGAGGCCAGTAGCCTGGATATTACTTCAGTTATTTGAAGATTAATTATAACGAATTAGTATTGCAGTACTGTATTGTTTCAAAATTTTTTTCTATTTTAGTGCGTAACTATCGCCCAATTTTAAAGATATCATAGAACATTCTCGCGCTAGTTCTGGAGCGACTCTCGTCCTAAAGTAATTAGCTTATATGTCGTAAACAAAACTTTTTCTTGAGATAAGTACCATATTACTAAGTTCAGGAGTCTTCGAATATTTACTCTACATCCTTCAAATCTTAGATTTCAGAAAATTTTTTTGGAATTGTCATTTTGGCATTTTTTCATCATACAAAGATTTTGCCAAAAATTGAAACACAGTTTATTTTTTATTTAGGGCCATAACTTTCAATTAAACAAAAGATTGTATATATTTTGAATCAAAATAAACACTCAGATATAGTTTTGAGTGAAACAAGCTAAAATTGAAGAAGTTCGAAATTTTCTCTTAGCTACAGAAGAATTTCAATTTAAGGCGAGAGCTAGTACCACTGTTCGTACTAATATTAATGTATCCTTCGCACCAAATAAAAATCAGTTCCTCGTTTTTATTCGTAAAGTCTCTTTGAAATAACACTTCAAATTTTGCAGAAAAATATATTCAACCAAGCATGCTATCTCTCAACTGCTTAATTTTAGACTGCTTATGATATACGGTCGATAGAAAGGCTTAATCTTTAATTAGTGTTTCATATTAAAATGGTTGCAAAATGTACACGTGACTTTTGATATAAAAAAAAAAATTTATTAAGAAATTAATCATAAAAGTTAAAACCAAAGTCAGAAAAATAGAGTTGCCAATATAGGAATATATAGAAATCAAGAATGTATCATTGAAAAAAAATAAAACACGGTAAAAGTCGACAGATATTAAGTTAAATAATGAATTTGAGAAAGACTTCAAATAATCAAATCAATTTAGGGAATGCCAAAGATAATAAAGATTTATTTAAAGTTAATTCAATTGATTCCAATGGTGATCATGATTTGTCAAATAATGGTAGTTCTCCATCAGAATTAACATATTCATTAAGTAATGATGATCCGATAAACATCACAAAATCAAATTATTCATTGTTAAGAAAAACTTCATCATCTCCGATTCAATCAAATTTACCAAGTATATTTAGTAATTTAAGATCCAATGATAATTTGAATGATTCAATACCACCAATTAAATATGGAAAAAATATAATCAAAAGATTATTACATATAGATGAAGATGGTAAGAAGAAATCAATTGAACGTAGTTTAAATTTAAATCATTCAACTTCAGATTTACAATTTTTAGATAATCAAATTAAATTAGATACTGATTTTGCTAAAATAATAGGACAAATTGATATTGATCCAGTTTTCAATAATGAAGGTTTATATTTAACTAAAATATCACATAAATCTAAAAAGAGAATTTTGATATTTATTGATTCAATTAATTTTAAATTTAAATGGAAAGTTGCATCAGTGTTACCATTAAATAATACAAGATCGAATTCAAATTCAAGTATTGATGGTTATAAATCATTGATTTCAAGTTCAAGAATTCATGAATTTACATTGGATGATATTAAATCAATTTATATGCAAGATCAAGGTTCTTCATATAGAGAAGAATTAAATGTACCAAAAGAATATGAAAATCAATGGATTACAATCATTTATCTTAATCAAAAAAAGGGTAATTTAAAATCATTACATTTAATTTGTGAATCAATTGAAGATTTTGAAAAATTATCATCTGCAATTATTAATTTAAGAAATTTAAGATATCAATTAGCTAAAGAATTTTTAATAAATTTAAACGATTTAAAAGAAAATCATGTAAAGTCAATTATATTAGATAAAGAACCTAGTGATCTGAAAATTGTTCGTGATTTTTTATCATTTCAAGATATTTTGAAATATGCAAAGAGGTTAAACATAAATGTTAATAAGAATTATCTACAAAGTATATTTGATCAAGTATTAGCAGTTAATCCAACATACGATGAACAATTAAATTTTGATCAATTTAAAAAATTTGTCTCAATATTGAAAAATAGACAAGATATTGCTGAAATATGGGAAAGTTTAAAAAATACTGACAAAGAAGGAATGACATTAGACGACGTTACATTATTTATAAAAGATACTCAAAAGGAACAGATTGAGAATGAAGATGTGATATTTCTATTTGATAAATTTAAAACTCCTGATAATCTATGGTCAGCAGATTCATTAAACAACTTTCTATTATCAAGTTACTCCAAGTCTGTTCATAATATAGAAACTAAACAATATTATAATTATCCGTTAACTGATTACTACATATCATCATCACACAATACTTATTTAATTGGAAGACAAGTTGCTGGAGATTCTTCAGTAGATGGATATATTAAAGCGTTACAAAAAGGTTGTAGATGTATTGAAATTGATATATGGAATGGTGATAATTCAGAAGAAATAAATAATTCAGAACCAAATGTAAATCATGGTAGAACATTTTCAAAATCAATTAGTTTTGCTAATGTGATAAATACAATTAAAAAATTTGCATTTATAACAACTCCATACCCATTAATTTTAAGTTTAGAAGTTCATTGTACTCCTCAAAATCAAATCAAAGTGGTAAATACTTTAAAAGATATTTTAAAGGATAAAATGATAATTGCACCAATTAATGATGATTCATCCTTACCATCACCATCACAATTAAAGAATAAATTTATAATCAAAGTTAAGAAAACGAGTGCTTTTCAAAATTTAATCGAAATGGATGATGGTAGTTTTACAACAACCACCACAACTTCAATGAGTGAAGATAATGAAACAAAACCGAATGGTAATTTTTTCAAGAGAAAAGTTAATAAAAATCCTAAAATTATTAATGAATTAAGTGATTTGGGTGTATATGTTCAAGGATTAAAATTTAGAAATTTTTCATTACCTGAATCCAAAACATTTAATCATTGTTTTTCATTAAGTGAAAAGACAATTAATAAAATAATTAAAGATGAAGATAAAAACGCATCATTAAATAAACATAATAAGAAATATTTCGTAAGAGTATATCCATCAAAAACAAGAATTAAATCTACAAATTTTAATCCTATTCAATATTGGATTCACGGTGTTCAAATGGTAGCAACAAATTGGCAAACTTATGATTTAGGTCAACAATTAAATGAAGCAATGTTTGAAGGTGTTGATAAAAAAGGATATGTTTTAAAATCAAAAGAATTGAGGAAACCATATCTTAAAAGTTCAAAATTTAATTTTTTAACAACAGCTACAAAATCAATTAAATTTGAATTGACAATTATTAGTGGTCATCAATTACCTAAATATAATAAAGATGATGAAAATGCAATAAATCCATTTATAACATTTGAAATAATAGGTGCCGAATCAATAAACTGGGATAAATTAGTTAAATCAAATATTTTTAAAACTAAAATTATTCCTGAGAATGGTTTTAATCCAATTTGGGATGAATCAATAGGTGGTAAAATAAATGTAAATTCTGATTTAATATTTATTAAATTTCAAATTTTCAATTCATTATCAAAATTTGAAGAAGTTAATAGTCAACCAATTGGAGTTATAGTACATAAATTAAATTATTTAAGACAAGGTTATAGATATTTATCAATTAATGATTTATTTGGAGAGAATTTAGTATATAGTTCATTGTTAATTAAATTGAATTATGATGATGAAGTAATGTCAAATTTATAGAAAAATAACTATTAGTTTATATAGTTTTAAATTTACGCTGAGATGAAACAAAAAAAAAAAAATTATAATTTCAATAGATCAAATAATCTTATACCATGGGTAAAATATCAACTAATGAAACTAAATTAAAACAAAGACATAATCCATTATTAAAAGATATATCAACTGCTGGTGGTAATCTAAGAACTAAATCTTCAAATAAAAAAAAGTCTACACGTACAGATCAATTTGATGATGAAAAACAAGATGGTTATTTAGATGCTCAAAGTTCAAGAAAGATTTTACAATTAGCTAAAGAACAACAAGAAGAATTAGAAGAAGAAGAAGAAAATATTAATAAACCAAGTTTTATAGAATCCTTTAAACAACAAGATCAAAGTGAAGGTGAAGATGAAGATGAAGATGAAGAATATTCAGATTTAGAAGAAGAAGAATATGTAATAGATGAAGAAGAAATAGAAGTAGATGAAAAAGATGCAGAATTATTTAATAAATATTTTCAAAATAATGGTACCAATAATGGAGGTATAAATTTAGCTGATAGAATCATGGCTAAAATACAAGAAAAAGAACAATTACAAAATTTACCAAATGAATCAATTGAAAGACCACAAGATGCTGTTTTATTACCACCTAAAGTTATAATGGCTTATGAAAAAATTGGTCAAATTTTAAAAACTTATACTCATGGTAAATTACCAAAATTATTTAAAATATTACCAAGTTTGAAAAATTGGCAAGATGTTTTATTTGTTACAAATCCTGAACAATGGTCAAATAATGCAGTTTATGAAGCTACTAAATTATTTGTTTCTAATTTAACTGCAAATGAATCACAAAAATTTATTGAAGGTGTATTGTTAGAAAGATTTAGAAATTGTATACAAGATTCAGATGATCATTCATTAAATTATCATTTATATAGAGCTTTAAAGAAAAGTTTATATAAACCAGGTGCTTTTTTCAAAGGATTTTTAATTCCATTAGTTGATAATTTTTGTACTGTTAGAGAAGCAACAATTGCAGCATCAATTTTAAATAAAGTTTCAATACCTGTTTTACATTCATCAGTTGCATTAACACAATTATTACAAAAAGATTTCACACCAGCCACAACTGTATTTATCAGAATATTAATAGAGAAGAAATATGCATTACCTTATCAAACTTTAGATGAATTGGTATTTTATTTTATGAGATTTAGAAATGATTCAAGTATGGATGTTGATCAAACTAATGAGCAACAACCACAATTACCAGTTGTATGGCATAAAGCATTTTTAGCATTTGCTCAAAGATATAAAAATGATATAACTGATGATCAAAGAGATTTCTTATTAGATACAGTAAAACAAAGATTTCATCATGCAATAGGACCAGAAATACGAAGAGAATTATTAGCTGGTAAACCAAGAATAAATCCAGAGCAAAAACAAGATGGTATAATGATTGATGCATTCTAATAAATATTTATACATGTATCGGTATACTTGTTCTTTTTCTTGCTTCTTCACGAAGTTTATTAAAATCAGCAGTTAATGAATAATAACTTTGAACTCCACCAACTATAGTTAATGCAACAGTACTACCTATCCATAAACCATGTAATGAACCTTTCCAAGGTGAATAAAAACTTAAATATAAAGATAATGGTAATCCAATAAAATAATATGAGGCAACATTGACTATTCCTCCAATTCTTGTATTTCCTTGACCTCTTAAACAACCAGCCGAATTTGCATTCATTGCATCACTAATTTGCATCAATGCAATTAACCACATGATCTTTAAAACTGTTTTGATAACTTTTTCATTATCAGTGAATAAATAAGCAATTTGTTTTTGAAATATAAATAATGCTAAAAAGTTTACAACTGAAACTAATAATCCAAATAATAATGCTACCTTTGTTGTAATTTTTGCAGCTTCACCTAATCCAGCACCTAAGAAATTTGCAATTCTTGTTGATGATGCAATACCAATTGCAAATGGAACTTGATAAGTTAATGAAGCCATTGTTGTACCTATAGATTGAGCAGCTAATGGAATAGTACCTAAATATGAAGCCATTAATGTCAAAATTTCAAATGCTAAAAATTCAGCTTCCAACATAATTAAACCTGGAATTGCCAAAGATGATAATTTACCCCAACCTTCAAAACAATCTTTGAAATTAATACTTTTCCAACATTCTAATGGATGTACACCAGTTGGTGTGTTATCTTCATTTATAAAAAATATGGTAAATAATATTAATCCAATAATCATTAACCAATAATTTATAGCTACTGCAATTGGAGCACCTAAATAACCCATATGTTTAACTAATAAAACATTCATTATTAAATTACTTGGAGCTGCAAATAATAAAACATAAGTTGAAATATGATATACCCCTTGAGCTTGTAAAAACCGTTTACCACATTCAAATAATATATAACCAGGTATACCAAAAGCTAAATATTTTAAATAAACAGCAGATAATTTAGCAGTCTCTTTATCTGGTAATAATAAAGTAATTAAATCATAACCATAAAATATCCATATAAATAAAATAGGTAACATTATACAAAAAATTAATGTTGTACATTTTTGTAAATAAGCACCAACTAATTTATGCTTTTTAGCACCAAAGGCTTGTGGACATAAAGTATCTAATGCAGTCGCAATACCTTGTATTGTAGCATAACCTGTAATATTGGCAGTCATTGCCCCCATTGAAACTGCTGCCAATTCAGTAGCACCTAAATGACCAACTGTGAATACAGAAACTGTTGATAAAGAATTTTGTAATAAAAAAGTCATAACTAAAGGTATTGAAGATTTAACTAATGATTTTAATTCAATTTTGGCTGTTGTCGTTTTAATTTCTTTATTTTTAATTGCATTTTCAAATGTATTTCTAACATCTTCTTCATTATCTTTGACGTGAATATTATTATCTTCAAGGAAATCACGTTCTTCATGTAATAACTCTTGATTTATACTTGATTTTCTTCTGAGTTTCTGTGGTGGTGGTTGTAAGATTAGTGGAACTTGTTCATCCTCTATTGTTGATTCATCTTGTTGTTGTCTTGATGGTGAACCAATGAAATCACTTGGTAAAAATAAACCACCTTTACCTACCGATCCATAAACAACAGAAGCTCTTCTTTGGGTATTTGAATGAGTGAACTGATATGATCTATCAACAGAAGACATTCTTTAGTGGTTGGTGGCTGAATTTATAAAACGAAAGGCTACTTATAAAATTTAAAATTGATGGAAAAAAGAAATTTCTAAAAGCGGAATAATTGCGGAATAATTAGTACGACACGACACTAATGCGCACGACACTAATGCGCCTCAGTTGAGATTATATCTTCGTATAATTTTGTCAAATTTATTGTTGTTCATTTATATTTGATAATAACTGAGCTAAACATCTTTTTGTAGCAATATCATCTTGTAGTATATTTGAAAAGGTACCATCTCTTAATGGTTCTGGTAAAATATTAGCTAATGCTTTTCTTGCTTCTATATTATCAGATAATCTCATATAACATCTAACAACATGTTTTAATAATCTACTCGAGCTGTTAGATTGTTGTGGGTTTTGTGGGTTTTGTGGATTTTGTTGTGCTTGCTGTTGTTGTTGATTTTGTTGATGAGTTGCCAAACTTAACTGATCAATCATTTTAGATAATACAGAAGCTACAGTATGAAATCTTTCAAATGTAGTACAAACATAATTTAACCCTTGATCATCTAATAATATTTTTTGTAATATAAAAATTGCAACAGTTTTAGATAATTCAGATGAAATTTCCATTATATTTAAACATAATGGAACAATTTCAGTAGTCAATAAAAAATTAATAACTTCTGGTGTATCATTTTTAACTAATGCTCCAATAACCCCCAAACTAGTTAATCTTAAATATTCAAAACTTCTTTGTCTTGCATTTGTTGATAAAAATGGATATAAATATAATGGTAAATTTGCATTTAAAAATAAATTTCTAGTTTGAATATTTGATGCAACACATTGTAATAATGCTAATGCATTACATACTCTATTTGAAATTGACGCATTTAAATTTGGTGGATTTAAAAAAGGATAAACTGAAATAATTTCTTCTAATAATACCGTTATAACACCGAATGAATTCCATAAAACTAATGCTAAATCATCATATTGTTCTCTTTTTTTACCTAATTCTAATAATGCTCTTTCTCTATTTGTACCTGTGACTAATTCTGATATCCATTGATATATTTGTTCATCATTTAAAGCTTTATTGGATGATAAATTTGTGGAAGGTTGTGGTTGTTGTTGTGGTATATGTGTGTTAATATAATCTTGATTATTATTATTGGTAGTAGAAGACATATTGTTAATATTAATACTATTTAATTGTTGTAGTTGTCCTCTAAACATAATCTATGGTCAATAATAGGTAGTTGATTGTTATAAGATTTTCTTTCGGTGAAAAAAAAAAATCGCCACGGACCAAACAAACACGTGACTGATTTTTTTTGGATTGAGGAATCGCCAAATTTAAAACGGCAATAAAAAGCTCCGATTGAACACCAGTTGTATTTTATAATGACCCATGAAATATATTCATATTCACTTCAACAAATAGATGATTTAGAATCTAAACTAATCTTTGATCTATTTACTACTGAAATTGCTTGGGATTTAGGTAATTTAGCAAGATCATTAGCTCAAGAAAATTATCCGAGAAAGTCAATAATTATAGATATAACATTAGTTGGTGGTCAAAATTTATTTCATAGTGCCATTAATTCAGATACGTCAATTGATAATGATTATTGGGTTAAAAGAAAATATAACACTGTTTTTAGATTTCATAAATCAAGTTTTTATATTGGCCAAAAATTAAGACAAAAGGGTAAATCTTTAGAAGATGCTAATTTTATTTCATCAATTGATTATGCTACTCATGGTGGTAGTATACCAATTAAAATTAGAAATTTTGATGGTATAATTGGTGCATTGACAATAAGCGGTTTAGCACAAGAAGAAGATCATTTATTAGCAATTCAAAGCGTGAAATTATTTAAAGAACAAAGTTTAAATTATTAAATTGAACAATTATATAGGTTATTATAGTGTGATACTGTGTTTTGACTCTATAAATATTGAATTTTTCAAAAATTTGCAGCCATTTATTTCTCTTAAACTGTGCAAGTTGCAGTCTTCAAATGCTCATACATACTTTAAACAGAGCTTTTCGTACCAAATTACCAGTTACCGCAAGCACGACAGATTAGATAACTATTCTTACATCGAGATCAGATCTGAGGTTCTTCATGATCGCAAGTTTTTAGTATTGAGAAATTTTAACACAACAAAAAACCGGCCATTCCAAACCAAATAACCAGTATATTCCAACCTATTACTATATTTTTTACTCACATCTTGACAGTCTGCTTCACTCTCATCTAATAGTATATACTACATCAGCCATAGATACAAAGTTGGTTAATATACACGACTTTGTTGATGTTCATAATATTTTTAACAATTCTTGCGTTTTCATATTTTACATTTGATAAACGATTAGCCAATACAACTGATAGTGGATATGAGTACTAATAATAATACTAATAGTATATTATATGGTCAAGATGATATAGATCCATGGGCTGATAATAATAATGCTGCTAATACTGATAGTTCAACGAATTTACCATTTCAGTCAACATATTTAACATCATCACAATTATTAAATAAACAATCAGATCAGTTATCTAAATTATCAATTAAAAATGTTCCTAATTCATATGAAATAGTCTACTCCAACTCAATGAATCAAATTCAAAATGTAAATGACTTTGAATATATAATAATTGATAAATTAATATCACTTGGTTATTTAACAACCTATCAAAAATCAAAATTATTAAATTGTATATACGATAATGATTTATTACCTATAACTTTATCAAATAATTTTTACCAAATTTTGGGTTTAATTGCATTAGAAATTGATGTTCCTGGATCAGGAGATTTTGTTACCCTCCAATTTAAATTAAATAATTTACCTAATTTACCTGATAATTTTGCAAAAAGCTTTGAAAATATAATTAATGACGATCCATTAATGGGAAATAGTTCAAGAATAGATATTGAACAAAAACAATGGACTAAGAAACAACCAAAACATGATCCAATTTTAAAAGATCATTCTGAAAATAATATAATGATAGAAGAACAAAATAAAGTTAAAGATTCAATTGTTTCACTGGGATATATTGAAAAATATATCGATGATTTGAAAGATCAGTTTAAGCCATTATTTAATGATGTTGACCTAATTAAAATTAAAGAAATTCCAGAAAAAGAAGGTATTTTATTCAAACATATAAATTATATAATTACTCATGATTTGAAATTAGGTGAACGTTCAAGTTCTGGTACTAAAAAAGTTATTCGAAGATATTCTGATTTTGTTTGGTTATTGGAATTTTTAAATCAAAAATATTCATTTAGAGTTATACCTGGTATACCACCAAAGAAATTCTCTGGTATGTAAAACCAAATTACTTTTGTGATTATGTTACAATTACTTCTGTGATTATGTTACTAATATTTAACAGTAGGAGCGTCACCAGATTCACAATTTTTACAAAGAAGAAGAAGAGGATTACATCGATTTCTTAATCAATTGGTAAAACATCCAATTTTTAAAGAAGAACCAGTTGTAATTACATTTTTAACAGTACCAACTGATATTTCAACATGGAAAAAACAAGCAAAAATTGATTATTCATTAGAATTTAAAGGTCAAAAAATTGAAACGAATTTTATAAATTCAATATGGCCAAATGTTGGAGAAAATTTTTTGAAACAATGGGGTATTGCAGAATCAAATATTAAGTTTTTAATTGAAAAATGGACAAAGATAATTATATTAGTGGAAAGATATGAGAGAAGACATCAACAGATAGCATTTGATAATGGTAAATTTGATGAAATTTTAAATCAATTTAAAGACATCAACACCAAAGTATATTGTGAATCTGATGATTTATCAAGTATAAACAACTCATTATCCAACATTGCCTCCTTTTTTCAATTATCTTCAACTAATATGATTGATGAAAGTTATTTAATAAATACAAAGACCCTCGAGAAATTCAAAAATTATCTAGATTATTTACATTGTCTACTGGAATTATTTGAAAGATGTAAGAAATTAAGTGTTAATCAGATTGATATTTTAGATAAACGTATAAAAGAAAATGAAATTAAATTTAAAAAAATTCAAGAAAATGATGTTGATATAAAAGGTCAAGATATTACAAAATTAAGACAATTGATTATAAATGATAAACAAGAAATTTTTCAACAATTAAATAAAGATTGGTTAATTAAACAATGTTGTTTTCAAGAATTTATAATGTTTCAAGAAACTCAATTTTTAATTAGTGAAGTTTGGTTAGAATTTATAAAAGATAGAAGTAAATTTCAAAATAAACTAGGGGAAATGTATGAGGATCTAAATAGTGAGATTGTGAATGATATGCCAACAAGTAGGTAAGAGTAATAATGCACAAATGATAAAGCAAGAAAGGTAAGGATGTAAATTAAGCCGTGGTGGCTACTATACAAATATCTTTACAATTACTATTTAATCAAGTCTTGTGTAATAAATCGCATCCTTATTACTGTTCAATAGCATTCGGTTTACTTTCCCATTTATTTATCAATTCATGACTATCATTTAATAAATTTAAATCATTATCAAAATACTTATTATTTAATATATTTTTAATATTTAATTGATTTTTAGCATTATCAAAACTTTCCTCATTATTACATTTTACAGTAGCTAGGATTTTACCAACTTTTATACCCAATTCGGCACCAATTGGATAAGCCAAGTTAAATCCACATTGTAAACTATTTTCTTTATTTGAAGTTAAACCATCCAAGTAACCTTGTTTATAATGATGTCGTATAATATCATTATTTGGAATAACGTCTGAATCACACCAAATATCATCCTCCACCTTTTTCTCATTCTCTATCTCTTTCTCATTCTTACATACGCATTGTTTAGTAGAACATACCATTTTGTCTTCACCATCGATCTTTCTTTTCGTATAGGAAAAAAAAATAGAAAAAAAATAGAAAAAAGTATCAACACCAAATACCAATAAAGTGCTGGCTCACTTTATATTAACAATATATTAATGTCTCAAGATATAATAACCCAAGTGACTCCGGAGTCAAATGTTCCAGCATCTACAACCACTACATATATAGCTGATGAAGATCGTTCTATTGATTATAATTCGAAAATTCATTTAAATGTCCGTGGGATAAATTTTAAAATTACAAGAGATGAATTAATGAGTTTACCTGAATCAATATTGTTATGTCTATTCCCCAATGGAGTATTTCTTGATATTGATGGTCAAGTTATAACAAATTTAACAGAAGATGATATTGTTTATGTTAATTTTGATCCTTTGGCATTCGAATATATAATTAATGTATTTAATAAAGCTCAAAAAGATCTAGAAGAGAACAATTACAACAACAATAACCTAACTCCAATAACATCATATGATAAGAATAAGGAGAATATTTTACAAACAAAACCATCAATAATTGTGTTACGTGAAGATTTAGATTTTTATGTTATTCCCCCGATTGAAGGGCTCGATTTCAATGAAATGAAAATGTTAAAAATTGGAGTTAGTAAAGAATTACTAGATAATCGATTGATTTTCCTGGGTTTGGGTTATAAATTTGAATCTGATGGTTCTGAAAGTTTAGGTCCCGCTGAAAAACATCTTTTTGATATGTTATGTTCTTCTGGATTTGAAGTTAATGATTCATGGGGTTCAAGAAGTTTAGAACCTGGAAAATGTGTGATTTCAAGCTTACAACTCGTTAGATTAAAAACAAATAAAAATGAAACACCACCAGAGTCACCAAATTTAACTCCTGTGACTTCAAATGCAAGCACCTCAAAAGTTTCCGAGAAAGATAGACTGAGATCAAGATCGAGAATCGCTCAATTGGCTAATTCCGCAAGAGCTGCTTCAAGATCATTATCAAGTAAACGTAGAAGTCAAATTGATTCAAATCAGACTAAATTGTTATTATTTTGGAGAAAGCCTGCTAGAAAATGTTGGTGGAGTCATGATTATATAAATGTTGAAATTGAAACACCAAAGGATCTAAAACTGTTGCTGAATTTAATAAATAAGGACAGTGGGAAGTTGAAGTTGAAAGTTCATATTAGAAGAGTTTGGACTTTGGAGTTGTCTGTTATTGGTGTACAGTAATGTAAGGATGTGAAATAGAGTGAGGATGCCCTTGTAAGGATGCCTTAATTTTAATCGTAATTATTTATATAGTTTAATATTTAATAGAATTTTTAATATTGCACCAACTTTAAATAATTATTGATACCTTGTAAGAAACAGAATCTTACGGATTAGAGAAAGAACTTATAATAAATCTAATACATACTTTAAGATACTTTTAATTAGATTCTCTGACTGTCCAGTACATAACTGACCACATGATACACTATCTATATCTGATCAAAGCCAATCTAATGACTGGAATATACCACATGATACACTATTCATATCTTATCAACGCCAATTTAATGACGGGAATATACCACATGATACACTATTTATATCCTATCAAAGCCAATCTAATGACTGGAATTTACTAAATTGAGAGATTATTCAAAGTATTTAAGGACTTAAAAATATTCTAAATTTAAATTCAATGATATTTCTTCTTCACTTCTTGAACACTTAATCAAAAACAACTCTTGATTAAACACCTAATGACTTGAAAAAAATATGGATATGACTTTACTTGTCAATTATTTAACACATAGAATCAAAACTATGTGTAAACAGCTGAGTTTTTTCTTGTCATTTTGTAACTTAATTTGACGTTACTCAAGTAGTTATCAAAATCAAAATCAAAATCAAGCAATGAAATCAAAACAGCTTTATTATACTATTTTGGTTTTTAAATTATTCATTATAATCAAATCTATTATAATCAAATTCATTATAATCATTATCATTATTAATAAAGGACCAAATCCCAAACAAAAATCAAATGTATATAAGCATCGAAACTGAAGAAGAAAGATAGAAAAAAAATTATTTGAAACGCGTTTGGTTAATTTTTCAATTATCAACACTTTTTATTTCAGTTTAATGGATTCATATCATCAAGAAAAATTACACCATACACCATGGATTGAAAAATATAGACCAAAAAATTTATCGGATGTGTCATCTCAAGATCAATCAATTGCAATATTAAAACAAACTATAAAATCAGGTAATTTACCACATATGTTATTTTATGGACCACCAGGTACAGGAAAAACAAGTACAATTCTCGCATTAGCTAAAGAATTATTTGGACCAAATTTATATAAATCTAGAGTTCTTGAACTTAATGCATCTGATGAAAGAGGGATTTCTATTGTTCGTGAAAAAATTAAGAATTTTGCAAGATTACAAATTTCAAATCCAACTGTTCAAGATTTAGAGTCTTATCCTTGTCCTCCATTCAAGATAATCATTCTTGATGAAGCTGATTCAATGACGAACGATGCTCAGAGTGCTTTGCGTCGAATTATTGAAAATTATTCAAATATCACCCGTTTTGTTCTTATTTGTAATTACATAACTAGGATAATTGATCCCCTAGCTTCAAGATGTTCAAAATTTAGATTTAAATTATTAAATTCAGAAAATTCATTAAATAGATTAAGATATATATCTGATGTTGAGAATTTGAATATTGAAGAGGATGTATTGATGAAAATTTTATCTATTTCTCAAGGTGATTTAAGAAAAGCAATTACTTATTTACAATCCTCATCTAAATTGTCTAATATGAATGATGACGATGATAAAATTACAATTGAAAAAATTGAAGAAATTGCGGGTGTGTTGCCTGATAAGACAATAGATGGATTAGTTGACTTAATTATGAAGAAAAGAGTGAATGATATTGTGGGTTTTATAAATGACTTGGTTTTGGAAGGGTGGTCTATTCAACAATTGATAGATCAATTACATGATAATTTATTATTGGATGATAAAGTTGACACTCGGTTTAAGAATCAAATTTCTTTATTGTTGTTGGATTGTGATAAAAAGTTGAATAATGGGACTGATGAACATATTCAATTGTTGAATTTGGTTTTACAAATTCTGAAGATTGTGTAAGGATGCAAACATGGTCGGGATGAAAAAATGTAAGGAAGCAAATTACACTGTAAGGATGCATTTGAGGTGAAGAAGTAGAATATTAATTAATATATATTCATTAATAAAATTGAAAGATCTGTAAGATCAACTGTTAAGGATGCAAAATTAATTTCTTGTAAGGGTGCAACAAACACTTGAGGCAAAGAAGTAGAAGATTTATCATTGATAAATAGATACTCATTCATAAAACTTATTATCATCAATAGTAATGAACATAGTCTTACAAACTCTTAGCTTAGAAGATCAATTAATATATATTCATAAAACTAAAACTCATAATCGTTAATCTTGAGTATTTATCTTTCACTTGACTAACTTGTTATCAATCAATTTATCTGAATTATTTATCTTTCGCTTGTTGTTGATTTGGTTGTTGATTAAATTGTGGTTGATTTTGTTGATTTTGTTGTTGTTGTTGTTGTTGTTGTAAATGTAGAGGTAAATTCATATTAAAACCAGGGGGAATAAACCTATTTGGTTGATTCATAAATTGAGGAGGTAATTGATTTAATTGATTTGGATTCGGACCACCAAATCCAGGAGGAGGTGGAGGAAAATTTGGATTAAAATTAGGTGGTGGCATATAACCATTCGGAAACATGCCTGGTGGAGGCATCGGTGGCATATTTCTATTTTGTTGTTGTTGAAATGGTGGTGGTGCATTATTTGGATTATTCTGTTGTGGTGGGAATTGAAAACCTGGCGGTGGTGGAGCTGGTCCTTTCATATTTAATCCTGGTGGTGGACCTCTCAACCATGGTGGAATTTGATTTGGTGGAAATTGATTAAATTGCTGATTAAATTGTTGAGGTTGTTGTTGTTTTGATTGTTCTTTAATTTGTTCATTTGATGATGTAGTTGATGTAGTTGATGGTTTTCTATTCTCTTTTAATTGTGGAGCTTGAGGACTTGGAGGCACAATTTTATTCAAAGTTGGTGAAATTATTACTTTGGCTTCAATTGGAGATTGAACAACTGATGGTAAATCAGATGCTGTATTATTAGTTGTATTTTTATTAAATAAAGCAGCTAATCCACCATTATTTGGAGTTTCTTTTGAAGAAATTGGTGATTTAGCATTGATATTGACATTTGAATTTGATTCTTTTTTATTTAATAACGACATGAAGAAACTGTCATTCAGTGGTTGTTGTCGTTGTGAATGATTTGAAGTATTTGAAGTAGTTGATTCATTTCTATTCAACGGTGGTGGAATTTCAACTTGTTGTGATTGTATTTCTTCTTTATTTACATTATTATTTCCAAAAAATTTTGATGAAAATCCCGGTGGTGGTTGAAGTGGTTTATTATTTGAAATTTCAGGGGTATTTTCAATTGGTTGTTCTGTATGATGGAAAAATGATGAAAATCTTGAAGATCTATTAGTTTGAGTAGTTGATGAATTTGTATTAATTGAATCATTTCCAGTTGTAGGTGTTGGTATTAAAACGTTTTCATTTTCCTTTGAAGTGGATGTTTTCTTATTAACAAATGAAAAAAAATTATCAACTTCATTACCAGCATTAACTACACTTTCATTAATTTCCTCTTCATTTCCAGGTATTATTTCACCATTTCTTCTACGTTCTTCTAATTTCATTTGAAGTTTCCATTTTTCAAAATCTTCAACTGATTGTTTCATAGTAGAAACATTTTCACTACTATTAATCCCTATATCATTCCATTCTGGATCTCCTTCCAATTCATCTTCCAAGACATTCAACTTGTCATCGTTTTTATTATATCTATTTCCTCTTTCCCATGTTTCATTATGTTTTCTTGATTTTTTACGATTATATTGAGAATGTGAATGATTATTATGATGATTTTCTCTAATAGAAGATTTAAAAAACGTCAAATCTGGTAATTTTGAACTCATATCAATTGCAGTATTTTTTAATTCCATTAATTCAGAAATTGAATAAATTAATTTATTAATATTCGATTGTTGCCTTGGGTTTTGATTATTTCGTATCAATGAAGAAGATGAAGAACTTGATGAATTAAAATCATTTATGAAATCTGGACTTTTTTCTTTTTCGGCATGTGCAATTGCACTATCTAATAATTTTGATAATGCATCATTTCCATGAGTATTATGATTCATTATATATTGTTTGATTGTTAAATAAAATTTGGCCAAAAGAAAAATTCAATTCAATTTTTTTTTTTAATTAAATTATCAAAACTTGGAAGGAAGTACACGACTAAGTTGATTAAACCAAGAGTAGACTAGTATAATGTGTGGGTTATAAATTGTAGCCATTGAGCTATAAGAAGTATTGGGATGTGTAGTTTGGCTTATATTAATAATTAGTTGTATGTTACTTGATCTTTAAATTTGAGCGTGGATCGAGATATTCTGATTGAACCTCGAAATTTTGCAACCAATCTATTACTCTTGACCATTCTAAATTATAGACAGCTCTACAACCTTCAAATTGAAGGTCAAATATGCTTGGAATGAGTAACTATTGCTTCAATCTGGTGATTAGGGTAAAAAAGAGCCCTTGGGTAAAAAAGAGCTCTTTGGTACTTTTATTCAGGAAGAATAGGACTAAAGAGGTTTCAAAGTTAAACTCAATAATTAATTACTTATATATTTAAATTATTATATACAATAAGAAACTAAAATGAACAATTTGATTTTATTAGTAGCAAAAAACAGCAGCAATACCCTTTTAAATTTCACCTCTAGCAATTGTTTCCTCACCAATTGCAGTTTCTCTAATTCTATTCAAAGCGACTGAATCAGTAATTGTAACAGCATTCTGAGCAACTGATCCTGGATCCATTGGGTAAGTTAATTTACCATTAACCAATTTGCCTTGGTAATAATAATAATCACAATTGATTTGTATTATCATAGATTCGAAACCATCAGCATCAGCTCCTCTTTGAAGAATTTCTAGAGATAATTAAACTTCATTAAATTGAAACTTAATGAATTGAACTGAATATAAAAATGTAAAAAGAAAAAGTGATATAAAAATGTTAAAATTATTTGGCAATTCTCGTCTATTTATACTCACTGATAAAAATTATGTAGCCCCTTAAATTTAAAAATCAATAATACACGATTGTGCAATTGCGATCTATAGAATCGTTGTATTCGCAAGTATGTTTATCTGTATTGGATGAAGGTAGAGTGTTTAATGTCTAAATCAATTGGCATCGACGAGAATTAAATTATCACCAACCACTAATTAATTAAGTATATATTTAGATTATGGTACTCTTTGGTAAGACCAGCTTAATCATTTTTTCTCTTTAACAGAACATAATTAACAATAATTGATTCATCAGCAACAGCATTTGCTTTTTCATCATCTTGAGATTTTCTGTTTTTATCTGCATTTTCTTTGTATCTTTTTCAATTTCTTCAACCTCAGTTGGATTAGTAATTTTAACAACATTTTGAGTTATTGATTCCTCATCCATTGGCCAAATTAATTTTCCATCAACTTTTTTTCAGCTGTATAATAGTACCATTCACCATCAATTTGTAGATCTATCAAATAATAATTTGATATATCAAGGTAATGTATATTCAGTATCAATTCCAGTGTTATTTGAAGGTAAAGTTAAATTATAATGTACCATTTCCACGATCTTCAGCTTCAATTACATATTGTTCAATAGCTGATGACATGACTAAATTTGAATAAATTAAATTGAAGTATTAGCATTCTGGAATGAAAAGAAATTAAAAAAAACAAGGAGTAATTTAGAGTGGGAAACTCGATCTATTTATAGTAAAATTTATTTTTATTAATAGTACCTTAATTTATAAATTTACGATGCGCGATTTCTCAAATGGACCCTGATACTTAAATTAAGTATTAGACGATAAATTAAAGAAATAAATGATTAGACTACTAATAATTGAAGGTTCGAAGAAATTCAAATTAATAATTATCACTTAATTCGTTATATATTCAAATAACTTTGATTTTAAAGTAATAGAACCTAATTTTCCACTTTCTTTAACAACATTTTCAACAACAGCAGCAGCTTTAGCTATAAAAGTTTAGCAGCAACAGCAGCTTCAGCTACAGCTTTTTCTTCTCTTGCTGCTCTTTTTGCATTTTTTTTACCTTCTTTTTCGATTCTTTCAATAACTTCACGATCAGTAATTCTAACAGGACCTTTTGCTAATTAAAGTTCATCATCCATAGGAAATACCCATTTCTCATTATATTTTTGACATTTATAATAATGTAATATACCTTTAGGTTTTACAATAACGTTTGGTACTTTAGTAGCGTTTTTAATAGAATCACCATCAATTTCATAAGTGGTAGTTACACCTCCTTTAAATGCAGTATATTTAATACCGTCTTTTATAATTGACATGATTAAATGAACTTTATGATTTGATTGTATAAACTAGGAAAGAAAAAGTGATACAAAATTGACAAAATTGACACAAAATTTGAAATTGAGAATTTAATACTTATACTCCTACTTTACGTAATATCAAAACTTACTAGAGTTTGCTCCTACCCAATTAAAGTAAGACTGAAATTCAAATTAGAACGTAGACAATAGATAAAACTTATTTATAAGTAAAATTTCACGTAGATTGATTTAAAACAAGAAAATTTTAAATTCTGTCGTACATCACGAGTTTTTGTGGTTCATTAATGACAAACTTTTTTTCTGAAACTTTAGGTAAACCATGATCAGTCGCAAAATAAACAGTATCTCCTTCAATTGATGCTCCAGATAAAAGTTTAGCTCTTAATTCTCTCAATCTGTCCAATGTTCCTTCATCAGTTATCTTTCTAGCATAATCTTTTAGTCCTATATCAACCATTGGAAATTAATATTTACCTGCTTCTATAGAAACTGGAAGACAATTAAAAATATATAACTCGTAGTTAATTACTAGAAAAAATTATACTTAGAATAAGCATATTTTACTGGTATTTGGTAACTTTGAAATCCAAGTATTTCATCTTTTGAACCATTGAAAACCGAAATATTTGACATTTTGATAATAAACTTGTGATTATATGAATATATGAAGAAGCCACTTGTTTTTTTTTTTTTATTTTTTAGACTGCATATTGTTTTGTTTCTTTTGGATCTCGTGGCGCATAATATAAAATATCTAAAACATTTGGTCCGTTAGTTTGAAGTCATTGTGATCTCCAGCTCTATCGGAATACGATTATTTGATATTCATATGTAACTCGAAGTTTTAATATGAGAATAATAGTTGGGGCATATTTTGGATATTGTCGTAAAGTATGAAAATGAATAAATAAAGTTTTACACAAAATAAACGAGAATGTTAACCATGCATGCATTGTTTAAACTATAAAGTACCCAGACCTTAATTTATTTGGATCTAGATTGAAGATCTTTAATATTTAATTTACGTAATTTATTTTGTGATTCATTTTCAATTTTTTGAATTAATTTTAAATCTTCAATTTTTTTAATATGTCTCTTATCAAACTCTTTTGGAATTAATAAAACATTATCAACAATTTTTGTCTTATATAAATACATATCACCATTTAAATGCATTTTAAAATTAGCTTCTAAATTGTCTTTATATTTTGGGTCTTCCATTGGATGACCATCAACTATTTTACCTTTTACAGCATTAATTCTGAAATCTGGAATATCTTCAGTAGATTCTTCTGACGTAATTTTTGGTGACTTGTAAAAGATTGAAGCAACCCACATTAAAGATTCAATAGAAATTTGAGAAAATTAATGGAATTTATACAAAAACTGGGGATTAATTTTAATAATTGAAGAGTTTGTCGTATTTGTCAATTGGTAGTTCATAGATGTTAGTTAGATGGTTGTTAACTACTACCGTATTTATTTCCCCAGTTATCAAACTTGATATCATCCTGTAAACCGGTCACAGATTATACAATTCAGCTCAAACGTTTGTATTTATTTTTCAAATCAACAAACACTAATTGACTAACGTTTTATGCATAATTTAATCAATTTGTGTTATCAAGACAAAATTTTGCAATCCACTATTATTAGTTACCAATTTCATTGATTTCAAGTTGGTGATTCTTTGAATAATTGATAACTAACTTCCATATAATTCAACTGTACACTATCATTTTAATTTTATACTGTTTGTTGGAAATTCATAAATTGAATTGTCGTCATCACGAATTGTTTCAATAGATTTGAAAATTGGTTCCCTTCTATCATGTTTAACCCGATGAATTTCAGGTTATCTATGAATGAAACACAAATTTTGTTATTGATTCTTTTTGATGAGGATGACTAAAGTTTTGAAAAGGTTTGATGGTATATTGTATGTGTTGACATTTTGTTTTAACATATTGCAATAACTGTATTTTGAAACTTGGTTTATTTAGCTACGATGGGATTGATCTTGAAATTTGAACTTTAAAAAATTATCAATAATTAACTAAATTGAAATCCTACTTTTTGGATTAATTAGAACTGACTAATTCAAGTTTATTTAAATTTCTTTGAAAAGCTTCATAGTTGATAATTTAACACTTGCATAAATAGTTCGGGCTCTTAAGCGTGAGATGATAAACGATGAAGGGTATGCATTTATAACAACTTCTTGCTGAAGTCATATAGTAAATACAAAATGGTTTCAATGTATTAAATAAATTTTATTTCAATATACAAGTTCGCAATTCAATACAAATTAAATATCAAGTTTCATCAAGTGTTAGATAATGACATCATTGATAGAGAGGTCAAAGCTGCTTTGAATTATTTACAGGACGGTGAAGTTAATAAAATTAGATGCAAAGATCAGATTTAGTCAAGAAAATTCTTTAACTGCAACTTTTTGAGTACCAAATTTGAATTGTTCTAACATTTCTCTTTGAATGGTACCATATACAATACGATCTACAAAAGAATTGGGTACATAATACGAAGCTGGATCTTATCAAGTTCTAATGATTTTTTTTTTTTTTTTTTTATTGCGCGATCGTGATATATCTTTTTTTGTGTCAGATCTTAGATTTATAGATCTGCAACCCATCTCAGAACCAGATCGCGCCAATTAATTTTATTTTGCGTTTCTTCATGAAATGAATTTTGCTAGGTTTTAGGAGTTACTCATCGTGGCTACCAATATATATAGACACTTTAACTTTTGTTTCAATCCTTGCACGTAATATTACTGTAATTGAAGCTCCTTTATCTTATAAATTGTGTGAAATAGAGAAAACTATAGACCTGATCATTGAAGTTTTAAGTTCAACAGACCCTCATCTCTTGCATCCTTAAATTAGGTATATTTTACTTCATTTTAACCTGCTCGAATGTTTGTGATTTTCTTCTCCAATAGTGTCTAGTAGATTAAAATTTAGCGCCGAAAATGGTATAATCTCTCGCTTCGAGAAAAATATTTGCTCGCCTATTTTGTCGTATCGCATCAGCCGGTGAGAGGCTCGCTTCAGAACTCATCTAAAATCATCAAACAACTTATATGCAGTCTTACACTAGTAAATCTTAAAACTTGAATTGAGAATACCTCTTTCAGTATTCAAGTTTTACTTCTGAATTTAACTTTCTCAAAATCTTCAACAAATTTGGATTAATCTGATATTAGTTTTTTTTCCGAATAGTTAACACTGACCATGTTAACTCATCTTTAATAAACGGCAAAAAAGCGCTTAATTCCAATATAATCAATGCTTAAATCCCATTTTGCAACTTCTAAAAGAGTAACCCGGCTCAACCATTCCCAACTGCTTTTTTTATAATGTTTTAAAGATATCAAAACTTATTAAGATTTTTGCAAAATTTTCGAACCATTTATGAAATTACTTTTCCAATTTTGAAAACCTAATCAAAAAAAAAAAATCTAAGCATATGACAATGCAGATCTTCAATTTTAAATAAGTTTATCATGTTTTATTTTCAATGTTGATTGTGGAGTTGTATTTTTCGTTAAGTCAATTTATTCGATTTTGCTCATACTTAAGAGAAAATTTTGAAACTTCTCAATTTGAGGGCAGATAACTTAAATACAAGTCCGGCACGTTACTTTGATACATATTATATGTAACCCGTTGTTTAATTGAAACATTTGGCCCTAAATACAATGTACTCGAAGTTTTCAGTTTTTGAAGAATTTTTGTATGGCGAAAATATGCCTAAAATGCAACTGCGGAAAAAGATTTTTGATTCTTAGTACATTAAGTGAATAGCCTATACAAATGAAAAAAAAGCTCCTGACTTCATAAAACTAGCATTCACCTCAAGGATTGTGTTGTTCATTTTTTTATATGCCAACACGTTTAGTACGAGTCGTCCTAAAACCATCGCGAGAAAATCTTGTGTCTGGCGCGAAGTTTAGACGAAAAATTTATAGCATAATTCTGAAACAAATGAATATTAAATAGTCAATTTGAATTTGAAACTTAAATTGTAAATGACTACTTCAGTATTCAAGTTCTAATTCTCACAATTGAGCTGTTTGTAAACTATGGTTTTCATAACTTTTTGATTTTATTTGAACAACGAAAGCTGAACTTAGCAAGTATTTTTGAATACAATGCTACTACTAACATGATTTTTGGAATTATAAATCAGTTAGTATTCTTAGTATAATATTAGTATGGTTTTACCGTCAACAGTGTTCTAGCTTGTCATAAGATGCGTCTCTTATTTTTCAAGTTTACTTTGTTTTTTATCTTCAACATTTTTCATCTATCTTTATCTGCTCCAAATTTCGAAAATGACTTCAATAGTCTCTGGTATATATAGCTCGTTCTAACTATTGTGATGTTAATAATTATAACCCTAATTTAATTTCCTAAAGCTTTGTCGTCTGTGTTACTTTTGTTATTTTCTTACTAATGCTATTATTTTAAAATTTCGTAAAAAATGTTGAAAATTACCTTCATGTCAAAACCGACTAAATTCTATAATAATTTAATTTTGAGCGATATTGCTTTATAGACCAACTGAAAGGTTGGAGCAGCGTCTTCTGCGCTCATGCAATCAAAGAATATTATTGCCGATAACTACGAGTTGCAAAGGAAATGATCGAATTAACGTACATTACATTCAGCAAGTAGTTGAAACGTTATAAACAAAAGAATAGACTATGGATATCATGTAGTGATGTCTAGGAACCAAAAGTCTGAGCTTAGGTTGTTAATTAAAGTTATTCCATCAAAGCGAATTTCGGAATTTTAAGTAAATTAAATCCTCCAATCGATTTTGCTGCGATAATCAAATGTAATGTAAGTTTAAATTTTTAAGTCTTCTTACCGCACTTACTCTCTAAACCTACCAGCTAGTTTTATTTATGAATCTATTTGCAAATTGCAACCAAACGCAACTGGTAGCATTTCCAAGATCCTTAAGAAAAAAATTATCGCGTATTATTTTTCAAAATAAAGAACAGGTGTGTTGAAAAATTCAAAAAAAAATCTTGTTTTAACTAACTATTAAATCAGACATTTAAAGCATTCAATTGATAAATATATATATACTATCAAGTACTTATCGGTAAAGTAATTAAGTAAAATTCATATATATTACAATAATTGAGGTTTAATCAATATGGCAAAAAAACTGTCTTCGCCCACAGCGACCAAATTAAAATCAGCTGCTTTGAAACATAATAAAACTTTAAAAGATGATGATAATGTATTAACTTTAGATCCATTAGTTGAACCATTGTTTCAAAAAGGCTATATTAGAGAATATTTAATCACAACACCAACAACAACATTATTGAAGAAAAGACAATTGAAAAATAAAGAATTATTATTCTTCATTATACCTTTAATAGTTATTTCAATTTTTGTCAGATTATCTAATTTGTCAAATCCAAATTCTGTTGTATTTGACGAAGTTCATTTTGGCGGATTTGCTAAAAAGTATATTCTTGGTACTTATTTTATGGATGTTCATCCCCCATTAGCTAAAATGTTATATGCTGCAGTTGGATCATTAGGTGGTTTCAAAGGAGATTTTGATTTTAAATCAATTGGGGATAAATTTCCAGATACTACTCCATACGTATTTATGAGACAATTTCCAGCTATTTTAGGTATTGGTACTGTTTTATTATGTTATTTGACTTTAAGACAAAGTGGAGTTAGACCAATTATAGCATTTATTACTTCATTATTATTAATTATTGAAAATTCAAATGTTACAATTTCAAGATATATTTTATTAGATTCCCCATTAGTATTTTTCATTGCAAGTTCAATTTATGCATTTAAAAAATTTGAAATTCAAATTCCATTTAGTGTTGGATGGTTTAGAGCTTTAATTGCAACTGGTATTGCACTTGGTTTAGCTTTAAGTTCTAAATGGGTTGGTTTATTTACTGTTGCATGGGTTGGATGTTTATGTTTATATCAATTATGGTTCTTAATTGGTGATTTATCAGTTAACACCAAGAAAGTTTGGGCACATTTCTTTTTAAGAGGTATTTTATTATTAGGTATTCCATTGGCGTTATATTTTGGTTTTTTTGCTATTCATTTTAAATTATTGAAAAATGAAGGTGATGGTGCTGCTTTCATGAGTTCAGCATTTAGAGCTGGATTGAATGGGAATAAAATTCCAACTGATATTACTGCTGAAGTTGGCTTAGGTTCAGTTGTTACAATTCGTCATATGGATACTCAAGGTGGTTATTTACATTCACATGATCATTTTTATCCAACTGGTTCAAAACAACAACAAATTACATTATATCCCCATTTGGATTCAAATAATAAATGGTTAATTGAACCATATAATGGTACTATTCATAATATAACATTCGTTCCATTAATCAATGGTATGAAAATTAGATTAAAACATTTAAATACTGGTAGAAGATTACATTCACATGATGAAAAACCACCAGTTAGTGAACGTGATTGGCAAAAAGAAGCTTCATGTTATGGATATGAAGGATTTGAAGGTGATGCGAATGATGATTTTGTTGTTGAAATTGTTAATCATAGAACTGAACCTGGTCAAGCACAAGCATTTGTTAAAGCTTTAAAGACAGTCTTTAGATTAAGACATGCAATGACTGGTCACTATTTATTCTCAAGTGAAGTTAAATTACCAGATTGGGGTTTTGGTCAACAAGAAGTTTCAACTGCTTCATCAGGTAAAAGACATTTAACACATTGGTATATTGAAACAAATGAAAATAGTATTTTACCAAAATCTCAACAAACTATTATAAATTATCCAAAATTATCATTATGGAAGAAATTTATAGAATCTCATAGAAAAATGTGGAAAATTAATTCAGGTTTAACTGATCATCATCATTGGCAATCATCACCAACTGAATGGCCATTTTTATTAAGAGGTATTAATTATTGGGGTAATGATCATAAACAAGTTTATTTATTAGGTAATGCAGTAACTTGGTGGTCAACAACTGCAATTATATTTGCATTTATTATTTACTCTGGTATTTCAATTTTAAATTGGCATTTGGGTGGTTCAATCTCTACAAATAAACATGTTTTTAATTTTAATGTTCAATTATTTTCATATGTTTTAGGTTGGGGATTACATTATTTACCATTTTTTATAATGGGTAGACAATTATTTTTACATCATTATTTACCAGCTTTATATTTTGGTATATTGGCATTGGGACAATTTTTTGAGTTATTTACAAGTTATTTAACTGCTCAAAATAAGATAGTTAATAAAATTGGATATTTTATATTGGCTGTTTTTGTTTCATTAGGTTTTGTATTTTATTTGAATTATAGTTCCTTGATTTATGGTACTCCATGGACTAAATCAAGTTGTGAATTAAGTAGACCATTTTCAAGTTGGGATTTTGATTGTAACACGTTTTATAAATCATTAGATCAATATTTAATTGAAGAAGAATCTGCGTCTTCAAGTAATAAACCAAGTAAGGAAACAGAAACTGTTAAAGCTGAAGCTAAACAAACTCCAAAATCAAAACCTAAATTAGCTAAAAAGGAACCACATATTGAATCACCTCCAAATCCAAAAAAAGCAGTAAATCCAGAAAAATTAAATGAACAATTAGCACCTCCAGCAATCGATGATAAGATTAAAACTCCAAAAAAAAGATAATAGAGAAAAGATTTCAGCTGAAGCTGTTGTTATTTAGATAATCATTGAATATACATTAGTTCTATTTACATTATTCATCATCATCTGAAACATCAATATTTTCAATAGTTCTACCTTTTACATATTTTTCACTCTTTACTTGATCATTTATTTTTGAATATAATTCAGTACTGAATAATATAGTTTTGATAACCATAAAGAAACCAAATGTAATTGGCCAAACATATTTTGAAATATCTTGAGTTAATGAATTATAATATTTCAGGATTAAAATTATCGATATGCTTGGCAAATGAACTATTGCAAAATTTGTCAATACTTGAAATAAACCAAAATGCCGACATGAATCATAAATAGTCATATTATTATTAACATCTCCACTTTTGATTATAGTTAAAAGGTAATAAATGATTGGTAATAAAGTATAAAATGATGCAATGAAATGTAACACCATTGATTTTAATTCAAACATTTCATTTGATTTTGTAGTATATTTATATGGATCTTCAACACATAAATGATGAATTGTGGATACCCATAATGCCCAACATACACAACTGGAAAATTTAACAAGGATAAATTGTGGTAATCTATTGAATATTCTACCAGCATTCAATAATCTTCGTACATTATCTTCTTCAGCTTCATTTGGTATGTCATTATTTTTATCATATTGATATAAAACTTGTAATTGTATAACTAAACCAATTGCAACTGATAATAAATCAACTAATTTCCAATCTATTGCTGTCAATTTATTATATTGATTCGAAATGAAATTTTCAAACATTAATGAATTCACTCTCACTATTGGTCTTCCTATAAACACAGCTATCATTAAAATTGAAATTATTAATATAACTGCAAAGATCCAAACCATTACTATCAATGCAATACATCTCATTTTGAAAAATGGAGGTCTATAAACTATTGTATATGAATTATTTGAATTTATAATTTCTTCATCTAATTCATCATCATCCGAATCAAATGGATTTGGTTGTAGTTCTTCTATTTTTGGAGTATCTACCAATACTTTATCATCTTTCGTAACAGGTACAAATAAAGATCTAACAAATTTTTCACTTGATATTAAATCATTATCTGGAGCTCTAACATAATTACCATTAGGTACAAAACATGCATTAACTGACAAATCTTGTTTGAATATAATTTGTGCTTCTCTATAACTTACTGGTCTTGAGTAATCTGGTTTTGCAGTACCAAGTAATTGCTGCCATAAATTTTTATAAACAACGTATCCACGTTCATGACTTATTGGTTTTCCCAATATAAAATGTGATAGTCTTAATTTATGAGTTGATATTTCAAATACTCTTGTCCAATATAATTTTACATATTTTGTAATTAATGATTTACCATCAACCAACAATGCACCAAAATAAATTGATAAACCAAGTGTAAAATATGATGGAATCTGAATCGGTAAAAATACATTATAATCTTTTGCTTGTACTAACCATCTAATGCCCCAAGTAACACCACCAACTCCAAGTAATATGAAAATAGTATATACAATTCCAATTAACCAAATTCTATAAATTTGTAAAGAAAATGGCTTAATTAATGCATCATGAATTAATCTTGTATTTGGATCATCCGGAGTTCTTAAAAAGAATAAAACACCAGGTCTTAAAATATTATTTCTAATCATTCCTAAATAAAATGCAAAAAATAACATGTATAAAGTACCACAAGCCCAATATAATGAAATTCTTAAATATGGCTCTTGTAAAAATTCATAATAGGAAGTAAACAATAATGTGAAAACAGGTAATCCATTCTTTGAAGGTTGAGTAAATGTATTTAAAAATAAAGGTGCAATACAAAAATCTAATAACCAACCACAATAAACTGGGAAGAAGTAAATTTCAATTGCAAATATGATAAAGACTTTAGCTGTTGAACAGATTTCAAACAAAACTTTAAACGCACGACGTGGAGTACCCAAGACTGGTTTACTTCCAGATGTTAAAATTGTCATTAATTTATATGTTGCACCACAAATGATACCATAACCAATAGTTAATACTATTATTCTTTCATTCAATGTATGAGCATGTTCTGACATGTTATTAACAAATAATTTATCAATCATTGAAATTGTTGATTGAATGACATATTCATTTACAGTATAAATTGAAAAATCAACAAATTCAGATCCAGTATTAGTTGAATTAAGGATATATTTATCAACAATTGATGATGTAATTTGATAAGCTTTTGTAGTTGATAAAGTATTAACAGCCTTACTCAATGCAATGTTATATACAAATTTTAATAAATATCCAGTTGAACTAACGAATATATTACCTATCATATGAGGAACCAAGTATATGCAAAATAAATATGCAGCAATAACTAAATCACATAGTAACATGAGAAATATTGGAGTTGATAAATTCAAACTAATACCGAAAATTTCTAAAAATTCAGCAATTGCTCCATTATTATTTGCTGGTGCTGCTCCATCTTGTAAATGTTCTTCGTGTTGTACTTCTTCTTCTTCTTCTTCATCATCTTCATCATTATCCTCATTATCTTCTGCAAAATCAACAAAATTTCTTACCAATTCATTCATTCCTGCATTTCTTCTAGCTTCATGATTAATTACAGGTTCTTGATTATGATCAGGTCCAATAAATATAGTTGGTCTTTCGTTATCCGTCGGTATATCACTAACTGCGTCATCATTTGGTTCTTCATTTTGCCTTTCAGTAAATAATTCACCATTATCTATTGCTCTTCTTAAACTTTCTTCATAATTATTATTACCTTGTTCACCTTCGTTATTTTCTTGTAAATCGTTAATTGCTCTTGTTAAACTTTCTAATCTTGATACCGTGGCAGCATCAGTATTTTCATTTGTATTATTTCTTAAACTTTCAACAGTTTGTTGTAACATATCTATCAATTTGGTTCTTGGTTCTTTACCTATCTTCCTTTTCAAAGCTTTTAAATAAGCTTCATCTCTTACAACCCATTCTCTTTCTATAAATAATGCAATTTGAACAATTACAGCAACTAATAAATAACGAACACCACTAAAATAAGTATAACTAAGGAATTTTCTAAATTTAATTAATGATAATTGTAATGGTAATAAATTTGAACTTTGTTCTGACATATACTTAGTTATATCAAATTCACCAAATAATAAAGATGTGAAAAATGATGATTTATTAATTATTGGTAAATTACCATCTATTGCCCACGTAAATATTCTACCCACAAATTTCCAAAACAATGGAACTTGAAACAAAATACATAATATATATAACATAATTGAAGTTGATTTTAATAAAGTTGATAGTATAATTTTAAAAAATTTTAACCAAATTAATTGAAATGGAATATTTTGAGGCATTTGTGGATCATATATAATTTTGAACTTATAAGTCGTATTACAAATTTCACATTTTTCAGTCGATTTATTTGAGTGTTTTAACCATTCCATTAAACATTGTTGGTGAATATATTTAATTGAACCTCGACATTTACATGGATGATATAATGGTTGATTTGGAGTACCTTCACCACGGCAAACACGACAAGTATTCTCTACGTCAGTTGACATACTAATGTACTATTATATATGATAATCTTATGATATGTATATGATATTTATCTGGTTGTTAATTTAATATTCGTAGATAAAGTGTATTAATGACAGACGATCTTTATTATGAAAGAAATTATACGAAAAGAGATAGGCGCTACCAATTGTGTCACTGAATTTTATACGATTTATAATGATGAAGGACATTGAATGAACTCTTGAGTAAGATTAGAGATCGGACAGTCATTGAGAATTCAATAATGATAAGTCTTACAAGTAAGCTTCGTTTATTCACCCAGATATCATACCTAATCAATCTTTCTTCAACATTACATTACCCGTTACTTTTCTCTTCTTCTTCTTACCTTCTTTAGATGATTTCTTACTACTTTGAGTCAGTTGTGTTTGTGTTCCATCTTCAGTATTTTGCTGCGTAGCAGCATTCTCATTTTCATTTTCATGTTGATCTTCTTCATCTTCCTCAACATCATCATTATCAAAATCATCCTCTTTAAAATCTTTAGTAGAGTCGTCAAACATTTTCTTTGCTCTTTCAATTTTATAACTTTGTTCCATAATATATTGAAATCTAGCTAATCCTAATGGATCATTTCTTAAAACAAATGCTAAATCATTCAATTTAATTCTCGTTCTATTCTGTGTCCTTGCAAAATTTAACATTTGATAGGATAATTGTGTGATATAATCTACTAATATGTCTTCTAATGTGTTAACTGTTAATTCTGTTGATACTGGTTTATCACCCATTGCATATAATAAATTTTCAATATCTTTGGTGAATAATCTTTGTCTCTTTCTTTTCTTTCTTTGAAATGTGATTGGTGGTAATTGTTCCTGTATTATTCTAGCATTTATACTCCTATTTGGGTTATGGTTGGACATTATTCAATGATGATAAAGAAGTTGTTTGCCGTAAATGAATAATTTTGTTTCGTATTGAAAATTGTTTGTTAAATCATTGGTGCTACCAACTGTCCAAATTTTGCCATCAATTGAGTACAAGATGATGACCGAAGATATAGTCTATAAATTAATCGTAGCATGAGTGGCTCGTAGAATCTGTTGAATTTCAGGTAGCCCGCAACTGTTGCCCGCAGCTGCTGTTGAGTCCGTCATATCCTCTTCTTCGGTCATAATTACTTTGTTTATATTGATCTTCATTTGAGTAATTATCTCTTCAAAACAATCAAACAAAAACGTTAATGAGGATCTAGGATCTAAACCTGTTGGATTGATATTTGGTCCATCTAACAATGTGTATATGAAATTTGCAGCCATTTTTTACGTATCGGAGTTAATTCTAAAAATAGAAATTTATCGGTTAACGGAAACGAAACTGTTGCTACCATCTCTGCAATGTTATCAAAATTAGCCACCTAAGTCATAACAATATATAAATATAAAGGTAGATTCCCATTCTATTAATTATTATAATTTACTATATTATATAAGGAAATTCTTTAAATTCAGTTAATGTCTACTCAAATAGAAACTACAACCTCATCAAGTACTTCAATACGACCTCCAAAACAAAATGAACTTACTGATGGTAGAAAACAACCCGATTATACATATTTGCAAAGTTGGAAAGATTGGTTTAAACAAAGTTGGGATTCAAATTATTCAGATGAATTAGTTGAACATAGATTATTATCAAGTTTACCATTTTATCCCAAATCAGACGGGAAAAGAATTGCTAAACTTATAAATACAGACATTGGGAATGGTGATTATATACATGAATTTTATATTGAAAATATCGAACCACAACCCAATTCATTAGTTAAGAGTGGATCTCCACCTTGTAAGGAAATTGTGCTTGTTCATGGTTATGGTGCTTCTTTAGGTTTATTCTTAGACAATTTTGATGATTTGACATCTATACCAGGTATCAAATTACATTGTATTGATAATCTCGGACATGGATTTTCATCAAGATCTAATTTTCCTTCATTTCCTTCAAATACAAAAGAAGAAGTATATAAAGTTGAAGATTGGTTTATTGATTCATTTGAAAAATGGAGATTAAAAAGAAACATTAATAAATTTATACTTGCTGGACATTCATTTGGTGGTTATTTAGGCTGTGCATATGTTTTGAAATATAATAAAGCAAATATAGTAGATAAATTGATTTTGATATCTCCGGTTGGGGTAGAAAGGAATAAATTTTCATTAATTGATGATGTTAAAATCGAGCCTAAAATATCAGTAGAGCAAGAAATTTTAGCTGACCAAGAAGATATAATACAATACAAAAATATAGATGAATCAGTAGAAGATCCAAAATCAAGGAAGCGTAAAATTTTTGAATACTTATGGGAACGTAACGTTTCTCCATTTTCAATAATTCGAAATGCTGGACCATTGAAATCTAAATTTATAAGTAAGTGGACTACTCATAGATTTGCTCATATTTATTATCAAGATCAAACTCAATTTCAAAACATTCATGATTATGTATATAGAATATTCAATGGTAAAGGATCAGGAGAATATGCAATAACGAGAATATTATCAGTTGGAGCTTTGGCAAAATTACCATTACTTGATAGGTGTCCTGCTAAATTTGTTGATATGAATTTGCCTAGTTTATGGCTTTATGGAAGTAAAGATTGGATGAATGATGAAGCAGGATTAGAAATGACAAATGAGATAAATAAATTAAGTAACAAGAAATATGGTAAGAATTTAGCAGAGTTTGGGATTATAGATAAAGCGGGTCATCATTTATATCTTGATAATCCTCCTGAATTTGCAAAATCAATATTTAAGTTCCTTGGTTTCAAAAAATAGAAATAAATAGAATTATATAGATATCATTAGCATTATATATTCATTACTTCATTATTTTAATTTCTTAAATTCATCTTCGACATATTTTGAAATTTCAGATAATTTCCTTTTCTGTTTTTCTTCAATTTGTTTCATTTCATTGTTTAATTCAGCTTGTAATTCATTCTTCTTTTTTAAAACTTCAAATTCAATACTTTTCAATTGATTAATTAAATTATTAGAATATGATTTCACACCTTCATTTATAAAATCATAAGCATCACCAGCAGAAGTTTTATGGGTTGATGAATTTGTTAATTCAGTATAATCTTGTTTTGGTGTTAATGCTCTAATTATAGACTCAGACTCTGGTGGTTCAAAATCATAACTTTGTTCAATTTCAGGTTCAACCTCTTCTTTCCTACTCGATTCTTCTTGAGTTATTTCAATAATTGGTGATTTTCTTCTTTTGGGAGTTGCTGTTTCAATTGATTTAGTTTTATCAGCATCAACTTGTTTCTGGTTCAGTTCTTGAGCTATTTCAATAATTGGTTGTTTTCTTTTCTTAATACTTACTATCTCATTTCGATTTTCTTCAAATGAACCAACAGGAGTTGATAACACATCATTATCTGAATCTTTCAACGGCGTATTAGCAACCAAATGATTTTCGATACTTGACTTTCTAATCTTGTTCGTCTTCTTCTTATCCCTTGTTTGTGGTTTAGGAGGCAATTTAAATTTCAACCTTGTACTCCTATTTGACTCATCAGATATAATTTCTTCAATCTCCTCATCATTTTCATTAATACCAAAAGTTTCATTCAATTCTTCAGCTTCTGACATTTTCTTCCTTTTGTCTGTTGGTAACGACTCTTCTAAAGTTTCTGGAACTTGAACATTTGAAATAACACTAGTTGAAACTTTCATTTCTTTCCTATCATGTACTATCCTATCTAAATACCTCACAATCCAATTATAGCACTCATCTACTGTTTTAATTTCAAGATTGTAATCTAGTAAAACATCATCTTGATCAGATTTAATACTCCATTGTGCAATATAATTTTTAAAATTGTTTGACGATCTCAATTTTCTAGTTGAATCACAAGTGAAAGATAAGTTAATGATATTGTTTGGTTTCGTTTGAAAACTCGATAATGTGGATAAATTAATATAATTTGCATATATTTTTCTTCCAGTTTCAACCCATAATATAAGTAAATGATGATCTATCGGTTGAATAAAACAACGTGAGGAATCAATTTCATGCTTAAACAATTTGGTTATTGTAGAACATGGAATCACATTTTTAACTAACGAATTTTGAGACTCGATATATAATAAAATTGGAAGTTTGAAATTGGGTAAAAAGACCAATTCAAGATTCAATTGTGTGAATAAGTTGACGAGGTGAACTATATGTGACAAGTTGTTGTTCTGTTGTAATAAATGAAGAAATTTATTTCTGTTGGCCCTGGTGTTAATCTTTTCAATTATTAAATTATACATGTTTTCATTCTTAATTAAATTCAACAAGATTTTGGAACTTAACCAATTGACCGAAGGTAAATCCATAAAACAACTCTCAATTAATAAGCTCAACACCTTGATATTCTCTTCCTCAATTTCTAATTTCATATATATATCCCAAATTAATTTTATATTTGGAATTAACGATCTAATTACTCCATTCAAATAACAATTAATTAAAAACCAACTAAATTCATCAATAAAATAAATAGGATCATTATTTGTAGTATAATTTATAATAATGTCAAAATTTCTCATAACTGATTGAATCGCGTCCTGGGAGATCTGACTTATAATTGCCGAATCTCCAAGCTGAAAAACACAAGCATTTAACTTAGACAATAAGGATTTATCTACTTTATTCTGATTTAGACCCTGGATGAACTCTTCCAATATATCTGAAAACAAACTAAACTCTGGATCCATTTTTTAGCGGTGGTTGTAAATCTGAAACAAATAAATTTAAATTCAATTTTAAAATTCTCGTAAACTTTTATATACTGAATGCTACCAAGTGTGATATGATCTATAAAATTTGTGACAATTTTTCATTTAAATATTTATCATTAAGGGAATATACCAATTGATTAAACTGAATAGCTCCAATGTTATTTCTAATATTGATTAAACATTCTTTGAGGAATGTGATTAAGTTGATTGAATATACTGTATCTTTTTCATTTAATAATTTCACATACCTAACTTTCTCCCCATTTGGTTTTATATTTTCTGGATCCATATATGAATATTCATCAATATCATCGTATAAATAATTAGATTGATATGTTTCAATCATCACATTGTCACTTTCATTCACTTCTTCGATGAAATAAAAAACTTTCTTGATAATTTCTCCAAACAATTGAGAAATTAATTCATTTTTATTGATAATTCCATAGTTTAATAATGATATCATTCCAACTAGGTTTATTTTCTTGTTTCGGGGATTACCATTATGATTATAACATCTAATCCAGTTCTCGAAAAATTTTTGATAATTGATATTTAAATTGAAAAAGTTTGATATGAAAATTTCATTCCCGAATAACCTTGAAAATAGGATATACATCTTTGCAATCATTATAAATGAATGATTATCATGAATTACATACGCATACATGTTTTGGAATAGTCCACTATTAAATAAATTTGAAATTAGTTGTTCATTTGAATTAAGTAATAGAATATCCATCAATACGATAAATACTAAGTATGCATCATCTCTAATCTTCAATAAATAATTACTCAATATTTTAAATGTTTCAATTATTGAATCTTGATAAAATAATTTTGGTGAATATAATGCATAACTTCGTATAATTGATAATATAGTAGGTAATATCTCTGTTGAATTTAATAATGCATGATTAATTAAAGTATAAAATAATTCAATCAATTGTTGATTTGTTTGATTTCCTTCAGGGACAAATTGTATTAATGCAAGCCATAAATCGTATCCATCTTCAGAAACTAAAGAATATAGATTTGAATTTGGAGAACAACAAGCATCAACTAATGGAATAGCAATTGAATGAGTCTGCTCTGAATTAACATTCAATGAAATAATTAAGTTTCTAAGCACACGAAGTAATGATGTTTTAATGATTGGTTCCTTATCACTTAATTCCCAATTGTTTGGAATGATGTTGAGGATTGACATTAATGTTTGATAATTTATCAATGGATTACAATTATGTATCATTACCGATAGTGTATCCAAAACGTACAATTTCGACTCAATCAATTGCAAATCATTTATGAAATTGATCAATATATTTACAAATTCAGTCAAGAATGGTTCAAAATCATGTTTTTCAAAATCGTAGTCATCTACAATTGATCTTAAGGAATGTATAGTACTTATCTTTACTACTTTATCATTTACTGGATTATTAGATTGTAAAAAATCAAGAAACAATTTGTAAATTCCAACTTTTGATTCTTTTGAAATTGTGATATTTAGCCAATCAGAAATAATCAATACTATCCTCCTCTTTAAAATTTTATTCTCTACTAGATCATTCTTTATCCCTTCTGGTATGAATATATTTTGGAGTAGTTGATCATAATTCACTTGAGTACTTAATGTATTTGAAGAAAATTGAAACGTACACAATATTGAATCTTTAGTTAAAATATTTTCAACTGAATCATTTGCCATTAATCCGTTTTGTATTTTGTTGATTATGAATGAATTTAGCTCCTTTGGGAAGTACTTGATTAAATCTTGGTAAAAATTTTCTGCACATGGTCTAATTTGATACTCCCATGATTTTTGAAGTTCTTCATTACAAAATTCTTCTGGTTCAAGTAACCAAGATTCTAAATCTTGTGGTTTTAATCTGAGATACCAATTTATTATCAAATCAGTTAAATGTTGAATAGTATCAGGTTTGAAAAATTCCAGATTTAATTTATTTAAAGCATCGTAGACTTCTACTTTTTCATTCTTTTCTTTTAAAGTTAAAGCACCATTTCTGAACATAAACGATAGGAGTTTCTTTAGTATTGCAAATGCTTTTAATGCTAATATCTCCCAAAAGTTATTTTCTTCAGTTGAATTATATATCACATCTGCCTTCAGTTCCAAAATTGATAAAAATGTAGTTATAATTCTGTCTGAGCTAGGTATTAATATAAAACTCGTTGGATTATTTGTAATTATAGATACATATAATTTCAGATAACATTTGATAAATTTTTCCAATAAATCATTTGAGTACTTTTCATGTTCTAATATAATACTTTCTAAATGATCAATACTAATATCCAAAAACTCTTCAACATCTTTATTCTTATGTGGTTGATCAAAAATAGGTATTATCCTCCTTAAATTTTTTAAACATAAGTAACATAATTGCATAATTGTCAAATTTTCATTATTTATCCACATATTGAAAAATTTCATATATAGTTTTATAAGTATATTAACTATCATCGGTGCTTTATTTTGCAATGCGTGTCTTGCTCTACCTATCCTCACAGTACTCAAAGTCTTAATAATACAATTTAAAACCAATAATGAATTATTAGTTGCAATTAAATTATTATCTTGAAACACATAACGTTCTAGATTTTGTAGTAAGTCATCAAATAAATTAGGCCAATCCTGTGGAAACTCAAACCGTGCAATTTTCGCAATACTATATGAATTTTGCAACATTAATTGATTATTTTGTTCATTTATTAAATTTGCACTCATACAATTAGATATAATTTGTGATTTTTCATCTTTTGGAATTGCATGTAATCGTGTTGATCTCCAATACTTATCTATACCATTCTTGAATAATATAATAGCTAACCATCTAATTTGGAGTGGTAAATTTTGATTTAAATATATTGATTGAAGATAATAATGGAAACCAGGGACAATTTCCCATTTTTTCAATTGAGATTCTGCATTTTGTTGATTTATATTTCTATTTGATTCAGATGCTAATGTTAGTGTACTTAATAAGTTATCATAGTTCAAATCCATGATATACTTCTATATGATGATCTGATTAAAACTAAGAAAAAATAGTGGAAAATTAAAGAAAGGGAGCACTACCAAGTGTATATACAATATTTATATTTATACATTATTTATAAATTGATACAAGATTATAAACATTTGTCTACTACAATTCCTTCAATTAACTAATTATTACATCCTTACAGTTGCTGGCATGTTTACTTGTCCCATCTATGTGATTCATCTCCTTCTTCCCATACTCTTTCAGTATATCCCAACTCTTGTTTCACTCTTTTCACAGTTTCTTCATCACCCATATTCTTACCTATATTATCACTTATTTTAATACTTGGTTTTCCATTAGCTTCTTTTAATTTAATTACAATATTTAACGGCTTTGATTTCTCACCAGTTTTTGAATTCTTGAAATCATTAGTGAAAAAAGTACCAATTCCAAAAGTAGTCTTGAATCCTAATTCATCACCTGTCTCTTTATATTGTAGACACTTTTCAATATTTAAAGAATCTGAAAAACAAATAACTTTAGTTGAAACATCAACTCCATTATCTTTATAATGTTTTGCAATTTTCTTTGCATATAATTCTGGATCTCCTGAATCTTGTCTGACTCCAACATAATCATGAATATAAGAATTTTTGAAAACAGTTAAATAATTATCTGTTCCAAATGTGTCTGTCAATGCTAATCCAGCATATGATTTACCAAAAGTATCTATCCAATAATCCATTGCTAATTTATTTGCTTGTGGGTAGTTTTGTGTAATTGATGCTATTCCCATATACCATTCATGTGCAACTGTACCAATGGGTATTAGATCGTATTTCATAGCGAAGTAAACATTTGAAGTACCGGCTATTAAATCACTTTTTGTCTTATCTTTGAGATCTTTTATAGCTTGTATGACTATCTCTTGAGATTTAAATGATCTTCGTCTTCTTGTACCAAATTCACTGAAATTACAATCATGAGAAACTAATTCTTCAGCTTTTTTATATGCTATTTCATACTGATTTTCATAATTCCAATCAACATCAACAAATTTAAAATATGCTTCTGAAATTAATGCTAATAATGGAATTTCATATAAAATCGTATCACTCCATAATCCTTCTATTTCTAATTTGAAATCATCACCTGGTATGTATTCAATTTGTGACCTTGGGTTTAATTTAAATGATTTAAGATAGGTCAAATATTCCGAAGGTAATTGAGGTAATGTCTTTTGTAAATATGCAATTTCTGAATCTGAAAATGATAAATCTCCAAGTGAGTCAATTTGTTTTTTTAGCCATTCAATTGCTTGTTTATTTAATTTTAAGTCTGGCGTTCTATTTGTATATCTATATTTAACCGGAATGCTTGGAAATTGTTTATAAACAGCAGCATGCATATAGATTTTATACAAATCAGTATCTAATAGTGAAATAATAACTGGTTTATCTTCACCACCATTCTGAATTGAAGTCATTATAGTTGTTCCGTCAGACTGGTGATAAATTATTTATGTTTCAAATTTAAAATGAGTAATAAATTAAAACGCTACCAATTCAATGCACGTGATTTAGATGAATGTTTGAGATTAAACTACTTCGATTTGATTTAATCAAAGTACGAGTAGAAAGGGTCTTAATAGGTCTGGTAATGTTTATGAAGTGGTTTAGTCTTACAAGATGCATAAAATTACCTTAACCAGCATAAATTTGATTTTCCTGAAATTTTGCAGCCAACGAAATCTACTGGATCAATCTAATGGATCTTAAGCTAAAGTTAGCTCAATACTAGACTCGTTAATTTTTAGCATTTGCTGCTAAATGCTATCCAACTTGTTAGCTAAGTATAGAAACTGGGTTTACAATTAAAATGCACTTGGTAGCATTCGAAAAGTCGTGCAAATTTATTATTATCAACAAAATATTTTCTAAAGAAGTGTTCTTTAGAAAGTTCCATTAACTGAAAAGGCTATCTTTAATATTGCATTCATTTATTTGTTAGTTATACATTTTATGTATTAGAATAAAGTATTATTATCATGTCTTATACTAAAGAACAAGAGACAATAGTATTAAAAGTTTTATCTTATAAACAACATCAATTTTATGAAATTTTACAAGTTTCAAAAACTTCAAATGATTCTGAAATTAAAAAATCATATAGGAAATTAGCTATTAAATGTCATCCTGATAAAAATTCACATCCAAGATCAGCAGAAGCTTTTAAAATTGTAAATAAAGCATGGGAAGTCTTATCAGATCCTGATAAAAAGAGAATATTTGATCAAACTGGTACTGATCCTACTTCAAGATTTTCAGGTGTTTCTAATGGAGGTGCTTCTGGTGTTGATCCATTCAATCGATTCGCTAATAGTGGAGGTACAAGATATCGTACAACTGCAAATGCAAGTCCATTTGAAGAAGATTTATTTAATATGTTTTTCGGTGGTGGTGGAGCAAGTCCATTTTCAACTGGTCCAACATTTACATTTGGTAATAATGGATTTACGTTCCAATCATTTGGTGGTGGACAAGATCCATTTATGAGACAAAGAAGAACTGCTAGATCAAGAAATGCAAGAAATCAATCATCACATTCTCATTCATCATCATCATCAACTACACAAAATACTCCAGAACCTAATATTTTTGAAACTTTAAAAGGTTTAGTACCTATATTATTATTATTAATTGTACCTATACTATCAGCAATTTTTGGAGATTCACCACCAGATTATTCATTTGTTAAAACAAGAGATTATAATATAAAAAGAACAACTCCCAATTATAAAATACCATTTTATGTAAATGATAGTTTTAATAAGAAATATAGTAATAAACTGATTAAACAATTGAGGAATTATGATTCAAAAGTTGAAAATTTATATATTCAAGATAAAAGAACAAGATGTCAAAGAGAACAATTACATAAAGATCAATTAATTGAAGATGCACATGGTTGGTTTACAATAGATTATGATAAATTAAAACAAGCAGAACAATTACCAATGCCAAATTGTGATGTTTTACAATCATTAAACTTGATATAGAATAATAAAAACTTCACTATTTAATATATAACGCTTTTCATGAAATGTTTGGATAAAATATTGTCTTTTAATTCGAATAGAATACATAGGAAGTAACGCGGACTGTTCTGATTCAACTTTGATCTGCAAATTATTGACTTTAAATAAAGTGGTTATTCGAACTTTTCTCCCCAAGTCGAACAATCAATATATGGTAAGTTTATCAGCCAAAGGTGTATGAAATCCATTAAAATTAAGCCATCATATTTTGCATTTGCTGAAAAGAAATAGACAAGATTGCAATTAAGTAAATAGAAGCACCACTTAACCAAAGCACCACTTAACCAAAGCACCACTCAACCAAAGCACCACTTAACCAAAGCACCACTTAACCAAAGCACCACTTAAGCACCACTTAACCAAGAAGTGAATATATCTTAACAACTCAATTGGTAGCACTCGTTTTTATTCGTTTTTTTTTTTGTTGATACAAAAAACGAAAAATCAAAATTATCAATTGTTTAAATTTAACCAGTGGCAAATATTCAACAACACCATTGAGAATAATTAAAAATGTTTAGAAATAATTATGATAATGATACAGTCACTTATTCACCAACAGGACGATTATTTCAAGTTGAATATGCTTTGGAAGCTATAAAACAAGGATCAGCAGCCGTTGGTCTAACTTCAAAAAATCATGTTGTATTAGTTGCATTAAAACGTAATGCAGAAGAATTAGGTTCATATCAAAAGAAGATTATAAAAATAGATTCTCATATGGGTGTTGCATTGGCTGGATTAGCACCAGATGCGCGAGTATTATCAAATTACCTCAAGAAGAAAGCCATGGAAAATAAATTAATATTTGATAAGCAAATTCAAACTTATAAAGCAGTATTATCAATTGCTGATAAAGCTCAAGAAAATACTCAAGGTTTCGGGTCAAGACCTTATGGTGTTGGATTATTAATTGCTGGTTATGATGAAACTGGCTCTCATTTATTTGAATTTCAACCTTCTGGTTCTGTATTGGAGTATTTTGGTGCTGCAATTGGTGCAAGATCACAAGCTGCAAGAACTTATTTAGAAAGAAATTTAGAAATAATTCAACAAGAAACTGAAGTGGAAAAATTAATTGTACATGGTTTAAATGCATTAAGAGATACTTTAAGTCAAGATGTTGAATTAACTTTTAAAAATACAACAGTTGCTGTAGTTGGAAAAGATCAAGAATTTATAACATATGATGATGAAGATGTGCAACAATGGTTAGATAAATTAGATTCTGTATCAAATGCAAGAAATAGAGAAGAAGAAACTGAAGAAAATACTGAAGAAAATACTCACGAGACTAATAATGAGGATAATCAAGATCATCCAACGAATGAAGACAGAATGGAAACAGATGAATAGATTTATTAATATACACTTGATTATTAAGTTTCTTCCTGTTGCTGTTTAATTGCAACTTTTTTAATTGCTTCCATACAGATTTTCTGCATTTCATTTAATTTATTATTTAATAAATTAACATCTTGAGTTTTATTTGATCTAATATCATCTATTAAATTCTTTGCATCATCAATAGCAGTTTTGGTATCTTCTTTATCTTTTTCTTCCATTAATTCACCAAATTGAATTAAAGCAATTTCAGTATCAGTTACCAATATTTCACCTCTTGATGCATGTTCATAAACTTTTCTCATTTCTTGATCTTTCAATTTATTTGATTCACTTTCTTTAATCATTTTTTCAACTTCTGAATCAGTTAATCCAATTTCTGTAACTTGTATTGAAACTTTATTCGGTTTACCATAATGAGGTGAATCTTTAGGATACTTTGTTTTATCACTTGCACTTACATTAATTATCCCATCAGCATCAATTTCAAATTCAACTGAAATTTGTGGTGTTCCTTTTGGACCTTTTGGTATATTGCCTAATTTAAACTGTCCTATTAATTTATTATCTTTAACTAATGTACGTTCACCTTGATAACATCTAATTTCAACACCAGTTTGTCCATCAATAGCTGTTGAAAAAATTTGTTCTTTCTTTACTGGAACTGCTGAATTTCTAGGAATTAAAGGGCTGAATATTCCACCATAAGTTTCAATACCAAGTGATAATGGAGTAACATCTAACAATACAACATTTTTCATGTGACCAGACAAAACACCACCTTGAATTGCAGCACCTAATGCAACAGCCTCATCTGGATTAACAGCAGTACTTGGTTTTTTATTAAATAATTCTTCAACTACTTGTCTTATTTTAGGCATTCTTGTCATACCACCTACCAATAAAACCTCATCAATATCTTTAATTTTTAAATCTGCATCTTTGATACATCTTTTAACAGGATCTATACATTTTTCAATGATTGGTAATGACATTTCATCAAATTCAGATGATGTAATAGTATAATTTATATGATGATCTTGTGATATAAAAGGTAAATTAATTTCAAATTTCTCATTATGATCTAATTCAATTTTAGCCATTTCTGAAATCTCTCTAATTCTTTGAATTGCAATTCTATCATTTGATAAATCGATACCAGTTTCCAATTTAAATTTTTTCAATATCCAATTCATAATCAATATATCAAAATCTTCACCTCCTAAATGAGTATTACCATTAGTTGCCCTAACTTCGAACACACCATCTTCAATATCTAAAATTGAAATATCAAAAGTACCACCACCAAAATCAAAAACTGCAATAATACCTTCTTTTCGACTCTTATCACAACCGTAAGCTAAAGCAGCTGCAGTAGGTTCATTAATAACTCTAAGTATATCTAATCCAATTAACTTTCCACTATTTTTAGTAGCTTGTCTTTGAGAGTCATTGAAATAAGCAGGTACAGTAACGACAGCCTTGTCTATTTTTTCATCAAGATAATTATTAGCAATTGATGTCATTTTCTCTAGTATTTTTGAGCTTATTTCACTGGGACTTATTGTTTGATTATTTGTACTCTTTAAGACCGCGTCATTGGAATTATTGGGTATGATTTTATATGAAACATTATCTAAATCACGTTGAACCTCCGGGTCAGTAAATTTTCTACCGATTAATCTTTTAGTTGCAAAAAACGTATTTTCGGGATTTATCAAAGCTTGTCGTTTTGCAGGTAGTCCAACTAATATATCATTTTGTTTATAAGCTACAATTGATGGAGTTGTTCTTTTACCTTCTTCATTTTCTATAATTTGTGGCTGGTTTTTTGAATTCATAAAAGCAACTGCGGAATTAGTCGTACCTAAATCAATTCCAATCACTGTACTATTACTTTTAAATCTTCTCAGTATATAAGGTAGTATTCTTCTAGTCTGTATCATGATAAATCTATACTTTCTTTATAAGCAGCAAATGTTAATAAATATTTTTTTTATATGGAAAGATCGGCGCTACCATATACCACTGATATCATAATGCAGATACAGATTTCATTAAATCATCGTCTATTTCTATAAATCTATAAAAGTCTATTCATTGTGTATAAAACTATGAAATTTGATACGAGTTGGAAAAATTGTAAAACTATCAAATCCACATATATATAAATTTTCAAATCCAAAAGTATTTAAAAAACTAAATATATAATGATGATCAATAATTGATATATTAAATGATTCTCTTCTTAATATATGATTGGAGCCATCTAATGTCTTAACCATGAATAATTCAATACTTGTAACATTTCCTTCTGAATTCTTATAATATTTCTTTCCAGTAATTATACCTAATTGACCAGTACGTTTGGTAATTACTAAATTCCCATAATTTGAAAAATCAGTAGTAAATTCTTTTACTGCAAGATCTTCAATAACTGGAGTGAATTCTCTAAATGTAAGATTAACATTATTCTCTATCCCATGCATTATTATATTATATGTTGTTGTATTATCTCTTAATGGAAACCCATGATTTTTTATTTTCCTCCATGATAAATCTAATTCTTCAGTTACAACTTTTAATAAATATGGAATTTCAGTAACTTTTAATGGTTTCATTAATGTTTCTAGTTCTGCATATTGACATAATGACATTTCACGAAAGATTAACTCAGCAGCTTCGATAACTGGAAAACATCGATCTTTAACAACAATTGCATATTTGGAAATACTTGGTTTTGGTGCAGGTCCCATACCTTCAATTGTCAATTTATCAAAATTAACAACTTCATGAAGTATTTTAATAGCAACTGAAGCAATTAATAAAGCACTAGTATATCGCTTTCTTGAATATAAATATAAAATATTATAATTCTCTTGTATATATCGCAGCCAATCCCATTGTTGATCAATCCATCGATATATATGATATAATTGAGATGCTATAAATTGCATATACCATTCAAATGATTCTAAATGACCACCATTAGTATATTGAGGATATCGCTCAATGAAATATTTTTTATATTTCAACCTTATTTTATTTAGATAACTTGTTCTATTCTGGACCAAATCAAAACTGTTTCGTTGACATGATGCAATTGAAAACCAAACTTGTTCATACCAATTAAAATCGGGTTCAAGTACTTTTGTCAATTTTTTTAATTTCCGTATACCGATATTAATCACTTGTGCTTGTAATATATTGCTCAATATCATATAATTTGTAAATTGTATAGTCTCTCCTTGTTTTTGAATATAATTTATCTCTGTTTTCAACTCCTTTTGTTCTATTTTGTATAAATTGTAAATGATGGGTAGGTATCGATAATCAACAAATTGTTCAATTAAATCAGATAAATAAAATAATTTTTCTTTATTTGGATCATCCATATATATTTCAAATGATAAATGATCATGATACATTCTTAAGCAAGCTTCATAATAATCTTCAATTAATTCTAATTCAATATCATAATGTTTTAATATCTTGGTGAATAATATGTAGTAAACTCTATTCCAAAAATAAGGGTGTGATAATTTCAATCTGAATAGTTTATTAGTTTGATATAGACTAAATATATCTTTAATATTCAATCCACCGATATCTATAATATGTATTATAATATCTAATGGTAACATACTCACTTATACTTTGGTCATAATAGAAAAAAAATAATTTTTCACTTTGATAAGAATGGCTAAACGAAAGAATGATGATAATGATAACAAGTCAAATAAGAAGAGGTTTTATGGTAGGAAAGGTCCCGCTTTAATAGATCCAAATACTACTGGTTTATATGCTACTTGTACAAGAAGAAAAGAAAAACAATGTAAAGACGAATTAATAGGTTTACTTGAAGAGAAAATACATGAATATTTTGATATAGAAGATGAAAAGGATAATGATGGTGAGGAAGAGAATAAAGTATTGTCAATTGAGGAGAAGATTCAATTGGAATTAAAACAAATGGATTCAAAATCTTCAGATAGAAAAAACGATTTATTACAACCTTATGATTTAGGTACTGAATGTTTATTATTCATAAAGACTAAAAAACCAATAGATCCAGAAATACTAGTTGAAAACATAATGAAAGAAACATATGAAACAGGTGTTAAAACTACTAGATATACTTCTAAATTAATTCCGATTATGAATACATGTTCATCAAATGGTGAAAATCCATTAGAACAATTAAAAATACTAGCTAAGCAAGTATTGAAAAGACATTTTCATAATGAAAAAAATCAAAAACCATTGTCTTTTGCTATTCAAGTTACAAAACGTAATTTTCAACAATTTTCATCAAATGAAATTATAAAATCAATTGCTGAATGTGTGGGGAAAGATCATGGACATAAAGTAGATCTAAAAGATTATGATAAGTTGATAATTGTTGAATGTTTTAAGAATAGTATTGGTATGAGTGTGGTGAATAATTATTTAAAATATTCAAAATATAATCTTCAACAAATATTTGATAAACAACATGAGGAGAATAAGGATGACTAATCTCGGTATAATTTATGGCATTTGCTAACTTAACGGTTTAAGCTTTATTGAGATGACTTGTAATTAGAACGAGAGTATAGATTTTATGTATTAATAATAGAATCGACTACCATGCTAAAAGTCATCATAGTTAATCTCTCTACAATCTTGATACTAACTTTTTGGGAAATGTTATTATATGTTTTTGAATTAATAACATCTCAGTAAAAGCTTCATTTAAAAGGTACTTGAAAAATGCGAGGTTTGGTAAATAATCCCCATCAAACAACAGCCAATCAAAAAGTGAGTTAACCATGGTGAGTAATTTCAGATTAAGACATTTTCCCAACAATGGACAACCTCTTGTTAAAACTGTAGCAAATTCTAATGTACTTAATTTTGTTGGAAAATAAATTAGTTCTTCTACAAGTGCACCCTATGTCTAGTATGTTGTGACTTTGAATAAATTTGTTTAACAATAAATTGTATTAAATTTCAAGATCAAAATTCCGATTCTGAAACACAAAATTAAATAGATTGTGTAATCCATATAAAGGGTAAGTGTTACAAGATTTAGCCTCATTAAAGCTTTCAAGTTGATATGAGATCACCGGGATCTTGACTAATAGTTAATTGAACTAAATTGATTTTAGATCATGCGGCTGAACCAGATCGATCTTTAAATCGCGCTTTTTTAATGGAATTTTTATTATTAAGTGTGAGATGGTATATTTGTCAAATAACTATAAACAGGTAAATACAACCAAAGGATGATTCAACCGAAATGATATTTTAATTAATCATAAACTCTGTAACTTCTCACTTAGCTAATTCTTAATAATCACAATCAGATTGTCTTTACTATTATTAGTAACTAATTCAACTGTAAAACCTTGGGTACCGATTTTCCCAATATGTAGGTAAACCAAGCCAGTTTTATCAACTTCAAAATGCAATACTTCTGTCTCACCTCCAGAAGCTGATAGATATTCAACAACCTTTTCACTGGTTGCAAAAACTTTAGTAATCCGAAAATCAACTTGAACTACAATACTTTAACGCTTGGACTTTATCATTAGCAATATTCAAATACCATCCACCGCGATTATACATTTATTTATCAATAAAAACAGATTCAGATAGTTTGAAAAATTCAACATCAACGTATGATTTACAAACTTCATCATATTTATAATTATGAAATACTGAGCACCACAGTCATACATGAAGACTCATTATCAAAGCCATCCGATTATCTACTAATTGGATAACAGTCTTCTAAAACTGATACTGAATTTGAATAACTAGCTGATGTTTTGACAACAACTATGATTAGTACGAGTCGCCCAAAAGCTAGCACGAAAAAATAAAACACTGGCACCGACTTTTGGCGAGAACCAAATACTACAAAAATCAAATTTGAAACAAATTTCACTTATATGCAGGCTTTCAGTAGCTAATCATAATACTTAATTGTCAATAACTCTTTTAATATCAAATGCTAATTGTCAAACTTTTTTCGATAGGACTTCAACGGACTTAAACTGGAATCAAGTTTGCATTCTCAACTAAACCCCATCTCTGATCAATTTATTATACTTTTAAGAAATGCAAAATAACGTCAATTTCCAAGATGAAGCACCTTTGAACCTCATTTAACAACTTCAAATATATCTGATTCAGCCCATTACTCCTCAAAGATTCTTTGTATAGTGCTTCCAAGGCGCTATAATCGTTTAGAATTTTTTTCAAAATTTTCAAATCACTTTCGAGAAATTACTTTTATAATTCTGAATACCTCGACATAAAAATATCAAAAGTATATGAAAAGGCAGAATTATACATTTGGATAAGCATACTCGTCTCGAATTCCACTGTGGTGTTAGACTTTTTGTGAGGTCAATTTATTCGATTTGTCCCATACTTAGGAGAAAATTTTAAAATTTTTCAGTTTCAGTTTTGATCACTCAAAATCATGTTCAGCACTTTTATTTGAGGCATAATATATATAATTCGTTGTTTAATCAAATGTTGTGGGCCTAAATAGAAATATGTTATGTGATCACACTTTGATGAAAATTTTGTATGATGAAAATAGCTCAATATTTCAATTGAAAAAGAATTTTAAAATTTCAAGATTAAGCCATGTAGTAGATATAATTCATAGCATAGCTCCTGATTTGATATAAATGGTTTTTATCCCGAGAGGTTGCGTTGTTCAAGATATATATGCCGATATTTTTAGTACGACTCGCCCTAATTTTAAAGCGAGAAATTATTTTATCGCATGAGAGCAAAAAAATTTGAAGTTGTTATTAATTGGGCTCAATTTGGCACGAAAATCAATGCCAACTATTGAGTAGAATTTGAGCTCTCGTACGAAAGGGGTCATGTGTCATGTTTTCGAACGACAGTGGACAGCTATTCAATGAATAGTCGATTTTATTGCAGACAATACCTTTCTATATATTATTCTACTTGTATAACCTTCCTAACAAGTCAGCAGTACCAGCTTAAGTACTCTGCAAAACCACTGATACTATCATCAACTCTTAATTCTACTATAAGCATTCACTAAGTTGAAAAAAGATGAAAATTTACTCGGACAATAACAATCATCTTCTCAATTTAAACATTTAATCTATATTCATAATGTTGTGGTTCTTGCCAAGCCAACCAATCCGATTCACTATGAGGTATCAAACCCATATTATACAATTTGTAAATTCCAATTAACATATTAGCAATTTGACAAATAATAAACACAAATTTGGCCAATATAATTTCATTTTTATTCTTATTAGTTTCTAATTTATTAAAAATTGTACCAGTTTCATTAAATATCACTTTTAATGGATTCCATAATAACATTAAAGTCATAGTAACAGGAATAATTTGTAATGAATTACCAGTGAAATAACTCATTATTAAATTCATTGGGAGAGATTTTGCAGGACCGATTGCAATCTCCCATATTTTCTTAGATTTAAGTGTGTTTAAATGTGCTTCTTCTTTTTTTGATTTGGTTGTGGTTGTTGTGTTTGTTGATTTGAAGTCTGGTGTATATCCCGGTGGCGATGGAATTGAAGATGGATCTTTTGGTGGTGATACAATACTTGGGTTTAATATTTCCGAGTAATCTTCTGACATATTAATTGGTTATTAATTGGTTATTAATTGGTTATTCGGTTGTAATGGTTGTAATGGTTGGTGATAATTTATAATGAATTTTTATTTTTTCTTAATCAACAAAATTATTTCTTAAGAAAGCTTAACAATTGACAATTCAACAACTATTAATAAAGGGATACTTATAGAGCAATATGAATTCATCTATACCATCAATTCTGAAAAATCCACTCAATAAAATAATTGGTTTAAGTATAATCTTATCAATAGGTTTTTTATTGGTTATATTAGCTGGTATATATGGTAATTGGTTTCCCATAATAATTGGTATAATATTTGCAATTGCTCATTTACCAGTAGCTATAACAAAGAACCTTGTTAGTTCAAATTCATCAGATTATGATTTTAATTTTGACTCAACAACTTCGTTAAATTCAAAATTTATAATTGAAATTGGTCAATTCATAACTTCATTTTTATTAATTAGTGGTATATATTTACCTATTTTACTAACTCATTCAAAAATATTAACTGAATTTGCCTCGGCGTTGACTATAGTTGGTGGCCTATTAATATATGGTACAGTTTATTCATTTAGTCATTATTTTGACCAAGTAGAAGACGAAGATGATGGTTTGACTGATTTAGGAGGTGGTGTAATTTGAATAACTACAAATTTATATAATATACATGTAATAATACTGGGAAGAAACATCATATCAACTATGCTATGACCTTCAAGAAAGGTTCCACTCCATTATTAAGAGTACTACTCGTGCTATATCTCTATATATCTCTATACTCTTTTCTTTGTATTTTGTTGATGGAACTAAAAATTGAAAATTCGCCAGACGAAAAAAAAAGTCAACCAATTTGAAACCATGCCAGTATCAACAACAGCATTTACTACTAGTACAAATGAATTTGCTAAAGCGGAACAACAAATAATTCAAGAACAACAGTTACAATCAAAAATTATAAATGAAGAATATAAAATTTGGAAAAAAACAGTTCCTTTATTGTATGACCTCATTCATACATTTGCGTTTGATTCATCATCATTAATATTTGAATGGGTTAAAGATTACAAAAAGATTAATTCCGATTATATCCAATGTCAATATTTAATAGGAACGAATACAAGTATAAAAACAGACAACTACCTCAAACTAGGCTCGATTAATCTTCCAAAATCATTAATATCTCAAACTTCAGACATACCTATCCCTTCTTCAGTAGATACATCAGATTTTCAAATATTAAAACAATGGAAAACACAATCTGAAATTAATGCACTTAAAATAAATGGAGATGTTGCAATTAGTTTCAATTCAAATGGATTAATTCAAAGTTATAATCTCATTAATAATGATATAGTAGATTATAAATATCATAAACAAGAAGGATATGCATTAAATTGGTTTAATTCAAGTTCATTCTTATCCGGCTCATTAGACTCCCAAATTGCATATTGGGATATTTCAAAACCATCTACACCAATACAATTATTTAAATCTCATTCGGGTGCAGTTAACGATATTTCATCGTTAGAATTTAGGAAGTTAATTGGGTCCGTTTCAGATGATTCAACTACTCAATTTCATGATTTACGTACTTCTGAAAATCCAATAATTTCAATTGAGAATAAACATATTCAAAATTGTATTTCATTCCATCCTTCAGTTGATACATTATATGTAACTGGTGGAAAAGATAACATTGTAAATTTATATGATATAAGAAATTATAAAATACCATTTAGGAAATTTTACGGTCATAATGATTCTATATCACAACTCAAATGGGATCCAAATAGTCCAAATTTATTATATTCCTCAGGGATTGATAAAAGAATATTACAATGGGATTTAGAGTCTTTGGATGAAGAATTTACATATCCGGATGAATCAGAATCTGGTAAAAAGAATAAGAAGAGTGATAAAATTGATCCATGTTTGAAATTTATTCATGGTGGTCATTTAAATAGAATTAATTCATTTGATATACATCCAAAAATTAAAAATTTGATTGGAAGTGTTGGCGATGATAAATTAATGGAAATTTGGAAAATAAAAACAATACCTGAGGAAGAAGAAGAGGAAGAAAAAGAAGAGGAAGAAAAAGAAGAAGAAAAAGAAGCAGAAGAAAAGGAAGAGGAAGAAAAAGAAGAGGAAACTAACGAAGAAAAGGAAAACAAAGAGGAGCCGAAAGAAGATGAAGAGATTAAAGAGGAAGAAGAATCAAAGGAAGAACCAACAGAGCCAACAGAATCAAAAGAAGGAGATGGTGATGTCGAAATGAAAGAGTAGAGTGGTAAGGATGTCAAATAGACTAGATTAAATTGTAATTGCATCCTTAACTTTGTATTTTGATGCTAAATAGGTTAGATTTTAAGACTATTTACAAGCATCCATACAATTGCAGCTGCCTCCTGACGGTGTTGGTTGTGTTTCAGCATCCTAACAAATTTGTATTATGTAATATATTTTTTTACGCGTTTCAGAATTTTTCAAATTCGATTTTTCATTTCTTTATCAATAATCACCATGGCGATTTTAATATGGAAAAGTATACCAATTACTCATACAGAATTAAATCTCTGTAAAGTATTGAGGTGTGGTCAAACATTCAGATGGAAAAACATAAATCACATGTGGTCATTTTCTATAAATGATAGAATTATATTATTAAAGCAAGATGATTCAAAATTATATTATTCTCAAATAATGAAGACCAACCTCAAAGGTTCACATGAAGAAACATATTCATATATCAATGACTACTTTTATCTCGACCTAAATCTATCTGAATTTTATACACATTGGAAAGTACAACATTTAAAGTACAAGTCTAAGGAAGTTACACCATTTGATTTATTCAAGGGGATAAGGATACTTCAACAAGATCCCTGGGAATGTCTCATTTCATTCATATGTTCTTCAAACAACAATGTCAAACGTATTTCGAAAATGTGTGAAAACCTTTGTGTGAATTTTGGTACTTATATAAACACTTTTGAAAATGAGAAATTTTATTCGTTTCCAACTCCAGAACAGTTAAGTGCTCCCAATACGGAGGGTTTGTTACGAGATTTGGGATTCGGGTATCGTGCAAAATACATATATCAAACAGCACTAAAATTTACAACTTCAGAGTATCCAGATATTAATTTAAGAGAGTTGAATAGGATGAAAACAGAGAGTTATGATACCGCTCATGCTTTTTTACTTCAATTGTCTGGAGTAGGTCCAAAAGTAGCTGATTGTATTTGTTTAATGTCTTTGCAGAAACATAACGTGGTTCCTATAGATACCCACGTTTATCAAATTGCAATTCGTGATTACAAATATAATGGAAAGACATTAAAAAGTATGAATAAAGAGACTTATAATAAGATTAGATTATTGTTTCAAGGTATTTTTGGTGATTTTGCTGGTTGGGCTCAATCTGTTTTATTTGCAAGTGATTTAAATGATTTAAATAATGGTAAAAATATTACTATTGAAAATGATAAAAAAAGAATTAAGATTGAAAATGATGATGATAATAAAAGGGTTAAGATTGAAGCTGATATAGATAAGTCTAATTTGAGTAATCCTATTAAAGTTGAGGTATAATTTTAAATGATGTAGTTGATGGGGATTATACAAATGTTATCAAAATAGAAGATTGAAGCAAATGAAGAGAACAAGTAACCTAAACCAAAAGTAAAATGTAGAAGGAACAACGAACCCAATCAATGCTGAATGATGCATGTAATAGATTTGGAGGTAGAGAAAGATATAAAGTGATTCAGGAGCCAGATAGATACAAACAGTACAAACCTAACTAACTCAATCAAAGTTGATGTACAAACGGATTAGGTTCAAATATGAGAAAATGAATGCAGATGCAATACTTTCTACAAAAGCTTGAATTTTATTAGCATCCATAAAGTTTATTTACATCCTTACTTAATATATATTATCTACTAGTATCAACTACATATCTCCCCTTAACTTTATTCTCACTCATCAATTTATAAACATCAGGTAATTCACTCAATCCAACAACCTTAATCGGACACTTAACCTTCCCATCTAATGCAAATTGAATAGCTTCTTCAGTTTCTTTCTTATTTCCAACTGATGATGCATAAATATTCAAACATTTAGAAATAGCAGCAGAAACACCATATTTAAACTCACCATTCAATGGGATTCCAATAATTACAACCTTACCTAATTTTCTCGCATATTCAAAACTGGAATTCAATGCTTGATTTGAACTTGAAACATTCAATACACCATGAGAACCACCATTGGTTATCTCAATTATCTTTTCAGCTACATTTTCAGTATTACTTATATCGACATATTCATCTGCACCTAATTCTTTCACAAATTGACCTTTTTCAAAACCTGAATCCAATGCAATTACTTTTAAATTCATTGCTTTTGAGAATTGAATTCCAAGATTTCCTAACCCACCAGCAGCTCCAACTATCGTAATCCATTGACCTGGTTTCAACCCCATTGATTTGATTCCTGAATACGAAGTTAGTCCTCCACATAAAATTGGACTCAATTCAGCAATGTTCGAAGAAGCTGAATTCGGAATTCTTGCAGCTTGTCTATAATCTACCGTTGCATATTGTTGAAATGTTCCATTTGTAGTGTAACCCGTAAACTCAAATGAATCACAAGCTTGTTCTTTATCTGCTAGACAATATTCACATTCCATACATGCATAATTCAACCATTTCATTCCTGCAAGATCTCCAATTGACCAACCTGTGACTTCTGATCCAAATGAGACAACCTCGCCAATTCCTTCGTGACCTCCAATTAATGGCAAAATAGTTGGGTATGGCCAATCTCCTTTCCAGGCATGTAAATCAGAATGACAAACTCCGGAATATTTAACATTGATCAAAAGTTCATTTGGTTTTGGTGTTGGTGTGGCAACGTCTTTGTATTCTAGCGGTCCATTGTGTTCGTAGAATATGACTGCTTTTTGAGATTTTGGAATATTTGACATGATTTGGTGGATTTTGATGAAAATTGGAGAAACTAAAAATGTTGGTATATTTATATCTCCATTATTATTTTTGAAAGAAATTGTTATACCCGATCGATTGATTAACGATGGGGAGCTGTAATATTCGTGGAGTTGTTCTTGAAATCTTGGCTGATTTATTATTTAAATATGTCAACAAAAGTGGAATACTGCGCTAGTTGAGTTCTTATCGAAACCATCTTTGGTATCTATTTTTAGCCGCTAAATAGGTTTATTCATAGGATTATCGTTCTGATCTAGGTATGGAGAAGCGTTTTTGAGCTGATCTTAAGTATCATCCATTCTAAAAATGAATAATTGGGGTTCATAGCTTCAACAAACACTTAATATAGACTTCAGCATTATTATAAATTCTTTGAAAAATTCTAACTCTCTTCGACTTTTGATGTTATTGAGTCATGTGCTTTATATTTATGCTTGATTTTATTGTAGATGAATATTTTTGCAACCATTATATTTTAGGTAGCGCATGATCAAATATAAATCAGTTTCAATTCATAGTAAAACTATAATACAGCAGCTCGTGAACACAGTCAAATGGAGTCAAGAGTGTTGTTGGATTGCTAATTCAATGAATTCTGGATGTATCAGAACTTGTACTTTATAAATATCAAGATTTTTTTGCAGTATTTCAACCAAGTCTAAATCTCAATGATTAAAATTTACGAAGAGACTACAAGGACAAAGCACTTAATAATATAAATATGAATAATTTAGCGATCAAGTCGTCGAATAAATCAAACGTCAAGTATAAATTCAAAGTGGGTCAAATTGCAGTTCTAATTCTCAATCTTCAATCTTCATCTAGAATCAAATTTTACAACAAGCTCAACCTCCAAAATCTAAATCTACATCAACAATTATTGTTTCAAAATTAATATATTAATAATATACATGCAATTAATTTCTTTAATCGAATAAACCAAAACCCATATCTTCATCAGATTCTTCAGCTTCTTCTTCTTTAGCTTCTTCTTTTGATTCTTCAGCAGCAGCAGCACCAGTAGAAGCACCAGCAGCACCAGCACCAGCACTAGCAGCAGGAGCAGAAGCAGCAAATGAAAATAATAATTCTTTTAAATTTTTACCTTCTAAAGCTTTTGCAAAAACATCAGCCCAAATTGAATCAACATTTGCATTTGCGGCTTTAGTGATGTTTATTAATTTTTCACTAGTGATTTCTTGTTCTGAATCTGCTAAAATTAAAGCAGCATATGATACAGCAGCTTCGACTGACATTGTATAGTTATTTGATAATTTTTCAATATTGATTTTTTTGATTATATTGGAACGAGAAATTTTTGAATCGCCCTAAAAAAATGTGACACTCACGTGAAACTGATTATACTATTAACTATATACATATTTAAAATCTGGGGTAATTAACTATCAAACTATTGAACTTTGTAGATTTCATAATGAAAACATTCTTACAATGATATTAACTGCATCCTTACATTAGCAGCATCCTTACTCTAAAAATTTCAGAATTGAGCTTAACCAATTTCTATATTCATTTTCTTCTTTAAAATCACTAAATGCAATTATAAAATCAGCCAATTCATTATTAACACCCTTTGCAATTAAATAATTTTCAAATTCAGTTTGTAATGATTCATCAAGTTCACTAAATTTAGGACCTTGATAATTAAACTTATCAATAAATTCATTATTTTCATTGACCATTTTCTTAAATTTAGTGACATCATTTTCAATATTAATATAATCTATCATGAAACTAGATTCAGTATTTTGTAAAAACAAATTAAAGAACAAACCGGTATTATTTTCATTCTCAATTAAGATTTTAATATTGCATAAAATTTGATCAAGATTTGAAACTTCATCTTCTAAATCACCTTCTTCTGGGTTCAATTCTAAATCCTCCGTAGGTATGTCCGTAACTTCGTCAATATCGAAATAGACGTGAATAGTTTGATTATCTAATTTTTTAACTAATTCGATGTTTGCTTGACCTGGCTTTGAAACAACTTGGAAATTTTGACTTTTGATGTAATCTTCGTACATTGAATCTAATTCATTTGGAATTTCTTCATTATATTTTAATTCAGTTTTAATTACTTCATTTAATGATGACTCCGCAGCCTTATTTAAAATTGGAATTGATGTTTGAAATTGACGTGTTGTATAGATTGGCAATACAGGTAATGCAACTTTTAAATTTTTAATTGATTGGTTAATTAATCTTTTTGACAACTGTGATGTTGTTGATGATTTTAATAATCTTGACATTGGTAAGGGATGAATAATAGAGTTTAGAATTTTAAATGAGATGATTTAATTTTGTGGGTTTGGGATAAAAGTCGTGTAAATTATACATTAAAAAGCTACCAAATGTCTTTTGAATAAGTATGTTTCTTCTATTTCACAGTATCCTTACTCCTTAAGTGCTTCAAAGTATTGCTGTACAAATAATGAACTCTTTCTATATCTTCTCTCTTGATATTTATCAAATATTGCTTTATGATTTATTTCTGCATTTCTACAATTTTCCAATAATGTTTCAGCTAAAGGTCGTAATTGTTTTTCAGTGTACCCAGAATAAAAAACATGTAATTCAGTCCAATCACCTCTACCTAACAACTTTCTTGATAAATAATGTGATCCAGCTGCTAACCAACTTGGAGGAGAACTTATAAATTTTGAATCCATAATTGTAATTTCTAAGAAATATTTTGCTAATGTTCTGGTTTCATAATCATAATCATCAGCTTTTGAAGTTCTTCTCAAAAATGACATTGGACCAGGCCAACCCATATCAAATTCTAAAACATCAATCATAAATCTTTCAGCTTTTAAAAAATCTTCGATTGAATAAGCATTATCTGCCATATATGCAACTTCTTGAATTGTAGGACAATTAATTTCTTCATATTTAGCAGCGATAAATAATGCAACTGCACCAACTAATTGAAATCGAGATAAACTCACCTTTCGTTTACTTAAAAATCTATCAATGTAATTCACAGTCAAGAATAATGTTTCAGGTAATAAATTAAATCTTGAATGAACTTGTACAACCCAATCAATTAAAACTGATCTCATTTCCCATTTCAATTCATCTTGAATTATCATATAATTTGCATCTGGAACATATTTATTTTCCAACTCCCTTAGGTAATTAAATATTTCAGGTGCATATTCTGCAACCATTGTTGAATCATAAGTATCTTCATCATTTGGATCCAATTCATTACGAGAATATTTACGTATAATTCTTTTTAATTCTAATATAATTGAATTATTCCATATTGGTTGCATTGAAAAATGTGAAGATTTATCGTTGATTATTTCCTGTTGTAATCGTTTTGATTGATGTTGTTCTTTTTCTTCTTCTTCCTCTTCGACTTCTTCTTCTTCTTCTTCTTCTTCTTCTTCTTGTTCTTCTTCTTCTTCATCATCATCTATAGTTTCAAATTCTTCTATTATATGTCTTGAATCCATGATATTTCTATCATCATCAAATTCATGAAAATATTTATTATATACTTCTTCATCAATAGTTTCATCATAAAAATTCTCTTTATCTTCATCTGTTTCTTCAGAATATATCAATTCTCCTTCTTCATTCTCCAACCTTGGTTTTTTAAATTCACGTAGGTTATTGGAAAGATTTGGTTGTTGATATATTTGTATTTTGGGTTTTGAATTACTTGAATTTAATAAATTTGTAGTCGTTGATTGTGATTGTAATTGAGTAGTTGAAGATGATGAATGTAATTTATTATTAGTTTTTAATCTATATTGTTGATTTTGATTTTCTTGAGATGTTAAATCACTTAATGCTTCTCTATGATGATGACTTGAACTTCTATGATGATGTGGTAGTATATTATTTACATTTGAATTATTATTGTCTATTGAATTTGTATTTGAAAATGATTTTGTAGATTTCAATTGATTATTTCCTAATTTATTTTCATCATTGATTGTTCCTACTGATTTGAATGATCTCATTATAAATTAATATAATGAATTAATGTGAATGTTTCAATGTCTTGTTTTATTGTTTGTTTATTGTTTATTGTTTATTGTTTATTATTGAAAATGAAATTTTATTTTTTGTCTTGATTATGTAAATCAGTGTCGTAAATTAATATGACTTTGACACTGGTATAATATAAAATGCAACGAATGAATATATAATAATATGAATAACTTTATGAAGTTATTGATTAATAGTTGGTATAGTAAGGTTGTTTAAGCGAATGTAATTATTTGCTAAGAAGCAAAAAGTTGGAAATATTAAAATATGATATATAAAAAATGAATGAATGAAAGTGATGAATTGAAACCGTTATAAGTAGTTCTTCTCTTCTGATTCTATAATATCAACTATATGTTTTTAGATTATAAGCTGTAATATATGAATTAATTGAAGTTTGTTGAAATGGTTGTTGTTAGTTTGATCTAATTAAATTGTGATTTGTAAAAGGAATGAAAGAAAATCAAAGATAGAATATTTTTCCTAGTAAAGAATTAATAGTATGAAATGATATAAAATGATACAAAGCCAATCCAATAGTAAAATAGTAATATGTTGTATGTTATTGTATTGTATTGTATTGTATGGCGATGGGTCAAAAATAAAACTGGTGCAATTTTTCTATGCGCAAACGAAATCAAAACAAACAAACAAACGAGAAAGGTTACACAAACGCCAAAAAATTACAATTATATAAACACTCAATGTTTCATGTTATAAATTTCATTCTATTACTTCTATTGATCCATGATTATATATAGATTGTTGATTGCCAAACGTTTATTTAAAACTAATTATGATTTGATAAGTTTCGTGAGATTAAATGAAAATCTATCCCCACTCCAAGAAGTTTTCTATTCTGATTTGATGAACTTTAATTTTAACTCTTCTCTATATAATTCTATCCCTTTCAAATACGAAGATTAAGAATATATATATAGTATGTAAACGACTAAGTCAAAACAAAACAAGAAAAACTGAACTTTCTAAACTATTTTCGAAGGGTAAAGATTCGACTAAAATCAACGATGCAATAACTCGAAATAAAGATAATCTCGAGCAACAGCAGATCAATACCTCTATTTTAATTCATTCTCTTAATAGAATTGTTCTTTGTCAGTTATTTTTGCAGATTATAATTGCTTGTTATGGTTTCTTTGAATAACCGCAATACAACTAAGGAAAGTTAAAAAATTCAAAAACATGAATCAATATAAACAATAGACTGGTGGAAAAAGAGCAAAACCATGTAAGTGTAGTCACTTGATAATTAGGCGATTAAGAGTAAAAATAGAATTGACTTCCCAGAGTTAACTTATCTTTTCTTGAAAACTTGAAATTTGCATTAATATGCTGTTTCAATAATCAAGCACTCATATCTTGAAATAAGATTGTAGATAATAAAATATTGAACTGTTGCAAAGTTTTTCAACTCAACGGACAAAATTTTAAGAATTGTAGATGCAAAAAATCCATAGAACCTGAAATTAGATTTTTTCTTTGAAGTACCCTGTAAATAAATAAATGATAAAAACATAACCCCTGATTGGTGAAGGATAATTAGTAAAGCAAGAAATTCTTCTAACAAATATAATTTCTTTGTACAAGCTTGTTACCAAAAGTGTAACGGAATTCAATGTCTCTTGTTACTAGTATGATTTTCTACGGTATTTAACATTGATAACATTTACCCACTGCATTAAGAAATTACCCCAGTTCGGAGTATTGTTGTAATTACAACCCAATTATCATATCTTTAGACTACAAAATTAGCCAAGTATTACTTTACAACATCTTGAATTTAGCAACGCATTCCGAGATTAAAAAAAATTCTTCAAACAATAAACCAACTTACCGTTTGAAATTAGATAGCTCCGCCTAGAGCAAGAACAAAGAAGTCAATAAAAGGGTTCAAACTGGTGTATAACTTGAAATTCCAAGCAATGTTAAAAAACATTCATCCTATTTTGCCGATATACAATCTCTAGTAGCTTTGTTTACAAAAGATAAGAGTTATTAGGCAGCTTAGGGGCATGTTGATAAATTAAACTTTATATCAAATCTCAGATCTGAAATCTAAAATCTAAGTTACACAAAATCTAACAAATCTGAAAAAATCTGACACAAAAACACAAAATGAGCTAGCACAAAAAATTGAAAAATTAACCAATAATCAACAGCTTCAACAGCTTCAACAGCTTCAACAACATAAACGGAAACTTTGACAGATCAAAAGTAGCACAGGATAATATGAGCATCGTTGAAAAATTAATAATGAAGTCCGTTTTTAATTTGTCAATATATATTAATTTGCCCATACAATATTCCGCGCAATTCTAGAACTAAATTAATTTAAGCGATCTTGAATAATATCAACAATCAACTCTCGAACTATTAATGCAAGTAATATAAATTATATAACTGCAGATCTCTTTTATTTCCTTGATTATCCTTGATTATCCTTAATTTTCCTTGATTATCTCAAGCACTTATTTCTTAATCTCTAAATCTGATTTTGCTTTATTTTTTTTGTTTGGAAACCACAGTTTCTATTTTGCAATTAATGTGCTTCAATTAAAGTCACACAAATAGAGGCTATGAATAAGGTATATCGATATGTATTATTATCTATAATAAGCATTAAAAGCAACAACAAGTAAACAGCAAACAGCAAACAGCGAACAGCAAACAGCGAACTGCTAACAGCGAACTGCTAACAGCAAAACACAAACCTCCGATTTAAAAGATATCACCAAATGAAGAAACCAGAATTGAAAAGGTTATACCAGATAACCAAGAAGTAAATATTAGTATAAGTAGTTGTCAAATGTATAATTCGTATTCTTTGGAGTAGATGGTGATGAATTTGGAGCTAAACTAGGTGAGGAATTAATTTCATTTTTTATTTTATCTCTTGGTGTTTCAAAACTAGAATTCATTTCTGTTGGTTCTTCTTGTTTATAAAATTCATCAAATGATTTACATGGTAATTTATCATCAATCATGATTGGTTTTTCAATAATTAATAATTGTTTAGATTCTTCAACTAATTTTAATAATTGTGATGATACGTATTGATTCTTCATCTCAAAAATCGCACTTTCCATTTTAATTAAATTATTATATAAATTTGAATTTAAAACATGTACTTGATTTCTTTTTTGTTGTTGTTGTTTTCTTGTATTTGATTTTCTTGATCTAGTTATCCTACCTGGATTAATAGTAGATTGCGGAGTTGGTAACACTGTATTTGAATGTGATGATGGATATAACTTATCTCTTTTGAAATTTATAGGTGATTGTAACATTAAAATAGAATGTAATTGAGTTGAATTGAGTTGATAGTAGTTTTTAAAAAAAGAAAGTGGTATGAGTAATTATAATTTTAGATATGTATCTATATTTATAATTAATTATAAAAGGGTGCAATAAAATAAGGGGGTGTTCAAATCCTGTATATAACTTGATGCTCAAATCGTAATTTTAATTTTGTGTAATTTAATTTAATTTAATTTAATTAACAAACCATTTTTGGACTAATGAGCATTAACCACAATCTAACCATCTAACCACTTTAAACGAAACTTAGTTAGTTAAATTTATCCAATCTTTCCACTATATTATACTCCGGATCAGAATATTACAAGATTACCATGTAACAATCACATTCCGAATTTGTAAAACTTGTTTAAACCACCAGTATTTTAAAATGAGACCCCCTATTTTTCTAATCTGTGTGTTGGCAACGTTTTATGCAATAATCATCATGTTGAATTTTAACTCTAATTTAAGCTTTTTCATTCGTCTGTTTTAGTGGAAAATTAGTATTAATTAATACAATTCTCAAACGTTTAATTATCGTGTTAAAAAGTAACTCTAATTTAATGTATCACAAAATCAAATATTTTAATCTCCGTAATTGAATTGCGTTACATCTAATTCAACAATATCTACGTTTTTCCTAGAGATTAAATAAACGACATGGAGTTCAGTTCAGTTTAAATTATATAAATGCTACATAATATTAAACTATCAAAAATTTAAATTTTAGACTTCGTTGATATTTAACGAATCGATTAAAGTTTAATTACACGTGTATTGATTGATAATTTTTTTCTCGTTCGATTTCGCGATATCGTGATTGATGAATCAGTTGGTTGTAAATGACGATATTTTAGTTGTTGGTAATTTAATTGATAAGCATACTCGTTGCATACATTACGATACAAAATTAGATATAATTGCAATTAAATTTAAATGTTGTAATTTGTTCTATCCTTGTTTTCAATGTCACAATAATCATTGTAACAGGGATGAGAAGTATAATGTTGAAGATGAAGAGAAAACTGTACTATGTGGTGATTGTTACAATACTATGAGTTATAAAGAGTATAATTGTAACCCATTTTGTATGTTTTGTAAATCTAATTTTAATCCTGGTTGTAAATTACATAAAAACTTATATTGGTTAGATTAAAGAGCAGCAAGCCCGGGGCGAGAATTGATGATAATGGTATGCGATTTAGCAAATTAGGGCGAGACTAGTGCTTATTGTGCTTATTAGTGCCGTATAGTATATATATTGTAAATTGTTAATTGTAAATTGTTAATTGTCGATATAATCTTATCATAATTCAATTTCAATTTTTTATGTCATTTATCTTTTGTTGATAATATTTTTGCGACAATTAAAAAATATAGCCACTAATCATAATTCAATATCAAACCGTAAATTATGAAAACTTCAATAATTATATCAAATTTACATAAAGATGACTTTATTATAAATAATGACAATTCATTAATTCAAACATTCAAATCATTATCATTTGCAGATCAAATAAAATTAAAAATATTAAACTATAATTCAAATATAATTGATGATATTTCACATTGGTCAAATTTACCATTTTTAAATCGTATTATAATCATATTCAAAAATGAAGAAATTGCAACTGAGATATACTCATACTTACAAAAAGGATTGGCTGATTATGATGTAAAAATAACTTTACAAGAGAATTTATTGAAAAAGAGTAAGTCGAGTGAATCTTTATTCGATGATAATTTAAATGTAACTAAATCATTAGACAATTTTAAAACATTTTATAATGACGATTCAAATAAGGATAAGAATTTCAGTTATGATGAACCTGAACCACAACAATTTAATGTAATTTCTGATTTATCTAAATTAGGTATTGATTTGAATGATTATAATGATAAAGAACAAATGAAAGAGTTAAGTGGTGAAGAAGATAATGAAAACAAATTGTTGGATAATGGTGATAAGAATGATGGTAATGCTCCGTTGAGAAGAAGATCAACTAAAACTTTATTTAAACCAAAAGCGCAAGGTAAGAAAAGTTCAGCATTGAATAAATTATCCATAAATACTAAATTGGATACTAATGATAATGCCGATAATGATGATGAGTATCCTTCATCTCCTGTTATAACATTAGATGAAACTTTTTAAAATATATAACTATTTACTGAAATGAAGTTTTAAAAAAAATTTACCTTTACTTATTATACTCACTGGAAATTTTGCCAGTCAATAACTTGCAACAATTGCATCCTGAATCCTTACATCGACCAAGCTAGAATCACTTTAACATATATTCTATTCATGTTAGTTTATTCATAGTAATCTATTTATCAGTCACGTGCGCAATGTTTCGAATTTTAATCTTTTGTTGAAAAGAAAAATTGAATGAATTGAAACTACACCAACCGATATTTCAACAGAATGAGATTCATTAATATATTACCATATTTCATACTTATAATCTCAGTATATTGTTCAACTTATGTATCTATACCTATTATTAGTGAATTACCACAACTTGCAAGATTTTCAAATTATGATGCAATTACATTTTTACAATCATATTTAAAATTAGATACAACCAATAGATTTTTAAATGATTCATTAATCGAGGACTTAGATTCATTAAGTGAGAATAAATTCATGTCTAATCCATATGTTATATTAAATTTAAAAACAGAAGGTCCAAAAACCAATTTTGATAAATATTTAATCGAAACTGATCAAATTAAAATGAGACAATTATTTCATAAATTACAGAAAGAAAAAGGACTTATTGAATATTCTAATGATGATTCGGTATCATTATTTACAAAAAATCTTCCAGCTCCTCATCTCAAGGAATATTTAAAATCTGAACTATCTGGAAATGATATAAAAGTTCACATTGCTGAATTGACAAAACTTAGAAATAGATTTACAAGTAATGATGTATTACAATTAAGTTTGGATATAGATTCCGATGCTGATTTATTTGAGGAATACATGAGAGTTTTAAGTCCTGATTATAATATTATAATTATAAATGATGTTCAAGATAAAAAAGTAATTCACACTTTTGAAAGATCTAAAAGAAGTACTAGTTTGAAATCCTTCCAATTTGAATCTAAAGAATCTTGTGAGTCAAATACCAACAATTGTAACTCTCATGGTGCTTGTTCCGAAACCAAAGGTGCTTGGCAATGTGTCTGTAAATCAACTTATAATGAAGATGCAAAAAAGACTACTCATTGGGTTGGTCCAACTTGTGCTAAGATAGATGTTAGTACTGAAGCTAATTTATTTTTATGGACTTCTATCTTTTTATTAGTTTTATTAGTTGGTGGTATTAAAGTTTTGGTAAGTATTGGAAATGATCCATTACCTGGTGTATTGGATGCTGCTACAATATCGAAAAAATCTATATAAGGATGCAATAGACTGTTAATATATTAAGATAATTTTGTAATTTTATCTGTAAATTGATAAGTAGGTATTGTTTTTTATATAAATTACAATATAAATTAAAATATAAATTTAATAAGATACTAGTTACCTGCCTGATATCTTAATTATTAGCTATGAGCTACTCCGTCATTCAACTCAAACGACTTGAAATGAAGTCGGTTATAGTATTGAAAATTTAATATACTACTGTAGTTCCTAAACGTAAAAATCATCATTTATTAAAACATACATTTATAATCAAATCTAACCTTGTTGAATCTCCTCTTTTTCAAATTTCAAATTTTGTTCCTTTAATTCCTTAATGCTATTACCTTTCAAAGTTTCATCTTTACTTTCTTCATCGTTACCACATCCACAATCATAATCTTCTAAAATAGTAGTACAGTCATACTCCGGTTTATTTAATCTTTCATTTACTTTATTATGAATATGACATCCCCATAAAGCTGCAGTCTTTCTTGACCCAATCTGTGGTGGATATTTCTTTAATAAGGTTTGAAAATGTCTAGCACAATCACCACAAGGATAAACTTGACCAAATAAATATATATAACTTTCTAGAGTGTTTTTTTGTTGAGTTGTTGGTAATTCAGGATATCTAGCTAAAATAGTATGAAACAATCTCCAACTAGATTGTCCTAATTGTGCTTTCAAGGTTTCATTTTGCATTTTGGGCATGAATGGAGTATCGGTGAATTTATCATCTGATACGACGGATTCATCAATGTCTGGTTCTTCTAATTCTTGGACTTTCTGTTGTGATTTTTCTTGTTTCTGATCGAAATAGTTTAATACATTTTTTGAATCTTTTACTATATTAATTGGTGATGAATTACCTAATGATTTTTCAATTTGTGAGGTTGATGTAGTTAAATAATAAATACAACATATTATTGATATTAATATGCATATGGGAACTATTGTGTGTCTTTTAATGTGAATCATTTTGACTTGTTAACAATTATTTAAGATTTGATAGAATTTTGCGTGCGGTGATTTTTTTATCTGATGTTTATTTTGATTACTGAATTAGGCAATTTTCTAAGATTAGTAGATAAGTAGAAGATGAAGGGTAGAGTAGCTGTAGAAGTGAAAACTTGAGCTGTTAAGAGTGTTCTGAAAGTATATTGCAAGCAAGAGCTCAAAATTCAACTTGATAAAGGTGGATTCTAATTGATCGAATACATGAGAAGCTTTAAAACCTGAAAACTTTAAATACAAAAGTAGCTGACCTAATCTCTGATGTCATTAGATACTTCAATAAGCTGCTTCAGCGATGAGACTTTCATTTCGCTTCTAACGTCCTCAGATATGTTTCATATAAAAATCGAGCGAAGTTGCAAACAAATCATAAAATTGAAATTAATGTATATTATGCTAAACTACTTCCTTGAAAAATAACAAACACATTGATGTTATTAAAATGCTCCAAGTCTGCTTGCATCTTTTCAAACAATTGTACAACAATCTTTTTTATTTCTAGATTTTGAGTTTTTTAACTTCTTATATTTTGCAAATTTATTTTGATCAGGAGGTAATGTCCAATTAAAAGGGATTAAATAATCAGGAGTTTCTGAAATAAAATTTACAATTAAATTTGAAGCAATCGAAGCTGGAATTCTTTCTCTTTTTAACATATCATTTAATCTTGTGTTTAAAGCTTCCATTCTTTTTAATTTAATAATGTAAATTTGTGATTCAATATCAGCCATGGTGAACTAAATTAATATAACTATAAGAATTCTGTAAATCAAAAATGAATATTGAAGTAATGAAATTAAGAGTAATAAGTTGATGTTTAATCGTTGAGTTAAGTATACTAACTAATGAAATGACTAGAAACTGTTTTGATGGTTTGGTCTCAGAAGGTTTTGTTGTATTTGCTTGAGTTATTAATTAGTGAGGCGTAGATATAATATTGATTTAAATTGGACCCTGACTAAAAATGAAACTAAAAATCAAATGAAATGAAACCAATAACCAAATGAATCCTCTATTTATATATGATAATGATAATTACTTTACAAAACAATCTTAATAATATAAGACTAATGAATCAAAGTAATCAATAGTTGATTGTAAATTAAAATTAATTGTTGTCCAATTGTGCAAGGGTAAATCTATAAAATCTTACATATACGACGAAATTAGATTAAAAATAACATCCATACATCAAATGACATACGCTACCAGATGGTTCAATATTATTGGATTATTATGATGTTTGCTTACTCCGACATTGAGTTTGAAAATGTCTAGACATGTGGTAGATTGTTGAATATCTGGTTTTGTTATACTATAATAAATTTGATGTTTGGAGATTGGAAACGAGAAATGAAAGTGACGCGCTGGCTTTGAGGCGATCTCGTATAACACCTGTTTGCGCATATCTCTTGAACAACGCAATTTTTCAAAATAACAACTACTCAAATGAACCCCGAAACATTTGTTTTCGTGTCATTATATATCTTAAATTTTAAAATTTGAATTGAACGTTTTTTTCTTTTGAGTTGTCATTTTGGCAATTTTTCATTATACAAAATTTGACCTAAACGGTGAATGCAATATGTAATTTTGATTAGGGCCATAACTTTCAATCCAACAACGAATTATATATATTATACCCCAATCAAAAATGCTGAACTTGATTTTAATCGTTTTTAGTCAAAATTGAGAAATTCTAAAATTTCTTCTTTAGTATAGGGAAAGTCGAATACATTGACCTTAAAAAAAATTTAATTCCACATTGAAAGTTCAAACTAAAGCATGACGAAACTATCTATTTTTGTAGTTCAGCCTTTTAATAAGCCTTAATATTTTTGGATTAAGTTATTCGAATGTGAAATAGAACTTTTTCAACATTATTTCAAAATTTTTACAAAAATTTTAAACATCTTACAGAGTTTTGAATCAAGACATCATACATATATTTTTTGGAATTAAATAAACTGCTATGCTAGAAGTTGCTTAATTAGGTTTAAATGCCAAAAATCTAACAAAGTAGCATTTTTTTCATTTTTTAAACGATCAATTAAGTCCTCAAAGTTATGTTTACCAAGTGAATATCAACATTAGCTTAGTCGAAGTGAGTTAAAGTTGATAATGATGAAGCTGTTAAAAATATGAATCACTTACTTAAAAAATCCAAACATTTAAGGAATTACAAACTTTTTAGAAGATTTGCTGAAGGAGATATAGAGGAGATCTACTTTCCCTCACTTTGTAATCTTTATACCTAGGTTCTATATACACGGAGAGCCTTTTGTCATTATCATCATGCAATTACTTAACAACTATAACTTTAATTAATATATTCTTTAATTTCGCTGCATTGAATGAAAACTTTCCTAATTTGAGACTGTTCAAACTCATAAAATATAATAGTAGTTATCATGGTATTGTTTACTTACCTACTAATTTATCATGTATTGATATTAAAGGTTTATATGAATTTATTTCTCATGATTCAGTTTATTTTCCTCAAAATGCCAAATATTTATATTTAGAAAAGATCTAATTTCAAACAAGATTAAATTTCATTCCATAGAATATACAAGGTTTGCAAATTTATCCAATGCTCAATAGCCGGTAATCATACATAATTACCATCTTTACAGTTTTATACTAGGCGTTACTACCAATATACTCAAATAACCATAATAATCTTCTATTGAATTAACCTTTTGAATTTATCTTGATCTAAAGATATGAGATTTTGCTTATTGGGGTCATTTGAATGATGCTATGGTTATACTATTGACTATGGGGCATGCCATTTCGTAGTGCGGAATATTGGTGCGAAAAAAAAGTTCCTTGCGCTAACTCTATGGCGACATCGTTATATTTATTGGCCTATAAGCCATGAACAATGCAATATTTAGAGATAAATACCAATTAAATGAAATAAGAAACCGTTACTCTGCAAATATGAACTTCAGTAACTCCATAATCTGAAATTTGACAATTTGTAATTACATGCCTCATATATTAATACTATAACCGATCAATCAACTCCAAAAATAGCATATCAACTTTCTCAATTCTGTGTAGCAGCATCTTCAGCCTTACTTGTATCCTTTTAAGATCTTTATTGTATTCTTCCTTGCATCTTTGCCTTAGACAAAAAATAACAAAACAATACAAATACTAATCACCGTCGCAATAATCAATGTATCTCTTTTCCTTCTTGAATTTATCTTAGATATTAATACATTTAGCCCAGGTACTTGTTGCAACATACTCAACATGGAATTAGAAGCATTATTTAAAAATTGTCGTTGATTTAATAATTCATCTCTAGTTAAATAAGCATTATTTAATAATCGATCAGCAAAGCTATTTAAAGAATCAACTCGTTGAGATTCTTCATTAATATAATCATTACCATTAATTTCTCGTTCTCTTTCTCTTCGTTTATTTAAATCTGAATGAATATTATTTAATAAATTATTTTTATTTCTTTCCTCATTTAATTTATCTGTTATTTTAACATATTGTAATTTATGATCATTTAATATTTCTTTATGTCGACTTAATTGTTGAAGTTTTGAAGTTGATAAACTCGGATCAGTTTCATGAATTCGATTCAATTTAGATATAAGCCCTTCCCTTTTTTCCAATAATTCTTCAATCTTGGTGGTTGTTTCAGTTTCATCATCTATTGGATCAATTTGTGAATATTTAGATAGTGTAGATTCAGTTCCTTTTTCATAATTAATTATTTGTTGTCTTATTTGAGAAAATGTTGACGAACTCATAATAGAAACAATTTGTTTGTCAATTGATTATATTTTTATTTTTTTTTTCTTTGGTTAATTATGGAGCATAATAATGAAGAATTAAAGAAAGTTAATCAAATACCATTAGATCATATAGAAGAATTAGATGATGAGAATGTAAAGAATAGGAAAGCACATGATAAACGATGGTTGATTCCTTATTCATTCAAGATACAAAAATATTCTGCTTATACATTTTTAGGATTTTTAGGTATTCATATAGCATCAACTATAATTATACCAATTATACCAATTGCAAATACTTATAAATCAGAAATATTCTCAATTGCAAAAGAGATTTATAAACTCCCATTATTTGAACCAATTGTCATTATAGGATCAAGTATAACTCATGTTTTAAGTGGTATTGCCTTGCGTTATTTGAAACCAAGAAAAAGAAGTAATGAGATAATTATAACTGATGATAATGATGATATTGGATTCGGAGGATTAAGCTCAATATTTGGATTAGGTTACAAGAAATCATTTACTAGTAAATTATTCAATATGAGTCCATTACAATTCTCAGGGTATGTGATTATAACGTTTGCTATTTATCACTACTATAAATTCAAGTATATTCCAACTTCAATTGAAGGAGATAATTCATTGATCAATTTGGATTATATAACATATGTTTTAAATGTCAAATGGCCGATTTTAAATACTACCATGCTCGGTGGTCTTGTTTGGTCAGTTGCTTATCATACTGTTAATGGATTCTTTAAGTTGAAGAAATTATATTCTAAAAATTGGAAGAGGATAGGATTGGCAATAGTTAATTTGATTGGTATTAGTGGTACAATTAGTATTTATTTATTCAAAAAACAAAAAGTAGATGGTGGTGACTTTTTGGGCAAAGTGTTTATACTGTACTTGAATTCATTTAGGATATAGTTAATGAAAAAAAGTAAGGATGTATTAGTAAAAAGGCTGTCTTAGGTTGAAACAGTGGTGTTTAATTTATTTAACAACGTAAATATACAATTATTTATTTATTTAAATGGTTGCAAAATATAATTACTTGCGAAATATAACTACTTACAAATTGACTACTTCTGATTGGTTCAGATCAATCAAGACTCGTTACTAGTTTTGATACTGTTCCAATTCCGAGATTTCAGATGAAGATGCGAGATATCCAGTTTCATACAAATGAATAATGCATAATGCATAATTGTTAGGTCCGAATTGAAACAAATACAAAAATGTCACGCTTCAGTTACCCGGCGTAAAAATATTGCGTAAAAAATATTCTCAGACAGAGAAGTGTATGTAATTATTATACTACGAATAAACTGACAGTCTCAAAATTGTAACTAACTGCAGTCAAGAATTCCAAAACAAGTTTAACGAAGTAAAGAGACATAGATGAACTGAATAGACATTCTATGTTGTCAATCAAACGGTTTTTATAAATTAAAGTCCGTTAATAACCCTTACTTTTAAACTTGACGGGAATACAAAATACAAAAAACAAATTATGACGAATTTTCCACAATTGACTTAAGAATCAAAAATCAAAAATCAATAATCAATAATCAATAATCAATCCAACGTTGATATATCTTCTTCTCTCAATAAATATTTATGTACTCAGTATACACGGTATACACAGTATACACAGTATAACAGTTAACCCTTAATCAAACTTATACTGTTGGTGATATAGTTTCCCTTAAAATCAAACTTATACTGTTGGTGATATAGTTTCCGCAGTTGCATTTGCAGTAGCTTCTGGACCCAAAGTTGGTTGTTTATTTAATCTTTTACTTTTATAATCTTTTACCGCACTTTTTATAGCATCTTCAGCCAACATTGAACAATGCAATTTTACAGGAGGTAATGATAATTCTTTTGCAATAAATGTATTTTTAATAGCTAAAGCTTCATCTAAAGTTTTACCTTTAACTAATTCAGTAGCATATGATGAACTTGCAATTGCAGAACCACAACCAAAAGTTTTAAATTTAACATCTTCAATTTTACCAGTTTTTTCATCAACTTTAATTTGTAATCTCATTACATCACCACAAGCTGGAGCACCAACTAACCCAGTTCCAACATCATGATCTAATTTATTTAAACTTCCTACATTTCTTGGATTTTCATAATGATCTATAACTTTATCATGATATGATCTTGAAAATGATAATTGATTAAATGCCGTTGATTTATTATTTCTTGTTATTTGAGGTATAGCTGGTTTAAATAATGTTGTAGTTGTAGTTCTTGGTATCTTTGATCTAGTTATATTAATTAATGATCTTGATAACATTTGTATTTGTATGTATATGAAGATATGTATGTATGAATATATGTATATATGTATATATCTTATATATGAATATATGGTTGTAAAGAAAAATTGATTTGATTAAATAGATTATGTGAAATTTAAAAAATTATTTTAATTTATTTTTATATGTACAGAGTCGTGTACAATTTACAAACGTACTCTTACGTAATCCATCATGCATTCTAGATGTCTAACCTATATACACTACTCTATTCAAGCCTTATCAGATTAAAATATACCGTTAACTATTGATGATTGGATGTTACAATCTTTCGGTTCCATTTATCGGATATTCGCATCGACTTTTTTTGATATTTCTTTCTTTCTTTTATAGAGACAAAGTTTAAAGTGATCATCAATTATTATAAGCAAAAGTGATCTATCTACACTACTAACATAAAAATCAAAATAACTTAGGTTTCGTATTAGGTTTTATCTCCGAATTGATTAATTTGTATTGACTAATTTGTATTGATTAGTTTGTATTGATATTGGTTTGTATTGATATTGGTTTGTATTGATATTGGTTTATATTTGACCCTGCGTTAATTTATTTACAAAAGTTTAATTGATTTTGTGATTTTAAAAGAGCGATGATCAATTGAAATAAACGCGTGTAAATGTTACCGTTTATGGATGTATATATCCGAATTTATATTCTACAGATACATTGGTTGGATCTATATCAATTTTCGAGATTGAGATTGAGATATGACCTACAATTCGTCTACAATTCGTCTTGAATTTTATACCCAATTGAAAAAATCATTTCTTTTAAGCGTACAGTAATAATTTATATTATCTCCTGACTCTGACTACGGGTAAAACTCTTATCTATCTAACCTATAACTTTAAAACTTACGCCTTTATTAACCCCTTCTCATCACCAACTATCATATCCTCTCTTGTTTTAACTTGCCACACGATTTTAAACCCACTTAGTATATTTAAAAATAGCAATAGCATTATTTTGATAGGATTTTTAATTATAATAATCGCAATTATTGAAATAATACATATTTTCAGATTAATTTCAAATGTTAATGATTTAATATTTGAAGGATCGAAAAAGTTTTCGAGTAAATTCAATATATTTTTTTTATAGTGTGTTGAGATGAACAGTAACAAGCAGAACAATAACAAGAAGATCAGTGACAATCCATAGAATATGAACCTATAATCGTAATCCATAATTTAAGTTTAAATCAAGAATTATTATTATCATTTACGTGTTATCAGAGAAACGAAATGTCGAAAAACGAAATGTCGAAAAACGTGGAGTTTCTACATTAAACTTTTAAAACAATAACTAAGTAAAGAAGAAGAAAAACAAACTTGAATTAACAACCAAATATTTTTTTAAGATGAGATGCTGTAAAATTTAGATGTCGAATTTGATTAAATTTATTATTATAATTTCCTTATCAATGAAGCTTGTTATCTATTTATCTATTTATCTATTTAACTATTTTTCTGTTTATCTATCGATCTATTTATATATTTCATTGTTTGTTTCATTTTGAATTTGACTGCAAAAGAAAAATGAAATTTATAATACGCGCACGTGACACAAAATGAAGTTTAAATCTTTCCTTAAGATTCAATTTGAACAATCGTATATTCATAAATACTTAAAATATCTATATGTTTTATAGGGATGAGTATCAGTGTTTTGGAACTCATTGATACTCATCAACAAGGTATTGTTTCATTCTAACTACTGGTTTTGATATAACATTAACATTAACAATCTCTCTTCTCTACTATCCGATTAAATATTTAAATTAATTTGAAGCACTGATGATATAATAATTAAGTATCATGTAGTAATACTTTTCTCTCCACCAGTTTTTAAGTCTTTAAGTCTTTAAGTCTTTACTATTTCTTTTTTTATTGTACGGTATTGTTTCTTTACTATTGTTACTTCAAATACTCCATATTTTAAAGTTAAGAAAAACTAAGAAAACTAACAATAATAAAGATCTACTACTATAAACAAAATCAGGCTACACTCAATCCAGAACCACTCAATCCAGAACCACTTCAGCTCAACTACAACCGACAAAACCTTTAATATAGGTTAGTTTTGTTAGTTTTGTTAGTTTTGTTTTAACAGTATTTTGACTGGTAATCAATTTTTTTATTTTTCGCCAACCCCAAATTTACAACCAAATTTTGTTTTTACAACCAAATATCAAACCATTTTAAGCAATACAATATTTACAGTCATTTATTCATTTATTCTCATTATATATACTTTTAGTATAATAGGATGATTTCAAATGATCACTCAATTGTAAATAAACACGAAAGAAATACGTTACTTAATTCTCCAATATCTTCAAGTACAACTACAACTACAACAGCAAATTCAAACTCAAATTCAAATTCAAATGGAAATATAGTAAAAGGTTCACCACCACAATTACCACAATCTTCAGATGATATTGACTCTGGTGTTTCTAATGGTGATGTGGATTGGTTATTTCGTGGTAAATCAAAGAAATTAATTAAAAAGATGAATATGAATAATACTGCAAAAGAATTAAATCCAGAACTACAAAAACAAAAAGAAAAAGAGCAATTAAAAGAGAAAGAGCAATTAAAAGAGAAAGAGAAAGAGCAATTAAAAGAGAAAGAGAAAGAGAAAGAAGTGCCTAAGGAGAAGGAAGGAAGTTTAAAATTGGATAAATTAAAAATTGGAAATAGATCAAGATCATCTTCAACTTCATCAATCTCCCAGAATAAAGAACAACCTGCAAGCACAAAGACTAAAAGATCAAGTAGTTTTAATTTTATGGCTCCTTCATTAACTTCAGATTTAGTATATAATGATCATGAATCAATATTAAATTCTCAAAAAGAAACAACCACACAACAACAACAACAACAACAACAACAACAACAACAACAACAACAACAACAACAACAACAACAACAACAATCGAGCTCAAATAATTCACCACCTGGTGTTTCAAGATCAAATAGTGGTAGAAAAAGTGGAAGTGGTTTATTTAGTTCATTATCTTCAAAATTTAAAAATGAAAAAAACTCCGATAAACCTGATCCTAGTCTAACACAACCTATTAGTCCTAAATTGAATCCAAATTTAATTGGTTCTGGAGCAAATGCAAATGCAAATAAAATTAATGAAGATTTAATTTCATTAACTAATAAACCACCAGTTGGTCAAGGTATACCAAAAAGAAAATCTTCATTAGCTTCAAAATTATCACAATCTCCAACATTTAAAGAATCATATCAAGAAACAAATTCAAATGTGAAACCACCAACTGGAGGATACAATTTTTTCAGAAGAAAATCTTCAGTAGCATCAAATACACAATTACCACAACGCCAAGCACCACCTGAAAAAGTTGTACTTAATAAAAATCCAAATAAATCAAAAGCAAAACTCCCGATCTCAGAATTAGATAAAATTTCATTATCACGAGTATCTTTTGCAATTGATAAATTAGAATATGATTCACAACAACAAATACCAAGTAGAAGACCTAAAAAAGGAAATGTAATCATCCCACAAGATATAAATGCACCATTACCAAGATTATGTCAAGGTATATCATCAGCAGAAACAAAACCACCATCACAATATAGTGAGCGAGAAATTCAATTAGCATTTGAAGCTCAGAAAAGAGCAGTAATGGAAGCTGAAAAACATGCAAATGAAGCACATATCCAAGCAAAAAAGATTGCAAATGAAGTTGCACAATATAAATTAAAAAATCACAATGCAATAGAAGAAGAGGAAATAGATGATAAATTTGTTAATGAAAAGGTTATTGAGAAACCACTACATGTACATGAACAACATTTTGAAGATGAAACAAGTACTGAAAATGGAAGTGAAAATATATCATTAGAGACGATATATACTAGATGTTGTCATTTACGAGAAATTCTACCAATTCCAGCAACTTTAAAACAATTGAAAAATAAGACAGCACCATTGGAAGTTTTAAAAATGTTGAATCCTAAACCTACATTAATTGATGTTTTATCATTTGCTGATTTCATATCAATTGTTTCAATAAATACAATTATATTTGATAATGTTTCAATGAATACCGAAATGTTGAAAATTTTCCTATCTTCGATTATAAATTCAACAAGTATTGAAAAGTTATCATTAAGAAATGTTGCAATAGATAGTACTGGATGGAAATATTTATGTAAATTTTTAGCTACAAATAAGAAACTCAAAAAATTGGATATATCACAACAGAGAATTAAGAATGAGAATGAATCTGAAATATTGAGATCAAATATGAATTGGGATTTATTTATACAAAGTATCCAATATCGTGGAGGAATTGAAGAATTGGTGATAAATGGATGTAAATTAAGTGATGTCGTCTTTGAAAAATTAATCAATGTGATAAAATATGAAACTAGAAGATTTGGGATTGCTTCAGTTGAATTAAATATGAAAAAAGCTGAACTTGTATCTCAATGGTTGATTGATCCAATTTCAAAATGTGTTGGAGTAGATATTGCTTTTAATGATTTATCACTGAATCAACTCCAACCATTCATAAATGCATTTAATACGGGAAAAGTTACAAATTTACTATACTTTTCACTTAATTCGACACATTTAGAAGATATAAGTGAAGTAACTGAATTAATTGCAAGTCTAGTTAATGTACAATCATTAAGATTCTTGGACTTATCATCACTTCCTAAATTATATCCAAATATTATCCCATCATTATCTAAATATTTACCACGTTATACTAATCTAAAAAGAGTACATTTTGATCTTAATGATTTATCACCACATGCAATGGGTTCATTAGCTATGATACTCCCTACAATTCCACATTTAGTACATGTTTCATTATTAGGAAATAGAAATTTAACTCGTGAAGCAGTTGCAACTATATATTCAGCTGTAAAAGCTTCAAGTACACTATTTGCTTTGGATTTAGATTATGATTTAATTTCAGAAGAGTCACAATTGTCACAAAGAATTGCGTTTTATCTTATGAGAAATATGGACAAGAGTTTAAAACCAGAGTATTCAGAATCATTCAACAGTCAAGAAGATTTAATCTTTGATGGTTCATTACTTATGGAAACAGCAGAGAAAATTCTTAATAAAGAATCAAATCCAAATGACAAGAATCAAAAAATTATCAATAATACCATGTTGGAAAGGACAAAGAAAATTAGAAACGACATTCATAAAACTATTGATGAATTATTTCAAAAGCGTAAAAATGGAGAATTATCATTTGAAGGTAAAGAAAATCTTGTTCGATTTTGTCTTTTAGATAATTCATTAGAGAAACTTGTTCATTTGTTCGAAGAACATAATCAACAATTACTACATCAATCATCAAATGAACTTATAAATTCAGGACCAATTATAAGTCCACGAAATCATAATAAAAACATGACTTCATATTTTCCAAATACAAATTTACAACCTCATCAAATTGTCATATCTGAATCTGAATCAGTTCCAATTGATAAATTAACTGGTCGTCCAATATTAATGAAATCGTTATCTCAGACAAGTTTATATGCTAAAGAACAAGAGATTGAAGAAGGTGAGTTTCATAAATTTGGTTTTTACATGCAGAGTGAAAAACTGAAGAGTGAAAAACCATTGTTGAATGTGATACCTTCGGGTATGGAATTAAGAGATGCAATTAAAGCAGCAAAGGGGATTGAAAATGTTAATGATTTGATTGAAAAGATAGTTAAGAAATCGGAAAGGAATGATTATAAAGAAAGTGTTGAAAATATTGATAAAGAAAAGGAAGTAGTTAAAGAAGTTGAAATTGATGATTATGAATCTATTAATTCAACGGAACATGATCCTGTTGTTGAAGTTGATGAAGTTTATGATAAATTATTAAATGATGCTGAGAAAGTAAGATCAAATAAAGATGCAACTTGAGCTTGTAAATGGTTAATAAATATTGATAAAGTAGCAGCTGGTCTAGCTCTGGCAATCGATGAAGGTTAAAGTGATGAATGTTATGATTTTAGAAATTTGGAGCGATTGAAAAATAGACACAAATATATATAAATAGATACTTTAAATTACCTAACCATAGAATATTTGATGTAGTTACTTTGTCTCTTTATCCTCCTGGTATAAGATTATAAATATTTGATTTAAGATTATCTCAATATTTTTTTCAGTTGGCGCGACAGAATAATTTCTCGCGTTAGCTTCGGGGCGATCCGAGCTACACATATTGGTTTATATTTCATGAACAACACAATTTGACGAGATAAATACCATTTATATGAGATCTGGAACATTGAATCATATATCTGACATACATAAAACTTCTAGTTTTGAACATTTTTTTTTTGGATAGAAATTTTGGCCATTTTTCATCATACAAAATTTCAATGAAGAGAGTGGATGCAATGTATAAGTTTATTTAAGGCCTTAACTTTTAATAACGAGACGAATTATTCATGTCGTACCTCAATCCATTTTACTGAGTGTAATTTTGAGACATTTAAGATAGATATGAAAACTTTCAAGTTTTTTGCTTAGATATGGGGAAATTGATTAGATTGACTTTTCGAAAATTTAGCTCCACATTTGAAATCTGGATGCAATTGCAACGAAAGTACCAAAACCCGTAGTTCCTGAATGCTAATGAACATCAAGAATATTTGTGTCAAGTTATTTAAAATTGGAAAAGTAATTTCTCACAAATGAATCGTAATTTTTGTAAAAATTTCAAAACTATTATGGCGTCTTGAAAGCATTATTGATACAATTTTGAAGGTCAAATAAACTGATTCAAGCATGCTAGAAACTGATTTAAGAGTGCATTATATCACAACTTAAGGTTTTTCTGCATTCTACAAACCAAAGGGACCGTATTTCGTTTTATTGAACGAGATTAACTTCTGCTAACCCAAAACGACGAAACTTTCAATTGAGATAGGTTTGAGATCAATATCTTAACAATCACTTGGGTTATTAATAAATTATATTATGAGATTAACAATTATAAGGCTGCATATAAGTTATATTTGTTTCAAAATATTTTCAAACGAGCTTTTACCCGATAGGGGACAAGAATAGCCGGATAATACTATGCTTAAAGCGAGAGCTGGTGCCATCTCTCGTGTTATCTTAAAATCAGCTGTTACACAACTGAAACAACTGGTAAAGCTCAAAATTTATTGTGTAGAGGGCACATAGAGAATACAATTTAAAATTAATCAACTATTATATTATCAATATTATTTAATTTATTCTAATTGATTAAATTCAGCAATTTTTTCAGCAATTTTAGCTTTTCTTTCTTCTTTAGTTAATTTCTTTTGTTTATATTTCTTTGATTCAGCAGCATATTGCTCTTTAGTGAATTTCTTTTCAGTTGGTTTGAATTCTGGATCTTCTCTAATTTGTTCATGAGCATTAGCATAAATTTCTTCAACATCACCTGATTCAATTTCGTCTTCAATATAGTTTTTAAATAATTGTTTATATTTTTCTTCATCATCATCTAATAATTCTTCCATATAATCTGAAACATGACCACCAAAGATATAGTTTCTTAATAATTCTGAATCTAATTCTTCAGCTTCAATATCCCAACCTGGGAATCTGTTTGGTGAATGTGGAACATATAAACCACCATCTGAAGCACCTTTTAAGACACCGAAAACTCTAGCACCAGTAGTAGTTCTTTGTAAACCAATATCTAAAAAGACTTTGAAAGGTCTTGGACCATCTTCAACAGCTTCAGTTAATTCAAATTCACCTTCAACTTCTTCAACACCTTTATAAGTTTCATCTAAACCTAATTTTTTTAATGCTCTTCTAGCAACTAATAAACCAACAGCATAAGCAGCTGACCAATTGGTTAAACCATGTTTAATACCATATCTTGGTAATTCATGAGCATAAGCACAAGTTAAAACAACATCACCAGTAATTTGAGCTGAAACAATTTGAGCAATGATATCTTTGTTGGTGAATCTAACAACTAATCTATATTTTGGTGAATTGTATTTAGCTTTGTGTTGAGTAACTAATCTTTTTCTTTGATAATAATCAGTTTTACCTTCCTGTCTTCTTCTAAAAGGAGTTTGGAATCTTGAGTGATAAGCTGAGGATTTTTGAATCTTTTGGAAAGGCATTGTTTAATGTTTTAATTAATGTCTTGAAATAAATTTATTTTTGAAAAATTATTTTAAGTATAGTATTGAAAAAAAAAAATTGAAAATATTACTTGGTGGTTATAGCCCTAAAGTCAAATTATATGCAGATAAGAAAATGGCTGCAAAATAGCTCAAAATTTGTTTAATATGCAGGATGGTTGCAAAAATGGTTGCAAAATGGCTGCAAAAGTTTATCATACAGGTTTGGCTACAAATGGCTGCAAAATTGATCTTATATGCAAGTCCAAGAGCTACTAATAAACTGTAGAACTCGAAAGATAAATGAAGTTCTATAGAAGTTAAAAGTATAATAAGTTAAAAGTATAATAAGTTATTTGTACATTATATTAGCTTGGAAACCTCAAAGTTTGACGTTTCTAACTCTTTTTAAGAGTGAACTACAATTCAATCCTTCGATCAAATAATAAACTTTTCGATTGAAGCTTCGCTAAGCAAATACGAGCCGAATTATGTGAATTAACAGATTAATCATTTATTTGAATATTCTGTTCTCGTTACATCTATCTTCATATCTAGTCTTGATTCTCAAGAATTAGAATATTGACGAATTTGTTCAAATACTTTAAAGAATTGAAATTAAGATCCCAATCTACATGCCAGAGATTGTCAAAAGTACTTTGAGTTTATTTGAGTACTATGTCGCTGACAAGCAATGCTTCAATTGGACCAGTTCATAGTTCTTTATCAGATTTTAAATACTTTATTGAAAATTGTAAGTTTCAAGTAAAAATGCACTTCTTTTTAAAACTAGTTTTTATGTAATCCTATTCACTTACATCCTACTATCAGTAAAACCAAAGAATGAATTTCTTGTTGTTTGAGTTACTACAACTGAGGCACTTTTAGATAATTTGAAATTTTTTTAAATCACGAATACTTATGTTCTTTCATTTACACTTTTAAAATAGCAAATGCAGATTTCAAGCAATGGAAGTATTCTAAAGATTATATTAATAGGCTTTATCATGTAAATTGCGTTTATAGTTGGTTATGATCTCGTTTATCCTGATCTTAATTTAGCTAAGCCCACAGCAGTAATCTCAATTGTTCTAGCAAGCATAATTTAGCCATTAGACTCTAATTTAGTCGTTGACAATCTGTTCTAGATTCATTAGATCTAATTTGCATTATATCTAAATCATTCTACAGCCATAAAGCTTCTACCTTGAATCCTATTGAAAATTCGATTAAGTCTTTGGTTGGGGATTCTAACCTGATATAACACATATTGCATTTCTAGAATTCGAATTACGATTTTGTGATTCAAATATATGTACACATTCAAAATTTAACCCTAAATTTCATATCAATTAGAAACGAATGGAATCAAAGAAACCAGAAAAAAATTGTAGAATACTACGGAAAAGTGACATAAACACATTCGATCTGACAGTCTTTCATTTGAAGATCCTATCAGAAAACATATGATAGAACCCGTTTTAAATCGGTTCATTAATAATATAGTTGCTTAAATAGGATCTAATCTACCATAAAATATTGCTTATAAAAACTCTAAAACTCTAAAATCACATAGAGAAGATATGTTGAAGTGTTTTGATAAACATATGATAGAACCCGTTTTAAATCGGTTCATTAATAATATAGTTGCTTAAATAGGATCTAATCTACCAAAAAATATTGCTTATAAAAAAACTCTAAAACTCTAAAATCATCTAAAACTCTAAAATCACATAGAGAAGATATGTTGACGTATTTTGATAAACTCTAGAAATTGACAAATATATATTTATTTATCTCAAAAAGATTCATAGAGGTCTATAATACGATGAATCTTTTCTTACGTAATCATGATATCAGCCGAAATCCAAGATCTTAAAAATCTACTCGGAAATAATAGAGATTATGAATTTTCGAGTTTGCTAAAATGGGGTGTCAAAAAATGAATCAAACACAAAAATAAAAAGATCTATTGCTTAGGATCTATGATTTGAAGTGTAATTACGTCTTAGATTCCGTTGAATCCTTAAATCCTTGACGTAAGAAATGTTATAATGGAAAATTGGTAGCAAAAGCAAAAGTAAAATTTTTAGTTCGTATTTTTAAATCTCTTACATCATAATTTAAATTGGCATTAAAAAGTGGCTGTCGACAAAAATTTCGGTTCGACCCAAAACGATTTGATTGGTCCTAGGTCCAACTTCCGTATGGTTATGTTTAGGTTGAAATTAGACCATGGATAATTCAACAATAGATTAAAATCAACAATAATCAAACCACCAACTGAATCTACCTTGGATTGAGCGACGTGACGTATGTCCAATGATTTAATCAAAGAAAAACGTCAAGCTCAATAAGAGGACAGAAGACAGAAGAATTCTTAGATTTCTTAAATCAACTATTTTTTTTTTTTAATTTTTTTCGGTATATATTTTTTTCTCTGGCCTCATTAATACCAAGAAAAGATCAAAAACCTGTCTACGAAGCTTCTCCAGATAATTTCTTATGTCTGTGTTCGTTTATGATATCATCATCTGATATCATCATCTGATATCAGCTTAGTTCATCCATGGGTTCTAATTTTGACATTAACTTTAACTCGTATCTCGGTTATTCTGCTTTCGTTATAAGATTAATTACGCGGCTAAACCAATATAAATCAAACAAAACTAAACTAAAAAAATTAATTAAACGCCGTTCTACAATACCAAATATTTCAATTTGAGCCTAGACTAAAAAAATTAACTACTAAGAAATGATCAAGAATAATAGCAAGGGAGTAAATTCAACGAAATGATCAAGAATAATAGCAAGGGAGTAAATTCAACCTCTTATAATGTTTATAATGTTGTAAGTAGTTGATTGATGAGGTTATGGTTACACCGAGGCGGCTGGAACAATAAGGTTGTAGAATTAGTCAAATAATTCAAAATTTGCAACAAACACTTAAGGTTTGTCAATATTATTAATTAAGTCGATGAGTAATTTGAAATTGGTTGCAAAATAATAAACTCGGGAACTAAAAAAATTTGGAAGCGAAATATAAAATTTTAATTCCGTAAATTTCGCGCGACAAATAAGTTTTGACTTTGGACCTAATAATTTCGTATAAGACGATTATTATTAATTAAGAAAAAATAATATACAATATATAGTGGTCCCCTATTTTAGTAAATAACGAAATCATGACTTTTCTTGATAAAAATACCATTACTTCCAAAAACTCCTAATACCATTACTTCCAATAACTCCAATCCCATTACTTCCAATAACTCCAATAGACTGTGATTAAAATGGAACGAAATGCTATATAGAGAATAGGCTTAATGAAGTCTAAAATATCGAATGGATGGTATAGAAAATAGTCATCTTATAGCCATTTAATCTAATTAATAGTTCAGCTCCATTTTGTCATAAATCCATTACAATAATAATAAATTATAATAATATTGTTGATAATAGATTTGCTATTCTAGAATAACTTCTAATAACTTCTTATTAAAATTGAAGGTGTAATATTTTATTTTATTTTTTTTTTTTTTTTATTTTTTTTTTTTTTTGGGTTTTTTCTTCGGTACGGTAATAAATTATTAATTATTATAACACAATACATTTAAAAGTTTGCAGCAAATTATTATATATAAATTAATATAAATACCATTCAATATTTCTTTTCTTCATTTATTCGTCAATCAACAGTTGTTCATACTCATTTATCATCATTAATATTCCAAAATGTATACTAATTTATCATTTGCTCAGAGTTATATATTAGCATCAAAAGTTAGATCAAAATTAACAAAAGAAGCTTCATCACCAAAATCGTCATTAAGAAATCTTGTTGTTCAAGCAAATATGTTGGATAATTTAATGGATTATATTTCAATCGAAACAGAAAAAAGAACACAAGAACAACAACAACAACAACAACAACTACAACAACAACAACAACAACAACAACAACAATTACAACAACAACAACAATTAGCAAAATCAAAAGTATCATTCAATTTACCACAGTCTCAAAATCAACAACATAAAAGGAGATTATCGAATGCTTCTGCGGAGCAACAACCACAATTGTATAAAACTTCAATTACCGAATATGAAATAGATTCAGATTCAGATGAAGAAGAAGATGCTATTAGCGAATCTTCAGATGATGATGGTGATGATGACGATGCTTATGATTATGTTTCACAAATTAATTCATTTAATGGTATATCAAATTCAATTAAACCTAAACTGGTCAAATTTGATAATTCCGATGAAGAAGAAGAAGTAAATGAAGATGAAGATGGGGGTAGTTCTGATTATAGTTCGGATTCAGATTCAGATTCAGATGATTATTATATTTATTCAGATAATGATGAAATACCAGATGATTCACAAATTCCAAGATCTATTTCGTCAAATTATAAAAAATTACCAGTTATGAATCTATCATTAGATGCAATAAATGAAGAAGAAGAAAATGTATCTGATGAATTACCAGAATTATCTAAATCAAATCTGGAAACTGATGAAGAAGAAATAAATGAACATCATGAAAATGAAATGAAATTAAATAATCATCATCATCATCATCATCATCATGAAAATATTAAAGATAGGATTAAATTGGAAAATACAGATACTCGAGTAAATCATCCAGTTAGTTTATTTACTGTTTTTTAAGTTTTTTGATGAATTTTATTATGATTTGTTTTGTTTTACGGGGGGGTTTATTAACGAAGGTTTATGATTATTTCGATTCTACATTATTTATTTATTTTTTATAGATTTATTTAATAGATTCATTTATTTATTAAACTTGACTTTTACCTTTCTTCTATATTAAAACGCGTTTATTCTCTCATTTTCTGGGGTTGGTCGAAATAGGAGTTACAGTGCTCATAAAACCTAATTTTTTCGGCTGAGATGAAATAAAAACGACGACCAAAAATTAAGAATTATAGTACCGGATTTATAGCCGCGATTGAACCGAATATAAACAATTTGTTATATGCAACACTTTAATTGGTTCAAATTTGAAACTAAATATTCTATATTGTTTTAAAATGCGTTTTTTCCATGTGGTTATTCAACTACAATGAATAGACTTCAATGGATAGGCTTCAATGGGTTTTCTTTTAAGATTGAAATGATCTATTAGCTGCGATGTATTGGTTTTGAGATCGGTTATACTTGATTGTCTCCTATTATATAAAACCATGTCATCTTGCTTATGTAGCCCTGTCTATTTTATTCATTTTATTTCCTATTAAAGCTGTACCTTAAAATCCAAAATGACAATTGAAGAGTTAGCCGACATTTTAACTTTAATCACCGATTCTCGAAATTAGAATACTAAATTAAATTCAATTATATTTTAGTGGTTTTGATCATGTGTTGACCTCATTTGGATTTTGGAAGATAAGGAAATAAATGTAATGAAATGCACATATCTCGGAATTTCTCAATTGGTCAAATCAATTGCAAATTCTACATTGGGTCATTTTTATTTGGCTGCAAATTGCGATTTTTCAAAAATTGAGATTAAAATTGGAAGTCCTACATGCCTAAGTGTATACTGATATATGTCTATCTTGTAGTTTCAAAGTATTCTCTTTTACTTTAAATCCAACCTCTATATGTAAATCCAACCTCTATACGTAGCTTGGAATTGTATCTTCCCACCATTTTCTCCTTCAGTATCAGCTATATCTTTTTCTTTCTGGTTCAACAGCACCGATTTATATATTTACCTTTTTCATATTATCAATTATATCTTCATTTGTTGCATCATCATCTTCATCTTTAGCCAAACCTTTTTCAAAAATTTCACGACCGGTCAATTTACCATTATGCATTTTTTCGAATCTTTCTAAATCCATTTTTTCAAATTGCATTTCTTTTCTAAATTTTAATCTCCATTCATTAAAACTTTCACTAGTGACCTTAGTACCTATAAATTTTTTACTTTCTTCTTTTTCTTTTTCTCGTCTTTCTCTTTCAAATTCATTTTGTTTTAATTGTAATTTAGTAGAGAATAATGATTCAGATTCATCTTTTAATAAAGTAATTAACGCAAAAATGGAGGGCATGCCTAGATTTAATTCAGCTTCTTCATTTAATTTATTTAATAATTCTTTTAAATCATCTTTTTCAAAATTAATCAATTCTGACATATTTAAAGCTTTGATTAAATCTTCATCTACTTCTTCATCTGAAACTTCTATTTCTTCATCCTCTTCTGTTATATTATTTATTGATAATTGTGGAATTTCATTTGGATAATTTGGTGGATATTTTACATTTAATTGTAATGTATGAATTTTATCACATTGACAATCTAATTTTATTGATATATAATAATTATTATTTGAATGTAATGTTATTTCATCTGGATATATAGATTGAAGTACTTCTATTTCCTGTGTTTGTTCTTCTAATGGATCCATTATTAATGATGGTATTTATTTTTTCAAATTTGACTGTGCGATGAATTTGAATTTGAAAACTACCACTTGGTATTTTGCAACCAAATTTAACACAAAAATCAAGAGGTTTCGAGTTTCAAAAATTGAAATATAGACCGGTTTTAACTATTCAAATTTCATCTTGAAAATTTAAAGCAACTTTGTGAAGAAAGAGAGAAAAGGTACGACAATGGTATAAAAAACTTGATATAGACAGGCTAGATTAGACAATCCAGTTTACAAAGTATACCAATCCACTCTACTCAATAATTCTATAACTACTTCTACTATTACTTTTGCTCTTACCACTAATAAGTTAATTGTCGCTTGATCTAACATAAATTTCAATTTGTTAGTGTTTCAGAAAAAAACTAACAAAAAAAAAAAGATAAAAAAAACTATTTTTAAAACGATCAATCTATCGATAAACAACTTTCATTTAACTACTACTTTTGCTGTTTTACACTCATTTTAATGTCATATCATTATTCACATCTAATATCATTAAACACTAAAATAAAAGATTTTGCATACGATGAATCACATCCATTTCATACTGGTAATTTTCCAAATTCAAATTCAAATTCGACCTCAAGCTCAGAATACTCATCAGAATCAGAAATTGAAGAAGAACTAGACGATGAAATTATTAATTCAAAAGCTATTGCTTTATATAAGTTCATACCTGAAAATGATAATGAAATTAATCTATACGAAGGTCAAATAATTTATGTTTTTAATCGACATGGTTATGGTTGGCTAATTGCTCAAGATCCAGTCAGTAACGAAACTGGATTAGTACCTGAAGAATATGTTCAATTAATAGATGATGATGAGACGGGAGAAGACGAGACTGAAGATGAACCAAAACGATTCTTGCCCGAATTGTTTGTTGACGATGAAGAATGGATAGATACAACAGATGATGAAGATCAACAAGAACAAGAACAAGAACAAGAACAAGAACAAGAACAAGAACAAGAACAAGAACAAGAACAAGAACAAGAACAAGAACAAGAAGGAGAAGTAGAAAAGGATGAACAGGAAGAAGATGAAGTAGAGGACGAACTGGTGGACGTTAAAGCTAAAACTGAACAAGACTGTAATAATGACGTTAATGAACTACGTAAAAGTTTGAATAGTGTAAATATATGACACTGTTATTAAATATATATATGAAATGAATTTATGAAATACTGTATAACTCTTCTATTATATTGTAAATCTTCGTATAATTTTAATTTGATCTCCATACGAAAAAAAAAAAATTTATAGATTTAGACATCATTTTGATGATAAATGAGAAGAGAAAATTATCAAGCAATAATGATTCAGGTACTAAGACTAAAAAGTTGAAAATCAATGGTAATAAAACTCAATTACAGAAAACAATTTCAAAGAAACAAGTGGTGGAAAATGAAGAATCAAATAATTCAGATGTAGAGACTTCAAGTTCTAGTTCAAGTTCAAATTCAAGTGATTCAAGTGAATCTAGCGAGGAAAGCTCGAGTAATTCAAGTTCAGAAGTATCAGAAAGTGAATCAGGGTCATCAGATGATTCAGATAAGCATTTGAAAGTGAATAATTCAAAGTCGAAAGAAAATCCCATGGCGATTAAAAATCTGAAAAATTTAACAAACTCATCTACATCATCATCTACTGACTCATCAAGCAAGTCGTCAAGTAGTTCAGAGTCTAAAAGTTCGTCAAGTAGTTCAGAATCTGAAAGTTCGTCAAGTAGTTCAAAGTCTGAAAGTTCGTCAAGTAGTTCAAAGTCTGAAAGTTCGTCAAGTAGTTCAAAGTCTGAAAGTTCGTCAAGTAGTTCAAAGTCTGAAAGTTCGTCAAGTAGTTCAAAGTCTGAAAGTTCGTCAAGTGAAGATGAAGAAGAATCAGAAAGCTCCTCTAGTGATGAAGAAGATTCTGGAAGTGCAAGTGAAGAAAAAGAAAATGAAGAGAAAGAAGAAAATGGATCAAAAACAAATGCTACAAGCCTTGCAAAACCAATAAAACAAAATGCATTAGATAAATCAACTGAGATGTCAACTGATACATTAGGAACAAAAACAGCAACAGAACCAAAACAAAAAAGTTCAAGTTCAAGTAGTTCCGAAGCTGAAATTTCCTCGAGTGAAGAATCTGAAAGTTCTAGTGAGGAGCAAGAAGAAGAAAACGACTCAAATACAAATGCTACAAATCTAAAATCAATAATACAAAATGATTTCTATAAATCAACAACAACACCAGCAAAAGCAGAAACCAAAGAGAGAGAAAGCTCAAGTTCAAACAGTTCCGAATCAGAACGTTCCTCAAGTGATGAAGAATCAGAAAGTTCAAGTGAAGAGGAAGAAGAAAATGAGTCAAATCCAAATACTATAAACCTTGCAAATTCAGCAAAAGAAAATAAATTGGATAAATTAACAGCAATACCAATCACAACAACGATAATAGACTCAAAACAAGGAAACTCACTTTCAAGTAGTTCCGAATCGGAAAGTTCCTCAAGTGACGAAGAATCAGAAAGTTCAAATGAAGAGGAAGAGGAGGAAGAAAATGATTTAAATACTAATGCTGTAAAATCAAAAAAACAACGTGTTTTAAATAAATCGACTACGGCACCAACAATAACAATAACAAACGAGCAAGAAAACTCAAGTCCAAGTAGTTCCGAATCACAAAGATCCTCCAGTGAAGAAGAAGAGGAAGTAGAAGATCAAGAAGAAGATCAAGGCGTAAGAATTCCAGAACCATATCATGAAGAAGATGGATCATCATTTGAATATGTACCTACATCATCATCAGAATCATCATCAGAACTAGAAAGTGAAGCTGAAAATAGATCTACTAGTCGAAAAGCGTTACAATTTGAAGAGAAATCAACTAGTCGAAAAGCATTACAATCTGAAGATAAATCACCTAGTCGAGAGACGTCATATTTTAAACTTAAAACTCAACAACATCGTTTAGAATCTAAAATACAAAATAATACCCTAGCAAAAGAATTCAGCTTCTTGAATAGTTTTTTAAATGAATTAGAATCAAGTGAAAAAGACAAAGATAGCAATGACAAAAGTGAATTATCACCCGTACAACCTAAAATTCATATTCAGCCACAACATTTGGAAGCCGAAATACCAAATAATATCCAAGAAAATGAATTCAGCTCATTATATAAACATTTAAGCGATTCAGAGTTAAATGAAAAGAATAACGACAGTAATCATAATAATGAACCCACACCGGAGTTGAACCAAATGAAGACGGTCGATTCTGCTCCTCATTCAGACACATCACCAAAAGAAAGTAGTAATGACTCGGACTTATCATCAATTGAAAGTAGTAGTGATTCGCACCATGTCGAGACAACTTCAGAGTCATCAGATGAAAGTAGTACCGAATCAGAAAGTGAAGAAACAACCCAGATAGGTTCAAAATCAATAAGTGAAAGTAGTAGTGACTCCAAAAATAAAAATACAACCAAGACAAGTTTAGAATCATCAGCTCAAAGAGAATGCAGAAATACTTTAAAAAGATCACTAATGGAAATTCAACCAACTCCACAAAATGGGACCTTAAAGAACGAAAATAATTCAACTACACCAAATCCAGAGTTACGATCTGAAGAAGAAGACAGTAGTGAATATTCAGATGTACAAGACGAACCACCGCGTAAAAAACCAAAGAGACCATCATTAGCATCAATACTTGAAAATTTTTCAAGTGATTCAGAATCTGAACATACAGATAAAGAGTTTGTTAAAGATTTAGATTATTTCTTATCCGACAAAGAATTATCAACACCACTCCTTGATAACTACAAAACCATTTATAATCAATATCTACAAGAAGTATTAACACCACCTTCAACTTCGAATTTAACTGCATCAAAAGTAACAATATCAGGATTAATATATCCAAATATTTCATATTTACCAGGTATACAATGGACAGCTCTAGAAAAAGAACAATTCTTTTTTGCATTATCAAGACATTCCATACATGATATTGAATCAATTAAAGAAGCACTTCCTGAAAAATCTGAATTTGAAATAATCACATATTATAACGTACTTAAATCAGGTTTGAATAAATGGAAACCAAATAAACTTTTAATGAAAAATAGTGAATTACCAATTGCTTATGAAATGAGTAAAGATTATATTGAATTGGAACAGAAAATAGCTGATTTAATACCTGATCCAAAACCTCATAATCGTCCATTCAATGATGAAGATGAATTACTCAATTTTGATAATTTGAGTATAATAACAGAAGTTGAAATTAAAAATGGGATGAAATCATTAATGACAGAAATGGCAAAATTCATAACGAGGAAGATAATGCTTAATTTAACTCATTTAGACGGGATGCGAATTCAAAAAACTGATGTACTTAAAAGTATTAGAGGTCTTCATTATAAAGATCCCGATTGGAAATTTGATCAAATAAAACTAATTCAAAAAATTAGAGACGATAATGGTTTAACTACTGGTACGATTGGTCCGGATAGGATTGGTTCATATTTTGCTGTACCTCCATTTCATAATATACTCAATGATGAGGATGTTGAGATATTTACCGAAGATAAATTGATTTATTATGAAAATAAATGGTTAAATTATGAAGATATTCAAGCTTCTAAAATGTATGAGATGGGATTAGTGAGTTTATTATCTCCAGAATTGCAATCTTTATGGTATTTAGAACCAATGAAAAACCCTCCAGAATTTAAAGGTAGTTATAAGGCAAGATTAAAGAAATATGATTATAATTTTGCCAGTTACAATGATGCAAAAAAGCCAAATTAAAAAAGTACGAACTTGATATTTAACTAAAGACATAAATTTACGACCTTAATGAATTGAAAAGTATAATCAATCTATATAATACTTAATTATAAATATAAAATCAAAAGACATTAAAAAAAGTGAAGTAGTTAAACATACAATACTTTTATAATCTAACATCCGTCTATTCTTTACAAAAACACCCTCAACTTCTTTCTCATCCTTACTTTTGTCATCATCCTCTTGTTTTAAATCATAAATTATCATTTGCCAAAGCACATATAATTTTAAATTGAATAAACATAATTTGACTAACAAATTGTAATCTAGATCAGATATCAAAATGAAACTATAACTTAAAAATATCTTTAAAAAGTTGTTATTCAATTCAAATAATACTGTTTTGGCAGATTCAGTGAAATAATCAACAAGGAACAAGATATAAATTGTAATCAACTGAAGAATAATTGCATATTTCAACTCTGTTATTTCCACATGGTAGATGAGTATTCCAACAAGGATATTTGACATTATGAAACTTATACTTTCGAAAATAGAATTGATCTTATATGTTAAATTGAATCTCATTACAAATATAATATTTATGAGTTGTACTAACATATCTTTGAATAGTGAAGTCGTTGATATTGGTTGAATATTGAGATATATTAGATTATATAATACATAACCTATAATTATTGAGCTTGATGGAGTTGGATGATTTATAAATGAACATAAATACTTCTCTATAAAACTGTGGTACTTCATCTTCACTATTTTTTCATCCATTGCTGTCTAAAAGTTTTTGAGAATTTTTGGCTTTTATCTTATTTATATAATAATTTGAAATGTGATGGTATAAATGGATATTCTATCTAAAAAACTTTAAATATAATGAAATGTATTGAATGGTTTTGAAAATTTTTAGTAAACACGTTTTTTTGATATGCATGTTTGATTAAATCATCCTCAGTAATTGGTTTTGTGTTAGATTGTTGCCAAGAAAAATTTTCTTATGTTAGGAATAATTCGATTTTACGATCTCGTAATTACAAACGAAGAATATAATATGATTTGGGTCTAGATCATCATCGTTGATTTAAGACTAGTGTGACTTTAAGAGAAAGATTAATTGATATTGATTGTATACTAATTTTATGTTAACTCTCGGATATTTACATTTCGTTGAATAATTTGAGTGATTTTTGGTTTTGTAACCCACTACGTTGAAAATTTTAATCTATAAATACTAATATTTGAAAGGTTTCTCGCTTCCATCGTTTATTGGCGCATTTATAGAATTAAATACATTTCAACTAAATCATTAACAACCAATACAATTGAAACAATAATCATGATCCATTTCTTCATTTTCTCGTAGCTAACTCCTTTCGCATTATATACATTCTCTTCATTGTAAAATATGGTATAATCTGTAAATTCATCAATTTCAATCTCGTCGTAATTTATGCTTACCAATTCATATAATATAAATTTATAAATCAAATAAAATTTAAACAGAAATTGAAAAATTTTGTAAAATAATATATAGTCAATACTCAAATTGTTATAATTTATAAATAAGAATGAATGACTAATGAATAGTGGTAAGTAGTTATTATTACACTCTTTTAAACTCTTAACTAATGAATTTTTGTTAATTAATGAAAAGACTAAAATTATAAATGGAACCATGATTTGAAGACTTATACAAAATATAATTAAGTTTGGATAGGTTGAAATTTGAGATACGACAAGATAATAACAATTAGCATTTAATATCATGAAAAGTATTAATTCAATAATTATATTTGTTCTATATTTAAATTGAAATTTAATGATGAACAACAAATTAATTAAATTTGATATTAAATCATGATTTATTTCAACCAAATTTGATATTGAACCTATTGTATATATTGATTGACATTTTAATATTGAAATTGATAAAATTACAATTGATGAAATTATTGGATTATGTAATATATTACAAAGATAATAATCTATGAAATGAATGTATTTATCATATGAAATGGTAGATATAGGTGATTTTTCATTCATGATGGCAAAAACGAAAGTGATGTTATGAAGTGATGAATATTTTAAAAATGTGAATATCCGTAAATATTTATATCAATTAAGATATAACTATGTAGCTGTGCACCGTGTTATAGGCGAATGGCTACGAACCAAATAAAATATTTTTTTTATTGTGTAGGTTTAATATGCAGCAACGTGGGTCCAATTTCATAAATTGATTCACATGCATAATGGTGACAGAACAGATTTTATTTATTAGCCACCATCTGTACAATAGTTGTAACGGCTAATACCTCTTTTCTAGCTTATCCAACAGAGAAAGAATCAAAATCATGCTTTTATTGATGATGTTTCAACCAAAAAAAAAACTTTGATGTATCCAGCGCTACCTATTAAGACTTATGTAAATAACGTGCATATTAATCTTTTGTGAGATTAAATAAAGATTTCTTGACTTACAACGTTTTCCCCTTACAACGTTGGGCGTGGTTATCTGGTTCTGTTATCCAATAAACGTCTAAATCACATAAATTTGCAGATTATAGTAAGATAGCGACTTTACTGCTAGATAATAATCGTGTAATTTAACGAGTTAATATAGGTAGTGTTTATTGAGACTATTTTTGTACAAATTGAACGACCACCCCATGTGTGTATTTTTGCAACAATTTCTTAACTATTGCTCCATTCTCCATACTGTAAACGCTTTTCTTATAATTAAAAATACGTAATGGTTTTAAATCGAACCTGATTAGAGTTTGCAAACAAGAATTTGGCTGTTTAAAGTTTATTTTTGTTGAACTTGTTCTATATTTAGTTTTTTTTCAAAATCTGGTCATTGCGAAAATTGAACTTCAACCATTCAAAATTGATCAAATTGATAATAAATAAGTCAACTTCGCCACTTTCCTCTACCTCAATTCCATAGTAGAGTAACTCTATCATATCAATTGACTCAATTGAGCATAGTAGCACTCTATTGTATCAATTGACTCAATTGAGCTTTCAAATTGATCTTTAGGACACGTAATTGAGTTTTTAGAAATGGTTGCAAAATTAACAAAACTCGAAGAATTGAATAAATTAAGCTTACAAATCACATATATTTTGAGAAAAAAACTAAACAAATACAATTTAAGCTAATCCTGAATCATCAATGGTAATTTTTTTAGAAGTTGCACCTGAACCTGAACCAAATCTTTCAATTTGTTTAACAACATCAATACCATCAACAACTTCTCCAAAAACAACGTGTTTACCATCTAACCATGGACATGGAACAGTGGTGATAAAGAATTGTGAACCATTGGTGTTTGGACCAGCATTAGCCATTGATAATAAACCTGGTCTGTCATGTCTTTTGTTAAAGTTTTCATCAGCAAATTTTTCACCATAAATTGATTTACCACCAGTACCATTAAAGTTTGTAAAATCACCACCTTGTAACATGAATTGTGGAATAACTCTATGGAAAATTGATCCTTTGTAACCAAAACCTTTTTCTCCAGTACATAAAGCTTTGAAATTTGCTGCAGTTTTTGGAACAACATCATCATATAATTTAAAGGTAATTTTACCTAATTTTTGGCCATCGGCTGAAACATCAAAATAAACTGAAGACATAATTAATAATAATTTAATTCAATTGACTAATAGCTGGAAAATAAGAAAAATAAGGAAGGGGAATTAATCTCTATATTTATACTCAAAATTTAAATTTCTTTGCAAAATTAACAAAGTTGTTGACAGGCAATGATTTATAAGGTATTATGTAATCGAGACACTGCATATAACTGCTTGTCTAGCCTCGTAGTGTAATGATGACGAACAATAGAATACAATAGAACAACGAGATTTAAGAGGTGGTACCTTGAAAATAGAGTGCTACCAATTGCGTTTGATTGCAATTTTTTATTGTGATCAGATAAATATTCTCATGAATTGAATCAATGTTAATGTTAGTTCGGCTAGACTAAATAACCTAGCATCATAATGAGAATTTAGTTCCAATTGGAGTATGCAATATTATATTTCTTACAATTTTGATAAAACAGCATCAACTCCAGATTTGTCAACACCTCTTTCTGTTTCAACACCCAAATAAGTAACATCACCAGTTCTTGAATCAATAATAGCAGCATATCTTTTATTTCTGATAATACCACCTCTATCACCAGCTAATCCATATTTTTCACTAAACCCACCATCAGAAGCAAAGATAATTTCAGGTAATTTCTTATTATCATCATTTATTTTAACAAATTCTTTAATCAATAATTTCCCCCATGCATTCACAACAAATGGATCATTAGTAGCTAAGACCAAAATAGCACCAACTTTTTTATCAATTAATTTTCCCAAATTCTCTAAATATGGAGGAATATGATTTTCAGTACATGTAGGAGTAAATGCACCGGGAACAGAAACAGCAACTAAATTAGGTGAGTCACTGTTTGATAATTTTTCAAGTAAATTTGAAAGTTTGAGTTTGGAAGTAGTATCACATTTTAATGGATTTATGAGTGATAAATCTGAGAGATCAATTGGAATGTATGAAAATTCTAATCCTTCTGTTGGTAATTGTGAACCTTCTTGAAATGCCATTATGAATTTGAAGCTAATTATTTGATGGAAATTTTTGATTGGTGAATTGTGGAGATTGAAATATTTAATTTGTTAAGTAAAACAATTGTGGGTGCCACGATGCTACCACTTGAAAAATTCGGAGATAAGCGACTAAAATATAAATAGCTGCAAAATATTTACAATTTTTATGAAATTCAGAGGATATTTGATACTACCAAGCTGATTAATAGTAATATAAGATTAATAAACAGTTTCTTGATCTCTTACTGTTTATATTTTTTGATTGCATTGGCAACTCTGTTGCCTTTATAAAATAAGGTGCCTACCACAGACGGTGGAACCAACTTTCGACTTGGGTTGAAAGTGTTACGGTCGTATTCTCAATCCAAATCGGTTGAAAGCTTAATTTAGATAGAAAATTTGAAACATTATTTTTGACTTAAATGCAGTTTTATAATAGTAAATTTCGAAATTTAATCTGCAAATAATTCCTTATAATCCAAGGTTTAACTCACAAACTTATTTCATTAAATAATTCGCTTAATTAAGAATAAATTGATACAAATTTCATTGAATAAAACATGATGCTGATCATCTATCTCTCATTCAAAAAATAACAAGAAACGCTAAATTGTGAGATAATTAATCCTTGGACCTTATTTAATAACTTCTAACCTAGATAAATATGTTGATTTCGTTCCAAAAACCCCTAGTATAATACTTTTAAAATGCCACGATTGGTTTGATATTTTTGCAAAGATTTCGTTTCACTTTTGAGAAATTAATGATTTGATTTACAATACCTTCCTACAACAAATCTTGAAGTTTATCAGCCTGCAAAATCTACAAACTCAGATAATTTTACCATTTTCTCATCACGATTTCAGTTGTGGAGTTAGAATCTTCGAAATCTCAATTTATTCGATTTTCACCATACTTGAGGTAATGTACCTAGATAAGACATACATTCCATTTACGTTTTTCGAAAAATTTGTGTACGATGAAAAAATGCCAAAATGATAACTCAAACAAAAATAAAATATTTTAAATTTAAAGTTTAAGATATATTGAATATATAAATCAGTGCTTCTGATTTTATGTAACTTGTATTTACCTCGAAAGAATGAGTTGCTTATGAAATATAAGTCAGTATATTTAGCACGAGTCGCCCTAGAAATTAGGCTACAAAATATTTCGTCGCACCAAATATAATCGCATTGGGAAATAATATAAATCTGAAACAAATCCACTTACATATATTTTTTCATTACTAATAACTGTATATATTCAGTTAAATTTGTAAAGAACTTCTTCAATAAATAAGATTTCGTTTTCTTTCATAACTTACAAGGTACGCACATTAATAGAGAGCCTAACTTAAAGTTTCATATAATAAGTATCTATTTCATACTGTATCTAACTCTTTGTATGAGCAGGTGGAGGGCCATCAGGTCTTGAAAAATCATCAGCAGTAGCCGCATTATAATAACTTCCTTGTTGTTGACCACCATCATATCCAGCATTATAACTTGGTTGGGACATTGGAGGAGGATTTTGAGGAGGCATATAATTATTATACTGAGCATCATTGTAATAGTATTGTTGACCACCTTGTGGATAAGCTGGTTGTTGATTATAATGAGCATTATTTGAGGTTGGATAATATACTTTACCTTGTTTTCTTCTACCTCTACAACAAAAAAGGATAAACACGATAATAATTGGAATTAATATTAATAACCAAAGTAACCATCTCCATCTATTCCATCCACTATTGTAATTATTATAGTATGGATTATAAATTGCTCTTTTAGTTAATTCAATAACTTGATCTTCTGTAATTTTATCTGAAATAAACATAGCTAATATTAAAACTTCACAAACAATCGAAATGGAAATGAATTGAAATAAACCACTGCCTGTTTAGTTTTTTAATGATTTCAAGAAATAATTTAGACTTTTTATAAAACCAATTTATATACACTACTCGTTATAATAAATTGCTTAGCAATAATTATATATGAAATTCGATTAAAAGAACAATCGATTCGTTTCAGAATACTACAATTGTTCGCCAAAGAACTATTGCTCATTAAAAAAGTGGGCCTACATACGTCGCAGATTTATAAAACAAACATTTTAAACATTTTGCTATACTAGTCTTTTTTTTTTTCCTTCTTTTTTTCCGGGGTAATTAAGCAAGGCTGAACAGAATAGAATAGAATAGAATAGAATAGAATAGTACACAAATATTAATCGCTAAGCCCTATCATGATAATAGTAATTTCATAAAGATTGATTGACTAGTTAAAATTCGAATTTATATAATAAAAGCTTAGCATGGAACCAAAAATTACATGAGCTTCGAGAAGACCAAGATTTTTGATTATCATTATAATTTACCTGTTACATTTCAGATCACGTTTCAGATCACGTGCACAATCACGTGATGTTTAAAATTATTTATCAACTGTTGATCTACAATTTGATATTTACAACATCATCAGTTTTAAATTAGAACTGCTTTAAATTTTATTTAAACCGTTGGATCAAAGATTAAGATTTGTTAAGCTCACAAGACCAACTATTACAATCAAGCAGCCATTTTCAGTTTACTCAAACAGATCTATTCAATAACACATCCAATACGAACACGGTATATATCTATTTATACCAATCGTAAATTGAAACAACAACAGTATACATAAACAAATTCGAACTATTCAAGAATTTTTTATCAAATCAAGAAAAAAAAAAAAAAAAAAAGAAAACATATTAAAAAATTCAAGTATATCTAAATAAAGATCGTTTAATTTATGAATGAGTTCAGATAATAACCCGTGGACTGAAGTTAATAATAGTTCGACAACACCAAATGGATCACCACAGAAATCGATATTATCAACAAGTTCATCTTCAATTACTCCATTAAGTAAAAAAAGAAATAGTTTTAATAAAACTTCAACTTCAGATTCAACAACTTCAGATTTAAGACCTTTAAGATTACCAAAACAAAGTCAATTAACGAGAATTAATTCAACAACAAACTCAGAATCAACCACTACTCCAACTACAAGTACTTTTGATAGAAGATCAAGTGCACCATCCATACATCAAAAATCAGTTGAAGATTTTCAATGTCGACCCATAAGATTAGGATCAAGAACAAACACAACAATAATGAGTCCAAGTGAAGTAGAAAAACGAAAATCCATAACTTCAAGTAATACTTCATCACCCTCACAGAGAAATTCATTTTCTTCAACTTCTTCAAATAAACGAAAATCAATTCAAATTAAAAATTTACCAATTCTACTACCGACTGAAACAAAGAACATAGATAAAAATGTTGATGATGATATGATATTTGCAATATGTTTAGTTGATTTTCATCATCAAAGAGGTCCTGAAATACAATGGTGGAAATCAAACTATCATCCAGAATATTCTCCAGATTTATTTAAAAATATTTCATTTCAAGCATTACCTGATGGTTCCCATTTATTTGAAGAAACATATTCAAATTTTAATCTAGTTTATGATTTTGATCAAAAGAAATCAATCGATAATCTTGTTGATATGAATGATTTTAAAGGAGATCCAAGACATCTAAAAACCTTATTTGGTTGTAGTTGTGTTCGACAAGTTAAAACAAGTTTGTTAAGTGAAGAAGAAAAACAAAATAAGAATATAACTAGATCAATTGTGCAAAAGGCTATTGTTGTAATATGTAGATCACAACCAATATTTACGAAAATAAAAGAAAAATTATCAATTATAACTCAAAGTTATTTTCAACAAGAAACATTTGGCAATTTTGAAGTTTTGGAACATTTATTTGAAAATTTAAATCAACAATTTAAACTCGTAAATAGTCAATTGATAACTGAAGAAGAGGAAAATTATGTAAATTTAAATTTAGTCAATTCTATCCTAAAATTTAGAACAAATTTCATGATTATATTCAAGAGTTTATTATTAGAAAAGAAAATAATGATATATTCAAATAATAATCTAGAAATGTTGACACAATTTCAAAATAATTTAATTTCATTAATTCCTAACCTTATTAATAATCTTGATGATTCCGGATGTCCCCTTATTGATTATATGGAAACAAATGGACCATTAACTAAACCTCAATCTTTAAATACAACTGATAGATTATCAATGCTTCGATTTTTTGGACTACCTTTACAAATTTTCAATACAAAAAATTCATTTTGGAATCCTTATTTACCATTACAACAATTAGATGAATTAAAAGTAGATAGTTTTATGATTGGTTGTTCTAATTTATTATTTGTAAATCAAGCATCAGGAAAAGGGATAGATTTAGTGATTAATTTAGATTCGAATGAAATTACATATCCAAAAAGTGGACAATATGTACCTGATGAATTAATATTGAGTAATCTAGATAAAAGATTTATAAATTTTCTAATTGGTGTTATTGAATCAACAGTTCCGAAAGATGATTTTGTAGGATCAGATGATTACATAAGGTACAAATTTGAAGACTATTTAAATTCATTAATTTCTTCAACGAGATATATCCAATATAAGGAAAGATTCAATCAATTACCACCTGGATTTAATATCGAACCAACAATACAAGATTTTAGAATTGAATTTATTAATAATTGGAAACAAACTCAAAATTTTAAAATTTGGAATTTAATGTCTGATGAATTTATATTTAATTTCATTGATCCAAAACATGTAGCTACTAATTATGAAGTTAATAATAATTCGATAAATAAAAATATATCAAATTGGTTTAATAATAATTTCAAATTTAATAAATCATCATCACAGCAACAACCTGATGGCAAAGCTCATAAATTTATAGATGACGACGAAGAAGATGCTGAAGATGATACTATTGATGAATTAGTAGCTGGTTTTGAAAAAGTAGGTGGTGGAAATACACCTCATGATTCTTCAAGTATTGCGTCTCCGACTACTTCAAATACAATGAGTAGTCCTATTACAAATAATTCAAATATGACAACAACATCACAATCACCATCAAATAAGAAATGGAATTGGGGTTTCAAATAGATTAATATACAACTCTACGACTATAATAAATCTCCTACTTTCGCTACCAATTTACTTTTTTTTCATTCTCATCACTAAGATGAAACATCCATTTCAATTATTAACTTCTGATAAATCAGGTAAATATTTATTCACAAGTAATCAAAATGTAATCCAAGTTTTCAATTTTGGTGACGGAAATGTGATTGGTGAGTGGAAAGATGAGACAGAATCAGGACAATTAAAAACCGTTAAAAATGATGAAAAGAAAGGCAAGGCTAAATTTTCACAATCAATACTGAATTATATTAGATATCTAATCCTAGATGACTCAGAAAATTATTTGATAGCATGTGCAGACTCAGACAAATCAATTTTAATTTTCAAACTCGATTTAAATGCCTCCAATTGTTTAAATCTTATCAAAAGACAACAAATCCCAAAGAGACCAAGTTCTTTAGCTGTACAAGATTCAATTGTCGTTGTTGCTGATAAATTCGGAGACGTATATAGTATCCCAATAGATTCTGAAATTTCAGATATGGATAAATTGGAACCTATTTTAGGTCATGTTTCAATGTTACTCGATGTTGAATTAGTCAAATCAAAAAATGAAAAACCATTTATTATAACTTGTGATAGAGATGAACATATTCGTATTTCGAATTTTCCAAAGAGTTACGTCATAAAGGGTTATTTAATGAATCATAAGAATTTCGTGAGTAAATTGTTTGTTCCTCACTTTGATTCCAGTTTGTTAATTAGTGGTGGAGGTGATGATTATATATGTTTATGGAATTGGTATAATGAGAATTTGATGCAGAAAATAGATATAAGGGAATTAGTGGAGGAATACTTGGATGATTTCCACTTACCTCCTGAACGAATCAGAAAAGAACAAGAAGAAGAAGAAGGTAAACTAATTAAAGAAACTTCAATTGCACAGATATCATCAGTTACAATTGGTGAGAAAAGCTATGTTATTATCCTAATTGAGCATACTCCCGTATTGTTATTTTTTGAATTTGTGAACAACAACCTAAAATATTTCCAAATTTTGAAATTTGAAGATAATATTGTTAATTTTGCAGTTACAGGAGATGAAATAATAGTCTCATTAGATTCAGAAACACTTGTAAAAGCGCTAAAGTTTGATATTGAATTTAAAATTGATGAAAATGAAATTGTATCAAGAATTATCGATCAAATTTCAATTAATACTGACTCAAATTTTCAACAATTATATCCAATTTCATCATTACGTAAACGAAAAGAAAATGAATTTTAGATATACATTAATAAATTTCTATAAGTTTTACTCTTCTTCTTCAATAAATCCACCCTGTTTGCATAATGCATAGAATAATGATTTTTTATTCTTTAATAAATTTGAAGGTGTATCGAATTCAGCAACTTGTCCCTTTTCTAAAACTAAAATACGATCACTATCAAGTATTGTATTTAATCTATGAGCAATAGTTATAATAGTTTTATTTTTGAATTCATTTCGAATTGTTTGTTGTAAAATTTGATCAGTTTCAACATCAACTGCTGCAGTAGCTTCATCCAATACTAAAACATTTGAATAATTTAACTTTAATAAAACACGACCAAGACACATTAATTGTCTTTGACCAATTGATAAATTAGTACCACCTTCAGTTATTTTAACATTTAATGGATTATCTATTTCTTCATCTTCATTCTCATGATACATTTTCATTACATGATCTTTTAAATGTGATAATTCCAACGCTTTCCATATTTGATCATCATTATACTCATCTGTTGGGTCGAGATTAGATTTAATTGTACCTTCAAATACTTGTGAATCTTGTGGTATAATTGATAATTTATGTCTTAAATCATATAAACCAATAGTTGAAGTGTTGATATTATCAATTGTAATATTTCCTTCAAATGCTTCAATTATTCTGAATAAAGCTAGTGTAATCGATGATTTACCAGCACCTGTTCTACCAACAATTCCAATTTTTTCTTGTGGTTTAATATCTAAATTAATGTCTTTTAAAACTAATTCCAATTCTGGTCTATACTTAGTTGAATAATTATTAAATTTAATTTCACCATTTGATGGCCAATCTGAAGTTGGTCTATTTGAATCAATAATTTCTGGAGCTTCTGATTTTAATCTTGAGTATTCTAAAATTCTTTCAACTGAAACTATATTAGTTTCAACTTCAACAGTCATTCTAACTATCCAATTTAAAGATTGAGTAACTTGTAAAGCATAAGAAACTGATAAACCAACTAATCCAGCAGTTAAATGTCCACTTGATAAAGTTAAAATACTTAAACCTGCAGCACCAAGAATAATAATTGAACCTAAAAATTCTAATCTAACGGCTAACCATCTATTTGCATTAATTGCAGGATGGAAAGCTGACATATTTTTATCAAGTCTATTTTGATTTAAAAATCTAAATCTTTCTTCTTTACCATATGCTCTAATTGTGGATACACCAGTTAAGGATTCTTGAAAATTGGCAAATATAGGTGATCTAGAAACAGAATCTAATCTTCTCAATTCTCTTGAAGTTCTTAAATAATATTGTTGATAATAAATGTATAAAATACCCAAGGGTAATATCAAAAATATAAATTGCCAAGTTGAAAAACTAATAATCACAATAGTTAGGAAAACTTTAATTGCATTACTGAAAAACATATTGAAAACTCTTCCTAAAACTTCATCAATTTTATAAATATCATTTGAAAATCTATTTAATATTCTTCCAATTGGTGTAGTTTCGAAAAATGACATTGGTGCTCTTAACACAGAAAGAGCCATTGAATTATGTAATTTTTTAGATCCTTCAATTGTACAAAAAATCCAAAGAAATGTATTTTGAAGTAATGAAGTTAATGAATATCCAACACCAAGTAAGAAATAAATACCTAAATATTTTGGAATATTTGGATTATAACCATATTTTGAATTAATTTCTGACCAATGTTCTAACCAAACATTTGAAGCAACATTAACTAAATAAGATCCCAATGCAAAACCTAAAAATATAATTACATTAATTGGGTGACATGCCTTTGCATATTCTGTATAAACATCCCATTTAACTTTACCTTGTTCAAAATGTTCCCTTCTAGCTTTCACTTCTTCATCTTCTTCACCTTGTAAACCCCTTTCTTCATCAGGTATAAATGAAGCTTCAGAAGCTCTACGTAAGCTTTCAACCTCTAAATCACAATCAGAATCCAAATCTTGTAAATTAATATCATCTTTAACTTCGACTTCTCCGTTATTTTTTTGTTCTTCTTCATTTGCTGGAGTTTCTTCTCTTTTTTTACCAAATGATTCAATCAATGCTTTAATTTTTGAATTTTCTTGTTTAAATAATTCATCATAAGTACCTTGTTCAATTAATCTACCATCTGAAACCATATGAATATTATCGGCAATACTCAAAACTTTAATATTATTAGTTGCCAAAATTTTACATTTTGATTTTAATAAACCATTTGGACCAATAACATGATCAGTTAAATGTCTACCAACATGTTCATCAACTGCACTTAAAGGATCATCTAATAAATAAACATCAGCTCTTGCATAAACTGCTCTTGCTAATGATAATCTAGCCTTTTGACCACCACTTAATGAAATACCTTTTTCACCAACTTCAGTTTTATCTCCTTTTGGTAAAATACCTAAATCAACAGTCAACGCACATGCTTTTAATACATGTTGATAAAATTCTGCATCATATTTATGACCAAATAAAATATTATCTTTAACTGTTCCATTCATAATCCATGGAACTTGTGAAGCATATGCTACTTTACCGTGTAATACAACTTCACCATCTAATTTATACAAATCACCTAATATAGCTTGTATTATTGATGATTTACCACTACCAACTTTTCCAACAATACAATCCAATTGACCCTTTTTAGATTGTAAATTAATATTACTTAAAGCAACTTTATAGTTTTGATCAGATTTAGATTTTGACCATAAAAAGGTACCATTTTTAATACTTACTGCAACTTCACCATTTGTAGATACTTTAGGAGCTTTTATAACTGCATCATTTTGTACTTCACTAGAAGTTAAAAATTTAGTTAATCTACCAATTGCAACTTGTGCTTCAACAACATTAGTGATAACCATAGGAACAACAGCTAATGGGAAACTTAATAAATTAAATAATGATAATGCAGGAAATACTAAATCTGTAGATAAACTCTTTTTTTGAGTTAATACAAATACAGCAAAAGTTGAACAAGAAACTAAAAATGGAGCTAAATTCCAAGTAAAATTAGAAACAGCCATAAAAATACCCATCTTTTTCAAATTTTTTAATTCTAAATCATTTCTAACATAATTTAATCTGTTTAAATATGGAGATTCCCAACCGTATAATTTTAAAGATTTGACATTATTTAAAATTTCATTAATTAATCTTGATCTTTGATCTTTATATTTCATTTGTGACTTTTGTAATTTCTTTTGAATTTTTGCAATTACGGCATTTAATGGAATCATAATTAACATAATTGCAACACCAGCCCACATTGAATTACCAATTAAACCATGTAAAGAATATAAACATAATACAATTTGGAAAGGACCACTCCATATAATTTGTAAATTTTGAACTAAATCTTGTAATCTTTGAACATCAACAGACATTAAATTTACAATATCACCAGTTGAACTTTCTTGTTTTGATTCATTCGATAAAACTAATGATTTATCATAAACTGTAGATGTTAATGATGATTTAATTTTCATACCTAAATCAAAGGCTCTTTGAAAATATTGATGTAAACAAGCAGTTTGAACAACAGAAACAATAAACATAGAGACAGCAATCATCAAACCTTTAGTAAGTGGAATTGGTTCACCTTTTTTCATTGATTTTGAATAATCATTAACAAATTTAATTAACAATCTAAGCAATTGTGGTTGAACAAAAGCTAAAGAATCTTGAGCAGCTTTAAAAACACCACCAAGTAAAAATTGTAAACCAAAAGCTTGAGAAATAGCCCAAAATAATGACTTTTTATGCATTGGCTGTTTATTCCAATAATGATTGAATAAATTTGAAGTTCTTGTAGCTTTTAACTCTTTAGGTAATGGAGGTAAATCACTTTCAACAAGAAATTTATGATATCCTTTCTTCATTAATCCACCCATCCAATCAAATGTGATTCTTGAAAATACATTAGCTTCATCATATGGAGATACTTTATATAATCTGTTGTAATAATCTAATGGTTTCATTGGGAATGCAATTTCAATAACTAATATCAATAATGAATCAACAGTTGATAGTACAACAATACTTGCAAAATGGGTATCCATATGTTTTCTTAAATATAAATTACCAATTCTACTTAAATTCAAGATAATTTGAAATAACCAATAAAATAAAAGCACACCATTCGGTATAGTAGATTTAAATTGTTCAAGATAATGAATAAATAAAGCAACAAAAGTGGCAACGACATTTAATACCAATGAACTTTTGATAATACCAGTATAATAAGTAGTAAAAACTAACAAGACTTGAAATACAAGTTGAATTACAACCAATAATAATTTTGTATAAAAATTCCAAGCTACTCTATTTGCAATACTTATTTTTTTATTTTTAAGGTAATATAATTGATAAATACCAGTAGTGATCATTAAAATTGATGATATGCCAAACAAAATACCCTGTAGAAAACATGGTGTCAAATCATTATATTTTGAAGATAAAGGACCCCACCCATCCGATTTAGTATAACAATTGAGCCATGATGAATTTATAAAACTTTGAGTATTATTATACTCAGATAAAGTTGCAACCGAATTGGAATATGATAATAAAGGTAGTTGATTAATGATATTCCATCCATTGGATAGATATGACGATGAAGCTTCAATTTCAAATTGATCCATCATTTATAACCATATAAAGTAAAGCAACAGAGTCTTAATCAAATGTCAACTCTAACTTTGCTGATGATAATGATATATTTGAAAAATATGAAATAAAAAAGAAAATATTAAAAGAATAATTTGTAAGCCATGGAACATTGATTATGTAATTTTGCAGGTCGCTTATGAATCGATTGCAACGCGGAATTATTTCCTAATGTGGAAAGATAATGGAAATTAATCAATTCTGACACAAATATTAGATTTATTAAACGCTGTTTCAAATTAGAATGTTTAATCGTTTAAATCATTTCCAGATCGACCAAACTTCGGTCTAAATTTTTGGACTAAGTTCTTTTTTGAAACTTTGCGGTCTAGACAACGATAAAACTTACCTATTTGGTGTAACTAGCGCAAATACGATAATCAATGCATTCTCTATTTAAACAATACCTAGTTACTCCACTATAGCATATATAATCTCTGATAATTCCCATAACGTAACTCAGTAGTTAGATTTTATAATGGGTTCAAGTGCTTCAAAGCAAGGAAAAAGAAAAAGATATCAATGTAGAAAATGTGGTGATATATTTGATGATATTATTTCATGCACTGATCATCAGGAGATTATTCATACAAATTTAAAACAAGTTGATATTAAATACTTATATGAATGAGACGGTTAAACTGTTGGTCTGATTTTAAAGATGAGAAATTAGTGTTGATAATTTTGATATAAATGTTAAGGATGTTATTTGTTTGTCAATAATCTAATGCTTACTATCTAGTTGTATTAATCTCCTCATAATAAATAAAAGTATATAAATCATTCTATTTAGTTGCAAATTTATAAACTAAATTTAATACACCAGTAACTGAGTTCCAAGCGGTGAATAAATGACCAGGACCTTCTAAATCAACTTGACCATTTCTATTAAACCAAACGTTACCATTATAATTCTGTTGAGAAGTTTTGATTAAAGTATCTTTTTTATTTGAATATGGAGGATATCTTGATTTCAACATGAATTCAGACCATAAACTTTGTTCAATTGTTGTTCTTTCATGAGTAAAAGTTCTATAACTATATTTACCATGATATGAACCATAACCGGATTGACCAACTCCACCAAATGGAGCATTATGTAAAGCAATATGCATTAATACATCATTAATAATTAAGCCACCTGATCTAATTTTTGATTTTATTATTGCCAATTGTTTATTATATTTATCTGATGTTGAACTACTAGTGAATATATAAGCAGCTAATGGAGTATCACAGTTGTTAATTATTTCATCACAAGTATTGTTTATATCAGTATATGTTATAATAGGTAATATAGGACCAAAAATTTCATCTTTCATTGTTGAATCAGTCCAATTTACATTATCTACAATTGTTGGAGCAACATAATTTGAATCTGAATCTAAATCACCACCATGGATAATATTGCCATTAGTTGTATTAATTATTTTTTCCATTTTCTTAAAAGCTCTATTATGAATCAAATGAGTGTATCCCTTATCTTCTTTATTCACATTGGGGAAAAATTCATTAACAATTTCAATCAATACTTTTTTAAATTTTTCATGTTTTGTTTCTGGTACCAATACATAATCAACTCCAATACAAGTTTGACCAGCATTCACAAATCTACCCCATGCAATTCTTCTAGCAATTGTTTTCAAATCTTTATCTTGTACATCATCTAGAATTATAGCTGGTGATTTACCACCCAATTCTAATACTACAGGAGTCAAAGTTTCAGCTGCCTTTCTAGCAATTATTTTACCAACGATACCGGAACCTGTAAATATAATTTTATCAAATTTTTGATTCAATAATTCTGTAGTTTCTGGTATTTCTCCATTTACAATATAGATTAAATCAGAAGGTAATGATTCTGTTAATAACTTAGTAAATAATTTTGAAAAATTGGGAGTTAATTCTGATGGTTTATAAACAACAGTATTACCACCTGCAATAGCACCAACAATAGGTGAAATTGAAACAAAGAATGGATAATTAAAAGCTGCAATTACTAATATAACTCCAATGGGGATTTTTTCAACATAAACAGGTTGTGTTTGTAAATTTAATGGTAAATCACTTACTGGTTCTGGTTTTGACCATTTATGTAATTGTGACATTGTGAATATTAATTCATTGAGACCAGTTGAAATTTCATAATTTCTAGTTTCGGATGAATTTCTATTAAAATCTAATTCTAAAGCATAACAAATTTCTTGCTGATTATCTTTAATCATGAAATATAAATTTCTTAATTGATTTAATCTAAATTGAATGGAATGGGTGGTGCCAGTATGGAAGAACTTTGTAACTTTTTCAACACCAGCGTAGATTTCAGAAAGAGGAGTATATTCAAGAATCTTAGCTTTTGGTTTATCAACAATAACTGGTTCTTCGTTTACTTTTTCCTTTGGATCAACTTTTTCTTCAATTGAAATAACTTCTGATTTGGCTGATTTTAATGATTTATTGTCCAGTTTACCTTCTGCAATATCTGTTAAACTTGGTGAATTCGATGATCTTCTAATAGAGACCCTTGTATTAATTGTTTCTTCTTTTGGAGGAAATTCAGGAGATGAAGCAACAGTTTCTAATTTTGGAGTTGCAATTTTATTACCATTAGCTCTGGAACCATTCTTTTTGTTTGATTTACTCATGGTTGAAAGTGTTCGTTGATAAAGGAATATAAAACTTTTTGTTATATTTAATACTTTTTCTGTTTTGTTGGGGTAATAAATAATATAGTTGATTTGGTAATCAGTTTTACAAATGTGTTATATATGCGGCTGTATGCATACTTTTTATAGAATATCGGATTTAAAATGCTTGACATGTGCAGATTTCGATCATCGGATATATGCTTGTGAAAATTTGAGTTAACTCCGTCCAAAACAACTGCTACCAAGTTCATTAACCGGTTTATAATTTGAATTACCCGTTGACAAACTGACATTCAACTACGATTTAATTTAGTCTTATTTGTGGCCCTCATTAGTTATTCTAGATCTATAATCATTTTATTATTAAACCGCATCTAACAAAGAAAGAGGCATGTAAAGTAGAATCTTAGATTTATTTTGCAACCATGATTAGAATAGAGTTGAGCAGAGGCTCATAATTGCAAACAGTGTAAGCAAATACCCTCTGATTATATCATTTTAAGAGTCTTTTCTTGAATCTCTAAAAGTGGTATCCTATTGAGATTTTGTAATTATTTGGAAATTATATTACATATCCACATTAACCTAATCTACTCTTCATGTGAATCTTAGATCAGAATTGTACTGTCAAGAGGAGATTTATATTAAACTTTCCAAAAGTAAAACAATATCTCAAAATTCCAAGATTTAAAGGGGATCAAAAGAATCAAATTTGCAAATCATTCCAATACAACATAATTACAAAATAGAGCAAACAAAATATTGAACGTTTGAACGTTTGAACGTATTAATTACAAACACAAATTCTCTGGCTCATAATGTTGTATGAAACCAAACAATAATGCTTAGAATTAGTTTTAAAATATTAATCTCTTAGATTTCATCTTGGAGTTAACAATCAATGAATAACTCCGAATTCTTCTATACTAACTAAATTATAGGCTTATGTAGTAACAACTTTGTTTCAATCAAATATGTTTTGAATATTTTCCGTGAGAGAATGTTAGATATGCAAGCTCATGTTTCAAATGCGTTTCAAGTCGAAATGTTACTAAAAATAAACCAAATGCGTAAGTTTTGTATATAGCTATAAATTGAAACCTATATCTACTTATGAATACAGTAGACTGCTTTTTTTTGGTGTAGGTTTGGTTTAAATTTGGTTTTTATGGGTTGTACTGAAGAAGATACTAAGAAATTTAAATGTGCATTTTGTGAAGAAGAATTTGATACAGATGATGAATTATATGATCATGCTATAATAAATCATTGAATATAGACAAAGTTTATTTAAACTTTGTATTCTTCTTCTGTCTAAATTGTCTATAATTTCTCTTGAACAATCAACAAGATGAAATATCAAAACCATAAATTTTAATTATAATTTGATTATATATGAATGGCTCCAATTTTTATTGGATTACACGTCTCAATTGCTGTCAAATAAACAATAGATTTGTAATTAAGGGATGGCTATACCTTGAATTTTAATTTCTTGATAACGTGGGTAGGGTAATGTTTATTTGACACCTATCAAGTGGGGATCCAGCTGTCAAAATGTATAAATACAGATAAGAAGAAATCAAGCTATAATTGGTTAACAAATCAAAGATGTTTCTGGTTATTTTAATACCTTTATGTTTATTGGTTGTTATCATTAATTATGTTTTCAATTACTATCAAAGATCCAAATTAATTTCAAAATATAAATGTAAACCAATTACCCAATTGCCTACCAAAACTATATTAGGTAAACTTGGTATCGATGCTTTATTCAATCAAGAAAAGACTAAAAAAAGTGGTACTTTCCATGAAGATTTATATTCAACTTTTAAGTCGCTTAAAACTACAACTTTTCAAAACACCCTACTTTTTCAAAATCAAGTCATGACTATTGAGCCAGAAAACATTAGATTATGTACTTCTTCTGCTCATTTTAATGATTGGAATATTGGTTGGAGATCTTTGGCATTTGAACCATTATTAGGTAATGGAATTTTTTCAAGTGAATCAGGACCAAAATGGAAACATTCAAGAATGATGTTAAGACCAATATTTGCCAAAGAACACTTAAAACAAATTACAGAAATGGAACAATATACTCAATCAATTATAAAGATAATTAAACTTAAAAATGGTGTTTCATTCGATCTTCAACAATTATTTAATAATTTTACAATTGATTATGCTACGAATTTCTTATTTGGTGAGAGTTGTGATCTGTTAAAAGATCTATTAGGGGAAATATCTACTTCTACAATTGACAAAGATTTGAAAAATTCATTTGCGGAAGCATTTAATGTCAGTCAAGATTATTTAACAAAAAGAGCTTCTCTTGGTCCATTTATGTTTTTATGTAATGATTCAAAATTCAAAGAGGCTAATAAAATTCAGCATGAATTTGTTAGTTATTACGTTAACAAAGCTATCAATTTATCAGAAAAAGAATTAATTGATGATTCCAAAAGTTATACTTTTTTATATCAATTAGCTAAACAAACTAATGATCCACAAGTTTTACAAGATGAATTATTGAATATTTTATTAGCTGGAAGAAATACAACAGCAAGTTTATTATCATTTTTATTTTTTGAATTAGCTCATAATCCAAAAATATTTCAGAAATTAAAATCAGAAATTCTTAAATATTATCCAGATGTTAATTCAATCACTTTTGAATCATTACAATCTTGTCAATATTTAAAGTTTGTAATTAATGAAACATTAAGATATAATCCATCAGTACCAATATCTACAAGAACAGCAAGTAAATTAACTATTTTACCTAAAGGTGGTGGTTCCGATAATGAATCACCAATTTTAATTGAAAAGGGAACTAGAATTGTATTTCCATTATTTGTTTCCAATAGAAATGAAAAATACTTTGGAGAAAGAACTAATGAATTTATTCCTGAAAGATGGGAAAATTTACCTGCAAATGGTGGAATTGCATTTATGCCATTTAGTACTGGTCCTCGATTATGTTTAGGTCAACAATTTGCATTAATTGAAACTAGTTATTTAACAATTAGATTCTTACAAGAATTTAATCAATTGGAAATTGTTGATGATGTTTATCCACCTTTAAAGACAGCCAATGCATCAATGAGATTATTAGATGGATGTAATGTGATATTTACCTGAAACTGGATGTATAATTGAATTAGTATCCAAGGTCCTCTTAATAAGAAACAGAGAAAGTAAAGGAATAAGTAATAAGTAATCTCTCACATTAAATATATTAACTTTAAACTATATACAAAGAACTGAATCAATAAATAAAGGGTTGAGGGTTGAAATCTTTAGCATAATTCTTGTAACATTTGTAATCTTAATTCACGTAATTCAATTTCTTTATCATAAGTACCATCAACCTCAATCATTTCAAAACCATCATTATTATTGTCACTTGAATAAATATAAGCATGATCAAAATCTTTAATCTTATAATCTAATTCAGAATCAAAATCAGAAACAGTACTCTCAGTATCAGATTCATAAACTCTAGTAACTTCACGTACCGAAGTATCAGAAACAGTAGATATCAAACTATTAAAAACGGGAGTTTCAATAGGATCCAAATTCGTTATATTATTAACATTTGTAGTTCCTGCAAAATTTCTAAATTTATTAATTTCATTATTGTATAAATAATATTCATCATCAATTCCAGAAATTATAGAATTGATAGATTTTGATTCATCTTCTTCTTCAAATTCTTCTATATTATACCTACTTGAGCTTGAATTAGTTGAATTAGTTGAATATGTTGAATTGTTTGATCTCAGTTTCTTAAGACTCAATTTTGAACTTATTTTCCTTACAAGGAATGGTTTTTCAAAAAACAGACAAGTTGAATTTGTTTTTATTCCAAATATATTACGTTTTCTATGGTTCACTTCACACGGTGAATCGAACGATATTGAATTATCAAGTAAATTAACATAATAATATTGATTTAAAGTTGTATCGTATTCTAATTTCCACTTGTTGTTAGTGTTACTTGATTTTGGACAGATAGGCATGATCATAAAACGTTGATGAATAAAAATTGGAATATTAAACGTATTTATATACTTTAATTTGTAATCATTAGTTAGGGTCTTCGGATTTATCAAAATAATATTTTATTAGGAAACGGTAAATTTTGACGTTTAAGCGAAAAATAAAAAATATTAGTATTTGTAATCACCGAAGCCCAATTTATAATCGATTTGTTATTTTCGATTCTCGTACATGAAGATACATTATACAATGGAATTATTCAGTGCTTGATATTGAGTTAATTGGTCTTGTTTAGGATAAAACTTGACTAGTAAAAGCTGAAATTATACCGTTTTTCGTAGTTTGGGATATCTGATATCCTTCCATGGTTTGATGCACTGAGTTACGAGATGGAATAAATTTTAATACGGAGATTGGAAAACTAAAAAGAAAATTATTTCGGCCGTACTATCAGTGCTACCAATTGCGTTCGGTACGCATGAATTGATCAACGGCTGAATGAATAGTCTAGTTGCAATTAAAGTTTTGTTTCGGGGCTTTTTTGAATCTAAAGCTGCAAAGCTAAAGTTAAGTTGTTCAACCCGTTTTAAACCTAAACCTAAGTTTTTAGTTTCAAGTTTAGATGCAAATTCTTCACATGGAATTGAAATGGAATTGAATGGTTGGTACAAAGTCATGTATGGTATAAAATAAGACTGAAGAAGAGTCCTACTATTAATTATTTAACTTACTAAAGTGCTTTTTACAGATCACGATTATATCAAGAGAAATTCAAAATTTTAAGACCTATTTTAGCAGTTTAAAGTTAAGTTTAAGGTTAATGTTTAGAGATTCCTACTGAAAATCTGCAGCCATTACTTTGGTATACAACCATAGTTAACGAAGCGGAAGTTGAAACTTTCTCGCTAATCTCGAAACCGCTATTGTCCAGAATCATGCAGCAAAATAGAGTACAAATTATTCGTACTTCCAAGTTCAAATTCTTTTATTAATGCAAAATTTTTTTCTATTAAACTCTATAAAATCACTTTCTATCTATTATTTCAATTTATTATTATGATATTTCATTAATTCATTATTAACCAATTCATAAACACCCAAAAATATAGCCCCACCACAACTAATCCAACAAGTCCTTGGCAAAACACCTTTCAACAAAACAGAATAACCTTCTTGATTAACCAACTGATTAAAAATTTTAACATAGGACACTCTTTCATTATTTAACATAATTCTAGTTTTTAAAACATCGAGAGGTGTTGTGATCGCAGCCGCTACTCCACCAGCAATCATTCCACAAACAGCCCCTTCTCCAACTCCCTTACCTACTTTTAATTTAGTCTTCAAATATTCATATAGTGGAAATTGTATAATTGTGAATGGTATCTCTCTTATAATTGTCGAATTCCAACCTCGATAAAGACCCTTTATTATTCCCTCTCCTGATTTATTAGTTAATAAATATTTAAGATTTGATAATGACGTAGAATTACCTAGGTGATTTGATTGTGTTCTTTGTTTTATAACTTCTGCGGGCACTCTCACCGTACAAGCACAAATTTCACCAATTGTAGCAGCTATCATATGTTTAAAAACTGGTGATATTGAAACTGTTGATAGTGTTGATAGTTTTGTTTTTGTTTGATCGTATGCGATAAAGAATAATGATGCAGATGGTGCTGATGCAATTATACAAGAACCTAAACCTTTATAAATGCCTGACCAACCTCCATTTTGAAAAAAACCATTCTTTGCCTGTAACCTTGTTTTTATTGTATCGATGGGGAAGAATGCTAGATCTGTTGCTATACCTGCACATGCTCCACTTATAAGTGAGACATATAATGGAATATCCATTGAATGAAAATTATGTTTAACCTAGAGAACATTTTTTTGGTCGAGTGAAGAATTATCAAACTAGATCTTACTAAATTAGGCAATGCGGCGGACGACTAAAAGAACAAGAGATCTAGTTGTATATTTTGATTCATAGCTGCTGTAGCATATCGATTACCTCAAGTGATCGTTGCATACGTTATTTATTGCATCCTTACTTCTACCCTGGAGAAACTATAAATTCATTCCCAACTTTCTTTTTCTTACCATATTTAATTATCAAACTATCGACTTTTTTACCAACGGGTACATAATCATTAATAAATGGAACAAATTCATCATATTTCCAAGACCTATTAAACGCAAATAATTCTTTAAATCTAATTGCCAAATTAGTACTCAAATCAATTGGATTAATATATAATATATGAGTAGTTAAAAAAGAGCAATAATAACCTTTTAAATCATTTAAATCTAGGCTGGGTGAGTAGTATGCCGGTAGACTACTTTTCCAATTTAGTAAAAATTCATTCTTTAATACTGGTTGATTATTTTTGGATAATTCAACAATTCCAAACCATTTTGATATATTTGAATCAATCAACTCATATCTATTCTCCACTGATTTGGCAAACTTGTGAAGTATTGTATCTAGCATTGATTTTTTAAATGGAGGGGTGATTATATCTTCTATATCCAGTATTTCAAAAACTGTAAGTTGATTTGACATTAGTTTTGTAATTAATATGTATAATAATTCACTAATTATTGAATTTGAAAGTATATATGCAAAACCATCAATATACACACCATTCATATCATAGAACAAACTTTCAAATTCCTTGGGTGAACATAACGAATCTTGGATCAATTCAGTAATTGAAATACTTGAAGTATTGGAATTGTTATATACTGGTATTGTTTTTGATATTGTTGGTTTGTTGTCATTTAATTCGTATTCATAAGCGGCTGATTGAAAACCAATAAGATTATTTTTTCCCGTTTTGTTCATTAATAATACCGTGTTTGAATGATTCATTTGTCTTACTTTCCAACTCTTATCTGCATTACAAATTACAACTGATTCATAATTTGATTTTAGTTCAAGATTATCAATGTTTCCATTTTCTATATTTTCCAACAATTCTTCTGGTAGTTGTAATAGTTTATATGTATATGATTTATCATTATTTATTTGATTATATAGATTCATTAAAGATTGAAAAAAAAGAAAAAAAAAAAAAAAAAATTAAAAATCTGAAACATTTATATATGAAATATGAAACACGTATTCAATTAATAAATTAACTACTCCAAATCTTTATTGCATCGTTGCAGCATCCTTATTTAGAAGTTGGACCCCTGGTTAATATTCCTATCTCTAACACCCAATTCACCATTAAAAAATTCATCACTACCTAATTTTTCGTTCTTTCTCCAAAATGTCCATGATCCATTTTCATAATCTCTACTATTTCTTCTTTTTAAATAATATAATAATCCTAATAAACCAACTATAATAGCACCACCAACTCCCACAACAACTCCAACTACTATTTTATTAGTTTGTGATAATCCACCACCATTATTTGAATCTCTATTATTTGAAGAATTTCCAGTTTCTGATGAAGATATAATTGAAGTTCTAGTTACAACAACTGTTCTTCCATCATCTACTGATGAAAATGTTGTAATTTGAGTTGAACCAGTTGTACTACTTGATCTAGATGAACTTGAGGATGATGAACTAGTTTCATCTTCTTCGGATGAAGAAGAACTTGATGATGTTGTTGATGATGATGATGATGAAGTGGTTGAAGATGATGAAGATGTACTTGATGATGTAATTGATGACTCTCCAGTTTCTTCCGGTTGTGAAAATGATGAACTTGAGCTTTCACTAAATGAATTATCATCAGTTGATGAACTAGGTATAAATTCACTAGATGATTGTTGAAATTGAGAACTTGAAGAACTTGAAAAACTTGAAGAAGAACTGGATTCAAAACCATCAAAACTAGAACTGGAAAATCCATTAATATCGCTTGATGAAAATCCATTAGAGGAAGATAATGAACTTGGGAAAAATTGACTATTTGAAGATGATGATGATTGTCTACCAAATATTGAACTTGTAGTAGAAGTTGAATTATTATCTCCATCTGCTCTTTTATTCAAGGTTATTGATTTAATAGTATAATTAGCTAATGAAGAATCATTATATACAGTAGTAGTTATAATTAAATCATTTTGAGTGTTATGATTATTATGACATTTATGTATAAATTTAAATTCCAAAGGATATAAATTTAAATAATATATTATCGATGAAATTATAATTATTGAAGCTATGATAATAAAACGTAATGATGATATGGCTCTAAATTTAGAATACTGGTCTAGTTTCGCATTTGATTGTTGTTTTTCCATATTGAAATGTAGATCTAATAAATGCTCTGTCTAACAAATTACTTAATAAATAAATAGTGGTTCTAAATGTAACGAATGTGAAGTCAATAATAAATTGGATGACGTTAAATTTGAGTTGTCGTGGTTTCTAAATTGATTCAAAATTAGTTAATATAATGTTAACGACTTGAGTTAATGATCTGAGTAAAAGTCTAACAGTCTAATAGTCTAATAGTCTAACGAATAGATATAAAATGAATGGAATGTTAATCAAATGATATGAAGTAATAAAGATATAATAAATCTATTGGTTGGTTGTAAAGTTTTGATAAAATTAAAAAATTTTTATTTTTTTTTTTATTTTTTATTTTTTTTTATTTTTTCATTTTTTTTTTTTTATTTTTTTATTTTTTATTTTTAACTTTATTCATATTTTATACTACAAATCAAGTAATTAGTTAGATCTCTCTCTCTCTCTCGTTTAAAATAGTAGATGAGTTATTTCGTCCTTGTAGTAGAGTAGAGTGGCTCAAAGTTTATTAGTGAGTAGTATTTCTAGAAGCAAGCCGTGGGAATTAATGCTTATGGACCTGTTTATGTTTCATGGCTATGTAATTTAATTGTTTATATTTAGAAAATTAAGCGAAGATTTGAATTTCGTATTTGAAATTTATACAGATCTTATAAACAAAAATCAAGTATGTATGATTATAGTCAGTAATACTGGTAATTAACCTCTAGATCTACTCATATTTAAGCTCTTCAAAAGTACTTTTAAGTCATCAACTTGAATTATTCAGATCGTTTATTAATAGATCATTTATTAATAGATCATAATAGACCAATGGAAAATGTCGTGTTTTTGGTCCCATTATTTATTTTTGTTAACTATGGAAGTTTTGTTTACTAATAAAAATAAGTTTTCACCATTTAACGCGTATCGTTTGGATTAAGGTACAGTTCAGTTCATACTTCATATACATTACATTGCATTACCATACTTAGACATTTGATTCAAATATACCTTTTGATTCAAATATAGCTTTTGATACTGTCAATTAAACATATTAGAAACTATATTTCAAAAAAACAGTGTTTAACAAATTCAATATTGGTTAATGGTTGTTATTTTATTGATCTTGCTTCAAGTTCTATTTATAGAAATCATAAATATCGTTGGTCATTAGTTTATAGTTTATACGAAAGGGTTTTTATTACTAATATTCGTTTAAATGCTATCATATGGAATTAAACTGGAATGCGAAATTCCGTGCGTGCTGGCTTAAATGATCATGCCGATTTATGAATTTTCTTGCGCCTACATGGTAGCGACTTGTAGAACCTTCTAGTCACAAACTTTAGCCGCACAGTTGCTTAATTTGTTTTCATAGAATATTCTAGGTTGCAAAAAAAAATGGCTGCAAAAAATAAATAATCAACTAGATCATTCTATGATATGATTAAAAATTATATAAATATCAACGAAAATATCATTCAACTTATTTTCTTTCATCAATTATTTTATTAGTTATCAACTTTGTAATCATGTATGCCTCAAAATTAGATTTAAATTCATTATTTAATTTATTACATCAACAACAATATCATCCATTTTACTATCAACAACAACAACGACAGAAACAAGTTAAACCTAGAGTTATTAAAAAATTAGAAACCGAAGATGAATTTCAAATTCAAATTTTTAAACCCTATGGAAATTATCAAAATTATGAAGTTAAAATTGTAAAAGATGATCAATTTAATACTAATCAATTAATCAAGATTGTTATTTCATCAATTAAAGATAATTTTAAAGTTGATTTCCAATTTAATTTTAATTATATTGATATTGATAATATTAATTGGCAATGGTTTAAATCTGAAAATATATTATGTTTAAATATTCCAAAGAGAATTCATTATGTTCATAATAATTTAAATGATATTTTAAATTGTTTAATTGATCATGGTCACTTAGTAAATGGTAAAATTGAAGAAAAACATGAGGAAGAATCATTGGAAGATCATGAAAAGTTATTAGAGGATGCTGCCCAAGCTATTAAAACTAAAGATGATAATGATAATGACAGTGATAATGAAAAAACAGTTAAGGAACAAGTCAAACAAGATAAATTAGCTAAAGAACAAGCTGAAGCTCAAAAATTACAACAACAAAGAATTGAATTGGAAAAACAACAACAAGAAAAATTGAGACAAGTTAAATTAGAACAGGAAAGGTTAGCTAAAGAAAAAGCACAAAGGGAAGAATTAGAAAAGGAAAAACAAAGATTAGCTAAAGAAAAAGCACAAAGGGAAGAATTAGAAAAGGAAAAACAAAGATTAGCTGAAGAAAAAGCACAAAGGGAAGAATTAGAAAAGGAGAAACAAAGATTAGCTGAAAAGGAATATCAAGATAAATTGAAACAAATTGAAGAATTAAAACAACAAGAATTGGCTAAAATTGAAGAATCAAAAAGACAATTGGAATTATTAGAACAAAAATTGAAAAGAATTGAGAAACCAAAATCAACAGAATCAAATCAAGAGAAACCAATTGAAACAAAACAAGAGAAACCAATTGAAACAAAACAAGAAAAACCAGCTAAAGTTTCAAAACCAAAAGATTCAAAAGTAGAAAAATCAGTTGAAGCTAAACCATCTGAATCAAAACCAGTTGAACAAGTTTCCAAATCCAACAAAGTTAAATCTCAAAATAAATCAAAATCATCCAAAATTGATCAATCTGAATTTGAAGAATATTTAAAACAACAACAAGATTTTTTCAATCAATTTTTCAATTTTAATTCAATTTTTGAAATATCACCAAATGGAAATATATTATTAAATCCAATTTCAAAACCATCACATAAAGATGATTCTCAAGAATCAATTGAATCAGATGATGAACCAACAACACCAAAAGAAACTACATCAGATAAGAATAATCTTACAAAACATCCATCATTAGAAGAAGTAGAAGATGAAGAATCTATAATGTATAGAAAGAAATTTGGTCATTGAATACTATATAGCTTGTTTAATGAAAGTTAATCTGTTTATCTATAAAATCAAAATTCTGAAACAATTCACTGTCGTTTGAACGTCGCCCAAAAAGTGGCACTAGCTCTCGCCTCATGTTCAAAATTGATCAGCCGCAATTCCGCTGTAACGCAGGTCTAATGCTATTAATTGAAACCAAAAAATCGCAACCATTTAATTTTTTTATCTCTTTTCTCACACCACTAAATTTATTGAATGGCTTCTTCTACTTTTAAGTCAATTGCTGTGTTTGGTGGTAATGGATTTTTAGGTCATAAAATATGTGAAATAGGTATAAGGAATAATTATAATGTTACTTCATTTTCAAGAAAAGGTGAACCTCCACAATCTGTAATTCATCAACCTTGGGTATCAAAAGTAAATTGGGAAAAAGCAGACATTTTCAATCCAAAAACTTATGGTCATAAATTAAAGGATTTCAATTCAGTTGTTCATTCAATTGGGTTATTATTTGAGAATTTAAATTATAAATCTTCAATAAATACAAATTTTAATATCTTGAATGATTTACAAAATTTAACAAATTCATTTTCGGGTTCTAATCCAATGGAAAAAGCTGGATATAAATTGACTTATGAAAGTTTACAAAAAGATTCTGCAGTAATACTTGCAAATGCATTTATAGAAAATCAAAAAGAGTCACCAAGGAATTATGTTTATATATCAGCAGATAAAAATCCGCCAATAATTCCTAAAAATTATATTGTAACTAAAAGAGAAGCTGAATTTGAATTAAGTTGTAAACGAGAGTTAAATACTATTATAATGAGACCTGGTGCAATGTATGATGAAACACATGAAGGAAATTTAACAAAACGAGATATTTTAATGAGAGGATTAAGATTTGGAGTTGGCTTGAAAAATTGTACAATTGGTAATTCAATTGGATTTGTAAATGATTTGGTGAGACCTGTTGTGTCTACTGAACAAGTTGCCAATACAATTTTTAAAAAATTACAAGAAGAGGATTCAAAAGGTGTTGTTAAATTAGAAGAAATTGTTAAAAATTAAACACATGATAAGGATGTGAAAGTATAATAATTAATATAACTAAAATAATGCATAATTTTACACATTTATTGTATCTAATTTTAATAATTCTAATTTTAATGTATTCAACCAATCAATTTGAATTTCTTCCAATTCTAAAGTATCTGGAATTATGATTGAATCAACTTTAATTATAATCTGATTCAAACCTGATTCTTTAACAATTTCCATTGACTCTTTAAATGTATGTGATTTAACTTTAGGTTTACCTTCTTTTACTTCTTTTTCTTCTTCTTCTTTTTGATATTTTTGTCCTAAAGGTAAGGGACTCCACCAATAAGTAGGATATACTCTTATTATATTTCCCATAATACATGCAACAACAATCATTAAAATTGATGATATAATTTGAACAGGTAAATACCACCATGACATTTGTCGTATTTGTTCATCTATTGATGGTAATAAGGCACTTGCACCTGCAGGAGGATGAGCACAGTTTAAAATTGTTAAAACCACTGAAGCAACACTTACGGACAATGCTCCTGATATATAATAATGATTTATACCTGTTTCTGATAAGCTGAATAGTTTCTGAATACAAACTCCAATCAAAGAAGCTATAAAGTGACCAAAGAATACATTTCGCGGCTGAGCAAGTGGAGACGTATTCACATTAAACGTTAAAATGGCCGTGGCCCCATACGATGCTAATATAATGGGAGCATGATGATATGTGGTGAAAACATTTGAACTTCGAAATATTCCTTCAATTAATAAAATTCCAACAAATGTACTGAGAAAGATATCAATCCATAAATAATAATCATGTCGTGGTCTTAATTTATGATAACCTAAAAAGCGTCCAATATATCTTGGTAAATGTTTAGAAAGATTTAATGATGGGAGATATGGATTTATTATATCATCTATTATAAATGTGAAAACCATGTGAGAATGCAAAATTCACTGTAAAGATGCAAATTTAAGAGTGTAAGATTAGATTCTTGTATAAACTTGGCAATAGTTTTGGTTCTGATTGATGACTGGTGTAATTCAAGTGATAATTATAATAAGATCAAGCTAATCTCGTATAATCTTGAGTGAAAAAAAAAATAAAAAAAAATAAAAATAAAAATACGCGCGGGACATCGGCTACCAAATGGGTGACAAAATTAGCTTATTGCAGTACTGTACTACTTAATCTTGAAACCTGAATTTCAAGAATCAAGTCAGGCATCTTTAATTGAGGTATAATGTGTAAAGCAATCGATAGTTACGGCCCTAAATTAAAAGATACAAGTATTTACATTTCTAGCTTAATTTTTGTATGGTGAAAAAAAGCCAAAAATTCAGGTTGAAAAAAAATATTTCAAAAATAACTTTAAACAGGTATAGAGCATTAATTTCAAGGTTTCTGATCTCATTTAAACGGTTTACTTCTCGAAAGAATGTATTGTTTAAAGTATATAGCCCCATAAAAGTGGTACGAGTCGCCCTAAATTTTACGCGAGAATTTATTTTTTGTCGCACTAAACCATCGAGTTAAATTTATAATAAAGTCTATCATTGATTAATTATACATTAATTATACGCCATAATTGAAATTATTTGCATAACTTTTGTTCTTGTTTCTCATTACATATTTCCTAATTTCATCACCTATAAAGACCGTACTTGTTAATAAAAATAAATGGATTAAATCTCTCAAACTTAATGCTTCAGTTTGGAAAATTCCTTGAAAAAATGGAACATAAACAGCACAAAATTGACCAAATAACGAACCTAATACAGCAAAATTAAACATTTGATTAGTTAACCCTAATTCAAAAATTGATTTTGAATAATGTCTACATGCTAAAGCATTAAACATATCATAAAATACAAAACATGTAAATGTCATTGTAGTATCTCTTGCTGTAATTTCATTATCCTTCATTTCTTTAACAAATATATATAAAGTACCAATTATAATCATTGCAGCTGATTGTAAAACTCTTTTTATAACTTGTTGTGTTAAAATTGTATCATTTCTTTTCCTTGGTGGTTTATTCATAACTTCATGATCAACTGGTTCAACTCCTAATGATTGTGCTGGTGGTCCATCCATTAAAATATTAATCCATAAAATTTGCATTGCATTTAATGGATTTGGCAAACCAAAAAACGTAGATAATGCAATTAATGTTAATGCAGCAATACTTGTACTTAATTGAAAAGTTATAAAATTTTGAATATTATTGAATATACCTTTACCTTCTTCAATTGCTGATAAAATTGTTGAAAAATCATCATCGGTCAAAACCATATCAGCAGCTTCTTTTGCAACATCAGTACCATTTTTACCCATAGCAATACCAATATCAGCTAATTTTAAAGCTGGTGCATCATTTACACCATCACCAGTCATTGCCACTATATCACCTCTTCTTTGTAAAGCTTTAACGATAGTGACTTTATGTTCTGGTGTTGTTCTTGCAAATACTGATACGTTATGAATTGCTTCAGCTAATGAAACTTCATTTAACTGATCAATTTGATCACCAGTTAAAATTGATTTTTCATTAACAATGGGTATACCAATTTGTTTTGCAATATTAGCTGCTGTTGAGGGTGAATCACCAGTAATCATAATAACGTGAACACCACCTTTCATTAATTGTGCTATTGACTTACCAACATTTGGTCTTGGTGGATCTTTCATACCTATTAATCCACAAAATATTAAATCTGAAACTTCTGGTTCATGTTTTTCTTCATTCATTTTTTTAAAATTTTTAGCCAATGCTAAAACTCTTAATCCATCATCAGCTAATAATTTTGAATTTTCAATAATTTCATCTTTTATTTTTTGACTTATTGGTTTTATTTCACCATTTTCATCATAATATCTATTTGATAATTTAATAATAATTTCAGATGCACCTTTTACTATAGTTTCTGATTTTTCTAAATCACCACTATGTACCAGAACTGCCATATATTTTTTATTTGAAGAGAATGGTAATTCACAAATTCTTTCTCTTTGACCTCTTGAATCTTCTAATCCAAAATGTGGTAAGCATTCAACTAATGCTATATCACTTGGATTACCAACATATTTTTCATTTTCTACTGAATATCTTGCATTATTACATATATTCCCACATTCTAAAACTTTATGCATATTTTCAGTTAATTTATGATGTAGAGTATTATCATCTAATCTTTCAGCAATTAAAAATGGAGTATTAAAAGTACCTTTAAAATCAGTTGTCCAAATTTTAGTAACAGTCATATGATTTTGAGTTAAAGTACCAGTTTTATCAGAGCATATAACATTAACAGATCCCAAAGTTTCAACACTAGGTAATCTTTTAACAATTGCCTTTTGTCTTGCCATTCTTAAAACTCCTAAAGCTAATGTAACCGTGACTATGATTGGTAAACCTTCCGGTATAGCAGCAACAGCTAATGAAACTGAAATTTGAAACATATCCAACCATGATCTACCTTGAAATATACCAATTAAACAAATTATACCTATTATTATAAAACTGAAAACTGATAAATCTTTACCTAATTTATCCATAGCTTGTTGTAAAGGAGTTTTTGGTTTTTCAATTTCACTCATCATTTCAAAAACACCACCGAATATAGTTTGAGCACCAGTTGCAATAACTAGTCCACTTCCATGACCATCTCTAACTAAAGTACCTAAATATGCAATATTATTTCTTTCATTAACTGGAGGTTCTTTTTCTTCCATTATCGTTGTTGTTGTTTTTTTAACAGGTCTATTTTCACCAGTTAAATTACTTTCATCAATTGTTAAATATACAGCCTCAATTAATCTTATATCTGCGGGAATTCTATCACCTTGTGAAAAATGAACTAAATCACCGGGAACTAAAGTGGATGCTAAAACTGTTGAAGTACTTCCATTTCTCGTTAATTTTGCTTCGGCAGGTACTAATTTATTTAATGCTTCTAAAGATTTTTCAGATCTATATTCTTGAACAAAACCAACACTAACAACTATTAGTATCGCCAAAGTTATACTGATTGCATCATCTTTATTTCCCATCCAAAAACTTATAATTGCAGAACCAATTAATAACAAAATTAAAGGATCTTGATAAAATGAAGAAATAAATTTAAACAATAGACTTTCTTCTTGATCTTTTTCGAGCTCATTAACACCATAAATTGATCTTCTATTCAAAATATCTTGATTATTAGTTAAACCTAGTTTTAAATCTGTTTGTAATTCTGATTGAGTTTCTTCAACGGATTTTTGACAAAATTTTAATGATGGAGTATTTGCCTTTTGTGGTATATTTGATGGATTTATGTCAAAAGGATTATCACTCATAATTTGTCAATATGTGTGATCTTTTGGTGTTAATATGGAAAGATCTATTTACACTAATCTATAAGGCTAATGAATATAATGATGCCGTGTCTATAATTGATAATTTTGATTAAACTTTGAAAAAAAAAAAAAAAAAATTGTTAAAAATTGTTGCGAAAAAACATCAACAATTATTACGTGTATTGATAATCAATCTCACGGTTGAACAGTGTAAGCTATACAGAGGGAAAACAATGAAAACAATGAAAAGAATAAGGTAGAAAGTGCGTCGATGGCTTTCATAATTTGGTAATTTTGTAATTTGGTTTGTTTGATAATGTTGAAAACTGGCCATGGCCACAAAAGTGTTTATTAATCTATTGTTTAATAAATGTCTATTTATGGTAATCACCTTTTCTAATTTTTTATAACTTCCATTGCAGCTTTATTTAATCTATTCATTATAGCTAAACCTTCTTCAGTTTCATCAATACCTTCAACCATAATTAAATCCACTTTTAACTCTTCATCAACTTCTCTTAAATATTTAAATAAATTATGCGATATTTCATGGCCCGATGTACCAAGATTTTTATTAATTAAGCCAGGGTAATCTTCAAAATATTTTGATTTTAATAATGCAATGTTTTTATTTTGTAATTGATTCTTTTTTATATACTCTTCAATTGCATTTTTACCATTTTTACAATTTATAAATAATACAACTTTTGCATTTGGTGAATAATGTCTATATTTCATACCTGGTGTCTTGACAGGTTCAGATTTTTCTGCTGTTCTTTTAACCACTATTATATCTTTCCAAATTTCACCTCCTACTTCTTTTATTTGTTCTAATGAAATACCACCTGGTCTTAATAACATTGGCGGATTACTTAATCCATCAATAACAGTTGATTCAACACCCACATCACATGCGCCACCATCTAGAATTAAAGGTATTTTCCCATTTAAATCATAATATACATGTTGAGCTAATGTTGGACTAGGTTTAGTAGATGCATTTGCTGATGGAGCAGCTACGGGAATATCACTAATTGCAATTAAAGCTCTTGCAACTGGATGTTTAGGCATTCTAACGGCAAAAGTATCTTGATTAGCAGTGACATATGACGATATTGGACTTTCTTTTGGATTATTTGGTAATAATATTGTTAATGGCCCCGGCCAAAATTTCTCTATTAAAGGTTGATATATTTTGGGTATTTCTTGATTATATAATTTTCTCTTTAATTGATCAATTGATGATATATGTACTATTAAAGGGTTATCAGCTGGTCTATTCTTAGCTTTGTATATTGATTTTACTGATGCATCATTTAATGCAGACCCTGCTAATCCATAAACGGTTTCAGTTGGGAATCCAATTGCATTATTAGTATTTATCAACTCATTTGCTGCTATATTCAAGTTTTTCTCAGTTTCTTCATTCGTTATTGTCGGTAGCACATCATTCTTGTCAAATATTATTGCCTCTGGTTTCACTTTTAATATTTTTGTATTTATCAAAGACATTTTTCTAATATGATTCATTAATCATCTATTAAAAAAATTAAACTCATCGATTCGAGATGATCAGACGCTACCATATGTGTTGCAAAATGTAACGTAACATAATCAAGAGGTATAGATATCAAAATATAATTATACTTAACATTCAAAAAGAAATTGTACAGATTGTTTTGCTCTTGACCATTTGTTACTCTTTCGGTTGAATAAACTACAGTGATATTTCAAATGCCGACATAAAGATCTACATTGTGATCAACCGCATTCACGTGTGTATTGTAAATTAATCCTTAAAAATAATGGTACCAAAGGATTAAATAAGAATATTTTCTTTAAAGTTGGTTTTAATTGTGATCTATTTTCACCCATTTATAGCATCTAATTATAATCTACAAACCCATGTTTGGGGGTAATGCTTACCTAAATTGAGCTAAACTCTATTTAGTTTAATTACGAGGTGCTTTAAGAGGTGCTTAATTTAAGAGCTAACGGTTAGTCCCGTTTGTTTGATGAAAAGAAATGTAAAACAAGAAAAGAACATGAGCAAGAAAACATTTTACTTTGGTACCTGGATAAATTCCATGGTTTTCCTTTTCTTCTACCTTGGCGATTAAAAGAATCTTGAAAACCAATCTTAGATCTAATAATACAATTGTTAATTAGTTTCTGATTGCTTAATTGAGGCTTTATGATAAGACTCGTAATCGATTACTAAAATTTCATCAAATATACATCGGGTGAGATAATGAAATTAATGTGGTAATTTAATCAACTTATATCTACATGTATTCACGTGTGAAATTCGATTTAGTGTAATTTAATTTTATCGTCTAAAAAACCAAGATAGAATAAATTGATAGATGTCTAACGAAATAATTATTGGTCTTGGCACAAAAGTGAAACTCAGTACCAAATGGTATGAATTACTAGTTTAGTTCATTATAATTCCAGATTTGCATAAGTTTGTAATTTTATTGTTATTGCCTTCTTTTTCGCAGCCACAGTCAAAACCACAATTAATAGATTTAAACACTTATCGAAGGTTATGATATTCAAGATCTTAATATATAGAGAAACGAATTTGTAGTATGCTCCAAAGAAATAAAATAAAGGTAAGTTTTGAAAATGGCTGCTGATTCAATAAGGTCTTCTTCTAACGTTTCGTCATCATCGAATTCAAGTCACTCAGATCAACCAATTTTAATAGATAAGGAAAATGACGAAATTATAAAAGTAGAATCAATTACATCTTCTGAATCTAATGAATTATTGAAAAATCCATTTTTAGATCCTCATGTTGAAGAATATTATCGTACATTATATAATGCATCTGAATATGAATGCCGAACAGCATTTGATCCCAAATTTACATGGACAGAAGATGAAGAAAAGAAAGTAATTAGAAAGTTAAATTTTAGAGTTGCTTTAACTGCTTGTATTATGTTTGTTGCATTACAAGTTGATAGAGGAAATTTAGCTCAAGCAGTTACTGATAATATGTTGGAAGATTTAAATATGACCACAAATGATTACAATACAGGTAATACTATATTTTATGTTACCTTTTTATTAGCTGAAGTTCCATCACAATTAATTTCAAAAGCTTTAGGTCCTGATATTTTTATACCCATTCAAATTTGTGCTTGGAGTGTAGTTGCAATATCTCAATGTGCAATCAAAAACAAAGCTGGTTTTTATATCACAAGAGCATTTATAGGTGCATTAGAAGGTGGTTTTATTGCTGATTTGGTTTTATGGTTAAGTTATTTTTTCACTTCTGCTGAATTACCTGTTAGATTATCTTGGTTTTGGACTACGTTAAGTTTGGTTCAAATAGCTACTGCTTTATTAGCTTTTGGTATATTAAGAATGAGAGGAATATTAGGATGGGCAGGTTGGAATTGGTTATTTCTTATTGAAGGTTTATTTACATTACTAGTTGGATTAGCTTCATTTTATTTAATGGTTCCATCGGCAGTTCAAACTAGAAATTGGATGCATCGAAAAGGTTGGTTTACTGAAAGAGAAGAGAAGATAGTTGTGAATAGAGTCTTACGAGATGATCCATCGAAAGGAACAATGCATAATAGACAAGCTTTAAGTCCAAGAATGTTATGGAAATGTTTAACTGATTATGATTTATGGCCAATATATGCAATTGGTGTTGTTGCTTATATTGGTACAAGTACATTGACTTCATATTTTGGTTTAATGAATAAACAATTGGGTTTTTCAACATTTGATACAAATTTATTAACTATTCCTCAAGCTGTTATACATATTATTTTATTATTAATAATTACTTGGTTGTCAGAAAGAATAAATCAAAGGGCTTTAGTTTGTTTATTAGCTCCATTATATGCAACTCCAATTATGGGAGTAATTAGATGGTGGTCAGGTTCTGGTCATAATATTTGGGGTACTTGGACTTTAAATACATTATATTTAGGTCAACCATATATTCATGCAATTGTTGTCAGTTGGGTATCAAGAAATTCTAATTCAGTTAGAACAAGATCAGTAGCGTCTGCATTGTATAATATGTTTGTTCAATTAGGAAGTATTATTGCTAATAATATTTATAGAACAGATGATAAACCTTTATATAAAAGAGGTAATATGCAATTATTTTTTATATCGTTTGCTTTAATTCCAATATTGATATTGGTGAAACTATATTATGTTTGGAAAAATAAATCAAGAGATAAAATATGGAATGCAATGACAGAAGAGCAAAGAATTGATTATAGAGCTAATACCACAGATGAAGGTAATAAAAGATTAGATTTTAGATTTGATCATTAGTGGTTAGCTTATAGAATAACTTATAGATTGAGTAATGAAAAAGTATGGTGGTAGCTTAATGCGACAAAAACATTTTCTCGCACCACCTTCGTGGCGACTTCACAACCTATGTTAGCTTATACGTCATGAACAACGAAATTTCTCTGAATAAGATCAAATAAACGAAATCAGGAACAATGAATTGTATACTCTTAATACCCCTTTAGCTTCAAAATTCTAACATTTCTTTTTTGTGTTGCCATTTTGGCCTTTTTCACCAAAAAAATTTTCGAAAAAGTTAAATCTGTGTATCTTCTTATTTAGGGCCATAACTTTCAATTAAACAACAAATTATACATATTATATCTCAACCTATGGATCTAGTTTTTATTCTAGATGCTCTCAACCAAAATTGAGAAATTACCAAATATGCTCTAAAGTATGAGGAAATTCGAAATTGGCCGTACCAAAAATCTAATTTCTAGTTGAATGCTCGCATTAGAACATGATGAAACTGTCAAGATTTCGTAGTTCTGACTTGTATTCAACCTAGAATATATTTATTGCAAGGTCGACAAAATTGAAAAAGTAATTTTTCTTCATTGTTTCGAAATTTTTACAAAATTTTCAAACCAATTACAGCGTCATATAAACATGATACACATATTTTTCGAAAGTAAATAAATTGGACCAGCTATAGTAGAACTTGCGAAATGAGGTCTAAGTGTCAGTTATCTACCAAAATAACGTTTTTTCTCAATTTTTAAATTTAGAATAAAAAGCTCTAAATTATGTTTATTCTCTAAATATCTATATGATAATTATCTTAGTTAAGAGAAGAATCCAATAAGTTAAGTTTGAATCTAAATGTCGAATTATTGAGGGAGTTATTTACAAATTAAATTTTAAGCTTAACTACTTCGAGACTGCATATAACCACATTTGGTTGAAAATTATGCTGCAAATTATGTAATTACGAAACCTTTGCAGTACTCAAATTAAAAACTGAATCAGTCACTTATAATAAACGTCTTTTATACTTGAGCAAAGGGTTACCTAAGGCTGTATTTTGTTAAATAAATTCGCCCACCATAGGCTTTTTCATCACAAAAACAGCAGACTTTGTTAAGAAATTTTAGAGCAGTGGTTTTACAACTATTAAATTCGAACTGCACTAAAAATTCTCATTTGAATGGTATTAAATACAGCATAGTTTGACTCTGAATTGAGTACAAGGTACTAATTCTGAATTACGAAAACTAAATGGTTTTTTTTTTTTTTTTTTACTGCAATCTTGATATATTTTTTTTTATGTCAAATCTCAGATCTATAAATTTGCAACCGATCTCAGATCAGATCGCGCAATTTCAGAATATCATGCGTTTATTTGGTTTTAAACATGTTACAACACTACTATAAATGAGTTTTCTACTCCAATACACAACAGCCTTATTCGCATCCCGTGCAGTTAGAATTAGTTTGGCTGAGCTAAATTCATCCCACAAAAAAGTGATAGAAATAAAAAAAATTGTATAGTTGGACAATAAAAAATTAAAATCTAATAGATCATCAACTTGAACATTTTTGGTATAGATACATCATGCTTAAAATTGCTGTAGATTTACACTAAAACAGGTTTGAAGTCTATACATTTTCGTTTTTTGTACTTATAAAGATTTGGAGTTAGCACCGTTGGTGGTACTAGTTTTCGTCTTGAATAAAAAATTTTTCTGCCGTCAACTCGTTCTACGTTGGTCCCGTCGAAAGCTAGTGTCAAAAACATTTGGGAATTATCAATCGTCTTGTATGCAGTCTTGCGGTAATTGATCTTGAAACCTAAATAACTCCTTCAATATTGAAATCCTAATTGTCAAACTTTCTTCGTTGAAATTCATCAAAATTCGAGAATAATGTTAGTTATCAAAATTATTAAGACAAATATTTGATCGTTTCATTGGTCATTAAAAAATTGCAAAAAAACGTTAAATTGCAAGATAATCAATACTTAGACCTCATTCTGCAACTTCTAAGTTGGTACATTTGGCTCATTTGGTTGCGATAAGTTTTCGTACAGCGTTTTCAAGGCACCAGAATCGTTTTGAATTTTTTGCAAAATTTTCAAACCACTTCTGAAAAATTACTTTTCCATTTTGAATACCTTAACACAAAAAAAACTAAACCATATCAGAAGGGAAGATAACAAATCTTGATAATTTTATTATTCTTTCATTATAATTTTGATTGTCGAGTCGGATTTCCCGTAAGGTCGATATATTCGATTTTCCGCGTAGTCAAGGGAAAATTTCGGAACTTATGAATTTTAGCTTAAAACAAAACAACTTATGGCCAGAACCTTATTATGAGGTACAGCATAAATAATCCGTTGTTATTTGTTTGGCCCCGGAATAAAATGCAAACTAAATATTCATTTTTAGCAAAATTTTTGTATGGTGAAAAAATGCCAAAAATTCAAGTTAAAAAAAAACTGTTTAAAAAACAAAATTTTCAATATGTAGAATATACATTTCAATGTTTCTGATCTTATTTAAATTGTTCATATCTTGAGAGAATATGTTGTTCATGATTTATAACTCCATATGTGTGGTACGAGTCGCCCAAAATCTAACGCGAGAAATTATTTTTGGTCGCTCAAAAAATTGGATAACTAATTTTTGTAGATTCAAACTGATTAAAATAACACAATACACAAATAGAATAATATAATTGAACTACAGTAAGTATACAGTATATTTCATTACCAATTCACATCCGAATTCAATGCATATATTTAATCATTATACATTTCCATTGCTAATTTCACCAACTCATTAATTGTATCCAAAACTTTTTGAGCTTGTTCTCTCGTTAATAAATCATTATCAGTCTCAACAATATACTTAAGTCTAACAATTACTTTTTCTTTATAAGTCGATGGAAACTCAATCTTGTCAGATTCAGAAGTACCTAATATCAAATCAAGAATCAATACAATAGCAGATCTTCTCATTATTGCTTCATCTTTTGAAGTTTCTAAATTTAATATACCAATTGCACAATCAAGTGCAGTTTCTAAATTAGTTACTATACCTAAAGGATTCACTTTACAACAAGTACCGAGTAAAGACATACTTGACATTCTTAAATTGTTATCCATTTGATTCTCTGGTCTAATTATATAGATTGTTGTATTAACAATTAAGTTTGCCAATTCTCCAGTGAATAATTCTCCTGAATTTGTTATATATCTTAATAAAACTTCACCTATTTTTAACCTCTCATCTAAATCTTCATCTTTATTAGAATACAAATTGCATAGAATCTTGAGGACTTGTAGTTCATCAAATTCAATCAATTTTTCTAATCCTTTAATTACATTTAGGTAAATAAATGGTTCTGTGTCTTTTAGTTGAACAAGATGTAAATTAATAACGAAATCTAATGCAATTATAGAACTTTTTGATTCTATTAATTGACGTAATAAATATAACCCATGAGCTCGAATGGGTACTAAAGGATCATTTAAACTTGTAATTGCTCTAGCTAATTGATTTTTCTGTACGTCTAACTCATCAAACACTGGATAATCACCATGTATAATATTTTCAATTCTTGAATGTAATGATTCTATTGATTTTTTGACATTTTGATTCAAATCTGAACTATTAATCAAATTTGATAGTAGTTTATTTAATTTTACAAGTAGTTTTGAACATTTATCATCCACAATTACATCATTTTCAGATAATATAGCAGATAATAATTCTAGTAAAACTGGTAATGTTTCAATTTCTTCATCTTCATCATCTGAATCTTCTCCTTCTTGAATTGTTTGAATACCTTTTTTTGAGTTTAAAAAATTATAAACCATTTCTAACATTGCATCAGGAGTTTGTGCAAGTATATCTTTAAATTTTTCACCAATTGCTTCTAATAATTTTAAATCAATTAATTTTAAAAATGGGTTTTCATCATCTAATAGAGTCTTTTTATTCTCAAGCCAGTTTTTCAAAATTCTATTAAATAATTCCTGAATTAATTCATCATCAACATTTTCCAATAATTTAATAAAACTAGTCACTGAAAAATCTAAATCATTTAAATATTTGTTCAATTTTTGTTCTTTTGTTAAATTTTCAAATTCAATTTTACGTTTAATTATCTGAACCATATTATTTAATCCAATTTCAAATTTCCAAAGATCATCACCATCAGTTACTAAATTATTAGCTATGATTTTTAATCCTGATATATTATCATTATCGAAGTCTTTCATTACTGTGAAATAACTAGTTAATAAATTCGATATAATTTCAATACCTTTTGAATTCTTCTTACAAAATAAATAATAACCCCATAATGAAGTAATAATAGGTTCAATTACGGTTTTATACAATGATGGTTCTAAACCTTTTTTAGTAAGTGATATTAAAACATTGATATTATTATTTAATTGTGCTTCAGTTACTAGTATATCTTTATCCTCATTTTCAGGTTTGAAATTATTCCAAATTCTTTTTAGTATAAAGTCTGTAGTTACTAACTTGTTTGTATTCCATAATTTTTCAATAACGTATCCCACACATGATGTCACATTTGGTCTATTAATATTAATCAAAAGATCATAAAATTGATTTCCTATTGATGTGAAATAATTGATTGTAGATACCAGACTTGGTTTTGTTAAAATTACATTTGCAACATGATCAAATTTTTCAATGTTTATATCTTCATTATCTCTTAAACCTAATACAAATTCAATTAATGATAAGACACCATCTTTCTTTGGTGCATCATAAGGTAATGTTTGTAATCTATTCATGACGAATGTTTTAAAATATGGTGGCAGCGGAGTAGACAATAATAATGAATAAGTTTGAAATAATTCAAAGGTTTGTGGAATGTACTCTATTATCTTGAATCGTTCATGATATTTAGACTTTAGGTTGGACTCAAATTTGAAATATGGTATAGTTAATAAAGAAATTGAAATGACTAAGAAATCTGAGTAACCTGTGCCTTTAGTTAATAAATCAGTTATGTCTGATTTACTACTAAATAATTTAAAAAATTTGTCATACAATAATTGCAACAACTCTTGATGGAACTGTAAATTCTTAGGCAATGTCGTTATTTTAACAGATTTGATAGTGAACTCTTTAAGTCTTCTTTTCTCGAATGGTATACCAATTTGAAAAGTATTAATTACAGGATAAATACCTTGAACAATGATTACATTTATCAATTTACTAAATGTTTTTATATCATGTAATGAAATAGTAATTAAATTCTTTTCCTGCATTAACTTATCATTATTATAAGATTCAATTGAATATTTTTGCAATTCTAATAGATAATCCAATAATTGTTCAATAACCTTATATCTTTTCTTCAATTCGTCATTTATATTATCTTGGAATAATCTATTATATAATACGTCAATTATTATATCTTCATAAGGTAAATCTAATAATTTTTCCAATTTTTCAAATAATATATCAATTGGTTTATTACTTTTGATTTGTGGTTTATTTAAACCTTTTCTTTGGGGATAAATTTCATTTGATGATCTTTTTATAGTTGTCTTTTTAGTAGCAACTTCAAATGGATTCTTTTTAGACGTAGTCTTGTGTTTAATATCTATTTCATCATGGATTAATTGTTCAATTTTTGGAGGTGCCATATAAAATAAATTTGTTTCAGAATTGAGAATTTACTATATATATATATATATAATTATTATATGCAGTACCAGAGATGATTATACAAAATTTATTTATCAATTCAATTATAATCAATATTTCACGCTTAGTGATTAACTGAAGAAGACCAACAATATTAGAAGATGACAGAGGAAGAAACTATAAGTTTAACTTTGACTCAGGAAGAAATGGATTCTGTTATTTATGATGCTAGAGTTGGTGATTTAGAAACTTTAAAAGAAATTTTTGATGAAGTACCACCTAATTTATTATTAACTATTCAAGATGATATTACATTAAGTACAACTATACATATGGCTTCAGCAAATGGTCATTTAGAAGTTGTTAAATATTTATTATCATTATTATCAAAGCAAGATGCTAAAAAATTAATATCTATAAAAAATGAAACTGGAAATACTGCATTGCATTGGGCTTCTTATAATGGTCATCTTGATATTGTTAAATTATTAGTTGATGAGTATAATGCTGATCCTTTTGAAAAAAATGAAGCTGGTCATGATTCTATATTTGAAGCTGAAAATAATAATAAAATAGATGTTGAACATTGGTATTTAGCTAAATATACTCCAGAACAAGATTTTAAAGTTGAAGAAGATGACGAAAATACTAAGGTTACTTACATACCAGGTAAAGAAAGTAAATTAGCTGATGAACAAGCTAGAGATGCCGTATTCAAAGCAAAATTAGATAGAGAAAATAAAGATAAAGATATAATAGATAAAACTGAAAATTTATCTATATAGAAATTAACATTAATATATTAAAATTATACAAATAATTACAACTTCTTTCTTTTACCAATTTGAGCTTGGAAACCAGTTTTAATACTACTTACAGATTTTGTTGAACCACAAGCTTTACATGATAAAAAGTGTAATCTATTTGCAGATTCTCTTTTTAATTCAGTATTCATTGATTTACATGTTTTACATGTAACATATTCAATTATATACCTTCTTAAAACACTTTCCATTTGTTTTGGTTGAAATTTACCTTTTAATACTAATCTTTTTTCTCCATCAATTGAACCTGTAGTACCTAATTCTGCAAATAAATATTGAATTAAATGTTCTGGATTTCTTTGTAATACTGATGATATTTCTTGCACATTGGCAAATAATGTTTTTTTACTACCTTCTCTTTGACAAATTGGAGGAGGTATTCTAAATTTGGGTCCTGATCTATCACCAGCTAATTCTGGATTATTCTTTTTCAATATTGAAAAAAATCTTGATAATAAATCTTCATACTTTAATGTATTATTTAAATTTTCTTGTTCTACATTAAAACCATCATCTTGACTATTATTATTATTATTTATGTTTCCTAATTCTTCAACTCCAGCTTCTTCTAATTGTTGTTCAAATTCATTTAAATCTAAATTTTTAGTGGATTTTTTCTTTTTCTTTTTTAAAGATAAATCTCCTAATGATGCAGTTAAATCTTCATCTAATCCAGGTGATTTTGATTTTTCTATAGACGAGTCTTCATTTGTAGTGGCTGATTTTTTAGTTGACGATTTTTTCTTCTTTTTCAATCCCGTAAATAATTCATCAACTGATGAATCTGTTGGTGGTTGTGGAGTTGATTCTTTTGAATCTAAACCTGGACTATCTTCTGTAGTTGGCTTTTTAACCTTTTTTTTCTTCTTTAAAGTAGTATCAAATCCTAAATCAGACATATTCTTTTCAAATTTGATTCTATTATATTTCGGTTTGAAAAATTTTTAGTCATATAAAAAAATTACTTATTATCAAAACTTGTAATCAATTACACGACCATACAATTTTATTTCGCAACCATCTTCAATATTATTAGACATTGAGACTGTTAGACATCTGTGCTAGAAAAGAAAGAGAAAAAGTATAAGATGTATATTCTTGTAATATATATATTTACTGTGTTTATTTGGTTATTGACCTTGCCTCCCACAGAAATTATAAACTCGTAATCATTCTTTTCAATGGAGAACACCATCTACTAACACCATCATGATTCGTCAAATATTCCACTATTTCCATTTTAATTTTCTTTTGTAGTTCCTTGTCTTTATTCTGTGAATATTCATATATTTGTTGTAATATCTTGAGTAAAAAATCTAAATGTGAATCTAAATCTATTTGCTCAAATTTTCTCTTATATAAATCTAAGTCTTTAGACGAAATTTTGTTATTATAATCTAATGATAGAACTTTATTTAACACCTCTGTATAATCTGTTAAATGTTGGGTATTTAACTTGTCAAATTCATGTCGTATTTTTTCATCACCAGTACTATTCTTTAATTTGAATATATTTGGACAATCATTCCAGCCTTCTATAAAATCTCCTCTTTGATATTTAGTCAAGGTCATAGCTGCTGCAGGAGTAGTATCTACTGAATAACGTTAAAATGTAACATAGACTGTTAAATATGAAATTTTCAAGTTATAAATCATAAACAAAAATAAAAAAATGGTCCACGCGTTGCTACCAATTACATTTGAAAAAAAATATTTTAAATGGTTGCAAAATTTGGCTGCAAAAATAGATAAGAGTATTATGAATGAATGAATGAAAGGTTCCTTGAGCAAACTATTAATGTATATAAGATAGTATAAGATAGTATAGTCACTGTTGTAATTTGCGCCTGGTTTTCGTATCATTAATTGAATTATACTTTTTCCTAGTTATATCCTTTGATTTTTTTGCTAATCAGTACACTGAATCATCCATATTATAAGTGAGTTAACTAATATCATCTACACAAGCTTATTGTTAGCTTAATTATGACCATTTAACTCAACTTAAAAGTAAATCAATCTCTATTAAACATTTAAGCGGCTTGTGATTACATAATCCATTTATTTTGGTTTGTTTACATTTCATAAAATTTGACTTTCCTGATTTGGAATGTTGAAACATCAAAAAGATAAATTTTGTAAAAAATAACCAAGGCAAATAAAAATAGAAACAGCCTTTTATATAAACAATTTATATTGCTATGAGTGTCTATAAAAGATACGTTTCTGGTGAACATGATCAAACCTATTTTGACAAAATAAACAAACAACCAAATGATGAAAAAGATAAAAGAATGATAATAAATCAACTACAGGGACAATTCAACAATCAAAAACGTAACAAAAATTCAATCAAACATGTTAAATTAAAAGATTGGATTCAATCATATTTCAACAATTCAATTGTATTTCAGGGATTTGATTCAATTTTATTCCATGATAAATTTATAATAATCATTAATAATTATCAATCTCATAAAATTTCAAGTATTTCAATTGATAAATTTGGAGTTAGACTATATGAGAATCTCAAACTCAATCCAAATTCTAGATTTTGGCCAAGTTGTGAAAATTTATTACCAAGTTATAAAAACTTGAATTCTAGAAGAGCCTTAGCAATCACAAATTTAAAAGACTCGAGTAAATTAATAAATACTAATGAGATTATGAACTTACCATTATGGGATGAGACAAATGCAGGTAATTTAGCGAATCTAATGAAATTAATTAAACATCAATCACTGAATTATATAGGTTTACAATTATTAAAACTTGGTTTATTACAACAACATAGTTTAAATTCATTATTTATTGATGTGATTTATGATAATAATAATAATAATGAAGATGATAATAATAAATTCGTATATTTGTTAGGAGAACAACTCGAACAATTATTTGATCCATTATTGGAATATTGTCCCGAAAGAGTGCAAAATTCATACGTACCACCAATTCAAACCTCAGTTTCTTCAATTCCAAATAATTCTACAATTCAAAGTATAATTGAAGAATTAATATCCGTTCAGACGAATTATACAATTGGTTTAGTTAATCTATTACAAAATTTTATAATTCCACTACGGATATATATCGTAAATAATAGTAAATCAAGTAAGAATTTAACTAAAATTAATCAAATTTTCCCACCTACAATTGATGAAATAACGAGAATTAATTGTATTTTAAATGATTCATTATTAAAAGCACAAAAGATTAATTATTTACAAGTTTTTAAATCTTTATCTATTATATTACCTCAATTTTATAAACCATTTATAAGACATGAAGCAAATGTAAAAAAATTTGGATCGGAATTGATTAAATTTTATCATCATAATAAAATTGAAATATTTGAAAATTTGACAATTAATGTTAATGGATTATCAATTAGAGAAATTGATTCAATTATAACTGGATCATTATTGGAACTTTCAAAGATAAAATTGATTATTGAGAGATTGATAATTGCAATTGAGTCTGAAAAACTTAAAATTAGAAACTTTGATCAAGATATTAATGATACTAAACAAGATGAAGAAATTGAAAAATATTCAAAAATTATATTTGAAACTATTGATGCATTTGGTTATGAAAATAAACAAGATCAAGAAGTGAATAGAGATCGTATATTCACTCCATCTGGGAAATTTTTAGTTGAATTAGCTACGAAATGGCCCAAAGAATTACAAAATGGTTGGATATCAAGAAAATTAATTGGAATATTTGAAATGGAAAACTTACAATGTGAAACGAAATGTAACAGAGAAGTATTGATTATATTCTCAGATTATTTATTAATTTTAAATATACTGGATCATGAGTATTATGAATCTAATAAAGATATAAGTATTCTGATACCTGACGTGCTTATGCATTCTTTAATAAATGAGAAACCATTGCCTAATATAGATAGATTTCCATCAATGGAGGTTAAAAATTGGTGTTTAATAAATGAAGCCTTACCTTCATCATATGAATGCTTGACTGAGAATCAAGAAATTATAGACTGTTTAAGAATTTTAAATACTACGAAATCAGGATTCAATGCAACAGAAGGTGATCAAGTGTTTACTAAACATTATAAAGTTTTGAATGGTTCAAGCAGTAACGTTATTGATTTGATCATTAAAGCAAATGTATTACATAAAGTATCACCATTTCATTTATTCAAATTCACAGATTCAAATTTAAACATATATTATACTGCTCATGAATGTAGTACATATGTTCAAGAATCAAGTAAATCAAATTATTTAATTTGTTTAAATATGGATATTGACGTGCCTAGTATATTTCAATCCAATCCAAATTTGAGATTTCTTTTACAAATTTCTTTCATTGATGAAGAGAAAGTAAGAGTAACAGGTTATGATAAAATATGTAATAAACAAATTAATGAAGTAATACAAGGCAAAAATTTAAATGAATTTATAAAGACTATGATTTATAAAAATTTCAATGGTTTAGTTTCAACTTATAATGATGTTACTAAGAATTTGATAAAGAGTAATGAAAAGAGTTTGAGATTTATAATTGATTATGTTATTAATGATCAAGTGATTGAGAATGTACATCTTCCAAAGGGAAATAATACTCAATATTCAATATCTGGAGTTTTACATGAATCAAATAAGAATCTAGAGAATAAGAAAGTAGAACAATCAAAAGTTTCACCACCTAAAACTGAAAAGAAGAGAAAATCATTGTTTGGTAATTTATTTAAAGTAAAGCAAGTCAAGATTAATACTTCAAATGATTCAACAAACAATATTCTGCATACGTTTATACCGAGAGGTACCAAGAAAGAATATGTTGATTATTATAAACCAATACCTAAACTTCGAACAAGAGCAGATTCAAATAGTAGCACTATAACCAGACCAAAGGAAGTAAGTAAACTTACATCACTTTTAGGTAAAGAGCAAAGATATAATTCAAATTTAGAAACGATCAATGACAACGATACATCAGTACTACGCAATGAAAAATTAGTTAAATCAAATAATCATGTCACACAACCATCAATTGAAATATCAGAAGGGTTTTCATTCCCTCAGAAACCAATCGAATCAGAAAAACCAACAACTTCATCAACTATCAAACGTATCTCAACATTTGATGATGTTTCCCTTCCTAAAATTGAATGGTTGTTAAATTATACAGAAGCTGATTCTCAACCAAATTGGGAATTAATCTGTTCTAATAAAGTAATTAATCAAAGAACACCAATAATTGAAGAGAAACTTGAATCAAGTGAATCAAGTGAATCAAGAATACCATCAAATCCATCACTGATATTTTCATCAACTCAAAAACAAAGAAAAGTATCACCACCAATGCCAATAATTCAACAACCAAAACGTGAGGAGAGTATTCAATCAATAACATCACAACAATATATAAATCATTTTGAAAAATTTATAAATTTTGAATTTGAAAATGAAAATAAACCAACGAAGAAAGATTTACAGCCATTTCATTCAAATAATAGTATAATTACATTAACTAGTGAATCAGATGGTCATGTTAATAGTTTTACCGATTGTCGAATTTTTTATTCACCAATTGAAGAACTTGGGAAGTTACAACACTTAAATACAGTATCATCGGAAGGAACAATTGTACAAAAGATGGAAAGTACAACACGTCCTGACGATTCAATGAGAGATGAATCAATAATTCAATTGACTGAATCATTAAAAAATTCGGTAAATTTTGGCGAATTTAATATTTATTAATTATTTAAATAAGGTATATTTAATTTCATAATTTCTCGACACATTATAAACCAATCAATTTCTCTTAAATATTGTTGATTATTGTTGTTACTTTGTAATTTCAATTTCTCTTCTTCTTCCCATTTAAATAATTCATACATAAATCTTAAATTTGGTTGAATTATAATATTCAATCTTCTAACTCTAACGTATAAATAAGCTTTAAATAAATTAATTTTTAATCGTTTCATTATTTCAGCAATTACAACAGTTGCTGATCTACTAACTCCAACTCTACAGTGTACTAATATTTTAGTATCCCCATTACTTGAAATATATTCATCATTGATAAATTGTAAAATTTTTGGGAGTTGTTTTAATAATTCATCAATTCCATCATCTTCTAAATTCATAACTTTCATTATTGTAGTTACTGTTGAATTATGATAATTTGATAATTTTTTAGGTTTTATATGAATTAAATCAATATTTTCAGAATAATTTTCAATTGAAATTTCATTAAATTTTTTAAATTTATAACCATTAAGCCAAAATAAATTTTCACCAACTGATATAATTTTTTTGATTCCTATTTTATTTAATAATGGTAAACAAGATGCATGTTTTAAGGAACCAAGATATAAATAAGGTAAGACTTTAGATGGTAATGATCCTTCAACTTCTTTAACCCAATCTATTTCTGTAATTAATTCATTTTCTGAATCTGATTCAGAACTTTCAGAACTTGATTCATTATCAATATATCCAAATTTAGTATTATCTAATTGTTTTTTAGGTGGGCCTAATAAAATTTCATTAATCTCTTGACTTGATAGTTCTTCAAGATTTGACCATTCAATTTGAGAATTACTACTTTGTGGTGAAAATTTTTGTAGTAGCGGTTCTAATTTCTTTAGTATTATAACATCACTATTGAATAAATAAAATGGACGACCATATTCTAAATGTATTTTTAATAATGCTTCTTCTAATGATATGTTTAGTGAGTATATCAAGTAAAAAATCATCAATAATGAATTTTCAGTATATCCATCTGAACAATAAATTAAACAACTTAAATCTTTAGTTGAATTTGAAGACGAATATAAATATATCAATTTGCATGTATTTATAATTGATTCTAAATTTTCTTGTTTACAATCTCCAATTCCAATAGATCCCGAAGGAGGAAATTCTAAATGATGAAATTGAGATGATGATTCTCTTGAAGAGATAGTATATTTGAATAATAAAGTTTTTAAAAATGATAAATTTGGAAATGAAGCATCTGAATGACATTGAATTAATAATCTCCAATTTGCTTTTGGTGTAGGTAAATAATCCATATAGTTTGAAGTCATAGTAGTTAATAAAATTGAATTTTTATAATCATTATATAAATCAATTAAATTATTACCTTCTATTGGTACTACCTCTTTATCATTTAAAATATAATGCATTATAATTTGATGATCCCAAAAATTTCCAATCCATACATTTTTATAAATTTTAGTAGCAGTTGACATTCTTGTAGTTTCAATTTTTTCATTAATTTGAAAATTATTTTCCCATATTAAATTCGAATCTGATTTATAATTTAAATTGTTTAAATCAATTTTACAAAATTGAAAATAATTTTTTAATGGCAAAATTGATGATAATTGAACTGGTTGATATAAATGATTTAAATTATCCTTTAATATATAAATATTAAAATTTGTATTTGTTGTTATTTCTGAAGATTTTTCAAAATTTGCTTCATTAATTTGAGCAAGATATAATATTCTAGCCATTGATTCAATTTTGTTATAATCTTCACCATAAATTATAAAATCTGAACATGTAGATAATTTAGCAACTTGAATATGAAAATTTCTTAATGAAATACCTCTATCTGGATCTAAATTTAAAAATTTAGGTAGTACATTTAATTTTATACAATCTAAAGTTAATAAATCTATTAATTCGGAATTATTACTATGTAAAGTGTAAAACATTTCTTTTATAATATTTTTAATTTCTAATCTTGAAACATCTATTTTTTGTAAGATTTCTGATAATTTAACAGTATTTCGTAAATTAATAGGTAGGGTTTCGTCAGTAACACACATCAAAAATTTGACATTATTAGGTTTCAGTAGACTATAATCTGAAAAAACATCATAGTTTGATGTATTGTTATTTTGTAAATGTTGCTGTCGTTGTTGTTGTTGCATTAAAAAGAATGATTTTTGAGCAAAATTATCTTTATGTAAACCATGAAGCCATGGGAACATATCATTTGTTTCTGGTAATCTTGAATTAAAATAATAATCAAAAATTAAATTCAATTGTTTTAAATTTATTTCTTTCATAGGTAGTTGTAAATTTGAAGTTTCTTTTGCAAAATATGTTGGTAAAGATTTATGAAAAGCTGATGACGAGTCAAGAATATTTCTATTAATTATATTTAATTTTGTAGTTTTAAAACTTATATCATCACAACATTCACATTCTGAATCTTGATTAAAACTTTTTATTCTTGCTCTAAATCTATCTCTTTCATATATTAAATCATTCGAAGATGAAGATGATCGTTTATATGATTTAGTATAATCTGATAAATTAGTTAATGATGATGATTTTATATTATGGTCTATTATTGGTTTTGTAGGTATTGGTTTATAAATTGCTGTTGAACTTGAATTGATATCTAGATTTTTGGGTATAGTGGAATCTGTAGATGTATTTGAAGTGGTTGTAGATTGAGATGGAGGAGGCGACGGAGTTGGAATTGGATTTGAAGTGGATATTTTAGTACTCATTAAAAAATTGAATTATTTCAAATGAAAGTAAGTAAGTTGAATTATAAAGTTTCAAGCGTAATAAGTGTTTATGTCAATTGTAAAATTGTAAATTATAAATGTTTATGAATATCTGTTATTGTTATTGTTGAAATAAATTTGAAATAGTATAATGTTTCTAATTTTTAAAAATAAGTTGAATTAATTGTTGAGTGATATAGTATCCTTGTTACTACCAGTTATTGAGTTGAATGTAAACTGTTATTCAATGTATATATGTGTTGATGTATAATATAGCCCTTCGTTTATAATTAATTACTTATTTATTTGGTTTCCATTTTTGATAAGAAAAGAAAAAATAAAAAAATAAAATATTATGTAATATCATTACTTTTGATTATGTAAGCGATAACTACTTACTACCGATCAATTTTTTTCGCTAGTATAATTACTAGTACGAATTATGCTGGTACGAAGTGGTACGAAGTGGTGCGAAGTGGTAATTACTAGTACGAATTATACTAGTACGAAGTGGTATGAAGTTACGTATTATTCAAAACTTGTGTATGTATACTCACTGTTTTGGATTGGTATAAAATAGAGCTAAACGATAAGATTTTCCCAATTTTGGTACGTATTCCCATTGATTATTTTTGATTTATGTATTGAGTCGTTTAATATTACACGATGCAAGTTTATTGTTATGGAAAACTTGAGATCGTGCCTTTGGATTTATTTATATATATATATATTGATTGCAAAACCCGTTGGATCTATTTTTGCAACCAAATTTTTCAATTTTTTCATTTTGTTTTTTACCAAAGTAGTAACCAGAACGCAATAAACGCGATTATAATAAATAGTTGTTACTGAATCTTTTCTGTATTCTTACGATCAAGCTTATGTATATCATGGTTTTTTTTTTCTTCCATACATTATTGATTTTTGAAAATATTGAAAGTAGTAGTTATTATGTAATAAAATTATGTAATAAAATTATGTAATACTATTATGTAATAATATTATGTAATAATAGCGTGATCATTACATAAACATATGCTTCGTAAATTTTGAAACCAAATTTTATCAAACAAAATATATTTTTCATTACCAACAGATCTTAATTGAAAAATGTCACTAGCTGGTTTACGTAAACAATTAGATAATTTCAAGATTGATAGGATAACGATCGGTATCAAATCCAAACAATTTATAAAATGGAGAATTAGTGATTTATTTCTCATTATAATTTTAATCATCATATTTTTCACCGTCCCTAATTTCAAACCTTTTCATAGATTATTTTATCTTGATGATAAAAGGATACAATATCCATTTGCAGAACATGAGACAGTTACTACCTTTCAATTATTTTTATATTCAACATGGATACCATTAATTATAATAAATATATTCTCAATTTTATTCACTTCATTAAATTATAAAATTTATCTCAGTTATATAATATCACTTGGTCTATTATTAAGTGTCATTCTAACTTCAGTGGTAACTGATATTTTAAAGAATTTTTTTGGTAGACACAGACCTGATTTTTTGGCACGTTGTTTACCAAAAGAAGGTACTCCAACAGATGTATTAGTTTCAATTGATGTTTGTACACAAACTGATTCAGGTATATTGGAAGATGGATTTAGAACAACTCCTTCTGGACACTCCTCTATTTCATTTGCTGGTGGTGTATTTTTAACATTATTTTTAATAGGTCAATTACAATCCTTGAATACAAAAGTAGGTACTTTAAGATTTATAATTTGTTTTATACCTACTTTTTGTGCTTGTTTAATTGCATTAAGTAGAACAGAGGATTATAGACATAATTTTATTGATATTTTTGTTGGTTCATTGATTGGTATAACTATTGCAACTTATAATTATTTTAAATTATTCCCTAAATTAACAGATTCAAAGAGTTATTGTACAAAAATTATGATTGAAGAAATGAAAGATGATAGTAAACAAAATATTGAAAATGAATTGGAATATACAAGACTTGAAAATGTATAAATTCAGGATTTTTCATTACACTTCAATATCCCGTATTGAAGATTTTATTTAATGACTTCTTTATTTATTATTCAGGGTTAAGGATAAGGATACCTTCGCTTAAGGATTTTACAGACCATACGTTAATTAATAAATAAATACTTTCATTTTTTTTACCTAATAATTTTCATTGTTTATTAAATAGTCTATATTTACATTAACGTAGTTCTACCTCCAATTTCATTACTTGGAGTACCACTAGGCATATTCCCATCTCTTTCATTTATAAATTGTTTATATATTTTTTGTAATTTTGTCATTTCAGATTTTGAAATTGAAGGTTTTGTTTCTTTTAAAGATTCGACGAAATTTTTACAATTTATTAAAACTTTAGATTTTGAAATTGAATCTTGTTGTTTTTTTATATCCTCATTATTTTTGTTTTCATTTTGTAAAAATTGTTTAATTTGATTTAATAGTTGAATTCTTTCAACTGGTTTCATTTTCTTTGAATCATTTGAAACTTTAAAAAATTCAATTGAATCGTTAACACTATCATTATTTGTTTCCTCTTTTTTTGAGTTCTCCAATTCTTCTAAAGTTACATGAACAGCTTTCAAATATGCATTATATGCTAATCCTTGCATATCTGCACCACTAAACCCATGTGTCTTTTTAGCAATTTCTTCAAGATTAACATCATTCGATAAATCCATTTTTGAAGTTATACTTTTTAAAATATCTAATCTATCTTCATAATTTGGCATATCACAAATTACAGATTTATCTAATCTACCTGGTCTCAATAATGCACTATCTATTAAATCTGGTCTTGAAGTTGCTGCTAATACATAAACTCCATCTAAACCTTCTGCACCATCCATTTGAGTTAATAATTGATTTACAACTCTATCTGTTACCCCTGTAGAATCATGACCTCTTTTTGGAGCAATTGAATCAAATTCATCAAAGAATAAAATACATGGTTTTGCTGCTTGTGCACGTTCAAATAATTCACGTACACTTTGTTCAGAAGCTCCAATATATTTATTTAAAATTTCGGGACCTTTGATGGAAATAAAATTTAATCCACATTGTCCTGATATTGCACTTGCAAGTAATGTTTTACCACAACCAGGATATCCATATAACAATATACCTGATCTTAATCTTAATGGACAATTTGCAAAAATTGGTGCATATTTAGTTGGCCATTCTAAAGTTTCAAAAAAAATATCTTTAGCTTGTTTCAATCCACCAATATCTGACCAATTTATAGTCAGTTTTTGTAATTTAACATTTAATAAATTTGATGGTGTAAAATTTTTTAATCCATTTTCAAAATTAGTCGTTGTTAATTCTAAATTATCATTGAATAAATAATCATGATAAATTCTATCACATAATATTTTTAAATCATTTGGTAAATAACCTTCTGTTTCACTTACTAAATCCATTAAATCAATTTTTTTATTCAATTTTAATCCTAATTGTTCTACTAAATAACTTTGAAGTATTTCAAATCTTAAATTTTTATTTGGTGATTCCAATTTAAAAAAATTTTCAATTAAATGTGAACTTAATAATAATTTATTTATCAGTTCTTTTGAAATTGAAGTTAAGAGTATTGATAAATTCGAATTTTTTTGATTATAAATCTTTTCCAATTGTGAAATGAAAAATTCAGTGATTTGATTTGATTTTGAAGAATCTCTATTCTCCCTTTCATTCGACATTAATTTATCAACATTATCCAACACTAAAATTGATGGTTTATTCCATTGACATTGTTGTAACCACTTGATAATATGATTTTTTGATAAATTTTGGAAATTTTCATTCATTAAATTTTCACAACTTATAAATTTGATATAATATCCATAATCTTGATATAATTTTTCAGATATAAGTTTAATTAATAATGTTTTACCACTTCCTGAATTACCATAAATCAAAGAACCAGTGTTTTCAGTAGTGGTAAATGATTCAATAATTTCATCAACTAAGGAATCTAAACCAATTGCATTTTCATTAGTTGCAATTTCTCTTTCTTTCTGTTCTATATATGATGTTGGTTTTAATATATCATCACCCAATTCTAATTTTATTGGTTTTTTCTTATTTAATGAATATGGTTTAATCCAAGCATTTACATCATCATTTTTTCTAAATTTTAATAATCCACCATTTGGTAATATATTAGGTATGATTGGTAATTTCAAATTATTTGTAATTATTAATTCTGATAAATGTGGATATAATTCAGTGGTTAATTGTTGTAATAATTTATTATTTTTAGTTGTATTTATCTCCTTTGATTTTTTGGTTTGAGTTATGTATGGATATATAGTCAATGTAGTTGGTCGTTTTGATAAATTTTTAATTGCTGGTTTTAATACAATTATATTTCCAATTTGATTTTCAATACCTAATGCAATTGCTAATCTTGATGAAATACCAATATTATCAACTGTTTTATAATCCACTATCTTTGCAATTATCTTTTTATTTTCCTTTAATTTTGCTTGTTGCTCTTCATCTACTACTTTACTTGGTTTATCATTTGGACCAGGGACAATAGAAACAGCAGCATAATAATCTGAATTTTTAAAATCAATGGGTAATTCATCAATAGACATGTAAACTTCATATTGATCATTATTAAATTCAAATTTTTTATGAGGCAATGAGATTCCTCTTTTCAAAATCAGAAACGAATTTGAATAATCTTCTTTTATAGTATTACTTATAACTGAACTTGAATCTTTTTTACTTGAACTTGTTTCTTTTCTTAACTTTGGTGCAATTGCAATTTCACAATATGGACTTATTTTACCATATAAATGATCAGTTGTACCTAAATCAGTGACTAACAATTTTGCACTAGTTGTTGAACTTGGATAAACAACTAAAATTTGATTTAAAGCAACACATCTAGTTTGACTTAATAATTTATCTTCTATTGATTGCGCATGCAACTCAACTAATTCCCAATCTGAACTAGTTAAAGGCTCTAATTGAATATTGGTAGACTCATAGTTGTGTAATTTTAAATTTACGATAATTGATGTTGAATCTGATAAATTTATAGATTGAGCAAAAATTGGATCAATTTCTAAATATTGTAAATTTGAAGATGACATACCTGACCAACCAGCATAACATTTCTTATTCTGATTGACAATTTCTATTATAACATCTTGAACTTGAATATTTGCAGTAAATAATAAATTGGTTAAATTTGATGGTAAATTGACCAAATTTGATTTTAATGTCTTATATGATATTTTAGCTTTATGATTATCCATGATGAATCATATACTATATGAAAAAGAACCAGTTGATGGAAAGAGTTATCAAAGAAGTTTCAGATTATTCTTTTGGGAAGTAAATTTGAAAAAAAGCGGGGGGGAATGTGAAAAAAAAAAAAAAAAAATACCGAGATGAAAATTGGACCAAAATTTCGTATGAGTTTAACACGACTGGAGTGAAAGCTCTCGGCCAATACTTGGCATCAAACTATGGCCTCGGATGCGCATAATATACGAAAAGAGTTGCAATTTAGACTGTTTATGGGACCAAAATTTCGCATGAGTATAACACGAGGCGAACAAATACTCTCGGCCTACAATTGGTATCAAACTATGGCCTCGGATACGCATAATATACGAAAAGAGTGCAATATAAACTGATATCGATATCTTGAATTAAATTAATAATAAAATATAAAAATGGTAATACTAAATAAAAAACTAACTTCTATATATATAATTTCCTGTTGAAGAATTGAATAAAATTAGATTTTCTCTTTTAAATAAATCATTAAGTCGTTAAAAGTTGGATTTTAACTCAATCTTGTAAAATATACTATGTTGGGTAGTATATTGTTTTAATTGGTATATTCAAATTGAATATTTGAATCCAAAATTGATCTTTTTTTAATTGATTCTAGTAAATCAACGTTTTTTTGTTCATTTTGTTGTAAGATTATTGATTTTAAACATTTATTTTCCATTTCCATAGTTTTCAATTTCTTTTCTAATACTGATACTTTTTCTTCCAAATCTCTTGATTTTTTTTCCATTTCTTGTTCTTTTAATTTTTTTTTAATTCTAAATCTAGCACTAGCTGCTGTATTTCTTTTTCTTTTATCTTCAGCTGCAGCAAAATGAGCAGTGAGCGGAGTTGAATTAGATGCTGGTGTATTCACACTTGATGGAGTTGATATAACTGAATGTGATCTTTTAATACCTGTATTTGGTTGAGTAATTTCTTGAGGTGGTGATGGATGTAAAAATTGATAACCAGCTGTTGGTGAATAAAAGTTATTTTGAGGTTCTACTTCTTCTTCCTTAATTACTGGTTTAATAGGTTTGATTTCATTATTATTCAAAACATCTAAATCAAAGAAGTCATTAGCTGCTTTACTAAATAAATCTAAATCTTGCTGTAATTGATCTTGATTTAGATTTGGAGATACATTATTATTTAATGAATCAAAATCTAAATTTAAATTTTGTAAATAATCTGATTCAAAATTCATTTGTTATAAGTAATTAGTTTGATAATTTGAATTAATCAAGCGAGAAACAATATTGAGTCAAAGTTGAAATTGTATTGGTTGTAAATTTAAAAAGAATGACAATGACGGTGGTTGTAAATTGTAATATTATTGTATTATATTAATTGTATCACGTTTCAATATGAAATATAACAAATCACTTGTAAATATGTAAGAAAGGAGAAACTTCTGATGAATATATAAATATATAAATATATATATATGGAATGGAATGTTAATGCAAATGCAAGTGTACAACGTTTTCTCTATAAATAAATTGAAAATTCTTTTTGACTCAGTTTTATATTTTTTGCTTAAGAAAAAAAAAAAAAAAAAAAAATTTTCAAAGTTTGCTTACTAATATTATATGCAGGAATCACCTGGACACTACCACTTTAAAACTATTGAAAGTGTTCAATCACCAAAATTCTTAGCATATAATGTGGGCCCCACGAGTATTATAATACGCTCAAACTATAAGATTTGATATAGTTGAGCTTGCGCTGTTTGGTTAGTTGAAAATTAAAGCTCACATTGTAGCAGATGAAAAAATATCATTATTAGTAATACTGGACTGGACTTCATCGGTCATAGCCTGATTCTGTAAGATTTTGTGTTCCAAATAGGATGTAGTTATTATAATTCTAAAAATCATATCATAGACCAATTAAATTGCTGCATTTGAATCTTGGATCACTTCTGGTACAATACAGTACAAAAAAAAGGCCAATAAACGGGCCCTCGAAAATTAGTTTGTTAAAAGTGCTGATTTCCTAATAGGGTAAGTAGTGTAGATCTTTCTATTCTTTAGCCGCGATGTTTTTTGTATGACTAATCTCGTTTCACAATTTTTACACGACACTTTGGGGTCACAAGATAAAATCGGTTAAATATTTAACCGGTAGATTTTAAATATAGATTTTAATTATAGATTTTAATTATAGATTTTAATTATACATTTCTCATTTTTTAACTATAAAACTAATTCAATATCAAATTCAATTGTTTTAATTAATTTGTCCATTTCTCCCAAATCTCTATATGTACTTTTTGCAATTATTTTTTCTTGTTTTGCCTTTTTGTTGATTTCTTCTTGTATATTTAAATCTTTCATGGCTTTTTTATTTTGTTCATCAATTAAATCTTGATAAAACATTCTTGTTGTTGTTTTTAATCTACTAAAAGGATCTCCACCATTGTCAAGGTCTTTTGAATCTATTGAATGACTTTTTATTTCAGCTTTTCTTATAATTTCATTATTTAATTTTCTATTTCTTTGATTAACTTTTGTCATTACATCCAATTGTTTTGAATTTGAATTTTTAATTTGATATTTCTTTAATACTTGTTCAATTTCTTTTAATTTATCAAGTGTTTTTTTAGCTTCAATCAAATTACCTTGTTGTTTAAAAATTTTATATTCATCATTTAATTGTGCATTTAATTTAACAGCTTCATATATTTTATAGTCACCCTTTTGCTGTTGAATTTTACGTTTTCTTTCAATCATTTCATTTATATCTTGATCTGAAAGACCTTTTTCAAAAAATTCTTTTATATTTTCAAATCTTTCTTCAACATCTTCTTTATAATCAATTCTTTCATTTGTTTTTGATAATTCTTTCAAATATCTTTCAAATTCATCTTTTGATATTGGTGAATCTGAAAATATATTTATTGGAAATAATTTCTTTTGATTTCTATTTTGTGAAACCCATATATATAAATCTGTTTTATTTGAATTATTAGCTATTCTATAAGCTCTTTCTGGTTTTAATTCTATATTAATTATTTTAACCATTCTATATAATGGTTTTTTAGTTTTTTTATCAATACCTAAATTTATTCTACCAAATGTATCAATTAATAAATCAAAAAATTTAGGATGAAAACAATATTTAGCTAAAACAGTTCTACCGACTCGTAATTTATTTATATCTTCTAATGTACTTGGTTCTCTCAGTCTTCTACTTGGTATTTTGGATTTACCACCCCATGTTACAATTCCATCATCATAATCACTTTCATCGGTTACCATTTCTTCATCATCTTCATCCGGTAATTCGTCAACATCACTTTCTTCTTCATAATCGTCTTTACTTCTTCTTGTCTTTCTTCGATTTGCTTGTTCTCTTTGTTTCTTTAATTCGTTTAATTTATCATTACGTACATCTGCCTTGGTACTAGTTTTACTTCTACCAGAACTTCTTGTTGGTTTACTTGGTAACTCAGGTTTTTTCAATTGTTGATTCTTCATCATTCTATCCCTTTTCATTCTTTCTTTTAAATATTTCTTTTCATTATATCTTTCCATTTCTTGTGATCTTTCATATAATATTCCTTCCTTTTTAATTTCATCCATTGATTCTAATAAATATCGATCTTCTTCATTTTTATATTTACCTTCTAATGGATAAGGATTAATCAATTCATCTTCTTCTATATCTTCTGGTGCATAATCGTCTGATTCATTATCTTCTTCTAATTTTCTACGTTTTGATAACACCTGGTCATCATCTTCATCTTCATCTTCATCTTCATCATAATTTGATTTTCTTTTACTTGTACTAACTTCAATTTCATCATCGTCACCTTGATCTGGTTCATAATCATCACCTCCAGCTAATGCTAATAAATCTTCTTCTAAATCAGACATGGTTAATTTATTGTGTGTTGTTTGATATTATTTCGAGTGCGTGATTATCAATGCGTCGCAAATTATCGCCAGACACAAAATGCGACACTGATATTTGGTAGCCCTTGAAAAATAATGGATTCACGTGAGAGGCGAATACGATAAAACTACAATAATAAAGAAGAACCAAATGAATTAAGGAAATCAATCAATGAAGATGATAATAAGTTGATCTAACTCTCATTGACTCTAGTTGATTTTCATCCTGTCTAATTTTGTAATGACATGTATTGTATAAATTAAAAATTAAATAACCTATTAATCATATCACCCATGCAAACTAAAAGTACACATAATTAATAAATCCCAATTTTGTTTCGTTTGTAATGTTGATGTTTGATAGAATTGTAAATGTATGTTTGAGTTGATATAAATATGATTTTATGATTGAATAATAAATTTATCTTAATCTTCTGGCTTCTCTTTCTGATTCCATTAAACATAAGATATCATTTTCTCTGACTGGACCTTTAACGTTTCTAACAATGGTTCTTGATGAATCTTCTAAGAATTCAACTCTAACTTGAGTAACACCACCTCTTGAACCGGTTCTACCTAAGACTTTAATAACTTTAGCTAAAGTAACTGGAGTTTTAGTGTCCTAAAAGTATCTTGTTAATATTTGAATTCATGAACAATAACTATTGAAGCATTATAGTACATACCATATTTGATTATATTCTAATTTGATGTAAAAGAATGAAAAAAGAATTTGAAAAAAATTTGAAGATGATGGAAAAAAAAAAAAAAAAAGATCGTGAGAGTGGAACGAGCCTATATGCAGGATATTGTACTAGACTGAAAAATTTGAAACTTTTCTAGCAGGGTTATGTTAATACTGCTGCAAGTATGAGTTCCAGAGTTAGAGAACAGACTAATGGAGAGTGTCAGAGATTATTATTTGGTGTTAGCAATTTTATATCCGTTGATTATTCTTTCAACATTCTCAAACGTTTCATCGTTTATTAAAATAACAAATTATCTGATAATATCTTCTTTTCCTTATCTGTTAATTGATTATAATAATTTTCAAAATTACCTAAATTTTTCATTGTACATTCTTTGAAAAATTCCAATAACAAACCTTTTAAACTCTCATCTTGATCATGTTGTTTTTCATCATTAATATAACTTTTCAATTTTTCAAATGTAGGTATTGACATTTCATCTACGTCTTCCCAACCATCATCATCATCATCATCTCCTTCTTGAACTTCTTGTTGTAATTCTTCATTTTCTTCTTGTATATTGGTTTGTTGAAATTCCAATTCTGCAATTAATAATTTTAAAATCTTTAACGGAGCTGAAATTGTTTCATATTTTAATTCTTTTGCTTTTGATCTAGTTATAATTAAATCTTTATCAAACGGTAATGGATCTCCTTGAACCATTATAGTTTCAATTATTGATGAATTTAATGAAAATATCTTTGCTAATGCTAATGTGTTCATTTTAATATTTTCAAATCCTCTTGTTACTTCATAAGATTCAAACCAAATAGGTAATATGACTTGTAAACTTGATTGGTTTTCAATATTCATTGAATTTAAAAAATTGATAATTTCTTGAGGTGATTTTAATACTAATTGACAAAATACCATAATTAAATTTTCAATAGTTGGAACTTCTTTAGCGATTACTAATCTATCAACTGTCATTTTTAAAATATGTGATAAAATTTTAATGTTTATAAAATTTGAAAATTTTGAAAATAAAGATTCAACCAATAATCCAGATTTATTAGCAGCAGAATCTGATAATTCAGGTGATAAAAATTTATAAATTATATTCATTAATATTGAGATATTTGTTTCTGAATTAAAATATGGATATGATTTTTGAATCAAATCATTAAGTACTTCACCACCATATTGTAAAATCTGATCATCAATAGCATTTAATAAAATAGATTCCAAGACTGGAAATATATAATTAAATATTGATTCTGGTAACTCTTCAGTTGGACATGATTTTATAACTATCCCTAAAAATTCCAATGCAAGTATTAAATCTGAATTATATTCATTTTTACTTTCTTTAATAATATTTATAATCATTGGTAATGATTTTTCACAAATATTTATATAATTTTCAATATTAACGTCTGATAATAATGTAATTAAACAATCAGATGAATCTGAAACTAGTTGAATATTATGAGTGTCTTTAAATGAAATTTTAAAAATTAAATCAATTGTATCATTAGAGGTTGCTTCATTAGGACTAATTATAATTGCTTGATTGATAGCTTCCAATAATACTGGTAATCCATCTTCATCACATTCATCAATTAATGAATAAACAATTTGAAATATTTTTGTTTGAATTGAAACATCCAACTCTTTGAAACTTAAAACTTGATTAAATGGTAAACAACTTACTAATGCAGACACTTTGATAAATGGTGTACTCTTTTCAGCAAATAAAATCATATCTATAAATACTTGTTTTGCGTGATTATCTGAAAATTTCTCAAAATATTTTGGCAACAATATAAAAACTCTTGATGTAACAATTGATTGATCTTTAATAAATTGGGTTAATATGTTTAAATTTGGAGCATTTTTTATTTCAGCATCTCCACTCATTAAACCTTCTAGAATATATAATTCAGATTCCAAGATTCTCCAATTTTCACAATTTAGATTGTTTATAACCTCATTAAAGATCAAATTTGCATCAGATTCATTTAAGTCATTTAAGAAATCAAGTGCTGATTCTCTTATATTTACATCAGTGGATAAACCAGAAATATCACTTACATAAGTGTTCAAGTCAGCTTCATATTGTTCAATTTTTTCATTTGGTAAAATTGAACAGACTATCAAATCTTTAACAAACAAAGTATTACCTATTGAAATATCATGTTGAATACATGCAATTGTATTTAAAAGTTCAGCGATTACATTTTTATATTCCATTAAACCTTCTTCTGAACTTAATGCCTTTTTCTCATAAACTGGTGCAATATTAGATAAATCACTCAAAGAAATTTTCAAAATTTTGGACTTCAAGTCAAGATTGATTTTCTTATGAAATTCTCCAATTAGAATTGCAATTACTCTATAGATTGAACCTTTCAATATAGAATCACAATTTGTTAATAAATTGATGAAAATATTTAAAACTTGGTTCACATGATTTATAACAAATTGTTTTCTTTGTAAATTATTGAATGCCTCGGGACTTTTGAGTATGTTTAAAACACTTTCATATAACGCTATAGCTTTTATTTTTATTTCATCAGTTAAATTAGCATTTAATATGTTGTTCAACTGATCAGTAATTTGACTACATATTCCACCTTCCCAAAATTGTTCTTCATTAATAAAATCATCAAATAAATCATTTAAAACTTGTAAACCTCCCAAAACATTATTTGAATTTTCAAAATTAATAGTCGCTAAATATAAATCATTTAATAAACTTGGCCATTCATCAGGAAAATCACTGTATGCAATTTGAGTAATACAATAAGCACTTCCATTTCTTAATTTTGATTCAAAAGTATTTAAAGCTAAATCCATTAAATTTTTCCTTATAATTGTTTTAATCTCTTGATTTATAGGCGGTCCTATAAATGAACCAAAACTTAATGACCAAAATTGTGGTACAATTCTTCTTAAATTTAATAAACATGATTGCCTGATATCAGTTGATAAATTTGAATTACATGCTGATTCAATTAAATGAAGTGATATATTTGATGGATCACATTTCAATAATGAATTGAATTCCAATTCTGATGATTTTCGAATATTATTATCAGGGTTTGTTAAATTGATTATTAAATTTATTGAATCTGACATTGATGTATAGAAAAATGAAGAATGAAAATTAATTTGCGCTCTGCAAATGTAATATACAAAACTCGTCTAATATTAAATTCATTAATTAATTACATAAATTTAAACACTAATTATTTCATTGAACTGTTCTTATCTATATTATCTATATGCTCCATTTTTGGTTTTTCAATATCTTCATGTGAATCTCTATAAGGAGTTTTCTTTTCAATTGCAACAACTTTCCATGGTTGATTAACTGGGCATTGATTAAATATAAAATCAATCTCTTCCAAAGTTCTACCACGAGTCTCTGGATAAAATATATAAGCAGTTATTCCCATTAAAAAGTTAATACATGCAAAAACACAATATGTATAATATTGAATATTACCAAACATAATTGGAGTGACCATCACAACCATAAAATTAAAAATCCAATTGCAAGCAGTTGATAAACCAGCAGTAGCAGCTCTTAAACCTAATGAACTAATTTCTGGAGGATATAGCCATGCACATCCTAAATATGACATTCCAAATACTGTATTAAATGCAAACAAAAAGAAAGCAGCAGCAATTCCTGCTTGAGTACTTGATTCACCACGATCAATTTTTACTTGAGCTTGCCAACCAGCAATTGTTAATGCCATCATAACTAATGCTTGACCAAAAGCTCCCCAAACCAATAATCTTCTTCTACCGAACCAACGATGTTCAATAATAAATATACCAATAATTGAAGCTAAAAAGTATTCAGTACCATTACAAGCAGCTAAAATTCTTGAAGTAAATGGACTCATATGAACATATTTCTCAAAAATTGTTCCTGCGTCTGAAATAGTTAGTATTTATATCTCAAAATCAAAATGGATGATTAAAAAACATACAATACTGGGATATAGTTAGTAACGTTCTAAAACAGCACTGAATAATTGATACGTACGGTAATTAGATTAATTCCTGTTATTTGTTGAAATATTTGACTCCAGCAAGCCAAACTTAAACGATGGAAATTTCTCGCTGGACCTTGTCTGCATAATTCCACAATATTGAACCCAACACTTTCACTTCTTTCCAATTCTAAAGCACTTTGGATCTCAGCTAATTGATCATTAATTTTTTCATGGTCTTCTGATAATCCATATACAGCTGAGAATATTATTCTTGCTTCTCTAACTCTTCCTTTACCCATTAGCCATCTTGGTGATTCGGGGAATTTAAATACAAAACAAATTAATGCAATCGGGAAAACAACTTGAATAATGATAGGTATTCTCCATGCAATACCATGAGGATCATTAGATGTCTTTGTGATAAAATAAAATCCAAAATCTATCCAATAAGAAATTGCAATACCAGCAGTAATCAAACTACCTTCCATCATGATTAATCTACCTCTTGATTTCGCTTTACTCAATTCTGCTGACCAAACAGGTACAGTAGCAGTTAAAAATCCCGTTCCAAAGCCTGTAACAACTCTTGCAATTGCCAAATGTGTAATTGTAAATGCAGTAGCTTGTAACACAGCACCAATAATAACAATTACACAACCAATAAACATTAATTTTAATCTGCCAAAATGTTCAGCTAAAAACACTGTTGACAATGCAGTTACACAACATCCTATTTCATAAATACTAATAACAGTTCCTTGTAAAGTCGCAGAATGTCTTGTGTTTTGAGATATACTTGGAAATTGTCTGGTAAATGAAGTTAACGTCAATAAGGACCCCTAAAAATGTTAATATTCAAACTGATTAGTTGAAAACAATGACAAATTCATACCATAACCCCTTGATCATAGCCAAATAAAAGAAAGCCCACAGCTCCGAATGATGAGATTGCAAGGTTCAAGTGGGTACCACTCATACCCAAAAATGTATGAATTTTACCTGGTTCTTCAATGGATGATGACGCAAACTCATTTTCATAATTATCTAACTTAGTAGGTTCTTCAATTGAACTTGATTTGTTCGAAGATAGTTCAATAGTTGGCTTTTCCAACTCTGATTGACTCATTGATGGTTAATCGATGTAAAAATTTTGTTTGCAATAGCATCTTAATTTATATCTTCTGGATCTTCATGTATGAAATCTTATGGAGAATAGTCAATAGTAAACTATAAACATCTTAACGTATGATATCATGAATTTTTCACAACTTGCATCAATTAACTATAATTGTATAAACATTCGGCGTTTTGAGCATTTTTGAAAAAGTCCCGTGCGAGATTCCTATTCTTGAATTACTGAATGTAATTCCATCTCACATACAAAGTATCCACCATACAAAGTATCCACCATACAAAGCAGCAGCAAAATTGGAACCTAATAGTGAATCTGCCATGTCATCTTTGGGTAATTCTTAAGTTTCAACTTTGACATATTTAAGAACTTTTGGCACGATCAATTTTCTTTTTTAGTCCTTCTATTCGAAAGGTCGAAAGGTGGGGATACGAAAAAAATTTTAGGCGCTAAATTAAAGCAATTAAAGCTAAAAAATTCACACGTACAGTTTTCAGTTCTAATTGTTAATCATTTAGATTTCATGAATGATCTTCATGATAATTTAGGTTCTTTTGTGCAAGAAATGTTATTTTTAGATTCTAATTAAACTCTAGAAGGAAATAATTATTACGTCAGTGAGTAAAATGAGTAGACCCTTCTTCTTATGAAGATTCCCCGTGTACTTCTAAGTTTTACTTATATCCATCAATTTGGTATTTAAATGCAAACAAACCAAATGTTGAAATCAAATCATTCAATTTTCGAAATGCCTATTGTTATTGTGGAAAAATTTTCATGCTTCCCCAGCTTTTAAAAAAGGATTGTTTGAATTTAACACATGGTACTTTAAGTAATTGTTTACCTTTGTTCTTGTTTTGCAGCCAAACTTCATAATTCGAAATTAAGTTTTTTAACATTCCAACACGATTTACAAAAATAGATTCACGTTGCATTTAAATTTAATCGATCGATTTAACTTTCTATCGGAGACGTTTCTCTTGAATTTTACATAACTACATACATACTTTCTGATTGAGTTTTGAAAATTTTGAATAGCTGCAAAAAAGTAGTCGTGCAGGAAATCAATATCAACAATCTGAAACAAATAAACAAACAAGAGTATGGACAAAGACTTCGATATTTCATGTAAATTAAGATAGAGCTCTAAAACAAACATTAAATTAATACTATTTAACTTATTTAAAATAAAGTAGAATTGAATATTAAAAATTTACTTTTTAATTTTAAACTGAGGCTTCATCAACTTCAACTAATTCAGCTTTACCATCTGAAGAAACTGAATCATGACGAACATCATCTCTAAATGCATGCTCTGTAGGTACAAAACTAGATGATTTTCTGGCATTTGGAACTTTCAAATATAATTCATCAACTTGTTCTAATGTTAAACCTTTAGTTTCATAGACCATTAAATAACCAAACAATATACCAATAACATTACATCCACCCCAAATAAAGAACACTTTGGATCCTAAATCAGCATTTCCTGGTCCTGAATCAACCATATAAGGAGTGGCATAACCAATTCCCCAATTCCAAATCCAATTTGATGCAGTACATAATGCAATAGACTTTTGTCTTACATTCAAAGCATATGTTTCAGCACAAATAGTCCAAGCTAATGGTCCCCATGTTGCCGCGAAACCAGCAATAAAGATACAGGTGAAGGCAATCAAACATTGATTGGCAGAATGTGAATCTGATGCAACTCCGACAATTGCAATAATAAGTTGTGAAACGGCCATAACAATACTTCCAGTAATTAAAAGCTTTCTTCTTCCCCATATTTCAGTTAAAACAATACCTGGGACTGTCATACCAACATTTACAATATTTGTTGCCAATTGAATTAAAAATGGATTAGTTATACCTGATTTTTGAAAAAATTGTGTACCATAATAAAAAATAAAGTTGACACCAGTAAGCTGTTGTAAAGCTTGTATTAAAATACCCATTATAAGTCTTTGACGTTGTTTATTAACATTTCTGAAAACTTGAAACCATGAAGTAGAACCAAACTGACTTTCAAAATCAAAATTTGCCTTTATATCGTCATATTCGTCAATTAAATCTGGATGATCAATAGGAATATTTCTAATAGTTTTCAATGATTCTCTTGCTTTTGTTTCATTACCTTTTGATACCCAAAATCTTGGAGTTTCCGGAAGAAAAATCATACCAATACCTAAAATTAAAGCCCATGCAAATTGAATAGCAATAGGAATTCTATATGAACCTGAATCTTCCCTATTTGAAACTCCTTTATTGACACAAGCAGCAATGAATAAACCCCAAGTAATTGCCCATTGATATGATGATATAATTGCACCACGAATCCACTTAGGAGTGACTTCTGAAATATATAACGGAATAACTGAAGATATTAGACCAACACCAAAACCAGCTATAGCTCTACCAGCAATTAATAATTTTTGTTCAGTGGCAATAGTTTGTAATAAAATACCTAAATTAAAAACAAACAATGTTGACAAGATTAATGTCCATCTTCTACCAATTCTGTCAGAAGGAACAGTTGCTAATAAAGCACCAAAGAATGTACCAACAGATAAAATTGAAACAATTAATGAAGATTCGCCAGCTGTAAATTCATAACCATTTTCAGCATGAGCAAAATTCTCCTTAACATAACCCATACTCATAATCCCCGATATGGTTCCTGTGTCATATCCATAAAGAAAACCCCCAAACGCAGCGAATAAACCAAAGTATATACCTCTAGTTGAACTACCAGCTTTCTTTTCACCAAAATTTATAAATTTTTGCAATATTTTACTATCTTCTAAACCCATGATTGAATGAATGTATAATGATATTGAATTAAAATTAGTGTGATTTTAGCAAGCTTTTATAGTTTTTCAAGGAATTATTATAATACGGAAAAATTTTGCAAGAAATATCGTAAACTATGAATTCCCCAGGATTAACTTTAGATGCAAATAATATGGTTGGTAGCGCGTTACTAAAACTTAAACTCTAAATTATGAGGAGTTAATTATTGGTTGCAAAAATAACAATGATACCATATAATAAGAAAAAAAAAACTTTTAAGCGTCCATGCAGCACAAGGCATTACTCTAGAGAAAGAATTTATACGATAAATGGAATTTAAAATGTAAGGCTTTAAAAACGTTTGAAAGGCTTTATGTTGGGCGTTCAACATGGAGAAAAGCTAAAGCTATGTTCAACTAATCAAAGATCGAATCACTTTTTGACGTGTTCATCAAATTTACAAAGCAATGGACAACGACTTAAATATTAATTCTTTTGTAGTTAATTGTTTTTCTTATTAACTTTTGTGAGGAGGTAACAATCATCAAAAAAGAAACGAATACGAAGAAAAATTTGTGGGGTTTATTGTTATCATTATTGTAGTTACACTTAAATTTAAAATCTAAATTTCCCGCCGCCTTTAGAGTTTTAATCATGACCGATCGATCTTGATTCATATTCTTTCTGTTTAAACTTCAATATTAGGCTTTTTACTGGTCAAGAAAGTGAATAAGAGTTCCTTGTAACAATGAAAAACTGAAATTTTACTTCTCTCTTAGTATTTGGTCAAATTTATCCAATTTCAAATATTCACGGATTATAGTTAATCCTCTATCCTTTGCTGGAAAAATTTTTCTTGATTTAGTTTTGTGTTATACAATTATTACGCGAAAACAACCGGAACATTTTCTATGTGCAAACCTCGAATATTATTAATGCATAAACTTTATGTATATTTTCATAAATAAAATATCAAAAATCTTAACCAACAGGAATTGTCAGACCAGCAGCAACAACATTGTCAACATCATGTTGAATCAGTTTTAAAAATTCATTTGGTTTTGTATGTTTTGGTTGCCATCCAATCTTGTAAGCATTTTTACCTCTACAACGAGAATTCGAACCCCAAAGATGTGGACTCATTTTATCATTACTCAAAGTAACAACTTGTTGAGGCGTTAATGAAGCAATTCTAGGGGTATCAACAACTTTCTTTGCGTTTAATCCTTCAGCAACAGTTTCAGCAACTTCTTTCCATGTATGTTCAACTTTAACTTTTTCAACTTCATCATCATAAGCACCAAAGTAGTAGCCTTGTTCATTCTTTGGAATTGGTTCATCAGCAATCATCTTCTTCAAAACTATGTAATATAATTCTCCTAAATCTTTAATATGAATATGACTCCAAACATAATTACCTGAATAAACAGTAAATGCTTGTCCATGTTTTATTGAACTCTTGATTAAGCTTGGAATTTGAATGGACATCTTTTTATCATAACCATCACTTTTACCAAATACTGTAGAAGGTGATATGATTGCAGTTTGAATTAATGGATTTTTTTCATGAAGTGAAAGAATTAAATTATCAATCTTCTTATGTGGTTGACTATCAGGTAATGATTCCATAGCACTAAGGTCATCGTCTTTATAAATTGTTGTACTTGGACCTTTAGTCTTTGATAAATGATCATTTAAAACTGCTGCACCTGAATTATGAATTAAAATCTTCTTTTCTTTACTTGCAATTAAAGCTTCAGAAATTGCTTTTGCACTTTGCCAATGATCAACATTAGCAGCATTGATAATGATATCATTTTCATTGACCATTTTTTTCAATAATGGACTGTCATCTAATGTACCAACAACTTTTTTAATACCTCCAGGTAATTTATCTGCTTTTGCTTCATTTCGAATTAAAGCTGTAATTTCAAAACCACCATGAGATAATAACTGATAAATAATTTCTCCACCAATATAACCTGTTGCACCTGTAATAAATATTTTATTCATTTTTGATTATTGTTTTCAGCTTGATAAACAATTCGTTTATATAAGAGAAAAAGTGACATTATGTATATATCCTTATCGCATAAGAAAACAGCTTGAGAAGTTGGTAATTGCGATTGAAGCATGTTTATGTTTTCTCTATGTAAGAAGTATTTACCAACCAAATGATTCCGTATGCAAATATATTTCTTCAATATTAGTTGCTTCATAATCATTATTAAAAATTAAGGATTGTAATTCAGAAACTGACTTGCTAACTTCTCTTTTCATTGAATCACTACCTGAGCAAATAAACATATTTCTTGTTGTTAATGTATTGACTAAATTTGTAATAATCTTTTTGACTGATGGTTTATCATAGATATATTGTAAATCATTTTCTATATATTTTTCATCCACTTCCTTCTCACATACATGTAATTGTATGTCTAATTTATTACCCAATAATTTTTGACATTCTTTAAGTTTCTCATCAATCCAATTCACATCTTCAGTTTTTCTTACAATCCATATAAATGAGACATACTTTAAAATATTATTATGTTTGGATAAATATGATAAAAATGGTAAAGTGGCAGTGACCCCACTACCAGATGCAATTAAAACAACCCTTTCAAATGATTCTATATTTCTAAATGTACCACCATATGGGCCATCGATAAATACTTTCTTTTCACAAGTTAATTTTGTATTCAATTCTTCAAAATGGGATTTAGTTAATCCTTTCTTTGGTATAACTATAAATCTCATTCCTTGTTCATCTTCCTTTATTGATGCTATTGAAAATGGATGACTATCTAAAATTGATAAATCGGCAAATCTTAAAAAGCAATGTTGACCTGGTGCCCACTTATAATCCTTAACCTTTTCAATAACAATTTCATAAACATTATCTCCTGATTGATTCATAATAGCTGGTCTTGATTTTAAAAACATGGAATTTGGTTTGAAAGCAGTTTTAATCAAAATTCTATAGATCAATTGTGTAGCCCAAAATGCTAATGCTCCCCACATATAATCATCAGCATCTAAAGATTTATCTATATGCCAAATTAAAGTACCAAAATATGCAATACCAAACATCCAATGTGAATGTAAGAAAAATTCGTATATATGTTTTCTAATCCATGCTTTTGATAATGTACATAATAAACCTAATAATATCAAAGGTGGAATTCCACTATAATAATAACGATCACTTATAAAATTCATATGTAAATGACCAGAGCCACCTTCAACTAAATCTTGATGAATAAATGGAATTGTATGAATTATAGATAAAACCAAAGTACAAACTCCAACATATTGATGATACACATTTAATTTTTCATAACTTATACCAGTTAATAAAGTTATAGCATTTGATTTTCCAGCTAATATATAAATAAAAGGTGTTAATGCAGTAGCCATCATTCCCGCTCTAACAGCTAAAGGTGGTGAACCAAAACCAGCACAACCTCTATACCAAAAATGAGGGACCAAACAATAACAAAATAAATACAATGCACTTATCATCATATATAAAGTTGACCCAACAGAATTTGGAAATGATAAATATGTTAAATATTTAGGTACTTGTTTATAACCAACAAATCTACAATATGAAATTAAAACATCTACAATTGATGAAAATTTGTTTGATGATCTTGTATTTAAATACGTTGAATCTCTAAATCTATAGTATGCATTTTTAAGTGTTGATATAAATATAGTAACTATGCCGAAATATATCGTATATTTTGCATAATTTGATTGATCGGCCCAAGGTATTTCTGTTTGCAGTAATTGTTGATACATCATATAAGTTGAATTAGACATATCAGCAAGACAATCAAGTCCTTGATATGAAACACCCATGATTGTTGAGTAAAATTAAACTGGACATTAACCCAGTTTTATATTAGTAATTTATGCAAATTCATTAGTCTAATTTGGTAGTTGAAAATTTGCTCATATATTTTTAATTTTGTGTAATAAAATGCTACCAACCAACTAACATAACGAATTTGTTAAACCATGGGTCCATGCAAATGATCCTAATATTAATATAGTCACCGCATAACTAATCATTATTGATGTAATACCGTATCTATAACTATATAAAGTTTTTAGCCCAAATAATTCTGCAACAAATGTGCTAACAGTAGTTAATGCACCACAAAATCCATCATCTAAACCACTTAATACTTGACAAGATATCGTTGTATTGATAATTCTTCCTCCATTTGAGCTATAACCTCTGTCTAATAAAGTGAAAATACTAAGTAATAAAGTTCCCAAAATATTTGCTGTAAAAGTCCCAAATGGGAAATTTGCAATCTTATTATTTAAATATTTTGATAAATAAAATCGTAGTAGGGCAGCAAATGGAGCAAAAAACATTGAGAAAGTCCATGATCTCCAAGTCAGTTCAACTCCAATTAATACAATAATGACTATAAATATGGAACCACCGAGTAAAATTGAAATTGTTTCAATAATTTTATAAAATTTTCTATCAAATGATGGAATAAATTGATCTATTAATGTTGCTAAATGTTTCCCCATATGAAAAGCCATAATAGACAAACCAAATTGAGCTAATATAACAGCCAAAAATTCCATAATACCATAAGCTGAATTAGGATAATTAAAAGGTTGAAAACCACCTTTTCGCTCAGCCGTATTGGCAGATTTATTAAAAGCTTCTATAATAACTGACGAAAAAGATGAGCAAGTACCACAAAATCCTGTTGTAACACCAGCATATATGGGAATAGCACCTTTATTTGGATAACGGTCATCATGAATTAATTTTAACCACAATGACTCACTTTCAATAAATAAACCCATTACAACACAAGCAGTAAAATTGGCCCATATTACACCTGATAAATAAGCACCATCATAAGTAGTTAAAACTATTAAACCTTTTCTAGCTAAAACTCCCCATATTGATCCATGAATAATATTTAATATCAATGGCAAATATTTTTCAGTTCTTAAAATTAATTTATTTTTAGTTTTAGTTTCTTCATCATTAGTTTTAAAACCTTCTGGTAAACCTGAAGCTATAGATTCAGCATCTAAATCATTTGCTTGTGATTGTATAGCCTTTCTCTGTAACTGTTCATCTTGGGGCCTCCGTCGTAGCAGCATATAGTTTTATATTTGTTTTGTTGTGTCGTGTAAATTGATACGATACATATATTTTATTTATCTTATCAAAAGTATAAAACAGAATAAGTCAAATAACATGACCATTTTACTATGGTTATTCTATTTATTTCATATTATTAATGGTATATCTATAGTAAATAAACCACCAGATTCTACCTATCCTGATATACCAAATACTTTGGTCGATATTTTATCATCTCAACCTCAATTTTCATATTTCCTAAGGCATTTACAACGCCATGGGCTAATTCCTCAATTAAATTTGATGAAAAATGTTACTTTATTAGCTCCTATAAATCTGGCTTTTGTTAATAAGAATAATGATGATGAATGGAATAATAATCAATTATTGCGTTATATTGTGAATCAAAAATTTAGAGTTGGTTATTTAAATGATCAAGATGCAATATTTGAAACATTATATAAAATTGATAAAAAAACTTATTATCCGATTAAAATAAGTCCAGATTTTGAATCAAAAGAATATGTAATTGATAATATTGCAAGTATAGTTGATGAAGATATCTATGCAAAACATCAACATTCATTTGTACAAGGTATTGATCATTTATTACCTTTAAAACCTACAATTTGTCAAGTTTTAATTAATTCAACTATACCTGAGATTTCAATAATGAGTAGTATATTTCAACTGATATTTGAGAATGGTGAAGATTGTGAAACATTTTCAAAAGGATATCAAAGTTTTATTTTACCTACTAATAATTTAATCAAATCTTCTTTAACTAATATTGAATTAGCTTATTATTTATTAAACTTTAATACCATCAGAGGGGCAACTAAAGGTACTACCGAAGAAGCAACTAAAGAAGTAAATAATGATATTAAAGATTTACTTGAGAATTTAATGTTTTCAGAATTTATATTTGGTGTAAATAATACTAATAGCAAGGCAAAAGCAAAAAGTGGACTAAAGCAAGAATTTAAATTTAAAAAGAATAAGCTAGAAGTTGGAAGTCTTGAAACTGATAATTCACATGTATTATCCAATGGTGCAATCCATATATTCGACGAAGGTGAGTCATTTTTCAAAACATTAAAAGTTCCAACTGTCGATATGGTTGCTCGTAAAGCTCTTTATGCATTAAATTATTCAAATTTTGTGAAAGAGCTTCAATTTAGATCTCTAGATTATTTAATTGATGGGTCCGTTAAAAAGCAAAGTATAATTTTAGGCATTGATCAACGTGACGATACAAATGAAGAGGTTAATTTGTTATCATTTAGCTCAAAACAAAATCTTTTATATCAATTTGTTAATGAAGAGATAAAAATAAAAGATGATTTGCATATATTAGTTGATTCCAAATTGTGCTCGAACAAGAAAATTGGTGGTTGTTACAAAATTAAGATTTCGTCATCAGCAGAAAATGGAGATACTAAAACGACAATAAATGACGAAGTGGATGTAATAGAATCAATTCCTATTGCCAATAGTAGTGTCATTTATATTGGAAATGAAGAAATTACCCCTCCAGTAAATTTAAAACATTCATTAGGTGACTTGATCTCAAGTGGAACCATACCTAGACATTTGGAAAATGTTGAAATTGACAGAACAAGTTGTTTACGTACACTAGGATATTTAAATACATTTAACTTATATTCATTAGATGATAACGAGGCTGGTTACTCAATTTTCTTACCATGTGGCGCAAAAACCACACAAATTAATAAAAAAACAAGTTTATGGGATGATTTAGGTTTAGTATTGGATTATTTAGAGCTGAATCCAAAATTATTTAAAAAGATTATTCAAGGTTTGTTTTTAAATGGTGTTGTCTATTCAAATTTTAAGGGTAATAAAAAATTAAAGAGTTTAAACGGTCAAAAAGTTCAAGTTTCTGGTGAACAAAAAAATGACACCAATTTCATAAGTTTAAATAAAACTATAGTTGAAATAGCTTCAAATTCTGATATTTTATTTAATCAAGGTATTGTTCATGTCCTTGATAAAATTTTATTACCTGATGATTTCCAATTACCAATTGAGGATTTAATCAAGACGACTTTTGATACAAAGTTTCCTGGATTTTCAATTGATAATTTACTTAAGTTTTATCCAAAAATAAAAAAATCTTTAACTGGCAATCATCCATTTTCATTGTTAGTACCAACACCTGAATCATTAAAAGATTTTAATATTACATCATCATTTCATGATTTAATCAAATTCATTGATTTCCATTTGATACCAAATGATGAAGTAAGTAAAATATTAGATTGTATAAATGGTGTCAATCAAGATTCAATTATTAAAACCAACTTGTCGCAAGGTGGATTAACATGTAGACATAAAAATGACAAAGTAATGCTTAAACTATACAAATTAAATGAAACTGAGACTAACATAGAGTCATATAATAAAGATCAAGAAGTGAGGGTATTGAAACATGGTTGTACATCAGAATATAAAGGATCTACCAAGGATATATCATGTATATTTCTCCTTGAAAAACCAATGAATTTAAAATGGTTTGAAAAAACACATACTGGTGATAATTTTTTACATATTCATCTTGGTCTAGTAAGTGTTGGTATTGGAGTTATATTAGGATTAATAATGTTTGGTGGTGTCATGGTTGGTTTTGTTTATTGTACTAGTCGAAAGAAAACATATAATTTAGATAGTGAACATTATTTTCCAAGATCAGATTCTGGATATATGAGTGTATTAACTGATGATGATGAATATTTACCATATGATAGAGGTTATGAGACTGATACTGATGTGTTAAGATCTGAAACCGATGGTCTATTATTACCAAGTAATTTAAAAAGAAAGAAACGAATTAAAAAAATTGATTATGGATCAATAATTAATAACGAAAATGATGATAATAGATTTACAGTATTACCAAAAGCAACATTACCTAGAAATATAGGTAATTTAAAAGAAACATTAAATAGAGATAGGAATATTCCTGGTTGTTCTCAATTTTAATGTACAAATTTAATCCGTCGTAAATAAAGATTGAAAAATTCTAAAAAAAAAAAAAAAAAAAAAAAATATTTAACCTTACATCAACAATGTCTGATCAAATTCCAATTGATGAACAACAAATAATACCAGCTAATGATCAGGATCAACTTCAGCAACAACAAGAAGTCTCACATGAAGAGGCGATGAAGCTTAAATCCGAAGAATTGGAAAGAGAAGCTGCTAGATTAAGAGAGTTAAACTCCCAATTAAATTCAGAAACTAATAATACTCATGAATTTACACCTCCAACAGATGAAGAAAAAAGAGATATCGATTCAAGATCAATATACATAGGTAACGTAGATTATGGGTCTACTCCATTAGAATTGCAACAACATTTTTCAAATGCTGGTACTGTACAGAGAGTGACAATTTTAATGAATAAATTTACTGGTCAACCTAAAGGATTTGCATATTTAGAATTTGCTGATGTTGATGGTGTTAATAAAGCAGTTGCAACATTGGATGGATCGACATTTAGAGATCGTCAGTTAAAAGTTCTGGCTAAACGAACGAATATTCCTGGTATTAGTATAAAAAGAGGTGTTATTAGGGGAAGAGGAAGAGGTGGTTTTAATAGTCGAGGAGGACGAGGTGGAAGAGGTGGAAGAGGTAATTTTCGAGGTAGAGGTGGTGGTGGAAGATTTACTCCATACTAAGTTTTGTATTATATATAAATATAACCAAATATTTATTGTTTTTGTTTAGATGATTTTGCTCTAATATTTGTTTCTTTTGTAAGATTTGATAAATCGACTTTACCGTCATTTTTTAAACCATTTATAACTCCATTTATATCATTTTCTTTCATACCTTGTTCAAATTTGAATTTACATTCAGTTGATTCAATTGAAATTTGTAAACCAGTAATTGCCTTTTGCATAATATTTAAATAATTCTCAGGTGCATCGCTAACTTTCCATTTATCAGTTTCCTTTTTAGCTTCTTGTTGATTGGTCAAATAATTCAATTGATCTCTAACAAACTGAAAATCATCAATTATTTTAGAACTTCCATATATGTGAGCACTTGCGAAATCCCAAGTAGGAACATATTTATGAGTTTCTTGTTTACCAGGATAATAATTTGGTGTGATATAAGTATTGTTAGATTGGAAAATGACTAATACGTTGGAATTGTCTTCAAGACTAGGTAATTGTGGATTTGCTTTTGCAATATGAGCAATTAAATGATAATTATCACCATCTTCTTTTAAATAAAATGGAATATGGTTAGCTATAATTTTACCAGTTTTATCAGTTGTGATTACCGTGGCCAAGGGATAAGTTTTTATCAAGTATTCAATTTGTTCCCAATTTGATTCCGAGTACTTCTTTGGAATATACATTGGTTTATAAAGCAAAGCGTAATGTTAAAAAAGGTTGGTAATCAAGTTATATTTATCAGCCAATAAATTATACTGAATTACTCATAATTGTCTGAATCTGGTATCTCCAGCCGCTAGCTTATCTCAAAATACGGTTCAAAAAAATAAAGAAAATAGCGGCTAACCTAATTCTGCAGCCATTTGAATAGTTTTTGGTGAACTATAGTCTTTGATTCTTCAAAGTTATAACTCTTTGATCTTTAGTAAGACTGCTGAAAATTGGCATTTGATTAAGAACATGTAATTCACTGATTATCAAAGTGTTTAAAGTTGAAGATCGCAGTGGTTATATAATTTGTTAATTCTCAAATCCAGCTTAAAAGATTTTAACAAAACCTAATTTGATCATACAATGCTTTGATCTGAAGTCACTATAAGTTCAAGTTTCTCAAAGTTCGATACTTTAATATACAAGAGGAATCAATTTTTAAAAATTTTGACCATTTTTTGAATATTTTTGCTAAGTTTCATCAAATAGTTAAGAAAACTAGATTTAGGTTTATTCTAATCGAAGACAGATCAAAATCTAGAATTGCCCAAACTACGAAGTAAACAATCGAACCTGTCTAACTGAGTTCAAAATTTACAAATCAGTCCAATCTTACGATTAGCAATTTTAAACACCTTTGCATGGACGGACACATATCTTGTTGACTAACTAAGCCGTGTAAGCGTCATTTCCCAAATTAAGCGTGCTCAAATTATACAATCTGCATTTTGCATACATATCAATTTTCATATGAAAATCTTATTGGTATGAAAGGAAATAATTAACCATGCATCAAAGTTCTCTATTCAGGGTTCACCAACAAAAAAAATCGTCGTAAAAAGTCTATGATATAAACACTATTATCAATGAATTACCCGAGGTAATGCATCAATAAATTGAAATAGAAATTTAACAATAAGGTACTAGAATTCCCTGTATTGCTGTAATCTGTGGTAAGACCAACTCAAAATTCAATTCAAATTGAAAAATTGAAAAATTTTTCTATCCAGTGTATCACAAAAACTTTAAAAGAAAAATATTTTACACTCTTGGTCTAATTCTGGATTTATAGAAACCGTACTAAGCCCGACAAAATGTACACTCTTTTGACGACATTTACTAATTGTTTCATATAATTTAACTACTTATTCAGGGTTCAGTAATTGTCGTATGATCTAAAAATTAACATTAGGACGGAATGTTAAATATTATATAAAGATATTGTATTTATTTTATTATATTTTATTTTAATTTTTTTAGATCTCTCGCTTATTTTAAATTAGACGACGTGCAAGAGAGTAGTAAATTTCAACAAATTGGTCATCAAAATATTCAAAATCGTATCTGCTGTTCAATTATCATGTACTCTAGCACCCTTGATATAGTTGAAAACACAAATATTGAGACAATAGAGCGATACCATTTTTTAATGGTACAAAATTTCAAGTTTTTTGCCGAATTTTTGAAAAACCCTTTGTTTCTAAACCGTCAGGCGGTTCTTGCTTTCCATCATTCAACAATTCTTTTTGTAAACATTCTAGAAACGATTATAAATAAATAGTTGACGAAATTAAAAACAATTTAATGCAATTTAAGGATTTAAAGTAATAAATTTAAACTACATCAATTTGAAAGACACAAATCAGTAACTGTTTCAAATTAAACTTAAAATTTGTTGTCTGTACTGCTGTGGTAACGATCAACTTTGGTATTTTTTAAAATTAGCTCAGGGTCGATTTCCAATACTGCTGATTAGCTCCTGCATATACTTTTTTTTTTTCAAATCTCAAGTTTCACAACTCTAACGAACATGGTTGAATTAATTGATTTGCCAAGTCATATTAAATCAGAAATTATAAAGTATTTACCTCAACAGTCTGTGTTTAATCTTGCCCTTACCAATTTTGAATTTTATGAACCATGTATTAGACAATTATATAAGACAATAACGATACAAATTCAAGCACCATTAAGGCCGCACACCAACTTACGAAATGATGATTTTTCCGACTGTACACTGACCATATTATATGGATTTGATAAAATGATGAAAAAGGAGACTAATTTAAAGATGATCTTTGCTAGGTTAATTGTATTAATTCAATCACTTAGAATTAATTCACAACTTCGTCATTTTATTAATGAAATCAACGTGGTTGGAGAATGTTATAATGATAACGTAATTGAAGCTTTACAAGACTTAATTAATGAATTGAAATCTTTAAAGAAGTTCAACATTGAAAGTTACAAGATCCGAAGGTTGTTAGATTTGAAGAATTTAAAATTGGAGAGTGTAGTTGTTGACAATGAAATTGAGTATGAAAAGAGCATTAAAGAGTTAATTATAGGTGAAAATCAATTTCAGGAAATGTCTCAGTTTTCCACTCAATTAAGTTCATTGATATTGCCAAATGATAAAGTATTGTATTGGGATTGGATCAAAAATAACATATTCAAAAATAATCTTAAACTTCCTAGTATCGAAAAATTTAAATTTGTATTTGCTTTAAACAATTTTGAAAATAATGAAAGATTAGTAAGCATTTTGAATTGGTCAAAAATAAAACAACTTGAATTAATATTCGACTATACATCTTCACAAGATTGTATAATCGATGTACTTAATTTAATACCAACTACACCAAATTTAACTCATTTATCTATATCACAATCTGAAATATATTCAACTCATGCAGAGAATGAAATTTATGACCTAAATATATTCAATTTTTTGAATAACTCATTTCCAAAGTTAATTTACCTTTCAATATCTCATAAGGTTCCAGATCTAGGTAATTTTGTTGATGGGGTTGAAGGAAACTACTTTAGAAGATTGAATTTATATATCAACATTTTACCCACAATAATTCAAAGTTTGAACAACAAAATAACTTTGGAACTTTCCAATTTATTTCAGACTTTTGCATGCTATGAACAGTATATGAATACAGTTTTATGGAATGGTTGTAAATGCTCACATTGTGAAGTATATTTAGGTAAATTGGATACATTTTTAATGTATCATAAATATTTCAATAACGGAAGATTTAGAGACATGAATGTGAGTCATTTGTTCAGTGAGATTGGGTATAGATTGAGTAAAAGAGAAATTTGGAATTTTCATAAAACTCAAAATGGTAAAGGTTTCAAATGTTGTGATACCAAAGTCATTGATCAAGGTGAATATGATGAAGAAGATTTTGACAATAAAGTAGTCAGTGATTGTGAATTTAATGAAGTGGTTTACAAAGGTATTCCTACTAGTGTTTCACATTATTTGAATTCTTTGGTTATTCAAATCTTGAAATTGTATCGTGGTAATGCAGAAGGAAATGATGTTGAATTTAATGATGGTGGTGATGAACAAGAACATGAGTTGATGATAAGAAGAATTATCATAAATGGAATAGTTTATAATTTGGATAAAGAGTTGAATGGTACACACTTTTATGAAAATGTTTACGATTAGAGGTTGTATACATCCACGGATATTACAATTTTGATATACATTGCATTGCATCCGATTTCAAGACCTTACTAATGAAATGAAATAAGTCTGCAGCAACGGAAAAATTCCAAAATTACCAAATGTATCTTAGCAGTATGCATTACAGAGATCTTTAAAAAATACTTGTATATAAGGACTTCAGGGTTCAAAATTTGTCTGAATTAATAAATCAACATTATTGTACTTGTGAATAAGCCTAGTCATGGCAGAGAGAAAAAAAAAAAAACACATCAAAGGTTTGAAAGAAAAGTTGAAAGTTAATTTGTTGAAAAAGTTGAAAGTTAATTTGTTGCAAAATATGCCAAGCAACAACCTTTGATTGTAACAGAGATAAGGGTCTAAAGTACATTAAAATTTAAATTTTCATTAAATGTTGCAAAAGTTTGAAATAAAACTCTTTAGCTCTAAATTACATCTTACTAACTATTGGGGCACGTTATTTTCCTAAATCCTACTTTAAGTTATTAGCAATGATTCAAATTGATCTACTCTGTGTATTAGTAATAATTAAATTTTAATTTTAGTTTTTGCAGCGTGAAAATGTATACCTTAAATTATTGCCTTTAGCAATGCCATCGTCAACTGTCATTCATATGTTGCAAGCACTTTTTTCAAATTTTGTACTTAAAATACAGTAAAAGAAGAAACGTTTATATGAAATTCGAGAGGCAATGCACATTCTAAACCAGTTTAAACCTGTTTAAAAACATTTGAAACCCAACATTTGAAACCCAACATTTGAAACCCTTCACTTTGTATACTGTTAAAAAATTTTCACCTAACAACGTTTGGTTCATGTAAGAAAATAACCATATGCACATAATATGTAATGTAAAAGAAATGGAACCCTGAAATTTCTTTTCGTGTTTATTGTTACAGAATGACCCAGAATTCGAAGAAATAGAAGAGCAAAAATAGACCTAGAGTTTCGAAATGGAAACCAATAATTAACATCTTGTGCATTTAAGGGGTGCAAAAATAAATTTAATGCACCCCGGGCAAAATTTGAAAATTGGAAAATTTTCTTTCTATTGAATATGGGTTTTTTTATTCATATAAACAATAAACAGTGACTACTCAACAATTCATATATTGTCCATTAATCAACCGATTTTAATTTCCTATTATAAGCTAGCTTCAGTATTATAACACAAAATCCTAGATCGAGTTTTTATTGGGCAATGTTAAATATTTGTAAACACGCTTATTTAAAACTATAAAGAATTTTTTTCATTCCCCCCTCTCATTCTAACGTTGCATTTTCCTTTATTTGAATCACCGTACATATTATTAATAAGCTTTTTTAGTTACATTTTTCAATAAACCCTAATTATCGCCTTTAATCAAGACAGCCAAATTAATCCAGAATAATAACAATAAACTCATTTGAATGTTGCAACATTATCATTCAAAGCTGTATTTTTCTTAGCAGGATTATAATATCTGTTCAACTACTGTAAATACTCAACGTCTAATACAAGAAAAGTGTTAAATTATTATATGAAAACCCCCATAGTAAAGTATTATCAAGATAAAATGTAACAAACTTGATTAAAGGATTACAGGAACTTACTTTTAAGGGTTGCAACTTAGATTGTAAATGTACTTTTATGTCTGTTCCAGCTAGAGCATGCACTTATCGATGCCCAGAGTTACAATCAATATATCTAAATTATATTTAATTATAACTTGATTAGATACTAAAAATTTTATTAACAAGAAAAGTATTAATAATCGATCTTAATTATTATTATTTTTAAAGAGATTAGATCCTTTAATTTAATTTATTATATGCTTTAATCGGTTAGGTTACATTAAAGGAAAAACAAGAGACGTCTTTAGAAATCATCTGATTCAAAATTACAGTGTTAAATTTGTAAATCCATAAACTTTCCCAATATATATTTTAAAAATAGATTAAACCAATGTTGAACCAAAAAAAAAAAAATTGAATTGAAAACTGAATTAATTACAAAATATGCCATCATCATAAACTCGTTAAATCATACATTATATTTTTTTTTTTTTTTTTTTTTTTAAACTAAAGCCTTTGAATCATATCTATGCTCTAATGTATAATTATTGTTGTTTACATTATTACTTCTTCTTTTGTTTTTACCATTGGTATGAGTTTTATAATGTTGCATACAATTATCTTGTCTAGCAAATCTTGCATTACATGTTGGCCAAGGACAAAGATGTTTTCTTTCACCAGTATGTATTCTATTATGTCTAGCCAAATGACCTGAAGTTGTAAAAGATCGAGTGCAAACTTTACAAACGTGTTTTCTTTTCGGATCTCTTTCTTTAATTTCTCTTACTTGCGCGAGATCAAATTGAGTTTTTGTTGAAGATAAAGGTGGAGTCGGTAATCGATTTGAGAATGGTTGAGAATGATGTGAATGATGTGAATGATGTGACTGATGTGATTGATGATGATTTAAAGGCTTTGAATATATATAATTATTATTTGATTGTATTGGCGGGGATGTAATTATTTGCTTCTTGAAATCTAAAGGTAATGAAGGTATAGAAATTAATAATTCACTAAATGAAGGTAATGAAGTAGTATTAGGCGTATTATTATTATCAACCTTCTGTGTTGGATTATTAAAACTTAATTGTTGAAATAACATTCAAATTGATATGGTAATTTTAGCAGCAAAAAAAAGTGAAAATAAATAAATTTAATGATTTAAAATTGATTTGATTCTATTAAATCTATAATGAAGATGTATTAAACTATTATTAATGAATATAAATAATCTAAAAGATTATTAAGGAATAAATTGTGAATAAAAATTTGACAACAAATTATTCTGAATATATATATATTTCTATCATATCTTTTTTTATTTTTTTTTTTTTTTTTTTTTTATTTTGTAATTATTTTCTAAGTGTTAATCTATGCAGATTAAAAAAAAAAAATAAAAAATAAAAAATAAAAAATAAAATAAAAATAAAAAAATAAAAAAAAGGAGATTATACATATGACTGCATATAACGAAATATATGCATAATTAGCACTCTGTACATTAGTTACAAAATTTTTTATTACACAAAATAACGTTCAGATGTTGTACATAATATTAGGTTTGTTTATTACATAATTGATTCTTTGTTACCAATCCATCAATTTAATCATTATAGATTATTCTATGGGAAACGTTTCTTTGTTTAAAAAGTCAATTTAATTCGTGTTTTGAAAGTTTAATTTTCAATCAACAATATTTAAAATTCTTGAGTTATTGTTTATTGCACATTGGTCAGATGTTATCTTTTATAAAGAAGATTTTCTTCTTCTTTCGTGAGTGTAATTAGTTGAAATCTCTGGGTGATATCGGTTTAAAATGTTACAATCTGATGTAATAATTAAACAAGTCGTCACACATAATACAACGTCAAGAATATAGTGACAATAATATCATAATATCATAATATAACTCTTATTCTATTGATATCAAATCCCAAGGTTTCAATTTCAATTCTAAGAGTTTTAAATTAAATCTTATAAAATATCATAATATAACTCATAATATAACTCTTATTCTATTGATATCGAATCCCAAGGTTTCAATTTCAATTCTAAGAGTTTTAAATTAAATCTTATAAAATATTTATTATTTAGATATTGCTTGTGGAATAATCAGATTCAACAATTCATCTTGCTACTACTATTTCTTAAGTTCCAAACTTAATTTTAACAGGCGGGGAGGGGGGAAGAGGGTCAAAATATAGACCAGATTAAACAACATATAGATTTGAATTTCCCAACTTGCTCGTCTGGTAACTGGACTGGACATAGAATATTCTCTTGCAGTCTAGAATCTAACCTTTCACTTTCAAAAAGATTACTCTAAATTCTCGGTATTTAAATCAAAAAAATATTATTAAAAAATTGATGTTGACTAAAGTTGAATAAAATTTTTAAAGTTTTTATGACAAGGCTAAGAGAAATCCACTTATAATAATTCAATTAAGGTTTAAAAAATTTATTATTTAAACTAAAATCTAAACTACAACTAAAGCAGCTATAGAGGATACGTTGGTTTAAATTTTTCTTCTATTAGCAAATGACTACAATTGATTAAATGATTAAAATGCCGATTTCAACAATGTTGAATCTAATTTTTAACGCTATTTGAAATCAACTAGAAATAAACCAGAAATTAAATGAAAGGAGAAAAAAAAAAAAAAAAAAAATAAAAGACCATACAGAATTCTAAAACCTTTCTTAATGAAACACCAAATAAACCTTACTGTATACGTTCACTCCATACTGCATATATGCATACATACCAACAACTAATTCAAAACAGCTTAACTACTCAAATTCTTACTTTCAAGTTTATTAACCATCAACTCGAATTAGTATTAAAAAACAACCTTTTCGCTTGGTTATTAGCTTGGTTATTTTTCAAAAAATTTTATTTACATACAAATTAAGAAGCTCAGTAGACAAGATAGATTATATTTTTTAATCTTCCAACTAAAATGGTTTAAACTTTAATTTTAATTTATAAGTAAGTACATATTGAAGTATTTTGATTTTAACTAAATTTGTATTATAACTTTCGAGTAGAAAATACTTACTTGCTACAATGCAACTTTGTGTCTTTAGATTTGTGGAGTAATAGTATTTAATGAAATCATTGAATATTTAATCGACTCTGAATATTTAATCAACTCTAAACAGACCATTCGTTGATAATATACTTTTATAAAGAAAAAAAAAAACACCATAGAAAAATGTTTTAAACATCATAACCTTAAATATTCAAAATCAAAAAGAAATGTTTTCGGAGATCTACAATACAGACGAATTATGGTTCGATAATGATATTGTGTTTGAAACCAAACTGTCCTTTTCTGTTTCAAGTAATAAGCCCAGGGCTTTTGATTTGTAATTGAGGACTTTATTCAATGGGTTTAACAATTACGTAGCTAGTCTACTTCACATAAACTAATATGGAAAGTCGTAGAGAACGAAGAAAAATCTCGAGATCAATTGATGCACCAAATATTTTTTTTACCTCCATACATCAAGTCTGCAACCTTGTTATTTTAAAACAACAAAAAAGAATTTAAATTAACGACTGACAGATACGATTCAAATAGAGGTCAATCATATTTAGTGCTAGAGAATAAACTATAGTCAATTCGTCATATTAATCATCTTAGCTTATTCGCGCGCTTCAAATTAAATGGCTAATTCAATCTCAAGTATTCATAACCTTCATTTATTCCCTTCTTATTTAAAATATTTAAGCTTTTTTAGATTATTTTTTCTTCTTTTATTTTCTCGTTTTCTTTCAATAAATCGTTCTATTTTCACAGTTATTACTAAAAAACGTTTCTACCGACAATGAATAAACGATGATACTGATACAAAAGTGAAATTGGCCGACTTCGTATATGTAAAAGCTGATCGATAGGTTTCCAAGTCATCCGATTCAATGGTTTGTTTGTTTAGTTTGTCGGATGAGTCCGAGTATTCTTTTTTATTTTTTTTTTTTTTATTTTTTTTTTTTTTTTTTTTTTTTTTCAATTTTTTCCGTCTTTCTATACATATACACTATTCGTATAATTAATATTCTAGATCTTGAAAAGTGTATGATCTCGCCAACAATGTTTCATCCCTTGATTCTCCAGAGTAATTTTAATGGAGAAAATTTAGAATAATAAGTGTATGAGTCTAGTTTATTTGATCCCTTTATTTATCTTACTGAACTCAGTTTCATATTTGTAATACCTGAAAAACACTTATGAATAATAAAAAAATTATCTTATCAGGTTTATGGTAGTAAAAATCGTTAATTCATACTCGGGCCGACCTATCAGTAAATGTCACCGGTTTGCAAATTTAAAGTTTGTTAATTTCATGTAGACTATTCGGATAATTTTTAGTTTGAAATTGATATTAAACTATACAATATCTATTTGGTTCAAATCGTCCAATTTCAGTAGGTTAGTAGATTTGCATCAAATCTCAAACGTTTCTTTTTTTTTTCTTGTTGACGCTGTCACTTACTTAACCAATTAATCACAAACAAACGAATTGAAGGTTACAAACCAATAGAAGGTTGCAAACCAAACGTTTTAATAATGTAGCAACCTATTTTGTAATTGTGGTTAAGCACCAAGTTATACCAAGCTCAACAAAAAGTGTTCAAAGTGTTAAAATGCATTTATAATATTTGAATTATAATTATGATTATAGTTTTGGCATAATTGCTCAAATCATTACTTAATAACTAACTTGTTTTAATTGTCTTGGCGAAGAAATTATACGGTCCTTTTATCACAAAAAAGATTTCTAAAAGAAAAGAAAGACCCTTTCCAATTTCAAATTTTCGTTCGGTTAATAATTTAAAATCATAACCATTTGTTTATATTATTTTTTAAATACATGTTAAATTCCATATTCATTTCATTGTTTAGTGTTGTTCTCTCATCTCATGGAAAAAAAACAAACAATGAACATTTAAGAACTATCAAAACCCCAGTAGCAACAAGCCATATACCAAAAAGGGAAGTAAAGCCATTATTACTCAACTTTGTTTTATTTTTTTTCTCAACGGTTTTTTCTATTGTTTGAAAATTGGAGTGGCGTCTTGAATATTGTAGGTTATGCATATTGTATGATTAATGTTCAAGGCTATGAATGAATGTTAAATTATTATCTCTCGACGATCGACGTGGAAATGGAAATATCAAAGGAATAATGGCGGAAGGAGAAAGGATGAATTCCTAATAGAATTAATGGATGAGTTATATTACATGAAATATTATTAACCGAAGAGAAGATGTAAAAAAATTATTGTACAAAGATTTAGAGTCAATTCCTTAAATGAATAATCAAATTTTGGTTGTAAAGTCTACTCAAATGGCTGTGGTTATCTTAAACATCAATTATCTCGGTAAGGTAACCATAAAATGAAACTTTTCTTTTTAGATTTTGGGGGTTTTCAATATTAAGTCATGGATCAAAACCGTTTAAATTGATCAACGAAGTTAAGCATTTTAAACTTAAATTTCAAATCTAATTTCAACTATATAGATTGTACATAGTATTATTATTAGTGACGCGTCAAAGTTGCATTCAGGATTGCACGACTTTTATAAATGTAAATTTTTGAAGTATTTTTAACTAGTACGTTATCTAAAAGAATCAAATTCAATGTAACGGTGTAATATCTGTTTGACTTGATAAATAATTTATGAAATCTAAATATAAGTATTGTTTCACAGTTTTAAACATGTACTTCCAATTAGAGTAAAATCCAGTTGACATATTTTTATTCAATCGTAATATAAATTACGACTTTACACAATAACTATAAAAGAATATTATATTATTATGTAATCATAAAACTCGACATTACTTAATTCAAGATTCGAGGATTTTTATGTTAAGCTGCTTTTATATCTCGCAAATTCAGGAATAATATAAAGCCATTTGATTGAAAGTAGCACCATATACGTAAGTGAGATCAGCGCACAACACTGTATAATTTTAGTAAAATCCTATTTGTAGGGTTTAAATTCAAATTTTATTTTAAAAAGTCTAAAAAAGGTTTATTATTTTACCACTTTTATTTGTTGCATAGTATTCTAGATCCTTCGAATTTTGAGGCGTCGTGTAGATTAAAGTTTCGTTTCTTTGACATGTACATTATAATTATATAGATATGAGTATTATTATTCGATAATATGGATAATACAAGTAACAAAATTAGCTAATAATCCTTTACCATATGTTGTTTAAGGTCTAACTTCAACCTAAAAGCGGCTTAGTGATTACCATAGAAAAGTATGACATTGGGGGATGTTGAAATTTGGACAATAAACGAATGATAAGTTCACGTGCATGGAATTTCATTCTCTAAATTGTTACTAAATCCTAGTATATGCAGAAAGTAACGTTGCATTAAGTCGGTTAGTTCTATGACTTTCCTATAGATAAATCTTCATCAGCCTTTACAATTATTAAGACATGTCAGAATTCAAAGAAATCCATCAGTATGTTACTTCATCAATAATCCTGGATTTCAATGTCAGTTTTCATCGGAACCCTCCTAGCTTTAGGCTATAACAAGATGTTATAAACTATTAAAATCTCCTCAAATGATAACAGAAAAAAGTTCTGTCGAAACAATTCAGCGTCTTTTTTGACTACGAATATTTCGAAAATTAATATTTACAGACTGCTAAAACAATAGTCTTTAGCAACTACCCAGCCGAAAGTTGTGTAATAAATTGTTTTCTAATGTTCAGATAAAGTCAAGACACTATGCTGGACTTGACTCTAGTGGCTCTCAACAAAAATTGAGAAATTTTCGAAATTTTCGGAATTTTCTCTTAAGTATGGGAAAATTTGAATAATTCGATCTTAAAATCTGACTCCACATCACATATCAAGCTCAAACATGATGAATCTGACCAAATTTGTAGTTCTGGCTTCTAATATGCTTTTGATATTTTTGTATTCTAAATTAGAAAAGTAATTTTTCAACGAAAAATCGAAATTTTGCAAAAATTTCAAAACGATTTTGGCATCTTAAAAGCAGTATACAAATAATTTTTGGAGATAAATGAACCAGTCAACTGTCTTAGAAGTCGTTAAACAAGGTTTAAGTATTGATTAACTCGCAATTTAACGTTTTTTTTTCGTTTCTTAAATTCCTCATAAAGTGATCAAAATCATGTTTTCTTCAAGATTATTAGTATCATTTTATCCTAAAAACAGAGTTTTACAATGAAGCAAGTTTGGACAAGAGAGCTTGTATATTAAGGGAGTTGTATACGTTTCAAGTTTTAGATTGATTGTGATAGAACTGCATATAAGTCTTTTTTTGTCTCAGAATTATATTTTCTAGTTTGAGATTCAATGCAATAATTTGGCGCGAAGATGAAATTTCACGCGCTAGTTTTGAGACGATCTCGTACTAACGTATTGGCGTATCTGTCGTAAACAACGCATAATATATCCAGATAAACACCATTTGAATATTTTGGATCCTCTAGTATCTTAGACTAATTTTAAGAATAAGTACAAATTTTCACCTTCTCCTTATACAAACACTGCCTCTATCAAATACTATAATCCTATAGTATAAGCAATGCTCAAGATGCGATTGGTAGCGAAATATTCACGTGAATCGATGAAATCATTTTGAATTACGGCCAAAACCAAAAGTAAAGAAAAGTGAAAAATAATCATAATTATACATTTATTGACTGATTATGTTAAAAATAAGTAAAAGATTCATATCAATTTCCAAAAATGAAACATTTAAGTTGCCATTTATACCATTAGTTAGTGAAACTGGTTTTCCAGGTGCCATTGGTAATACAGCATTATTGAAACTACCAAGAATTTCGCAGTCAATAGGTCGAAATATTTATGCAAAAGCAGAATTTATGAATCCTGGAGGTTCAATCAAAGATAGAGCTGCCTTGTACATCATAAAAGATGCAGAGGAAAAGGGATTGATTAAGGCTGGTGGTACTATTGTCGAAGGTACAGCTGGTAATACAGGAATTGGTTTAGCTCATGTTTGTAGAGCAAGAGGTTATAAATGTGTTATATACATGCCAAACACTCAAAGCCAAAACAAAATTGAAACTTTGAAATTATTGGGTGCTGAAGTTTATCCGGTTCCAGCTGTTGCATTTACTGATCCACAAAATTATAATCATCAAGCTAAAAGACATGCTGAATCTTTGGAAAATGCAGTATGGACAAACCAATTTGATAATATAGCAAATAGACAAGCACATATAGAAACTACAGGTCCAGAAATATGGGCACAATTAAATGGTCAAATTGATGCTTTTACTTGTAGTACGGGAACTGGTGGTACATTTGCTGGTGTTACAAGGTATTTGAAAGATATTTCAAATAATAAAGTAAAATGTGTATTAGCAGATCCTCCAGGTTCTGTATTATATTCATACATAAAATCAAATGGTAAAGAAATGATTCGAGGTGGTTCATCTTTCACTGAAGGTATTGGACAAGGTAGAGTTACTGATAATTTGAAACAAGATATTGATTTAGTTGATGATGCTTTGAAGATTCCTGATGAAGATTCAATAACTATGGTTTATAGACTATTGGACGAAGAAGGGTTATATTTAGGTGGTACAGGGGCATTAAATGTTCAAGCAGCAGTTGAAGTTGCTAAAACTTTACCAGAGAATTCAAATATTGTCACTATATTAGCAGATTCAGCTCATAAATATGCTGATAGAATATTCTCAAAAACTTGGTTGAAAAATAAAGGTTTGTTTGATGCATTACCTGAACATTTAAGAAAATATGCAGTTCTAGAATAAGATAGTATCTAATAGACGTTTTTTATTAAAAGGCATTACTTGTAAAATTCAATTCTCATTAAGATCTGATATAAAGTTTCGAAATGAGGCTTAAGCTGACAAATCTCGTATTTTTGAAAGCTGATGAGAAACTACTCATTTTGAGACATCTTACCTGAGAGAGATGAAGCAAATCAAACATCACGAAATCCTGTCAATCAAAATCACACAATATTGATTAAATTAGCAAATATCAATCAATCAATTGTAATTATATAACAGCCATACCTTAAAGAGATTACTCTTCGATAGCTTAATACTAATACAGTTTGGCAAAAGATAGTAATCATCAAAGGTTATCATATAGTTAGACCTCATCAGGCCATCTACAAATTAACCTAGCGTAGTAAGACATCATTAGACGATTACAGAAAGAAAAAATTGAATCAAAATTTTTTTATCGATTTTTTTTTTTTTTTTTTTTTTTTATCAAGTTTCTCAAGGAAAGTTGCAACTCTAGTAATAGTTAAAAAAAGAATAGGTTATTGATGAATCACCAAATTCAACAAGCTGTTGAGATCGCTTTGAGTGGAACTGCAGATCCAACTTTAAAAACTCAAGCTTTTGAATTTATTAATCAAATTAAAAGTACACAAGAAGGGTACCAATCATCTGTAAATATTTTATTAAACGATAATAATGGTTCAATTAATGAAGGTTTAAAATTTTTTATTTATCAAGTTATTCATGAGAATATTGAAAATTTAAACGAGGATCAGTTATTTTCTTTAAATAATCAGATTTTTAAAAAATTATCACAATATATATCAAATGAGGTACGAGAGCCACTGCATTTAAAGAACAAATTTTCACAAATTTTTTCAAAAATGTTCTGTAGTGTTTACTTGAACATTAACACTAATTTTTTAAAAGATGTATTATTATTAACTCAATCTAATAACCAAATTGCTTTAGATTATTATACAAGAATATTGATTGGCATTCATTCTGAAATTGGTGACAAATATATTGTAAGATCCCAAGAATTTCAAGATAGAGTAACTTTGCTAAAAGATGCAATTAGGAACAATGATATGACTCAACTAGTTGAATCTTGGAAATCGATATTGACAAATAGTTCCAACAATGATGAAATTTTAGATAATACCCTCAAAATTGTTGGTTCATATGTGACTTGGATGGAAATTAGTTTATTTGTGTCACCACAGTTTATAAATACAATCTTGAGCTTTTTGAAAAGTGAAAAGCAAAAAAATACAACTTCTCAAACCATAATTGACATACTTTCGAAGAAAATGCCCCCAAAGAATAAATTAGAACTAATTTCATTGTTAAATTTAACAGATATAATTTCATCAATTGATTTAAAAAATGATGACTTGGAATTTATGGAGAATATATCCAAATTGTTGAACCAAATTGGTCTTGAATTATTATTTGTATTGGAAAATGATGCAACTTTAGTTGATGTGGTCAAAACTCACTTATATAAACTTTGGCCGTTAATCTTTACATTTTTAGATCATGAATATGATGATGTTTCTCAATGTACTTTTCCATTCATTCAACACTTTTTATTTTTGAGTAAAAAGATACCACAATTATATTCCTATGAATTATTATCCACATTGCTAGATAAAATAGTGTTAAAAATGAAATTTGATGATGATGATGATGGTGAGGATTTAGATGAATTGCAAGAGTTTAATGAATTTAGACAAAAATTAAAATTGTTTCAAGATTCAATAGCAAGCTTAATGCCAACTTTATTTATTGAAAGAATACCTGTTATAATTAATGATTCATTATTTGGTAATACAACAAACTGGAGAAATATTGAATTGGGTTTGTATGAATTATCAAATTTTTCAGATATTTTAAGAAATAATATATTGAATATTCCCAAAGATAAGATTAATAATAGTGAACCATATTTAATTTTTCAAAATTTTTTAATAAAATTGATTAATTCCACTTTTATAATTAAACACAAACAAATTCAATCAATTTTTTTTGAATTGGTTATCAAACATTATTCATTTTTAAATCAACAAAAAAATAGTGATGAAATTGTAATTAGAATTTTAGAAATCTTTACAAGTCCTCTAGGTTTATTTAATGAAAATGAAAAAACAAGATTGAGAGTTTGGTATTTATTTTTTAGATTTATCAAATTAACTAAGCCAAGATTAAATAATGAAGTATTGATTGAAAATATTATCACGAATTTACAGCCTTTATTAATTATAAAAGCCGAATTACCAACTAAAGATGAAGATGATGATGTTGTACAAAATGGTAATTTTAGTAATCAACAATATTTGTTTGAAACTATTGGATTATTAATTTCATTAATACCAGAAAATTTATCATCATTAAAACTGAAATTAATTGATATAATTTTCCAACCAATATTTTATGACTTGGAACAATGTATAACCATGCATAATAATAAATCCGAACAACAACCACTTATAATTTTACAAGCACATCATTCATTAATGGCATTGGGTACAATAGCTAGAGGATATGATTATGAACAAGGGTTAAAATTTTCACCTAATATCATTGAAAAAGTTAATAATGCCGCACAAGTTGTTTTAATCACTTTGGAAAACTTTAGTAAATTTGAAAGTGTTAGAGATTCATCAAGGTTTGCATTTGCAAGATTTATTCCTATCTTAAAAAATACCAATGATGTAAGTTCACATTTAACAAAATTGATTACATTGATTTGGTCAAACTCAAATTTAAAGATGACTGAAATTAGTGATTTCTTGAGCTTTTTAGGTCAAATTATTCATAATTACAAAACTGATGAAAATATTTATCAATTGTTGAATAATTTTTTAACTCCCTTATTTCAAAAAATCTTTCATATTTTAAACGAATCTTTTGAAGAAGATTCATTAAGACCTGATATCATTAGAGATAAAAATTTCCTTAAAAAAAGTTTATTGACTTTAATTCATTCAATAATTACAAATCATTTATCAAGTTTATTAATAACAGAGACTAATAAACAAGAATTTCCTGAAGTTATGAGTAAATTATTTGAATATGCATATGATTTAAATGATTCTGGTAGTTCAAAATTAAGTATACAACAATTAACTCATTTGGTTAATATATTTGGTAATAGTGGAGGTAAAATTAATGATGACTTAGATAAATTTGGTCAAACATTATCTACTTCAGTTGAAGGTATTGATGAATTTTTAATGGAAAAAATTGTTCAATTATCTTTTGAATTACCATTTCAAAAGCAAGAATTTAATCCAAGTGATGCTCAATATAGATTAATTGCACAAGATATTGCAATTTTATTAAAAACTTATCAATTGAGAAAAAATGATGAATTTTTAAAATATTTATCTTCATATTTAATTAATATGGGTTTATCACAAGATTTAACAAATGATTTTTGTAACAATTTAATTAATTTAGATTTAAAAGATTTTAAAAAGTATTTTGTAACGTTTATAAATAAAATGAAGGGTGGGAAATGAGATATAAAAAAAACAGTAACGACAATCATTGACATTTTTTGCATTAATACAAAATTTACTGTAAATATGAAAAGTTTATAGAAGCATTTAATAAAAAATGTTGAACTATAAGAGTAAAAAGGTAAAAAGGTAAAAATTATCGTCTATTTATTAGTGCTTAATTTTTATGCGCATTAATCTCATCTCTTACATAATTTTTTTTGAAACAATTCAATAATGCCGAAGGATAATATAGAGATCCCACCCAAAGATGAAGAAGAATTAGAATTAGAAAAACTTGTATTTGGAGATTTAGAAGGGTTTGAAAATAATTTGAAAAAAGTTGATAATTTGTTTGATTATTCAGATGAAGATGAAATAGTGAATGAAGAAGTGGTAGATGATATTGATAGTGATAATGAATTAGATAATTTACAAGATCATGAATTGTTTTATCTAGATGACGGAATAGAGCAAGATGAAGAGAATGACTCAATGGATATAGATAGTGAGAGTGAAGAAGAAGATTTTGATGATGATGAGAACGCATGGCAAGATAGTGATGATGAAAAACTAGATATATCATTAACATCATCAGATCGATTGAAGAAGTTGCGTAAAACTGAACAAGATTCAAATATAAGTGGTAGATCATATGTCATTAGGTTAAGGTCACAATTTGAAAGAATATACCCACGTCCAGAATGGATTGAGAAAATAGATAATGAAGAAGAATTATCATCAGATGAAGAAGTAGATGAAGATGAAGATGAAGAATCCAACGCACAAGCAGATACCAAATCATTACTTAATGTATTAAAAAACACTCAACAATTTATAACAACAAAACAATTAAAATTGATATCACCAAATAAACTTTCCATTTCAAGATTAAAAGATGCAAATTATCAAAGAAGAGCAAAATCGGCTATACAGTCTATTTCATTTCATCCTCAATATCCAGTTTTATTAACTGGAGGTTTCGATAAAACAGTTAGAATTTATCAAATAGATGGTAAATCCAATAATTTCATAACATCATTTTTTTTGAAAAACTGTCCCATATATAATTGTCAATTTTCACCATTAAAAGATGAAACTATAATTTATGTTGCTGGAAGAAGAAAGTATATGAACAAGATAAACTTTAATAATGGAGATATTGAAAAGATTTCAAGATTATTTGGGCATGAAAAAACACAAAAATCATTTGAATCATTTAAAATTAGTAAATTTGGAAATTATATAGGTTTGATTGGTAATAATGGTTGGTGTAATATACTTAATGGTAAAACTGGTCAGTGGATTAATGGGTTTAAGATTGAAGGTACAATTATAGACTTTGATTTCACAAATGATGAAAAAATTATAATTATTGTAAATACTTATGGTGAAGTAACTGAATTTGACTTAGAAAATAATAAAGTATTAAGAAAATGGCAAGACGATGGAGGTATAGGTATAACAAAATTGAAAATTGGTGGTGTAAAAAATAAATGGATTGCTATTGGTAGTAATAATGGTATGGTTAATGTTTATGATAGAAATAATATTACAAGTGATAGACCAAAACCAATTAAAACTATTGAAAATTTAATCACTTCAATTTCTGATTTATCATTTAATAATGATGGTCAATTGTTATGTATATCTTCAAGAGCTAAACGAGATGCTTTGAAATTGGTTCATTTACCTTCATGTTCAGTTTATTCAAATTGGCCAACAAGTGGTACACCATTAGGTAAAGTTACAAGTGTTTGTTTTTCACCAAATAATGAAATGTTGGCTATTGGAAATGAAAGTGGTAAAGTAACTTTATGGAGATTAAATCATTATTAATAGAAATGTATTTGTCATGACATAAAAAATCGCAGAACTCTTCTAGCTTTCTCTTTAATATAGCACTTACTGCATGGAGTTGATCTTACATATTAAGTGTCTGGTAATTTACAATAACTTTTAGTGAAATATTTGAAAGAAAGTTATTTATTCGTTTTATCTATTTAAGGTTTTGTTGCATATGAGATACTCAAATTTCTACCACCATACAAATAATTGTTTAATTGATTAATTGAATTTTCAGCAGAATCTTCTAATTCAAATTGAATAACTGCATTACCTGATGATCTACCATTCGGTAAATATTGAATTTCAGCCTTAGTAGTTCTTCCAATAGTTTCAAATAATTCATATAAATCATCATTTTGAGTTGCAAATGGTAAATTAGCAACATATATGGTTTCACTTTTTGGTCCATCACCGGTGACACCTTCAGTAAATTCAGTATTTCTTGAAGTGGATCCAGAACCACCAGCTTCATCTCTTGATGAGTAATCTCCATTACTACCACCAAATCTTGATCCACTACCTGCAGATGATGATAATGCTGAACTAGTTTTTCCTGCTCTTGTATCGAGTTTTCTACCTTCAATTTCATAACCTTGAAACATTTCAATAGCTTTATCAGCTTCTTCTTTTGTATTAAAAACAACAGTACCAAAACCTTTTGATCTTCCTCTTTCATCTAATCTAACATCAGCTCTGACCACTTCACCAGCATCTCTCATTAAATCTTTTAATGCTTGCCAATTTATTGAAAATGGTAAATTACCAATGAAAACTTCTGTACCTGGAGCTGCTGGTTGGAAAGACGATCTACTTTCATAACCACCTCTACCACCATAACCTGAGTCAAACCCAACTCTACCTCCATATCCACCTCTACCTCCATAACCTGAGTCATATCCACCTCTACTTCCATAGCCACCTCCTCTACCACCTCTTGAATCAAAACCACCTCTTCCACCTCTTCTATTATCAAAGGTTCTACCACCTCTAAATGATCCTTTATCTGGAGGAGGTGGATAATCTTGTCTTACAAAAATTTCTCTACCTTGATATTCATACCTATCATACTTATTTATAGCTTCTTTAACATCATCTTTTGTATTAAATTCAACAGTAGCCATACCTCTTGACTGACCTCTATTTGTAACAATATCTGCACGAATTATATCAAAATCTTTACTAAAGATATTTTCAACATCTTTTGAAGTACAATCAAATGGAATATTCCCGATGAAAATTGAATTATCATAATTTCTTTCAGTTTTTGCACGATACAAATCATCGTTTCCAGGTGAATAAGAAGATCTTGAATTACCTCCGTAATCTCTTGAGCTTCTATAACCTCCTCTTCTTGAATCAGTATTATATGAAGATCTTGATCCATAATCTCTTCTTGAATAACTATCTCCTCTACTTGAATAATTTCTGTCATTTCCATAATTTCTATCTCTTACAGGAGATCTATCTCTAACTGGAGAACGATCCTTATAGATTGTTAGCAAATTGAATTAAAAAGAACCAATTAATATTAGATGTAATATTAATAAAGTAGAAAAGCAACAAAATGATGATTGTTTAAAAACTAAAGAAATATCAACCATCGTTTTCAAACCCACCAGCAACCTTATAAGTAGCAGTGTTTTCTCTTTCATATTTGTTACCAGCTACCTTACAAATAACTAACAAATAACAATCAATTGAATATCAAACAAAAAAGAACATACTATTGAATAATCATCAATATCCATACCTTCCATTATTTACCTTGAATTTTGTGTTATAAATTTTATTAATGTTGTGGGAAAGTATAAATGGTTTTAAATTTGAGTATTAATTTTAGTATAATATGTAAATTGACTTGGTTGTTATCAAACTATTAAATTTTGGGAGTGGTGATAAATTTTTCGTTCGTTGAATGAAAAAAAATAAAAAAGTGTTCCATAATTTACGAGAAATTATCAACTTACACGACCTACTATTTTGCAGCCATTTGAATTGAACTTGATTACGAAGTAACTGCATTCTTCTCAAAGCTATGAATTAGTAGAATATTAATGTTCATGCTCAAATAGTATATAATTCAGCTACAGCTCAAAATACCCGCTTTTGAAAAAATGATTTGTGTTTTTGGATATTTTTTGTTGTTTTTTGTCAATTTTCAACAAAAACTGGAGGAACAGCATAGAATTCTGAGTGATACCAAGTAGATGAGACCGATTTTATCACATACATGGTCATTAAAAAAGTACATTGCGTCATAAACAAAGGCTTCAATAATTTTAAATAATCACCTTTTAAAAAAACGCGTAAGTAACACTATACAATTCAAAATTGAACGTTTGTGCGTGGGATTCTGGGATTGAGTTTAAGTAAATCCAAACTTTACAATGATATTAAACTTTACAATAATACTAAACTTTATAACAGTACTACTAGTTTTCATCAATCATTAAATCCAATTATTTATCTATTTTAAGGTACACGAAATTCAAAACCAAAACAATGAAAATTTGGTAGCGGCTAAAAAAAAAAAAAAAAAAAAAATTAAACTAAATCTAAATCAAAAAGTTAATTTTAGTAACAGCCATTCCATTAATTTAACAATAACGTTTGACTTTTTATTATAGATATAGGTTCATATATTCTTACACAGTGTGCGTAACACTTTGACTCATTACTTATCACATGGTTAATAAAAAATTATAACAATTTAAATGATTAAAACTTCAGCCGGTGATCATCAACATTTCAATGCAGAAAAAGAGATTCGTAAATATTCAATAGAAGTTTCAACATTTGATGTTATTAAATTGTCAGATTTTCATAATTATAAATGTTCTACAATATGTTGGTATTTATATATGTGGATAGTTTTATTTTTATCAATTGCATTATTAGCCACTGATATTTATTCATGTTTAAATATTTTAGTATTTCATAGATGGGCTAATGATAGTTATACACCATATGCTTATTCAATTGCAAAATGGATTTTTACTGGTTGTATAATTTTTCAATTTTGTCTAATCATATATCATTTTATTTGGGCTATTCATATTTATAGAACCAAAAATATTGCGCTTGTTTATTTAAATTCAATTGCAAAGAGATTTTATTCAATTAAATCATATTATTATTTTTGTTTATTAAATAGCATAGATGAAGGAGAATTTTTTGATTGGTGTTGTTTTTTAACATATTATGAACTAGATAATGCTTTGCAAATTTTAATTGCTGACACACCAAGACAAGTTATTAATGTTCTTACTTTAAGGTATTACGCAACTGGAGGAGATTTAAATAATGCAATATTGAACAATATTAAACTTATCGCCAGGACAAATTTATACCTATCTATTATTTTAAGTTTTATGTGTTTATCAGTTGTAATTTATGCTATATTTTTATTTAAATTTTTATTTGGAATGATTATGTATACTCCAATTAAATGTTCAATAAAAGATACAAAACATAACACTTTGAAGAAATATTGTATTAATTTGATTAATAAAAGTGTACATAATGCAGTTAATTTACATCATAAATCAAAGAAAGAATTATTAGATCAAGGTTTATTATCTGAAAATAGAATTGCAAACTTACCTTCATTATCATCAATAAATAATTTTGATTCAGCTTCAACTATAAATTTGTATAATTTAAGAAAACAGCCATCATTACAAGATTTGAGTCAAACTGATTCAAATAGTTTATATGAAAAACAACAGTTATATGACTCAACAATGAATAACAACTCACATGTAAATCGAAGATTAAGTTTATTAAATGATAAAGTGAGGAAACAACATTATGACGATGTACCAAATTATAAACAACGACAACCATCAACATCAAATTTACTACAAGAGAGCACCAAACCAATTAAAAAACCGCCCTTATCATATAATCAAGAATTTAGGTCTACTAGCGAGCAATTGAATAAACAACCGGAAAGGAATTTTACAGATTATTCGATTGAAACGGTTAAAGATCCATTCATTGATAATTTAAATATATCAACTTCTTCATTAACTAGACAATATGATAATCCATACCAAGGTATCGCCCAAACAACCATCACTCAAAACTTAAATAATTCAACTAGTTCATTAAATTACGACAATCATGAAGTTATTCCACCAAGACGAATATTTACAGATGAATATCCAATATCAGAACAAGAAAAAGAGATGAAATTAGCAGAAATGAATGATAGTAATGATGATTTTGATATTTTAGATGCTTATAATCTGAAAAATAATCTGAATGAATCATTAACACCGTATCCAATACGAGGAGTTTCAAAATACTTTGAAGAATAATCATTAAATATATACATTTCATTTTTATTTACAAGTAGTAGCAAAGTTTTTTATTGTTTCTTTTGTTCATATTCTAATTTTAATTTTTTTAATTCTTCTTCACTAATTGGAGGTATTGGAATATCAGCAAAATCATCTTCTGCAATTTTATGAAATGTATAATAATAAATACCAACAGGTACCAGACCTAATAAAAATAAAGCTATTGTATTTCTCCAAAAAAATGGTGCTCTAACTCTGTATAACGCAGGTGTCATTTGATGAGTCTTTGGATCATAATAACGAGTTTGACCTTTTCTAAAATGAGTGTTAGTAAATAATTATAAAATGATAACTAAATAACATACGGTGCTCCAATTAATTTACCCATTTTTAAATGTAGTTTAATATTGAATGGTATCTGATAATTTTATTATTTGATTTTGAAAATTTGATAAATGCACGAGTCAGTCATGTGATTACGCACGTGAGTTGAATTCATCATAAACATTCGGATGGTTTCAAGAAAATGTTCTTGCAAGAAATTGAGTAGAGTAAGATTGATTTATATGGTTTTAAATTTCGAATCACTAGTAATTTAAGTTTTAAATTTTGGTGTTTTCAATAACAAAGCGAAATTTTGATGCAGCCAAATCGTGACTTTTGTGAAATCAAAGTTCAATTCCGCAATTAAACTAGTCAACAATACACTTCAAATTGAAAACGTTCATATTCACAGATTTTATTCACATATTTTTTTGTCAATATTGATGGTGGTAAGATAAGGAAATTCTGAAATAACTTTTAATAGTTAATCCTGAAATTCAAATGGCGAATAACTCTCTCAATATTCAAGCTGTACTCGTCAAACCATCTTCATCGAAACTTTTAAAAATTCAGACTCGACCCATATTAGGTGGCTCTGTAAGAACTCATTTCTGATTACTTTATTCTACGTTTAAAAAATGATCAAAAATGCTATTTTGCGAGATTATTAATACTTGAACATCATTTAGCAACTTCTAAAGCATCTGATAAAAAGCATCTGATAATTTAATTATTTACTCATGAAAACTCTTTGTATAATGTTTTCGAGAAGCCATAATCGATTTGAAATTTTTTAAAACAATCGAAACACCCTTAAAAAATTACTTTTTTGATTTTTAATACCTTAACATGGAAATATCTAAATTATTTGAGATACAGAACTACAAATAAGGATAATTTCATCATGTTTAGATTTGAATACTAAAAGTGGAACTAGATTTTTTATAAGCTCAATCTATTCGCATTTTGTCATACCTAAGAGAAAATTTTGAAATTTCTCAATTTTGGGTCAGGTCAGGTAGAATTAAGTTCAGCCCTTTATTTTGATGTATATTATATATAATACGTTGTTTAATTGAAGGTTATGGCCTTAAAAATAGTATCATACAAAAAATTAGCCAAAACTGAAAACGCAAAAAAAAATGTTCAAAAACCGAATATTCGAATATGTAGAATATATAAGTCATGGCTTTTGAGCTCATTGACTCAATTTATTTCTCGTTAAATTGTGTTGATCATGAAATGTAAACCAATCATTTGAGTATGAGTCGCCCTACCAGGAGCGCCAGGAATATTTTATTGTGGTACTAGTTTTAGTCGAGAAATACATGCGTAAAGAAAAACAAAAGAAAAACAAAAGAAAAACAAAAAAAAAATAATTCTGAAACAAAATTTGAGTTATATGCAGTCTTGTTAGTATTAAAATTCAAAACTTATTTGTAAATAACTTTCTCAATATTCCAGTTCAACACCTTAAACTTAGTTCATTAAGATCTTCAAACAAATAGAAATAAACTGATGGTAGTATCGTTCAATAAAACATTCAAATGACCATTTTATTTTACATTAAAGAACTAGCAGAAATCGCTTAATTGCAAGATAATCAACACTTACAAATCATTTTGCAACTTCCAGAATAGTGAAAACAGGTTCTTTGACTCCCAAAGTTTCTATACAATATTTTTCAAGGCATCATAAAAAATAAAATTTCTAATCTATGGGACGTTTTGGAAAATTTGGCCTAAAATTGACCTCTTCCAAATTGCTTTAGAATTGTCGTAATGAAATTTTGACCCAATTTGAGCACTAAACTTGCTTACCAATCAGCATTCTCGAGTCTAGATATACTTATATTCAATTTTACTAAAACTCAAATTTCTAATTTACTCCTTCAATATTCAAGCTCTTACGTTGATCTTAGGCTCATTGAAAACTTCAGCCAATCTCAACTCAGAATTTTGCTTGATATTCATTCTCTTGAATATTTCCTTTAACTAACTTTTTGTTTGAAAATTTTCATTTTTTTATTACTTAACTATTGCGGTTAAGATGTTTGTGACGCTTCTGATTGGTCGGTTTCAGATTGGAAATCATGAAAACTTTACGCTATTAACATGAAAACACTACAGATTGATAGAAATTTAATTGTACGTTAATCATATGTAGAGTTTTTTACATTTGATTTGCTGGTCATTTATATTTTTGATCTTTAAATGGGTCGCTTAACTATTGCGGTTAGGATGTCATTTAACGTTTCTGATTGGTCAATTAACCTCAAAACCATAAATTTTAACACTATCAGCATGAACCTATTACAGATCGATAGATATGCAATTGATCACTTACCTCATGTATAGCGTTAGTCTCTAGACCTACTGGTTCCAGAGTTATCTGCAATTTCTCTTATTTGTAAGCCACATTTCCTAATTCGGTTTTTATTTTTTGGACCATCATCAAAACCAATTTTTGTTACACAAAAACAGCTCCACAAATTGACAACTTTTCTTTTTACAAATCTTAGTTAAATTGTTGATTATTGACGCAAAACAAACTCTATTAATCTGAAATTTAACAATCGATAATCGTCAATAGCTCTAGTTTATTTCATGGGATTGTAAGGTGGTGATAGATGCTGATCGTTACCAGAATCCAATTAATTCGAAATTTTGTTATTCTTAAAATGAAACACGTTCAGATAGACCTACTAATTTAAAAATAGTTGCATTTGTATCTCCTGAATCTTCTAATTCCATTGAGCCCAATTGAGTTATTTGTGAAGTTCTTTAATGTTGAAAATTGAAACTTTACTGTCTATAAAATAAATAAAATATTAAATTTCAAATTGTAAGTAACTGTATCAATATTGAAGCTATTACTCTCAAGCTTATTTTATTGATTTCTTTCAAAAACTTGGAATGATTTGAAACTACTTTCTTTAAAGCACACATGATTTTCGCCTAAACCATATTTTAATCATATAAAATGGCCTCAAGTTAGCGCTAGATTTTATTTGGTCGCACCAGATCATCGCATTAAAAATTAAGAATAAGTGTCAGACACTTCTGATTTACAAGCATCTCAAGATTTGAGTTGTAAATAACTCTCTCAACAGATATTGTTTCATCAGTTTTAATGTAGTTAAAAGAAAGGAACTATACTCCAATTATATTAGATCTAATAAAATTCATTATCATTATTCGGATATAAAAGTATGGTAGCGCACATGAATATATTTTGGTCCACCCTTTTCCAATAATGTCAGATAATTCAATTCAAGAACCAATTGATTCCACCAACAGTATATTTTCATTCTTTAAAAATCATTATATAATTATTTTCCTATGTTTGTTTATCTTAGGTTTATTACTTTATCATTTCCGTTTTAAATTAATTGCACTACATGATCGATATAGAACAAGAACTCGATTTTCAAACGGTTTTTATGAGGATTTGAATGATGGTTTGTCTAGTATCAATTTCGATTTGGAATCCAATATTGAAAATGAAGATATTAGAGATGGTTTGAATATGGAAAATAAAAATAAAATTAAAAAAATTATGAAGGATAAAGGTTTAAATTTTGATGATGCTAGATTAGAATTAATAAGGAATGAACTACATGAGAATGAGATTGATGAGGATGGAGTACCTAAAGATCCTAAATTGGTGACATTTAAGTAAGGATGAGTAAGATGCCACTATCATAACTATCATAACTGTAAGGATGTAAAAAACTGAGATATGATGTGTCTTGAGGTATCTTGCGAGAAATTGATGTGTCTAAATGATTTTGAAGTATCGCTGATAATGATTAAAAGTGCTGAACCTGATTGAAGTAATAGGAAGATACGCTTCTGGTTGTATATACGCTTCTGGTTGCATATTCAATAAAACAACAGCGAACGGTTACTAGTGAGCTTATTAGTAGTGATTAAATAGCCGGTTAATGTGAGAGATTGTGTTTATCCTTTTTAATATTCATTAAACTATTTGCTGCATTCTTACACTGTGTATCTATCATTTCTTCAATCCTTACTTTATTGGATAAGGTAATACCAACCTTCTAGCAACTTCAGTTTCTTTATTATCTTCTTCTTCACCATCAAATATTAATCTTACATTACCATCTTTCTTATTCCCCACAACAATAGCTGGATAAAATGTAGTTGTTTCAGGATATTGAGCTAATACTTTGGTACCATAAGCATAATTTATCAAATTATCCCATAGATTTTTAGGAGGAATTAACAAAATTTCTTTCCATGTAGCTTTATACATCCGTCCTGGATTATTATTTTCATCTGGTTCAGGATCTCTAATTTCAAATTTGGACCCGTCATTACCTAAAATTTTTAAAACTTCACAATTAATCCATTCTTCAGGAAATCTATTATTTTTTAATTTATAAGCAACTTCTGAGCCTACATATATAGGTTCAGATGGGGTATATTTAGATTGCCAAAATGATTTACCTACTTTCTTTTTGATATTGTTCTTTTTTGATTTTGGTTGAGTTATTGTTTTACCTTGATGCTGTTTTTTAGATGAGGTTTTAGTGGGTATTGGTTTCTTTTCTACTATTTCTTCATGATCTTCTTCGTCTTCATTTATATTTGTATCTTGTTGTTGTTGTTTTTCTTCTTCTGTCTCTCGTTGTTGTTCTTGTTCTTGTTGTTGTAGTTGTTGCTCTTGGTGAACTTTTATTTTCTGATTCTCTTGTTCTGTTTGTAAATGAGTAATTATTTTCAATAAATTTTCTTGTGAAGTATCTATTAATCTTTTAGCAGTACCTATATTTAATTTATGATCATTTATATCTTCTTTTAATTTAGAAAAATCAGTATTTTCTGGTACATTTGAATATAAATTATTAAACAGTAAAGATTCATTTGAGTTGCATATGTCTTGAAGACTAGTAATCACGACATCCCAATGAGATTCAACTTCTGATTGTTGCATATTATTGATTATTTATTGTTGATGAAAAATTAGTGTCGTGTCAAAAAATATTTGAATTCGTAAAAATGAATTTCGAGACATTGAAAACTGGAAATGAATGTTTCAGATTATTCTAAATGATGGTTTAATATTAATATCTTCAGTTACAAGTTTATACAATTTGTATTCACAATATATCACTAACAAATATAAGAAATCAATATATGGTTTATCATTTGATTATATTTTACTCAATTTATTATCTTCATTGTTGACAATTATACAATTCATTACTATATCTGCAAACCTTCAATCGATACAATTCCAACATTTAATAAGATACAATTTTAACTCATTCTCATTCAATTATTTGTATTGTACAATCTGCTTCATACATTTTGCAGGATCTTGTTTTTTATTTGTACAATTATTCAAATATGAAAAGACTAGAAATGAATATCAACATTTCACTTATGCTACAATCTTTATAATTTGCATACTATTCAGCCCATTAGTTTATTTGATTCATTGTTTAGTCTATAATAAAGCAATGATCAATATTTTAGATATTGTTGAGTATTTAAATTTATTGACTTCAATCATTGATTCAATAAAGTTCATTCCTATTATATCTACTAATTTATTTATGGAGACATATAAAGGATATAATTCAAATTGGTTATTATTGGAGATGATGAGTTATTGGTTGATCGTGACTTATTTTATATTTAATAATTATCAATATTTCAATAAACCGTTAAATTATCGAAATTCATTGATATTATTAATTGGATTATGGATAGCTGTAATAATGTATCAATCCAAAATTTATAAGAAAAATGCATAGAATCTCAAGATCATTAATTTTTGTCTATGTTAATGTGATAAAATAAGAATTGTAATCTCGTATGCAACATCCTAGAGATTACAGTTAATTTTTCAAATATAGGTAAAGGATGCACTAGAATAGGCATATAACAGAAACATAAATTTTTAAGGATGCCAAAGAGCAGTAATAAATATATCAATCAACCACTTCGTTGCAAATTCTAGTATCAACATGCATGAGAAGTAACTAAGCAAAGACATAAATATATAGCCACAAAAGTACTACGAGATTTTTTTCAAAATTGATGCTGGTTTCAGTTCCATTAATTTGATCTCGTAAACCCAAGGCATTATATATCTATGCCCCGAGCGTTCTCAGATCCATTTTTACAGCTAAAATAAAGACAATATATTAGAACTAATATATAAATGATCACAGTTATCTTAACGGTACTTTTAATGCCTTTTAAATCTATACCTATAGTGGACAAGGAAACCCAAAAATAGTAAGAATGTAAGGATGCAATTGAATAGAACATTAAATCAATGGAACAAGATTAGATTATAGAGTTGACGTAAATAGTGCAATTGTAACTTCTATATTTATAATTTCCCACCTAATAATTTTACAGCTAAATGAACACCATAACTAATCTTTCTATCTTCATCAATTTCATATTTTGGTTGATGTTCATCATTTAAAGTCTCTTTAATCACTACAGTATCTAACTCTTTATCATTTTCAACTTGATTTTGTTTCTTTGGTCGAAAATCATCTAATGTCAACTCATTAGCATATTTCATCAAATTATCAATTTCAAATTTCATCTTTTGTTTTAATTCTTCATTTTTAGTAATGACAATTGCATTACTTTCTAAATCATAATTATATGCACGTTTAGTATAGTTTGAACTACCAATGATTGTTAAACTTGGAACTGATTCATTTGGAATACTTACCCATATTCCTTTTGCATGATAACTCCAACCATTTATTGTATTTACAATTCCATTCTGCCATTCATATACAGTAATCATTGTTTCTTTACCCATTTTTTTAATTTCCTCCAAAAATTTTTTTGCAAATAACAAATAAGCCATTGGTAAATAATATGAAATTCCACTTGATTTATAAAATGAATTTGCTTTAGGCAGGGCAGTTATAACTTTACCTGTTGAGCTTGCATGTAATAATTTGGATTGAATTGTGGGTAACATATTAAAATATCCAGCCGTGAACCACCATTTAATTTTCAGATCACTTAAAAAAGACAAGATTCGAAGAATTGAAGGCAATTCAGTTGAATAATCTTGAAGTTTAGGGAAAAGTGGAGTAAATTGGGAAATTGGATAAACTAAAGTGTCAAAATTGCTATTATCGTAGTTGTATTGCTCAAATGATGATAATTTATTTTGTTGTAGTATTGGTTTTATTAAATATGAAACATCACTGATATATCTTTGAAGATTCAAATGTGGTTCACATGTGGGATTAGTAGTTGGCCATACCATTTTAAATCCTTGTTTTAATGTATCACTATACTTTATTTTATAACTTATTGAAGAGATGACCTTATGTATTTTAAAATAATAATTTGTCAATTTCTCATCTTTGAATATGTAATATCTATCTTGTCTATTTGTAAAATAATCTTGAGATAAATTAGCACCACTTAAAATTATTTCATTATCAAATCCATATAATTTCATATGTTGTAATCCCCAACCTTCGTTTAATCGTTTGGGAAGGATATTTTTAGTAATGCCTTGTAAATTTGGAGTATGATACATTCGAATATCAATTCTTGAATCATGTTTTTTTTGTAATGTTGTCAAAATAGATGCTGATGATGGTTGATTTGGCGATTCACGAGTCCCTCTCAAAGCATCAGTTAAAATATAAATTTTTAAATTCGGATTGGTAGTCAAAGCATCATCTAAACATTCAATTAATTCAATTTGTTTCTTACCAATATATAAAGAAGATAAGAAAATTCTATCTTTTGAGGATTTAATTTTGTCTTTTAAAGTTGAATAAAAATCTTTGGGAGACATTAAAATTTCAATATCTGATGAATTTATAAGGAATCTAGGTGCTATTGAATCTAATTGTTGAATTAATGAATATAATTTAGGATTAAAATTTGATGAAATATCTGAAGGTAAATAATCATTAATTTGAGATGCAGTTGAAAAATTAGAATGATGATTTTGTAATGGTTTATTATAATTAAAGAAATAGTTATAAATTGAATTTATCATATTAATAGAAGGATATGATATTAATGGAATAAAATGTTTAAATCTTAATGAATAATGAGTTCTTTTAATTATCATAAATCTTTATTATTCGATGCCAATCGTCTGGGTTGTATATTTTTCAATTGATAAGAAAAAGAAAAACAAATTGCTACCAATTGTTGTGTCACGTGCTAGAGAATAAAACGATTAATTGCGATAAGGCGTCTAGCCGTTGGCTATACTACTGTAACCAGAGATAAGGTGTTTGCCCATTGTTTATGCTACTGTAACTGGAGAAAAGGTTGTTAGTTATCTCTCATTTATTGTGTGATACACTTCTTGGAACTTAACTCTAAAATTTACATGATATATGGCCTATTTACAAATCCATCTATGCTATCTATCTTATTTTCACTTTTATTGGACCCTTACAGTTTGCACCGTTATTATCGTGCTTTACCCTTCCCAGCTTTAATAATTATAACATCACCATCTTCAATTATATACTTCTTACCTTGCCTATATTGTTTTCCCATTGATTTTAACATATTCTCATCAAATTGTTTCAATTTCAGTAAATCTTCCCATTTATAAACAATTGAATTTATAAATGTATTTTTTAAATCAGTATGAATTAATCCTGCAGCTTCCAATATTGTAGAATTTTTCAAAATTGTCCATTGTTTAGATTCTGTTTCACCACAAGTATAAAATGAAATTAATTTTAGTAATGATCTCATTTCTTTAATTAACTGATTCAAAATTGTTTCTGTACCATTTTGATAGACTTCCAATTCATCACCTTTTAACTCATTTATCTTGGTTTCGTATTCTCCACTAAACATTAATAATTTATCTTTATTATTTGAATTTTCATTAACCCATTCTAGAACATTTTGGTAGTATTTATTCTCCTGGTTTTTATAATCTTCTTCACTCACATTTAGACAATAAATTGTAGGTTTGGCAGTGAGTAAATTTAGTTTGTTTATAATTTTGATCTCGTCTTCATTGAATTCGGACTCACAATTGATTATTTTCTTACCATTATATAACAAATCAATTACTTTATCCATTAGATTCATATTTAATTCATAATCAAGACTCTTAACCTTATTAAATTTCATCTTCTTATTTAATTTTTGTAGTTGTTCAATCTCATTTTCAATAAATTCAACATCTTTTAAAATTAACTCATCTTGAACAATAATTAAATCTCGTATTGGATCTATTGTCTTTTCAATATGTGTAATATCATCATTTTCAAACCCTCTCACAATTTGTATAATTCCATCTACTTGACGAATATTATTTAAAAATTTATTACCCATTCCTTCTCCAAGATTACAATTTTTAGTTAATCCAGCAATATCCCATATAATTAAATTTGTATTAATTTTTTTATTTGATTTGAATATCTGATTATAATGATTTAATGTTTCCAGTTCAACTATAATTGTAGATTTTTCTGGTTCAATAGTTGCAAATGGATAATTTGCTGGATTACCAAGTTTTGATTTTGTTAAACTTTGGAAAAAAGTTGATTTTCCAACATTTGCTAAACCAACCAAACCTACTGATAAATTATTTGATGATTTCTTACCTATATAAATTGAAGAACTTGTGTCATTGATCTGTTTGAATAATTTTGAAAATGTTGCAAAATTTCGTGAAAATTTCATATAATTAAATGAAAACAAAAAAAAAAAAAAAAAAAAATCTGCAACACGAATATTTGATAAATGAACTAATATATTCTTCGCGTAGCCTCAGGGCGACTCGTACTAAACATATTGGGTCTATATCTCATGAACACTAAATTTTCTTCAGCTAAATGCAAATTTTATAAATTCAGGAGCCTCGAATTGTATATTTTTAATACTTCAAATCTTTGATTTCAAATTTTTTATTTTTTGGCTTGTCATTTTGGCCCTTTTTCATCATACAAAAAATGTGCTACAAATGAAAACGCAGGGTTTATTTTATTTACGGCCATAACTTGCGATTAAAGAGCGAATTATATATATTCTACCTCAAACTAAAGTGCTGAACTTATTGTTACCTGACCTGAACTAAAATTGAAAATTTTCGGTTTTTTTTCTAAACTATGGAGAAAATCGAATAAATTGACCTTACGAAAAATCTAGTTCCACCTTTACTATCCAAAATTAAACATGATGGTCTGACCAAAATTTCTAGTTCCTGCTTCTGATATGCCTTTGATATTTTATTGTTAAGGTATTCAAAATTGGAAAACTAATTTTTCAAAGGTGGTTTGAAATTTTTGAAAAAAATTCAAAAAGATCACAATGTCTTGAGACTTCCATATATACATTTCTTATAACAAACTGAACCAAATTAACTATATGCCAAGTTGCTAGATGAGGTCTAAGTGCTATTTATGTTTAAATTTAACGTGTTTTTGCCGTTTTTTTAATGATGAATTAAATGATCAAAAATATGTTTGCCTAAAGAATTCCAGTATCAGCATACTTTAGAGTTATTGTCTATTTGAAAAAAAAAAGTTGGACAACACTAGCTTGAATATTGAGAAAGTTATTCTCGATTTAAGTTTCATAGTTAGCTTTGACGATACTGCATAGAAGTCAAATTTGTTTTAAAACTATCTTTAAAAATATGTATTTTTTATGCGATGGAATTTGACGCGACAAATTTATTTCTCGCCTTGAAGCTACGTCGGCCCGTGCTAAATATATTCGCTTCGAATTTTCATCAGAGAAGTAGAAGATATATGATTCAAAGTCGTTTAGAACTCTCATTAAAGTTTTGTTACTATAATATTCTTATTAAAGATTCGTATGATCATGTAAACTGAAATAAATGGTTAGTTACTGCAAATTTAATATTTCATTTCAGCTTCATCTAACAAATAAAATATTAAAATTGGGTAGCTGATACTACGTAGAAGAGTTCCAGTTATAGAATTGGTTCCATTACGAAGTTAAATGAATAGTATAGTTTTCAAGCTAATTATGAAAATATGACAATAATAAATACTATAGTTGGAGCATGTCATTCAAGAAATCCAATCAAAACCATTATACGCATCATTTAAATATTCAACTACATTATTATCTTTACAAGATGGTACAATAACTTGGTCTCTTTCTTTATATATTCTGATATTACTTTCTTGATCTTTGATATCCTAAATTGTCAATTTATTTCACTTCATGAATATTTAATAAAAAGATCAACAACAGTTTGATCAAACATTCAAGACTTGAAAAAAATATTTGTTATGACAGTACCTTTCATGTATTTGAGACATAGTCAACTATGTCCAAACAATGACCTTTTTCGTGTAATTAGGGTATGGAATTGACGCTATTTAGTAATCAAAACTAAGCGGCTAAACAGGCTACTTTTTTATACAATCTTGTTCTTACCACAATATAACAACTTTTTAACGCCTTTATTCCCAAAAAATTTCCATTGATCTTGATGAACCGATTTCGGAAACAGATTCATTATAATTACCTAGTAATACTATTTATTGACGAAAATCATTAGCTGATAGTTTGGATTTTTATGTTTTTTTTTTTTGCGAACTGGTCTATTTATGTACAAATTCCATAAAATAACTATGAACAAATTAAAACTCTATAGCAATTTGTTTGGTCTCTCAACTCTTAACCAAACGTAAATCGATAAGAAATTAAATGTAACAGACTATAGACTCTTATTAGTTCTAAAAAAGAGCTCATTTCTCGTGAATTTGGTATAGAAAAAGCAAAGTATGTATATGCTATATGCTTCTATTTAGGTACTAATGGTTTCCAATCAGCCATAGATTTAGTAACTCTAGGCGGAGGTGGTGGTGGTGGTGCTTGCTGCTGTTTCTGTTCAACTTTGTTTTCTTCTTTTTCTTCGATTTTTAATTTATTTGAAGTTAATGATATTGGTTTAGTAGGTACCATTGGTTTAAAATTAAATTCTTTTGCTTGTTGTACTGGAGTTGATGAATTCAGATTATTAATTGATGAAGAATTTGAATTTGATCTAGTTGGGATTAAAGGAGATGAAGATATTGATATTTTAGTAGGTGCTGGATTCTCAATTGAGTTAACTTTTCTTACAGTTATTCCATTTTGTTCAATTGGTGGTAATTTTCTTGGAAATATTTCAGTACTTGAGTTTACTCTTCTACTTATTGGTGGTGGTGGTATTCTTTTAGGTATATCTGAAGAAACTGGTCTATTTGGTAATTTTGGTACAAATTCATCATGATAATCCAATAAATTTAAATCTTGTAATGTGTCCTTTGTAAAATCATCATTATTTGTCTTTGGTGAATTATTTGATATTGAATCTTCAGATTGGATTGAAATTAAATCAAAATTATTTTCTTGTCTAAATTTATTATATAAATCTTTTGCCATATTTGATTTTTTTTCCTTATTTATGAATTCAACTTTACATTTAAAAGTAGAATAAACAGGTTTATGATCACTTAAACAAATATCCATAATTGAATTGTAATTTAATTGTTCTAAATCTGATCGTTTACTTTTTTGACTCATGAATAGAATTCGATCAGTCCATGAAGGAACTCTTTGCTTTTCTGAAGTATCATAATTTGAAGTTCCCTTATCAAATTTATAAGTTGGATAAAATTTAATATCACCTTCATTGAATTTTGAAAATGCACCATTATTCTTTCTTTCATTTGTTAATTGATCATTTAAAATTAATTCATCAAATGCTCCATTTTCAATTAGATTCCTACAATTTAAATTAGGTAAATTGATTCTATAATTTAAATCTCCAAACCATAATATATGGTCATGATCTTCAATTGAATAATTTCTTGTAAATATTAAACCTTGCATTATTGTAGTATAATCATTAAATCTTTCCATTAATGCTTGTGTACCAGCAGCTAAATGAGATGTAAATAATGCAAATGATGTTGAACCAAATTCAAATCTGACTGCACATGCACCTTTATTTGCAGTCATACCTCCCAACCCAGTCTTTTTTGAACTACCGGAAACTTGAGTAATTGATTGAATTTTTGAACTTTTAGCAAATAAAAATAATGACATTGATGAAATCGATTCTGTTCTTAATAATACATATTGTTCGTTTTGAGAATTTAATTGTTGATTTATAATTGAGGCCCATTTATTTGGTATTGTTGGATCATTACTTAATATTGAACCGGCATTTAATTCAATTAATTCTTGAAATCCAATAGCATAAACATCTGGCATTGTTTCATTTTCTGGTGGGAATAACCATGAAGTTAAATCAATATTTGAAGGTTCTAATGCATTTACATTAAAAGTACCAGTGAATAAAACTATATCTTCATAAGTTGTAAATAAATTTGAACTCTTTTTCAAATTGGATATTACATATTCACTTGCAGGGTTGAAAATTTTAACTTTTTTTGAATTTTTACCATAGCCTAATAATAAATCAATTGTTGTCTGTTTTCTTCCATCTACAAATGTGTTTTGGTACAATCTCGAAACAGATTTAGTAACATCAGATAATGCACCTGCAATATTCATTTTACCAGATCTTGAAAATGACGATTTTAATGCATTAGTACCTGTATATATTTGAGAAATTGCATCGCCATTATCAGCCCATAATGCATTATGTTTAAGTATAAAACTTTCATTCATAATTCCTTGATTTATTAAAATATTTTCAAAAATTCTTCTACATATAATTTGTTCAATTAAATTTGTGCGATCAAGACAATCTAAACAGTTGACTCTAAAAATTCCATCTTGTCTTGTTATAGTTTCATCAGTTCTTAAATCATATGAAAAATATCCAAATTGTTGTAATGAATCTTTTAATTGTGGTAAAATTTTAGTTGCACCAGCAAATCCACCAGCAATTTTAGTTTCATAATGAAAATCAAAATCTGTATAGTCAATTTCTTCTTTACGATTACAATTCTCATATAGTTTTCTATATCTATTTGAAATTTGAGATTCTGAAGTTTTGGTTTTTGATAATAAATCAATTATATGACATACTCCATAATCTTGACATACGTTTGAAAAATGCTTATTGAAAACAGGCTGAGTTGCTTCTAATGATCTAGTTAATGTAATTTTAGGATTAATTAAACTAGAATCTTGTTCCCAAAAAGTAGGAACAGAACCTCGAATTTGAGTATATGAATAAATAAAAGATTTGTTGGTATATATGAATTCAGTTTCAACAAAATTTGCAACATTTCCATTATCATCAATACCTCTAGTAATATATCTGGTACCTGCACGTTTCCAAGATTGTTTTGATATTATAGTAATACTAGTAGATTTCCCTAATGATACAGTTTTTGCAAAACCTCGAATTACAGTAGTTAAAAATTTATTATCGTCCATAATTAATTGATTATGATTATCTAAATTTGATTTAAATTGAATTAATTCATCCATTAAAAAAGAATTCCACATATATTGAGGCTGATAATGGTTTATTGAATCTTCAAAACCTCTATTTTGTAATAAAGAAGTTAAATCAAAATCATTTGAATAATAAAAAGAACCATTTGATAACAATTTTCGAATCTCAAAACATGGATGTTGTACTCTCGCCTCTTCTCCCGCTTCTCCCGCTTCTTCTTGAGTTAAAATCGGATAACCTGAACTATCAATATCAACAAAATCCCAATCATTATTATTTAAAGATATAAAATCGACTGAATAAATTTTATTCACAATTTCATTATTAATAGGATTAGCGACATTTGTAAAAGCTCCCGTTATAACTGCAAGAAATATTTGATTTTCAATATAAATTAAACCTAAACAACCGAATATTTCTCTTTTAATTAATAATTTGTACCCTTGATCTTTAATATTTGTATTGGAACATAAATCTAGGTTAATAATCGGTTTATTAGTTTCCTTCGATAATTTTTTGTTGTATTTAAAAGTTAAAGTATAAGTATCTGAATATAAAGCTAGTATTCGAGGATTTTCCAAGTATAGTAACTTCATAGTAAGGATTCAATTGTAACCTTGCAACAAACACTTTTGATACTTTTTAACTGTTGAAGTCGAAACGAAAAAAAAAAAAAAAAAATTATAAAATTGCCCTGGTTAAAAAATCAAAAGTTTTACTTGGTAAGCCAACAACATTCAAGTAATCACCAACCATACTTTTAAATAATAAACAGCCTTTACCTTGATACTTGAATCCACCGGCTACTTGTAGTCCTTCTTCTGATTCAATATAACTATTAATTAGTAGATTAGCATCATCATCATCATCATCATCTCTAAATTGTAACTTTGTTATATCATAATCTTGATAATATTTCACTTGTCTATTATCAATTTTAATCAACGTTAAAGCTGATATTACTTCTATTTTTCGATGTTGCTTGAAATAATTGAAATATTCTCTCTGTTTTAATTTAGTTATAGGTTTTTCAAATATTTTATCATTACACGCAATTATAGTATCACAAGTTAATATTAAAGTTGGCGGTCCGTCTTTGTTAATACTGTCTAGTATATTAATAGCTTTATATTTACTTGTTAATTGAACATATTCCAAAGGTGTTCTATTTTTATGTAAATTTTCGTCAAATTGTGATTCAACTACAACAAAGTTGGTAATACCAAAGTTATTAATCAATATTTCTTTCCTTCTTTGTGATTTCAGCCCTAATATTAACTGATATTCCTCAAGTTTCTTAATTAACGGATGATTGAATGTCATTTTTATAGTGACGCGTAAATTTTATTTTGTTTCGTTTTTTGTTTTGTTTTGATTTATTTTTTCACCAATGTCTTATTATGATATTGATGATATTATAGCTGATTCACAAAAGATACCTTGTCAGTTTAATATTACGGTTCCTGGTTTAGGTTATTTAGAAGGTAATCCTGGTAAATCAATTAAACAAAATACTAAAATTGAATTACCGTTTTGGTTGGCTGAAATTTTAGCTATTTCAACCATTTTGAATAATGATGAAAGTTTTATTAACCTAATTGATCCTGATTTTATATCTACAAAAATTATAAATGCTATTAAATCAGATTCAAATTCTATTGATTTACATAAGATTATATCTCATTATTATGTTTCAATAGAGAAATGGTGTAAATTATTTAATGACGTTGAATTGATTGAAAATTCAATGCATTTATTAAAACAACGAAGCTTTGAAATTAATAATTTTGCAAACAATGTAAATAAAAGTGTAGGTAGTGATTTTATTTATACTTTAGATGAATTTGAAAAGAAGTTATATAAAGATTCATGCGAGAGTAATAAATTAATGAAAAAATGGTTAAAATAATACACAGATTAAAATAAATCATCGTTAGCATCATCATCATCATCATCATCACCATCACTACTATTACTACTAGTACTTTCGTCTTCAACAAATTCATTCGATAAATGTTGTTTCTTTCTTTTTGATTCTGGTTCTTCTGATTTTCTTTTCTTATTTTCTTTTTTTTCTTCTTCTTGTTCTTCTTCTTCTTCTTCATCAACACTATCATCAATTACTTTTTTATTCTTTTTTTTCCCTTTTTTACCTTTCTTCTTTTTATTCTTTGCTTTGAATTCTTCATCAAATAATTTGTCATCTTTTTCATCTTCATTTTCATTTTCATTTTCATTTTCAACATTTCTTGATTCTTCTGCCCATTGTTTTGCTTGTTCAACTAATGTAGCTCTTTCTTTAGCTAATTGTAATTCTTTTTCTTGTTGTTTTTTAATTAATTCTTCTTCTTCTTTTATTTTAGCTGCTTTTTCTTGTTCAATATATTGTTTTGCTGTTTTTAATCTTTGTTCAACTACTTTTATGTTTTCAGTTGTTTCTTCCAAGGCATTTGTTAATCTATTTAATAAAGTTGTTGAACCTAAATTAACTCTACCTTCTAATTCTTCCTTTGGATATGGTGGATATTTTTCTTCAATTAATTTATTTAATGTTTCAATAGCTTCATTTAATCCTGTGATTGCATCATTAATTTCTTCAATTTTTCGTTCATTCACACTTTGTTTTGTTATAAATTCAGCAATTTGAAATTGTATATAAGCAACATTATATAAAGCAGTTGTTGTTGATTGTGATTGATTCAATTCTAATGCTTTTTTTGAATAATCTAATGCCTTTTTAAGAAAATATAAATTTTCTTCATTATTACCTCTTAAATACCATGCTCTACCTAAAAATGTTAATATTCGTGCATCTTTACCATTTGTAAATCTACCTAATGCTAATTCATAATTTTCAATTGATTTCCCATATTCTTTTAATTCACTTAAAACATGACCTAAATTTAAATAAATTGATATATCATTTAATGAATCTCTAATTTTTCGAAGTATATCTAAACCTTTTGTTGGATTTTTATTTTCAATATATATAATTGCTAAACCTTGGGCTGCATAAACATTTTTTGGATCTAATGATAAAACTTTTGTAAATAATTCAATAGCTCTTATATAATATCTTTTCTTCTTTTCATCAGATGATGATGATGATGATGATGATGATGATGATGATGATGATGATGACGACGATGATGATGATGATTCTCTAGCCATTAAACAATAGATATTAGCCAATGATAATAATGCATAACAATCATGTGAATCATATTCAATTAATGTTTCTTTTTGTAAATTTGTATCTACATCTGATTTCATACCAACATGTTTACCAAAATTTTTTGCAAACCAACCATAAAACGATCTAATTTCTAAATCTGATGCATTTAAATTTAATAATTCTTCAACTTCTTCTTTTAAAGATTCTTTGAAATTATTTATACAACTTAAAAATAGCATACGTAATTTTGCTGAAAAATAATTTGGACAATTACTTAATAATTCTTGATAAATTTTAATAGCTTCCTCTTCATTTGTAATTTCTTTTGATCTAGCTAAATTAAATGTAATTGTAACTTTTAAATCATCAGAATCAACTTTTTCTAATGCTTTGGAAAAATATTCAGTTGCTTCATCATAATTTTGTTTAACAAATTGGAAAACACCAATGTTATTATATATTTCTAATGGCACCTGTTTATTCTTTCTTGATTCAATAGCTTTTGTTAAATAATTTAATGCTTGATTTAAATCTGTCTGTTGATATAATTTAGAAAGTAATAAATATGCATTTAAATTCACAGGTTCATTCTCACATAGCCTAATGTATTTCTCAAGATATTGAATAGCCAATTCTCTTTTTTTATCAGCATATAATACACCTAATGAGTAATTTACTTCTAGACATTTTGGATCATTTTTTAAAATTAATTCAAATGTTAAACTTGCTTCTTCTATTGAACCTCTATTATATTGTGACTGTCCAAAACCAAATTTTGCAACTAAATTTGAATCATTAAATATAATAGCTTCTTGAAAATATTTAGATGCTTGAGTAAAATCTTCTCTTGCAAAATAAACTCTACCTAACCAAGTATAACATTCAGATAATGTAATCAGTTGATATCTAGTTTTACTTGGTATTTTTGTTATTTTTGTTATTATTTTCATTATTATTTTCTCAACCAAGTCCAAGTCTCCTTTCGCAAAATAAAATGATACAAGTATTAACAAAACAGTTGTATTATCTACATCTTTTTGATAAATTTTATTAGCTTCTTTTAAACAATACTTATAATTTATTAAAAATTCATCATCACTTAATGAATTATTAAAACTTTCATGAAATTTAGCTAAATTTAAAAAAATTCTAGCCTTTATATTATCTTGATCTAATTCAAGAGCTCTCTCCCATGATTTAACTGCCATTTTTTCATCTTTTAAAAACCAAAAACATAAACCTATACCAAGTCTAGGATCTGGTTTTACTATAGGATTTAATATTAACGCCTGTTGATATAATTTTAACGCTACAGCATAATTTTTTGTCTTATTTATAATACTTTGAGCTTTACCTAATATCGCAAAAACATTATTTTGATCAATTCTTAAAATTTTATCAAATATATCTAATGCGTCATCATTATTATTAAATAAATTTAAAACTCCTTGACTTAATAAATTTGAAAAACTTGTAATGGGAGAAGTCTCTTGATCATCTTTAATTTTATGAGATAAATCATTAATTTCATTATTTGCATTTAATAAATTTTCTTCAATATTAATACCTAAATATATAGATTTAAAAATTAACCAAACTTTTAGCGATTGAAATAATTTTTTATCCTCATCTTTAAAATATGATTGATCTAAAGCGGTATTCAAAAATTGAAACAGCTCATCTAATCTACCTAAATTTGCATAAGAACTTGATAATATAATCCAATATTTTGCAGCAGCACCAATATCTAATAAAAATGGAATTAATTCTGAAGCAGGAGATAACTCGTCGGAATTTTTTAAATTAAAAGTAACCACCTGTTCAGCTTGAACCGGAATATCTAAAGTATTTAAAGCTTCCACTGCATCATTCCCAATGTAATACGACAACCCGTCCATGGCTGCAGAGTTTTTGTTGAAAGAAAAAAAAAAAAATACATACATTTTTTTCTATGGAGGAAATAATTGTGATAAATCTTGTAACAAAAAATCATGTAAATTATCATTGAAATATTCATCCAATTTTAACCCATTTATTATACCATGTGTCTCGCAATTAGTACAATCACAACTATCGGGTGGACATGAACAAAATGATATAGGTTCTTCTGGTCTTTTATAATTATTATTACTATTATTATCATTATTATTATTATTATTGTTATTATTATGTACTTCGCATCCATTACATTTACAATCATCATTACAACAACACGTACCAGGTATTGTACATGATGGTATTAACTCAACATTTTGTTGTACATCCTGATTTAGTTTCTTTGTTATATATGATTTAATAATTTGTGATTTATTCACAGATTTTTTTTTATTATTACAACAATTACACGATTTACCTTTTGAAATTTTAGGTGTACAACAACTTGATGTATTTATAAAACTATCGTCATTTATTATAATTTTTGGTTGTTGTTGTTTTTGTAAAATATTTGGTTGTGTTTTTGATTCATCATATGGTCCAATTAATTCTCCACTATTTAAATCAATAACTTGTTTTGATGAACATTTTAGTATAACTATAGGTTGCGATTTACATGATATTGAATCTTCTTCATAATTTGTTGGAGTAGTTTCATCTATTTCTTCTGCAAATACTGCTATTCTGTGATTTGGATTTCCATTCGCATATACAACAGGTCTACCTTTAGATCGTACTTGTAATAATGGTCTTGTATGATGTTTACATGATGATGATCTATGACCTCTTATACATTCCATACATGCATATTTTATATTATCTATTAATATCATTCTGTTAAAGAATCATTTGACTGTAAATTTGAAATAGTATTTAATTAGTCTATATTTTTTTAAATTTGACGAGCAAATAAAAAATTTACAAATAGGGCGTGCGGCTGGTCCTGCATGTAGTTTGGGTTTGTCTGAAACAATTGTAGTGTAGAATTTACAATATCAACACTTTTTAACCAACTCAAAGTAGTCAAATTACTCTAATTACTCTAATTACTCTAATTAGTCAAATTACTCAAGTTACTCAAGTTACTCAAATTAGTCAAATTACTCAAGTTACTCAAATTACTCAAATTACTCAAATTACTCAAATTACTCAAATTATACAAATTACGCAAATTATACAAATTATTCATAAAATCTATTAAGAAACTATATAAACTTATAAATCAAAAGCATAGGTTGACTTCTGTCTTAAACGTTTACCGAATTTGTAGAATAAAAACGGGATTGGAAGAAGTAAAACAGCCAAACATCCTAATAATGTACTTGCCCACTGAATTTCAAGATTAACAAACATTTGCCTTGCAAACAAAGGAAAAGCCCCACCGAAACCACTTCTTATCAAAGTGTTCCCAGCTAAAGCCAGGGCCGCGTGAAGTAAATAACAGTCAATGATATAGTTAAACGACGGGAGAAATATCATCATCAACCCATGGCCAGTAATAAAACAACCGATAACAGGTAAAATCCAATGTATGTGTTGGCCGTAAGCTCCGAACCACCCAAGCCAGAATATTCCGATTGGAAATGTGAATCCTCCCACCATCATTGGTAGTAATCTTTCTTCAGGTACAGGTACACCGTTATTAGCATCCATAGTGCTATTATATCTTTTTTCAAAATAAATAATCATTAGACCACCACAGAATACACCTAACAACATTGAAACATAAGGTAATTCTGCAACCCCTGAAGACCATCCATAAACTCCACCAAATATCAACGGGACAGCAGTTAAGAATAAATATAACATTCCATATATGAAACTGTTGTAAATTGAAATAAGAAACAATATTGGTTCAGTGAATAACAACTTAACTGGTCTTACAAGATTCTTTTCAGCAATCTCTTTGATACTTAACGTTAATTCCTCATGTGGTGCATAAATTCCCCAATTTCTGGTTCTTCTTCTTAATTCTTCAGCTCTATTCTTTAAAACAATTGGATGATGCGTTTCTTCCAAAAGGAAACAATTCATTACAAAGGCAAGTACACCTATTAAACCACAAAAATAAGCTGTCCATCTCCATCCCAATGTTGAATTTTTAACTGTAAAACCTCCCATAATTGGAGCAATCATCTAGATAACAGTTAGTATTTATTAACATCATTTATGAAAATTATTGTGTGCGTCACTTGGTAGCGATGGTTATTTTATGCAGCCAAAAATAACATTTGATAAGCTACAAATGACTATTGATACATTCAACACTATCAACCACACCCAATGAATTGAAGAATATACATACAGGACCTCCGAAAAGCACCATCGCAAAAATTGAAATTGCTGTACCTCTATGTTTATTATCAAACATATCACTCATTGAAGCAGGTGCAACAACTAAAGAAGCACTTCCAGTGAAACCAGCAAAAAATCTACACAACATAATTGATTGAAGATCTTTTGAGACAGCTGTAGCAAACGAAAATGCAACATAACATAAACAACTTGGAATCATGACCATTTTTCGACCAAATAACTCTGATAACGGACCATATATCACGGGCCCTGTAGCAAAACCAAATACATAGAGAGATGTACTCAACGTTGCAACCGTAAACCCAATTTTATATATTGACATCAAATCCTGAGAAGCTTGAGCGAACATTGCGCTACCAACTGAGCATGAAAAAGCTGACATTCCAACAGACGCAGTATAAACAAACTTTTTCCAAAATGGAAAGTTAAAAGGATGATCAGGATCTTTGATACCACCATCATATTGAACACAATAAGGTTCTCTACTACCTGGATGTTTTGGATATGGTCTACCGTTTCCCATTGGAGGTAAAGGTTTTGACATTTGACTTGCAGTCTTAATTAATTCATCATAATCTAAAGTTCTTCTTGAAGCTATTCTTGATAATGCAACGTCTGTCTCTATTCTACTTAACTCAGCATCAGTTTCTTTTGCTGTTGTAAAATTACCCAATTCATTTCTTGTATTTATCAATTCTGGTTCTTGATGTCCAAAAAAAGGTTCGATATTACTCACGTGAGTCTCGTCTTGATTAACATTACTTGCTTTATCTCTTAATTCATCACTAGTTATTGACAGATTGGATTCTGTAGCCATCTTGAATATTATTGATGAGGCTAAGCCAGGATGGAAGAAGTTGCTTAGTTAAATAAAATTTTTTTTATAAATTTTTAAACAACAGACTTCCAAGTATTTAAACAAATTTGGTATTTAACACTTTATGCATAATTAAGATCCAGAAGAGATAAATTTCAAAACAGTCAAATAAATAGCCGATTGGGAAAGAAATATGATTGATTGGATTGATATCACTTGTGATAATGCTTTACGCTGAAAAGCATAGATACTTGACCCATTATTGTGCTTATAGCATTAATCATTTCTATGCACAGATGTTTGATTTTTGGTCTTGACATCGGTTATAAAATTCTTTATATCCGATCTTCTATCACAAAATTGCTACCCTGATGAAATCTTGAAACTTAAATATCCGTTAATAATCGAAAATCTTTATCAATTAGTAATCAATTTATACTCACCGAAACTTGACTATGAGCTTTTATTGTTGAAGAAATCAGAGAAAATGCATTCCAGAACTTCCTTGAATTTTTTTTGATGTTTGGCAAAGATTTTGTAAAAAAATTAGGTTTGTAGCTTTTTTTCTAACGGATACGAAAACAGTTTTTCTATTTAAACGATTTACTACTATCACAAATTTAAGACATTGAAAATGACATTGAAAATGACATGCAATTCATGTTATTATTTTGATTTTTTTGCACGCTAGCTTTTCGTGTATAATCAAGGGGCAAAAGGGGGCTCAGATTCTCTAGTGATAATCTTTGAATACATAACAAATAGCACGTTTTGAAATTAGTTAATGCCAAGTATCAAAATTTACAACTCGATGTAAGGCGAACAGAAAAAACATTAACGAAAGAAGCTTGGGCCGACAGTTCTATATATAAGAGTACAAATTGTATTCGAAGCAATATACAACGGGTCTTATGGCAAAACCAAACATAGAGGGATGTTCTTAATGCCGCTGTGTAACCCCAATTGATCCGGTTGAATTCGTGTTAGTATTTCATCCTATTTCATTCGTAAAAGGGCTACCATATGTCAATGCTACCATGTGAGCACGTGATAGTAGTGAATAAGCTTCTTTAATAAGTTCTTGTTCTGGTTTTATACATACATTCTTCCATTATTTGTTGTGAACCTCGTGAAAATATAGCACTATCTAATGAAACCGAAAGTGCACTTAGAACACTAACAAATGTAATTAACAACTTTTATTTGAATGAATAATTATGAAGATATTTGGGATCATCAATACAATCAAAAGCAACTGCATATGGAGTGTATCAACCAATATATATATAAAGTAGCATCTTGAAAGAAGAAACTATATGAAAAAATTTGTAAAAGGGAAATAACAACTGTATTTATGTAGTTAATTAATAATACCTAATAGAATTATAGCATTATCATTAATTATGTTTGCAACACTGATTTTTTGTAGATTCAAGGTGACTGTCAAATTTTAATCGGAATTAAATCATAAAATATAAAACCGTGCAACAAGATAAACATGTATTATGAAATATAGGCCAACATACATTTTAATAGATCTACAACAAAGATACTTTCCATTGAATTAGTAATACAAACGAAGTTAGCAAATATATACTTGAATGAAAGTAGATTCAAATCTACGATAATTCCTAATCTAAACACTATAAGTTTTCAGGTTGTTCGTTAAAAATTCCAAAAGCTTCCTTACAACACTAAAGGCGAATCGGTTCTAATTAGTTTTATATATGCATTACCGCTGTAACAGCTAGTGATTATTGTTAAAATAAGCCTCGTCTTTCATACTTGGAAAACTATGGGCCCTGAACACTGCATATAAATTTGAAAAATTCTACAAGATCTGCTAAAGCCACTTACGGTTTATTTCCGTGCTAAATTTAATATCGTTAAAGAAATATATTTATTCATCATCAAATATTTCCACAAAGTTTAATATAATCTTTTCCAAAACTAAATTCATAAATCCAAAATTGTTAATTAAAATTTCCAAATTGCTTGCCTCAGTCAATGCAGGTCCAATGACAGTAGCAATATTAGATGCAGTCATTTTATTTTCTTCACTAAATTGACTAATCTTATTCAAATGTTGAATTAATATTCTCAATGTATTATAATTAATAGTTTGTAATTTACCAAGTATAATTTTATAAGTCTCTATTGAACCATCTTTTTCTTTCATAAAATCAGTAATAACTTCATCTGTTAATAATGCATCTGGTAACTCACGAAAATATGATTTAACTAAACTTGTCAATGCATGAGTATCTAATTGACGATCAGGAAGATATCCATATTTATCAATTAAAGATTTGGTATTATTTAATTCACTTAATGAAGAACTAATTCTGTATAATCCAACATCTTTTAATCCATTATTTTCAATATCCTCAAATATTTTTTGTAAAAATTTAGGAAAACTCGATTGTTCTCTTTTACATATATAGCTAATTGGTACTCCAAAAGTAATATTATTATTAGTTACTTTAAAATTAAGTAATTTTGAATAAAACCAATGACGATTTGCAAAATTTAATTTCATAAGCCAATCATTTAAATCATCTTCATTAGTTGCTTGGAAAAAATATTCTTCATTTGAATCTGAATCAATTTTAAAACATAATGGCATGATATAAACTGGAAATATTTTTTTATTTCTCAAAGGTAATATTAAAACAGGTTTTTGTTTTGATTCTACTTGAGGGTCAGGTAATTCATCAACATTGATAATTCTTTCAGCACCTAATGAAAGTCTTGATTTTGTGAAAAGTCCACTAATTTTAAATCTTGAAGCTGAATTAGTTTTATATAATAAAGATTGTCTCTTAAATGAATTGTTTGAAGTTTTCTTGGTTATAGTATGCATAGGTTCATTATGATTCTTCTTTTTATTTTCAATTGATAAAATTCCATATTGCATTTTCAAAACTTCCTTAAATAATCCATGCTTTGTATCTGAAAACACAATCAATTCGTGATGGTCATTATGATATGTTTCGTCTAATCTTAGTAAAAATTCAAATTCCTTTGAATCATGATATGTGTCAAATTCATCTGGATCTTCAATACTCAATTCTTTAATCAATTTGAAAACTAAATATCTTTTATTAAAATTAATCATTTGACCATAATAGGAAGGGCATTTGTTAATAGCAATTAAATTTTCTATGATCCATCCAAAACATGGTAATAAAGGTTCTGAGGATTGTAAATCATCAAGTTTGACACTTTTTGGTAAAATAGTATCAATATCATCAAATTTTTCCATATTTTGATCAAAAAATTTACAGCATTTAATCCATAAACTTGAATATAGTCTGCTTTCTGGTGAATAAATAACATTAATAATAGCTGTCTCAATACAAGATGGAATATTTCCCTTACCTTCAAACACAAATAAATTCTCATCCATTTTCAATTTGGAAATTTTAACCATTATTAATAAAGTTTTCATTCTTTCGATTCTTTCTTCTGCAGTAATATTTGAATCAGTCAATTGAATTAATAAATAACTTTTAAATTTAAAATTAAGTTTAAACAATTTTCTAAACACTAATGGAAATTGTTTCAATAATAATTGACGTTCATTCAAAGATTCAAAATAATGGAAAATATTTGAAATAATCATTTGATCTTCAGGAATGTTCGATTTTTGTAGATTATAATTTAATAAGTTATTCTTTTCAAATGAATTTTCTAAAATTTTAAATATTTTTATCCAATCTTCTGCCTTAATTCCTTTGTAAAAAACAGTCAATACTTTGTTAAATTTGTATAAGAATTTTTCAACCTTGAGGATATTTGTATAACTTGGTAAATTTCTATTCAGTGGTACTTCATGTAATGAATTATTAAACTTGTACTCATTTGTCAAATATTCATCAAATTTCAGAATTTCTATTGGTCTGTAAGTTTTCTTCACAAATAATTTCTTCAATTTTTTATAATGAATAACCAAACTTTCAAATGATTTTTCAAGTAAGTTATCTATTTTATTTGAATTGTACCATTGTAAAATTTCATTACTGAATAGTCTTAATAATTTGATCAATTTGTCTTTATTATTCAAGTCAAGGGAGAAATTGGAATAAAAATTGGTTAGCAATAAAATCAAAACTTTTAAAATATTAATTTGAATTTTTAATAATAAACTGTAATCAACATCAGTTTCACTTATTCTAGTTGGGTCTGATGTCCATATGGAATCAGTTTGATGATGCATTATTGAAACCACTGCATTTCCAGAATTGACAAACCTATAAGCTAAATGGTTCAATAGTTCATTCGTTGAAATAAAACTGCTGTAATTTAATAGAAATACAAATCTGAATTCTGTCAAATCAATGTGTACATCTTCGTTAAAATATTCAGATTCAAGTAACAACAAATCTATCAATCTATCGATTGTTGCATATTTTGGTATATACTTTGTTGATTCATCTAATGATTTATCCGAATTTTGTTTTCTTAAATTTGGTGACAATGGGAAAGTATTAAATTTTTCTGAATTCAAAATATTATCCACATCTATTCCTAAACCTGTTTCTTCTTCCTCATCTTCAATTGTAAAATTATTCACTTTATTTTCAGTATCCATTACGAAGTTATCAACACTGAATACAAGGTTATGGACTGTTATTGGTGGTGGTGTACCTTCCTTTTTTCCGTCTGCAACTAATTCATCATAATTCTTCAAACTAATTTTGAAATATTGATTGTTAAATATGGGAAGTTTACTCAGTGGATCATTTTCACTTTCCGATTCAATTGAATTAACTGATATAGTTGAATTATTTTTATTTGTATAGCTTTTTGTCAAATAATTTTCGGGTAATTCTGGTTCTGATTCAAGGGAATACTTCATAATTTTGTTTAAATTAAAGGACTCACAATTCAAATCTATTAATGAAAGTAATACAGATTCCATTTCATAATCTCTAGTTTCTTTAATACGTGGTTGATTATTTTCTTTTATACTTCCATTGTTTACCCCTAAATACAATACCTGATTCAAACTTTCATTTGAAAAGATAAAACCCATTGAATCATATCTTCGTAAAACATCATCATTATATCTAATTATATCATCAAAATTATTTAAATTATTCAAATAGTCATTCCAACGATCAAAAGAATAATTAATTTTTTTCCAAACTGATTCCAATTCATAAACATCACAATTTTCAATATTATTCTTAATGACTAGATCACCAAAATATGGTATAACTTTTTCTCGTGGATATATTTTACCTAATCCTCTAGGTGCCATTATATGATACGAATCTTTTATATTAGATTCTCCCAAACCATTGTTTGACAGTTCAATATGAGTTGTTTCATTAACCAAATATCTTCTATCTAATTCAAATAAAACTGGTGACCAATCATTTTTCAACAACTTGATATAATCTTGTGAAACTAATGACCAAATTTTTGTCAATCTTAAAATAGGTAAAGATAAAATAATTGAAGAAATACCCAACCAAGAAGACATATTACCAGATTTATCTAATAAACATCCCAAATCTATCCACTTTTCAAGCAATCTTGCTTTATATTCCAAAGAACTTGTTTTTGATTGATTTTCAATAAATAAATGATTTATTAATAATCTTGATAAATAATGAATATGATAATCATTATTAAAAATCAAAGGATTTTTTTTATAAAAAGAGTCTTTATTATATTCATCACAATTTATGGAAGAAGATAATAATAATGATTTATCAATATTTGAATTCCAATTTTTAAAAAATTTTAAATCTACTTCACTAATAGATTTTGCAAAATCAATTAAGTTAATTTTTTTTAAGAAATATTCTGAATTTAAATATTGAAATGGTAAATGACTTGTTTGAGTTGTATTATTCAATAAATCAATTAAAGTTTGCTGTTTTTGTAACATGATTTGTTTGAAGCTTGATACGTCATTATTGTTGTCAATTGATATAATTTCAAGGATTTTCAAAATTGAAGGAGCAGTATCTGATTTTAATAAATAACCATCAAAATGTTGTTGTATATGATTCAAAAATTCCAACACTCTTTTCTGTATCAAATCTTTATTATATGATCCTTCAAATGCACCTTTAAAAATAAGTTCAAGATATTGCGAAATAAAAGTCAACGTTTCATTAAAATTGGGTAATATTGGAAGTGTTTGAATTATAGTCTTAACCGAATGTGAATCGGATGGATCCATTGCAAATAATAAAAAATGTATTATAGATTCTAATGAATTTTTCCCATTATTGAAAAAGCTATTAATAAATACATGTGAATCAAAGTCATAACTAAGCTCTGGATGTGGTAGATTTGTTTTTTGGTAATAAATTTTGAATGGTTTTGACTTAACTGTAGAGATTGAATTACTTTCAAATACTGAGTTTTTTCTAATAGTTGGTAGGGAATCATTCAATGTTTGTTCACTTATGGAATTGATTTCATCAAAGTCTTTTAGATCATTATTCAATTTGAAATTTTTAATATTTAATGATGAGTTAGGTTTGTATAAATATAAATATGATCCTTTCAATTCTGCTCTTAATAATTTCAAATTACTTTCATTAATTTCTGTATTATTGAGTACACCATTGATCCAATTATTTTTTATTAATTTCGAATCATAATCAGGTTCAACTAGACTGGAGAATTCATAGTTTGAGAGTGAATTAGCTGACGATGGAGTATAAGTTGTTGCAGTTGCTGTTGTTGTTGTTGTTGCAGTTGCAGAAATTGAAGATTTCCCCGAGTGGTGATTTAAAAACGTCAGTGAATTGTTCGAATTAATCGACGTAAATTTGTCATTATAATAAGCATTGAAATTATTACCATTATATGCTGTTGTAGAATTAGTTAAATCAGTTTGAATTGAGTTTAAATCATCTTTATTATCTTTCGGTATGGATGATTGGTGATCGTAATCATTATTAACTTGTTTAATTGATAAATCATCACGAGAACTACTATCGGAATACGAAACCGAATTTAAATTTGAATTTGAACTATTAATGGATAATAAATTGTTTGATAAACTTTTCCTCTTGTCTTTATCCTTTCTAGACCAAATTTTTCTCATATTGAATGAAAGTTGGCATGTACTTTTTTCAGAAATTTGTTAAATTATAGCTTAGAATTTGTCTTAGAATTTGTCTTAGAATTTGTCTTAGAATTTGTCTTTGAATAACTTTATACCAACTTGTATATTATTTCAACTGTAGTACGAATTTATAAATTGAAAGGTCAAACTTTATTTACTTTAAAAATCTTGAATCAATAAAAAATATTATTTTTTAAACTTTTAGTTAGTTGATAAAATTATTATGTAATATATTATATAATATGTCTTTAAATTTACACGCGTTTTCAAGTTGATTCTTGTCGTGTTGGATTCGGTGATTTGATAATGATATTAACTATCTTACCTGATTTCTTACAGTGTTTGTTGTTGTCTCATTCATCAATTTCAAAACTTAAAATTTGTATGGTGCTAAACATGGATAAACATGGAGATTGATGGACGGAATCAATTAAATGTCGCACGACAACGCCGTAAAAAATTAGGCTAATTAATTTTTTAAACCAACCTCTGCCACCAATATTCAAATTGTGTACAATCTTTGATGTTATCCGCTACTGATAACATTGGATACTTGATATACTTTTTCCTCTAGATATCATCCATACAAAGATCACAAGGTAAAAATTATGTCCTGAAAGTATTTATTTATTATATAAGTTTATATATTATTCTCTTCAATTTTTCATTTTACATATTTAATTTTCTATAGGTTTTCATTCATATAATATTTTCTTCAACTGTTGGTCTAATATTATCAAAGATTTCTAAAATGGGAATTAAAATGCTTACCTTTTACCAATTAAACAAGCCAAATTCTCATCTTTCAGTTCACCAAATTCTAAGAGTTTTCCATAATCTCAATAGTTTTCTATAAATCTCAATAGTTTTGTCATTGTATAAGCATTTTGTACTTGAATTGAATTCTTAAACTTAGTTTGAAACAAAAAACTTGATTACTGACGGAATTATTCACAATTTAAATTTACGATAAACATTAGATGGACTGCATATAAGCAAATTTGTTTTGGAATTTACCCTAGAAAGTATTATTTTTCAAGACAAATAGATCGGTAGCGACAAAAAAACATTCTCGCCCTAAATTCAGGGCGACTCGTACAAAAATGTTTTGACTTATAAGTGAAGAGCAATTCAAGCTCACGAAATAAAGACTATTTCAATCACATGAGCATGCTCAGTTTATCGATCCTACATACTTGAAGATCCACCAAGTTCAAATATTTTTTTTTTTTCAAGTTGTCATTTTGGCGTTTTTTTTTTTCATCCTACAAAATTTGTGCTAAAAATAAAATTTAATGTACTTTTCTATTTAGGGCCAAAACTTTTCAATTAAACAACTGATTGTATATACTATACCTCAAATTAAGGTGGTGAACACGATTTGGATTGATATAAACTAAAATTGAAAAATTGTACTTTTCTATTTAAGGCCAAAACTTTTTTCAATTAAACAACTGATTGTATATACTATACCTCAAATTAAGGTGCTGAACGCGATTTGAATTGATATAAACTAAAATTGAAAAATTTTGGTTTTTTCCTCTTAACTATGGGGAAAATCGAATAAATTGACTTTACAAAAAAATATAGTTCAACCTTTAGTATTCAAATTTGAACCAGATAAAACTATCCAAATTTTTAATTCTGGCTTCTAATATACCTTTGATATTTTTGTGTTAAGGTACTCAAAGTTGGAAAACTAATTCTTCAAAGGTGGCGCGAATTTACTTTGTGGCCCTAAATCATTACTCATTAAAATATAAATATACATTCAAAAATAATTCGAAAACAAAAACAAAAACAAATTTGAGTTATATGCAGTCCCATAATAATTAAACGTGAAATTGTAATCGCAAATAACTCTTTCGGTATTTGAGCAGTTGTTCTCCAACTCATTTTCACAAATTTTGGGTCTTTTTGGAGTATGCTTATGTTAGTATCCTTCAAGAAAACATAATTTTGACTATATTATTCCTCATTTAAAAAAAGTAAGAAAAAGTTAAATTACGAGATAACTAATACTAAGGTCTCATTTAACAACTTTTAATATAGATGATTCTGATCACTTAGTTTCAAAGATTATTTATAAACTGCTTTCAAGATGGTAGAATCGTTTCGAATTTTTTGCCTACATCTCGATTCATTCTTCAAAAATTGAGAAATTTTAGGCCAGCTCAATTGGAATTAAGTTCAGCACTTTATTCTGAGGTATAATATATAACACTTTGTTTTGAGATATAATATATAAAATCGGCAATTTAGTTTGAAACTCATGGACCCAAATATAATGTACTTTGTTGTTGTTACATTTATAGCAATATATATAATTGTATGGCGAAGAAATGCCAAAATTACAACTCGAAAAAAAAAAAAAAAAACAATCTTTGACAAACTTATAGGTACGAAAACTAAGGCTTCTCTCCTCCTCTGAGCTGATTTAAATAGATCTCATACAACTACTTCACAGTTGATACGCGGGTTCGATTCCCGCTCTGCTCTTTAATATTTAATATATATTTAGTATTATTTATGCTGAGAAAATGCGTTGATCGGAAAATATAAACCAATATACCAATATAGGTAACACGGTAACACGGTAACACTCGCACGACATTACCCCAAGGCTAGCGCTAAAAACTATTTTCTCGCCCCAATGCATTAGTTCAGAAATTATATGTTATTTTATCGTCAAATTAATAGCTGCAAAAAAACTGATGTCAGTTTTGATAACGATATCAGAAATAACAAATCAAACTTTGTTTTATTTTGTTTTATTTTGTACTTAAAACATATAAAATGAATGGAATTTAAATCATTAACTAATACAATTTTAACTAATACAATTTCAACAAATTATGTGTTGAATGAATTCCGAGAATGAAATAAACAAAATGCGTGATAGAATAAAATGACGTAATCTATTACATAATCTTTATCTCTTATCAGTGGCAATATTATTATTGTAACAATTGGTAATGGTACACGACTAACAAAACAAAATTGTACCACACTTTACAATAATAAAATTAGCACTCACACATTATTTTATCTTTACTATAAATAGTTTATCAATTTTCCGCAATTGGATTTTTTTATTTTTATCTTATTGACAACTTCTTTTTCTTTATCGTAGGATATTATTAACAATTTCAAGTATTAACAACTTCAAGTATTAACAACTTCAAGTATTAACAACTTCAACTTGGTTCATTAATCTATCATTGTTATATTATACAAATTATCATAGATTATTATTATTATTATTATTATTATTATTATTATTATTATTTAGTATTATCATAGATTATTATTCTTTAGTATTATCATAGATCATTATTATCTAGTATTATTATTATTATGAAATTATCAAAAACTTTAGCTTTATCAATTTTAACTTCTTTAGGTGTTGTTCAAGGTTTAATTATTCCTTCAATTGGTGATGTTATAGATAGTTTTGCTTTAGATAAAATTGAAAATTCAATTAATAATCAATTGGAAAAAATTGAATCTAAAATTGAAAATTCTTTGAGTTCATTACATTCAGAATTATCTCAATCTGCTGATAAATTAGGTATTGAACTAAATTCAATACCTAATGTTCCAATTATTGCATCTGGTAGAGATATTATTCCAAATAAATATATCATTATTTTTAAAGATGATATTGATGAAAAAATTATAAATTTTACTAAAGAATGGATTAATTTAATTCATTCAGAACAATTTAAAAATTGTGAAAATAATGATAGTGATAGTATTAGTGATAATGATTTAATTAAAGGTTTTGAATTAAATTTACAATCTTTTAATATTAATGGTTTATTAAATGGTATTTCTGGATTTTTCACCGATGCATCTATTGAATTAATTAGAAGAAATCCTTTAATTAAATTCATTGAAAAAGATTCAATGGTTTATGCAAATGAATTTAATATTGAAAAAGGTTCTCCTTGGGGTTTAGCAAGAGTTTCTCATAGACAGCCATTAAGTTTAGCTTCTTATGAAGAATATTTATATGATGATGATGGTGGTAAAGGTGTTGATGCTTATATTATTGATACTGGTGTTAATGTTAAACATGTAGAATTTGATGGTAGAGCTAAATGGGGTAAAACAATTCCAACTGGTGATGATGATATCGATGGTAATGGTCATGGTACTCATTGTGCAGGTACCATTGGTTCAAAAAAATATGGTGTAGCTAAAAATGTTAATATTTATGCTGTTAAAGTTTTAAGATCAAATGGTTCTGGTTCAATGAGTGATGTTGTTAAAGGTGTTGAATTTGCTGCTCAATCTCATCAAAATTCTGTTAGATCAAAAAGGAAAGGTTTTAAAGGTTCAACTGCTAATATGTCTTTAGGTGGTGGCAAATCACCAGCATTAGATATGGCTGTTAATGCTGCTGTTAAAGCTGGTTTACATTTTGCTGTTGCTGCTGGTAATGAAAATCAAGATGCTTGTAATACAAGTCCTGCATCTGCTGAAAATGCAATCACTGTTGGTGCTTCAACTATATCTGATGCAAGAGCTTATTTTTCAAATTTTGGTAAATGTGTTGATATTTTTGCTCCTGGTTTAAATATTTTATCAACCTATATTGGAGGTAATAATGATGCTACAGCTTATTTATCTGGTACATCAATGGCATCACCACATATTTGTGGTTTATTATCTTATTATGTTTCATTACAACCAGGATCTGATTCTGAATTTTTTATTGCAAGTGATGGTATAACTCCAAAACAATTGAAAAAGAATTTGATTTCATTTGGTACCAAAGATGTATTAGTTGATATTTCAGCTGATACTCCTAATATTTTAGCATTTAATGGTGCCGGTCACAATTTAACAGAATTCTGGAATAATAAATAGAGTTTATTAGTTTTATATTATATAGCTTTTTTTTTGAATATTTTGATTAAATAAAATGAGTTTCGCTCTTGCCTTTGCCTTTGCCTTTGCCTTTGCCTTTGGCTTTGGCTTTGACTTTGACTTTGACTTTGAATTTCATTATCCTTGTATTATTATTCTCTTGCCTTTTGACTTTGAGTTTCATTATCCTTGTATCATTATTCTCTTGTATCCAATGTTTGACTTAGAGTAATGTCTTATTTTTATTGTCGTGTGTCTTAAATTGAAACTGAAAAAAAAAATGACAATTCGTGTTGGAGTGGCAAAAGTTTTTATAATGATAAACTTTTATCAATCAAGTAATTAACTATTAACTATTAATTTGATATTCATATAATATTTGCATTTATTCATTAATTTATCATAATGTCAACGCCAGCAAAGAGTAGACTTATGCGTGATTTCAAAGTATGTTTTTCCAATAAATTTTCAAAATTTTTCAACGATTACTAATTTATTAGCGTATGCAACAAGATCCACCTTCAGGAGTTTCAGCATCACCTTTACCAGATAATGTAATGAAATGGAATGCGGTTATTATAGGACCACTGGATACACCATTTGAAGACGGTACATTTAAATTATTATTACAATTTGATGAACAATATCCAAATAAACCACCACAAGTTAAATTTATAAGTGAAATGTTTCATCCAAATGTATATGCAAGTGGTGAATTGTGTTTAGATATTTTACAAAATCGATGGAGTCCAACTTATGATGTTAGTTCAATATTAACAAGTATACAATCATTATTAAATGATCCAAATATTTCAAGTCCCGCTAATGTTGAAGCTGCAAATTTATACAAAGATCATAGATCACAATATGTTAAAAGAGTAAGAGAGACTGTAGAAACTAGTTGGATGGAAGATGATGAAGATGATGACGATGATGATGAAGAAGAAGAAGAAGAAGAAGAAGAACAAGAAAATGGAAATGAAATTGAATAAATATTTATATAGAATGAAAAAACTTAATGATTAACTATTTACAAATTTAATTATCTTAACCATAAGTAATACCACTTTCTTGATGACTGTGATTGTTTCATTTTTAACTCTTGTAATTTTTCTTGCAATATTACCTCTTCTTCTTTTTCTTTAATCTCCTGTTGTCTTTTAATTTCATAATCATCTTTTATAATTATTTCTTTAGGTATACCTTCTTCACCAATCTTTTTATCTCTTGAAATTGCAATCAAACTAATTAATAAAGTTAAAAATATAAAAAATTTAGATACTCCATCCATTTTCTTATAATCAAATTGTGGTTTACGTATTGGAGTTTCACCTAATATAACAGGATTTAATTTTTTTATAAAATCATTTGGTTTTGGATTTGAATTTTTTATTTTACTAGGTATTTTAAACGGTAAATCATAAGGTGGTTCATCTAAATTCCAATTTTTAAAATCTTCACGAACTCCCCAATTCCCAAAATATATATAATATGCCAATTTTTTATCTTTTATTGATAATTTCTTCCATGATTTATCAAATTTTTCTTGTAATTCTTTTATAATTTGACCTTGATGTAATAAACTTAAATTTGAAAATTTAGTTGGATCTTGATAAATTGGTTTTGGATCAATTGGTTGAACGTCTTCGGAAGAATTAGATAATAATGAACCAAAATCTTTTAATGACTGAATAGCTAATTGAGCAGCTTGTTTGTTCTTTTCTCCCGGTGATAAATTAGAAGTTGATGATGATTGTAATCTTTTTAGTATTGAATATCGTAAATTCATAATTCTGAAACAGATGTGATTTAAAAAAAAAAAAAAAAAAAAATAAAATAATGAATCTTATAAAGCGCAAAATTGGTTGGTCTTAAAATTGACAAATCAAGCATATATTTCAGTATATTTACAATTGACTAGATTACTTCTTCTTACCCTTCTTTTTATTTGACTTCTTGCCTGATTTCTTCTTCTTTTTATTTGAATTTGAAGTTTTTGGTTTTGGTTGAGATGATGTTGATGATGATTGTTGAGTTTCATCAGTACCTTCTACTTCTGGAGTCGGACTTGATTCTTCTGATGATTGCCATTCTGTAGATTTGGAAATGGCTTGTTGTGATTCTTCTGACTCGACATTTGTAAGGGTATCATTTTGAATTTGTTCTTGATTTTTAATTACTAAAGCTTGTTCATTATCTTCATTACCTTCATTATCTTCATTATCGTGTGCTGCATTTTCTATATTTGATTCATTGGCTTCTTGCAAAATTGTTCGTGTTGTATTTTCTTGATCAGTTCCTGTATTAGCATCTTCTTGAAGATTTTCATTAAATTCCTCTGGTATTTCAATTTCCTCTTCTTCATCTTTCTTCAATGAATTATTATTTTCATCATATTCATTTTCATTTTGAATATGTTGTTCATAAATTCTTTCTCTTAAATCCATTAATTCTTCATCATCATTAGTTATTTTTGATGAACTACCTTTTGGTTTATCATTTGAAATTTCACCTTCTTCATCTAGATCTTCTTCTTCTTCTTCTTCTTTTCCTTCTCGTTTTTCATTTAATTTCATATGTTGATTACTTGAACCAACTCTAACATCAGTTGATGACCTACCAAAGAAATCCAATTCTTCTTCAGGATTATATCTTGGTGGTAATTCTTCTCCTTTATCTAAAATTTTATCATTATTATTACCTTCAGCTAATTTATTATATTGAGGTAAACTTGCTAAACCACGATCTCCACCCAATTTTTTATAATCTGAGGTTGATATAAATCCATATTTTCGAACATTTGCTTCAATCCAAACAAAACCCAACTGTCCTAAATTAACTTGAAATTTTGCATTAGTAGAAAAACAACCAATTGCTGGATATAAATCAATAAAACAACCTTTTAAAACATCTAAAATTTTTTTACCATTTCTTGTTATAAAAATTGTTCCTGTTGATATAACATAACCAAAACCAACAATATCAGATTGCTGTAATGGAGGTAAAACTAATGCATTATATTGAGAATGCTCATTTAAATGTTGTTGACATGGAGTTGGAAATGGTTTATTAATTTTTAAATTCCCCGTTGATTCATAACTTATTGAAAATTTATTATAACCAGGTAATCTAAATTGTGTAGGATAAGGTTTTGTAATTAAACCAATTGCAAAATGACAATTTGAAGTAGATGGTATAAATTCAAAAATTTTAGTCTCCCAATATATAATATCTGAATAAGTTCTATTTTTAACAGGTAATGGATAATTTAAACTTGAAGTTTTAGTTTGATATGGTAAATCATTATTTAAAAAATTTATTTCAGTTTTATCACAAATTATAAAACTAGGATTAACATCATTTAAATCATTTTCAAATTTAAAAGCATTTATACCAAAATCTTTGATAATTTTTTCATCCGTTGAAGTAAAACTTTTACCTTTAATTTTGGTTATATCTAATGGATGATTTATTTGAAATTCTTGACCCTTTAAATACTGTTGTTGTTCTTCTGGTGATAAATTTGTAAAATCAAATTGATAAGCTAATTGTTTTAAACTTTCTTCATCATTTAAAAATTCTTTTGGTATATCATTTGAATTAGATCCCATAAAATGATCTGTTATTGAAGATTGATTCAAAGGTTGATAACCACCATTATTATTAAAATCATTTCTAGTATAATAGCGAATTAAACAATATAGTAACAAAACAAATATAAAGACGACCATGGAACTTAATAACGAAATTATTAAGAATAAATCTGAATCCATTTTGTTCAACTTGGAATGCAAAATATTAAATCAAATCAATTAAGAAGTTTGTATAAATCAGTCAATTAGTAAATGAATCAAATAACTTTGTATAGATCAATCAATAACTTTGTATAAATCAATCAATTAGTAAATGAATCAGCCGATAACTTTGTATAAATCTATAAATCAATCAATTAGTAAATGAATCAATTGATTTTGGTTTAGACGTAAGAAAAATTTTTGTTTTTTTTCTTCTATGTTTATCAAATTTGGTGTAACAACTATGGATCAGTATTGAACAGTATTGAACAACCAATTGATTCAATTAAACCAATGGTGTATGTATAGTTTAGACTCATATAAAGAGAATAGAGAATAAGAAATCGACGCTCAATCAATCGTATGCTCCTAATTATTCTAGATCGTCATTTTAAAATCTGTTCTTTTAAATCATATCATACTTTTGAATGGGTTTGAAGATATCATTGTTCATCTTATCTGATAACATTTTCGTTTTAACATTCCGTCTTGATACATGCGTTTTTGTTTTTATACAAATTAGGTCAATGTATTGCCTAATTTGAACAGTATGAATTTTTTTTTTTGTGTTTACAATCCATAGAATTTTCCATACAAAAACAAACATTTATGAAATAATTACAATTTTGAAATACTTACGATTTTGAAATAGTTACGATTTTGAAATTAGTATGTAAAAGCAGAGTATAAATTTGAGCTTAATCTCCCTGGTTAAATTGGGGTGTCAAATTTTGTCAAGTCATAAAAACAAAATAATGCCTTATAAACCAAAAGTTTATTGTACATTTTGCTGTAAAAGATTTTCATCGGTTGATAAAGCTAAATATCATTTAGCTAAAAAACATAATGTTTATTATGATGCTTGGAATTATGAAGATTTTAGTTTGGTCAAAGAGTATTAGTTACTGCTGCAGAGCTATTGCTGCGGAGCTGCTGCTGCAGAGCTGCTACTGCTGTTTTTGTTGTTGATATTGTGTAGTTTATGAATTCAAAAGAATTGCAATTTAAAATTACATGTAGTAATTATTGTCTTACGCCGTTTTATGAGCTCACTGACTTTGTCCTTGTAAATTTTAAAAATTCCAAACAGTTAGACAATCACTAATGTTTTTGGTACAATTTCTTCAATTTAGACGTTAGAATTATTTATATCGATTAATTGGAAAACAATTGCCTAAAATCAAAATCTCACTAGGATTGTTTCTGAATATTCAAAATATCTATCTTTTACTACAATATTTAGCTTATGAGGAGTAAATTCAGACTTTCTATAATCTTGTGTAGTTAATTGGTGTTATGCAATACTTATCTACATTGTTTCTGAAAAAATCTATAAAATTTCCTAATTAGGAAATAAGAACTAGCGCCGCACAATCTGAAACATGTTTACCAAACAACCTGCATATAGTTTTGTTTTGCAATAAAAATTAACACTTGAGGTATATTCTTTCCCAAAACGACTAATGAATTGAAAAATACTGAGTCTCTCAGATTTAATCAATATTTAATAATACTTTACATTCTGATTATTGATTATGAAAGTTTTGAATTGCTACTAAACTACAAAGATGTAGAATTATTATTGCTTAAAGTGTGGTCAATTATATGAAAGTCTTGATGAGATAATTAGTCATAATGATTACGCACATGAAGAATGTATAGATTATATCATAATTGAATTTTAATAGTTAAAATAAAAATCGTTGAAAACCTAATGCAAAATCAACTCCTACTCCTGATAAATCGGTTTTTTCGCACTGAAGTAATTTTACCAACTGGATATTTATGTTTAGAGTTATGTTTAGAGTTTATAACGACAATCAGAACCAAAAAAGACCACAAAGTGTAATTTTCTTTCCACTTACCCATTTCAATTCAAATTCAATAAAATCGTTACAAGTTAAATAATACAAAGCATTAATTAGTCATTTAAAAGTCTATTGTATATTCCAATGTATTAATCTATTGTTTATCGTGTTCTAATTTTAATTTTTCAGTTATTTCAATCAAGTCTATCACTTGTTGTTTATTTGGCCAAAAACCCCAACCATATTGTAAAGATGTATAAACTCTAACACCTAATTTATCAGCCCATTCCCAAACTAAACCTGGTGATTTTAAAAATTCACGACCTACCAACGCTAAATCGAATGTACCATCTTCTAAATATTGATTAACTAAATGTGGATCAGTTAATCCACCAACACAACTAACCAATAATTTGTCTCCAACATGTTGTTTAATTGCTCTTGATAATGGTACATGCATTGGTTCTCTTTTTTCTTTACTTATATTTGATCTTGGTGGTTGTCTATAATCATTACCACCACTTGAAACATCTAATAATGCAATTTCTTTTTCAATCAAAATATCAGCAAATTTTTTAGTATCTTCAATATTCCAAGCTGATTCATCTGGACTATTTTCTGAAGCTGAAATTCTAATGAAAATTGGTATATCTGTTGGAATTTTTGATTTAACATTATCAATAATCTCCAAAACAAATCTTGTTCTATTTTCAAATGAACCACCATATTCATCAGTTCTTTTATTTGATATAGGACTTAAAAATTCATTTAGTAAATAACCATGTGCTGAATGAATTTCAACAAAATCAAATTTGGAAATTTCAATTGATCTTTTAGCAGCATCACCAAAATCTTCAATAATTTGTTTAATTTGTTTAATAGTTAATTCTTTTGGTTTTACATAATTACCAAATGGTCTAAATTCAATTGGACTTGGAGCATAAACTTTATCTAACCAACCACCAGCTGATTCGTCCACTGCTTGTTCTAAATGTATAAATGGAGGTTGAGTACTAGCTTTTCTACCTGCGTGACCTAATTGAATACCAATTAATTGTTTTTGAGAATGAGCATATTCAACAATATCAATCATTTTCCTAGCTTGTTCATCATTCCAAATTCCCAAATCTCTTGGTGAAATACCACCATATTCACTAACTGCTGAACTTTCAACAATTGTTAAACCTGGACCTCTTGTAACTAATGCACCATAATGAATTAAATGATACGGAGTAACTTCACATTTATCAGTTGATGAATATTGACACATTGGAGAAACTCCAACTCTATTTTGTAATGTTAATTTACCAATTTTTAAAGGTTTGAAAATTGCTGGTGGTTCATCATCAGGAGTTTGTTTATAAAAAGTACCTGCAGCAACTGGTTGTTTCGGAGTATAATAAGGTACTTCTGGAGCACCAGGATTATAATCTGATGTCGATACTTCTGAAACTGTCATTTTAGATTTATTCTATAGTATCAATCTAGATTGATATTATTTTGCAATCATATTAGGTGATTTATATATATTTGCTCGCTTATTAATATTATTAATATAATTTTTCACAACGGCATAAATAGTCGGCAAATTACCACATTTGGTTATTTAATCCGACACAATCATAATATACCACAATGTATCAACATAAATCATTTTAAATGAATTATTCAATAAATTTGTAGACTATATTATGGGACTCAGCCAATAGTTTCTTTCCAAATTGGTAAAAAGAGATAGGAAAAGTAGTCAAATATCGAAGTTCAATAGAATATGTTTCAAGAACGCAAGTTGGTAATTCAAGACGCGTATCATTAGACTCATCAGAATTTTCCCGTTTGAATGGTACCAAACATGGCATGTTTTAAGCTGAAACTCAGCTATTTAGGTCCAAATGAGGTTTGATTAAATCTCAAGTTTTCATTTGGTTTTTTGCCTTTTTTCTTTTTCGCACTTTCGGTATATTGTTTCATGTTTAATCGCGCATTGGTATATCTATTTGGCCCTTCGAATTACTATATCGATTTAGAGCATATTTTAAACATTATCACCGCTACTACTATCGAGATTGTAGGGTATATTTTCTCAAACTACTCATTTCTTGTTTAGCACAGGTTCAGTAAGACAATTACAACATCCACTAGGTTTCATTTTATCACTTCTTATCAGAGATAATTCACACATAAATTAGTCATCTTTTTCAGTTTCCAGTTATTATTTATACGAAATGAAGTAAATCATTACTTCAAAAAAAATTGACATTTTTAGACTAGCTAACATTAGAATGGCTCGGATATTAATGATATTTTTAGAATCATGGAACTCTATAATCTTGATGTGAGGCATTGTATATTTTGTAAGAAAGAGTATATGTAAAAATATTCAAGCATTGTATTTTTTTTTTGAGAAAGAGTATATGTAGAAATATTCTACTTTAACGACTAAAACTTCTCAAAGAAAAATTCAGTCAATTAGTCTACTTCCAATTGACCTATCCAAAAGAAGTATACGAAATATACCCATATGAATACATTTCAGTTAATATTTTACAACCCACGCAACCTCTCATTCAAAAATTATCTACGAAATTCATAGATGATTTTTTTTCTTTAACAAACATTAAAAAGACTCAAAGTTACACACAATAGGTTAGTTTGCTGCTCATGTCAATTTATGCTAATTCCATTGTTTTGATTGAATCGAAACCGTTTCAATCCCAACTAGAGCTTACTACTTAGTTATAAAGTGTTCGCTATTGATCGTTCATGTGTCATATCATTAAGTTTTGGCCCTTCATTTTGCTAAAAAGCGGCTATAAAAAGGGCGCTGTATTAAATCTATTGTTTAAAGCTAAATATTACTTTTCCAGCTTTACTTTTCCAGCTTCAGTTTGTTTTGCTGCTCACTTTTTAATGCTTAAAAATTTGCTTTGAAGTTTATTAGTATAAATTAAATGCAGTTGAAAGTCAAATTTAAACAACATCAAAACGATTGCTCCAAAACGATTGCTCCAAAACGATTGCTCCAAAACCTTACCTTTATTGCTCGACATGTACATACCTTCGCGTTAAACAAATTTATACTGCTACAGATTTAGTTTACTTAAATACCTTTTGCAGTAATAAACTGTATCAATTATTTGACTGCAGACAACGCGCAACGGGTTTAAATTAAGTCAAAACGAGAAATAATTCCGTGCGGACTTAAATTATACGATAAGTGCACGCCACACTAATTATAGCCGCTGTGCATTGTTCTATTTTTTTTTATCAACGCTTTCTTTCTTTCTTTCTTTCTTTCAACTCCTTATCCAATTTCATACTATATTGATACAATTTATTATTGATACAATTTATTCAATATGGACGAAAAAGTTGAGTTTGAGTTTAGTGGTAGAAAACCAATTAATAAGAAAAGACATTTTCTTTTGAACCCATATTTATGGGTTGCTTCTGCATTGTTATTTATAATCTACAATTTAAATTCAGTTATCTTTAGAAATGATAGTTTTATTATCAATGATGATACAAAGCTTGATCCAAAATCAATTCTTTTGGATAGTTTAAAAACTAATTTAGCTGGTAATTGGTCTCATAAATATACTACGCACGGTCCTCATTTAGCTGGTACGAATTATGATTTAGTTGATTGGACGAATACAAAATTTAAACTATATGGATTTGAACCAACAATTGATACTTATGAAATTTATGTTAGTTATCCAAAATCTACAAATTTACAATTGATAACAGAAAAAGATAAAGTTATTTATCATCCAAGTTTAGTTGAACCTGAATTAAAAGAAGATCCAAGTTCATTCCATAATAACTCAAATCCGGTATTTTTAGGTTATTCAGGTAATGGTAATGCTACAGCTGAATATATTTATGCAAATTATGGTACGAAGGAAGATTTTGAAAAATTACAACACCATAAAGTTGACATTTCAGGTAAAATTGTTTTAGTTAGATATGGTAAAATTCTCAGAGGTTTGAAAGTAAAATTTGCTCAAGATTTTGGAGCTGTTGGTGTTTTAATTTTTACTGATCCTGCTGAAGATAGAGGTAACTTACCAAAACATAAAGATGATTATTATCCAAAACTAAATAGTACAGCACGTAATCCATATGCTGTTCAAAGAGGATCTGTTCAATTTACAGCATTAAATCCTGGTGATCCAACATTGGATGAAACTCAAAATGCAAGATTAGGTTCTCCAAAAGATAGAAAAGATCCTCATAGATTTACACCAAAAATCCCTGTTTTACCAATTTCTTATGCTGAAGTACAACCAATTTTAAAAAAATTAAATGGTAAAGGTAAACAATTTGATTCATTTAAAGGTGAATTAAAAGATGTTGAATATTATACAGGTCCAAATGTAGAATATAAATTAAATTTATATAATAAACAAGATTTTAATATTACTCAATTATGGAATGTTTATGGTGAAATTAAAGGTGAAAAACCAAATGAAGTTATCATTATTGGAAATCATAGAGATAGTTGGAATGGAGGTGCTGGAGATCCAAATAGTGGTTCAGCTGTTTTAATTGAATTAGCAAGATCGTTAGGGGAATTGAAAAATTCGGGTTTTAAATTTAAAAGAAGTATAGTTTTACAAAGTTATGATGGGGAAGAATATGGATTATTAGGATCAACAGAAGCTGGTAAATATTATGCAGAAAAATATCAAAAAGATGTCGTTACATATATAAATTTAGATACTGCAGTTACTGGTAAACAATTTAAACTTGGTGCTACACCATTATTAAATGAAGTTTTATTAAAAATTGCAAAAGAATTGGATTATCCAAATGAAAAAGGTCAATCATTATATGATCATTTTAAATCAACAAGGGAAACAATTGGTACATTAGGTTCAGGATCAGATTTCACAGTTACTTTGGATTTTTTGGGTATTTCATCAATTGATGTTGGATTTAGTCAAGGTAAAGATGATCCAGTTTATCATTATCATTCAAATTATGATTCATTTCATTGGATGAAGAATTTTGGTGATCCTGGTTTTATTTATCATAATTTATTAAGTAAATATATTGCATTATTAACATTAGAATTGAGTGAAAAAGAAATTATAGCATTCAATTTAAGTGATTATTCAAAATCAATATTGAAATATTTTGAAGCTACTGCAAATGAAGTACCAGAAGAATGGTTGGATAAGAAAGTAGGCGAAAAAGAAGATGAAGATGATGATGATGAAGTAGAACAATCAAGATATATCAAGAAAATAACTCAAGGTTATTATCAAGATTCAATATTATCAAAAAGATGTCAAATGATGAATCAAATAAATAATCATAAAAGAGGTAAGAAATTAATTGATCTTTTATCTAATACACATGATGAATTAAAATTTTTACAAAATGCAACCAAAGGTTATGATTATACATCAAAAGAATTACAAAAACAATTTGATATAATTGATGAATTACCATTCTGGAAAAAAATTAAATTACATTTTCAAATTAAATATCATAATAAAGTTTTACAATATTTTGAAAGAAATTTTTTATTTAAAAACGGATTAAAAAATCGTCCATTTTTTAAACATATAGTATATACAAGTGGTAGATATACAGGATATTCATCGCAAGAATTACCAGGTTTAAGAGAAGCAATTGAAGATGATGATTTTGATAGATTTGTTAAATGGGTTAATATTTTATTCAAAACATCAGAAAGAATATCAAAGAAATTGACATAAATTTACTATATGGAGATAATAAACTATGAAATATGAATAATATAAATAATATAATAATATAAATAATATAAATAATATAAATATAATGAAATATTATACCTGCACGTAAATGAAGACCCTTAATGCATGATGGGTTAATATTGATTCGTATCTTACGACAAATCTGATTAAATTTGCGCTCTAGATCCAAAAAAGTATGATACCAAGAAAAAAAGAAATTTAATTTCCCAATTAAGAAGATTCAACAAATTATTTATTTATTCATGCATCAATTGGTGTCATTAAGGATTTGGATTTGTGCTTCAAATTCAATTAACAATAAGACATTGATAGCGAGAATTTAATTTTGAACAACAAATTAAGTTCAATCATTTTTATCAGGATCATATTGACAACGTATTAAATGTTTCAAATCTAAATTTAGACCAGGGGCATGTAACTGTTTCATAATTAAATGATGTTTTTAACTTCCCGTTTGCATAATTTTTTGATCATTGTAGTTTTTAAATTACGTATCATATATAATTATAACATTCTTTTTTCAATTTTGCCCACATATATTATACTATTGTGGTTTTAATGTATGTATGTTTAAATGTTTTACATTCAAATTAATCCCCACCCTAATATCATTAAATATCATTTATAATTTCAAATTTCCATGTCAAATTAATTTCAGGTAATTAACTCGTCAATTGATGTCAAAGAGAACGTTATCAACATCGTCTTCATTTATAAATAAGTTGTATACATCTCCATTTAAAAGAAATACAACAACAATAACAACAACAACAACAAATGAATATTCTCCTATAATTCCAATTTCTTTAAGTTTCGATAATGAATCAACAACAAGTAATATTCCACCTCCTAGTATTAGTTCAAGTAAGAAATTCCATTTTCAGTCTCCTTTGGAAACCAAAAAATATACAGAATCAAAATGCTGCTTTTGTCATGATTTATTAAGCTTAATCTTACCTGGTGAAATTGTATTACCATTGATATGTGATCATGTATGTCATAAAAATTGTTTTATATTAATGTTGAATAAAAAACAATTGGATAAGTTGCCCATTTGTGGAATTTGTAAATTACCTACTAAATGTTATGATGATTTAGTTTATCAAAATATAATAGAAAATATTCATTTACATCAAGAGATTGAAATAGATAGTAATAAGCCACTACCACCACTACCACCACTACCACCGCCATCACCACCACCAAATTTATCACGACCAGTAACTCCAAAAAAACAACAAAAGCATAAATTTATAACTTCCCATTTAGAAACACCTCCGAAAATTGAAAAAAATGATTTAAATGTATATCAACCAATTATTGAATTTGAAGAAATATCTAGAAATAATAATGAAATTGATTATCAAATGACTATTAAACCGCCATTGATATTTAATCAAGATTCAAATTTAAATTTATATGAACTACAATTAAAAGTTAAAATTTCAAATTTCATTAAAAAGAATCTTCATTTACAAAGAGATTTAGGGGAATTAATATGTTTTGATAATTTAAATATTTCAATTGATGGTTTAAATTTTGAAAATTCAATTGTTTATTTATTTGAAAATTATTTAATTTTTTATGATTTAAATGATTTACCATTGGGAATGATTCATAAATCTGATTTTTGTAATTTGAATTTAATTGAAGATAATATATTGTGTTTAAATCTTTGTAAAGAAAGCTTACCAGAATTATACCTTCAACATGAATTTAATAATTTAATAATTTCAAAATGGGAATATTTAATAAATTCAATGAATGAATCATTACATACAAATTTATATCAATTTACATCTACAATGTGGATAAAGTATAAAGAAGTTTTTCAAATTTCAAAAGATTTAGTTAAATTTAATCAGTTAATTTTACAAAATTATGAAATTCCAAATAAATATTTAATTAAAATATTACCACCTCCAAAAATGTTAAAAATGAATTTAATAATATCTATTTCATTAATTAATTTAACAGAATTGTCAGATTTGGAATATAAAATGAATTTACAAGAATTAATCGAAAAAGTAATTTCAAATCTAGGTAAGTTTGATACATTATCAATTATATTTATAGGAATTGATAATAATAGAAAACTGAATAGTTCAGGTATTTATATTGGACCAATTGAAAAAAATTGGCAAGGATGGAAAGAAATAATTGAAGATATTGAAATTTTACCAAATTGTTTAATGGATAATAATCATGAATTGAATCTAAGTATTGAAAAATGTATTGAATTGTTACCATTTATAAATAAAGACCAATGTATTAATAAATTTATGATATTTACTTCATCAAATTATGAGGATGATGATATAACTAATTTCAATTATAACAATTTTAATAAATTAAATGAAATTATATCTGTTAATTTTATCAGTATAGACAATAAAATCAATTTTGTTCCAAATGTGATTTCAAAATCAAGTTTTGATCATTTATTATCAACATTATTAAGTTCATCAATTCAAGAATTTAAAGAAATATGCATACCTGATTTAAAAATAAATATTAATACAAATAAAGGAGTTAAATCATCTTCAAATATATATAATATTAAAAATCTTTCAATTACTAATGAAAAGAAATTAAATGTCAAATTTAATATTGATGATATTTTCGATTCAAATTTACCATTATTTGAATATAATTGTTCATGGTTTAATGATACAAAATTTATAAATTCAACTAAAATAATGACTAGAAGACAACCATGTTCATTTAAATTACCTCAAATTCCCTTAACTCCAAATAATAATGATTATGATGATGATGATGATGAAATTGATATTGATATAAGTATAAAATGAATAAATATAAACTATACGTCCAAACAATTCAACTTTATCTTAACTCTGTGAACTAATTTTAAAATCACATATTGCAATAGAATACCCCTTAACATTCAACCCCCTAAGAAATTTTGCAGTGCTACCAGTTGCAAAAAATGGCTGGCTAAAAAATTTCAATTTTGCAACCTTATTGATCCATGCTGGTTGATTCAACAATGATCCATGCTGGTTGATCTAACAATGATCAATGCTGGTTGATCCATGATCCATAGAGTATAAGTATAGATCAAAATGTTAAATTATTTTCAATCTTCATCATTAATTGTTTTTTTAGTAACATGTTAGTTCAATCATACTCAACAAGTTTTATAATTTTATTATCTTTGATTAATACTTGTTTGAGTGCAAATTTAGGTGGATTAGATACTGGAAGTGGTGTAAATCAAGCTGCAGCTGCTCAAGATTCAGAAATTACAGAAAAGACACAAGCTACAGAAACAAATACTCAACAAAGTGTGATAAATAGTAATACTCAAACTAATACTCTACCAACTACAGCAAATACAAATACAAATACAAATACAAATACAAATACAAATACAAATACAAACACAAACACAAACACAAATACTCAACAATCAACAACACAATGGTGGACACCACCAAGTTCTCAAAATGCACCAACAACAGAATCACAACAAACATCTATACAATCTACAAACAATGAGCAAACAACAACTTCAGCAACAGGTCAATCAGTTAGTTATAATCAATGGGGATTTCAAGGATCACAATCAGTATGGATAGCTACCACATTACAAAATTCAAATTCTGAATCAAATTCTGAATCAAATTCTGATTCAAATTCTGATTCATCAACATCAAACAGTCATAGTACAACACATTCAATCAGTAATAACACATCTAATGGAATAAGACAATACACAATACACGATCAAAACATGAAATGGAAGAGTATAACGCTCATCTCAAGCGTTATTGGTTTCAGTATACTTATAAATAGTTTATAGAAAAAAATAAATATTTGATGTTTCAATGAATAACAAGAAACATCATAATAATATAAGTATAGATCCATCTCATCGCAATATGACTATAGATCCATCGCATCGGATATTAGCATTAAATCAATTCAAACAATTAAATCAAATTAAAAACAACGAATTATCAATAATCAATGAAATACCAATCGTAGATCAAATAATTCAATCATATTCACAACAACTACAAATCAAAAATAATCCATATTTGATTAATTTTAAAGATTTCATACCATTAATTAGACAAATTTATTCACGTAAATCAATTTTATTTTCAATTGATATTGAAGCATTTGAAAGAAATAATAATATAATCACAGAAATAGGTATATCGATTTATGATCCTCGAAATCAACAGTTTGCATTGATTCCTTCCATTACTAATATCCACATTAGGATAAAAGAACATCTTCATTTATTTAATGGTAGATATGTACCTGACCATTCTTTAAATTTTAATGGTTCTGAAACTTTTATTTTATCATTATATGAAAGTTCAATATTTGTACAATGTTTAATTGATTATTATTTCAATTTGGATATTAATACGTTCTTGATTGGACATGATTTCCACAACGATAGAACCTGGTTGAAAACGATAGGTGTTGATTTTCCTGCTAATGTGAATAGTATTGATACGAAGAATTTGATAGCTATTACTCAAGGTAGACTTGGCGGGTCATTGCATAATAGTCTTGATATTGTTGATATTCCTCATAGTTTTTTACATAATGCTGGTAATGATGCTTATTATACTTTAATACTAGCTATGAGTTTACTAGATCCACAAATTAGAATAAGGTATAATTTAGATATTTGTAGAAATATTCCTATAAAATTGACAAAAGAAGAAAAATTAAAAGCTAAAGAAGAAAGAAGAATTAAAAGGGAACAGGAAATTGATCAACCAAAAGAAGAAGAAGAAGAACTTCCAAAGAAAAAAACGAAGGTGAAGAAGAAGCATAATTTTGCAGAAGTAATTGAATTCGAAAGTGCAATTGCTGCTACATTATATTTGTTTAATTAAACAACAACCCATTCAGACTTGTTTCATATTTCTTTTGTAATTCAGTTAATCTAATTAATAATCCAGCAGTTAGTGATTTAACTTTATCATCTATTATTAATTCATAAATTGATAATAACCAATTAGTTATAAATATTAATTCTTCATTGAAATTGAAATTGAAATTTAAAACATTATCCGAAATGTCTAAAATTAATAAAATACCAGTAATGATACTTTCGATAACTTGAACTTCTTCAATTTTTATATTTTTAATAATTTGAATCACGAGTATTAGATATTCTTTAATCATGTCAGTTAATTGATTTGAACTTGGATATGCACAATGTAATAACAAACTCAATGTTTTTAAATAATGAGCAAGGAACAAAGATTGATAATGACCCATAGATCTAATCCTTGAATTTGAATAAAATACGTTGATTAAAGGAAAATAAAAAAACGTACCAATAATTTCAAAAAAGTTTTTAATCTTTGGCCTATCTATAGTCTCCCGTTTTTTTAATTTTTGAGACATTCGTAATAACTTTCCCTGTGGTATTAGTCTATCTTGTGCTTCTATTGATTTACTCTCCATTAAATCATTTTGTAATTCTAAATATAAATTATGTAACTTATCAGGTAATTTCTTAGTTGGAAAATCAGTGAATGAGTTGGAAATTATCTCATCTTTTATTCCTCGTAATTCTCTTGCTGATAAAGAAGTAGCAGATAAGATTAACATTCGTTGACTAATTGAATAATCTGCATCAGCCAACAATGTAAATAAAAACTTTGTCACTTTATAATTTGAAATAATTATTGCAATCATAAATTTCAATTTTAAACTTTCAAAATTTTCAATATTAAATGAATTATCCATGCCAATGATACAAGTTAATAAATCTTCAGAATAAAATTCAACTTCTGTACCTTGTGATGATTTTTTTAAAAGTAATAAGGGACCTTTTTCCAATGCAATTTTAATTATTTCAAATGCATGTTTATTTGAATTGTCAATTGTTAGATATTCTAATAAATCTCGAATATATATTGGATTGGCAACTTTTGTGGTTGGTTCATCAACTAGGAGGTTAAGGTCCTTACCTTTTGAAATTCTTTGCTGTTCTATTTGTTGTTCAACCCTAACCTCTGTAATTTCATTAGTTAAGTTTTCCCATGGATTTAGTATTACTGTTGGTTGAGGTGGTGCTTCGAAATATTTTGCATATCGATCTTTATCTATTTTGAATATTTTTTCAGTTTTGTTTATTTCACATATATAATCAGCAAGAATTATGGCTAAATCTTTAATATTATTTGAAAATGAACCAAGTCTACTACTTATTGAATTTATGAATATTGAATCACGAGATACGTTTTGTATATATGGTGTATCTTTAGCGTAATAAATTAGTTTAGTTAATATATATGTACGAGATTCTTGAATTGATATTGGTTCCGACTTGATAATATTTTCATCTGCCCATTTTGAAAATAAGTATTGAATAAGTTTCTCTTTATTTTTGATAAGCATAGCTGTAAGAACACTCAAATTGTCATTTTTAATTAAAATGATATGTTCTATGATTATCTCATCCAAATAATCTTGAAATGGTTCTAAAATGTTATAATATAAAACTATATTTGAATGAGTGATGATGATTAATCCAAGATATATGAATAATTTCTTAAGCATGTCTTTCTTTTCAAATTTCTTTAGTTTGTTAAATTGGTCTATAAATTTAATCCAGTCATTCTTGTTAAATATCAGTTTGAATATTTGAATAGTTGCGTCATTACTGAATTTGAATAATGAAAATAGGAAATCAAAACGATTATTAACTTTAATTTGTTCAATTAAGTATTGAATATAATTTGAAGTCAGTAATAAGTGATTATTATCAATTTGATAGTCTATACTAACTTCATTAATAATTGATAATAACCTACCTTTAAATAATAATTTCTCAATCTCTCTAATTTGTATATCATTAGCGTCTCTTAATAAATTAGATAATAAGTCATTGTTAATTACCAATTCAATCAATTTTAAATATACATCAATGTGTTCATTTAAGTTTGATTTCAATTTCGATTTCAATTTCAATTTATTTAATAAGTTACCCAACCCAATTAATGATTGAAATGAACGAATGAAAATTTCTAAATTTGGATAGAAATCAATTACATTATAATCTAATAATGTATTAATGTATACAAATGATGGATTTTTGTAGTTTCTTTGTAGTATATCATTCAATTCATCTATTGATGGTTTATTCTTTAATATTTCAATGTCTTTATTCATTTTTAAAAATCAACGAAAGAAAAAAAAAGAGATGCCCAAGAGATGAGATGCACAAGAGATGTACAAGATGATTAAAGTAAGGAAGCAACAATCAATAATTATGTATAGGAGGATACAAGGTATACGACGGTTAACTAATAGTTCAAATGTTAATGAAATACCTAAATCAATACCAGAATTAAATATATTAAAACAACGAATATCGCAAGGTGAAAATATAACTATTGAAGAATATTTCAATTCAAATCATTTTAAATTCAAGAATGAAACAGATATAACAGCAAAATTGAATTATCTTAAACAATCCATACATTTATTAAACTCAAATAAGCCATTAATTTGTATTGATTGTGAAGCATTTGAAAAAAATCAAAAATATATAACAGAAATAGGAATATCTATACTTAATCAAATTCAAAAGACAACTATAGTACCACAAATTAAAACATATCATATAATAATTGAAGATCATTTAAAAAAAAGGAATAAGTTATATGTACCAGATTATAAATATAATTTTTTGAATGGAAAATCAATAATAATGTCAGAAACAAATACAAAAGAGTTCTTAAAGAAATTTCTAGAAAAATATTTAATTAATCAACATGGTGTATTGATAGGTCATAATTTAAGTAGTGAAGTTAAATTTTTTAAAAAATTAGGCGTGGAATTAAATTCAAATAAGAGTATTGATACATTAATCTTACATCAATTATCTAGATCTAATGGGGGTTCATTATGGGCTATATTAAGAAGTTTAAATATTCCTTATAGTTTTTTGCATAATGCAGGGAATGATGCTTATTATACAATGTTAATAGCTTTAAATTTATTAGATCCAATTATACGTATAAATTATGATTTAGATATTTATCAAATTAGTAAATATTCAGGTAAAGGTCAACATCATCATAAGGTATCGGTAGAGAAATGTAATAATGTAGATAAGTTAATAGAGATGATATAGTATTCTGTATTCTGTATTCTGTATTCTGTATTCTATATTCTATATTCTATGTATATATATATGAATACCAAAGCGCATCGGTTGATTTATTTATACTTTTTTCTTTATCAGGAACAAGATCTAGAAGATCTAGAAGAACTAGAAGACGAAGAAAAAGAAGAAGAAGACGACGACGACGACGACATTGGTTGCTAATTTCTCTATATTTGTCGGTTATTAAAGATATATTGTCAGTTATGGATTCAGATGAGAATACTTCATTATTATCTAATTCAAGAAGATCTTCTCAAGCTTTTTTAGATCAACATGGTTCTTTTAAAGGTTCAAATTCATTACAGAATTTTGCGTCTTCATTTGTTAGATCTACAAGTTTTGCTGCTAATAAGATAGATAATGATATTCATAAAAAGAGATCATTTTTCACTCAAACTTGTCCAATAGATGGTGGTTCAGCTTTAATTGAAGATGAAACTTTTGATCCTGAATTTATGATTCCAAGTTATAAAGGAGAAAGATTATCTAGTGTAATTCATGATTTACAATCTAAAAATTCTTTATTTTTAAATAATGCAAATGAAATTGATAATTATTTATCTGGTAGTAATAATGAAATATTTTATCATGATGATATTTTGAAAGTTTTAAATGATACTAGATCAAGACAAAATAGTAATAGTAATAATCCCCCCGGTGCAATTCCAATTAAAAAACAAAGATTATTCAAACCACAATCTTTTAGTTCTTTAAGATCTAATGCAATTTCATTAACTCCTTCAATTATAAGTTTTAAAAAAATTGAAGATGAAAATGGAAATATAGTTACTATATTACAAGGTCAATCTACAGCTCCACAAACTATTTTCAATTCTGTTAATGTTTTAATTGGTGTTGGATTATTAGCATTACCTTCAATGATGAATTTATGTGGTTGGGTTTTGGGTATTTCAACATTATTAATTTGTGGTTTAACCACTTGTTATACTGCTTCTTTATTATCAAAATCAATGGATACAGATAAAACAATTATGACTTATGCAGATTTAGGGTATGCAGCATATGGATCAAAAGCAAAATTAATAATATCATTATTATTTTCAATTGATTTATTAGGAGCTGGTGTTTCATTAATTGTTTTATTTAGTGATTCATTATATGCATTAATTGGGAACAATCAATATTGGAATAAAACAGATTTAAAATTAATTTCATTTGTTATATTAACTCCATTTACATTTTTACCATTATCTCTATTATCTGTTATTTCATTATTTGGAATAATTTCAACAATTTCAATAACTTTTTTAATTTTCATTTGTGGATTAATTAAACAAGATTCACCAGGTTCATTAATTCAATTCATGTCTACTAATATATTCCCTTCAAATTGGATGGAATTTTTAGTTGGTATTTCTTTAGCAATGGCTCCATTTGGTGGACATGCAATTTTTCCAAATTTAAAAAGTGATATGAAACATCCTTATAAATTCAATAATACTTTAAAATATACTTATTCAATAACTATAATTACTGATTTATCAATGGCGATAATTGGTTATTTAATGTATGGAAATAAAAATTCAAATGAAATTACAAATACTTTATTATTAACTAAAGGTTATCCAATTTGGGTATATCCATTAATTTCAGGATTAATTTGTTTAGTTCCATTAGCAAAGACTCCATTGAATGCAAAACCAATAATACTGACATTAAATTCAATATTAATTACTAAAAATAATAATATACTTAATTCAGTGATTAGTTTCTCGATTAAAATTGGAGTTAATTTTACATTTGTTGTATTGGCTATTTTATTCCCTGAATTTGATAAAATTTTGGGAATGTTAGGTGCTTCAATCTGTTTCATAATTTGTAACATTTTACCAAGTTTATTTTATCTAAAATTATGCAAGAATATAAACATATACGAAAGATTATTCGTACAATTGATAATCATAATTTCATCAATCATTGGCATTTTTGCAACTTATGCGGTCATTATTTATTAATTTATATATATATATATAGATAGATACTTAATTAGATTTTTTTAATATTTCACCAACTTTATTTGCAATTGCATCTCCAACTTCTTTTGTAGTTGATGATCCTCTTAAATCAGCAGTTCTAATACCTTCATCCAAAACTAATTTAACTGCTTCTTCCAAAGCTTCTGCTTCTTTTATACAATCTAATGATAATCTCAACATTGAAGCACAACTTAAAATTGTAGCTATTGGGTTTACTTTATTTTCTGGTAAATCAGGAGCTGAACCATGACAAGGTTCATATAAACCAAAAGCTTTATTTGAATCGGGTAATGATGCTAATGATGCTGATGGTAATAATCCTAAAGAACCAGGTATAACTGATGCTTCATCAGAAATTATATCACCAAACATATTTGAAGTTATAATTATACCATTTAATTTAGTTGGATTTTGAATAAGAATCATAGCTGCAGAATCAATTAATTGATGTTGAACTTTTAATTGTGGAAATTCAGTTTCAATAACTTTATCAACAGTTTTTCTCCATAATCTTGAAGATGCTAAAACATTAGCTTTATCTAATGACCAAATAGGTAATGGAGGTGAATGTTGTAATGCCATAAATGCAGCCATTCTAGTTATACGAGTAACTTCATCAACAGTATATTTTTCAGTATCCCAAGCAGTTAATTTATCATCTGATTGTTCTTGTTCTAAACGTTCACCAAAATAAATACCACCAACTAATTCTCTAACTATAATTAAATTTGTACCTTTAACAACTTCAGATTTTAATGGTGATAATTCTAATAATGAATCACTTACAAAATTACACGGTCTAATATTTGCATATAAATTTAATTCTTTTCTAATTTTTAATAATCCTTGTTCTGGTCTAACTTCACCAGTACCCCATTTTGGTCCACCAACAGCACCTAATAAAACCGCATCTGAAGATTTGGCAGCTTGTAATGATTCATCAGGTAATGGAACTCCTGTAGCATCAATTGCTGCACCTCCAATTAAATGATGTTTAAATTCAAATTTAATATCTTTTGAAGTTGAAGATTCAATTGATTTAAGAACTTTTATAGCTTCAGTACAAATTTCTGTACCTACGTGATCACCAGGTAAGACTGTAATAGTTTTAGTTATAGTCATAATTTAGTAGTATTTTTGATGAAAAATGGAGTGGTGGTGATAGTGATGGTGAAAAAAAAGTTAATATATATAAATTGTACTCCGGAATCGGAGCGAAATCGGAGTTTGCAATTGAATATGATTCACAGTTATTTATATATATATATACATATATATATACAACTAATTAAAAAACAACAATTAATGACCACTCCATTCAATTGAATTTAAATCAATACCTTCTTGAACCATTTCCCATAATGGAGACATTTTTCTTAAAAATTCAACACGTTCATTTATAGCAGCTATAACATAATCAACTTCTTCTTCGGTTGTAAATCTACCAATACCAAATCTAATACTTGAATGAGCTAATGCATCATCAGCACCTAAAGCATGTAAAACATATGAAGGTTCTAAAGAAGCAGAAGTACAAGCAGAACCAGAACTTAAAGCAATATCTTTTAAAGCCATAAGTAATGATTCACCTTCAATATAAGCAAAAGAAATATTAACACAACCAGGATATTGATAATTTGGATTTTTTGAACCATTAAATTGAGTTGAAGGTATTGATAATAAACCATTTTTTAATTTATTTGACAATTTTTCAATATAATTTTTATCATAATTTGATTCCAACATCATTAATCTTGCAGCTTCACCAAATCCAGCAATTAAAGGAGCAGCTAAAGTGCCAGATCTTAAACCTCTTTCTTGACCTCCACCAGTAATAATTGGATCTAATCTAACTCTTGGTCTTCTTCTAATATAACAAGCACCTAAACCTTTTGGACCATAAATTTTATGAGAACTTATTGATAAAGCATCAATATTCATTTCATTAACATCAATTGGAATTTTACCATAAGCTTGAGCAGCATCAGTATGAAAAAATACCTTATTTTCACGACAAATTTTACCAATTTCTTTTAATGGTTGTATAACACCAATTTCATTATTTACAGCCATTATGGAAACTAAAATTGTATCTTTTCTAATTGAATTTTTTAAATCTTGTAAATTAATTAAACCTTCTTCATTTACAGGTAAATAAGTAACTTCAAAACCTTCATCTTGCATATGTCTAGCAGAATCTAAAACACATTTATGTTCAGTTTGAGTAGTTATAATATGTTTTTTTGTTTTTTTATAAAATCTAGGAATACCTTTTATAATCATATTATTTGATTCAGTTGCACCCGAAGTAAAAATTATTTCTTTTGGGTCAGCATTTATAACTTTTGAAACATATTCCCTTGCAATTTCAACCTCTTTATCAGTTTCCCAACCATAAGCATGAGTTGAAGAATGAGGATTACCATATAAACCAGTATAAAATTGTAACATTTTATCTAAAACTCTTGGATCAACAGGAGTAGTAGCCTGTACATCAAGATAAATAGGTCTAGTACCAAATTTAGAAGCGTCTCTAGTTGCAGATTTTAAAGTAATTGAAGCACCAGAAGGAGGAACAACAACATTTATATTACCACTAGATGTTGAATCCTTTTGTGATATTTTATCCTTAGTACTAGTACTACTACTAGTACTACTACTAGTACTACTATTAGTATTAGTTGAGGGTATTGTGGAGGGTATAGTAGCTAATGATCTTGATAAATTGTGTTTAATACTAGTATTATTTGATATTCTATGTAGATTTCTGACTATAATATTTGATTTATACATCGTGAATGATAGTATGGTTGTATATGATCACTATCCTTATATATGGTTGTAAGTAATAAATGATTAATAATGATAAATTTGAAAAGAAGTAAAAAACAACAAAAATGGTAGGGACACGTAAACATGTTTATATGCAGTATAAGCCACAATATTATATTAGGAAAATGCGATATAACTTTTATATGCAGGATAAAGCCTCGTTGCTGTATTAGGAAAAGTGTATTCATTTTGCTTTTACTAGTCATCTTCATCTTCATCTTCGTTCTTGAAGTAATTATCTCTATACCATTCTAGTTGATTTATACTTTCAATTATATCAGATTTAGCGGTATGTAATTTTAACTTAGGTGGACATTTACTCATTAACTTCGGATTATGTCTATTACCAAATTCCATTATTGATGAAACATCAATTAATCTATAATTTAAATAATCTATAACTTTAGGCATTTCTTTCATCATAAAAAATTTATCCATATGTATTGAATTACCTGCTAATATTCCTTCTTTTTCAATTGGTATATATTTCTTTATATATTTTAATAATTCATTTTCAACTTTATTTAAAGTTTGTTGTTTATTGTCTAAAACTTTATTAATTAATCCTGATTTTGTATGATGATTAATACACCATTGATTCATTTTGTCTAATATTTCTTTTGAATAATATATAGTACTTTCATATATTTCATCTATTGGATTTAAATCTTTATCTGTTATAATACAACAAATTTCAATTATATGATCATCTTTTAATACTTCAAGACCTGTCATTTCACAATCTATCCAAACTAAAGGTTGAGATAGTTTACTTTTCATTGGTTTACTCATGTGTAAATATTTAATATTTCTTATATTTCCTATATTTCCTATATTTCCTATATTTCCTATATTTCCTATATTTCTTATATTTTTACCAATCGTTGATCTACGAAATGAACAAGAAAACATAAAAAAAAGATTTCGATCAATCAATCAATAAATCGATCAATCAATCAATAAATCAATCAATCAATTAATCAATTAATCAATATACATATAAATATATATATATTTAGTTGTATTTAGTATTTAGTTTACTTTAATTATATTTTTCAATTAATTCACTTGCAAATTCAATATATTTCTTTTCTGCTTCTTCTTGTGATGTACCTTTTAAATCTTCCCATGCTTGCCATTTATATTTACCTTTAAAATCAAATGTACCTGGTTTCGTTGTATTATTATCACCAATTGTTGCTTGTTTATATAATCCATATAATTTTAATAATTCATCGTCATTTGGTCTTTTACTTAAGTTAGAAACGGTAGATGCTTTTTCTTCAAATTCTGCAGAAACCATTGTAATTCAAAATTGTTGTCAAATTTATTGAACAAAGTGTTAAGAAAAAACCAAAAAATTAAATTCCTAAAAAAAAAGTGTTGGGAAATAACGGCGCTACCGTGTGTGTTTGCAACACAATTGACATTGATCAGCATCAGTTGATGAAGAATTTTGCATAGAAAGGCAAAATAAAATACAACTAATGAACCCGGAAAAAGACTCTTGAACCATATTCTAGTGGTCAAAAAGCATTATATCCTAGTAATTGCATATAATTTAATTGAGTACTACGATTCTGTATGCTGTATATTTTGGTATAAAGGTGGATTGTAAAATGTGAATTTTGAAGTCGAAAATAACTCTACAAATATAACACTTCAAGTAAACCAAGTAACTGGACTCGAATCAAAAGACATAGAAGAATCTAATACTACATTTTTCAAACAGACTGGACCCGTTCTACTTTAATTACGTCAAGATATTTCAAATTTCAACTTAATCGAATTTACTTCACCATTAACAGATCTCATCGTGATAGTGTTTCACACTAGTCAAATTAAAGTACAAGACAATTACAAATTACATTGTTCAAACGTATTAAAGGTGATTATATTCAAGTAATCTTCAATTCAAATAATTGTGGCAAAAGAGAAAGTGGTCTATTTGTGAATTTTGGTTTTGTGTAACAAAAATTGGTTTTCACTTTAGTCCTTAGTACAAAAATGGAAATGTTTTAAAACGTAAATATCTCCTTAACTAAAAGGTTGAGAGGAAATATAGTTATGGAGTAATAAACTAGGGCTAGCATTCTATTATCTGGTGGCTAAATCAAAGTGGAAACTCAATATTTTAAATTGTCGTACCAAATTAAAATTCTAGCACGAGTAGTAGTGCCAAGTCTTGCCTGGTGTTATATTTTCTTTGGTCGATCTCGTGGTCTTTTTTTTTTTTGAAAGCTTGGTATCACACATTAGAGAAATTCTTCTGTAACAAATATTGACTCTTATATGCAGTCTTATAGTATATGATGATAATGAAATTTGAATTGTCAATAACTTCATCAATATTGAAGTTTTTGTTTTCCAACATAATTCAATTTTTCGTCGGTATATTAAGAATAGAATGATGCAAAGATTTTTTGAAAAAACATAATTTTGATCAAGTTATTTGTCGTTCAAAAATTGCAAGAAAACGCTATTTTACAAAATAATTTACACTTAGATCTCATTTATTAGCAACTTAAAGTATATCTGGATTAGTTTATTTATTCCCAGAAACCCTAAGTCTCATGATTTCGTGGCGCCAAAAAGATTTTGAAAAATTTGCAAAAATTTCGAAACAGTACTGAAAAATTACTTTTGCAATTTTGAATACCTTAACTAAATTGATTTCAAGAGATGTCCTGAACAGGAACTACAAATCTGGGTTATTTTATCATACTCAAGTTTGAATAATGAAAGTAGGTTAGATTTTTCATGAGGTCAGTTTGTACAATTTTCCCCTAACTTAAGAGATAATTTTGCAATTTCTCAACTTTATTTCCCTTCAATCCAAATCGTGTTCAAAATTTAGCTAAAGGTATAGTATATAAAACCAGTCCTTTTATTGAAAGTTATGGTCGTGAATTGAAAAATAAATTGTATTCTATTTTTCGAAAAAATTTTGAATGGTGAAAAAATGCCAATCTGACAAATCGAAAAAAGCAAATTTGAATTTTAAATTTTACATATATAATGATACAGAAACAAAGACATCTGGTCTCATTTAAATAACTCTTATCTCGAGAAACAGCATTCTTCACAAGATATAAGCCAATGTAGGTAATACGAGGTCGCTTCAAGGCTAGTGCGAAAAAAAAAAAAATTTCGCCCCCAACCATCAGCCATCATATCATAATACACATTTGACTATAACAGCAACAGATAAACAAAAGCGCAAGCCGTGTATTTTGTAATAACAAATACGTGCTACTAAGTATCATTTTGCAGATGTTTGCGATGATCAAGAAGTTTATACTGAAAAATTTCAAATTTGTTAATTGATACACTTGGTAGCAAGAACCACCATATATTAAATTTAATAAATATAATACTATAATTCAAACAGATATACAAAGGTGTATCGCATATTCTGTAACAACCAGTACGTGCTATCAAGGCTTATACTATAAACTATATTTGCTATCTAACTGTAGTTGAAAACTTTACTGTTTTGTAGATTGATACATCCAACACAATGTTAATATTATCGCTACCACCTTAGCCACTTAATATTACATTGGAAAAATTGTCTATTTTCTAAACTAGAATCAGTTGAAACTTACTTGATTACAAACCTAATACCTAACGTATACATTCATAACAATTTGTCAAATTTTAAACCGCGAAACCTCGATTAATTATTAAGAATATATATTTATCTACACGATATTCATTGCAAAAATGTCCATTAAACTAGAAATCAAGCTGAAATATACTTATATACAAACTTTAACAGCTAAAGTCATACCTTCATGCAACTTGTCAAATGTTAAACGACTTTCTTTGTAATTTCTTAACTTCTAATTTCTAATATTCTTAAGTTGAAAATATGGATTTAACATCCGAATTACTAATAAATTATATATTAATCAATTATAGCTTCATCTGAAAACTTATGCATACATTTCTTTATTTGATCAGTTGTGACTGGTTTTTCAATAATAAAATCAAAACAATTACTTTGTTTCGCTTCTTCTGGATATCCTGTTACTGCAACTATTGGAGTTGTTGAATTTTTACCAGTTGTGAATTTTATTAATTTAACAGCGTCAATAGCTTCAACTTTTGAGATTTTCAAAGCAGTTAATATTAAATCAAATTTGACTTGTGATGTTGCTCTTTTAATTAATTCTTCACCATCAGTAATTGAAACAACTATACAATTATACTTCTCTAATAATTTAACAACTTGATGTCTAACCATTGGAATAGGTTCACAATATAAAACATCTATTTCATTATTAATTGAAGTTGATGAATTTTTAGAATCTGACATTCTACTACTTTCTCTTCTTCTTTGTATTCTCAATAATGCATTATTACTTCGACTTTCTTCTGAATCAGATGAATAAGGTGATGAAGCATCTTTGAATTTACTAAAATTGGATAATATATATGGTGAAGAATTTGTTCTTTGATGATTATTATCATTTAAACTGAATTCATCACCTGATGAATAAGTACTAACTATACTTGGGATTCTTTCATGTTTATTATTAGTAATAGGAGATTCAAAAACTCTATGAGGAGACGATGATCTAATTGATGTGTTTAAATTTAAAGTACTTGCTGGTGATCCTAAAGTTTGAGTATGATTTGGAGGTGAAATTGGTCTTTTAAATGGACTACTATTATTATTATTATTACCAAATGATAAACCTCTCAGTCGCAATATTGGTGTAGATTCAGATGATGATGATGAGAAACTATTTCTATGTTCCAAATGTTCATTTTTCAATCGGTTAATGACATCCTTATTTTGCTTTTCTAAAACCGACAAATTTCTAAAATGAAATGAACCAAATTCACTAGGATCTTTACTATTTTTTCTTTCCCTCCTGACTGGTTGACTTTTATCCGTGTTTTTACTTTTTTCTTCGTCACTACTGGAATTGTCTTCTTTCGGAAATTGATTAATCGCTGCTCCTCTTTGATCAAAATAATCAGTCAGCTCTGGATCTTCTGAATTTGGTATAAATGATCCAGGTTCATCAAATAATGTATCCCAATTAATATTTTTGAAATATGGATGTTGTTTAATTTCATCAGCTCCATTTGAACCCAATCTTTGTTCGGGATTTAATGTTAATAAACGTTCAATTAAATCTTTTGCTTCTGGTGTACAATAATTTAAATCTTCTTCTGGTGATAAATTTGGCCAATCTATATTACAATTTAAAATATTATTGAAAACTTTTTCAGGTGTATCTGAATGAAATGGTGGATATCCGTATAAAAATTCAAATAATATACATCCAATACTCCACCAATCTGATGCTTCACTTTGACCTACCCCTTCAATAGTTTCTGGTGCTAAATAGTCTGGTGTTCCAACAAATTTTTTACTTTCAGTACTTTCTGGATTATATAAAGCATAATTAACAGGTTGTTGTTGATGATGATCTTCATCTATAATGGCAAATGACGATTCAGAAGCAGTTCTTGGAATAATTGGTTTTAAAATTGGCGAATCTGTTGAATTTGATCTACTTGTAGACTTATTATTAGAAGGATTATTAAAACTTTCCAAAAATGCCAATGTCGGTGATGATGCCGATTGTGGTTTTGTTTCAACACCAGGTGATAAAGCAAATGGAGTGACTGAAGAATCTAAACTTGATCTGAATAACTCTATACTTTGTTCATTGGTGCTACTTTTTCTATGTGTTGTTTGTCTTCCAACAACACCTAATCTTGATAAACCAAAATCAGTTAGTTTCAAATGACCATTTTTATCAATTAATATATTATCTGGTTTCAAATCTCTATGAATTATACCTCTTTTATGCAAATCATCAACTCCTACAATAATTTCAGCAATATATTTGCTTGACCAATCTAAACCAATGACTCCTAAAGTTTTAATTAAATTACCACAATCTCCACCATTTAAATACTCCATAACCAAATATAAATAGTTTTTAGATTGGAAACTACTATATAATTGTGCAACATAAGGTGAATCACTTTGTCTCATCATAACTGCTCGTTCTGATTTAACGTTTAAAACTTGATTTTTTGCAATCATGTCTCGTTTTCTTAAACATTTAATAGCAACATAATCACCAGTTAATTTTCTCTTAGCTAAAAACACTGATCCAAAAGCACCTTTACTAATAGGTTTAATCACTTCATAATCTTTTATACCTGATGACTTATTAATTGGTTGTTGAGTAGAAACTAGTAATGGAGACAATGGGGGCCGAGAACTTTTTTGACTACTTGATTGAGGTATTGAATTTGATGAATTTAATGAAAAGTTTGAGATTTTTTTATCTGAATTATCAGTAGTTATTAAAGGTGATGATGCTGGTGTTTTATTTTTTTGAAGTGTTGTTAAGTTTTGATTTTCAATATAAGGAGCTGGTGATAAATGTCGTATTGGTGAATGAAATCTTGGTGAATTATCTGAGGACCTTTTAGATAAATCAATATCATTAATTTCAGGTTGCTTTGAATAAGGTTGTGGTTGATAAATTGATAATGATGAGGTCAGGGAAGTTAAAGATACTCCTTTTGTTAATAAGTCTTTTGGTGTCACAACATTTTGAGGTTTTGGTGATGAAATTACTTTTGATGGAGCTGTTTTATTATATTCCGGTTCTGGTGTACAACTTCTACTAAACTCAGTTTGATTTCTAATTTTTTCAACGGTATCTCTAACTGTTTTCAAAACTTCGACATCTACTTCTTTCTTTATCTTGTCCAGATATTGCAATATCGAAACTAGTCTTGATAAAGCTTCTAATTTTTCATCAATTAAATCTTTTGTATCATGAATAATCTGTTTTATTGATAAATCTGAAGTTTCAAAATTAGTTGGATTGATTATAGTGTTTAAAGATTTTTCTGAATTGGGAGAAAATGCCATTATATGATCTTCATTGTAAATTGGAGGATTTATGACTAATGCTTCATCACACAATTCAATAATTTTCAGTAATAATCCAAATGGGAATTTTTTAGATTGAATTAAGGTATTTGCTGTTTTCTTTCTGAAATTCTTGGTTAAGATTTTATTTGCTAAGGAATTAGATGATTCTATAGAAACATTAGGTAAAGGAAGTCCCTTATAGTCATAAATTAAAGTTGATATCTCGCTGTCAGATGAACCACTTGATGTGACCGACAGATGCAGTGAAGTTGGTGAAATAGAATTTGACGAAACCTCCAGTAGCAGTTGTGGACTTTGAGATTGTAAAGCTAAACTTTCTGTAATTTTTATTATTAATTCCTTTTGGTCATTTAATTCATCATGACAATTTTGTAAATTTTCATTAGCTCTATGTTCTAATATACATAAATCCGAGTGCTTTTCAATAAACCATGCAGGTATGTTAGTTTCACATATTCTACATAATATACTTTTTGGTTCTGGTACATTTTCTTCATCAGTTATACCTAAATCTTTTAAACTCATTAAATAACCTTCAAAAATCTCGGAGCCAAAACCTAGTAGATCAATTAAATTATTTGGTAATGTTAAATCTAAATCCAAATGAATAAAAGGTCGTATTGTCCACATTGAATGACTAGGTAATTTAGTTTTTGCATCGTGTATTATAATACCTTGAGCTTCCAACTCTATTATTTCTCCATCATTTGACAAACTTGATGAGATTGGACTTAGATTAATTTCAGAATCCATCAGTTGCTCATCTTCGGGTGGTATATAATCTTCCACGGGTAAATTCAAATTATTAACCTCATCAGTTGAATTATTAGGTGTTTGAGAGCCATTTTCATCAATTGTATGATCTCCCAAAATATCATTTAAATTATTCAAAACCTCATTTCCATTTTTATCATGTTGAATATGATTAGTTAATGTAATAAATTTCACTTTATAACTTATATCATCTTTGATCATTGATTCAATTGCGTAATTGAAAATCTTATAATCTTCTTCATTGTTACCAATAATGATCTTTGAAATTGAACGATTTATAATCTTATTTACATTAGTACCAATAATATATTCCCAATTTTTACTTAAATATCTTATTTTCCCATCTAAATCTAGTTCCATAATTATTGTTGGATTATTTGATGAAGCTAATCTTAAATCAATCTGTTCTTCTAGTGTATTATAAGTGGGCGCATTGGATTCATCATAAGCATTTTCACTACTATTACTATGTTGTATAGTTGTTGGTAATGGTCTCTCTTGAGAATAATTCACTTGATTTTCGGTTAAATTTCTTGGAGAAACTGATCGTTCAGAAGGATGATGAAAGTATGATGATTTACCAAACACTGATTCATGGAATAATTCATCATGATTAGGACCATTATTCGACATTTGATTTATAATTATAGAATGAAAATGTATGTGGAGTGAGAAATTTATAGATTGATAAAAAAATAAATTTGTTTCAGATTTTTCATCAAATGTTTTAAAATACCAAAAGTAGATTAATCAAATTGTATTCAAACAATTTGTCAACAAATAAGTTAGAAGGAATGTCTAATCAAATCAAAATAAGAAATAAACAATAAAAACTTTCAAAACAACTCCGAATAAAACACAAAAACAATTAGTTTCGATCAACAAAGACGGTCAAGTCCATGTGTTGGAAATACAGGAAGTGTGCCAAGATTAGGTATTCCTAATTTATGTTTACAATATGGTCCAAATGGAGTTAGATTTACTGATTTTGTTACTCATTTTCCATCTGGTTTAGCAGCAGCAACTAATGAAGGTTTAATTTATCTTAGAGGTAAAGCAATTGGTAAAGAATTCAAGAAAAAGGGAATTCATGTTTGTTTGGGGCCAGCATTTGGTCCAATTTGTCTAAATGCTAATGGTGGTAGAAATTGGGAATCATTTGATAGTGACCCTTATTGACGAGGTATTATGGGAACTGCAACTGTTGAAGATATTCAAGATGAAGGTGTTATTGCCGTTGCAAGACTTTTAATTGGTAACGAAAAAGAACATTTTCAACAAATTGGTGAATAGGATGAAGAAATTTTGGTCAAGGTTAGGATAAATTAGAAAATTCAATTAGTCCCAATAATGGTAAATGGGATGAAGAAATTTTTGGTCAAGGATAAGATAAATTAGAAAATTCAATTAGTTCCAATAATGGTAAATGGGATGAAGAAATTTTTGGTCAAGGATAGGATAAATTAGAAAATTCAATTAGTTCCAATAATGGAGATCGAGCAATGCATGAAATTTATTTATGACCATTTGCAAATGTTATAAAAGCTGAGATCCTGAAATTATCTACAAGTAAAATCAACTGAATTAGAAAAGACAAAATATCAATTATATGCAAAATTGAATTTATTAAATGGTATAATGAAAGATAAACAAGTAGAAATTGAAAAAACACAAAAAATGGTCGACAGTTCCAAAGATCAAATCAAAGAGACAATTAACAAAATGAACAAACATAAATTCAAGATATGAATTATATATTAAATACTGATTATAGTTTAAAAGATGACAATTCAAAAAACACCAAGCAAAAATTGCAAGAAATAACCTTCATAGTATTATATTAAGATTAATTTATGTTATTTACATTATCATTTTAATTTCAGTTCATTAATTCAAATTACAATTTGATATGGTTCATCATAAATTCTAATTGATCTTCTACATCTTTGCTTTTTATTCATTTTTGCTCGAATTGGTTCTTTTGTTATTACTAATACAACTTGCCTTAATATCTTTAACTTTGAATTTATTCCATCTTTTTCATTTAATGTAAAATAAGGAAGAAAGCCCGAAATAACAACTCAAAAAAAAAAAATGTTGGAAATCTGAGTATTCAACTACGTATTATATATAACTCATGGTTCCTAAACGCATTACACTATTCTTTATTTCGTGGGATTACGTTGAACATGAAAAACAAGCCAATCATTTTAGTACTAGCCGCCCTAAGTCTAGCGCGAGGAATATTTTATTGTGGTACTAATTTTAGTCGAGAATTACGTACTTGATAAATAATTCTGAAACAATTTAAGTTATATGCAGTATTTTAAGTATTAAAATTCAAAACTTTATTTGTAAATAACTCTCTTAATGTTTCAGCTCTACATCTTAACTTTGTTCATTAAAATCCTCAACCAAATTGGAACAAACTGATGGTAGTATTGTTCAATAAAACATAAACCTGTCCATTTTATTCTACATTAAAAAATTAGCAGAAGTCGCCTAATTAAAATATAATCAACACTTACAAATCATTTTGCAACTTCCAAAATAGCGAAAACAGGTTCTTTGACTTCCAATATTTCTATATAGTGTTTTTCAAGACATCATGAAAAGAAAAAATTCCCAAAATTCCCTAACTATGGGGGACGTGTTGGTAACTTTGACCCAAAATTGACCTCATTTGAGCAGAAAACTTGCTTACCAATATGCATTCTCAAGCCTAGATATGGTTATACTCAATACTACTAAAAATTACATTTCTAATTTACTCATTCAATATTAAAGCTTTTGCGCTGATTCTAGACTCATTGAAAACTTCAGCCAATTCCAATTCAGATTTGGTTGATACCAATACTCTTGAATATTTTCTCTAATTAACTTTGTGATAGAAAGTTTGCATTATTTTTAGACGTTAAGTATTGCGGTTAGGATGTTTTTCAACGTTTCTGATTGGTCAGTTAACCCCAAAATCATAAAATTCAACGCTGTCAGAAAAGCAACCCTAGAGATCAATAGATCTTTTCTTGCTCGTTAAACTCATGTAAAGCTTTCCTCACTAGCCCTGCTAGTTCGTGAGATATTTGCACTTTTCATATTTTGTAAGCCTCGTTTCCTAATTCGGATTTTTAACTTTGGACCATCAGCAAAACCAATTTTTGTTACACAAAAACACGATCCAAAATTGACAACTTTTCTTTTTGCAACTCTTATTTAAAACGTAGATTACGCAAACATGACCACATTTGATGACCTAAAGTTAACCATTTTGTAATTTTTGATACCTCTAGTTTATTTTAGGTGAAGGTTACATGTTAACTTTTGTTTATAATGAAGTAAATCAGCTTAATTTGAAATTTTGATATTCTTGAAAGTAAGCTTATTAAAAGAGGTCCAAAGTTGCCGATGTAGTTGCATTTGAATTTGTTGAAATCTCTGGTTCTAATGCAGTTACTCACTGTCTTTAAAGTGTTGAATTTGTAGACTTATTCGACTTGAAATACGATACATTTACAAACGTGATTTATGTAATATAAAATTAATTCTAATCGAGTAGAAAAGTTATAATTGGATCAGCTTAATGTCTGTTAGTCTCTAGAGCACGTTTGAATATTCTTTATCATTTATATTTCCATTTTTATTTAATGTCGACTGAATTTATCAAGGTTACAATGAAACCCGAATGAATTTTGCTTGATTTGTTTATCAAAAGCAAAACAAGGACCTGATAATGATTCTATTTTAAATCAAGTCATTTCTCGTAAAGTTGGTGCAGAATGTTGATTGAGCTTAATAACTAAAAATAGGAAAGATTAAATTGTGGTAATCATTGTAAATTATATATTCTGTAGTTTATTTGATGTTAAGCAAGTGCGTTAATGATAGAAAATGTTGGAGTAAAACAATTTAATTGGAAATTTTGATATGTTTTATGTAAAGACGGGAAGAGGGTGCCAATTCTTCCAGAATAAGTTGTATTTGACTCATCTTAACTTCCTGATTGTAAAACTGTTAATTGCTTTAGTAGTGGTTTTGTATTTGCACAGTTAATTCACATTAGAACAAATCACATTTGTAAACTGTTATTTCTTACAATGTTGATATCGACTTTGAAGCTTATACTTTAAATCATAATAGATACCATTATGCAGCCTGAACTTAAACCTTTAATTAAAAGAAGCTGTTAACTAAAAAAGTTGCTTACTTCACTTTTCTTTCACTCATTTCATATGGACTTTGTCGAAGCCAATTCCTGAAATTTTCCAACCAAGTACCTCCTCAATCATATTTAAAATTCACTTTCAATCTTTTGTTTGAAACTTTTTAAAAATTGAATTTTATTGACGTTGTTAGTTTTTAAAATTTCATTTCTATTTAATGATGAATCTTTATAATTATTATTAATATTAATAAAGTCTAATTGAGTTAAATAATTTTTAGAATTACTTAATTTCAATCTTGAACTACTTAAATATTTATCAAAATCTTTTGCTGATTTCAACCCATTTTGTATATCATATAATAAACTAAATAAATCTGGTAAAATCATATTTGACTGATTTTGAATATTATAAATCAAACTTGAATCTGGATCTAAATCTGAATTTAAATTATGTTGTTGTATTGATGTTTCTTCATCTTCTTTATCTATATCCATATCATTGTCAACTTTATTTATCGATTTTTCTTGTTGAGGATTCATCATCATTATATCATTTAATATAGTCTCATGTTCTTGATTTTGATTATTTTCATTATTTTCATTATTAACGCGTAATTCTGATTGTTGTGATTGTGAATTTGGTGAATTTGGTGAATTTGGTGAATTCAATTGATCTATATTTTGAATAGTTTGATTGTTTAATGAATGATCAATTGTTAAATCAATAGGAGTGCCTGTTTTAATTTCACCCAACATTAAAGGAGAGTCTGTGTTATTATTATTTGCATCATTCATTGTATAAACGACAATCTATGATTTAAACTTATCTGAATTAAATGATAAAAATAACGACAGGCAATAAAGAATACTAATTTTTTTTTTTTTTTTTTTGGCTTGTTTCAGATTTTCATATTTTGATTGAAAGAAATTGAAAATTCAACAAGAATTGATAATACATTTAATACAATTACTTATATGAGTTAACAATAGACTAGATAGACTAAGTATAAGGACAACAGTTAATTTACAGTTGTTTTGTTAGTACTCAGGTGAACTGAGGTGATTGTTTTCTTTTTACTCTTAATTTCTTCGATGGATTTTTCTGTATCTTAGTTCAAAGTTTAACTCTTTACCTAGTAGCTGATTTTTCAATCAAAAGATAATAACAGAAACGAGCAATAAGTTATTATTGCATTACTCATAAAGACTAAAGCTGTTTCAATTTGAACTTTTTGTGAATCTCTAATAAAATTTACAAAATTTTGCAAAAAAGTTATCTATATTCAATTTCAATTCAAATTTTATGGCCAAAATTGAATCAATAAGGATATTCTTGTAGTTATATCGTTATATTCAGCGCAGATTTATTAGTTAGAGTTAAATGGCAATATTATATGAAATTTAAAATTAATATTCGAATTATCGTCTAATTATTAATCGGATAAAATTTTAAGCGCATAGTAAGACAAACTATTGTGATGCCTTGTTAACGATTCGAACCATCCAAATTCTTTTTTTTATAGTGAAAGTTGAACTTTAATCTTATTCAAATAAATTAATTTATTATTACAATAAATTTCAACATTCTTACAACAATTGAATAATTGATTGTTGTTAATCAATTAATTAATTATGGATTATTTACTTTCATTTTTCAGTTATTGTTTACCATGTTTTCCAAATTTATCAATACCATCCATCAAAATAAATAAAATAAAATTTAAAATACTTAAATTATTAGGTGAAGGTAGTTATTCATTTGTTTATTTAATTTTACAACAATCATCAGCAAGATCATTGGCTTCTTCTACTCAACAATATTCTTCTTCTTCATTATTTGCATTAAAAAAAATTAAATGTCTTTATGGTAATCAAGATGAAATTTATAAGAAACTGTTGATTGAAATTTCAAATTATAAGAAATTTGAAAAATTAAAAAACCCACATTTAATTAATATGATAACTTATGAAATTTTAAATGATTATGATGGTTCAAAAAGTATTTATATTGTGTTACCATATTTTGAAAATAGTTTACAAGATAAGATTAATAATCATTTATTAAATAATGAGACATTTTATGATGAAAGTGATGGAATTGAAATTTTAAAAATATTTATCGGAATTTGTCGAGGTGTAAGTGTTTTACATAATTATAAATCAAAAGTAAGAAAAAAAAGGAGGGTGAAGAATAGTTCAAATGTTTTTGATCAAACTACACCAGAAACTGAAACATTACTAAATGATGATGAGAATGAAATACAAGTGGGAAGTAATGAAGTTCAAGGTATTCTGGATGATAATGATGATGATAATGATGATGATGATGATGATGAAGATGATGATGAAGATTTTGGAAATGAAAGTCAACGTAATAGTTTTAATTTAAACTCACTAGTTGAGCCATCACCTTATGGTCATTTTGATTTAAAACCATCGAATATAATGATGTCACCAGAAGGATTACCAGTAGTCAGTGATTTAGGTAGTTGCAAACCAGCGCGAACAATTATAAAAAATAAACAACAAGCGTTGAACATGACTGATTTTGTTCAACAATATTGCTCATTACCATATAGAGCACCAGAATTATTCCAAATTGATATTAATCAAGAAATTGATGAGTCTGTTGATATTTGGTCATTAGGCTGTATATTATATTCAATATTATTCAATTATTCACCATTTGAAAAATTGGAAATTGAACAAGGAGGTAATTTGAGTTTTATTATACAGAAAGGTAAATTTGAGATACCAAAAATCAATGATGATAATGATAATGATAATCACAAGTACTCACAAGGTTTAATAAAATTAATTCAAAATTGTTTAAAAATCAATGCAAAAGAAAGGCCAAATATAAATGAATTACTAGAATCAAGTTTAAAATTGTTGAGGAATCAAGAAGAAAATTAGATTTGCAAACAGAACAGTAGCATTTTAATCATTTTCCATTTTTGGTTATTGAAGTCGAGTCGAGTCGAACTAATTAAAAGTTTAAATTTAGATTGAATATTGTTCTTCACCATAGATACACGACAAGGCACGACAAGGGTACAATTCAAAAGAGATCTTATACTAATAATTAGATACAAAAGTGGATCACTCTATCTCCACTTTTAAAAAACTATAAATATAACTCAAAAGTCTCAATTTTTGTTAGATAATATTCATCACACCTCATACGATTTTTATTATGATCAACCAAATATTAGGTATTTTTCATGGTTTAATGTTCCCTTTTTATCTAATTTACTTTAAATTAAAACATTTTTGTCATTAAAGAGTACTTGTACCATAATGCAATAAAGAGTACTTTTACCATAATGGAATAGAACATAATATTGTCCGCCACGTGATATCAGCCGTGACTAAAATGATTACAAATAACATAACTAAAGGATTATGTAATATTTAACCGTTTGGAGTGTTTTTCAATTATTAAATTTGTTTGATTGTTATTAGTTTTTTGAATAAATTGTGTCATGCTGTATTTTTATTGTTTCTTATACTGCCTATCCTTTTCAAGTATGATCGTTTTCTAATATGATCGTTTTCAACTTAAATCATAATACCAATATCTCAATTACCCCTTAATTATATTTTTTTTTTTTTTTTTTTTTTTTTTTGTTTGTTTGTTGCATCTATTGTTATCATCTATTTTTGTCATCAACAACCCAATATCACACCTCCAATTAAAAAACCAAAGATAAACAAGCTTTCGTACCCGATAAATAACATGACAGATCTGCAACTGCTAATGGAAATACTACAGGATCCAGATATTACTCAACAAAAATTTCATGAAATTAAAAATGACATAATATCTCATATAAATAATCAAAATTTAAAAATCAACCAATACGAGTCTGCATTAAGTGAAATAGGGACAGTTGTAATGACTGTTGCTATGGGTGACTTGTCAAAAAAAGTGGAAATCCACCCTAAGGAACTTCCACAAATTCTCAAGGTTAAAATTACTATTAATACCATGATGGATCAACTACAAACATTTGCTGGTGAAGTTATGAAAGTTGCTACTGAGGTTGCCAATGGTGAATTAGGTGGGCAAGCCAAAAATGATAATTCTGCTGGTATTTGGAGAAGTTTAACAGATAATGTCAATATTATGGCTTTGAATTTAACCAATCAAGTTAGAGAAATTGCTGATGTAACTAGAGCTGTAGCTAGAGGTGATTTAAGTAGGAAAATTAATGTTCATGCACAAGGAGAAATTCTACAATTACAAATGACAATCAATACAATGGTTGATCAATTAAGAACTTTTGCTTTTGAAGTTTCCAAAGTTGCAAGAGATGTTGGTGTTTTAGGTATATTGGGAGGTCAAGCTTTGATCGAAAATGTTGAGGGTATTTGGAAAGAATTAACTGATAATGTAAATGCAATGGCATTGAATTTGACAACGCAAGTCAGAAATATTGCAAATGTTACAACAGCTGTGGCTAAAGGCGATTTATCTAAAAAAGTTACTGCTGATTGTAAAGGTGAGATTTTACAATTAAAATCAACAATAAATCAAATGGTGGATCGTTTACAAAATTTTGCATATGAAGTTACAACATTGAGTAGAGAAGTTGGTACTTTAGGTATATTAGGTGGACAAGCTAATGTTAAAGATGTAGAAGGTGCTTGGAAAGCTGTTACTGAAAATGTTAATTTGATGGCTACAAATTTAACTAATCAAGTTAGATCGATTGCAACTGTTACTACTGCTGTTGCTCATGGAGATTTATCACAAAAAATTGATGTTCATGCTCAAGGTGAAATTTTACAATTGAAAAATACAATAAACAAGATGGTGGATTCATTACAATTATTTGCTTCTGAAGTTTCAAAAGTTGCAAGAGATGTTGGTATTAATGGTAAATTGGGTATTCAAGCTCAAGTTAGTGATGTCGATGGTTTATGGAAAGAGATTACTTCCAATGTAAATACAATGGCTTCTAATTTAACCTCACAAGTTAGAGCTTTTGCTCAAATTACAGCTGCAGCAACCGATGGTGACTTTACAAGATTTATTACTGTTGAAGCAAGTGGTGAAATGGATGCTTTGAAGACGAAGATTAATCAAATGGTTTTGAATCTTAGAGAATCAATTCAAAGAAACACTGCTGCAAGAGAAGCTGCCGAATTAGCAAATAGTGCAAAATCTGAATTTTTAGCAAACATGTCACATGAAATTAGAACACCTTTAAATGGTATAATTGGTATGACTCAATTATCATTAGATACTGAATTAACTCAATATCAAAGGGAAATGTTATCAATTGTACATAATTTAGCAAATTCTTTATTAACAATTATTGATGATATATTAGATATTTCCAAAATTGAAGCAAATAGAATGACAGTTGAACAGATTGATTTTAGTTTGAGAAATACCGTATTTGGAGCTTTGAAAACTTTAGCTGTAAAAGCAATTGAAAAGAATTTAGATTTAATATATCAATGTGACTCTTCATTTCCTGACAATTTGATTGGTGATTCATTTAGATTGAGACAAGTTATCTTGAACTTGGCCGGTAATGCAATCAAATTTACTAAAGAAGGTAAAGTGAGCGTCTCAGTTAAAAAATCTTCAATTGAAACAAATGAAAATAAATTGTTACTCGAAGTTTGTGTTAGTGACACAGGTATTGGTATTGAAAAGGATAAATTGGGTTTAATTTTTGATACATTTTGTCAAGCTGATGGATCGACAACAAGAAAATTTGGAGGTACAGGTTTAGGTTTGTCAATTTCAAAACAATTGATTCATTTAATGGGTGGTGAAATTTGGGTTACATCAGAATATGGATCAGGATCAAATTTTTATTTTACAGTTAGTGTTTCACCTTCAAATATTAGGTATACAAGACAAACTGAACAATTATTACCATTTAGTTCCCATTACGTTTTATTTGTTTCAATTGAACATAGTGATGGTGAATTGAAAAATATCGAAAATGCTATGATAGAATTAGGTTTGAATCCAATTATTGTACGTAATATTGAAGACGCTAATTTATCAGAACCAATCAAATATGACATTATAATGATTGATTCCATTGAAATTGCAAAAAAATTGAGATTATTAAGTGAAGTGAAATATATTCCATTAGTATTGGTTCATCATTCAATTCCAGAATTAAACATGAGACTTTGTATTGATTTAGGTATATCATCCTACGGTAATACTCCATGCTCAATGACTGATTTAGCAAGTGCTTTGATCCCTGCATTAGAGTCAAGGTCTATTTCACAAAATTCAGATGAATCAGTAAGTTATAAAATTTTATTAGCTGAAGATAATTTAGTTAACCAAAAGTTAGCTGTTAGAATCTTGGAAAAACAAGGTCATCACGTTGAAGTTGTTGAAAATGGTTTAGAAGCTTATGAAGCAATTCAAAAATTCAAATTTGATGTTGTATTAATGGATGTTCAAATGCCAGTTATGGGGGGATTCGAGGCAACTGAAAATATACGTCAATGGGAAAAAAAATCAAATCCTATTGATTCGCTAAGTTTTAGAACTCCAATCATTGCTTTAACAGCTCATGCTATGTTGGGTGATCGTGAAAAATCTTTAGCTAAAGGTATGGATGATTATGTTTCAAAACCATTAAAACCAAAATTATTAATGCAAACAATTAATAAGTGTATTCATAATATTAATCAATTAAAAGAATTATCAAAACAAGACAATAATAATAGAACGTCGAGTTTTGCAAAGAATTTGAAAAAAGGAGCTATAAAAAATGGTAATGGTAACTTATTGAAGTTAAGTAATAACAGTCCAATTAAACTCAATTTAACTTCTCCAACTACGTCATCTAACGGTAAGGACATATTCAATCGTTCGAAATCGTCGTCTTCACCGGTCTCATCATCTTCATCGACAAAGTCCACAATTTCATTAAATGAAAGTCCATCCAAATCAAACAATCTACTTCGACCAGGTCAATTATCATCAACAAATCGCTCAGTAACTGAAAGTGACATACCTTATAAAAGGCCAAGAATAGCCGAAGTATATGACAATGATTCGATGGATGTGGATGAGTCATAGAAATAATTTAGCAATTGCATACTACTTTATTTATTTATATTTATCGTAATTTTATGTTGTGCTATTAGTACATATCAGATTGATTATTAGAATTGAAATTTTACGATCGAATATGTCATCTTTTGTCGTAAACTCGTCTATTTGATCTATAAGCTTATATTTACATGATGACTCTCTCTTTGTACTTCTCAATCATAAGAATTACCAATTTTTTACTGTTTCATTACATCTCGTAAATTTCCAAAGGATAAAACATTATCTATTCTTTCAGCATTACTGATGAGCATTGTCAATCTTTCAATACCGCATCCCCACCCTCCAGTTGGTGGTAAACCATATTCCATTGTTTGAATATAAGTCCAATCTGGTATTAACAGTTCTTCATCGTTGAACTCAATTTTATTTGATTGTTGCAATTTGAACTTTTCGTGTTGCTTCACTGGGTTATTTTCTTCTTCATATGCATTGACAAGTTCTTTACCATTGACAAATAGTTCAAACCTTAATGAAATTGAATTTCCATTTTCATCTTTCATTGATTTTGCTAGTGGAGATAAGATTTCTGGTTGGTTGTAAATCACGACTGGTATATCTTTATGTTTAGTGATACTCAAAGACTCAAGGTAAATTTCACTAAGCTGATTTAATAAGTTTGCTGGGTTTGGATTTGGTGGGACTTGCAAATTAAGCTTATGAAAATTCTCAATCAAATTATTCAAAGATAAATCTTGAAAACTTAAACCAGTTTGTGATTCTAATGTAGGTAGAAATTCGTATCTAATAAATTTTACACTTTTCATGATATCAAATTTTAAAAATAATTCATTAAATAGTTCTTCAGTTAATTCAATCAATTGATCTAAGCTTGTATATGTTTGATAAAACTCACAAGATGTAAATTCTGGATTATGGGTCTGATCTATTCCTTCATTTCTAAAATTTGTGCCAATTTCGAAAACTTTATCAAAACCGCCAATAACAAGTTTTTTCAACCATAGTTCTGGAGCAACTCTTAAATGAACTTGAGAGTCTTTATATTTTGTTACAAATGGATTTGCATTTGCACCTGTTCCACTTCCAATTAATAAGGGAGTTTGAACCTCTAGGAAATTCTTCTTTATCAAAAAATTTCGTATTGTCTCGATAATTTGTGATTTGATTATAATAAATCTTTTTGAATCAGGATTTGATAAATAATTTAAAACTCTATTTCTATTGATTAATGATTTGTCTGTAATTTTATCTGGAATTTCTTTTAACCTTGGAGTCAATAATCTGATAGGTTTATTTAATTTTAAAGTAAGCTCTCCAGTTTTTGTTCTAGATACAACACCATTGCAACCAATGATATCTCCTATTTTAAACCAAGCATGTTTTATATCAAATTCTTCAAGTGATAAGTTCATCAAGTTATTAGATGCTAAGATTTGTAACCTTTCGTTATTATGAGTAATATCAATAAAATACATTCCTTTCCCCGACTTTCGTATACTTTTAATTCTTCCTTCAATAAGATATTCATTTTTCACATTGACTGGCACGGCATTATCAAACAATTTTCTAAAATTGTGTATATCTATTAATTTGGAGTTTGGGTTTTCTTTTCTAAATTTTGATATAGTAGGATAATATATTGAATCATTATCTATAGTTTCAAGATCGATTTTAATTAAACTAGATCGATGATTATCAGTTAAATTTTGATGAAATTTGTTTAAATTAGTAAAATTAGCATAAATTGTTGAAGAGAACCATCTTATTTTATTAACTGATCTTAATTGTATCGCTGAATGTTTAATGATTGGCATTATTTATATAATTTAACATAGTTAACTTGATAATTGTTAGTACTTTTATATTGAAACTTACTTCTGTTAAATCGTGTAAAGAAAACAAAATTAATTTTTCATTCTATAAAATTTTTTTAGAAAATCTTATAAATTTGTTAATAAAGATCAAGACGTTTTAATTGATGCTTTCATTAAGAAATATTCTTGAACCTTCAAGAAATGTATTTAATACTTTCATACAGGTTCGTGGTGCTAAAAAAAGAGCAGTTGGTTCAAGAACAAATAATAAAGATTCAGCTGGTAGAAGATTAGGTCCAAAAAAACATGAAGGCAATTTTGTTAAACCAGGAGAGATTATTATGAGACAAAGAGGTACAAAAATTCATCCTGGTGATAATGTCAAAATTGGTAAAGATCATACTATATATGCTGTAGAACCTGGATATGTAAGATTTTATTATGATCCATTTCATCCATTAAGAAAATATGTTGGAGTGGCATTGACCAACGACATTATGTTACCAAAACCTCATTTTGAACCAAGATTGAGACGATTTGGATATGTTAGGGTTTCTAAAGCTTTAGAAGCAAAAGAAATAGAAGATAGTATGTCTAGAAAAGAAGAACTCGCTCAACCAAGAATAAATCAAATGAAGGAAGCTACAATTGAGATGGAAAATGAATTCAAGAGCAAATTCAGAAATTATTTAAGTAAAGAAACTAAAATGAATGAAAAGGAAGTGACAGAAGCTAGTGAAAGATTATATAAAATATATCAACTTCTAAAGTCAAACATGTCATTATCAGAAGCTAGAGAACAATGCACATTTGAAACTTTATTCAATATGAAATTGAATTACAAAAAAGGAGAATATGCAAATGAACAAGAATATAATTTACTGAAAAATAATTATATTCAATTCAGTGAATTGCTTGATTCAAAAATTGCTGTTGATTTTGAAGGCAACCTTTATAATTCAATTAATGTAAAATCTTTAGATAAATTAAAGACAGAAATCAAAAGTGAATTGGAGAATCTATATACAAATGAAATTTTAAAGACTGGCTATAAAAGTAAAGTTGAAAATCTTATTAAAACACCTGGAGTCTTTAACGAGGATGAACAAACCAAACTTTCCTATAAATATTTACCAAAAGTAATACCATACCATATAAATGGATCAATAACCAAAATAAACGATTTGAAACAGGTTCCAAAAGGTTCAAATTTAAAACAAATTTATGATGAAAAGAGTAAAAGTGCTAATCATTATATCATTAAAACTTTAGGTTAGATTCATATACAGCTAAAGTATCTGTAAATATAAGTATCATCTTGTAAATGTATGAGTTATTATTTTATTACTATCAACAAATTTTGCAGCCATTTTCTTCGAAAAAAAAAAAAAAAAAAAAAAAAAAAAGGCGAAAAAAAATATCTAACTTTAAAACCATTCGTATAAAACAGTTGGATCAATTAAAAGATACATAAATCGGACAAGATGACATTTGAGATGCCTTTTAAGATCCCTGAAGATAATGCATTGTTTGAAAACTATCGAAAAATTGTAATTACGTATCAAAAATTTATTGATGAATCAGTTCCTTATACGACTAATAGATGGATTGGATTTGGAATTTTAACATTTTTATTTATGACTCGTATTTTTTTATCACAAGGTTGGTACATCATATGTTATGGATTAGGAATTTATTTATTAAATTTATTTTTAGCATTTTTAACACCTAAATTTGATCCTTCGCTTGAACAAGAACTAAAAAATGAATCAATAGAGGAAGGTTTTGATAGTGAACAACAACAACAGCAACAACAACAATTTTCTAACGATAATGAAGAAGAGTTTAGACCATTTATTAGAAGATTACCAGAGTTTAAATTTTGGTATAATGCAACTAGAGCCACTTTCATAAGTTTAATTTTGACATTTTTCAGTATTTTTGACATTCCAGTATTTTGGCCCATCCTTTTAATGTATTTTATTATTTTGTTCGCATTAACTATGAGAAGACAAATACAGCATATGGTAAAGTATAAATATCTTCCATTTGATTTTGGCAAAACAAAGTATAGAAAATAGTTGTGAACCAAAAGTAATATGACATCATAGTTTTGATATTAATATACTAAATAAGTTAAATACAAAGGTTTTGGTTGTAAGTGTTTTATATTTAGGTGTAAAATGTACATATTTTATAAGTGGCAGTGTTTGGTAGTGTTTGGTAGTGGTTGCAACGAATGGTTCACTTTTCAATTTAATGACTATTTGAGATTTGAAACAATATTTGTGAATTTCTACATATTCTTTAAACTATTAACTATATTAAATTATATGATACAGTCAATATTACTATGGTTACTTAGTAATTAAGCGTGTAGTGTAAAATGGTTGCAAAATTGTAAATTTGCGTCCATTCGAATATTTTTTTTCTAACCCAATTAAATTGATCAGTTCGGATAACATTGATATTGGATATATATATGTATGGTTAGTGAAATTGCTTTACCACTTTCTATATATTACTTTCAATCAATCTTAAAAAAGCTAATAATTTACAAGATTTTATTTTTATTTGGTTTTTCAGTTTATTAATTAAATATATTATTTCAATTCAAACAATTTATCGAAAGGTCAATAAGTTTGTTGAAATTAATTAATTATGAGTCGTGCTGAAGTTGATTTACAAACTAGTGTCAAGAAAGCTTGTAATAGTGATGAAGTTCCTCCTAAAAGAAAACATGTAAGAGCTTGTATCGTATATACTTGGGATCATAAAAATTCCCGTGCGTTTTGGAATGCGGTTAAAATTCAACCTTTACAAAGTGATGAAATTCAATTATTTAAAGCTCTTATTATGATTCATAAAGTTTTACAGGAAGGACATCCAAACACTTTGAAAGATGCTTATAGAAATCGAGATTTTATTGCATCTTTAGCTACAGTTTTCCCTACTCATGGATCGGCTTATGGTAGATTAATTAATCAATATGATAAGTATATTCTTCAAAAATTAGATTTCCATCGTAATAATCCTGGGTTTAATGGTACTTTTGAATACGAGGAGTATATTTCATTAAGAGCCGTAAATGATCCTAATGAAGGTTATGAAGCTATATTACAATTGATGGATTTACAGGACCTGATTAATGATCTTCAAAAGCTTATCTTTGCAAGTATTTATCATACACAAAGTAATTTATGTAAAGTTAGTGTATTAGTACCATTAATATCTGAATCTTATGGAATTTATAAATTTTGTATTTCAATGTTGAAAGCAATGTACCAACAATTAGGAGCTGATGAAGCTTTGACGGTTCTTCTTGATCGTTTTGAGTCTCAACATTTTATGCTCAGAGGTTTTTATACAGATTGTCATTCAATTAAGTTTTTAACGAGTTTGATTACAATTCCAAAACTACCAAATAATTCTCCTAATTTACAAGTTAATGAGGATGGTGAACCTATCAATAGATCCATCGAGAATACTCCATCTAATGTTTCTTCTCAATCAACTGCTAACTTTGAAGCTCCTTCAAATCCTCCTCCACCACCCGTTGCAGATCTGTTATCAACTCAACAAACTGGTTATTTGTATCAGCAACAAAAAGAGCAAGAAAGAATGCAACAAGACTTAGAATTACAACGTCAATATCAGATTCAACAACAGCAAGAACATCAACGTCTTTTCGAACAACAACAGCAAGAACAAGAACAAAGGTTTTTAAGAGAACAACAAGCACTACAAATGCAACAAACACAGCAACATCAAGGTAGGGTTTCCGAATTGGAGCATGATTTGTTAATGTTTAAAAAACAGTATGATAATGATCAACAACTTTTACTGCAATATGATTCAAGGGTTAAGAGCTTGGAAAATGAAATGGCTGCTTTTAACAATACCGCTAGTCAACAAGTTGCTGCAAAAGATGAACAAATGAAAAATTTGGAAGATCAGATCTTTAACTGGACAAAAAAGTATGAATCACTTGCTAAATTATATTCGCAATTACGTCAAGAACACTTGAATTTATTAGCTAAATTTAAAAAAATTCAACAAAAGATTAGTAGTGCTCAGGAGTCTATTATGAAGAAAGAAAAACTCGAAAAAGATTTAAAAGCAAAAAATGTAGAACTAGCAGATTTAATTCGTGAAAGGGATAGAGCAAGATTGGACTTGGACAGATTAAAAGCAAGTAAAGACAAGGAAATTGATAAACTTGAGGCTGAAGTTAGAGAATTGAATACATCAGCGAAAGAATCAGGAAAATTACAAAATTTGAATTTGAGTTCAATAATGTCACAACATGAATCCGAATTAAATAAATTAAAACAACAATTAGCTGATAGAGAATTAAAATTGAATGGATTAGAAGATTCCAACTCTTTACAAGCAAGATTGAAGGATAAAGAAATGGAATTGGAAATTTCAAATGAAGCATTGGAAAACGCATACGAAGAATTGGGTAGATTAAAAATTGACCAAGATGATATCATCAATGAACAAATTGACCAAATAATAATTTCCCAAATTTCCAAGTACAAAAATCTTGTTGATGTCTTTTTAGAGAATAGCATTAAAAGAGTTCTTGATTCTAAGCATGAATTAGATTCGCCAATGCAAGCTGGAAATTTAAATTCAACTCCAGAATATTTATTATCCATAATAGAACTATGTTCAGATACTGGAAGTGATTTTGCTACAATTTTTAATTCTTACATTGCTGAGGATAAAAATCAAGACGAGTCGACATTTTCTGATATCATATTAGCTAGTTCATCATTGACATCTTCAGTGAATGACTTGATGTTAAACACTAAGGGTTTGTTAAAGAGTTTTGGTGGAAGTGAAGAAGAAGAGTTACTCGCCTTAACTTTGGAAGTGTTGAATGATACTGAGTCGTATTTTCGCAGTTTAAAATCAGAGGAATTACAAAAATTGGATAATGAAGATGATAAAATTGATTTGGTGATTGAAGGAAATTATCAATTACAGACTTCCTTGAAGAATCTCGGTTCGTTAGTTGATACATTTAAAGCATCCAATGGTGTCAAATTCAAAGGGAATTTAGAAGATCTTGTTGATAGTGAAATGGAACAAGCAGCTAAAGCTGTTGATATGGCATCAAAATTTTTGACTGATTTAATGAAAAATCCAAGTATCAATGGTGGTAATATTGAAGTCCATGAGATGCTATTATCATGTGCAAAATTGATAACTGATTCGGTCAAGGCATTAATTAATGCCTCAGTAGATTCACAACGTGAAATAGTAAGCAAAACCGGTGGTCAACAAACTAGAACAGAATTTTACAAGAAAAATAATCGATGGACTGAAGGTTTAATAAGTGCTTCAAAAGCTGTAGCTGGTGCAACAAATGTATTGATCCACACAGCTGATGGTGTACTAAAAAATAGTAATTCCCATGAGGAATTGATTGTGGCTTCAAATGAAGTTGCGGCTCTGACGGCTCAATTGGTTGCAGCTTCTAGAGTTAAGGCTAATTTTGTTTCTAAAACTCAAGATAAATTGGAAGTAGCATCTGGTGATGTATCGCGTGCATGCAAAGCATTAGTTTCTAAGGTTCAGGATTTATTATTTACAAATGAGCTGAAATCTCATGATATTGATTTGAATAAATTAACTCCATATGAAGGTAAAACCATTGAAATGGAGCAACAAGTGGAAATTTTAAAATTGGAAAACAAATTGAATGCAGCTAGAAAAAGATTAGGTGAAATTAGAAAACATGGTTATAAGGATGACAATAGTGATGATGATGAAGATGGAAACTGATTGCATAATAGTTTTGTAAAGTGTTCAAGTGATATAATAAATACTTTACTTTATCAAAGGATCTTCTATCGACTCTTGCCCACTTGATGTAGGACTAAATTCTTTTGAATTGGAAATTAGCAATATCGACATGAAATTGATAAATGAAATTAACTAGCGCATTTTAGTAACTGATTAAAAGAAATCACCTTCTTAATTTAGGTCTGTGGACTCATAGAATATCAAGCGGTTTTCTATATTTTGGTGTATTTTACTTCAATGAAAAATGTTCTTCTAATGCTTGTACTCTTTGTTTTAGTACAGTTTGATGAATTCAGATTCAATGTCATTTGGTACAAAGGATCTTGCCTTGAGTGAAAACATCTACGGCCGTCTTTTCGCTCCAGATCAGGCTTCAGGATAGAAACTTCTTATTTGCAATTATATGCAAGTTTGTAGTGGTGATCTTTAAAACTTAATCTTCAAATAACTCCATCAATTTTAGAGTATACAATGGCAAACCTAACTCATTCAAATCTTCAGAAGAGCTAAAGTAGAATGATTGTACAATCATTCAACAGAAGATACTATTGATTTTAAAAAAACGTTCAATTGGGAGATGAGTAGTACTTCAACCTCGTCTAGTAAGTTCCAATATAGCTGATTTAGTTTGAAATAGAATAAAAATTCATTGTATTATATATTCAGGAGCTCCAAATCAGTAAAAATTTCTAGCCACTTTTGAAAAATTACTTTTGCGATTTTGAATGCCTTAATACAATAGAATTCAAGAATTACCTCCAACACGAACTACAAATCTGAGTAGACACCTTTACTCAATCAGTATTTAATGACCTAGATTCACCCAGTCTGAGGTTTTTTTCTTGTCATTGCATCAATTCTTCATGAAATACAGATGGTTTTGCAATTTGGAAATTTCATTTGGTAGCGGGATTGCAAAATCCTGTCCTATGATTGGTCAGTTTGGCAGCAAATTCCAAAACTCAAGCTATCATCCCAAAATAAACTTGGTTATGTAATTCCTGGGCTATAGTTTATTGATATATGGTTAGGTCTTCCCTGAACTTGCTAGCTCATGATATATTTGCACTTTTAATATTTGTAAGCCTCGTTTCCTAATTAGGTCTTTTAACTTTGGACCATCAGCAAAACCAATTTTGTTACACAAAAACACGATCCAAAATTGACAACTTTTCTTTTTGTAAATTTTATTTGAAACGTTAATTACTTGCACATGACCACATTCGATAGCCTGGAACGAACCATTCCATAATCTTTGATAGTTCTAGTTTATTTGATGTGAAGCAAAGCCGTTAATAATACTTGATGGTGGAGTAAAACAATTTAATTCGAAATCTTGATATATTTTATATAAAGAACGGAAGAGGGGACCAATTGTTTCAAAATAAGTTGTATTTCACTCTTTTTAGCTTCCTGATCATAAAGCAGGTAATTGCTTTTGTAATGGTTTTGTATTTGTGAAGCTATTTCACATTGGAGATGAATTTTCACAAAGAGGATTCATGTATCGTACACCCAAATTCCATTGAGCAAAAGCTGATATAGTTACATCTTCTGTAATATATAGCCTGAGATTAATACACCTGCTCTTTTATTCTCAGATAGCAACGTTTATTAATGAATATCTAGCTGGTTTTACAATTGTTTGGTAATAAATTTCGGAATTTGGTGATTTTATGAAACTACTCAATGTCTTAGGCTGCCTAGTCTCTAATTGGACATCAAAAGTACGTTTAAAACGTATGATTACCAATATAATCTATATCAAATTTACTTACCTTATCTGATTTGTTATGCTGTTTCCCCATTGAAAAGACAAATTCATACACTTCTTCAAACAAGTTAGGATCTAATAAAACAAAATTGCTCACTTATTCGACAATATGGTGCATTACTTCACAGACAATTGGAGTTATCGAAGTATTAAAGTTGAATTAGTAATCACAAGGACGCTCAACATGATTAACACGATTATATTGGTTGCGACTGCTTTTTCCTCCAAATATTAACGAAATTACTCAATAATTGAGAATTTTGATGGCTCTCTTGGCAACAAAAAAGCTCCAAACACTTTAACAGGTAGTTACACGGTTCCTATTCAGGATCTTATTAGTTAGAGCTTCAGATCCCCGTCGTTTCCTTCAGAAATCGTAAGCAAGACAAGAAAAATTTTATCTCTTCTATACATGAGAGAATGTAGAAGCTATTAATTGGACGTCTTGTTTCCCATGCCATAAATACAATGCAATTAGGAGTAGTCTTGTAAACTAAACATGTGCTTCAAAAATAAGTGATGAAACCTGTAGATTGGTATGGCGATCTAAAGCAATTCACGAAAACTAACCTCCCTTTATACTAGCATACTACAATACTAATGGAAGAGTCAATACCGAATGATCTTGGATGCTAGCAAAGTAAACAATCTGTAAAGGATGTAAAACATGATCTGAAACGATCCGAGTTATGACCGAATTCACACAAATCTATCCGAGATCCGTGATGTCGGATCTCTCGGGGTTCACTAAGAAATATCTGAGGTGATCCGAGACCCGGCGGAAACCCTGATTCTACATCCTAACCTCAATACTTAACGACATATTAAGAATACCTCCTTGCCTCAATGCATTCGTAGATATAACCACAAAAAGAAAGATCCTAACATCAAATGATAAAGATCCTTAACTCAGTATATTAACAAAGCTCCAAAATTAGATGATAGGCTACAAATCACGTGCATGAAGACAAAACTTTTCATAAAACTCTAACTGTTCACGTGATGAGTTTGTAAAAACATTTTTGGTGTTTGGGTCTTGTAAAATTTTGAGAAAAAAAAGAATGACTTTGAATACTAGGCACGCTTATCCAATCAGAAGCAGAAAAAAACACACTTATCAATTGAAAAACTTTAAATTGCATCACTAGAAAGCAAAAAAAATTTAAATTTATCTACAAAGTCACGTGCAACGTTTTAAAATTTTACAAATTTTTCAAGCGCTACTATTTTTTGAGGTCAGGATGTTAAAGTAACTATGGCGGTAAGGGTGCAATTTCACAAAAATTTAGTACTGAGGTTAGGGTGTTTCTACATTCATCATTTCTGACATATATGTTGAGTTTGCGAGACTCTAGATAGGCATATCGTGTTCTACGAACTCATAATAGCCGTGTATTAGGCTTGGATCGATAGGTCAAAGCGCAGACATCAGAAATAAATAACGAAAAATTGCGCTATCGAGTGTAGAATTTTGAAGTTATGATGCCGGTTCCTGGCTTCTAACTGGATCTCGGATGGATCTTGGTCAGTTAAACCTCGTTTATTCAAACAGGCTTTAACTCCTTCAATTTGAAACAAATGCGTAGAGTTATATCTCGTTGGAATCGGAATGAGTTCAAGTTTCATATATTAGACAGACAACTGAATCTGATTCATTTTTGTATTTTTTGAAATTTGCAAAAAGGTCGTCAGTTTTGAAGATATGATGATCAATCTTTTGACATTGGAACCTGAATCAGCTCAGGATTTATATATTACGCAGCAAACCCAGTTGGATGTTGTTTGTCTATACATTTCGTAATTTGAAAATTTGTCCAACTGACTATTCAGATGACGAGATTCTTCATTTTTTGAAAGTTCGTCAGTTTTCAGGATAGGGTGATCAATCTTATATCGTTAGAACCAGCATGAGCTCAGAATTTATATATTATGCAGTGAACCCCTTTTGATGTTGTTTGTCTGACAATATTGCAAGTCATACTCAAAATTGTAGTTGGCTAAAAAATTCATCAGATAACTGGAAATTATAGTGTCTCGTTTTCAGGCTATGATTTACAAGATATGTTATTGCATCCGCTCATGTTTATTTGTCAATTCATATAATCACAAAATTTCCAAATTTATTACCAAATAATTGTAAAACCACCTAAATATTCATTAACGAATGCTGGTATCTCACCTTGATCATATTTAGATATATAATTACAAAAATGAAATATAAATTTAGTTAGTATGTAAGCCCTGAGATTCGCAGATCTCTATGATTTGACAGCATAGCTCAATTCGGAGCATGCAAGATCTTAGATTGTAAGATAAGCGCAAACCAAATCTTAGATAGCGCGATTAACTGCAAAACAGTATACCGAAAGCACCAAAAGTAAAAATCACACAAAAACAAAGAAAAAATAGCATAGATTATTTTAAAATTCAAGTAGGCCGAAAACAACTAATCTGAGGACAAACTACTTTGTTCTTGTTAGCATTCGAAAGAGAAAAAATCGTTTAATCTAACTGTGATATTTTTAAGTTTGCTGCTTGTAACAGCTTTAATAAAATTATAATTTTTCAGCTTTTTGATCACTCCTCCAACCGAGCTTCCTTAAAGGTTTAAGAGTATTAAACATACATACCAGAAAGCCGTTTAGGAAAGTTTAACATGTTCGTATTGATGCTGTGCTGTATATTATATTGTTATTTTGTTTTAATGATATTATATAGATTTTTTTTACACAGAAAGATCCTTATAGAAAAAAAAAATATATATATTCAACAATTTCAATGCAAAGATTTAGACAGGGCTAGATTTACAAATAAATGGCGTTAGATCGTAAGCGAGAAATTGGTCTCAAGGTACTACCCTCAATCAATTTTTTACAAACTAAAAGTTTAAAAACGTGAATATATACCAAGTACACTTATACACTCAAGTATTAGAAGTAAATGGACTCAAAACTGCCCTTGTGATTATTATATAGATCCTCTCTGTTTATGAACCCAAGTGCTAATGTTGAATCTCGAATATGTTTCGAACGAAAAAGATTTCATCCGAAGAATTATATTTTCAATATAAAAGTCAGTTTCGTTCACGAAAACACCCAATCGCAGACATGAAACTCTCATAGACGATAACTTCAACTGATAGCGATGATCAGAAAGTAAATTATCGTTTTTTTCAAGTTTCAAAATTGATACCGTTAAAACATTTGTTCAAAGGGGAGATAAAAGTTTATAATTATTCTTTTTTTATTTAGATTTAGTATTTAATTCTTCGTGTTGCCTTACTAAGCATGAAATTGCAGCTGAAATCAAAATACTTTGATAATTCGAATTATTGTCCGATAATGTTTGGAAATCATTTGGCAAGTGCACCATTTGACCAAGGCAATTGAGTAAAATTTGATTGATTGAAGGGTTTGTAGATGGAATTGTAATTAAATTAAATATATCCTGATTAATTTCCTGCTCTTTTAAATATTCAGATTCATGTAGTAGTATTTGAGTAATTGGTTGTAGAAATACATTTTTGTAAGCAATCAATAGCAACTGATCTAAGTCTATTTTGTCCAGTTCAGTACGTTTTTGGCTAAATTCGAAGACACAATTCAGAATTGGTTGCATTACAAAATTGACATAAAATCTTATCGATTTATTGAAGTAGCTCCAAGCTATTGCAAGTTTTATCCAATATTGGGAGTTGATTACAAATGTATCAATTTTATTGAGCCCTAGACTCAAATCTTTTAAAATTTCTGGCTTACAATCATCTAGATCAACTTTGAATTTATTCATACATTTATCAAAGACTTTTAAAATATTTTGTGATATTTCTCTTATCGTATAGTAATCAAAATAATTTGACTCAATGTTGGGGAGCGATTGCTCAAATGTAGAAAATCTCCCTTTTTGTTTCGAAGTGGAAATTTGAACATTTTTGATAATATCACTTGAGCAAATCGTCTTCAAAAACAAATTTTTTAATACTGATGATACTTCTTCAGATGACTTTCCAAAATTCAAATGAAAAAATCCCGATGGTAATTTTTGTTGCTTCGAAGGTTGAAATAAGGGTGACAACAACAAGTAAAGCTGATCGTAAAATATCGAGCCACCATCTGAGCTGGAGTTTTCCGTGATATAGCCATTCTCCAGTACTAAATTGTTATCTGGTTGGTTATGTTTATTCAACTTATTTTGAATATACAGATCAGCTGGAGTAAGCATTTTTTTATGAATCTCTACTAAAGGTTTATGATCATAACTTTTGTCACCATCTTCAATTGAAAAATTAGGGTCTGTAAAATTGTAGATTATGGCGAACTTTGGATCTGATATTATTGATGTCGAATTATTTGAAGATAAACACAAGGTATTTCGAGTAGGTGTAAATGTGGGGTTTATTTGACCTGAATTTTGAATCTCTGATTGATTTGCATTTACATGTGTTTTATGAAATAAATTGTGAATTGTTGAGATGGGAGAATTGATTGAATTTCTTCGATTCTTTTTATTATTGGAGTTTAGTATCTTTTTACGATTATGATCTTCAGTATCAACTTGTAAATTTAATTTCTGGTTCTGCTTTAAATATTTAGGTTTGTTGTTCAGATTTGTAGACCCATGAAAAAAACTTTGATTGATTTTATTTCTAGTTTCCATTAATGATTGATAGTCATCTTGAGCCAGTTCTGAATTTATATCCAGTCTAGTAGAAACTTTTGATGAAGATTTGTTTCTTGTGAAAAGTCTTGTCAATGGATGAGCTTTATTAGTTGTTAAGCTAAAATTTGATGAAAGTGAAGTATTTGTAGGTAGTTTCTTTAATTTATTAAAATCAACATCAGAAATATGATTTGTTTGATTAGGAATGATATTATCTGAGTCATTATTACTTGTTTGTTTCTTTCCATCAGTAGTATTGGTTAAAAATTGATTTGAATCATTTGTATTCATTATATTATTTTATACTTATCATTTGATAATAAAAGATCTATTTTTGGCGTGGAGCACCTTTTTTTTTTCTCAATCTAATTTAATCAATTTACCAAAGCTTTGATCAACAATTTTAATCAATGGCATAGAGTAATATTCTTATTATAGTAATCATGTACAAAGAAAAAGCTCAGGAACTGATGAATGATGGTCAATATTCAAAAGCCATAAATTTTTATACTTTGGCCATCAAAAATGAACCAACAGATTCAAAATTATATTCATCAAGAGCCAAAGCATACTATTTAAACATTCAGACATTGGAAGATCCTACATTGCAACAATGGAAGAAAGTGATTCATGATTGCTCATCTGCTTTAAATTTAAATAAGGAAAATTATGATGCTATGTTTTACAATGGTTTAACTCAAGTTTATGGTTATAAAAAGTTTGAGAAAGCTTTGAAAATGTTGCACCAAGCATATGAAAAATCTTTAATTAAATCAAGGAATTCTAAACTGTTTGCTTTACCGCAACAAATTTATTTGGAAATTTTAAAAATTAAAAAAATAAAGAATAATCATGATATTGAGGAAAAAATTATCAAGTCTAATCCCTTTTTCATAAAATTAGTTCACTTATTACAAAAAAATTACGATCTGGAGTTTCAAAAATTGGCAAGTAAAAATTTAGAATCGGATAGCTTCAAGATTTTGTCTACTAAATTAGCAATTAAATACAACGAAGAAATAAAAACTTTAATAGAGCTATTTGAATTGAAATTTAAAAAAGATGATGAAAGTAGTCTGAGCAAATCCAATGATCCACCTGATTATTTGTGTGATCCAATTTCATTTAATTTATTCTTTGAACCAATTATTACACCTTCTGGTCAATCATTTGAAAAATCGTGGTTACTACAACACTTATCAAATAATGAATTTGATCCTTTGACTAGACAAAAGTTAGCAAAAGATCAATGCTATCCGAACTTAGGTCTAGAATCTTGTGTTGATCAATATATTCAATCAAATAATAATAATGGTACCTGAAATGAAAAGTGAAAAAAAAAAAATAAAAAAAAAAAATACGAGCTATTATATAATACCTTACATAATATTTTGTGATTGTTTACCTTTTTCTTAAACAAGTAATATTAAATTAGAACAACAATATTTTTATTATTTAATACATTAAAAATCCAATTAAGTTTCAAATTACCAATTCAATGAATCCTTTCGATCATAATAGTGACGAAGAAGATCCTTTCATGGATAATAAAGAAGCAAAAAATTTACCTTACGCTACAGCTTATACAAGTGATAAATATTCTCCCAGAAGATATATACCGTTAGATAACGATGAGGATGATGACCTTGATTATAATTTTAAAAAAGATGATCACTTCACAGCATTTCCCAAATCAACAACAACATCAATTGCAAATTATAACTTAAACAAGCAATCCCCAAATATTTTTAGCAAAAGCTCAGCTCAATTCAACAATCCTTCCAAGAATATATTTGATAAGACAATTCCAGAATTGAGTTTTAATGAAACTAATGATCATTCTAAGACACCAAGAGCTCAGTATACAGCTAAAGAATCACCTAAAAGACAACGCAGAACCGAAATTATTATTAGTGATGATGAAGATGAAGAAATGCAATTCAGTCAAATAAATGGCTCGCCTCATCGTTCGTTGCATAATAGTGTCATTAGTAGTGAAAGATTTCTAGAGCCACCACAACCTATATTTTCACCACAAACTTTTGCTAAAGCAAATATCCCAGAGTATAGAGAAAAAATTAGTAATAATGATGATGATGAAAAAACAGACTATGATTTTGATTATAATTATGATCATGAAAAGACAAGAGAGTTAGAAACTAAATCTTCCTATTCAGAATCTACTGTTTACAGTGGATCTTCATATCCTTCAACAAATCACAATAATCCTGAAGAAAGTGAATACTTTGGTGCATCAATCGATGGAAATATAATGCAAAATATTGACCAAGGATATGTTCCAAATAGAGAAAAGACAATCACAAGGCGTAAAGTTAGGTTAATTGGTGGTAAAGCAGGAAATTTGGTTTTAGAAAATCCGATACCAAGTGAATTGAAAAAAGTTTTGACAAGAACAGAGTCCCCATTTGATGAGTTTACAAATATGACTTACACAGCATGCACCTCTCATCCAGATAATTTTGCTGATGAGGGTTTTACATTGAGAGCTGCAAAATTTGGTCGAGAAACCGAAATTGTAATTTGTGTTACAATGTACAATGAAGATGAATTTGCATTTGCAAGAACAATGCATGGTGTTATGAAAAATATAGCTCATTTGTGTTCAAGACACAAATCTAAAGTATGGGGGAAAGATAGTTGGAAAAAAATTCAGGTAATCATTGTGGCAGATGGTCGAAATAAGGTTAATGAATCAGTTCTTCAATTATTAACGGCGACTGGCTGTTATCAAGATAATTTGGCAAGACCGTATGTTAATAATAAAAAAGTCAATGCCCACTTATTTGAGTATACCACACAAATATCAATCGACGAAAATTTAAAATTCAAAGGTGATGAGAAAAGTCTTGCTCCAGTCCAAGTGTTATTTTGTTTGAAAGAACAAAACCAAAAAAAAATCAATTCACATAGATGGTTGTTTAATGCATTTTGCCCTGTTTTAGATCCAAATGTTATAATACTTTTAGATGTTGGAACCAAGCCTGACAATCATGCAATATACAATTTATGGAAAGCTTTTGATAGAGACTCAAACGTTGCTGGAGCTGCTGGTGAAATCAAAGCAATGAAAGGTAAAGGTTGGATAAATTTAACAAATCCCTTAGTTGCTTCACAAAATTTTGAGTATAAAATGTCAAATATTCTAGATAAACCGTTGGAATCGTTATTCGGGTATATTTCTGTTTTACCAGGAGCTTTATCTGCGTATAGATATATTGCATTAAAAAATCATGAAGATGGGACTGGTCCATTAGCTTCTTACTTCAAGGGTGAAGATTTACTTAATTCACATGACAAAGATAAAGAGAATACAAAATCAAACTTTTTTGAAGCAAATATGTACTTGGCAGAAGATCGTATACTTTGTTGGGAATTAGTTTCTAAAAGAAATGATAATTGGGTGCTTAAATTTGTTAAACTGGCTACTGGTGAAACAGATGTTCCAGAAAGTATTTCAGAATTTCTAGCTCAACGTAGACGTTGGATAAATGGTGCATTTTTTGCTGCATTGTATGCATTATATCATTCTCATAAGATATGGGGAACAGAACATTCAATATCCAGGAAAATTGGATTATATATCGAATTTGTCTATCAGTTAGTAAGTTTGGTATTTTCATTCTTTTCAATAAGTAATTTTTATTTGACTTTTTATTTTTTGACTGGATCATTAGTTTCATATAAAAGTTTAGGGAATAGAGGTGGATTTTGGATTTTCACACTATTTAATTATCTTTGCATTTGTGTTTTAACTTCATTATTTATTGTTTCAATTGGTAATAGGCCTCATGCGTCGAAGAACATATTTAAGATTTTGATTATCCTATTAACTGTTTGTGCTTTATATGCATTAATTGTTGGATTTGTTTTTGTTTTTAATACTATTCACCAATTTGGTATGGGCGATACATCGACCTACGTGTTAGTAAGTATTGTCGTATCATTGCTATCAACTTATGGATTATATACAATCATGTCAATTTTGTATTTAGATCCTTGGCATATTTTAACTTGTTCGTTGCAGTACTTTTTAATGATTCCATCGTACACATGCACATTACAGATATTTGCTTTTTGCAACACTCATGATGTTTCTTGGGGGACCAAAGGAGATAACAATCCAAAAGAAGACAAATCGAACCAATATATTATTGAAAAAAATGACAAAGGTGAATTTGAAGCAATTGTAGTCGATATCAATATTGATGAAGTCTATCTTGAGACACTATACAATATAAGAGCCAAAAGATCTAGTAAAAAGATTTCATCTGCGCAAAAAGTGAAAACTCCACTTGATGGGGATGATTATGCTAAAGACGTGAGAACAAGAGTGGTCTTAACATGGATGGTTGCAAACTTAATATTTATTATGACAATGCTTCAAGTTTATGAACCTGGTGATACAGCAAGAAACATTTATCTTGCTTTTATTCTATGGGCTGTTGCTGTTTTGGCATTATTTAGAGCTGTGGGTTCCTTTGGTTATTTGTTACAAAATTACGTAAGGTTTTTTGTTGAATCTAAAAGCAAATGGATGAATAAAAGATCAGGATATACTGTACCAAGTCACAATCCATTGAATTAATTTAATATACGACTCTAAGTTGAAAATTCTGAAGAGGAAATTTGTAGATCTGGATCGAGGTAGATTTTTTTTTCATTCTTTTTTTTGTTGTTTTGAATAGCTTACCAACATTTACTACATCATCAATAAGAAGAATCTATGAACAATGGTGGCATTACAAAGAAAGAGGAAAGCAGATGATAGCAAGAATGGTACTACAAAGAAAATAAAGTCTTTGACAAATCCATCAGTTGTTTTACATTCGTATTCTAAATTGCCTGATATCAACGAGATTCCAAAACGCAAAACAACTCCATTAGATATTTTCGTATGGGGAACAGGTTCCATGTGTGAATTAGGTTTGGGTCCATCAGCGAAAAATAAGGAAGTGAAGAGACCGAGATTGAATCCATATTTAACTGAAGAACATTTAAATGGCACAAAAATTGTTGATTTTGCTGTTGGTGGTATGCATACTTTAGCATTAGATGGAAAAAATAGAATATGGACTTGGGGTACCAATGATAGTAGCGTGTTGGGAAGGGATACAACTAAAGTTAAAGAAGTTTTAAAAGATGCAGATGCAGAAAGTAGTGATGATGAAGATGGAGATTTAAATGAAGCTGAATCTACACCCAATTTGGTCGAAAATTTTAAACTTGAAAAGGATCTAAAAATTGTTCAGTTAGCCGCGACTGATAATTTAAGTGCACTTTTACTTTCAAATGGTGAGGTTTATGCTTGGGGTTGTTTTCGTTGTAATGAAGGATTATTGGGTTTTTTAAGATCTGAAATAAAGATACAACAAACTCCAAAAAAAATTCATGAATTGAGAAATATTGTTCAATTGGCTGGTGGAAAAGATCATTTACTTGCGCTCGATTCTAAAGGTATCGTTTATGCTTGGGGAAATGGCCAACAATTTCAACTTGGTCGTAGAATATTGGAAAGACATCGCTATAGAACCTTAGAACCTCAACAATTTGGATTATATAATATCAAGTATATTTCTAGTGGAGACTTTCATTGTTTTGCTATAGATCACGATGATAATGTTTATGCATGGGGTTTAAATCAATACGGCCAGTGTGCAATGACTGGAGCTAATGGTGAATTAGAAGATGGTTCGGTCTTAACCAAGCCAACATTAATTCCAACATTATCTAAAAAGAATATAATCGAAATTGCAGCAGGAGAACATCACACATTAGCATTGACCAAAGATGGAGATGTATTTGCTTGGGGAAGATACGATATGAAGGAAGTAGGAATTTCTAGTGATAAATTACCTGAATCTACATTTAAAGATCAACATGGAAAACCAAGATCCGTTCCAACTCCAACAAAACTTGAATTTAATTCAAAACAAGAAATAAAAATGAAAGCAATTGGAGTAGGTTCTCATCATTCATTTTCTGTCACTGAAGATGGTTTCGTTTACGCTTGGGGCTTTTCTGAAACTTATGCTCCAGGTTTGGGTCCTATTTTAGAAGATGTTGAAACTCCAACTCGAATTGTCAATACTGCCACTAAATTTGAGGATATATATATGATCGGAGCTGGAGGTCAATTTTCTGTAAGTGGTGGTGTAAAAATTGAGGATGAAGATAAAGCTGAAGAAAGAATTGAAAAATACGAAGAATTAGAGGATTAAATAGTTGTATTATAGAAAGTTTTGATGTTAATTTCTTTCTTACTCTTTTTAGATTATACAATTCATCACCAAACAGTTTCTTCCCATTTTACTATTTCTAATGCTTGTTGATGTACATCCTTTTGAGCTTTTTTTCTCATGTAAAAAATTGGACAATCTTTATTTGAACATAAAACTTCTTGATGTAATGATCCTTGACATCTTTGACACTCAGTCCATAACCTTGAAAATTTACTTTCTAAATAATTCATTTGAGAAAGAGCATTGGCAAATAACTCAGGACCTTTACCTTCTCTAATACAATTAGGACATAACGCACCATGATTATCGGGCTTCAATGGTGTTTTACAATTTATACAAACTTCAGATTTTTTGGCAAACTTCATTAAACCTCCAGTTTTTGGGGCCGATACTTTGATGGTTCTTGTATGAGCACCAGCCAATAATTCTTTTGTTTTATTTTCTCCTAATATTGGTATGAAAATTCTTTCAAGTGGTTTGGTTAATTGTTGATCAAGATAATATTTGACGTCAATAGGTAAAGAATTCTCCAAAACAAATAATGGATCTTCTGATTTTTCATAATTTTTTTCACTTCCAGATTTTATTATCACATAAGCAACTCTATCACCTAAAGTTGGAGCAGAACCCGGATCTCTTTTTCTCATTCTTTCAGCAAGTTCAACATGAGCTTGCTTTGCAGAATAGTCATGTTTAGTAAAAGCTTTGGTAATGACCAATTGTGACAAATCCACTCTATTTTGCAATAAATCGGCAATTGTTTGTTTAACAAATCTTTGTGCTTTATCAACATCTCTTTCTTCTAGTATAAATTCCAACACTTTGGTAATAACGTTTTGAACCAACCTACAATTATCTCTTCTAACAGTTTCAATACCTTTAGTATCCATTTTATCAAATTTTTCAGGTTGAGTCCAATATAAACCAGCATATCTTTTCTTGTTAATCAATAAATACGGAAAATATACTTTTTCAAACTCTAATTTGATAGGATTTTTGAATTTAGTTGAAACATAATTAGCTGCTTCTTCACCAAACTTCATGCACGTTTCTAAATCTTGATATCCAAATTTAACCATCACCGAATCTGTATCACCATAAATTACTTGAGCATCATATGGATGACCATTCTTTTTGGAGTAATATTCTTGAACTTCCGTTTTGGTCCTTTCAATCATTTCTCTTCCAAATGCTGTGACTGATGATGATATAGCTAAACATGGTAATTTACCAATAGTTGCACCAGTAAACCCATAAACCGAGTTTGCAGATATCTTCAAGGCTAGTTGTCTACCATTCAAAACATCTTTTTTAAATGGATCTGTTTCTTTTTTTAAATCAGCTTTCGCTTTTTTACGAGCTGTAAGTAATTCATTCAAAATTGTAGGTAAAATTCCTTTTCTTCTTTCGGAAGAGACAAAAAAATCTCCATTAGGAGTCCTTGTGAATTCATCTTTTTTCAAATCAAATGCTTTTATTGAATTTTTACTTAATAATGTAGTATAGCATAAATTATGGGCCATCATGATTGATGGATACAATGAACTAAAATCAAGGGTCGCAATTGGAACATCATAATATCCTCTCTCTGGTTCAATAACAGTGGCACCTTCAAATTCTTCATTTGTTCCTTCACTTTTCATATTTGGTATCACAATATCTTCTTCTAAACATTTACGGAATAGTTGTGAGATAACTTTAATCTGTTGACCTCTTGATAATAGATACGAAAAGGGTACACCAGTTACTCTTGACATCTCTGTATAGTTAACTAAACACATAAGTTTATCCAATAATCTTAACGGTAAATAAGCATCTTTTAAACAATACACTGCCAATCTTCTCCTTGTTTCTTTTGTTCCATTTTGTAAATCTGTAATTATAGAATGTTGAACATCTTCTTTTTGTTCTCCTAAAAAATGTGCTGATACTGAATTTAACGTATATGATCTTAATTTATATTCCCTTTGGATGAATTGAAGTAAGTCTAATTGCATTCTTCCATCAATATTGACTACTTTATTTTCTCTTGTACCATATGCTCTTGAACTGAATACTGCATCCTTGCATTCTTGTTTAACATTTTTTAATCTTCCAAAAAATGGGAATTCCTTTAATTTCAAAGCTTTTGCTCTATCCAAAAGGTAAGGAATATCAAAATTTGTCGTATTATAACCAATAATAACGTCAGGATCAACTTCAGTTATAAATTGTTTCCAGTGTAATAACATATCACCCTCCTTTTCATGTTCAAGAATTTGAGATCCTATAATGGAAGAACAAGTATTAACAGTAAAAACATTTCTGACAAATGGTTTAGATTCACCTGATTTCAGAACAACATTAGCAATCTGAATAATCGGATCATGTTCAGCTTCTGGAAAAATACCTTTTCTACCAGCACATTCAATATCAAATGATAATATACGCAATGGAGCCATTTTTAGCCACTCACCTTCAGACTGATGTGATATTAAGGCTTTATAATCAATTGAGCATTCTATCTGACAGGTTGAAATCTTATTTTTAACTAATTTGTACTTGGACTTTGGTAATGTGATCCACGACATTCCTGTAATCTTACAATCTATCATTAGTCTTAACAAATAATTTATATTATCATAAATCATACTTGGCTGTGTTGGAAATAAGTTTTCAAAGTTAATGTCCCCTCTTTCAAATGCTGATCTCAATTTTGTAATATTTCTATTATTGTTTACATATATTTTAAAAAAAGGAGTTTTGATATTATTATTATAACCCCAAATAGATTCCTTTAATGCAATTTCTACATTCAATACACCATCATAATTTGTTTGTAAATAGTCAATAAATCGATTTAAATTATCTTGCCTTGAAAATTCTCTAGGAACTGGAGAATAAAAATAATGAATAAAACCTGTAACATTACATAAAACTGAATAACCTTCTTGAGTAATTCCAAAAAATCTTGCATGTGTATTATCCATATCATTAAATTCTTCTGCATCCAATTGTTGAAAAGATATATCCATTAAATCAGGATCAAAATTTGATGGCAATTTAGGTCTAGCCCAATTCTGATCTTCTTCACTTCCCAATTCATTGATAGCTTGAGTCATGTCCAATAATTCTTTTTCAAATTTGGAAGGTTCTTCATCTGGATTTGTTCGTTTTATTTTCTTTAATAATTGATCTTGGGAACCACCAGATAATACTTCAAACAGATTTGTAGCAGCAGCTAATTGAGAAGCAACGGGTAAAGAATGAGCTTGATCTTGATGAATATCTTCAAAAGGTCGTTTACTTGACATTATATGAACTGTTATTATATCTTATTAATTATTAATCTCCAATGGTAATAAACTTCAAAAGATGATTTGAAACAATTTAAATTTAATTGATTATAAAAAAAAAACGCGTGTGTAATAATATTATGTAATATATATTAAATGCTTAGTAATAGCTAAACACTAATAGGTTGTAATCATATACATACTTATATACTAGTTTATATAACTACTTTATAATATATACTAACTTGAATGCCATTTCATCCAGTTTAATCCCTAGCATTGAAATATAATCTTATCAAACTCACTTGGTAGCTCAAATCTTATACCATAATTTTCAATCACCAGAAAAAAAAAAAGTCGTTAAAAAGAGTTCATTATCAAATAATTAGATCCAAATGAATGCTGATTTAATAATTGATTCTTTAGAGAAAATCAAATCAAATGAAATGGCCAAACCCGGCCAATACTTATTACTTTATGATAAAATTTTGGAAGTTATTCAGAAACAAATAGGTAGCAAATCTATTCAACTATGGGGTATTCAATTTATGTATGAAAAATTTTTTTTAAATAAGGAGTTAAAAGAACAACAAAAAGTAGAATTAGCAATTTATTCATTAAATACGTTGATATTTTATATTGGGTTACCTGCTCAAGATGTAACAGCTTTTAAAAAATTGATTGAAATTTCAAGTTTAACGTATAAATTAATTTTTCAGTACGTTTCGGAAAATGATGGGGAAACCGTTAAACCAATATGGAATAAATTGGTGGAGTTGAAGAATTTTTTGACTAATCAGTATACATCAACTTATCCTTTGGAACCATCTGATAATGCAGAACATGATTATTTTAGAAATATTGGTACCAAACTAAATCTTTTGAATTTTTTAAGTATCGTAATAGATTATCAATCAAGAAGTAGCATAATTGGAGATGAAATAGTAGGTGGCTTAGGTTATTCTTTGAATAATGTTTCAGAAACCCATTCACTTATAAAACATCAGAATATGGAAAATGAAGCTTTGATGTTACTTACGCATGTTGTATTGAAAGTTTTTGAACTTGATATTTTGATAACTCCTTTATTAACTGCTACAATAAATCATTTAATTATACTTATGAAAAAAAAACCACAATTTACTTCCGTTATTTGTAACGCAATAAATTCATGTAATACTGACCAAAAAGTCATGTCTAATTATCAAACAGTTGAACAATTCAAGTTGGCTAAAAAATATGTGGATCGAACCATTAAAGTTTTCATTAAACATTGTAAAGATAAAAAACTAATACCGAAGCAATACGAAATTGGATTTAATAAAATTTTGAATGTTTTAATTGATAGAGGAAATGATGTAAGAAAGAAAAATTTGTTTAATATTCCTGAGCCAGAATTGAAAAAGAGAAAATTTGAAGGTTTTTATAATCCATCAAAGCGAATTAAAACTATGACTTATAAAAGTTTGTATACATTAAATGATCCAAATGACCAGATTAATAATTTTGATGTTACTACAGTACCAAGTCATTTATTACAAAATTTAGTACTAAATGCTTTGCAAAAAGCTTCTATCCCTAAATTGAATAAAGGTTTACAAATAATTGCGACAAGGTATGAGAATTGTGTAAATAAACCTAATATACCTTTATTACCAGCTAAACCTCAAATAAAAGATGAGATTAAAATTGATATTAATGAATTAGCTGAAGAAGTGGACGAGGAGAAAGATGATGATGAAAAAGGTGAGTTTTACAATCCAGAAAGTGTTTATACTTTACCACCACCGGAAACTTTGTCTTTTCAAGAAAAGAAAGACCATTTGTCAATTATTATTAAAAACTTTATAAAAAAAGCGAATGAAGTTTATGCTCCTTACAATAATGCAAACAGAATTGATGATAATAATGATGAAGATGACGTTGACGATGATGAAGATGACGATGATGATGATGATTATTCAGAGGTTAATAGAAAATTGAAAGAAGTGGCAATCAAGTCGTGGAAGAAAGATACCTGGTGTTTATTATTAGCTAGGTTAGCCACTCGAGGATTAAAAACAGATGGTTCAGATTCTCCTGATGACAAGCATAAAATTGAAATGGCTCGAATGATAAGAGAAGCTTTATTCAAGTATTTTGTTGATCACCCTTTGCAAGTCGATCTTATGGTTGTATGGTTAAGTGAAGAATGGCATTCTGATATGATTCAAAACGAGGCAAAGAAAATTCAAAATAAACCAATTCATAACCTAGGATACCAATCAAATTATTTTTATTGGACTGAAAAAATCATAGATCAAACTGTTACATTTTTAGATCCAGCTGATAAGAAATTGTTTATACGTTTAGTAAGTGATCTTCCAGAGCTTAACCAAACTTTTGTCAAAAAAATTATCAGCATCATTAAATCTCCAGAATTATCAGCAACTGGTATCTTAGCAGCAACATATTTATTACAATACAGACCACCAGTGAAAGAAATGGTTTTAAATGAATTAAATGAAATATTGGAAAACGAAAATGAAAAAGAAGAAGATAAAGCTACAATAAAAAAGTTGATAGATAGATATGCATAATACATATTATATAGTTAATCTTCAGTTGCACCTAATCATTAATATCCTCCTCAACTTTTAATCTTTTGGCTCTAACTTTTTCAAGAATAATTGATCATAATAAATGAATTTGTGTTCTTGAACTTCTTGAGATGAAGCTGAAAGGTTACTATTTTCTGAATTAGATCTTTCTTTTCTCCTACCATCAAAAATATAATCATAATAAAGTGGTTGCAAAGCAGCATAAGCATTTTTTTTTCCAGTGGCTAATTGTGAAAGGTTTCCACCATTATTTTTACGAACGTTAATTGTTGCTTGTTGAACAACAGCCTTTGGTTGATTGATTTCAGTGATTTCCCCAAAGCCAATCTTAACACCGGTTGCAGTTGATTCTGGTGAGTCTAATGAATTAGTGACTTCAATATTGATTGAATTTGAACATTCAATATTGGGTGAACCGGATTCAGTTTCTTTAGGTAAGTCAAATGATTCCAAGGTTTTAGAATTTTCTGGTAATAGATCAGAACCAACGATTGATTGAGTTACTGTTCTATTTAAAATATTTGCAATATCCATTATTGAGTTGGAAGTTGGGTTTACTTCAATGGTTTTCGGTTCAAGTGCGGATAATTCTAATGATTTTGTTGCATCATTCACATCAAATAAATTATTACTAAATGTTTGAGTTGAGACAGTTGACGTAATATTTGTATCTTTTGCAATTGATTCTAATTTTGCTTTTTCTTCATCTTTCTTCTTTAAGGCTGCTTCTTTTCTCTCTTCCTCTAATCTTTGTTCAATTTCCTTTTCATGTTCCAACTCCTTTGCTAATAATTCTCTTTCCTTGTTTTGAATTGATTGAGAAGTTAAGATATCTAAACGCTTAATTGAATCTGTCATTGAATTACTAAAAGTGAAATTTAAAAATATAGTTGGTTTAATTCAGCAACATTCCGTAGATAAGTAGTGCGCCACACAACTCTGAAACAAATTGACGAAATGATTTTTTCCTAATCGGGTGATCGATTTTATCAATTAAACTGACTACATAATTCTCACAAGTAACGTATAAACAACTCTAACTGACGAAAATTGTTGATTGCTAATATAACTTAGTAGATTTGTTCTATAAATGATGTGCTTTTAAAGCCTATATTTAATCATTTGATCTTCTCGTCTTTAAATATGCATCGAACATGTGCTTTAAAAACACTGACATTTTCTTTCATTTGTCTTGTAGATGTGTAAGATGGGTCCTGTTTCGCAATATGAATCATTTCAAAATGATATCAAAATTTTAACAATTACTAATTTGACAAATTTTATGCAAAAATATAAAATTTTGAAAGTACACACGGCACAGTGCTGAATAAGGCTTGCCTTTTAAGAGCTAAAAAGTGAATATATACTGATACGTAAACTTTTCTGTGAATTGAAGGTCTTGGTTCAATATATAGAATAAACTTTGAATTTTGAAGATAAATAAATTGGATTTTTCTGTGCAACATAGTTTCGAAACAAAATCTGAAAAAAGTGATTGCTGAAGTGAGGTGCTTATTGACTGACTTACTTGTTGATTGCTTAAAAAGATGATTCTGTTAAAGATATTCAATTCAAATTACTTTGTTTGTAATATTGATTCGAAATAATGTTACAGGAAAGAGGATTGAATTAAGGCATAATATTTGATGCTTTGAGCACCAATCTTAAATAATTTGACCTGCAATTTCTATGGCTATTTGTTGTTGTTGTTTATATATTATTTAAGTTCGTTTAAAGAAGCAAGCTAGGATTTAATTCAATTCTTTTGAGTCATAAAACTATTGCAGGAAAGAGTTTGCTTATTCTAGTGCTGGAGGGTATCTAGAGTAGTTCAGTGGTGGAATGAAAAGTATATTTGTACGAATCCAAGTAAAGCTGACACATGGTAGCTAGTCAAAAATCCTGCATATAAACCACACAAGTGTTTCAGAAAAAGAGATATACCGAGAAAGCTAAAAAGAAAAAATAGAACAGACAAACCTTTAGTTTTTGAATAATTTTCAATTAAGCACAACAGACTCATTTCTTACAAAAGGTATTGCAATATTGGTATCTTTCGAAAGAGAAAAAAATTCTTAATCTTTGAATGATTGTTTTGAAGTAGCTCGTTGCAATTACCGACATATATAATACGTTTAGTGGTCTTTTTGTTACTACTGAAACTTCGGGTTGAGATATTTTATAGCTAAATAAAGGTACATAACGTAATGAAGCTAGTTAATGCTTTAAAAGTAAAGGTAAACCACAAAGACTGGAGATTTTACCTTTGAACTCAATTAAACGACATGTTCGATTCAAACGAGTCCTACTATAATTAATAGATGGCATAAACTAAAACAAACAAAATATAATATGATTGACCACCCCCTCAAATCAAATTTGAGCTTATAATAAATAAGCGAGAGATAAAGTATTCATTAGCATCGTACCAGTTTCGGTAGTATAGTAAATCTTTAAGCTTCAAGGTCGTGCAATATCGAATGTTTGAATTTTTTTTTTTAACGTTCTGAATAGAATTATTATCATCTTGCATCATTGGAACATTCAATCAAATATTAATAATAAAAAATGGCAAAAGAATCGTCAGCTTCATCTTCAAATTCAATTACAAAATATCAATTTACCTTATCTGATGAATCTAAAGAAAGAATTTTAAAAGTTTTAGACTATTCAAAAACTATTGCTCATTATGGGTTTATTCCATTTGTTTTATATTTGGGTTGGTCAGCAACTTCAAATAAACCATCAATATTGAGTTTATTATCACCATTCCCATCAGCTTAAAAAGATTCAACTTTTAAATATTAAAAATAGGATTTTTTATTGGCTAATGTAGGTTCAGCTCATATAAATTGTATATAGATTTCGAATAATAATATAAATTTGTTTAGTGTGAAGATTTGTATATCTCTCAAAGACATTGATTGTTAGAATAGTAGAATAGTAATCTGTTGATTTTAAAGTCTTACAATCTAAGTGAATTAAAGTTGGAAACTATATTGAAAAAAAAAATCTTCGTTTAATAACTTCTTTAAAACAATGCACAATTTCCGGGCACTATAATTTAAGTTTATGACATTCCTTACAATCATTAAAAAGAATGATAATAATCATCATTTCCCAAAGTTCTCCAAACGGCAGATTGAAATTATATCAGGTTTAACAGCTGGATTCACAACAACAGTGGTAACTCATCCCTTGGATGTGATTAAAGTTAGACTACAATTATCAACAAACACAAATAGTTTATTATCAAGAAATAGTCAAACATACTCGTCACTTGTGCTAGTCTTGAAGAAAATTAAAGAAGATGTAGATTTCATCTACTCAAAGAAATTAAACGGTCATTCAAAATTTACAAATTATGTAATTCAATATTATAGAGGTATTGGACCAAATCTAATTGGAAACATATCGGCATGGGGGCTTTATTTTGCATTGTATGCTGAATTTAAACAAAATTTAGGAATTCGAAACAATTTAACCTTAAATTTTTTTAGTAGTTCAGTCTTAGCAGGTATTACAACCTCATTGTTAACTAATCCAATTTGGGTTCTAAAAACTAGAATATTGGGTAGTTCAAAGAATGATGAAAAGTCTTACAAATCAGTTTTTGATGGAATTAAACAAATGTTAAAACAGGAAGGTATCTTGAGTTTTTGGAAAGGAACTATACCGAGTTTATTTCAGGTCTTTCAAGCAAGTCTCCAATTTACCTTTTATGACCATTTAAAATGTTATTTGACTGTAACTGATCATCAAAACAGTAACCAAGGACAGTTATCAACATGGCAATACTTATATGCCTCCGCGTTATCTAAAATTTCAAGTATGCTGTTATTATATCCAACTCAAGTAGTTAAAGCAAGGCTACAAATCAACAAATCAAAGACAAATGGAGGCATTGTGTATACTATTAGGCAATTGTATTTCACAGAAGGTGGACTTCTTGCATTTTATAAAGGCTTAAGTGCTAATATTATAAGAGTTTTACCAGCTACCTGCATAACGTTTGTTGTTTATGAAAAAGTTAAAACGTACTTGTCAAATTAGCTCAATCGAGGTAGAGGTAAAACTGCTAATGATTTAGTTTTTTTAATTACTTTGTGCTTAATAGGTTTTTTGTTTAAATGGTTTTCGAAATGTTAAATTATAATCAAAAGTTGAAGTAATGTAAGATCACGGTGATCGAATTCGATCCTTTAACAAAGATTTATTAGATAGTTTAACAAATAAAGACATTCAAAATAATTTCAATAGATAGTTTAACATATAAGGACATTCAAAATAATTTCAATATATACTTGTACATTAACCAAACTTCTTTTTATGGTTGCAAAATATATATATATTTTTTTTTTTTTTTTTTTTTTTTTTTTTTTCCAGATATTTCAATTCATTTCATTATTGCAAATCAAATCAGTTAAAACATTCAGCCTTGTATAATGGACTTTGAGTCTAGGGAAGATAAAGATGGAATAAGATTATCATGGTCATCTTTACCAAAATCAAAATTACAACATCAAAGAAATGTTATTCCCATGGGCTCATTATATACTCCACTAAACAATAAAAGCGATATACAACTACTAGATCAAAACTGTATGATTACATGTCGCTCGTGTAGATCTATCTTGAATCCATATGTAATTGTTAAAAATGAAATCTGGACATGTCAAATCTGTGGATTTACAAATCAATTACCTCCTGTATTTGATGCTGAAGGTCAAAGAGTTATTCAACCAAGTTTAAATCCGGAACTAACTACCGTAGAGTATAAGACAGGAAGATCAAGTACTTTAGCTCCAATCTTTTTTTATGTCGTAGATACATGTTTTGAAGAGAATGATATCGAGGTTTCATTCAAGCAATTAAAAGAAAGTTTGATACTCTCCTTAAGTTTATTACCGGAGGGTGCTTTGGTCGGTTTCATCTCATACGGAAAACACGTTAGAATTCATAATTTAGTAGCTAATGACAATATATCGTATACATTCAATGGTTCCAAAACTTACAATTTGGAACAAATACAATCGTCATTAGGTTTTTTAGGATTAAAGTCAACGCCAAAAAATGACAATTCAATTGGATTTGATAGAATCAGTTCTATTGGGAAAAGATTTTTACAACCAGTAAGTATAGTCGAATATCAGTTAACTAGTATCATAAAGAATTTAGTTCCTAATGTTCTTCCTCATAAAGAAGCCAGAGAGCGTTTAAATAGATCATCAGGCTCTGCATTAAACATAGCTACACTTTTATTAAAAGCTATATTAGGAAATACTCATGCTGTTGGAGGTCATATTTTAGCTTTTATAGCTGGAGTGTGTACATCAGGTCCAGGTCAAATTGTTAGTAAGGAATTGAAAGAGCCTTTAAGATCACATTATGATATTATAAAATCACAAAACACTAAAATACAGGCTCCATCAACTTCTTCAAAGACTAAATCCAATTTATCATTTTTGAAAAATGCAAAAAAATTTTATTCTGAAATTACTCAAAGACTTGTCAATTTGGGATTGAGTTGTAATTATTTCATTGGTAGTTATGATCAAGTTGGTTTATATGAAATGGATGAAGTATGCTTGAAAACAGGTGGTCTTATAGTCATGTCAGATTCATTTAGTACTGCTATTTTTAAACAAAGTTTTGGCAAATTTTTTAAAAGACAACGAGAGGATGAAGAAATAGAAAACGATTATTTGGATATGGGTTTTAATGCTACACTTGAAATCAAAACTTCTACAGATTTAAAAATTCAAGGACTAATTGGTAATGCAACATCTTTACCATTAAATAAATCTGTTCCGGTTAATGATAGAATGATAAGTCAAAAGTCTATTGGTGAAGGAAACACAAATTCCTGGAAACTATGCAATGTCAATCCACAATCTACTTATGCAATTTATTTTGATAAACTAGATAGTTTAGCATTAGCATCGACATTTATACAGTTTTTATTTCATTATCAACATCCATGCGGCGAAATGAGATTAAGAGTTACTACCCTTTGTATAAATCTTGTTCCAGATTTAGATGAGGCTAATTTAGAACTTGGATTTGATCAAGAAGCAGCATTGGTTTTAATTGCAAGACAATATATTAACAAATTACAATGGAATTTGGGACAAAGACTTTCAACAGAAGCTGAAGTCGTAAAACAATTGGATCAAATACTAATCGAATTTTGTACAAAATTTGCAACGTATACTGTTGGAATGATTGATTCATTTAGATTGTCTCAAAAATTTGCATTATTCCCTCAATTTTTATACCACTTACGAAGGTCTCCGTTCATTAATGTTTTCAATAGCTCGCCTGATGAAACAAGTTATGTCAGACACATTTTTATGCACGATGATTTGGCTAATTCTTTATTAATGATACAACCAACATTATTATCTTATGATGTAAATACATGGGGATCCACGACTGAAGAAACAAATGAGATTCTAAATGAACCCGAACCAGTTTTATTAGACTCATTAAGTTTAGGACATTCGAAAATATTATTATTGGATACATTTTTTCAAATTTTAATTTATCATGGTTCACAAATTGCGGATTGGAGAAAAGCTGGCTATCATGAACAAGAAGAATATGCATATTTTAAAGATTTTCTTGAAGCTCCAAAAAAAGAAGCAATGTTATTGTTAATGGATCGTTTTCCATTACCAAGATTCATCGATTGTGATGAAGGTGGTTCTCAAGCTAGATTTTTAATGGCTAAATTGAATCCTAGTACATCTTATGCAACAAATGTCAATCATTTTTATGGATTTGGTGATAGATCAGATGTCTTTACGGATGACATTAGTTTATCATCTTATTTAGATCATATAACAAGAATTGCAGTAATGAAATCAAAATAGATAATTTATAGAAATAGATATATAGCATTTATTCTAAATTAATTTTGATTTCGGTTCTTCTCTTCCAATCTCTTCAATGCAATTTGTCTAAAATCCCCATTTTTGTTTGTTACTTCATCATTGTTGTCAACGTTAATATCATTTGCTGATTTATTTTTAAAAGTAATAGTTGGATCAGCAACAATATGCTCTTCAACTTTTCCAATTAATTCTCCGTATTCGTCGAAAATCAATTCTGTACCTACTATTTTATTCCAACTTGTTTCATATATTCTACCATCTATTATATCTGATGGTTGAACGATTTTGCTCTTTCTTTTTGTGCTCAACTTCTCTTCAATAACATCTTGTTGAGTGTCTCTGTTATTGGATAATTTAATTAAAGGATGCGATTCTTTCAAATCAGTGAATTGAAAATTTGCCGATGGTTTTATTACATTCCTTTTGATTTTAGGTTGATTTTTACCATTATGATCATCATCATCATATTTATTATTATAATTAGGAATATCAACTGTTATGTAAAAACTCTATTGTATATTGTTAGTAAATATATTTCTATAAAAAAAATCTAAACTTGTCTAGCACGTACATCAAATTCATCTTCATTTCCATCCAACTCTGAACCATGAGCTAATTCAGTGGTGGGTGCTTCTTCTGAGTTTGAAGATTGTTGAGCTTGCTGTTGTTGCTCCTCTTCTTCCTTTTTTCTTCTTTTGATATCTTCGTCAGAGCCTGCTTCAACATTTATAGTAAAATTCCAATTCATTTCTTCACCTTTAGTTAAAAATTCACAATTACCATTCATGACAATTTTCCAATTATAATCATCCAGTTCAAAAATCCTAGAATATTTTGATAATGAACATGCACCCGCACGTAATAAAGTTATATTATCATCAATATAATCAGTTATTGATTTTAATTTCAACAAAGCACTACCCAAAGCAATTTTTGTTGCAGCATGAGTTACAATTAATATATTTTCAATATCTGGAAATTTTGCTTCAAACGCTGGAATAAATTTTAACCAAAATAATTTACATCTTTCAAAAACTTCTTCATTAGTTTCACCTTTATCATTTGGTATAACATGTAAATTATCTCTTGGCCAAATATCTTCATTTATTAAAACATTACCAAAGAAATGATTTAATTCATCATAATTAGCTGGTATTGGAATTACATTTCTTGATTTTTGGAACCATTCACCAACACCTCTATCAATTGCAACTTTAAGATCCAACATTTGTGCAATAGGTTTACTTGTTTCAATACAACGATAAAATGGAGAAGATATTATAAATTGTGGTTTATCTTTAATTGGTAAAGAAGTTAAAAATGCTGCCAATTGTTTTGCTTGTTCAACACCATGTGGTGCCAAAGGAGGATCACTATCTATACCAGTAGGATTTGGGGGATGAGGAGGAGGTAACCAATTTGATCTATAACCATGTCTTGCTATGTAAATTTCTCTAATTGTCATTGTTATTGATGTTTCAAGAAGAAGATTTGTTATTTTTTTTTTGTTCCAGTGGGTTGGTGTTTATTTATAAATATAGAAAATGTATATAACCTGATTACTATACATAGTTTAATCAATCAGATGATAGCGAATTTATAGTTATAACTTCAATTCTATTTACAAATTACTTTTCCATTTATTATAATTATTTATTACAAAATGTCTTTCTTAAATTAACAATTCTAATGGATTTTCAACAATTCTTTTCAATTCTTTAATCCATTCACCTCCTAAAGCACCATCAACAATTCTATGATCAAATGTACCGGTGAATGTAATAACATCATCAAATACAAATCCTTGTGGATTTACATTACTTGGTACAGCTTTTTTATCAGTAGTACCAATTGCAATAATAGCAGATTGAGGAGGATTAATAATTGAGGTAAATGCATTAACAGCATGATTCATACCCAAGTTCGAAATACAAATAGTACCACCTTGATATTCTTCTGGATTTAATTTACCAATTTTAGCTCTTTTACCTAAAGCTTTAATTTCGTTTGAAATCGCAGCTAAACCTTTATTATGAGCATCTTTAACTATTGGAGTAATTAAACCAGTTGGAGTTGCAACAGCAACAGAAACATCAACGTTTTTATATTGTCTAATAACACCTTGATCACCTAACCAAGCTGAATTAACTTGAGGTACTCTAACACAAGTTTTAGCTATTGCTTTAATTAATAAATCATTAATTGATAATTTATATCTATCTTCAGCTGATGCATTTAAGGAAGCTCTTAATTTTAATAATTTTGAAACTGAAATTTGAGATTGAATAATATAAGTTGGTGATTGTTGAGTTGATTGTAATAATCTAGTAGCAATAGTTTTTCTCATTGAAGTTAATGGAATATCTTCAAAAGTAGCAGCAGCTGGAGTAGATGAAGTTGTAGCTGAAGCAGTAGTAGCAGCAGCAGCAGCAGCAGCGGCACCAGACGATGGTTGAACATTTTCGAGATCTTTCGCTACAATTCTACCACCTGGACCTGAACCTTTAATACCTTTTAATTTGATACCTTTTTCAATAGCAATAGTTTTAGCTAAGGGAGATGCAAAAATTCTATCACCTGAAGCTTTTGGTGATGGTTGAGATGAACTAGTTGATTTTGATTCTTCTTTCTTTGGTTCTTCTTTCTTTGGTTCTTCTTTTGCTTCTTCTTCTTTTGATTCTTCTTGTTTTGGTTTTGGAGTTTCACCAGCATCAGCAGGAGTGAAATTTTCAAAAGCTGGAACATCATCAGCTTCTTCAACATAAACAGCAATTGGTTGACCAACAGGAACATCATTTGAACCAGCATCCATTAAAATTTTAGCTAAATAACCTTCTTCTTGAAATTCAAAATCCATTGATGCTTTATCTGTTTCAATTTCAGCAATTGCTTCGCCAGGCGCTAATTGATCACCAACTTTTTTAGCCCAACTTTGAATATTACCTTGAGTCATAGTAGGAGATAAAGCAGGCATATGAATAACAGTATGAGGAGGAAATTTACCTGATGAATATAACCTAGTTAAATTAATTAATGAATATTTATTAATTGATGATTTAGTTAAACATAATTTAACATTACGTAAAGTTGATAATGGAGTTCTTGATATAGTAGAAGCAAACATTTTTGTTGATAATATTATTAGGAATAGATTATGAACTTGTTAAAGTTTATGAATATATATAATATATGAATGATCTAGTAAAATTGTAATAAAATTGATATAAATGGAACAAATTTAATATAAAGATTCCTTTCTTCTTACTCAATTACAAGATTATTCTATTATAGTTGAAACCACTTCTTTCTTTCTTTCTTATAAAAGATGAAAATGACAAAAAAAAAAAAAAAATAGTAGTAATAGAAATAGAACAATTTTATGGAATATAACTACCGATCCGTATAAATTGACCACCACGCTGAATGTATAGGGTTCAGTATAGAGTATAACTACGGATTTGATTAGGTACTATATGATATCTATTTGTTAACTATAGATGAAATTATATAAAGTATTACTATAGTGTCAATACTATTACTACTGTCTTATTTATTTATTATCAGGACAACAATCAACCGAATTGGTAGAGCGCAAAATTATACATCTCGGAGTTTAATCCGCGCAATTATATGTTTGGTCACGTGCATTCAACTCTGAAACGTTAAACGCTAACGATGCAATGGACCAAATAAATAAATAATACAGTAATCCATACATTTTTTGATTTTTAGATTTTTAGATTTTTACTATAAGATATTTCCATTATTAAAAGTATTTACTATAAGATATTTCCATTATTAAAAGTATTTACATAATAACTCTTATCAAATTTCGGTTTAACATTATTATTATTGTTTTCTTCTTCCATTAATTTATATACATCTTTTTTATATCCATTCTTCTTTTTAATATATTCTTCGCAATCTTCTTCATAAATTATATTTATACATTTATTCTTTATTAGACAATCTTTTGTTGTTTGCCATGAATATCTAATAAATCCAAAACACCATCCAAATAATTTATCAATATTGTCTATGTTATTTAACCATTTATTTGTATTTGGATCACTTGGATATCCAGAACCTAATTTTTCATTGTACAATATATTTCTCTTAACTTCATTTGTAAATTCAGTATTTGTAAAATAATTTATATTCAAATCTCTTGTTACTTTAGCTACAACTGATGCTGTACTTACTATTGAATAAATGCTATCTGCTTTTTTAGTCACTATGATTTCATTTATTTGTGGAAATATATTTTTCAATTTATTTTGATAAGTTATTGGTGGTCCAACAGTATCTATAAATAATTTAATTTTGTTCATACTAATATGATTATTTAATAACTTAACTACATTTTTAATTAAATCAATTGTAACATCATGTGCTTGTTCATTTAAATTATAAGATAATCCCGATCCACCAGCATTTTTAGATTTTAACATCCCTGAAGATATATCTTTAGCAGTAATAGTCGTTGTAGCCCAACCTACATTTTTATTTAATTCATGAGTTTCATCTTCAATTAATTTAAACAATTCTTGTCTTTTATCATCTGTTAATACTTTAGAGTCCGCAAATCCATATTTGTTTTGTAAATCATTTGAAAATCTTTCAAGGGAATATGAAATTCCATATACCATAGGTCCAAGAACTGGTCCTCTACCAGCTTCGTCAACCCCAATTACAATAAAACTGTTTTCATTCTCTTCCGAAGTCAATTTTTCAATTTCAATTGGAACTTTTGAAAAATATGTAGTTGTTTTGAAATCAAACGGTTTTTCAATTGATGTTACTGATGGCGGATACCATTTCGAAGTTGTTTTATTTGATTTTGATTTTGATTTTTTCGTAATTGGCTCTATTTCCTCAGATGTCTCTAGTACAATTTTTCTTTTTATTTGATGCTCTGTTATTGAAGTATTATTGGTTATATCTGATAGACATTCTGTCTGTTCCTGAATCTCTAATGACATGTTGAAAGATTGAATAATTAAAAACAAGAAAAAGGAAAAAGGAAAAAGAAAAAAAAAAAAAAAAACTGAAACGCGTCGTTCAAATTGGAGATAACCGGAGATAGCCGGAGATAATGTCGTATAATTTTTATTTACGAGTATACTAAATAAAAATTGGATATACATTAACTTATTAAATATACTATTCTTCTTCAATGTTATTTAATTTATCAGTCCCATCAACTTCTTTTTCAATTATAGGTAATGAAAAATTAGAAATCTTGGGACTTTTTACCAAATTCCCAATATTTTCAACTTCATATTCAACTTCATATTCAACCTCATATTCATTTTCATTTTCAGTATCTTTAATTTTCAAATTCAAATTTGGAAGTATTTTAGAGACATTAGTATTTTGAAACAATTTTTCAATCTCACCTTTAACTATACTTTCCAACTCATTGGGTCCTTCATTTTTTTCTCCATCTTCTGTATTTTCTTCTTCTTGTTTTTCCTTTTGATTAAATCTCAATTTTAAACCATACGCCAATATAATCATATAATTCTTATACTTATTCATTTCATTCCTATATTCATAAATTTTGAGTTCAAAATTATTAATCACCTTGTCATAATTTGAACAATGTTTAAAAGAAGCAAAATTACCAAGAAAAGTTGATTTTAATTTTATAAATTCCGTATATGTTTTCTTTAAAGCATTGTAATAATTTGAAGTCTTTATAAATTGTTTCAATACTTGATCTGAATTGATATCATTTGTAGTTATATAATTTGAAAGATAAACTCCTTTAATTAATGGTTCCCATTTTGCAATTCTCAATTTTTTAAAATTATTACCACCGTCTTTAAGATTAAATCCATATTCAATTGAAGATATTGATTCTTCCAATGTTGGTATTGCTGTTATTTTTGAACTCCAAAAATTTGAAGCATGTATAAATTCCATTGCAATTTCAAAAGTTCCAGCTTCAAACAAAAATTTCTTATTTGGTTTTTTATTAACTTTAGGAAATGTTAAACTCCACAATATGTTTCCATTATTATTTTTTTCCAATTGTGCAAATGTTGAACATAAATTATATTGTCCAACTTTAACTGCATTATTTAACCAATTTCCATCACCTACAGAATCTTTTTGATTATTTTCCTTTTTATATTTTTTAACCAATTTTGGATCAAATGAATATAATGATATTTCACCTTTACTTACTACAACAAATGCATCTTGAAATTTATTAATCAATTGATAATGAGGATTTCTTTGATAAACAGAACTAGACTTAAAAAATGACGAAAATTTTTTTGGTTCTTCCTCTGGATTATTATTTAATATTTTATATTTTAATAAACCTTCTTTTAAATATGGACTTCCTTGTAATTCTAAAATTAAATCAATTTCATCTTGATAATTATCTATATTGAAATTATCCATTGAATATTTGCTAGTCTCATGATGATCATCATGATCATCTATAAAATGAGCAGTATCAAAAGATAAAACTGATAAATTATCTGAATTACGATGATTATTTGTAGTAGTTGAAATCATTGAAGATCTTGAACTTCGTTTAATTAATTTAGAGTGATCAAATGACTGTCGTTGTCTTAAAATTGGGGTTGAAATTTGAGAATTTAAATTTGGTTGATAATAATTTCCCTGTTTATATAATTCAGCCATTTTTAATTGATGATGATGTTGTTGTTGTTGTCCAATTAATGCTCTCGCTAATCCAACTCTTTGAGAATTATTTGTTGTGGTTGTAGTGGGTGTTAAATTTGAAATTTCCGATGCTGATGTAGTATATCTTTTCATTGCCAATGATGATCTTCTAGATTTAGTATCAGTTGACCAAATAGATGAATTATCAGGATCTTGATATTCTTTCTCATTATCACTCATTTTATCTAAAGAACCAGCTTCAGATTCAGAATCTTTTTCCTCTTTTTCCTTTTTTAAATATAATTCATTTTTCAATAAATCTTCATAATTTAAACTTAATTCAGTTTCAATTGATATCTTTTGTTTTATGGTCAATTTAACATCCTTATCCTGATGGACAAATGTAGTGAATGTATTTTTGATGAAATCACCCTGACTAATTCTTGATTTCTTATTTAATTCACCACTATGTAGTGCGGTATTCAATAATATTAAAGAATAAGTTAAAATATAAATCTGCTCAAAATTATTAGTATAAAAACAATTGCTTGGATATTGAGCTAACCATGATTTGGTAAAACTTGATAATATTCTATCAATCTCTTGTGATTCACCTTTAAGATATAATTTAGAACATAACATTCTAATTGATTTTAGCAAATTTGGAGACCATTTAAATAATTTCATATAATGATAACATATCTCTTGACTATCTGATTCGTCACTTGCTAAAAATTGTAAATATTCTTTAGGTTTAATTGATATAAAATCTTCATCAAATAAACGTTTTGCAATAATTTTTAATTCAGTTTGTTTTATAATTTCGTCGACCGATGTTTTTTTTATTTCATTTGATTCCTTAGGTAATGCCGTGTCCGAAATTGATGCTAAATCATAATTTTTCTGTTTATCAATAGTTGCAGTAGTAGTCATGAATGCTACCTCGAAATCTAATGTTCTTTTTTTTTTTTTTTAATTTAGTTCAAAATAAACTTCAATTAGCGTGTAGTACTGTATATAAGAATAATAGGCTAAACATACACGTGATTTATGTTACACAAAACCGAATTACCTAATTAAGTGGCCGGGCTTTGAAATTGAATATTGTTCAGGGTCCTAATTTGAACTCGTAATAGTAATATATAATATGAAACTTAATGTTTAATATAATCTTTTTTTGATTTTGACAAGAAAGAAAGAAAAAGAAAAGAATGAAATTGGAAATGTTAATTAAATTAATATAATTTAAAAATTTCTTAACATAGTAAGGAAACAATATGATTGTAACTTATTATTATGCAAGAATGAACGTTATTTACTGCTTTTGATTCGTTAATGTAACAGCTTAAATAATTACAAACTACGTAATCGATTATTCTAAATTTTACCATATGAACCTATAATAATTTATTGTTATAACTAAATGAGCAGTTAATACAGTGAATACAGTGAAAATGGATTCGATAAACGAACCATAAGAAGTAAAAACGACGAATTCAAAGCCAAGTGTTGAAGAAAGTTTATCGGATTTAAAAAAAAGAATGCAAAAGTTACAACGAAGATGTTTTAGTTATTGTAGTTGATCACATATTTTATTCCATGTATGGCAACAAAGAGAAATTACCGATGTTTTAAGAGAAAATAATCAACAGGGATCAACTGAGTTTTGAATTAGTAGGTGATGTTAGTAACCAACTGAATTTTGAATTAGTAGGTGATGTTAGTAATTATGGTCATGATACGTTTCTATTAAGTTTAGATGATATTGATATATGAATCAAAGAATTGTAAATTAATAAGCGTATTTAAAACTAAAAACGTATAAAAATTCGTTTGCAAAAAATGGAGATGTTGCAGCTTTTGTTAACAATTTATAGATGCACGTAAAACTAGGTTATATACGTATCCTTTCTGCTCATTTGATTCGTATGATAATACCTGAAAAGCTTTTTATTGTATTTATCTTCTCGTTGGAGCTTTACCGATGGCTGCAAAATTTAATATTTAATCGTTTTTACCCCAACTTTATACTGTTTGGCACCAATTCAAAGCTTCAATACTGGTTTATTACCTTCAACTACATTATATAACTATATATTCACACAGTTTATCTCATCAACTCTACTGATGTCATTTTACAAGGATTTTCATAATTTTACGAAAACACTAATTAAAAAAAAAAAAAAAAAAAAAAAATCTAAAAAATTTTCAACTTACCAAGATCCAAGATGTCAAATGAATCAAAACCTAGCAGCAATACTAGTTTAAACAGTGATGCATCCTTACCCACTACCAAAGTAGACGCATCTAAATCCAAACCTCCTAAACGTCAATGGAAAAATCCAGCTTTAAGAATGATGGGAATACCTAAACCAAAATTACCTTCAAGAAATTGGTTAATATTTTGGTCAGTTGTAATTGGTCTTGGTTCATCTTATGCTTACGACAGATATGAACAAAAACAAATTAGAAAAAAATACATGAAATTAGTTGAATCAGATACTAAATCATCATCATATTCATTAAATCTTAAACCTAGAAAATTGACAATTTATATTGCTCCACCTCCAAATGATTTCCTCGAGGAGAGTTTAAAAATTTTTAGAAAGTTTGTTAAACCAATTTTGAATTCTTCATGTATAGATTTTGAAATATTCAGTGAGAGTAGACAAGGAGATATTAGAAGTTCAGTAGCAGAAAAAATAAGAGAATTAAGAAGAGAAAAAGGTGGTCTTATACAAAAGGAAAATAAAGTTGAGGAAAATGACAGTGAATATAAAGCTAGGTCAGATGTTTATAAACCTAGTGATTTACTTGGATTATATAAAATTTTTCCAAAAAAAGTTGATATAAATTCAGAAGAATCAGGGGCAGATATTGCAGGTGGTATAATATGCATTGGAAGAGGAGCATATAAAGAATATTTAACTGGATTACATGAAGGTTTACTCGGACCATTAGAAAAACCAGAAGAAGTTAAACTTAAAGAAATTGAACTTAAAGAAAAGAAACAAAAATTGAAAGAAGAAAACCCAACCGAATTTGATGATGACGATGATGAGAAATTAAAACCAGTCCCAATAAGATACATATCTTCCAAAGAGTATTCAAATGCTGAACTTGCACCAGAATTAAATTTAAATAATTCAAGTCTTAAAGATTCTAATGGTGTGCCTTATTTTTTTGAACAGCCAATTTATGTATTTTCCATACCTAGACTAATTGGATTTAAAAATATGCCTACAAAGATATATAATTTTTTTACTAAAAGGTATTTAACTCAAGATTTATCGGAGAAAACACTAGCTATAGTTGATAAAGATATTCGTAATTTTGAATTTAAAGATACATTAATGGCAAAAGAAGAAGAATTACATTGGCCTAAAAGTTGGGTTGAAATGGGAATCGAAAGACAATCCGAATGGGTTCAAGATTTAGATTATGATGATAGAGTTATAAAAAGATTAAAAGTATTCAATTGTAAATAGATTTAATGAAATTGACGATATTTATTCAATGACTTTTTTCTTCCACAAAGTATAATTGTAAACAAAATCACCTTCAATTATATCTTCTTCGATATTGTTAATTCCAGTGAATTTTTCAATTTCTTCCTTATTTGATTTTTCCCAATTTTCAAAATCAATTTTTAAAAATGTATCCATTTCTAATTTTTCATCCTTTTTTGATTCAATTTCAGTAATCAATAAATTTGAACAATGATCTATATAACAATTATATATTTCACCACCACCGATTAAAAAAACTCTGTTGATATTATTAGGTAACAATTTAAATGAATTTTCAATATCACTGGCATATATGACATCGTTTTCAATTATATTTTTATAACTTCTTGACAAAATTACATTAATTCTATCACTTAATGGTTTAAATTTCTTAGGTATTGACTCCCATGTTTTTCTTCCCATTATAACTACATTTTTCAAATCATCAGGTGCATCAGTAGTTACTTTTTTGAAATACTTCATCTCTTTTGATAGTTTCCATGGTAGAGTGCCTTTATTACCTATACCATAATTTGATTTAAGTACTGCTACAATTAAAGTTATTGGATATTTATTGGAAGTCATTGATAAAACAACGCGTTGAAAAAAAAAAAAAATATTTTAATACGAATTTTCGCACGAGGATTTTCGTACGGCTGAAACAAGATTGTACCAGATCAAAATTGTGAATACTCCAAATAATATGTAAGAAATGCAATTAATGCAATTGAATGATACAGCAGAATAATAAGCACAAAAGTTATGACATCAAAAGTGATGACAACAAAAGTGATGACATCAGTATACACGAACTCAATTTATTTCAATGGGATCAAACCATGCTTTGTCTTTATGCTACAAACTATATTCGTATTCAAAGTTATGAAGTTCTCTATTAGATAGGTGCTACAATCTGAGATACGAGTCTTTATTGTTGCCCAATATGAGGTAAGTTTATATATATATGTTTTGTTTTACTATAATCAGAATTCAACTTTGATCCAAAGACCATTCCATATGTGGTATGAGTCGCCCTAGAAACACCGCGTGGAATGCATTATGTTGACACCAATATTCGAGCGAGAGTAAAATACTTAAAGAATATAATTTTGCAACATCTTTACTTATATACAGTATCGTCATAGTTAATCTTGAAATTTACATTGTGAATAGTTCCATTAATAATCAAGTTCACCTTCTCAAACTTATTTTATTATGATTTTCCAACTATTTATGGTAGTTTGGTGGTATTTTCCACTGAGTATACTTAATTTTGATGATGTGATTCGTTATTCAAAAAATCAAATAACAAAACTGGAAAATTTTCAATATAAACTTCTTGATCGCAAACATCTGCAAAATGATACTTAATAGCACGTGCTTGTTATTACAGAATATACGGTACTTTTTTGTATATCTTTGTTTGTTATACGCAAATGGGTACATAATATTAAGTATTATTGTTAGGAGCGAAAAAAGGAGCGAGAATATTTTTTCTCGCACCAGTCTTGAGGCGACCTCGTACTAAAAGTACTAAATGTATTGGCTTTTACCATTCGGTGTGTCATTAAGGTTAAAAATATTTCTCACTCTAACCTTAAGGCGATCTCGTGTTAGATGTAGCGACTTATACGCCCGAACAACGGGTTTTCGCGAAATACTACTTAACTGAAGGGGTGTTAAAAAAACATATGTATATTAAATCAGAAATGAACAAAAAAACAATATAAACTTTCAATTAAAATATAAAAAAAAACAACAAGAAATGAACTGAATTGAATTGAATTGAAATTGAAATTGAATTGAATTGAATCGAACTGAGTTGTATTGCATTAGATTGAATTGAATCGAATCGAATTAAATGAAACTGACTTGTAAAACTAGTTTATTTCTTAGATCTAGTTGATCTTTTTTTAGTTGTTGTTGGTTTAGTAACTTTATTAGCTTTTGGAGCAGCTTTTGAAGCAGCCTTTGGAGCAGCTTTTGGAGCAGCTTTCTTTGTAACCTTTGCCTTCTTTTCATCAGCTTTCTTTTCTACTTCTTTCTTTGAAGCAGCTTTCTTTTTAGTTGGTTCTTTCTTAGCAACTGGCTCTTTCTTAGCAACAGGTTCTTTTTCTTCCAATTTTCCAGATTTATTTTTATTAATTTTAACTGGACCAGAAGCACCCTTTGGCTGAATTAATTCACCCAGTTCAACAGCTTTTCTTAAAGCAGAATTAAATAATGAATCAAAATTGGATCCCGAGATTTCATGATTACTCTTGACATATTTCTTAATAGCTTGACGACTGAATAAGTTAGTATTATTTTATAATCGTAACTAATGCGTTTAAAAACACCACGCGTAATTTTAATATTACATACCTTGAACCATTTCTTTCTTTTAAATTTGTAATTGCTTGTTTAATCATATCTTTGTAAGATACTTTATCAGTTTTTGATTTTCTAGTTGTTGTAGCATTAGCCATAATAAAAATTAATTAATGAATTGATTGTTGTTGTCCTGTTGGTGTTGTTGTTATAAAAAGATAAATAAAAATTGATCACTCGCATTTTTATAATCAAAACAAACACGAAATTTCGTATATTACGAGAGTCGAATTGGTAAGTACACGACCAAGTATTTTTATCGTTATCAACTGATTGTCAGACTATGGTGAGATTTACACGCTTATAATCATTATATATTATTATATTATGTATTTGAATAAGTAAGGATGCAACAAACAAACAGTAACAAACAGTAACAAACAAACAGCAACAAACAAACAGTAACAAACACTTGAAATATATCCCTTACCTTATTCTCTGCCTCTGCTTCCAACAATTGTGTTAGATATTTCTCTGTTTCTCTGCATTCTACAATATTCCCATTCTTTTAATTACATATTCTTGTGCTATAACTCTTAAACTTAAATTTAAACCATCTTTAATAAAATCTTTAACCCATTCTTTTGGATCAATTGAATTATAAATTTCATCTTCTAATTTATCACCTTGTAACCAATTTATAAAGATTTTATTAAATTCTTGAGATTTATTAATTAAATATATGTTATTTGTTATATCTTTTAATACAATTATGAAATAAAATGATTTTGAATCATTTGATTCAATTGCAATTATGGAAAGAAATATATTTGTTGAGCCAGTTTTTTGATGTCGTGAATCTTGTTTTTGCAGATCTTCTTTTGTATCTTCTTCTTTTTTCGCTTCTTCTTCTTCTTCTTCTTGTTTCTTTTCTTCTGTTGTAGTATCCTTACTAAATTCCACTACTGCATTATCTATATTTGCATCACTTAATTTAACACCGTCATTAAATTTACCAACTACCAAATTTAAATTTATATTTCCATCATCATTTGCTTGAGTCTTGTGGTGATTAAATTCATTAACTAAAATTTTAATATCACCTTCAACTGAATTCATAGCTAATTTAAATCCATTAAAAACTAATTCAGTTTTATAATTTAAATTATAAAAATCATTTACGAGTATAATGTTTAAAATTTCATCAAAATTTTCATCTATTAGATTTTGTTTAATTTGATTAATTAATTTATTTAAATCAAGATTATGATTTTTACTTTTTTCATTTAATTCTTTTGTTGTTTTATTTGCAAATTGATAAGATTGTTCAGTTAATTTATCTACATTTGAAGTAAATGAACCCCATAAATTTGAAACTTTTGAAGATCCTTCAGATTGCCACCATGAAGTAATTGAAGTAATTGGATCGGGAACATTATTATTTTCTATATCAAGTTCATCATCATCTTTTTCATTTGTTACTTCTTTCTCATTTGTTACTTCTTTCTCATCCAGCATTCCTTTAACACCCTGACTTGAATCCTGACTTGCATCCTTACTAGTATCTTTTTTTGGTTGAAATTTTTTTGGTTTTGATTTTGGTTTATGTTGAGCAATTTCATCTAAAAAATCCAACAATTCTTCTTTATTATTGTCATTTGATTTATTTGATGGAATTGGAGTTGAAGATTTAGAATCTGGTAAAGAATTAATAAAATCTAAAACATCATTATTATTACTATTATCTTTTGACATTTTAAACCGATATGATTTGATTTGATTTGATTTGATTTGGTTAATTTTTATTGTATTTTATTTTGATCATAATTTATGTTTTTTCGCCTGATCCAAATTACACGACCACATGTTGTTTCTCGGCGGATAATTTTTCAAATCAAATTATTGACTGATAACGAGAGAAGAAACAAAGAGACAGAGAGTTTGATATTATATTTTCAACAGTTATTATGCACCCACAATTAGATAAAAATAGATTTGATACTTGTGAAAAATTAATGGATGCTTTAGAAGAATGTCATAGACAAGAATTTATAAAACAATGTTTGGGATTATGTAATTTTGAAAAAGAACAACTTTCAAAATGTTTACATTATACAAGAATAAATGATTCAAAAGATAGAATAATGAAAAGTAGAGAAAAAGCTAAGAAATTAGAAATGAGAAAAAGATTAAATGAAGAAGAAATATATGGAAAGAATAATTATTTAAAAAAAGTCATTGAAATTGAAAATGAAAATTCAAAAGAGAAGAAGAAGTAATAGTATAATACTTGTACTTGTAAAGATAAAAATATGTTCAACTTGTAAATATATATATATTGATTTTCATTTCTATTGCATCCTTACCTTACTTTAATCGTTACTTGCATCCTGACGACTGACTGACTGACTAATCCTGTCTCGTTTTCAACACCCTTTTCACAATTTTATCTTTGGTAATTATATATACAACAGCACCCCAACCACTTAAAGCATCTCTATCGACAGCATTTAATAAAGCTTGACTTATAGTTTCAAATAAATCTTCAGGATTTAAATTTGGTTCATATAATGATTCACACATACCATATAATTGATCAGTCGCAGTACCAGAAACAATAAAATCATTACTATAATCAATACAACCAATTGAATCAAATCCACATATAAATGGTTTATTATCTTTTTTTGATAAACCACCAACAATTGGTGATATAAACCATGGACCAAATCTTTTTTCATATAAAGATGATGAAATTAAATTAGCTAATGTAGAAGGTTCAATATCTCTTTCTTCTCTTAATTTATATAAATTAGTTTTGAATTTAATTAATTCTTTTAATGTTAAAACATCTGTAGCTAAACCAGTTAATGCTAAAAAATTTTTGGAATTAATTTCAACAATTTTATCAAAATTATTGGAAACACCTAAAGATTGTTGACCTAATCTTAAATCTGAAGCAATTGCAATACAATCTTTACCAATCATGGCAATAGCAGCACCACCATTGAGTGAAAAAGGATCAGACATTAATGATAATAATGATACTAACGATACTGACGATACTAATGATACTAATGATACTAATGATACTAATAAACACTAATAAATACCAATAATACTAATAATACTAATAATACTAATAATACTAACAATAATATGTAGTGGCAAATCTAAAAAAAAAACTGTTGATAAAAACCAAACGAAAAAAAGAACTACCAATTCAAATCAATTCTAATAATAAACACTTTTATCTTACCTCAAGGGTGCATCCTTACAATCCTTACAATGAAATGCAATCTTATCTACGATTATTCAATACAACAACTTCTTTTTATTATTCAAATGATATAAATAATCCATCTAAATTACTAATACAAATTATTATATTACAATTATTTTATTATCTTACAGCTATTATCATATTTTATTTAGTTGCAATTTTAAATGGTTATCAATTTAAATTGGATTGGATATTCTCATGGGAATTAATAGATTCAACAAATGCAATGGGATTAATATTATTTTGTTTATGGTTAATTGATTCTTTATTATGTGTTTTATTTGTTACTATTATAGTTGGTAGATCCAAATTAGCTTGGGATTTTGCAATTACTGTTCATATTATAAATTTAATTATTTCATGGACTTATACTGGTTCTTTTCCAACTAGTTTATTATGGTGGTGCTTACAAATTATAAGTGGTACTATATTAGTATTATTATCAACATATTCAACAAGATGGAAAGAGTTGAGAACTACTTTTTTTAATAATATGTTGGAGACTAATGAAACAACAACAACAACAACAAGAAGTAATGATGATATAGAAATGGTTAATCAACAAGTGTAGTGGTAGTGGTAGTGGTAGTGGTAGCGGCAGTGGTAGTGGTAGCGGCAGCAGTAGTGTACAACACAATATTATGTATATGGTAATTAGTGTGGCTTTCTATTTTTTCCCGATCCGGTTAATTTTTCGATTTTTCGATTTTTCACATTTCTATTTATCGTATAATATTATACATGATTTAGACCGACCAGTATAACTTCTTGTTATGGATGTTGCTATTATTGGTGGTGGACCTTGTGGTTTGATTACTCTAGATGCTTTAATTAAAGAAAATATGGGGTTTAATATTAAATTATTTGAAAGAAGAGATAAAATTGGTGGTTGTTGGAATGTAACTCCACCTGGTAAAATTTCATTCATTAAACAAAATCCTATTGATGAATTACCAAAAATTATACCCTCCAAGGTTCCAAAATCAAAAATAAATCGTCATATGGATACTGCTGCTTATGATTATCTCGAAACTAATGTAGAAGCAACAGCTATGGAATTTTCAATTGAAAAATTTCCAAATAATTTTAAATCAAGACAAGGTCCTGAATTTAGACATCATAAAGATATTTTAAATTGGATGGAAACTAATTTTGCAAAATATGAATATATTTATTTAAATACAAGTTTAGAATTAATTGAAAAAATAGGTAATAAATTTAGATTAATTTTACGTAACTTTAATAAATTTGATGATTATATTTATGAAGAATATTTTGATAAAATTGTGATTGCGACTGGTCATTTTGATGTTCCTTATATTCCAAATATTATTGGATTGGAACAATTTAAAGGGACTTTAATTCATTCAAAACATTTTAGAGATCGTAATTTATTTAAGGATAAAAAAACAATCGTGGTGGGATCTTCTGTGTCTGCAATGGATTCAATTAGAGATATTTTATCAGTTGTCAAATTACCGGCTTTAACTTCTCAAAGATCGAATGATCATGTATATTTTGGAAATGATGCTTTTAAACATAAAGATATAATAATAAAACCAGAAATTGTAAAAATTGAAAATAATAAAGTCTATTATAAAGATGGAAATATTGAAGAAAATGTTGATGCTATATTATTAGCAACTGGTTATTTATACGATTATCCATTTCTAAAGCAAGTACCTGATTTATTTGAAATGATTTTCAATATAAATGATCCATCAATGGCATTTGTAGGTGCAATCACACCAGGTTTAACTTTTAAATTATTTGAATGGCAAGCTGTTTTAGTAGCTAAATCATTTGCTGGAAGATCAAATTTACCTAAAAAATTAATAAAAAATAGACAAGAAGTTGGTTATGATTTTAAAACTTATTTTGAAACATTAAGAGAGTTGGCTGGAGAGAGTAAAATTGGTAGAATACTACCTGAATTTGATGAAGAATGGGAAAGATGTTTTTATAGAGGTCATGAATTTAGGAAAAATATGTGGAGATAAACAAAAAGATGCCTTAAATCAACCATAAAATGTAAGGATGCCATTAAACAGGTATAAAATATTTATAGACGATTGTATGATATTTAATTTACATAATTAAAATCATTACTTATTCTATTTAATTCATCAAAATTATAAATATCATCATCATCATCAACATCATCATCTTCTTTGTTAGGTATATTAATTTCATTTTCCAAAGGTATTAATTGAGTAGTTCTTCTAATTTCAATTAAAGTATTTATTTGACTTGTAGTTTCTTCAGATAAGCTATTATCTTTTTTTAACATTTTAATACCATCTTGTATAATTAATTTCTTATTTATATTATCAGTATAAAAAGATAATAATTTTTTTGAATTTATATCGAATAATGTAATTTTCTCATATGAAATTGTCCCCTTTATTGAAATCAACATTGAATTTTTCTTGATGTCATCTTCACCAATCGCTGAACCAATTCTAATAGACTTCAAATCATGAATATCACTAATTTTAATCTTTTTCTCTTCCATTTCTTCAAAATTTGGATTGTTTTTCGGTTTTTCGGTGAATTCTTTATAATATATGAAATTTCTATTTGGTGCCAAAATAATATAATAATATTTATAATTTGATGATGATGATGATGATGATTTTGAATTTTTAAATAAACTTTCACCAAAAGATTCAGTGAATACCCATGAACCTTTCAATAATTGAATAACACGTTGTTCTAAAACAAATTCAGTCACTTTTTGAACTAGTAATTTATCAAATTCATTTATTTCTGAATTCCATTGATTATTTAGATTCAATTTTATACTTTCAACTTGTATCCTTCTTATATTTTCATCAATTTCTAAACATTCATCAATTGGTAAATCTGAACTAATTTTATATTCAATAGAATTAAGATTTGAATATAATAGTTCAAAAATTTTATTAATATCGACATTATTCAATTTTGCTTTTGTTTGTTGCCATAATATTAAACAATTATTCATTGTAGAATAAATGAATAATTCCCAACTTAAAATTGAATTATAAATAAATGGATAAGTTTCCCTTTGTGTAAATATTGAAATCCATAATTGTGTTGATTTTTCGATGAATAAATAAAGAGGGAACGTTCTTGTATGATCACTCATCATTAATTCCTCATGAAATCTCTTTTTAAATGTAAAATTTGGATCCTTCAAGAATATTTTTAAATCCATAGCTAATAAAATTGTAAAATTTTCAATTACAAATTGTCTTGGATTATCAGTAAATCCAGCCTTAATATATTCATCAATTGTTGCGGGTGTTCCATATTCATTTAAAGAAACTTCCAAAAATATAAATAAATGGTTCAACATTATTTGATGTGATTTAATTGATAAATCAAATTTAGTTGAATTTAAATTCATGTTTAAATTATAATATGAAATCTTCAACTCATCAATAGATGAAAGAATTAGAGCATCATTAGTTTCTAATAAATTCCCAATGGTGTTGAAAAAATTAACATGTTTTAAATGACCAGAAAGAGTAATTATCCCAGTATAATTAAAATCCAAACACTTATTAATCAAATTATATACCAATTTGATTGAATTTAATGTAATTTTGTTATCTTGAAGGAATAATTTGGTTGTTATTATTTCTATAACATCTAAATAATCAACTAATGAATCAAATAATGGTAAATAAAATTCAATTTTTTCTGTTTCAAATATATTTCCAGATACTAAAATTGTGCATATTTTAAGAATGGCCTTGTAGGTCTCAGTACTCATATTTGAGCTAATTATTGAAAATAATGTTGAAAATAAACCATGATCCAATATATTATTAAACTCATTTGTAGATTCAATACAATCTAATAATTTAGCTAATACAACTATTGAATTAACTTTTTCTTGCTTATTAATACCTAATATATTTTGCTTTAAGATACTTCCATACGTTAAACTAATTTGACGTTCTAATTTAAATTTATTTGAGTTATTTTTACTTAATAATTCATTTAATTTATGATTTATTGATCTTGAAGACTCCATGTCAGACTAAGAACGCTGTCAGGATGCAGTATGCAGTGTAAAGTCAGGATGTAATAGAAATCTAATTAATCTATATTATCCAATTAGCCTTTCGTTGTTTTATGTTGATAGGAAAAAAAAAAAAAAAAATTTTAGAATCAATATAAGAAAAAGGCTCATAACGATTTCCTAATTAGGACGAAATTTAATTCGCCATCTGAAAAATATTTTATCAAGGGACCAAAAGTGAAACCAAGGACACGACCTTATATATACCAATTCAATTGATCAGTAATAGATTCAACGGTTTGTGGATTATTATTAAAGTGTTTAGATCTCTCAAAGTTGGTTGAATTGAATCCATTTGATCGTTGGAAACGGTTTTTTTTGTTGAACTACTCGTTGTTGATATACAGTCATAGTTATATTTCTAAGTAATTGATTCTCTTTTTACTTGATTAGAAAGGGAATAGGTATTCTAAATGAAATGTTGGTGTTAACAAGGTTTTAATCTTAATGTTGTATTATTTTTGAAGTTAAATCTTTTTATGCAAATTCTTCTTTGACTTTGAAGTCAGTGTGTACATGATTCTTAGGATTTGGAATCAGTATAGGAAAAAGGGCAGCAACGAAGCAAAAGGACAATTAAATATACGAATAGTATCAAGATTGAGCATAATCAGTTGAACTGGTACCTATCGAAGTTTCTGATAACTTGGGAACTCGAAATTTCAACTTTAACCGATATAAAAATTGGCTGCAAATTTGAATGTTCACCAGAAATTTTGTGTCAAAACAGCTCCTTTATCACTCTTTTCAAACATTATACAAGCTTAAAAGACCTGTATCAATCTATAATCCAATTAACAAACATAATCGATAAACATTGATTTTGTTGCAACCACTTACTGACTGTTATACATTTTGTTAGGTTTGATTTTAATTTTTTTTTTTTTTTTTTCTTAGATTGAATTATTTTTTTATCAACATAGTTTCAGTTGGTAATGTCCTTTTTAAAAAGAGATAAATCTCTGAAGAGTTTATCTAACATGAGTCATAGTAGTCAATCTGCAGGTCAGAATACTAATACCGATGATGATGCACCCATATCTCCAACTACTGATGCAAATCCGTTCGAAGAAAGTTTTAATCAACATGATTATTCCCCAAGGTCTTCAATAAGTTTATTACCTCAATTCGTTTCAAATAATCATCATTTAAAAGAAAATTATCGTGGTTTCCATGCAAATAAACGTCCAAAGGGAATTGGTAATGTACCTCCTTTATCACAACCTATAAAACCAAGATTTAAAAAAAAGGGAAGTTCATTATTAAATAAATTAATTTATAGTAATAAAAAAGATGATGCAAATTTTATACACTCATTACCTCAACATTCATCATCACAAGATGATTTTTATTCATCTTCAAGTTCAAGAAATAATTCAATTCATTCAGGTGAGAATGAACAAAGGAAAAGTAATTCATCTGCAAGTTCTTCTGGTTCAAAATATAAATTTAGATTACCTAGTTTTACTGATTTTCATTCATTACAAATGACAGAAGCAGAACCTAAAATATCAATTGATTTAAATTTAAATGAAATGCAAGATATTGTAAAAGATGAAAAACCACCATCTCAAATAAAGTCAAAAAATTGGCAAGCTCCAGATTCATGGGATGTCAAAGCTCCAAAAGAAGTTATAATTGAACCTAGTGCTGTTGTTGAAGACCATGGAACATTACCGGTATTATATGGATCTAAACAAGCATCTCATGTTGTTAGTTCTTCATATTCTAGACCTTCTCATATAATTAGAGTTTTCAAAGAAGATAATACATTTACAACAATATTATGTCCATTAGAAACTACAACTTCTGAATTATTAGCTACTGTTCAAAAGAAATTTTTTCTTGAAAGTACAAATAATTATCAAATATCTGTACATATTGGAAATTGTGTTAAAGTTTTAGAAGATTTTGAAAAACCATTAAAAATTCAAATGGGTTTATTATTATTAAGTGGTTTTAAAGATGAAGATAATTTGAAAATTATAGGTAGAGAAGATTTATCTTATATTTGTAAATTTGTCGTGGAGAATATTTACTTAAGAAGTTTGACTCATGATGAAGAGGTACTATTGTCTAGAAATTATGTTGATGTTAATATATCATCACTTAATTTAAAAAATATTCCAATTATATTTCATCAACATACTTATGAAATTGAATCTTTAAATGTTGCAGATAATCCATCAATTTATATACCATTAGATTTTATTCAAAGTTGTACAAATTTAACCAAAATTATATTTTCAAAAAATGGTTGTTCAGTATTTCCAACAAATTTTCTTGAAGCTAAAAGATTAACTACATTAGATTTAGAAATGAATTTTCTTGATGATTTACCAAATAATATAAATTTATTGGAAAATTTGACTACATTAAAATTGAATTCAAATCAATTGAGTACACTCCCCAAATCATTTGGACAATTAATTAATCTTACCTCATTAAATTTATCATCAAATTATTTTAATAAATATCCAGAACCAATAGATCAACTTTCAAATCTAATTGATTTAGATTTATCATATAATGATTTATCATCACTTCCAGAATCAATAACAAATTTAAAATTTTTACAAAAATTAAATCTTTGTACAAATAAATTATCAAAAGCATTACCGAATCATTTATCAAAATTGGTTAGTCTTAAAAGATTAGATTTAAGGTATAATTTATTGACAAATGTTGATGTTTTGGGATATTTGCCAAATTTGGAAGTAACTTATGCTTCAAAAAATAATATATCAGGTTTCAGTGATCAAATGAAATCACTTAGATTACTTAATTTTGATAGAAATCCGATAACTGAATTGAAATTTTCAAATGTGATGCAAATGTTAAATATTCTTGATTTATCAAGAGCTAAAATAACTTCATTCCCACCTGAATGTGTTGAGTATATTCCAAATATTGAAAAATTAGTACTTGATAGAAATCATTTAGTTACATTACCTCATGAATTGGGACAATTAAAGAGATTAGCATATTTATCTATTTATTCAAATAATTTACAAATGCTACCTTCAAGTATTGGAGAATTACAAAATTTACAATATCTCGACCTTCATTCAAATAATTTACAAGCAATTCCACAAGAATTATGGAATTGTAAATCATTATCAATTTTAAATTTGTCAAGTAATAATTTAACTTCATTTTATGGAAAAGGTTTATTAAATGAAAGTTTATTAGTTCTAACCTTATCTGATAATAGATTAAGTGATGATTGTTTTGAAAGTATAAGTTTGTTAATGAATTTAAAATCTTTAAATTTATCTTATAATGATTTAATCGAGATACCCGAAGGTGCTTTAAAATTACCAAGATTAACTGAATTATATTTATCTGGTAATGATTTAACAAATTTACCAGGTGAAGATTTACAAGATTTACAGGCTTTGAAATTATTATACATAAATAATAATAAATTAGTTTCATTACCTTCTGAATTGAGTAAAATAAAACCATTACAACATTTTGATGTTGGTTCAAATCAATTAAAATATAACATATCAAATTGGCCATATGATTGGAATTGGCATTGGAATCAAAATTTAAGATATTTGAATTTTTCAGGAAATAAAAGATTTGAAATTAAACAAACTCATATAAAGAATCCAGAAAGTGGACAAGATTTTGATAGTTTATTAGTTTTAAAACATTTGAAAGTATTGGGATTAATTGATGTTACTTTAACTACGACTTCTGTTCCTGATCAATCAGTGGATATGAGAATACGTACAACTGCTTCTGAGTTGGATAATATTGGATATGGAGTTTCTGATTCTATGGGTATGAGAGAACATGTAAGTAATAGAGATTTATTCGTACAGAAATTTAGAGGTAATGAAAATGAATTATTAGTATGTGTTATTGATGGGAAACATGGAATTTCAACAAAGGGTCATAAAATATCGCATCTTACTAAAAGCATGTTTGTAAGTATATTTACACACGAATTAGAAAAAAATATACCTGAAGAAGCACTTAGAAGATCATTTCTTCAATTAAATAAAGATTTGAATGGTGCTTTATCAGCAATGAAAAATGGTTTAACTGTTATTAAAGAATTTTCTGAATTATCTCAAGAGGATTTAAGTGCTGGTTGTGCTTTAACTGTAGTCTATATCAAAGATAAGGAATTATATTCAGCAAATGTTGGAGATATTCAATCATTATTATGTAGAAACAATGGAGATTATAAATTATTAACAACACGACATGATCCAACAAATAGACCAGAATTTGAAAGAATTAGAGCTTCAGGTGGTTATGTTTCTGGTACTGGTGATTTAGATTCTGACTTAAATGTTTCAAGAGGTGTTGGGTTTTTTAATTTCTTACCACATACAAATTCAAATCCTGATATAACTAAAGTAACTTTGACAGTTGCTGATGAATTTGTAATTATAGCCACCAAGACACTTTGGGAATATATTTCATATGAATTGAGTGTTGATATAATACGACAAAGTAAAGAACCAATGGTTGCTGCTCAAAAATTACGAGATTTTGCAATTTGTTATGGTGCATCTGATAAAATATCAGTTATTGTATTGACATTTGGTAAGAAACAAAAACAATCAAATAATCTATATAATAATTTAGGAACAAGAAGAAGAGATAGACAATTAGATTCAACTTTAAGAAGATTAGAATCTGAAATTGAACCACCAATTGGTGAATTAGCATTAGTATTTACTGATATTAAAAATTCAACATTATTATGGGATTCTTATCCAGCACCAATGAGATCAGCTATTAAAACACATAATTCAATAATGAGAAGACAATTAAGAATAATTGGTGGTTATGAAGTTAAAACTGAAGGTGATGCATTTATGGTTGCTTTTCCAAGTCCCTCGAGTGCATTATTATGGTGTTTTAATGTACAACAAAATTTATTAACTGCGGATTGGCCAAGTGAAATTTTAGAAACTGATCAATGTTGTGAAGTTACTGATGGATTAGGGAATGTTATTTTTAGAGGATTATCTGTACGTATGGGTATTCATTGGGGTTCACCAGTTTGTGAACCAGATGTAGTTACAGGAAGAATGGATTACTTTGGACCAATGGTTAATCGAGCTTCACGTATTTCAGCAATTGCAGATGGTGGACAAATTGCAGTAAGTTCAGATTTTTTAGATGAAATGAGAGCTTTAACTTCGATACATGATGATATTAAAATTAATAAAAAGACATTGACCGATGCATATCAAGGAAATGAAAATGCAGGAAAAATTATTGAAAAAGAATTAAATTCATTAGAGGAACATGAATGTAATTATTATAAAATAGGAGAAAGGAAATTAAAAGGTTTGGAAACTCCAGAGACGGTAACATTAGTATATACAAATAAATTAAAACTTAGGTTTGAAATTTTTCAAAAAAGATTTGATCAAAATCATTCAACTAGAGTAGTAGGTACATTACCAGTTGAAGCTATATATGGTATAAGAACAGTTAGTTTAAGATTAGAAAATATTTGTGCTAATATAAATGATGGTACTTCATTTAGTGAAGGTTTTGAAAATAGTTCAGGAATAATAAGCCAAAGAATACCATTTAAAGAAGTTGATTTGGTTAGTTTATTGAACCATTTAGTCACTAGGATTGAAAGTTGTACTGCTACGTTATATATGAGACAACAATTGGGTGGTATAAAGAATGAATCATTATCTAAGGTGTTGGAAGATTTGAAGAAATTGGTTGAAGATAGCAAAGGTAAGGATGCCTTACACTAATTTCATTTTGTAAGGATGCAACAATCGTCGAAGTTCTTAATATATAGCGTTTTACGTATTTTATTGTGTCAATCTTGAGATCCCGTTTATACGCGCAATTTTAGAAACTCCTGTACATAGAAACAGTGAAAAATATTGAAAAATATTATAACCAGTTTATGATTCCAAAGGTTCGAGAATCTAATTTTGGTCAAACATTAGGAGAGAGATCACAAGTTAATAATCAATATGAAATTGGTCCGAGTGATTTGATACATCGTGCAATTTACGCAGGGTCAAAATCGGCATTATATAATCAATATGATTTTAAAACTAAAAAGAATGTAATTGATCATGATGAATATATTGGATATTATCATTATATTAATGGGTTTATAGACATTGATTCTTATATTCAGCAAGTGATAGGGGATGATAAGAAGAAATTCAAAAAGGACATTATATTGTCTTATTGTTCATGGAATATATTTGGTAAAACAGACTATAAGATTAAGTTTGTATTACATCCAAATGGAGAAATAGAGAGAATGATAATGAGAGAAACCAATATGGAAGAATTGAAAGTTTCTCAAATACTAAGAAGTTTGTATTATGTCGATAATCCCCAACATCAATTGACAGGCACGGTAAATTTCCCTATATTCAGAAACAAACTTGAGTTGAAAGATGTTCTAAAGTTACTCGTGAAATATGTTAGTAAAGGATATGAAACAGGAAAGAACCAGTATGAAAATAAGCTTATAGATTCAATTTTAAAATTATGTAAAAGTAAAGAATTAAGTCAATTCGTATACAATGAGACCAGTTTTGAATATTTAAGGATAAAATTACTTAAAAACATAAATCCAATAGAGTATCTCAAGTCCGTGCAAAAAATTTCAACCCCTTCAAATTTTTCAATCTCAAATGGTTTAATATTATTAGATCAAGTCAAATTTTTAATCAAAAATAATAAATTTAATTTGGCACTCGAAGTTTCAAAGATGACTGTACTCATTCAACCACTAGATTTTGAAACTTGGTATTATTTGGTTATTTCCTATATATTAAATTCAAATTTTCGAATGGCTATATCTGTGATTAATCAAATTCCAGTAAAATTAAATGACGAATCTAGTCTACCTAATGATTTATTTATAAATACACTTTTATCAAGAATGAATGAATCTGAGCCAATCAGTGAAAAGACGTTCAATGATACATTCCCATCTGCTAATACAACAATGAAAAAATGGCATAATTATTTCATATTCAATCCGTATCCACGTCATCCCATAATTGGATATCTCCATCAACTGCCATTATTCAACTCATCAAAAGAACAAATTGCATCAGTTTCACAAAGTTTAAAAAATTATCCTTATTTCAATGAGGGACAATATGGTAAATTATACAATTTATTAACATTCTTCATTGCATTATATGGATGGGATCAACTAATAAAATTAAAAGAAAAGGAACTTAGCAACTGTGAAGTTTGGTTAGATCAATTATTTTTCAAAATATATCAAGATTTAAAAATATGTATAACTAATGGAAAAGATAAGAAACGAAGTGCTTTAGAATGGAACTTAATTGGTAATTTATCATATCAAGTGAAATTTAATCTCAAAGAAAGTGTAAATAGTTTAATTACAAGTGTATTAGGTTCAGAATTTGATTATTTTGGAATAGTCAAATTATTGGAAATTTATAATGATTTGATCCTTGAAGATCCTGGAGATTTAAATTATTTGATTTTAAAACTCAACAATATCTCAAATGTTAATTTAAACCTAGATTTAGATTTTATATTACTTCATCTTATGATTTTAATTAGTTGGGAATTACGATGGTATAATTACGTTTCAAAATCATTAATTATAAATATTATACATAAATTGATTATTAAATATGATGCTATTTATTTAATAACTCGTTTTAAAATTATATTTGAAAATAATAAAGGTAAAATTTTTGATAAATCAGATACTATATTTGAACATATAGAAACATTAGTTAATGAAATAGATGAAATATACACCTAAGAATTTTTTTTACCTAAAACTTTCTTTCTTTGTTTTATCATATATGTATATAACATATAAAATCCAGGAATATAAGTTAATAAAATTGGATAAAATATAAATTTATTTTGATGATTAATTGATAACCAAATTGAATAAACTTCAGAAAAAACACCAGTTGGATATAAGACGTAAAACGTGGTATATCTTAACCAAGTTAACCAATATGGTTTGGTAGTTGTTGCATAAAATGAATATCTAATAATTTCAGTAATTGACCAACTTAAACATAATGTAATATAACACCAATGAGAATTAGCTGGGCTTTCATGATTGAACTGATGAATTCCCCATACAATTAACAATCTTGAAAATACTTGAGTTATAGTTGTGAAAATTGGAGATTTGACCAACCCTAAAATCGAATGAAAAATTTCTAATATTGCTAATGATTGAATAAAACTAAGTATATTATAAGTTTTTTGAAATACATATGGTTGTCCTAATGTAATTGATAAGAATAAAGTATTGAATAAGATAATTGACCATAAACTAGCTGATATACTGTTATAAATAGTTAAATACAGCATCTTTGATTGTTGGTTGAAATAAAAAAAAAAAAAAATATAAATTTGGTGATAATTGGAATGAAGCCGTGGTAGGATTTGGGCGAAACCAATTGTATATATATATATATATTAATGAAGAACTTTAGCTCTTTGTTTGAACATATAACTATATAAAGATAAAAACCCAGGTAAGTATAATACAATTGCATATTTTAAAAAATAGTAGTAGAATCCACTAGTATATTCATATGAATGAAAAACTGTCCAACTTTCACTTGTTAATCCAATTGGATATAAGATTATAAATGTAGTATATCTCAAATATTTTAATATTGAACTATTTTTAAACACATAATATGAATATCTTATAATTTCAGTAATTGACCATGCAAATATTAAACCCGAAAAAGTATAAATATTATAAATTGCAGGAGATTGAGGAATATAAACGACAATTCCAATAAGAATAATTAATCTAGCAAATGATTGTAAAAGTAATGTTGGAATTGGTGTTCTAACTAAACCAAAAATAGAATGTAATATTTCAATGGTGGTGTTGAAAACTTGAGTATAAATTAATACCTGATGTGGTGGAATTGGAAATGCTTTTTGAATAAATACATAAAATATATTCTCAATTAATATGTAGCTCCATAAACTTGAAGATAATAGATTGTAGAATGATAAATATGAAGATATAAATGATGATGACATTGAAGATGAACAAACACTTGGTAGTTCATTTATTTATTTTTCAACAAATCAGAATGTAGTATAACCGGCGGCTAATTAGAAATGTACTTATCGTATAGTATTATTTTGTTTATTCGTTCATTCATAAATATATAAAACAACAACAACATCATCATCATCATCATTATCATCATCATCATAATTTAAAAGCAAAAAACGAGAATTTTCATGGTGCATTAAGTTATTTAAAATTTAATGGAATAACGTCACTTAGAATATTTTCACGAGTGTATCGTATATAATTCTCGGTTGCAAATAAAGGTAAACACGAACACAAACCTATAGAAGTGGTGCTTGAATTGGTTGAATTGGTTGATTTGGTTGATTTGGAACTGATAGTAGTGTTAGCTCTAGTGTTGTTAACTCTAGTGTTGTTAGCTCTAGTCTTCTTAGCTTTAGTGTTGTTAGCTTTAGTGTTGTTAGTTTTAGTGTTGTTAGTTTTAGTGTTGTTAGTTTTAGTGTTGTTAGCTCTAGTGTTGTTAGCTCTAGTGTTGTTAGCTTTACTTGTTAGTTTTAGTGTTCTTAGCTTTAGTGTTGTTAGCTCTAGTGTTGTTAGTTTTAGTGTTGTTAGCTCTAGTGTTGTTAGCTCTAGTGTTGTTAGTTTTAGTGTTGTTAGCTCTAGTGTTGTTAGCTCTAGTGTTGTTAGTTTTAGTGTTCTTAGCTTTAGTGTTGTTAGCTCTAGTTGTTAGCTCTAGTGTTGTTAGTTTTAGTGTTGTTAGCTCTAGTGTTGTTAGCTCTAGTGTTGTTAGTTTTAGTGTTGTTAGTTTTAGTGTTGTTAGCTTTAGTTGTTAGCTCTAGTGTTGTTAGTCTAGTCTTCTTAGTTTTAGTGTTGTTAGCTCTAGTCTTCTTAGCTTTAGCTTTCGTAGTTATACCAAAATTTGAATAAATACTCAACATTCTATAATCATTAATTAAACGTAATATAACAATTGATTGACATACTTTAACAATTGAATCACCTAATATTCTTATATTATCGTGTTTTGAACTTTTATCATATATAAACTTTATAACATTATAACTATCATACAACTGGATTCTAAATATAAAAAACATTAGAAGACCAATTACTAAAAACAGCAATGAGGCTTAATGTCATATAAAGTTTTATGACATTGCGCATCACAGAAAAAACGACATTGATTAAGCTACCACGTTTTTTTAGAAATTCGGATTATTCAATTTGTATCACTCTTGCCATCACTTGACAACTAACCCTTTTTAAGCTATTCAATATCAACAAGTTTCTTTTCTTATTTGTTCAAGAAAAGCTTAGAGTTTCACAAATTATACTATAATTGTTCTACAAGTCAAAGGAAGTGATCCAATCATATACAAGACCCATTTTAATTGGCTTTCAAATTCAAAATTGATCTTTTTTTTTTTTTTCGTTGCAAAAGTTTAAATTGATAATTTTGCAACAACTCATCAACAAGTTTAGAATTAGGTTTTATTGATCTTACAACAAGAAGTAAGGTTTTTCTAAAGATATTTCGGGTGTAGGTTGGTTTCCGGTTTTCCATGTTACAATTCCAATATGAAGCTCCGTGGGTTTCAACTTTTGATCAATTAATTAATTCGGAATTAAAACATAATAATTCACTACCATTTATAACTTTTCAATTTTCAACAATTGATGTTAAATCAGGTTATCCTAAAAATAGAACAGTAGTATTTAGAGGTTGGTTATTTAATAATAAATCATCAAATGTTATAATTTTCACAACAGATAAAAGAATGGAAAAATATTCCGAATTGAAATTAAATGATAAATTTGAAGCTTGTTTTTGGTTAGGTTGTTGTAAAAAACAATTTAGATTTAGAGGTAAAGCTAGAATATTAGATGAAGAAAATAAACCAAAAATAGACATTTCAAATATTGAGAAAGGTCATATTATAAATGATGCAGATTCAATTAATACGATAAATACAATAAATACAATTACAATTAATGAAGAACAAACTAAAAATGACGACCCACCAGAAATAAATTTAAACAATAAAGAAACTTCAGTTCAATCAATTCCTATCCATTCATCATTATTGTCTCCAAAATTTGTTGAAAATGAAGCAAATTCTACCAGTTTACCACTGAAATATTTAACTCCATCACATGAAGAATATGATGCTGAGGTGAAAAGACAATGGAATCAATTATCCAAGAATATGAAGAATTCCTTTAAAAAACCACCATCAAAATCAATAATGACCGATGAAACTCAAAAAACTATTAGCTCAATAAAAAGAGGTGTTGATGGTAAAAAAGATGATTATGGTTTTAAAAATTTTGCTTTAATTGGTTTATTTATTGATTATGTTGATCTTTATGACTTAGATAAGGATAAGAGATTTATTTACGAGATGAATGAAAATCAACAGTGGATTGAAAATGAAGTATGTCCTTAAAACATTGATAAACTAAACTAAACTAAATAACATTGATAAACTAAACTAAATAACATTGACAAACTAAATAACATTCATAAACTAAACTAAATAACATTCATAAACTACAGTAAATAACATTAACAAAGTACACTAAATAACATTGACAAACTACAGTAAATAACATTGACAAACTACAGTAAATAACATTGACAAACTACACTAAATAACATTCATAAACTACACTAAACTAAATAACATTCATAAACTACACTAAACTAAATAACATTCATAAACTAAATAAATAACGTTCATTTTAAATTAATAATCCACAATTGATGATTAATGAAGATAAGACACCATTTTTGATAGGAAATATACCGTCTACTAATGGTGCAATGACCCATTTTTCAAAAGTTTTGGGAAAAAAGACAAAGATCAACTCACAGTATTATCATCTCGTTGAAACTTGATAGAGAATAATTTAGCAGATTAAGAATATTAAGAACTACCATACATTCATGAATATAAAATCGAACAATGACTTTTTAGAGTCAATAATTTCTTGCTTTGATCTTGATTTGCAGCATTTTAAGCAGCTTCAGATTTATCACGCATACTTTGATCTAATCTTTCTTTTTCCATTGCCCTCTGACCTAAAATGTGTTCTTTAATGTCATGTTGTGATTGAGAAACTGGATTTTGTTGTGAACTGGAAGAACCTTTACTACCTTTACTACCTTTACCCATTATAATATCAGTTTAGCTTAATCTACAAAAGTTATATGAGGAATCATTTACTCTACTTTTATACTTTATTCAAAAGGATATAAAGGGATACTCACACACAATTCTACACCATCAATGCATTAATCTGTTGATGTCTGGAACCAAATTTCGGTCGAATACTTATTTTTATTTTTTTTTGAGAACTGTAACATGATGTAAAAATCATTCAAGGATATTCTGTCAAATTAAATACCAGTTATAGTATCAAGTAGTATAAGATTCAATGGTTTCTAATGTCGCTTTAATTATTGTTGATCTTCAAGAAGATTTTCTTCCTCCAAATGGTTCATTAGCTATTCAAAGCGCAAGGTCAATAATCCCGAAAATCAATAATTTGATAACTTCAAAATCATATAATTGGTCAACTATTATAGCTACTCAAGATTGGCATCCACAAACTCATGCTTCATTTGCATCACAACATAATCAACGACCATTTACAACCAAAACTTTTCAACATCCAGAAAAAAGATTAAATCCTAATACTGGTGAAATAATTGAGATCAATCAGACTCTTTGGCCGGATCATTGTGTTGAAAATACATTTGGATCATCGCTTGAAAAATCTTTTCATGATAATTTTAACCAATTGGAAAATAAAGCCAAAATAATTATCAAAAAAGGATATTTACAAGATCGTGAATATTATTCTGCTTTTCAAGATTGTTGGCATTTGCATAAAACAGAATTGGAAAATTATTTAAGACAATTAAATATTGAAAAAGTTGTTTTTGTTGGTTTGGCTTATGATTTTTGTGTGTTGAATTCAGCTATTGATTGTTCCAAATTGGATTTCAAAACTTATGTATTGAAAGATTATTGTAGGTCGGTATATCCTGATAAATTTGTTGAAACAGATACAGAGTATATGAAGAATGGAGTTGAAGTAATTGAAGGAATACATATTCCTGAACTTTAAGATTGTTTATTTAAGTTTAATCTATTAATTAATACTTGTCGTTTCCGATCTAATATATATTTAAAAACTTGCTCATTAGAAGGTAAAACTTGCAACTTTTTCAACTTAATAATTTGGTTATTACTCAACTCTTTACTTTGTAATTTTTCAAAATCTAATAATCCCGGTTCATTGTCATCAAATTTCCCATAATAAGCCTTATCTAATCTTTCTTCAATATTATCTTTCTCTTCTACCAATTTTCTTTTCTTGAATTGTTTAACATCAGAAAGCTCTTTAGCTCTTCCAAAATATCTATACCCATTAACATTTAAACCAGAATTGATCAAATCTCTTTTAATTATATAATCATTACCTCCTAGATTCTTAATATGGTATTCCCAAGCTCGCTTCTCTTTAAAAAGCTTGTTTAGATTATCGTTAATTTCTCGTATTTCAGTCTCATTTATAGTTTCATCTTGAATTTTAGTCAATTTTTGAGATATTTCACTTAAAATTGTTGATCTCCATACTTCTGCTTGATTTAAATTCTGTACTTTTTGAACATATTTTGGACGTAGCTGTGGATTTGTAATTATGGTTTCAGTATTACTTGAATTAAACCGATTCAATGAGGATTGGAGTTTTGACATTATTATAGTTAAAGATGGAATGGCTTAATTTTCAAATTTCGCGCTACCAATCAGGTTGCATTTTTAAGTATGCAAGTTTAAAGTCGAATTATGATAAGTAAGACTGTGGATCGTTTCAAATAACTGAAACCAAAAGGGTGTAACTGGGAAAAACTCAATTGAGATATGAATCCGGTAAAAAGTGTGTGAAATATTTAATATACCAGTATATGTCAAAAGTGTAGAGATAGAAGACGAATTCAAAATTCTTATAAATCAATAAAATTAAAGACTAGCAAAAATGCAAACAATGCAAACTTATTTTAACAAAAAGACAAACTTATTATAACAAAAAGGCAAACGTAATTTAACAAAGTAAAAAAATAAACAAAAATTGATTCAAATTTGAAATCAATTTGAATGATAAATATATAACATTTAGAACAAAAGTACAACATTTTCAACAAACTTGGAATGTTATTATTAGGTACAATTTCAATAATTCACTTCATTATATGATCCAACTAGACTAGAACCACAAATTATAGGCATTTAGACCTTTTTGAAGAAATTATGAATGAGTATCAATTGAAAACTAATCCTTGACTTGAACTTAAAACTTGAATTTATATAATTCTTAATCCTCTTTCTATTTTTAAAACAACTGTTGTTTTTATTTAATCTTTTTCATTAATTTTCTTTTTCCTAGATATTGTTAATATTTTTTAGTAATCATTAAAAGGTTAAAACTCCATCTGTTTATTGATATCTTGCTTTTTTTCATAATTCAAAATCTTTACATGTCAATCTGGTTAAACCAATTGTCTTTGTTGTACTTATAATCAAAATATATTATTGTCTAACTTTGAAAAACTTCCTTCTTTTGACAACTTCTGGTTTGGGATTCCTCAAACTACAAGAAAAGCAAGATTTAAATTAGTTTCCGAGTTCATCACGATGTCTTGTCGAAGTTTATTATTAGAATCCAACTCATTATTCATCTTATTTGAAGTAAAGTAATGTATTGACCTATATCAACTAAATCATTGAGCAAATAGATCTTAATCAAAAAATTTGAGAACTATTAGATATTGACCATGTATAAATAAAAGCTTTTTATTAAGTTTAACTGTTATTTAGCTTGAGAGATAGCGTTGTTCTTGAGATATAAACAAAAACATTTAGTACGAGTCTTCCATTCTGATACTTTCATCATATTTTAATCTCGATATCCATTGTGGATTTGGATTTTTTTTAAAATCAAATTATTCGATTTTACTCATAGTTAACAGAAAATTTTGAAATTTTCAATTTTAGTTCAGGTCATCTAAAAACAAATTCAGCATCTTTAATGGGGGGGGGGGGTAATATTTATAATCTGTTGTTTATTCAAAGGTTCTGGGCCTAATAAAGTATACTTTTCACTTTCATTTTTTGAAAAAATTTTGTATGGTGAAAAAGCGCCAAAAATACAACTTGAAAAACAAATATCTGAAACTACCACTTTGAAGTATGTGGGCAATATAATTCGATTCTTCTGATTTCATTTAAATAGAAATTCATCTCATGAGAATGTGTTCATAACACATATGCAAATCTGTTTAGTACGAGTCGCCCCAAAAATAGCGCGAGAATTTTGTCGCATTAAATTCATCGTATTCATAACTGCATTCTTTCTTACAAAATTCAGTGATAAATTAACTTATATACAGTCCTGTAATATTTGATCTTGAAATTTAACTTGGATACATCTTAGTCAATAATCAAGTTTTCGTATTCAAAGTAGCTTGATTGTAACCGTGGTTTTATTTAGAGTAAACTGAAGGCTAAGTGCAGTGGATGAATGTAATTTTGATGATTTTATTCTTCATTTAAAAAAAGGAGAAAAACGTTAAAATGCTAGATAGTGATCTCTTAGCACTCGTTCAGCAACTTCAAGTATAGTTGGGTTAGCTAATTAAGTTTCTAAGATTGCATATATAATGTTTTAAAATTGTCATCGCCAGTTTGAAAATTTTCCAAAAATTTCAAACCACCCCCAAAGAATTGATTTTCTATTTTGAATACCTTAACATAAAAACAATTAAGATATACTAGAATGGGAAACTAAAAATATTCATACTTTTATCATACTCGCGTTACAATTTTGATTGTGGAGTTAGATTTTTTGTAAAGTCGATTTATTCAAATTTGCCCATACTTAAGAGAAATTTTTACAATTTTTGAATTTCAAATGGAATCATCTAGAATTACGTTTGATATTTTATTTTGGGGTAGCATATATATAATCCGTTGTTTAATCGAAAGTTGTGGCTCTAATCAAAGACATATATAAGTTTTAATTTTTAGGAAAAAGTTTGTATGATGCAAAATGCCCAAAATGCCAATTCGAAAAAAAAATATGTGAATTTCAAGAATAAAAGTATGTAATCTATATAATTCAAGGTTCTTGTTTTTTTTTATAAAAATGGCTCTTAGTTCCTGAGAATTTGTTGTTCATGATATATAAAACAATTAGCTCCGCCCTGAACGTATAGCGATAAAAATATTTTGTTGGCACTAAATTTGGGCGAGAATTGCAAATTCTCAAAATTAACTTTGCATTCCTTTAGGCGGTATTAATTAAGGGGGTAGAGAGAGTATAATGGTATTTAATTCATGAAACTTAGGCTCAAATTGTGAAACAAGTACTATCAAAATACTGAAAGCACTAAAAATTTGTTACAATTCAGATATTTTTTTTGGTTTCACTATTGTTACCATCAGAATTCCTACACCACTTAAGATAGAAAGAGTAATAATATTCAACTATTTATCTACCAAACTGTAACTAAGATCAATCATTGAGCCAGTCGTATTATTTACTTGAGCATTTAGACTACTGTTGAAAGTTCGTCAATTTTATTACTCATTGATTTTGACGTTTTCATAATCTCTCATCTTGAAATATTGAAGCTTTCTCTTCAAAAGTTGGTGCTCTGGTTCGTTTATTATACAATGGTGGAAGTGGTTCTTTATCCATTCTTAAAATATGTCTTTGTAAACCATTAATTAGATTCCTAGCCTGATATTTTGCATGTTTGACACATGAAACACTAAAAACATCATCCAATTCTTCCAAAGATAATCCTTTTGTTTCTGGTAAAAATAATAAAACAAGCATAAACCCAACAAGGTTCCAAATTGCGTAATAAATGAAACTCCAAAATGTACCAAAAGTATTCAACATATTTGGAAAAGTAAAGGCCAATATAAAATTAAAAAACCAGCATGTTGAAGTAGCTAAACTCATACCTATATCTCTGATATAAAGTGGGAAACATTCAGCAGAATATGTAAATGGAACTGGACCTTCCCCTGATGAATAAACTGCTGAAAATAAATAAATTCCAACTATAACCATTGTTAATCTACTTTGCAAATCTTCAACTAAGAAACCACAACCAGTAAGAATCAAAAATATTGACATTATGGGAAAAGTGATTAGCAATAATACTCTCCTACCAAACTTATCAATAGTGAAAAAAGCTGGTATAGCAAATGTGAAATTAATCATCCCAAAACCCCAAGAAGCCAACAATGCTGAAATTTCTGAAAAATCGGCTTGGATAAATATAGTTGACGAATAATAAGCTATAACGTTAATTCCACAAAATTGTTGCATAAACATTACAATCCAAGCTCCTAATGCTGCATTTCTATTTCTTCTGATTGCAAACATTTCATAAACTCTTTTGTAAGTTGGTATCTTGTAAGTACCTTCTTGACTTAATAAGTAATATTGATAAAAACAATCTCTTGCCGCTGCAATATCATGTTTTCTTAATAATTGTAAGCTCTTAAATGCTTCTTGGTGTCTACCTTTACCCATTAACCATCTTGGAGATTCAGGTACGAATGGTACTTGAAATAAAACGATAAATGCTGGTATAGCTGCACTAGCTAGCATCAAACGCCAATTTAAACCAGGAATACCATGATCTGGAACTCGATAAAAAGCCAAAGATGCAACATAACCAAACATAATTCCAACTGCTGTAAAAAATTGCCATAACATAACTAAAGCTCCTCTTATATGTTTAGGAGCACATTCAGCTGAATACGCTGGGACAGTAGCAGATTTGATACCAACCTAGTACTGTTAGTGTGATTTGTTAATAGTGGTGCAAGTATCAAAATGTTGGTAAATTTTTGAAATTTTTGCAACCAAAAAATTTATCCACAACAATCATCAACAAACACTCTTTTGATTCTTCTTTACATACCCCGAAACCGAGAAAAAATCTCAGAATAAAGAGGTGCCACCAATGATTAGATACAACACCTTGCCATATGCAAGTGACAGCAGAAATCACACAAGTCCAGAAAATGACCCATCGACGACCTCCAAAATTTCGATTGCAAAAATCATTTAAGAAGCAAGCTATTGTTGATGCTGCTAGGTATGGAGCACCATTAATAAGTCCTTCTAAAATATCCCCATCTGGTCTTTCGGTAAGTCCAAGCGTTGTTGGATAAAAAAGTGTCAGGCCATTAATAACTGAAATGTTAGTATCGAATTTGAGTGTAAATTAGCCATCTCTACATACCTGTTTGATCCATTCCTTGCACCGCTGCACTGACACTGCCTAGTGCAACGACTTCTAAAAGTTTCCTTGATAAGTACCACTTTTTCGTAGCTTCAATATGTAAAGAATCTTTTTCTTCCTCTGTTAAAAAATCCATATTTTGAAACAGCAAAGGAGATCTAGCAACTGCAGCTCCTTTAGCTAATAATTCTTCGTCTAAATTATGTTCTCTAGCATATTCTCTAGCCAATTCCATCACTTCTTCTTCTGTATATTTCCCTAAGGCATTTTCGTATTCAGCTTCATGATCTGTAATTGAAAGTGAATCTTTTTTGGAGTCTAATGATGTTGAACGTGACATCTTTGATCAAAAATTAAAAGATAACCATTGTCTATTTATACAAAATATTATACAAAGCTTACTCCACATCGGAGAAGATCTTCTTTACAATGGAATTGTGTTTCTCAAACGTTTAAAGTTTTTATGGCATTCTGTAACTTTTGCCTTGGCTATTTTATAAGAGCATTACTTCTTTTAGAGTGTATAAATTAATTGATAAAATCATAAAATCTTGTTGCAACAATGAAAGTTGCTACCAAGAAAAATAAACAAGAATTTGCAACCAATAGATCCCCCACTTGGAAATTTAAATTTAGAATAGACAAACAGAATTATAAGCTTTATGACAAGTTGACATAGCAAATAGCCTCACGAATTGATAAAGGTTGAAATTCGGAAGAATTCAATAAAAAATCTTGGTATATTCATGTCATCTGTTCAAAGAAAGAAACCATTGTTTTGAGTTATCAATTAGTTATCATTTAACAGTTTAAAATTCTTGATTAAAACTAAAACAACACATTTATTAAAACTAAAACAACACATTTAAAAAGTAATAGACTTGAGAACTTCGCTTAATTCCATATGGACCAGTTATCTTAGGTCGTGTAAATTCCCATGACTCAATACCAAATGAGGTAACTAATTTTTTAACCGCGCTCAACTATTAAAAATTTTCATCAATCATGTCTCAACCAAGTGAAAGTAAATTATGGGGTGGTAGATTCACTGGAGCCACCGATCCATTAATGGATTTATACAATGCATCTTTACCATATGATAAAATCATGTATGATGCTGATTTAACTGGTACTAAAGTTTACACTGAAGGTTTGAATAAATTAGGTTTAATTAATAAAGAGGAATTAACCGAAATCCATAAAGGCTTGGAAATAATTAGAAATGAATGGAAAGAAGACAAATTTGTTGAAAAGCCAGGTGATGAGGATATTCATACAGCCAATGAAAGAAGATTAGGTGAACTTATTGGAAAACATATTGCTGGTAAAGTTCATACAGGTAGATCTAGAAATGATCAAGTTGCAACAGATATGAGAATATTTGTTCGTGAAAGATTAATAGATTTACTTGAGAAGTTGAACACATTTATTGAAACTATATTAAAACGTGGTGAATTGGAAATTGATGTTTTAATGCCAGGTTATACACATTTACAAAGAGCTCAACCGATTAGATGGTCACATTGGTTAAGTTCGTATGCAACTTACTTTACTGAAGATTACAAAAGATTACAACAAATCATTACCAGAGTTAATCAATCACCATTGGGTTGTGGTGCATTAGCTGGCCATCCATATGGAATAGACAGAGAATTTTTAGCAAAAGGATTAGGTTTTGATGGTGTTATTGGTAATTCATTGACAGCAGTTAGTGATAGAGATTTTGTTGCTGAAACTTTATTTTGGAGTACATTATTTATGAATCATATATCAAGATTCAGTGAAGACTTAATTATATATTCAACAGCTGAATTTAATTTCATAAAATTGGCAGACGCATACTCAACTGGATCATCATTAATGCCACAAAAGAAGAATCCGGACTCTTTGGAATTATTAAGAGGTAAAAGTGGTAGAGTATTTGGAGGTTTAGCAGGGTTTTTAATGTCGATCAAATCAATACCTTCAACGTATAATAAAGATATGCAAGAAGATAAAGAACCTTTATTTGATGCATTGACTACAGTTGAACATTCAATCTTAATTGCAACTGGTGTTGTTTCAACATTGAAGATTAATAAAGAAGCAATGGAAAATGCATTAACAATGGATATGTTGGCTACAGACTTAGCAGATTATTTAGTTAGAAAAGGTGTACCTTTCAGAGAAACACATCATATTTCTGGAGAATGTGTTAGTAAAGCTGAGAAACTAAATTTATCTGGTATCGATAAATTATCATTTGAACAGTTACAAGAAATAGACAATAGATTTGATAAAGATGTTATGCACGTATTTGATTTTGAAGTTAGTGTTGAAAGAAGAGATGCAACTGGGGGTACTGCAAAATCAGCTGTATTAAAACAATTACAAAATTTAAATCAACAATTAAAGTAAATTTTATATTTTAATTTATTTAATGTTCATTTTTCAATATTTCTCTAGTCTATTTTAAGGTGTAATATGTATAATTCGTTGTTTTATAGAATGTTATGGCCCTAGTATAAAGGTACCCTCTAACAATTTTTGCATATTTTCAAAAAGATCAGACGTCAAATATTCCAATTCCAATGAGCAAATGAATTTTTGAAATCTCAAACTTCTAATAAGTAGAGTACATAATTCACTGTTCCTTATTTTATTAGTAGTTATGTCGACAAAATACGTGTTATATTTAGCACGAGGACGCCTCGGAGCTAGCGCGAGAAACTACATTATCGCGCTAAATTATCGCCATTATTACGCCAAATTATCGCCTTGAATGATGCATATTTTTTGGCCCCAAAAATAAAAAATAGAAAATATAGATGGTGGTCACACGACTAAAATTCTGAAACATTAATTTAGACGAAAACGCGATTCAATAATTTAATTAATTCAATTATGAATCACAATTTATTAATTCAATTAGTAGACAAATTAAATCAGCCTTCATCATGTAATATTCCAGTAAATGAGTTTATTAGAATCTATAATGCTATTATTCCTTATTTAAACGAGAATTTACGATCAATTGATTTAGTATCGCCAATTATAAAACATAATGAATTTAGTTTAATTAATTATCAGTTGGTCGGTATTTTATCAAAAGTATGTTGGCAGTATATTAATTATCATGCGAGAATGTTATTCAATTTTTTACCAATTTTCAATCAGTTTACATTTGATGAAAATGCAAAATTAAATTATACCGAGTTGTATTTTATCATGAATGCAGTTGAAGATGATATATACGTTCATTCAAATTTTTTAGGCCAATTAAATAACTTTTTAATTATGGTTCAATATATTGAAAAAAATTGGCACGGTGATTATAATGATCTACAAAAATTACTTGATATTTCAAATGATGAAGTTTATAAAGTATGGTTAAAAAAATTCATTGATCCAGCTATTGCAACTTCCATTTTCAATCTGGAATCAAATTCAATGACTCAAAGCCTTATTAAAATATTTGATAATGAAGATCGATTAACATTGGCTGACTCTTTGAAATTTATCTTACAAGTTTTGGACCACGGAGAAAACAAATTAAACCATTTGGTTGGTAATAAGTTGATGAATGCACTTGTCGTCATCTCAAAAGTAACAAAGAATGATGTGTATTCAACTTATAACATACTAAATTCAAAATTGTCCTTAGTCATCACTTTTAGTTACTTGAATTATTTAATAAGCTTAAATATAATGAAGGATTTTGATGACACATTACCACTTTCTATAATTAATCAATTTAAAGTTTTCAATTTACCACCAATTTCAAAATCAATTGAATTTCTTGAAGATTCGGATAATGATAACTTGATTATATGTCAGCATATGGTTCTTAAATTAATTATGGAAATATCTGAGTATGAAAGCAGAATGATTGAAAGTGAAAAAGTCCTATTTCCATTTTTAGAAATGTTATTTACATCGTTGTTATCATCATTGATTGTCACCACAAAGTTTGATCGAGTTCTGAAATATCAAACTGATTTAATTTATAAAATCTTCTACAAGTTATTAAAATTTAATTCCACTAAAATTTGGATTATTTTGATCAACACAATAAATGATATTTGCTATAATGATTTGAGATATATCCAAGTTTTTATTAGCCTTTTTGAATTTCAAATGAAACAAGATCATAATTTCAATGAGATGATTAATTCTGGTTTATCATTCTTTATTGAAACTTTTCAACCTAATCATATATGGGGTTATGAATATAAAGAAGAAGAAAATGCTGATATTTGTATAAAAGATTATAAATTTATATACGAAATAAAATAAATTGGTAGCTCGTATTAATTTTTTTTTATATCTCATCTAATAATGGTTTTAAAATCTACATCTTCAGGCAATATTTCAATATATCAAGTCTCAGGTGCTAATGTATCTAGATCATTACCTGATTGGATAGCTAAAAAGAGAAAAAGGGATTTGAAACATGATTTAGAATATCAAAATAGAATAGAACTAATACAAGATTTTGAATTTAGCGAGGCATCGAATAAAATTAAAGTCACTAAAGATGGACAATATTGTTTGGCAACAGGTACTTATAAACCTCAAATACATGTATATGACTTTGCAAATTTATCCTTGAAATTCGAAAGGCATACAGATTGTGAAAATATTGACTTTATTATTCTATCAAACGACTGGACTAAATCAATTCATTTACAAAATGATAGAAGCATTGAATTTCAAACAAAAGGTGGAATTTATTTTAAAACAAGAATACCCAAATTTGGTAGATCATTATCTTATAATCCGATAAACTGTGACTTATACGTAGGAAGTTCAGGAAATGAATTATACAGATTAAATTTGGAGCAGGGTAGGTTTTTGAATCCTTTTCAATTAGATACTGACTTAGGTGTTAACTCAGTTGATATAAATCCTGTCCATGGTTTGATAAGTTGTGGATTAGAAGATGGTACAGTTGAATTTTGGGATCCAAGATCAAAACAAATAGCTGGTAAATTGGATATGCAAGATCAAGTAACGTGTGTTAAGTTTAGAAATGATGGTTTAAATTTTGCATGCGGGACAAGTTCAGGTAAAACTTTATTATACGATCTACGTGCTTCTGAACCGTCAATTGTTAAAGATCAAGGATATGGATTTGAAATTAAAAATATAAGTTGGCTAGAAGAATCATTACACCCTGAAACTATTTTAACTGGAGATAAAAGAATAGCTAAAATATGGAATAAAGATACTGGAAAACCATTTGCTTCAATGGAACCAACTGTTGATATAAATGATATTTGTCATGTTCCAAATTCTGGTATGTTTTTCTTAGCAAATGAAGGTATACCAATGCATACATATTATATACCTAATTTAGGACCAGCTCCACAATGGTGTTCATTCTTGGATAATGTTACAGAAGAATTGGAGGAAAAACCTTCAGATTCAATATACTCAAATTATAAATTTATAACAAGAGATGAAGTTTTAAAATTAAATTTGACTCATTTAATTGGTTCAAAAGTTTTAAGATCTTATATGCATGGTTTTTTTATAGATACGGAATTATATGACAAGGTGCAACTTATATCCAATCCAAATTCTTTGAAGGATCAAAGAGAAAGAGAAATTAAAAAGAAAATTGAAAAAGAAAGAGAATCAAGAATCAGATCAACTGGTGCTATCACAAATACAAAAATCAAAGTCAATAAAGATTTGGCGGAAAGAATACAAGAAAAAGTTGGTAATAATGTGGCTGAGTCTGTTATTAATGATGATAGATTTAAAGAAATGTTTGAAAATCCAGATTTCCAAGTTGATGAAGAATCTCATGAATATAAACAATTAAATCCTGTTAAAGCTCCAGGTAAGGATATAACAAAAACAAGAGGCTTAACTGCGGTTGAATCTGAAGAAGAAATGTCAATTAATGAAGATGAAGAGGATGAAGAAGAGGAAGAAGATAGTGATAACGAAGAAGACGACCAATTAAAAGCCGCAAATAGAGAAAAAGTCGAGAAGGAATTGGCTAAAATAAGAAGAAAAAAGGAAGAAGCTAAACGATTCAGAAATGAAATGAAAATTTTGTCATCTGAAAGTGGACCAAAACAGCCTTCCACTTCAAAAGAATCATTTGAATCACAATTAAACAAAGTGAATAAAGTTACAAAACCTCATAATGATGATTCAAGGTTACGAAGACATGCTCGTGGAGAAGCAGAACTTACATTTGTTCCGAAAAAGGAAAAGAAGTTTAATAAAAAGAAAATTAACAATGAGGATGATGATGAAAATGGTAATAAAAATAATGGTAGAACGAAACAAAGATTTGAGGGTAGAAGATTGGCTTCTATAAACAAATTTAGGGGTATGTAATAATTTTAATAGAATGGTATAATATTTATCCTAAATTGTAGTTCTTCGACTTACAGTCGCTCTAAAATGGCGCGAGTGAAATGTTTTTGTGGATCCAGCCTAGTACGAGTGCGGAATGAAAATCGTGGAATGAGATGAAAAGTGACTTATAGTTTGATTTTATTTATTAACTTTTCTTTATTTAAATCTATGGTTTACATCTACCTGAAAATCTTGGATATAATGAACAATCTCGAACTGTGAAACGATCACAAAGCCATGCTAAAATTCTTTCGGTACCAAGACCATATCCTCCATGAGGACATGATCCATATACTCTTTGTTGAATAAACCAATAATAAGCGTCTTTGTCCAATCCTTCTCTAGTAAAACCAGCGAGTAATTCATCCAAATCGTATGATCTCATTGAACCACCTGTGACTTCCCCAACGTTTGGCATCAATACATCTACTGACTCAGTGACCCTTTCATCATCTTCACATTTTTTCATATAAAATGATTTTATTTCAACCGGGAATCTAATTAATAAAATTGGTTCATTAATTGTATCAGTCATTTTTCTTTCGGCAGCTTCAGCTATATCATCACCAAATTTAAATTTTTCACCATCTTCATTCAAAATACCATGTTCATTTAACCAATCTAAAGCATGGATATATTCCATTCTTTTAAAAGGCATTTTTGGAGCAACGAAATTTGGATTTAATTGTTTAATTAATGGACCCGCAACTTTATCTGCTAAAACATATTGAATTGTTTTTGTTAACAATCTTTCTAAATGTGATAATAAATCATCAAATGTTAAAAATGCCAATTCTGATTCAATGTGAGTATATTCACTTAAATGACGTCTAGTATGACTTTTTTCAGCTCTAAAACTTTCTTGAATACAATAAACATCACCTAAAGCTGGTAAACATGTTTCTAAATATAATTGAGAAGATTGTGTTAAATAAGCTTCTTCACCATAATAATCCATTTTAAATAATGTAGAACCACCTTCAACTTGAGTTTGAACCATACATGGAGGTGTAACTTCAGTTAAACCTTCTTCATCAAAAAATCTTCTAATTGATTTTAAAAATGCAGCTCTAACTTTCATAACAGCAGATAAAGTTTCACCTCTTAAAGTTAAATGACGATTATCTAATAATAATGATGGATCAGCACCTTCTTGGACTTTATTTGTAAAAGCATCTTCACCACCTGGAGCTAAACCGACAATTTCATAATAATCAACTTTTAATTCAACACCATTTGGAGCAGATTTACCTTCTGGTAATTTATTAATTTGACCTTTGATTATTAATGTAGATTCTAATGTTAATTCTTGAGTTTGTTTTGCTTTAGCTAAATCTCCAGTAACGACACATTGAATAAAACCACTACCATCTCTTAAAGTAATAAATCCTAAACTTTTTTGAATTCTTAATCTATGAATCCAACCACAAATTTGAACTCTTTGATCAATATTTTCTTGAATTTTATCAAGTTTAATCTTATTGGCCGCAGGTAAAGAAGTATCTTCAGTAATTTTTAAATCTTCAAATTTTGATTCAACTTTGGCAATTGTAGTTTTAGCCTTTTCAGCTTTTTTTTTTAACCCTTCAACACCTTTTTTAGCCTTTTTTAAACCAGAGGCAGAAATTTCAACATAATCATTTTCTTCATCTTTATAAATTAATATTTTTGCATCCAATTGACCAGTAGAAAATAAAGCAAATGGACTGGTTGCAAAAGGGTCATCTTTAGTACCCGTAGTTGTAACAATATCCTTACCTAATTTCTCATTAACATATAACATTGTCATATTATACTACTTTATATTAACGTATTAATTGAGTCAGAATCAAGATCAATGTATAATAAAAATTTTTCAATTATATGCAGAACCAAAATAAATTTATTTAACGAGATTGAAATTTTTAATTATATTTACAACCAAATACAAGAAGAAGAAGAAGAAGAAGAAGAAGAAGACGAGCCATGGCATTAGAACAATCATTAGCTAGTTTATCGTTGGCTATCACTTCTGATAGTAATGCTTTAGATACTAAAACTTTAATTTTCAAACCAAAAACTGGTAAAACTGCTACTCCAATTCCAATTTTATTATTTGCTTTACACCAAACTTCAACACCATCAAATTTAATTGCGAAAATTGCAAATGTTAAAGAACCAAGATTAGCGAAAGATGATTTAATACAAGATTTCTTTAAAACAACGTCCAAAGAAATTTCAATTGCAAATATATCAAATGATTTAAAAGATAAAATAAAAATTTTATTAGATTTAAATGTTATAAAAGCTGCAAATGAAAATAAAAATTTAAAATTATCAACTCAGTCATCAGTTGCTGTATTATCAGCCAAATCAATTGTTGACTATTTAAAATCGCTTGAAATTGAATTAATTGAAGTTGATTTTAATGATCAATCAGAAATTTCTCAACAAGCCGAAAAATCTGAAAAATCTGAAAAACAAGAAAAAGTTAAAGAATCAGCTAAATTAGATGATGCTAAATTAATAGGTATAACGGTTGATAAAGAAAAAGATTTTTCAACTTGGTATACTCAAGTTGTTACAAAAGGTGAAATGTTGGATTATTACGATGTTTCAGGTTGTTATATTCTTAGACCAAATTCTTATTTAGTTTGGGAAACAATTCAAGATTGGTTTAATACTAGAATTAAAAAATTGGGTGTTAAAAATGCTTATTTCCCAATGTTTGTTTCTCAAAGAGTTTTAGAAAAAGAAAAAGATCATATTGAAGGTTTTGCTCCTGAAGTTGCATGGGTTACAAGAGCTGGTAATTCAGAATTGGATGAACATATTGCTATTAGACCAACATCAGAAACTGTCATGTATCCATATTATGCTAAGTGGATTAGATCTCATAGAGATTTACCTTTAAAATTAAATCAATGGAATTCAGTTGTTAGATGGGAATTTAAACATCCACAACCATTCTTAAGAACAAGAGAATTCTTATGGCAAGAAGGTCATACTGCTCATTTAACTAAAGAAGCAGCAGAAGAAGAAGTTTTACAAATTTTAGATTTTTATGCTGGTGTTTATGAAGAATTATTAGCTGTTCCTGTTGTTAAAGGTAAAAAAACCGAAAATGAAAAATTTGCAGGTGGTGATTGGACAAGTACTGTTGAAGGTTTTATAGCCTCTACTGGTAGAGGTATTCAAGGTGGTACATCACATCATTTAGGTCAAAATTTTTCAAAAATGTTTAATATCTCAGTTGAAAATCCAAATGGTAGCGATGATAGAATTTTTGCTTACCAAAATTCATGGGGTTTATCTACAAGAGTAATTGGTGTCATGATTATGACTCATTCTGATAACAAAGGTTTAGTTTTACCTCCAAGAGTTGCACAATATCAATGTGTTATAATTCCAGTTGGTGTAACTTCAAAAACTAGTGATGATGATAGAGAAAAAATTAAGAATGGTGTTTTAGATATCGAACATAAATTGGAAAAATTGGGTGTTAGAGTTACAAGTGATTTAAGAGATACTTATAATCCAGGTTGGAAATTCGCTGATTGGGAATTAAAAGGTGTTCCATTTAGAATAGAATTTGGTCCAAAGGATTTAGCAAGTCAACAAGTTACAGTTGTTAGAAGAAATGACAATAAGAAATATACTGTTGGATTATCACAATTGGATGAAATTCCAAAATTATTAGATATAATGCATGATGATTTATATAGAAAAGCTAAAAAAGATTTTGATGATCATAGAGTCTTGGTTGAAGAATGGAAAGATTTTGTTCCAACATTAAATAAAAAGAATGTTATTTTATCACCATGGTGTGGTTCTAATGAATGTGAAGATGATATTAAAGATTCATCAGCTAAAAAAGATGATGGTGAAGATGAAGAAGAAGATGAAAAAGCTCCATCAATGGGTGCTAAATCTTTATGTATTCCATTTGAACAACCAGATTTGAAAGAAGGTCAAAAATGTGTCAAATGTGGTGAGAAGGCAGTTACTTATTGTATGTTTGGTAGATCTTACTAGATATTATATATATTATGAATTCTTAATTCTTCTATGTATTTGTAGACTTTATCATAGTTTAAACCAATTTGTTTAATTGAGTGAGCATCATCTGATAAGCAGAATTTACCATTAAGTTGATTAATAGCTTCTGCTATATCGCTTTTAGGATAAGGCGTTGACCAACCTTTCCTAATAGCTGATGAATTTAATTCGAAAAAACCGTCATAATCAATAACTAATTTTATATTTTGTATAATAATTTCCCATACTTCTGGCCAGGTCTTTAAATCAACATCTTCATCTTGAAATAATCTAATTAAATCAAAATGTCCAATAACTTTTGGTTTTAATTCAATGATTAACTGTTGTTGTAATTTAAAGTATTCTTTAAATAGTAATCTTTGAGAACCTAACGAATCTCTCGCTTTATTCCATGATTCTTTATCAAAATCGATTGGTATTTCTTTAACAAAATGTATTGAACCAATCATTAATTCAAATTTTGAGGCCAATTCTTTTGCAAATTGTATATGTTCTTTATTTATTGCTTCAACTTCAAATCCAATAACAATTCTCATCTTTCCTTCATATTTCTTTTGTAGTTCCTTAGCATGATTCAAGTAATTTTCAAAATCCTGGTTCAAATTGGTTATAGTATATGATTTCTCAATTTCTTCTGGATATAAAAATCTATTATTTAATCGAGGCATATGTTCAGTTAAACAAACTAATTTAAACCCTTTTTGATAATAAGTATCAACCATCAACTCCAATGAATCATCAGCATGACTAATATAATTTGAATGTGAATGATGAGTATACATTCAATAATTTCATGGATGCGAAAAATTTCACTATATATGATTCGTAAATTATCAACATTATCACCAACTATAAATCAACAATTAAAATTACAAAATCGTATATTAGAAACTAAAGGTTTTATAAAATCAATTAGGAATTCTAAAAAAATAGGTTTTATTGATATTTCAGATGGTTCATCTCCCAAAAATTTAAATATTATATTGAAAGGTAATTATCCAAAAAATTTTCAAATTGGTCAAACTGTTTCATTTAAAGGAGATTGGGTTAAATCTGGAAAAAGTCAAGAATATGAATTACATTTTGATATTGACAATCCAAATCATCAATTTAACATTATTGGTGATATACCAGAAGATTATCCATTACAAAAGAAATCAACAACTATGCAATTTTTAAGAACGTTACCAGTGCTAAGAAATAGAACATCTACTATGTCATCAATGTTAAGATTAAGATCATTAGTTGAGTTTAAATTGATGGAGTTTTTCAATTCAGAAGATGTTTTTAAAGTGACCCCTCCAATTTTAACAAGTTCTGATTGTGAAGGTGCTGGTGAAATTTTCAAAATTCAGGATAGTTTAAAGTTTTTTGAAAAAGATTCTTATTTAACTGTGTCTACTCAGTTACATTTAGAAGTTTTATCAAGTGCATTAAATAGAGTATGGACTTTAACACCATGTTTTAGAGCCGAGAAGTCAAATACTTCACGTCATCTTAGTGAGTTTTGGATGTTGGAGGTGGAATTGGGTTATCTAAATGAATTGGAACCTTTACTAAAGTTTACTGAAAGAATGATTCATTATATTGTGACGAGTTTACAAACTTCAAATTACATTGAAGGGACATATATATCAAAAGAGTTGATTGAGTCAAGATGGAATATACTACTACAAGAATATCAAATAATGACTTATACAGATGCTATAACTCAGCTACAATCTCAAGGAGAAGTGGTTGAATGGGGTGATTCATTACAATTAAAACATGAAAAAATGTTAGCTTCAAATGGTCCCGTATTTATCACCAATTATCCAGCTGTAACAAAACCTTTTTACATGAAAGCATATAATGCAAAGACAGTTGAATGCTTTGATTTACTACTTCCAGATTTAGGTGAGTTGGTAGGTGGATCTTTGAGAGAGCATGATTATGATAAGCTACTTCAAAATATGAAGGATAAAAACTTGAATAATCATAATTTGGATTGGTATTTGAGTCTAAGGAAGAATGGAACAATGCCACATGGTGGTTTTGGGCTTGGATTTGAAAGGTTAATTGGATATATTGCTGGTTTAGATAATATCAAAGATGTTGTTCCATTTCCAAGATCAGCCGGTAGTTGCAATTGCTAATGTAAATAAATAACTGTAAATAGATAAAATAGACAAATTAGAATACTTAGCGTTGCAAAGATATTATTTATTGAAGGGATGATATTGGTCATTCTTAAGATTAGCTATCGCAAGATTGTATATACGCGAAATTGTTTATGTATTTTTCAATGCTAAAAATTTGGTGCGACTAAATACACATATTTCTCGCGCTAGCTTAAGGGCGACTCGTACTAATATCATTGGCTTATATATTCTGAACAACTCATTCTCTCAAATTAATAACCAATTTATGAAATCAAGAGCTACTATTTGTGTATCCACATAGTTCAAAACCTTGATCTCAAACATTTTTTTTCAGTTGTCATTTTGGCCCTTTTTCACAACACAAGAATTTTTTAAAATATGTAAATCTGTGTATCTTTTTAACTAGGTCCATAACTCTTAATTAAACAACGATATATATATTACTCTATCAAAAAAGGTACTTGGCTTGTTTCTGTTTGATTTCATCTAAAATTCAAAAATTGCAAAAACTTTTCATAAATATGGGAATATTGAATAAATCGACTTTACAAAAAAGCTAACAACACAATCAAAATCATGACGACAGTATAATAAAAGTATCAATATTTCTAGTTTCCCATTTTGGTATGTCCTGATTTTTTTCTTTGTTGAGGGATTTAAAATAGAAAATCAATATTTTAGAAGTTGGTTTGAAGATTTTCATGCTTATCATTATAACCAGATTGTTAACTTAAATGCTATAGAACATTTATTTGGTGAAAGTAAATTTAATGATTCAGAATTGATTAAACTTGCTCAAAAACGTATCATTAAGCAAGGAACAGATTCAGACAAATTAACCAAAGGTGATTATCATCATCATGATAAAAATATTTTAAAAGCATACAAAACCTGGAAATCGTTTGGTTATGATGTTGTTTTAATAATAATGAGTTTATTATGAAATGGTATTGAAAATGAGTCGGTTGATAGATTAGTTGCAAGTTACAAAGCACCTTCTAATAAAGAGATTGAAGATGAAGGTACTAATTATGTTGATGTTGATGGTAAAAATCATTTAGTTAAGTGGAAGCTATTAAATTGTGTAATGAAAATTTCGAAAATGCAATTGAATCATTTTTAGGACATGCAAAACAAGATATCGTGGAAGGCAGAGTTAGTAACCAATTCGAATTACAGCTTAATGAAGAAAGATGGACAGCTAGTGTTGAGTTAAAATTATCGCACACAATTACTGATAAAATTAATGAAATCAATGATGAAAAATTGATTGAATACTAAATCTAATATAGTTGTTTTATATCGTTTGAAAGATGTTTACAGTATTCATAAATTAATTTTTGAACATTGTTTTGTAGGCGTATATATATATTTTAGTTAAATTTTTCATCAGAACTATCACAATAATTAAAATACTGAGCTTGAATAACCATGATCTTGAGACTTTTCTCTACTACTATACTTAATTTTTTAGTTCAGTCTCAGTTATGGTATAGTGAGAAAATTAGGTGGCAAAATGCACGATAGCCGCCAAAGAATTTTTTTTTCGAACGGCTGAGGATAAAAAGAAATTCCATTGCTGCAAAAGACATATTTACATGTGTTTCATGAAATGACAAGGTGTCCTTTACTTCTAGAGTATAAATTAAGTTTATTTTACCACCTTTCTTTTAAATCAATTTAGTTATCCATCTTTTTTCTACTTATAATGTTCTTTAGAATTTCTTCTCTGACTATTTCACCAAGTCAAATTGTAATTGATGGTGTAAATTACACTAGATCAAATAATAACGAAAATTTTGTTATTAGAGAATTATCTAAAGGTATAGCATTTGAATCTGAATTAACGAATTTGAAATTAGATGTACGTGCAAAACATTTTAATCAAATTGTTAATTTAGATGCTGTTGAACATTTATATAAAAAAAGATCTGAAAAACTGAATATTTCAAAGAAAAGAAGATTGAATGATGATATTTTAATTGATTATGCACAAAAACATATTGTAAAAAAGCGTAAGGTTCAAAATATTAGTGAAAATGATTATTATCATCTGGAAACTAATCTATTCAATGCAATTAAGTACCAGCAAATCAACTTACCTGATTTAGCATGTGTGGCATTAAGTTTCATTTTGAAAGCATCATATACATCTTCTATTCATAATTTTGTGTCACTTTTCCAGATTGGAAATTCAAAAACAAGTGACGTGGGTTATAACTACCTTGATATAAATAATGCTACATATTTAGTTGGTTGGGAATTAAATAATTGTCCAAATGGTAAGGTGAAAGCTGCAGTTGATAGAATTATGGAACAATCTAGAGTAGAAGTTGAAGAACTAAAAATGATTTGTTTTAAAGTTGAACATGATGGATGGTACGCAAATGTAAAAATGGTGTTATGGGAAAATGACCAACCATCAATCGATGGTCCAAAAGTAAATGAAATAATTGATTTAACTAAATAAGTTGTTTATAATATAAATAGTTGCAAAATATTACATAATTGTCGTGAAACCACTTTTTCTGACATGACACTGAAATGCAGCAAATCAACAAAAAAATTATATAAAAAATTTTCATTTACTTAATAGGTTGACAGCTTCATTAAATTATAAAATCTATAGTAAAAAATGGATCAATTAAACGTCAAAGAGCAACAAGAATTTCAACAAATTGTTGAACAAAAGCAAATGAAAGATTTCATGAACTTGTATTCAAATTTAGTATCAAGATGTTTTGATGATTGTGTTAATGATTTTACATCAAATAATTTAACAAGTAAAGAATCCGCATGTATTGCTAAATGCTCAGAGAAGTTTTTGAAACATAGTGAAAGAGTCGGTCAAAGATTTCAAGAACAAAAGTATGTAAATTGTTAATTTTCGAAAATTTAGATTTGAATTACTAACAAATTAAGTGCTTTATTAATGCAACAAGGTCAAAGATAAACTCAATAACTAGATGTAATGAACTTCAGTTTAAACCATTCCAAAATGGTTGATTTATGTTAGAAATTTGTATATATAATTGTATTTATTATTAAATATACCTCCCTTTAATTAGTGGTCAAATAGAGATCGTTTGCCTCTTCAATTACTACACTAATGGAATAAAACTTCTCTTAAAACTTCGATATTCAAACATTTTTCGTAGTAAAATTGTAGATAATTTGCAGCGTTTGTTCCAATATCCATATTTTCAAACGAGGAAAATCGAAATTTATTTTTATCAAACCTTCATGTCTGAAGTTAAAATTAATCCAGATTTGCTGATAATACTAGTGGGATCAGTCATAAATAAAAGTATAAGTGAATATAAAGGTCCTTATAGAGACTGTAAAGCTTTATTACCCGCTGATGAATTTATTAAAACTTTAAATGACATAACATTAGAATATACTCAAAAGTTTCCAAATAATGATATAAACTTCCCACCAATTGATATCAAATTATTATCGTTCATCATCAAAAAAACATTGTTTTTTAAATTTGTTAACGTAACTAATGATTATGTTATTGTCGAAATTTTACCAAATGGTTATGAAAATATATTGAAGAATATCGTAGCTACATCAACCTTGAGGTATGCAAAGTTTTTATTACATGCAGCCAAAGAATTTTATAAAAACAGAAAAGAAACAGAATTGGAACCTGTACTCACAAAGGAAGTACCTGAGGAATCAAAAGAGGAAGTTATAGTAGAAAAAGTACCAGAATTGCAGAAAATAGAAGAACCGATGGAAGCTCAAGAAGAAACTAAAGTTGTTGAGCAAGAAAAACAAAGTGAATCAGAAACAAAAGAGCCCAAAGAAATGGTGGAGGGAAAACCTGAATCTGGACATGCACAAGAAGAAATCGAAGAAGAAGAATCGCCCGAATTAGAAGTGGATTCGACACCTAAAGAAATTGAAGAGGAACGAAAAGAAGAAGAGGTTAAAAAAGATGTTGACCTAAAAGAGAAGATAGAGGAAGCTGAGTCTAAGCAATTAAATGAAAATGATAAGGAAGAAGTACAAAATGTTGAAGAAAAAGAAGAATTGGAAGTAGAACCAGACCAGCCTAAAGTTTCACCAATACCGGAAGCATCACCACAACCAGAACAATTTTCTAGTCCTGAAGAATCTACAACACCCAAAGACACTAGAAAACGATCAAAATCACCAGCACCATTTCAAAAACATAAAAGATTTCAAAATATTGCAGTCAATTTGTTAAATACAATTTCTGAACATAGATTTTCATCACCTTTCTTACAAGCTGTAAACAAAAGAGATGCTCCATATTATTGTGATGTAATATTACAACCAAAAGATTTAAAAACTATAACGAAAGCAGTAAAATCAAAGACTGACCATCCACAATATACAAAAATTAAACAATTGGAAAAAGATTTAATGTTGATGTTTGCAAATTGTGTAATGTATAATAGAAGTGATGATGAATTAGTTAAATTGACAAGATCAATGAAGAATGAAATTAATGAAATATTTAAGATGTTTAAAGAAGCTGAACAGGAAATTAAATAGAGTTTATATTAATTTAAGAATGCGCTACCAGTTGTTTTTTTTTTTTTTTTTTTTTTTTTTTTTTTTTTTTTTAAAAAATAAAATTTTTTTATATAAATTATTGCAAAATACTTACAAGATTCTTTATCTCAATCGTTTCACTAATCTTGTCAAGGGAATGACTAAATTTAATTCTTTTTTTGTTAAACAAACCTCATTTGATGTTGATTATGCTCCTACACATATAACTAAATGGAAATCTCAAAGAACAGGATTACAAATAACATATATTAATCAACCATCGCCAATTGTAAATGGTTATTTTGCAGTTGCAACAGAAATTGAAAATTCATCAGGGTGTCCACATACTTTAGAACATTTGATATTTATGGGATCTAAAAAGTATCCATATAAAGGTTTATTAGATTCCTTGGGTAATAGATTATATTCTTCAACTAACGCATGGACTTCGGTCGATCAAACTGTTTACACATTAACTACTGCTGGTTGGGATGGCTTTAAAACTTTATTACCTATATATTTAGATCATTTATTCAATCCTACATTAACTGATGAAGCGTGTTTAACTGAAGTTTATCATATAGATGGGAACGGTAAAGAAAAGGGTGTTGTATTTAGTGAGATGCAAGGTATTGAGAATCAATCATGGTTTATACTGTTTCAAAAAATGCAAGAATTATTATACTCAAAAACTTCTGGTTATAGCTCTGAGACAGGTGGCTTGATGTCGGAGTTGAGAAATTTACTGAATGAACAAATTAAGCAATTTCATAAATCAATGTACAGACCAGATAACTTGTGTGTTATAATAACTGGTTCAATAGATCAAGACGAGCTTTTAAATATAATGACTGAGTTTGATAATGAGTTACCAGAAATCACTTTGAGTAAACGGCCATTTGTTGATTCAGTACATGATGGACCTTTACAAGAAACAGTAGTGCAAGAAGTTGAATTTCCAGAACAAGATGAGTCAATGGGTGAACTTTTAATTTCATGGATTGGTCCAAATGGAAACGATACTTTAATTAATGTTGCAATCGACATGATCGGCTCTTATTTTACAGATTCACCAATTTCATTGTTTAATAAACATTTAATTGAAATTAAAAACCCACTAGCTACTGATGTTGATTATACTACCGATGATTATTACAATACAGCTATAAATTTCAGTTTCAATGGTGTACCTACTGAAAAATTAAGTGAATTGGATCTTAAGATTAAAGAATTGATAAAGTCACAAATTGCTTCAAATAATATAGATTTAAACTATATGAAACAAGTAGTCAATCAGCAAAAACTAAAATACATTTCAAGTGCAGAAAAGTCATCATCAATATTTCAAAATATTGCAACTTTAGAATTTATTTATGGAAATCGGGATGGTTCCGATTTATCAAAATGGGCAAAAGATTTAAACGAATATGACACTTTATTAAACTGGACTGCTCAACAATGGAGTGAAGTTATAGATCAATATTTTGTTACAAATCATTCAGCTACTATATTGGGCAAACCATCAAATTCATTGAATGAACATATGAAATTGGAAGATAAAAAATTACGTAAAGAAATTTTAAGTAGATATGGAGAACTGGGCTTAAAGCAATTGCAAGAGAAATTAGATTTAGCTCAATTAAAGAACGATACTCCAATACCTGATGAAATTTTGAATATAGCAAAACCAGATCCGTCAAAAATTGCATTTATAAAAACTAACTCTTATAGGGTTGGTAAACTAAACACAACAAATGCATATTTGGATAACGAAACAATCATAAAGGACACACCAGAGGATTTTCCGTTGTATATACATTTTGAAGATTTCAAATCACAATTTACAACTATTCAGTTAGTAATGTCATCAACGAAAATTCAACCTGAATTACTCAAATATATGTCAATAATAGAAGAAATCTTTTCAATGTCATTGATGATAGATGATACGTATGTCTCATATGAAAATGTTATATCTGATTTAAACGAAGATATGATAGAATATCATTTAGATAATGGTTATGACTCACAATTTTTAGAATTGATAACAATCAATGTGAAATTTGAGACTAAAAAGTATAAAAAAATTATAAAATGGTTGTATGATATTACTCAAAATGTTTTATTTGAAGAAAATAGAATTAAAATCATAATAGAAAAACATATAAATTCATTAGCTGATAAAAAAAGAAATGGAGAATTGATGATGTATTCTTCACAATACAGGAATTTATTTAATGCAAATTCTTTAAGAAAAGCACAAGATGCAATGTATACGGAAACATTTTATAAAGACTTACTTGAAGATATAAATGAAGGAAAATTTGAAACTGTTAAAAAGGATTTAGATACGATTAAATCACAATTGTTTACATTGGAAAATATTAAAGTTTTGATACTAGGTAATATTAATAACATTGAGGATCCAGTTAGCTCTTGGAAAACTTTCACAAAATTGGCACCACCTATAAATCAAATTCCATTCGATCAATTACCAAGATCATTCCAATTTAAGTCAGATTTAGGCATGGCATGTAGGTCAGCAGCTCATTTAATAGAGATACCAGCAGCAGATTCTACTCATTTCATATCTTTAACTTCAATACCCACTGATTATTTAGATGAAGATATCTTTAGAATTGCATTAACTTCAGAATTTTTAAGTGCAGTAGAAGGACCATTTTGGAGAGGAATTAGAGGTACAGGTTTGGCTTATGGTGTAAATATAAGAAGAAACATTGAAACGGGATATTTAACATTCAATCTTTACAGAAGTTCAGATGCCATTAAAGCATGGAGAGTTTCTAAAGAAATTGTGGATCGATTTGCCAATGAAGAAGTGGAAATTGATGACTTAGTATTGGAGAATGCAATTGCAACAATCATCAATGAATTGGCAAATGTTCAGGAAAATACTTATGATGCGGCTACTTTCAAAATATCGGATAATTTATTTAAAAGAAGGGGACCAAACTATATAAAGTATTTCATTAAACAGTTAAATTTATTAAAAAAAGAAGATGTAATTTATACTTTAAAGAAATATTTTATAAAATTATTTGATTCAAAGAATTCTGTAATCTTTACCTCATTGCCATCTGATCAAGTTGAAGATATGGGTAATTTCTTACAAAAGCAAGGTTATAACATTTATGTTCAAGAGATAAATGCTGGTGATGAGTCTGATTTTGAAAGTGAAACAGATTCAGAAAGTGAATAAATGTGTATAAATCTATAATTGTTCAGAGCCTTCAGGATTTGGATTTGGATTAGGAGCAGCTATTTCATTTTCAAGTTTATTAATTTGATTTTGTTGACTCTCTTCGACTTTTTGTTTTGTAAAAATCGTTGATTCGGATGATGGATCAAATGTATCTTTTCTTAAAAACTTAATATAGTTTGAAACAGATTCACAAACATCAGATTGTTTTAGTTTTGCAATATTATTCCAGAAATGCTCATTATTCATTAATAAATCACAAGCAACCCATCTTGATAATGAATGAAATTTTAATTCCCAATCTTTCATATTGAAAGATTTTTGAATATCTTTTGGTAAACCCATATTTCTTCTTGAATAAACTCCATATTCACCTTCTTGACTGTTTTTAACAGGATCAATTTTTGGATGATTACAATGCAAAAACAATATTTCTGGTAATTTATAGTCAATTACTCTGTGTGCTGTTTGTTCATCTTCCAACTTGGCATCTTCTAGAATTTTTCTTTTATAGTCTTTGAATTGATCAAGTAATCTTTCTGTAAAGCCACCACTTTGCCATGGATTTAATCTCGTATCGAGATTTTTTTTACTAAGGAAAGTTCTCCAATCTTTATAAAAATCATATGAATCTCTTGGATCGGTTTGTCCTAAGGTTGTTTCAGAATCTTTACCATTCTCAGCTTTATACCCATAAATGAAAACTTTTTGAAAATCCAATGTATATCTTTCATTCATAACGTGTAATGCCGGCACTATAGTTTCACGATCACCAGGACCATATGCACCTTGATAAATTAATTCTTCATACCAATCTTTTGAATTTATATTGTAGTATAATGCAAGTAACAAACTTTTCAAATGTTCTTTTTTACTAAATACTAGTTGACCAGTTTCGACACTTATTGGAGATGGTAAGCCACTAAAATCATGATAGTGGATATCATTCATCTTATCCTTTGTTATATAATCCTCGAATTTTTGATCATTTGAAATTCCAAATCTATGAATTGGTTCACCTTTTTCAATTCTTGCAATTTTATAAAACAATGGACTTGTTAATTTCACCCATAAATCAGGCCATAAGATCATTTTTGTTGACAAGTACGGTTCGGTAGTTAATAAATTATCAATATTTTTAATGGCAAAATTATCAGCATCTAAAGCAATTGTATGATCAAACGAACTAATCAATATACCCAAAATCTTTCTTGAAAATTTCTCATCAATTTTATTAAATAAATCTTTACCAATTTCATTTTCAACAATTTTACATTTTGCATTCAATTTGTTTGGTAATAAAACTTCACAAATTTCTTTATCATATTCTTCTTCTGTATCTAATATTAACTCAATAGGTAATTGAGAACCTTGATCTCTTAAATTAGCAATTGAAGTTAATGCAGCTCCAATCATATTACCACCACCATTGATCACAATACCATATCCATTAATAAATTGACTTGGTGGATCAGGTAATGTCTTTAACTGTTTAACGACTTCATCATGAGCGTTTTGTAAACATGTAAATTTTTCACCGCTCATTTTAATGTTTGAAGATTTAAGATAGTTTTCGGATATCACTCTAGCATCCCATTGGTAAGTAGGGTTTAAGTGCTGACCATATTCATCTTTTTTAAACCCTTCACATTTAGGTTTATTATTTAATAAGATATCTAATAATAAATATTGAAAATATTTCCTTCTATCAAAGAATTTACTGGTTGCTGACTGAATTGTACTTTCATCGACAATTTTTTCATCTTGTAAAATTTGTAAAATACTTGAAAGTTTTAAATCAACATCTTTATGTTCAAGAGAATATTTTAAAGTCAAATCTTCTAGAGTTTTGAAACTTAACCTACTTTGTTTAAAAAATTCATTAGTTTGCTCTTGTTCAATCTCTTTACGTACAATTTTTTTAATATCTTCTGAATATTTTAATTTTAACTCAGTCTTTAATGTTTGTAATATGGATGTTTTTTCTGTTTTAGCCATTTTTTCCCTTAATTCGTCTAATAATTCTTCTTTTTTAGTATCTTCTAACTCTTTGAGTAAAGATTTTGTAAATTCTTCACTTTCAACGTTATTTACATGACTTTGAACTTTGTGACTGCCCCCCGTATAATAAGTTGCTCCATTTATTTTTGATGTTTCAAGATTTGAAGAATCTTTATTAGTTAATATACTTAAATTAAATAATACTATAGTTATGAATAAAGCTCCTAGTACCAAATACAGTAGTGAAAACCTCCTAATCATGATAAAGATTGTAGTTCTTCTATTTTGTAGATCGATTTATTTTTTTTTTTTTTTTGGCGTTTCGAAATTTTTATTTTTTTATTTTTTTTTTTTTTCTTCTTTTTTTCATCCATGTACATAAACCAACAGGGGAAAATAAAACAAGGAAAAGGTAACATAAACTAGTAGAAGAGATCTTTATATTGAGAAAAATATAAAAATACCTGCTTCTAATTGTAATCTCCTTATCGAGATCCCTAGCTTGAAGATTTTTGGCATCATAAAATTTGACCAAAAGCAGTTGGTAGCACTTCTAATTGATCACAGTACTACTCCCTAAAGAACACCCCTTAACTTCACAAATACATATATATTAGACTTTATCAAAATCAGAGATTCTTGATATGATTTGTATAAAGTGAAAATAATTCATAATTTTATAAAAATTATTAAATATATATTGTTAATGTCAATTTTACTATTATATTACATTTGAATTTAATCTTTCAATATTATTGATTAGTTTCTATAATTTTGAGGAATCTCTTGCTTTCCATTCTAATATCAAATCATCTTTTGGGAAAATAGTGGCAAAAACTTTAATCTCCTCGGACAATGGAGTTTTATGATGAATTAAATCCGAGTTCATAACAAATTTACCCAACATACCTGTAAATAACATTAACACATAGTTTTTACCAAGACATACATGTGGACCGGTACCAAAAACTAACCAATTTCTTTTATACATATCACCAGTTGCATTTTCCCATCTTTCAGGGATAAAGGAATCTGGTTCATCATAAACTTCAGGATCATGTAAAGCAGGATATAAAGTTGGAATAATCATTGAACCTTTTGGAGCAGTATAATTTTCAGTAACTGGAAATTTTTGTTTAACAACATAAGGAACCATTAAAACTGGTGGTCTATATCTTAAAGATTCTTTGACGACATCATTAGTATAATGCATTTCATTAATCAAATCTAATGATAATTTAACGTTTGGATCATTCTTTCTAACTCTTAATTGTTCTTCTCTAATTTTGGCAACGACATCTGGTCTATCTGCAACAATTTGAAATAACCAACAAGCTAATGAACTACTTGCATCTTGTGAAGCAAATAAAAATGTGAAAATAGCTTCAGAAATTTCTCTATTTGAAAATTCTCTAACTAATAATTTTGATTCAGGATCATCTAATTGTTTTTCTCTAGCTTCTTTCATTAAGAAAATCCATTCATCCATAACACATTTTGGATCACCATTTTTTTCATTAATATGAACTTTTGACATTGAAGCACATTTTTCAAAAATTTTCATTGTTTCATCAGCAATTTTTTTACCATACCATGTTTTTGTATAAGGAATAATTATTGGAAAATTGACTAATTCTAAAGCAGCAGTTATTCTATAATAATTATCAGCAATTAAAGCAATTTGATCTTCAGTTATATAATCACCACAAAATGTTCTTAAACTTAAAGCACATAATAACTCTCTAAATTCTGGAAAGAATTCTTTTGGTTTATCATAGCTGATAAATTTTTTCAAATACAAATCCATGTATTTTTCTTGAACCGGAATGTAAATTTCTAAAGCTTTTTTTGAAAATAAACCATTTAAAGACCTTCTATAATCAGTATGAGCTTTACCATCTAAAAAAACCCAATTTGAAGGTCTTAAAATTTTAATAGCAACATCAACAACACATGGTTTAACATATTTTGGTGAAGATAAAATTTTTCTAGCTAAATCTCTCGAACTTGCAATTATAACAAATTTATGAAAAATAGAAACACAACTTAAATCACCCGAATCCCATTTTGATTTATATTCTTCAAATTTTGGATCTAATGATTCTAAAAATGGTCCAATAATTGGCCAAACTTTATATTTTGGACCAGCGATTGAACCTTTATTTAATTGGTATTTAATCTGATCATAAGTTAAAATTAAGAATACTGTTGTAATTATAATTTGCAACCATGAAGCTTGTTTATATAAAGATATTGTATAATTTAAATTTAAAAACTCATTGATATTTAACAAATTAAATGACGAAGTTAATGATGATGAATTATTGTAATTATTATTAAATAAATGACTAATTGTTGAAGAATTAAACTTATTCATGATTGGGACGGGATGGAATTGGTTAAAAGGAATTAAGAATGATTTGAGATAAATCTACTGAAAAAAATGGAATTGTATGCCTCAATGTGTGTGTGATGATAATGCAAATAACTTTGACTTAATTATACTTTATTAAATTTCAAGCAATACTTAATAAAAGATGGTTTATTATTTGTTAATTTGATTTTATATCTTCAATTGATGAAGAAAAAGAAAGAAAAAAAAAAAAAAAAAAATATATATATATATAAACAAATAAAAATTTATACGATTATAATTCAATCCAATATACGGTTATTATATATAAACATCATACGATGCTTGGATTTCTCTTGTATTCTATTCTACTGTGTATCATTTATATATATATATATATATATATATATATATATATTCTTGTGGATAATTAGTTATCAATATCTTATTAATATAAATCTTATTACCGATATTTACATCTCAATAATAACTATTTAATTTTTTTTTTTTTTTTTTTTTTTTTTTTGTTCGATCGTATAAATTTTATCGTTTAGATCGTATAAGATCTACAATATTTAAATCATCATATATTCCTAAGTATTTGAGATATTATTCTATATTGATTATACTGGGTTATGTAGTATTCTAATAGCTATTGATCATGATGCATAACTATCAGTTGAGGTTTTCAATAATCATCATACGTAACGCTAAGTCGTTCAGATCTATACGACGAATAATATTTTATTTATTTATTTACGGTTTGACATATTTTTATTGGTCGACGCGCAATATTGATTATATTTTTTCTACTGTGTAGTTTTACACGACCATATCACGTGCCTATGTTTTTAATGCGAAAACACCAACTTAAGTTTTGCGAAAACACCAAACTACATGGTACCTACAATATAAGTGTTTGAATCGAAATTCGATTTGATAAACAGAAATATAGTTATTTATTAGTTCTACCTCTGTGTAAGATTGTGTTTTCAATACCATTAACTTTTTAGTGTCAACAATATTTTTTAGTGTCAACAATAAAAAAATTCGTTATTTTAATTAGTATATAGATCAACTCATCTCGTAGCTGAATTGAAAGCAAATTCCCTTTCTTCTTGGATAAATCTCCAGTTTTTAAATGATTAACTTTGTAGTTACTTTCATTGATTTAAGACAGCACTTTTGACAATTTAACAACGGATAAAAAAAAAAAAATCCACCAACGTTCAACAAGTTTTACGTTTAAAAATTAATCGTAATGACGATAACCACGATTTCCAAATAGACAATGAGAAAGGTGATCAGATGAAAACAAACTGATTTCACATAGAACTCAAAAGATGAGCAGCATTCACTTTGAGAAATAAAGTTTTAATTGATTTGTAATCACTGCAATTGTGCTTAAGAGTTCCAGACAAAAATCATAGTTATAGTTACTTTACGAAGTGCTACTATAAGCTTCGATGGTTCAAAGTTATCGTTTATGAATAAATCATATTGATTCATGTTTAATGTTTGCAATTTCGTATTTTTTTTATGCCGCTCGCTTGATTTGGTAGGGCGTAAAATTTAATTTTGTAGACCATCTCATCTAAAGAATTAGACATCTCATGGGGAAAAGAAAGTTAGATAACAAAGTACTAGAGAAGAAAAAGCAAATACAGCAAGAAAAAGATGCTGAGTTATTGTCTGGAGTATTTAATAATAATGAACAACAACTTTCTGACGTGGATGTTGAAAATTGGGATAATGAAGAGATGGAATATGAATTACAACCAAGACAACTAAAAAAACAAAAGAAATTAGTAGAAGCATTACCAATAAAGACGTCGGATGGTACATTACAAAGAGTGATACGAGAAGAGGTGGATATACCTGAAGAAGAACCTCAAGATGAAGAAGATGAAGAAGGTGAAGATCAAATTATCCAGGAAGATCAACAAGATGAAGAAGACCAATATTCAAACCTTTCACCTCGTGAGAAATTAACCAAATTAAAAGAAGAGATTGCAGAGTTGGCATCTAAATTAATTGAAGATCCAGAGGAGAATATATCATGTTTAACTCGTTTACGTAAAATGTCAGAATCAAAAAATTTCATGACTTCACAATTAGCTATAATGTCATTAGCACCAATCTTCAAAAGTTTAGCACCATCATATAAAATAAGACCATTGACGGATGTTGAGAAACGAGAGAAAGTGTCTAAAGAAGTTGCAAGATTGAGAAATTTTGAACAAAATTTGGTCTTTAATTATAAGTGTTACATTGAATTATTATCAAAATACTCAAAAACTTCATATTCAAATAGTGAAAACAATATGAAAAATATAACTTCAGATCAGTTAAAACGTGGTAATATAGCCATCAAAGCTGCTAATGAATTATGTAATTCATCAAGTTTGAAACATTTCAATTTTAGAGATGATTTATTCTTAATAATAAGTAAAAGATTGAATAAAAAACCAACAAATCAAGAGGATCTAAAAGTTTTCCAACAATCAATACGTATATTTGAAATTTTACTTAACGAAGATTCAGAACATGGAGATATAACTTTTGATTTAATAAAAGTATTATGCAAAACCATCAAAGATAAAAAATATAGAGTGGATGAATCAGTGATTAATATTTTATTATCAACAAAATTATTACAAGATTATGATCCAAATAATAATAAACAAGAAGATAAGCCAAAATTGAAGAAAAAGGATAGAGTTCATTTGTCTAAAAAAGAACGTAAGGCAAGAAAAGAAATAAAAGAAATTGAAGAAGAGATGAGAAAGGCTCAACAATCCATAACTATTGAGCAAAGAGAAAAATATCAGGCACAAGTTCTAAAAATGATACTTACATTATATCTTGAAATTTTGAAAGCTGGTAGTTCAAGTGAAAATAATGCCAATGCAAACAATTTAGTAGGGTCGGTTTTAGAAGGATTATCTAAATTTGGTCAAATGTCAAATTTAGATTTATTAGGTGATTTCTTAACTGTTTTGAAAGAAATTATGATTGATATAATTGATGATCATAATTTAGAAGGTGGACTTTATGAAAATAAACAATTTAGAACAATTTTATTATGCATTGCTACTTCATTTTCATTAATTTTAAATCATCAATCTGTCGGTAAATTACCTTTCAATATTGATTTAAAACAATTTATTTCAATTTTGTATCAAATTTTAACTGAACTTTCATTAGATGCAGATATAGAATTTAATCATAAATCATTAAGATTAATTGATCCAGATAGTGACGAAAAACCTTCTGTTAATGTAAGTATAAAATCTGAATTATTACTAAGATGTTTAGATTTCATCTTTTTTAAATCTAAAAATGGATCTAATATGAGAGCTGCTAGTTTTATCAAAAGATTATATATTACATTATTAGACACTCCAGAAAAGACAAGTTTAACACTTTTAAAATTTATTGGAAAATTGATTAATCGTTATGATGGGTTAAAAGGTTTATGGAATACTGAAGACAGAATAAGTGGAGAAGGTAATTATATATTGGGTATTGAATCAAATATGATAGATAAACAAATTGAAATTGAAAGATCAAATTTTGGCGCTGCTACTTTATGGGAAAACGTTTTATTGGATAAACATTATTGTCCAATGGTTAAAGATGGTGCAAGATCATTGATGAAGAATTCAAAAAGTAATAAATAATAGACTTTAGATATCATAATTTCGTAATCTAACCCTCCTCTTGAAGTATTTATCAAATTTATCCTAATGCGGTATTGCTGCAAAATATTCGGAAACTGGTAGCGCGATGCTTTTTAAAACATTGATGAATCTTTGAGCACAGAAACTTTCTCGTACATTATTTACGTAGCACAGGCATTTAGATTATATACTTTATATCTATTGTGAGATTGAAATCCGTTGAGATTAAAATTCGTTGAGATTAAAATTCCATGTTATTTTAATTTTGGTAACAAATTAATAATATTTTGTTTATTTACAATTTGCCTTTATAGTGAATTTTAATCATAATGAACTTAAATTTTCAATTAACTATCGATCAAGATAATAATCACTTACCTCCATACTCAGATAAAGTGATACTACCGTCTCATGTCTTATCGGATGTTATTAAAATTCTTCCAGATGAAATTTTACCACATCCATTAATATTCAAAATTTCCGCTATAAATGATGGAGATGTTGATGAAAATAGTACATTTATAGGAGTTAAAGAGTTTTCTTCACCTGATAACACAATACAAGTACCTAAATATATTTATAAAAAGTTAAATATTTCAATTTCAACCGATGTCAATATACAATTAATCCAAAGTGTCCCCAAGGCAACTTCATTAATTATTAAGCCAAGGTATTTTTACTCAGATATACTAAATTGGAAATACTTTTTAGAAAACAAATTAAATAAATACTATACAGTTTTAAAACAAGGTGAAACCATAATAATTGAAGATAATGAATTACGTTATGAATTGTTTGTTGAAAATTTAAATAATGGGTACGATGGGTGGACTAACATAATCGACACTGATATAATATTGGACGTAATTGCAAGTAATGATGAAGATGCAAAAGCTCAATTAGATCAACAACAAAATATCAATGAGGAAGAAATTGCAGATTCTGTTGAATTGGAGGTAGGTAGCTTTTTAGACTCAAAGTTCAAACCATTATTGTTTAAAATTGACTTAACAAAGTTTAAAAGCAAATTATTTATAAAATTATCTGGAAGCAATTTGTTGAATACTGATGTAATTGTTGGATTTGATAAGTTGGTAAGTTTAGAAAATTTCAGATATACTACAATGAATCAAGATGAGAGTATAGAAAATGGTGATCTAGAATTCAAATACATAGTAGTGGATCTCAACACAGATGAAGTTATAAACAAATTGAATAGAAATGATATAGATGATTCATATAAATATTTGTACTTGATACCGTTTACATGGGATAATAATGAAAATATTCAAATTGAATTGCTAGAAAACTTTCCTATCGAAACCACACCAATCAATTCCGATTCCACACAATGTGAAAACTGTTTAAAATACATTTCAAACGATAAAGTCACACTTCATGAAGTTTATTGTAAAAGAAATAATACTAGATGTCCTAAATGCAACAAAGTATTTTTGAAACAAATCCCATCAAGTCATTGGCATTGTCCACTAGATAACTTTCATACAGAATCTGAATTAATAAAGTTTAAACACAATAAATTTTATCATTTAAATAATTACTCATGTTGTAATTTAAGCTTTCCAGATTATTTTAATTTAATTTTGGATCATAAATCAACTATTTGTCCAGAAAAATTGATCCTTTGTCGATTTTGTCATTTAATTGTAAAACAAGAATTGGCTACATATCAAGATAATTTTGAAAATTTAACTCACCATGAACATTTATGTAGTGTTAAAACGATTGAATGTTTCAAATGCGGTCGAATTATAAAACAAAAAGATTTAACTAAACATTTAAAATCTCATGATCTTGATAAGATAGAATATAATAAAAAACAATCATCAATAATTAAATGTTCAAATATAAATTGTATAAATATCAAAAATGATTCAAATGAATTTGGTCTATGTGAGTTTTGCTTTGGTCCATTATATAGTACACAATTTGATCCAGATAAAAAGAAATTCAAAATGAGATTGGAGAGAAGATACATGATTCAGTTATCTAAAGGTTGTGGAAATGAATGGTGTAATAATTATTATTGCAAAACATCAAATTTAAATTTAGTTAAAGATAAAACTATAAAAGATTTATTGAATATGATCAATAATGAGTTAATATCAAAGTTGAATGAGTTCTACTTTTGTGTAAGTCAAAGTATTAGCATTAAAAAGGTTCTATTTGACTTGATCAAATCAGAAAATGAATATGGTGAGTCAATAATTTTGAAAGCAATTAATGAAAATAAAACGTCTAATGATGAAAATGGTATAAGGGCATGGTTAGACGAAAATGGCATTAAGAAACATGACTAATATCAACTTTGTTTTACAGATTTATACAATTCGAATATTCTATTAATTCCAATTAAGCCTCTTTACTATTTTCGTTATATCTCGTAAAAGATCTTTTAAGCCGTACATTCAATAAATCTTTTGTTTATTATGAATTTCATTATTAGTCATCAATGAAATTATTTGGTTGCAAATACGATTAATGTTTAAGCCAAGATTGATTAGCTGACTAATATTTCAGAATTATAAATAGAGATGAAAATGCAGGTAAAAAAGTCAATTTATCATAAGAAATATCATCAATTATGAAATATTCAACGGATAAAAAGGACGATCAAACTAATATTTCAATCAGATCTACTACTTCAACAATTGGGTCAAAGATAAAGAATGCTTTCAAAAAGAAAAAGAGAGATACAAGGAAAGATCAAACTTCAATGAGTACAATTACGCAGTATTTGGCTTTGAAGTGAGTTAGGCAAATTGATCGGTTGGTGCTACTGGTTAAAAAGGGATAATAATATAGTGTATATGTCAGGATGCTTTATTATTCGTACATAAAAGTACTTATTTACTTAATAAGATGGAGTTGGTGCTTAACTTTTGAAGAAAACTGAATCTGAAACATAAGTGAGAGTGAAGGATTTGTTTTAAGAGCTAGACATAAATAGAGTCTATAATTTTTAAAGAAATACGACTAATTTAGTGTATACCATTAATTAAAAAACCTGTAGTTAAACTTTTGATTCAAAGAACTGTAAATAGTCAAGTTGTCAGGATTTTAAAAACATTAAAAGCCGTCTAGTACGCAAGCTTGCACTAGTTACAATTGTAAAGATGATCATTACCGACGTGGGTGTAAATTTAGCTTCTATTCATAATATGATATTCATTCGACTATATAATCATGATTCAGCAACAACAAAATCACTTTCTAATTTAAACAACTCCTAGATTGAACCTGAAATTGCAACATCACAAAATTCAATTTAATATGTAGAAAGATTCAAAGAATTTAAAACTCAAAAGAGACTTGAAATATATTAAATTGCACTACGCAAATTCATCTGATTCCAAATATGATATTTTTTGGCCATAAATTGGAGATTATCTAAAACTCATGAGGAATCAAATCAAGAATAATTTTAAACCTCCTGGTTGTAAAACAATTCTTAGATAAAACTCACAATTCTTACCTTTGCATAGATACACTGTTTCTTTCTTCTGAAATTCATACTCAACCTCGTTAAATTTTCCAGATTTAATTAACAATTGTCTAATATCTGCTTTCTTTTCAAACTTTGCAATTTCCTATTCTACAATTAGTTCTTCAACTTGTAAACAGCAATTTGGGGCCATTCTAAGCAACGACTCTACTTAGATCAAAGATTTATGTGGTATCAAATTGTTAAATTTTCAATTGACATATAGTAGTATTATATTATACGAAAAATGCTAACAATGCAATTGGTATGAGGCATGGTAGCGAATATAAATTTTGCGAAGAATAACGTATAATGCTAGTTATTATTATGTAAAATTGATGAATGAATGCCTTCCAATTCACTAGGTAATTATTAAAAGCCCACATAACGGTGGAGAACAAACGTTAATGTTAACTTTTATGCATAAAAATGACACTAATTCCAAATTTAGTAATTTGACCACAGACTTGGTAGCGATATTTATTTTCTTGAATTTAATCTGAAACTTTTAAGAATGTAATTTATAATGTTGAGTAAATCCATTTCAATTTATTATGTGACATAAAAATTATTAACTCGTTATAAGTTAAAAAGCGGTGAAAATAGAACAACAACAAAATTTGAGCCAAAAATATTGTTGTATAAGATTATTCAAAATACTATAAATAAGTGTCGAATTATCCCAAAATTTAGTTTTTTCATTTCTTCATCAATTAAGAACCATCCTACCCCTGCTACTTACTTGAACTGTAATTCATTATGCTGGATTTGCTGCTTGATGTATGTAATGATGGTTGTTAGAGCCCGTTTGACGCTTCTTTTTGGTCGAGTTGCTTTGCGGTCATATTTTCCCCCATTAGGGGTTTGTTACACCTCATAAAATTGTTTTTTCACAGCTTCGATATTGTTTTAGGTTTTGAGAAAAATCTATAGAGTATATAAAACGAATCAATGACAAGATTTCTAACATTTGGATACAATTCGTTAACACCTTCTCTGTTTATTCTATAGATTGTATAGTATTTTCTCATTATTTTGTAATCATTTATTTGAAAATATAGGTTTACTTCATATTTTTTCAATATGTCCATCATCTTATCAACTGAATTGAACCTACTAAAATCAATTAAATTAATACCAAATAAACCTAAAAAAATATCCATCAACGGTACTGGATTAATGAACTTAATTTAATGCAATCTACATGTTCTACAATAATCTCACTTATCTGATAACAATGAGATTCAATAATGGCGATATACTTTTCTTAGAGCGATTTCAATTGAAGAATCTATTTTTAGTAATGTGACACAAAACCAAATTTAAGATCTCGATCTCGTACCTTAACGATTAAATCAATTGTAGACACCAAATCTTTTCGACTCGATAATGTTTCGAGAGCAGAGGTTATTGGCTAGTTTTTAAACTGTCGAAGTATTCTATTATAATATCTATGCTACTAAAATAATTCTTTTACCGAATCTAGATTCAAATTACCAAAAAAGGAAATTGTTTATTCTGAAACATTATATTCTGAAACAACATTTCGAAAAAAGAAATTAATTTATATAAATATTGAAAATTCTCCTTGAAATTTTTTGGTGATCAGATGGATCAGTTAGAATATTTCACTAATCCTTTAAATGAAAATGAATTAGTCATTGTTAATTCCAATGTTTTAGGTAGATTAAATGTTGAAAAAGCTCCAGGTACAGATTCCAAGAAAGTATTATTAGCTAGAGTTGCAAAATTATTAATTGAAGATGGTTTAGATGCTGAGAAAATTATTATTATTACAACAACTACTACAGCTGCAATTGAAATCAAAACTACTTTAAAGCAAAAATTGGCTGATATTAATATCGATGTTGATAAAATGTTTATTGGTACCATTTATGATATTGGATATAAATTTTTACAATTATATGGGTCACAAATTGGTTTAGAATTGGCTTTGATTTCAAGTGAATCTGAAAATAGGTATTATATCAAGAAGATATTTGATAATTTAGACAATGAAACTCAATCATTTCTTAAAAACTCACCAAAAGGTTTAGAATTAAAGAATGGTGATGTTGCTAATTTATACTACTCAATTGACAAGATTTTATATGCAATTGGTAACTTACAAGATAAAGGGATTTTATCCGATTCAAATTTAATTACGTCCGATGTTTTATCATTGCTTTATAGTTTATATAAAGATCAATTGGGATTTGTTGCTAAATTAGATTGCAAGGAGGTTGTTGTAGCCTTAAAAAAGATTGTTGAGCAAAAACTTCGTACTGTTGAGCATGTTTTAGTATTAGATAATTATGAACTCACTACTTTTCAACAAGAATTATATGATCAATTGGGTAAGAATGTTACAATGTTTGGTACGGGTTTTAATGATGCTAAATGTTTGACTGAAAACTCAACTACAACAAATGATATCCTAAATTTTACAACCGCATTAAAGCAAGATTTTAATGCAAATCAACAATTAATTCCTAATTTTGAAAGTTCATTCAAAGCATATTTTAAACATTTAAAGTCTCAAAATGATGAAACTGAATGGATTACTTATCAAATCAGTTGCTTAATTAGATCAGCAGATGAATCACTTAAGTATTCAGATATTTCAATATTTGTTCCACCTGATTATTCAACATATAAGATTGAAAGGAATTTGAAACAACATAAAATTCCAGTTAATTTAGATTATGAATTTTGGAATGCCAAAGAAGTTCAAGGTATTTTGGATTATTTATCATTAGCTGCTAATTATTACAATAATTATGCTGTATTTAAAACTTTAAATTATCCAAGTAGAGGTATTGTAAAAAAAGCATTCGAAGACATTATTTTGGCCCTAGATCTACGTGATCGTAGTATTCGATGTGTTGAAGTTTTGAAGAATGTTGCACTTGGTTTGAACAGAAATGTTAATGTATCTACTAAGATTAGAGAAAGTTTAAAAGCATATGTTACATTTATTGAAGAATTCCAAAATTCAATCGTCATTGCTGATACGACTACAGCAAAATTTGAATTAGAAATGACAAATATTTTCAACAACATCTATATTAAATCGAATTTACATGCTGAATGTCAAAAAGATAAAATGAAACTCGAAAACATCAACAAAATTAGAAATTTGTTTGTTGATCATATGTTAAAGTTGAATGGCTCAGTTTTAAACAGATTAGCTGAGTTTTTAAATTTGGTTAATTTGGGTTCAGTTCCAGTTGAGTTTAATTCAGTTACTGTATCCAGTAGTATTAGTGATCTGCCAATCATCTTCATTCCCAATTCAGGTTTAGATATTGCTACTGTTGCTGCTAGAGCTAAATTCAAGGTTTTCATTACTTCAAGTGATACCAACGATACGGGGTCAACGGATTCATCAAGTACAAAAGTTAAAAAAAGAAAAGTCACAACAAAATTAGATACTAAAAAGAAAGCTAAAAAATAATGTATGCATCTAATTACCTTTTCTTGCTTCGATCTTTTTTAGTCTTTTTATAAGATCTTTCTTTCTTCTCTTCATTGGCTTTTCTCTTTTTTGAATTTACTTTCTTTCCCTTTTTTGTTAATTGTTTTAAAACCTTATCCTTTTCATCCACATTATTAGATTTAAACCATGTACGTTTAGGTTTTGATAAAATTTCATCCTGATGTGTAAGCATATTATTAGCTTTTTGTAATTGCATTTCAGCATTTAAAATCTCTTTTTGTTGTTTTTCTTCCAACATAACTTCATCAATTAAATCTTGTTTTGACTCTATAGTTTTTTGAATCTTTTGTATCTCGTTCCAATCTACATTCCTAGCCAAAGTTTTACCTCCATTCTTTATAGCATCCTTAACAATTGCACGATCAGCCAGATTATCACTCACAAATGAAATACTTGTACCTTCTCTTTGAGCTCTAGCTGTTCTCCCAACTCTATGTAGATAAATATCAAAATTTTTGGGCATATCATGATTTATGACAAATTCTATTTTTATATCTAAACCTCTTGCAGCTAAATCCGTACATACAAGTACATTTGATTTGTTTGATTTAAAATCTGAAACATTTTTTAAACGCTGTTCTTGAGCTAAACCACCATGTAATTCTGATATTTTGATACCTAATAAACCCATTATAATTCTTAATTTGTGAGCTGCTTCTTTTCTCGCTACGAACACAACTATTTTACCAGATGATGATAATTTTTTCAATATTTGATATAATAAAGCTGGTTTTAAATCTTCTCTTTTTCTTATTCTTACGAATTGTTGTTGTAATTTAGTTGCAACTGTTTTAGGTGCATCGATCATTATTCTCACGGGCTTTTGCAATGATAATTGAATTAAATCTTGAATTTTTGTATTCATAGTAGCTGAAAATAATAATGTTTGTCTTTTGAATTTTGGTATCAATTGTAATATTTCAGTTAATTCTTCTTGAAAACCTTCTTCCAACATTCTATCAGCTTCATCAATTACCAACACTTGAATATCTTCAACTGAAAAGCTTGGTGAATTCCTTATATGATCAATTAATCTACCTGGAGTCGCAATAACAATATCTGGTCTACTTTTTAATTGTTGTTCTTGTTGTCTAAGATTTAAACCACCAACGGCTAAACCAAAACTCAAATTATTCACAAATTGACCAAGTTTTTTACCAACTTCATAAACTTGAATTGCTAATTCTCTTGTTGGTGTTAAAATAATTACTTTAGTTGAGGTGGATGGTTTATAAATTAATCTTTCCAATATTGGTAATAAATATGCAGCTGTTTTACCAGAACCGGTTTGTGCACCACCAACAATATCTTTACCTAACAATGCTATTGGAATAGTTGAGGATTGAATTGGTGTAGGTTTAGTAAAGTTTAATTTATGTAAAGCCTTTAATAATGGTCTCGATATATTTAATGATTCAAATGTTTTATTAGTAGTTGTGGTTTCTGCAGTTTCAGTTGATTCATAAAAATCATTAATAGCTTCTTCATCATCTGATTCTGAGTCTGGTTGCTCTTCATCCATGTCATCTTCTACAGGTCTATCATTATCATCTTTTTCTTCATTATTCTTTCCCTCTTCTTCTTCTTCTTCTTCTTCTTCTACACCCATTCCAAAACCATCCATCGCCAACTCATCTTCATCTTCACTTTCCTGTAACCCACCTTTATCTTTAATAATTTGATCTAAATCGACTGCCTTTTTCAAATTTGATTCTTTTTCTTTATCCAATTCGTCATTCCATACATCAATCTCTTCTTCTTCGTCATCCAATTTAAAATTAAACTCTGGATTTAAATCTTTATCTTCTTCATCAGTATCCAAAACATTTTCCTCTTCATCTGACTCTATTGTCAATATTAAATCGTCTTTCTTCATAATTTGGTTTGAGATGCGATGCAAAAAATTAGATCTCGCTTGAAAAAATTAAGCTGCTACAATTTTGCAGCCAAATTTTTACCTTACAATTAATTTGCAGCATTTTGATAAGGCATTGCATAGACGCAAAATAGTGAGCCACGGAAGCCTTGTTTGCAAAGATTACTGAATGGTAGTTAATAGCATCGAAATTTTCATTACCAAAACCTCACTATCGAAATTTTGAAAAAGTTCAAAATAAAAGCAGACACCAATTAATCAATAAAAAATAATATGAAAGAGAACAGCATCGGTTACAGTCAGTTCTTTAGTAACTTCAATTTCAAAAGAGATAACTTGAATATTGTTTTAATCATAGCTCAATTTTTTTCCGCCAAACGTGCTCCCATATGAAAGTATAGACTTATAGCAAAAGACTGTCATTGTCATATCCTCACCTATCCTCACCAGTCGAGCATTTCCAAGGAGATTTGTTCTTTTTAGAGATGTCGAATGGTTAATTTAAATTGTATCGCTTAGAATTTTTACGACCAAGTAACGCTACCATATGAATAAAAATTTTATAATATATTTTTAAAGAAAATCGTTTAATTAAAATTTATAATCACCACCAATCCATCTATTGAGCATATCAAGAGAAGCAAGGGGTTGATTAAACGGAAGCATATGTCCGCCGCCAAACGCTCTAAGGAATGTAAAATGCTTGTAGTTCTTTACGTCACCAACATGTTTATCATCCAAAGTCCATTTTCTAATTGGTGCTTTTGAAAAACCTTTTGAACCACTCCATTCTAATCTATCAGTCCAGCCTTGATTACCTAACCAGTTACAAATAAAATCTTTATCACCGGCGTAGATTAAAACAGGTAAATCTTGTTCTAATAAATCAATGACATTTTTGAAATAAGGTTTCATCCAGTCACCAGCAAACATAAAGTTTCTATTGATATCAAAATTACATGAATCATAATTATCAACTTCAGCTCCTACAGCTTTTAAAACTTCAGGTTTATTGAGGTAATCAGTAATATACTCTAAACCTTTATAACATAATGAGTTACCTTCACACATAGTTCTGATATCATAAACATTTCTACCAGTTCTTTGATAAGGACCCATTTGAGCATTATTACAATAAACAGTTGCTGGTACACAAGACCAAACAGATTCAGAATCGTAACATGATTGAATTAAAGATTGACATCTTGGAATTGAATCAGCCATAGCTTGACATTCATCTTCATCTAAAACACTTGGTTCACCACCTTTACCACAAGCCATTGGTTGATAATATTCGTACTGAGTTAAAGGATCAGTTAAACCATTACCAATCAAAACTGAAGTCAAATTAAATGATCTTTCAGGATGAGTTAATATTTCACTAGCAAAGACTGGAATATAATGGCCAGCATAAGATTCACCAGCAATATGAAAATCTAATTTTGAATATTCTGGAAATTGTTTAAAAAATAATTCCAAAAAAGCATAAACATCCTTACCTGCAGCAACGGTATTTGAAACACTTTGAGAACTATAAGAATAACCAACATTAATTGGTTGATCTAAAAATATAACTGACGCATTATTATTCCAACTAAAAGGATTATAGACTGGTTTTAAATCTTCACCAATTGATGAAGGACCCAATTCAAAAAATAAACCTGTTAAACTTGAACATCCTGGACCACCATTTAACCATAAAATAACTGGATCATTTTTTGGATCATTTCTACTTTCAAAAAACCAATAAAAGAAATGTTTATCTTCGTTTTCGACATCCAAATAACCACTATATTGTTTAACGGAATCAATACCTAAATCTTCCGGAGTTGATTTAACTCTTAATCTATGATTAGGTAATTTAGTATCACTAACTTGATAATCAAATTTTTGAGGAGTAATTTTTGATTTTGGTGGAACTTTGAAACTTAATTGACTAACAGTCTCAGGATAATTTAACAACATTTCCGACCAAATTTTTTGAGTTTCTTTTGACAAATTTTCCAATGGTTCATTCATGACATTTGATAAAGTTTTGAAAATGTTTTCTTTACCATTTTCAAATTTATCAACTAATTTATCATAATTAAAATCAAATTTTAAAGTTTGTTGTAAATTGTTTAAAGGATTTTGAATTGTTAAAGCTTCAACACTTAAAGCCGAAATTAAAGTTAAAGCAATAGTTGTTGAACTAAATTTCATTTTATAAAAGAAAAGAAAATGATTAAAGGTTCAACAATAAAAAAAGTTGGTGATAAGAGAAAAGAAGGAGAATTGTATAACAAGAAACTTCTTACATAATACTTATAGTTGTGCGTTACATAATAAGGTGCCATTCCTATTTCGATAATCGAAAGACGGAATTGGTTGCAAAAAATGGCTGGAATATTATTTGAAACGGAAATGTATACTTTTCCACGACCTATCATAACCAAAAACACAAAATAGAAAGGGATTTCCTTATTCGGTAATTTAATTACTGTTTTCGATCGACAGTTGTTAATGAATAGATAACCATCCATTCAATTGAAAGGTATATACTTTCTAATCAATCAACATATTATTGAAAGTTGTAACCATATAATGCAGCACATCTATTCTGCTTCCATTGAATTTTTACTAAATTTTGCCAATAAATACAAGAACAGTATCCTACTGATGGATGTTTTACTTTTATCTGTGAAGAAAACTTTGTATACTCTCTGCTCTATCCCATTATTAGTTATCTGTTAACCCTAGTTTTGCACCACACGGCATATTACAGTTAACCCTAGTTTTGCATCACACGGCATATTACAGTTATGCCTATAATTTACCATCCTATAGATTTTATGATTAAATCGGTTTAAAATGACCAATTCAGCTTAGTACTAATAATTTCACAGTTTACTTTGAATTACTTCATTATCATTCTGTACGGTTATTGCTAATTGGTTGCAATCGTTTATAGTAATAGATAAATCTGTTGCGCTATTTCGCGCGATCAATTTGGATTTTGGTTATCAAATATAATGTCTCTAAACTTATGAATACAAAATCCTGTATATAAGTACTTCATGCATGTCGGGTATGGCGATTTCATGGAATGCTTTGAAAATTTTCAATTCGGATGTAAAGTCCAATGATAAATGTATGCCTTTTTTAAAAAAAACTATAGATGAACCCAAGTTTAGTAAATTTGATAAACAAACACGTTCAATGGGGAATGGTATATCTGGCAAGGTAGAGATCTATAAATCTAAAAAAATTGCCAATTTCAATTATGCGGTGAAAACATACCATGCTAAAGAAGACTTTGATTCAAAAGCTGAATATCGAGAAAAGGTATTACATGAATACAGAATTCTATCAAGTTTACATAATGATTATATTATAAGAGTATTTAAGTTCGAAGTGTCAATCCCTGGTACTACAATTAAATTATATTTGGAGGCTGGTTCAGATTTTAGCTCATTAATACCACAGTTATCAAAGGTTGAGTTATTCAGTTATTGGAAACAATTATGTTTTGGAGTGTTATACTTGCATTCATTAGATATATGTCATCGAGATTTGAAAATAGAGAATTTAGTGCTTGTTAACAATACACTCAAAATTATTGACTTTGTAACAGCTCATAAAGTAATTGGAGATTCCATTGGCTTAGTTGGTAGTCCTAAATATGCGGCTCCTGAAACATTCAAGTATTTAAATTATGATGGTAAAGCTGCTGATGTATGGTCTATTGGAATATTATTTTACTATTTTGCAACTTTGCAATTTCCTTGGAAAATGGCCAAATTAGAAGATAATAGATTTAAACTGTATATTGATGGTAAACTGATACTAGACATACTACCGAATGAAGTAATCGACTTCATAAGTGGAGTTTTAGAAGTCAACCCGAAAAAACGAGTCAAAATTTCTGACTTCTTTTTCAACCCATGGTTTGATTCAATAACAATAAATTAAATCTCTTTATATAGTAATAATATACATTTGCGTATAATTCTGGTATAAATATTATCGATTTTTCGCATCAATAATTTTTCACTTGAGTCATCAATGTTAACACGTACAATTGGTAGAAGAGTTTTACTCAGACATTATGCTTTATCATCAAAAGCTCAATCATTGATATCTAAATCAGTTTCTGAAGTTGATCCTGAAATGGCAGAAATTTTAAATCAAGAAAAAGTTAGACAAAAATCTTCAATTACATTAATACCTTCCGAAAATTTTACATCAAAAGCTGTTATGGATTTATTGGGTTCTGAAATGCAAAATAAATACTCTGAAGGTTATCCAGGTGAAAGATATTACGGTGGTAACGAAATAATTGACAAAGCTGAATCACTATGTCAAAAAAGAGCTTTAGAAGCTTTTAATTTGGATCCAAATGAATGGGGAGTCAATGTCCAACCATTATCAGGAGCACCAGCTAATTTATATGCTTATTCAGCTATATTAGAAGTTGGTGATAGAATTATGGGTTTAGATTTACCTCATGGAGGACATTTGAGTCATGGTTATCAAACTCAAACAACTAAAATATCATATATCTCAAAATATTTTCAAACTATGCCTTATAGATTGAATGAAGACACTGGTTTAATCGATTATGATACATTAGAAAAAAATGCTGAATTATTTAGACCAAAAGTAATTGTTGCTGGAGCTTCAGCATATTCAAGGGTTATTGATTATAAAAGAATGAAAAAAATTGCTGATAAAGTTGGTGCTTACTTATTATCAGATATGGCACATATATCAGGTTTAGTTTCTGCAAATGTCACAGATTCACCATTTCCATATTCTGATATTGTTACAACTACAACACACAAATCTTTAAGAGGACCAAGAGGTGCTATGATTTTTTTTAGAAAAGGTATTAGAAAAGTTACTAAAAAAGGTAAAGAAATTCCATATGAATTAGAAAGGAAAATAAATTTTTCAGTATTTCCTGGCCATCAAGGAGGTCCACATAATCATACTATTAGTGCTTTAGCTGTTGCATTAAAACAATGTCAAGAACCAGAATATAAAAAATATCAACAAGATGTTATAGATAATGCAAAAGAATTTGCAAAAGCTTTAGAAGGAAAAGGTTTCAAATTAGTTTCAGGCGGTACTGATACTCATTTGATTTTAGTTGATTTAAGATCAAGAAATATTGACGGTGCAAGAGTTGAAGCTGTTTTAGAAAGAATTAGTATAGCTGCAAATAAAAATACAGTTCCTGGTGATAAATCAGCTTTATTTCCATCTGGTTTAAGAGTCGGTACTCCAGCAATGACAACAAGAGGTTTTGGTTTCGAAGAATTTGAAAAAGTTGCAGAATATTTCGATAATGCTGTTGAATTATCAATTGAATTAAAACAACAAGAACAAGGTAAAGTAGCAAAAGAATTATTAGCTTCATTCAAACAATTAGCTGATGAGAGTGATAAAGTTAAACAATTAGGTAAAGAAGTGGCTCAATGGGTTTCTAAATATCCAGTACCTGGTGAATTATAAAATTGATTAGTACACGCTCATTGCTCGTATATTTTATTTTTTTTTTTTTTTTTTTTTTTTTTTATTTATTTTGGTTTATTCTTCACTCCATGAATAGACAACATATAAATCGATATCTACAAGAATTTGATAAACCTTCAACTTTAATTTCATGGAGTAAAAATGGATTCATAGTTTATGTTTCACCAACAATTGAATCTGAAGATAATTTATATTTAACTTATCTTGAAAATATTGATGGGAAATCATGGAAATTAGCCAAACCTCAACCAATTAATGTAAAACTTGAAAATAATTTTTCATCCGAAATTTCTTTGGTTTGTTGGAGTTCTTTAAGTACTGATTTAGCCGTAAGTGATGTTTTTGGTAATTTCTATATTTTATTGTCAGGAGTTCGTTTATTAGATCTGAAAAATGATTCTTCACCCAATTATGAATTAACAAGTTATAATCATATGGAAATGATTTACCGAGATATAATAAATCAAGATATTAAATCTACAATAAATCTAGGAGCTTCTATCGTCGCATTTAAATGGTTAAATATTGAAAAACATCAATTATTAAATAAACCTGCAAAATTAGAAAATAATGAATTTATTTATGGGGTGGGTCAATATCCACCTTATGGTATTACTCATCCTATATCGACGAAACAAGCATGTGTTGCATTAAGAAGAAACGGTCAATTTATGCTATATTACCAAGGTGAACATAAAGTTGAATATCATAAGACGTTAATAAATTTGACTGAACAAGTATTATATATACAAAAAGCTTCTATTGGGTTCAACAATAAGGATATTATAGTGACAATATGGGATTCTTTGAGTAATAGAATAGTGACTTATTCAATTGCAATAGAATGGGGTTTTTTGGTTGAATCTGCAAAAAAGCAAAAAGTTGACCCCCATTTTCATACACCCAAAGAACTACAAAAACCGCCAAAATTAAGCATTTCCAAGATTCATGAAATGATGCCAGAAGGTGAGGTTTCATCAATTGATATAATATCTACAAATGCAGAAAAATCTCCTTTAAATATTTTAGTAAGTTATGAATCAACAATTTATAGATATCAAATAATTCCTTCTATAAATCTAATATCAGATGCATTTATTGACTTGGGTGTCAAAAAAAACATCGAATTAGAAGAGAAACAAATTTTTACATTACAATTACAAGATAAATTGGTACGAGATGGTCAAGTTCAATCAATAATTTCTGGACCATCTGATCTTCACATAATGATTATTTACAAGCATGGTAGAATTGATGTTATAGATGTTTCAACTTGGAAGATAGTGGGCGAGCTGTCTCAGACTATATCTACTTTATTTGAGGCAGGGTATGTATTTCCAGAACTTGAATCTAATTTAATTTTAACTGTTTCTCCTAATATGTCAGCTGTTGTTTATACAAAGATTTACAATATGGACAATGAATTAAAAATACAACCTTTAATTAAAAATCTGGATAATTTATACAAAATATCAGTTGCTTTTGCTTACAGACATGCATACTCATGTTATACCAATACATGCTCTGATGATTTATTGTTACTAATTGAACCAGAAGATAAATTCATTACTCAAATTATTAAGGAATGTCATAAATCACTCAATTTTCAATCAGATTCATTTAATAAGGAATCAGCTGATAAATTATTATCTAATCCACCATTGCAAAAATTGTTATCATTACAATATACTTTAGGTGAATTGCAAAATAATTCAATGCGCGATTTAGCATGGATTGTATTAAATTTAAGAAGTACGAGTTTTGCAATTATGTTTACATTATCAAGTATTTATAGACAATTGTCTAAGAAAAAATCTGAAGATCGTTTACAAGATGCAGTCATTAGAGGTGAATGTATTTTATCATTAATTGGAAATGTACAATGGCTAATTGACTTGATAGCATATATAACTCAAGAATTACTACTGCTAACATTTCGTACCAAACATTCAAAACCTATTGAAAAGGCATTACCATTATTGATAAATAAAATTCCAAGATTATTTTTAATGTATGCTGTTCCATCAATTCAAAAATTTTATGAAATAATTAAAAAATTTTGTAAAGATGTCAATTTATTAAAACCAATGAAAGAAACATTAAATAGATTCTTTTTGATATATGATCCAATATTGTTTCAAAATTTTCAAAGTTTTTTATTATTTATTGATGCACTCATAACGAAAGAGTATAATGGTAAGGAAAACCTCATTATCAATCCAATTTCAGATTCAAATATAGGTAATTTGATACTTGAAAGGTTTAGTATTATAATATCCAAAGAAAGCAAGAGGTCTGATTTATATTTTCATGATACTAGATTAATACAAGAAATGAATTCATCTATTGACGGTTTAAGGAAAATAGTATTGAATGATGCAAAAACAAGAAGATGTACAAGATGTAGAGCAAATTCATTGATTAAAGATCCATTAGTATTTGACCAAAATGTTCCACTATGGACTATGGTGTTTCAAAGAAATTGCATATGTGGTAATAGTTGGGTAAATATATAAATCTATTTTACTTCCTTTGAGCTTTCTTTTTAGCCATCCATTTCATTACGAAGGGCATGACAGCATTACTCACAACAATCCAAGTGATCAATACTCCTATATTTCTACCCATATGACCTTTCCAGGCGTCAAAATAAGCAACATGTAACAAATCATAAGCATTTCTAACTGGCATAGCATAACCATATCTATAGAAATCAGGACATAAAACAATTGGTGAAACTGTTGGTGCAAGATTTGTAACAGCAACAAATAGCAATAAAAATCCAATCAATTGTGGTTTGATAACAAATAATAACAAAACTAATAACTCGATAATACTACCTAAACTTGCCATTGTTAAATATCCAAACATCCAAATAACTAAAAAACCTGAATAGCCAAAAGTTCTGGTAAAATCTAAACCAAAGGCCGTATTTAAAGTTACAAACGCTAATGAAACAATCAAATAAGCAAATTGTGCTGATAAAATTCTATAACCAACATACGGAAGCCCTTTAATCTTTTCAGCAATATACATATGAATTTTGATTGTAAATATGAATTGAAAAAATGCAAATATAACCAAATAAATCAAACCAATTTGTAATGGTGCTTGGAAAACTGGATTTTGTACTGGTAATAAATCCACAACTTTAAATGTTGGTATCGTGGTTACCAATTCTGGAGCATTATTCATTATGTTATTGACTTGTGTTTCATTCAAAGTATTCAACATACTTCCAACTAAATTTGATTGTGGTATAAAAGTATAGTAGCCTCTTAGTATTTGTTGATAAACTGTGATGATATAATTATTCACAGCATTATAATCTCGTCCAGTTTCATAAACCAATTCCATTAGACTAGTACTTATATTAAAATTTTGACCTGTAGCTAAGGCTTGATACCACTGTAGCGTTGCGTTTTCGCGAACATAAAACCCAAGCCATACTTTTTGATGATGAATTTGTCGATAAACTTCTTCTGTTATATTATTATTATGAGATTTAGCAGCTTCATCGAGTTTTTCATAATTCCACACTTGGAAATCTCCAGCTGCTTGTATTGCTGTTACGTTTGTGAAAAAATATTCAATTGTTTTTCCAACAATGTTTGGCAAAACACCTACCGGTTGATCTGCAATATAAATACCCATTTTCATTCTTTTGAATCTAGAAGTACGATTGTAATATGAACCCCAATATATACATAATGCAATACAAAGACCAGCTATTAAATAAATGTAATTGTAAATAAATCGTAGAATGATTTTGGTTCGTTCATTTTTAAATTCCTTGTCCCAAAATTTATATTTTTGTACCACTTCTGCAGCTGTTGACTTACGTCTTTGAGTGGGAGCATCTTCATAATTAGTCTTTTCTGTCGATGATTCATTCAATTCTTCACCAGGTGGTCGTTCTTGATTTTTAGTTAATGTTTCTGTCAATTGACCAATACCAAAAGCATCATCCATAAAATTAGCCTCATTTAATTCTACATAATCATTTTCTTCTTCCTCTAATAAACTTAGTTCATTTGAAGAATCTAGTGAAGCATTAGAGCTTGACTGTTGTGTTATCGGCTCTTCCTTCATTTAGCGTATTTGCAAGAAGATATTTTCTTTCCTTCTATTATCTGAAATTGCGCTCAACGCGGCTTTAACAATATAAAATAAAAAAGAAAAAAATAATACTATTATATCAATAGTTTGAACCATAGAAATCAAAATTTGAATGTCGGAACTGGTGGACCCTTTAGATTATGATCCAGCAAATGGAGTTGGAGGAGGAGGGATTACAACTGATGCAATTGAAAAAGTTCAAAGTAGGAGGCACGAGGAAGATGAAAAAGAGTTACCTTACGAAGAAAGTTTAACATGGCCTCAAAGATTCAAGGAGTATATCTTAGTTGCTCCAAAGTTTGCTAAAGCTTACATTACAGTATTTGTTATATTCATGGGGCTATTGAGTTTATATTGGGGGCTGATGTATAGAAGATTTGACAGATATAAAAATATGGATTATTTGGTGATTAGTCAAGATGAGTCTTTCCAATTTGAAGGTCAACTTATAAATCCTTCGGTTAATGATGCATTTATGGAGATGTTGAATAACGAGCCGATTAGTAATCTCGGGAAATATCATGTTAGGAATATTACAGAGTTTAAAGAATTAGCGATTAAACACAATAACACAGTATTAGAAGAAGTAATAAGACAAGTTCATCATCAAAAATATTGGGCAGGGGTTTATATAGCTCCAAATACTACTTATAATCTTTATTCTAGTTTTCATCAAGGTATACCTTTCGTCAAAGTTAACGAGTCAGTTTCATTAATATATGAAACTGGAAGACATTATTCAGGGTTATCACAGTATATATTTAGAAATATGGACGCCATGAATGAAGAATGGGTTAGATTTTATGTTTCAGACGTTTATCAAACTATACTTTCATCATTAAATTCAACTGAGAAACAAAACTTAGCATCTAATATTAGCATACTTACAACATATCCAACATTTAATTTTATGGATCAAAGACCAGCGTCAACGCCAGCATCATTAGGGCCATCGGAATTAGGATTGGTGTATGCTTTGCTTTTTTCATTTCATCAATTTAATTTTTCCTTAGAGATTTATTCATTTATGAGGAAAAGAATAAAATATAGATCATATCTATTTTATAGATTTTTGGCATCACAGATCAATGCCTTAGTTTTAGCATTAGTTTATGCTTTAGTTACAATAGCATTCCAAGTGCCCACAAATGTTACATTTGGTCATTCAGGATTTGTCGTATTATGGATGTTTATTTTCCTATATATGAGTTCCATGGGGACAATTAATGAAAATGTTGTATCGGTTTTATTTGCATTTGATAAAAAGACATTGATTGCACCTTGGATGATTTTCATGATTGTTACTAATATATCAGTTACATTCGCACCTTTTGTATTAAGTCCAGGATTTTATAAATATGGATATGCATCTCCAATGTACAATACATATGAAGCTTTAAAAGTTGTATTTTATAATACCTGGAAAGGGCATCTTGGTAGGAACTTAGGTATATTGGTTTGCTGGATTGTTGTAGGTAATATTTCATTAATATTTGTATCTAATTGGGCAACTAATAAAGCTAAAAGACTAGCGAAAAAGCAAAAGACAGGTTGAATTTTAATTTATAGTTTCATCAATGATATCAACTGTAGCTGTATTCTTAATTGATCTTCCAAATCTCATTAGATCGAAATTCTCCTTAATTTTATCTTTCCAATAATCAAAACCTGAAATATTTTCATTTGACAATAAATTTTCTAAAATCTCCAATTTCAAATTCCACAAATGCGTGTTTGATATGTTAATTTCCAACAATTTTGATGTTAGAATGTTTGGTAAGTTGTTGAATAAGTATGATTTAAGAAAATCTTCTTTTGACACAATAAGTAAAAAATTGTATAACATATCTAATGGTAATATCGATAATTTTTCATTATTGACATAATTATGCAAATGTACAAATATGGACTCAATCTTTACAAAGTTCAAGAATATTGGAAAGTAATACTTATCTAACAATTTGATTTGCGATATTATATCCTCATAAAAAGAAGGATTCAATTCAAGAACTAAATTTGCATTTGACATACTGACCAACTTAATATCCAATTCATTTTTTTCAAATATCCTTATAAGGTTGTAAGTCTTATAAACATTTAATTGTTGTAATAACTTAAAATAAGACTTAGTGTATGAAATTTTCGAAATTAAATGAACAACTTCTGATTGAACAATTTCATCAAGTCTTGAATTTATTGTGATTATATCTTTTATAGCATTTTCAACATTTAATTTTTTATGAATCTTCTCATAAAATTGTAAAAGTAAGATCAAAAATAAGGGATCATCATTGAATGATAAAATTTCTGATTTATTAAACAAGTATAATGATGAATCAATGCTCGTTTTGAGCGAGATGATTTGAATTAAATCTAAATATCTTGATAAGAGAGTGGTGTTGCTTTCCTTTCTGATTGATTTAATTAAATTTGTAGATGAGTTAATCAATGAAACTTCCTGTAAATTAGCTATCAACTTCTCAATATTGGAAATAACTTCAATTGGTGTTTCTAGATTGAAATATTGCTTTATCAACTCTTCAATGACGTTATTCTCCTTTAAAAATCGAATAGTTTCTGGTTGATCGATATTCAAAATTAAAATTTTTAAACATAAGATGGAAATTATATTTGCTGAATATAAATTTTGAAGAATAAAATGTTGTGGATAATAATGTAAAATCTCTTCGAATGTTAAAAAACTGAGTAATTTCTCTAATAATTGTATAAGTAGTTGATTTGGATCAATTGTTAAATATTCTGAATCTAATAGTACCTGATTAATAATGATTATAAAATTTGAAATTGTTTGATCTTCTATTGATTGATTTGACGCTAAAATAAATTGATCGACTAATTTATTATCAATTTCTGACTTTGTTCGATATGATGATTGTACATTTATTAATACATCGTTGATAAAGTTATCCATTATTGAATGATTAAATCTCGAAGGCTGCAATTTTTCGGTGAGACACAAAATTTATCTTGAAGCCAAAAAAGGGGCCAGCTAATGCGAAATTATGGTTCTACATTCATGGGCATATCTTTAATTAGAGTCATCTGATGATGCTAGAGAACATGTTGCGCTCGCTAATTGTTTGATTACTACTGTATATTAATTCAAGGACCTTTCAGTTCTTTACACATAGTATAAATGATTAAGATTCCATCCAATGACCAGTATATTAAAATTTACCGTTAAAATTTAATAAGGTTGATTTTTGGTGTAAAAATGTTGATTCGACAATTCCTAAACCTCTATACATATAGACCAATATATTATATATATTATATGCAAAACATCACTAGTATCCATGCATAAGGTCTCAATATCAGTTGAAAATTCAAAAATAACACCACTGGTCAACTGATCAATTCACCAAACTCACTTCAAAGCCGAATGCTGCGTAATTGTGCTCATTGAAGTTTGATCTTTCCTTGTATCTCTCTCTTTCTTTTTGAAAGCATTCCTCATCTTTGACGCAATTGTTGAAGTAGTAGATCTGATTGAAATATTAGTTTGATCGTCCTTTTTATCCTTTGAATATTTCATAATTAATGATATTTCTTTTGATGAATTGACTTTCTTCACTGATGACTAATAATGTAATTCATAATGATGAACCAAAAATCTAATGAATGTACGGCTTAAAAAGATCTTTACGGGGGTCTATTGAAAGTAGTAAAGAGGCTTAAATTCGAACCCTGGGATTCTATGAAAGTATAAACGTGTAATAATAAGGGAAGGTTGAAATTTTTGAATTATAATCTAATTTGAGGTTACGAGTAGAGTTTGCGCTAGATTTAGTATCGGTACTTGTATAACCACTGCTCAGTATTCAATGAAGTCAAGATTCTATTGATATTCATTACTTTACTTTTAATAATAATTCCAAACCAAATATGACTTATATACAGGCAAGTAGCTTATCATAAAACTTAAATTGTTAATAACTCCCTCGATATCCAAGCTGTAGTTATCCAATTGCTAGGTAATTGACATTTGGATCTTGTTTAACTACTTCTAATATAGCTGGTTTAGTTTATCCAAGCTCAAGTACTTTTTGTATGACGTATTTAAGACGCCAAAACCGGTTTGAAAATTTTACGAAAATTGCGAACCACTTTAGAGAAATTGCTCTTCCAATTAAAGTAACTTGACTCAATAAATGTTAAGCTTTATCAGGTTACAGGATCTACAAAATTGGATATATCAATAATACTCTCATCACTTATTTCGAATGTGGAATTAGATTTTTCGTAGGGTTCTTTGATTCAAAATTCCTCAGTTTTTGTTCAAATGAGCCAATATTACGCTCACCACCTTGAAACGAGGTCTTGTATAAATATTTCGTTGTTTAATTGGAAGTATAAGCCTAAAGTAAATTATATATGCGTTCACAATTTTCTAAAAAATTTTGTTTGGTGGAACAATGCCAAAAATTCAATCTTAAAAAAATATATCTGATTTCTAAGATTTGACATATGTAGCGGTACAGAAACGATGGTTTCAGGTTTTATTTAAGTGATTCTTATCTCAAGGAGATGAGTTTCATTCTAGATAAAATTCAATAAATCTAATACGCGGGTCGTCTCAAGGCTAGCGCTAAAACCTATTATATCGCTCCCCATCATTAGGCATCACATCATATTCATATAGGATTATTAAAATAAGAGATATATAAATGTCTATTTTTTGTAGTAAATATTATGTGATATCAAGGCTTAAGTTTTGGATCATAGTGAATATCTAACATGGTTGAAAAGTTTTCAATTTGGTAATAAATACACTTGGTAGCGATGTAACGCTGTAAAATGTACGAAAATGGTACCAATTCTTCTCGCCTTGAGCTAAAAATGGACGGGCAATTTTTTTGGCACCAGTAGGTTACAGACTCGTTAATCTGAGATCGAAAATTCTGAAACAAATTATTATATATGCAGTTTCACAACAATAGTTAACCTCATAGTTTAATTTATAAAGAACTCCTCCAATGAGTTTTATAGGTTTCTTTCACAATAATGAACAAATTGCAGAATAATACTCTATCTTTTGTTTACTCTCATAATATTTATTTAAAACTAGACGAAAGCTAAACAGTATAAAATTACACAAAATCCCATGCACGGAAGATGTCAAAAAATAAATCATGTTCTAGAAACATGAAGGTTTCTAAAGTGACATGTAACGGAAATACGAGATAAAGTTTATATACAATCAGAGCAAGAGCATCTGTATTCCTTGCCAAACAACTCGTCCATGGTAATAAATGGAATTTGCAAATTAGTATTATCCAGTTTAACAAATAAACAAACAACTAAATAAGTTAAATTTATTAAACTTGGGTTTTTCTGTTTATTTTAGGCGGTTTAATAAAGAATCGAATGCGAAATAAATTTATTGTTTATTACCAGATTTGGAATAATTATAAATAAATGTTATATAAGCATAGTGATAATCCTTACATAATGAAAGGTAAACATTAAAATATTTTTTGCAATTGCAATCAAAATCAATGTATTCTTGTAATTATTTTAATAATTGGTCTAGTTCATCTTTAAATCAAAGTTTAGGTTTTTGGTTGTTTACTTGTTAGTTTGAAAAAAAAAACACAATAAACACAATTGGGCCCGGGCAGACTTATACATATTTCAATAGACCTCCATGATACGATATATCCAATTAAGTATCACAATCATATCGATATGTTTATTAGTAATACTGAGTATTTTAATACTTATCAAGGATGACTCAAATGTATACCCAATACTATACTCGGCAAGTTCATTCTTACTACTGCTTTACCTTATACTACCATTGATAATTCATAATTTTTATTTGATTCTAATTCAACTTATACTATCATTATTGAATATAATATCTGGTATATTATATACTATCAATTACAATTATAAAGTACCAATCATACTATTTATTGTTGATATCATATTTTTAACAGCTTCATTTGTAATATTACTTGTATTACCATATATCATAAATAATCGTGATCAAATTATAACTAAAAAGAATTCAGATGCTACATTATACGATAAAGAAGATGTAATTATAAATTGGACTGAAAAACCAGTTCAACAACTACCACCACCGCTCCCATATTCAAATTCTAATAACTCGAACCTCACTGATGACTCAATTATGAATTTGGATGATGAATTAAGAGTTAAAAAACGTTGGAAATCGATAAATGATGAGCGAGTGTTTTTATCGAATATAAATGATTCTTTATTACCACCGGTTTTGAAAAATTTTCAAGATCAAGAAGATTATTCCAATGTTATGATTGGATTAGAAGATATACCAAAAAATGACACAATCTCAAAGAAATCACAATCTTATATAAATTTGAATAATGTAAAAGATTATGAAAAAATTCGAAATATTTCAGGGTATTCATTAACTCCAGGTACAAATTATATTGAAAAAAGACCAGTTTCTCAAAGATCATTAAGTGCTCCATCTATTACATTAGCTCCAATCTCATCAAAACATTCGCCACCAAAGAAATTAAGTCCAAAGAAAATATTCAAATCAAATAGTCTACATAAACATTCAAATTCAGTAACTACACAAATTTCAAACTTTTCTTCAAGATCAAATTCACCAAAGAAATTAAAATCATTTTTAAAACTACATAAACATAGTGTTTCAGTACCTAACTTTCAAACTACAACTAATTCAAAATTTAATCAATTAAGTCCAAAAAATATTGAACCTATTGATTTATGGGATATTCAAACAACAACAAATTTTTCAATTGATGATCAACCTCCACATACAGGTGAAAATAGTAGAATTAGTTCTTTACCATCACAAGTAATTGGTGAATATGATAAAGAAAAATGGCGAACATTGAAAGTTTTAAATAAGAATGAAAATATATAACAATTTTTTTTTTTTTTTTTTTGGTTTGACATCGCGTTTCAAATTATTTGCAACAAAGTCATCACTATGGACGATTTATTCGATGTATTTGATGAAAAACCAATCATACCTCCAAAAATAGAAGAAGTACAAACATCGAATGTCAAGAGAAAACATGAAGATGATAATGGAGTAGAAGAAAAATCAAAAGATCAATTAAAAAAGGTAAAACAAGAAGTTAAGCCAGTCGTTTTTGATTCTGTTGAAATTGAAGCTTCAAGAGAAGTTGAGGCAAGTCAAGGTTTGCAAGGTACAAGCACTCAAGATGGTAAATTGAAATTAAGACATCAAGTTAGACATCAAGTTGCAATTCCTCCTTCATATCCATATATCCCAATATCTGAACATAAACGTGAAAAGCAAGCAAGAACATATCCATTTACGTTAGATCCATTTCAAGATACTGCTATTTCATGTATCGATCGTAATGAAAGTGTTTTAGTATCAGCTCATACATCAGCTGGTAAAACAGTGGTTGCAGAATATGCAATAGCACAAAGTTTAAGAGATAAACAAAGAGTAATATATACATCACCTATAAAAGCATTATCAAATCAAAAATATAGAGAATTACAAGCAGCATTTACTGATGTAGGTTTAATGACTGGTGATGTTACAATAAATCCAGATGCTGGTTGTTTAGTCATGACTACGGAAATTTTAAGAAGTATGTTATATAGAGGTAGTGAAGTGATGAGAGAAGTCGCATGGGTTATATTCGATGAAGTACACTATATGAGAGACAAATCAAGAGGTGTTGTGTGGGAAGAGACTATAATCTTGTTACCTGATAAAGTTCATTATGTTTTCTTATCAGCTACCATTCCAAATGCCATGGAATTTGCTGAGTGGATAGTTGATACTCACAATCAACCATGTCATGTTGTCTATACAGATTTTAGACCAACTCCATTGCAACATTATCTTTTCCCAGCTGGTGGTGATGGTATACATTTAGTTGTTGATGAGAAAGGTACATTTAGAGAAGAAAATTTCCAGAAAGCAATGGCAACTATCAATGATACTACTGGTGATGATCCAAATAGTGATTCTGCAAGAGGTAAAAAAGGTCAAACTTTCAAAGGAAAGACTAAAGATGGAAAATCAGATATTTATAAAATCGTTAAAATGATATACATGAAGAAATATAACCCAGTTATTGTTTTCTCCTTTTCAAAAAGAGAGTGTGAGTCATTAGCTCTTAAAATGTCAAAATTGGATTTAAATACTGATGAAGAAAGAGAAGCATTGACACAAATTTTTAATAATGCTATTAATATACTACCTGAAGCAGATAAAGAATTACCGCAAATAAAAAATATACTACCATTATTGAAAAGAGGTATAGGTATACACCATTCTGGTTTATTACCAATTCTTAAGGAAATTATTGAGATTTTATTTCAAGAAGGTTTTTTAAAAGTTTTATTTGCTACTGAAACTTTTTCAATTGGTTTAAATATGCCTGCTAAAACAGTTGTTTTTACTTCAGTTAGAAAATGGGATGGAGTTGGTTTCAGATGGGTTTCAGGTGGTGAATATATTCAAATGTCTGGTAGAGCAGGTAGAAGAGGTTTAGATGATAGAGGTATTGTTATAATGATGATTGATGAAAAAATGGAACCCCAAGTTGCTAAAGGAATGGTCAAAGGTCAGGCTGATAGATTAGATTCTGCATTCCATTTGGGTTATAATATGATTTTGAACTTAATGAGAGTTGAAGGTATATCACCGGAATTTATGTTGGAGCATTCATTTTATCAATTTCAAAATGCAGCAAGTGTACCCAAAATGGAACAACAATTAAGGATATTACAAGATGATATTAAAGATATATCAATTGATGATGAATCCACAGTTAAAGATTATTTTGAATTAAAACAACAAATTAATAGATATTCAAATGATGTAAGAAAAGTGATTATCCATCCTGGTTATATCCTCCCATTTTTACAAGAAGGTAGAGTTATCAAAATCAAAATTGGTGATCATGATTATGGTTGGGGTATGGTTTTGAATTTTGCTAAAAGAAATATTCGTCACCAACAAGAATTCACAGCACATGAGTCATATGTCGTTAATGTATTTGTGTATAGCATGTTTGTTGACTCACCGGTCAATTTAATCAAACCATTTAATCCATTATTACCTCAAGGTATAAGACCAGCATTACCTGGAGAAAAATCAAGAGCAGAGTATATCCCAATAACATTGGATTCAATTGAGAAAATAAGTTCAGTTAGGTTAAAAGTACCAGCAGATTTAAAATCAGCAGATGCAAAGAGAATTTTGGTTAAGACAATGAAAGATTTACCAAAAAGATTGAAAGATGGTATACCAATTATGGATCCAGTTGAAAGTATGAAAATCAATGATCAAGAATTTAAGATGTTAATTAAAAAAATAGATGTTTTAGAAAGTAAATTGATATCAAATCCATTACATGATTCAGTACGATTAAATGATTTATATTCAAAATATGAACATAAAGTTGGTATAGAGAAAAAAATAAAGGAGCTTAAAGAAAAAATATTAGAAGCTGAAGCAGTAATACAATTAGATGACTTAAGACATAGAAAAAGAGTACTTCGAAGGTTAGGATTTACTACACAAAATGATATAATTGAATTAAAAGGTAGAGTAGCTTGTGAAATAAGTACAGGTGATGAATTATTATTAACTGAACTCATATTTAATGGTAATTTTAATGATTTAACAAGTGAACAATGTGCTGCTTTATTATCATGTTTTGTTTTTCAAGAACGTGCCAAAGAAACACCAAGATTAAAACCAGAATTAGCAGAACCATTAAAATTAATGCAAGAAATGGCATCAAAAGTTGCTAAAGTATCTCGAGAATGTAAAATTGAAATTATAGAAAAAGATTATGTTGAATCATTTAGACCAGAATTAATGGAAGTTGTATATTCATGGTGTAAAGGTGGTACATTTACTCAAATTTGTAAAATGACTGATGTTTATGAAGGTTCGTTAATTAGAATGTTTAGAAGATTAGAAGAATTGATTAGACAATTAGTCATGGCAGCTAAAACTATTGGTAATAATGAATTGGAATTAAAGATGGAAAAATGCTTAGAATTAGTTCATAGAGATATAGTTTCCGCTGGATCATTATATTTATAAGTGAGAAAAAAAATGAATATTAGCCATACGGTCATGACTTCTAAAAGAATATTACACTCTAATGAAATTGAATTATTATTTGTTAAATCTGGTGTATATCTACATCCATCAAAGCTGAAGAAAGATAATATAAATGGTTATTTAATATTATATAGAGTAGCAAATGTAACAAATTTAGAAATTACATTACAATTTATACCTGAATCTCAATTAGATAAAGATAATATTAAAAAATATAATGATATTGATACTAGCAATTTCATTCAAGTTAAACCAGGCAGAGCATTTGTTTCAAGAATAGTTGAAAAACCAAGTTCTTTATTATTATCAACATCTTTTTCAATTCAAATTTCTTATATTTATTCAATACAATTTCGCCCACCCTCACCTGGTTATTATTATGGCTCAATTATAATTAATACACAAGAAGGAGATAAATTACCAATATTGTTCTTCCATGATGATGAGTCGAAATCCACAATTGAATCACAAAAATTAAAAAATAAAAATTTTGAAACTTTTGATAATAATGAATTATATTGGGGTGCCATTGATTTTTTAACATTTTTAAAATCAGTTGTTAATGTTCAACAAAGTACAATTGAACCAAGTGTTTGGTTGATAAATCCACAACTGAATGATTTAAGAAATTTTGCTCCTTTTAAAATTAAACCTAAAAAAGAAGAAGAATCTTTTGATTTTGGTAAATTTTTAAATACTGCAAAATGGAAAGTTTTAGAAACTGTAGCTACATTATCTGCAAAAACCAAAAATTCATTAACTGATTTAATAGATGAAAATGCACCAAAGCCAATAAAAGATATTTTATATACACAACCTGAAGTTATTAAAATTGGAGATGATTTTGATTCTGCTCGTATTTATTTAGCTAAATGGGCTCAACAAGTTAAAGAAGAAGCAGAAAGGAGCTCGAATTTAATGGGTGATGATATATCATCAAAAATTGATAAAGAATTGAGTGGTGAAAATGTGATACTAACTCAAGAAGAAGTTAACAGCACTACTAGATTAAATTTAATCTCAAAAACAGAATGGGAGTCCTATTTTGATTATTCTGGTAGATTGAGAATTACTATTGATGAATTGAAATCTAGAATTTTTCATGGTGGATTATCTGAAGAAATTAAAAGAGAAGGTTGGTTATTCCTTCTTGAAGTTTATCCTTGGGAATCTTCAACTGAAGAGAGATTAGTGCTTGATCAATCATATGAATCTTCGTATTTGGATCTTAAAAAGAAATGGATAAATGATGATGTGAAACGAAATAATGAATTTTGGAAAGATCAAAAGTTTAGAATTGAAAAAGATATAAATAGAACTGATAGAAATTTGGAAATTTTCAAAAGTAATGGTCATGCTGAAGGAGATGATGAATTTGATGTTTCAAATATTACAAATCCACATTTATATAAAATGAGAGAAATTTTAATTACTTATAATGAATATAATGAAAATTTGGGTTATGTACAAGGTATGTCAGATTTATTGAGTCCATTATATGTTTTAATTAAAGATGAATATTTGGTATTTTATGCATTTGCTCATTTTATGATTAGAATGGAAAGAAATTTTCTTAGAGATCAATCTGGTATGAAAGAGCAAATGGTTACTTTGAATAAATTGTTACAATTTATGATTCCTGATTTATATTTACACCTTGAAAAATGTCTGTCTACAGATTTATTCTTTATGTTTAGGAGTTTACTAGTATGGTTTAAAAGAGAGATTTCTTTTGAACAAACTATAAGTTTATGGGAAGTATTATTTACAAATTATTATACCAGTCAGTTCCATTTATTTATTGGGTTGGCAATTTTATCACAAAATAAAGTTGCAATTACAGAATTACAAGATTTTAGTGATGTGATTAAATATGTTAATGATTTAGGTTCAAGTATAAAATTAGATCCATTATTTGTCAGAGCTGAATTATTATTTTTGAAATTTAAAAGAAAAGTAAGTTTAATTACAAGGAGTGAAACTGAAGAGGAATTTACTTTAGATAAAGATTTAGAAGGTTTATTATCTAAAAATCTTGTAATTCAAAAAGAGAAACCAAGAGAAGAAGGTCAAGGTGGTGGTTAATTATATAGGTTCTACTTTTATTTATTTAATATATTGCGGGTTTTTATGAGATTATCAAGTAAAATTTGACTCGGAATGTTTTTAAACCGTCATATTCGAATTTTTTGTATATTCACGATTGATTTAAAACCCGTCAAAATCTACAATTTGCTTATAAGCGAGATCGTTTTAATTAATACCGAATTATATGAAGATCGTGTACCTTTTAATTGTTTATACCGAATTTAATCAAAAGCCGAAGCGAACTATATTTATATGCAGAAGTACTAAAAAGCTTAATCGTTCCGAACCACGTTCCATGCTTTCGAGATTGTTACAACTGTATCTTCATTAAACTATTAAAGTTTTATACTCATCAACTCATCTTAGCTAATAATTTATTTTTTAATTTAGTTTTTCATTTATTTTTTACCCATCGCAATATAATAATTTATCATCATTCAAATAACAATTCAACCATGAATGAAAGGACACGTTTAAAACAAACTTCAGATGAAGAAGCTCAATATGAATATGAAGAAGAAGAATTTAAATTTTCAAATCAAGCTAAAATTACAATGGGTTTATTTATAATATTAATGCTTGGTTTTTTCACTATTTTGCTTCCAAACTATTATATACCAAAATCAATAACATTACAACCAATAATAAAGGTTAAAGACCTACAAGTTTCATTAACTCCTGACAAACATAAGTTACTTAAAGAAAGACTAATTTTGATAGGTGACGTACATGCTCATCTTAAGGAGTTTAAAAAATTATTGAAAAAAGCTGAATATAATAAAAAAGTCGACCATGTAATTGTATTAGGGGATTTTATAAGTAAAGGACCAGATAACCTACCATTATTGAATTATTTAATTGAAAATGATATTGATTGTATTTTGGGTAATCATGAATTTTCAATCTTACAAAATTATGCCACGTTTCATGGATTAAATCAACCAAACTTTGAAAAAGATCCACAAAAAGAAGGTGAGAAGGTTGTTGGGCCCCATGCGACTTTAAAATATCCAGAAATTGTGATCAAGGAAGAAATTGGTTATGAAAATTCAAATGAGAATATTGTTAATGCTCATGTATCATTAAATAATCCGAAAGTTGTAGAAGTTATTAGTACAAAAGACTCAGGTGATTTCTCCAATGGTAAATTGTTCAAAGATAACAAGATTACCAAGAAAGATTCTTTCAATAATGATCCAGATTTTTTATTAGCTAAAAAATTACAACCAAACCATGTTAAATATATTAATCAATGCTCAATAATGAAGACATTAGGTGTTGTTCCAAATGGAAATGGTGTTGCTGTACATGCTGGATTAGTACCTAATCGTCCACTTGAACAACAAAATCCATTTGATAATTTATTTATGAGAAATTTAATAGCTCCATTTTATAATGAAACGTGTGAAGATTATGATGTTCCCAATTCAAGAAGTTGGAGTAAAGTATATAATGAAATTAATGATGATGACACCGTTGTTTATTATGGACATGCAGCAAGTAGAGGATTGGATATTAAGAAATTTACAAAAGGTTTGGATAGTGGTTGTAATAAAGGAGGTCAATTGAGTGCTATGGTAATAAGAAGAAAAGGTAAGAAATTGGTTGAAGAAGTAGTACTGGTTAATTGTTAATGAGATTAATGAGATTAATGAGATTAATGAGATTAACGATTAACGAGATTAATGAGATTAATGAGATGTTTAGTTGTTAATTGGACTTTTGATAGTGTTTGATTACTATATCTTTATAAACTAAAAAACTTGTATCTTTACAGTGATATAAACAGTTGAGACATTACGCATTGGTCAAGCACAAGGAACTGTTGTTAAACCTTAAATTTGCAGCTCAATAAAGATGATTGTAAGAAATCAAAGAAAATAGAATACGAAAATCGAGATTACAATTAGTTAAACTATAAGTTTAGTTTACTTTAGTTTAGTTTAGTTTAGTTTGGTTTAGCTTAGCTCAGCTTAGCTTAGCTTAGCTTGAAACAATTATAGAAAAAGATAGAGATTAATAGATGACAGACAGACTTCTAATATTAAAAATTTGGATAAGCATTGTACAATTTTCAATTTTCAATTTTCAATTTCTATTATATATTTCCCTAAACTAGCAAAACTCCATATTCCCATTTAAAAAACAAACACAAACACAAAAACAAACACAAAAACAAACACAAACTATATAAACTATATAAACCTTATATATCATCATATTAAGCAAGCAAGTAGAATTAAATTAATATAAATTAATATAATTCACAATATTCTGCGATATTAGGATGTAAAACATTCTTAATATCTTTATTAATATTACCAGCACTAGCATTATTGGATAAATTTTGTAACCCACACGAAGTATAATTTGAAACAATTCTATCAATTGAAACTTGATCATTTGCAATTAATTTATTCCCATAATCAATTATTAATAAATTCGGAATTAAATTTTTAAAATTTTGATAATTATGAATAGTATCATGTAAATCAAATGATTTTAATAGTTTAATTTTATTATTATTTTCATGAATTAATTGTAATATAATAGATTTATTATCTGGATGAATCATTAAAGTTTCATTAATAATAAAATTAAAATCTGATTCTGTAATCGATTGATTTGCTTTATCAATTAATTTAAATCTACAATTTTTTTCATTAAATGAATTTAATTTATTTAATAAATTATGAGATAATAATGAATTTGAATTATGATAAATTACTAAATTGGATGTTTTAATTATACTTTTACCACTTATTGTATTTGATTTAAATAAATTCTTAAACATAATTTTTTGCTAAAGAAATGTAAAGAACAAAAAGAGAATAAAGAGAATGAAAAAAAATAAAAAAATATCAAAACATCTTTCTTTATCTATCTATTTATACTCAAATTTTTTTTTCTTATCGTCTATAAAAGATTAAAAAAGAGGGGAATATATTAATCCATTTGACATACAAAAAAACCCATTAAAAAATATTTTTAGTTAAGAATAATTAATCCGATCCAATAAAAAAACATTATTAATCAAAAGAATAAACTAAACTACCATGTGGTCAATTTGATATTGGTTATAAATTGATCGTTTTTCATACCAGTCAAGTGTATGATTAAGTATTGATCTGTTTAATTAAGTACGTAGATTAGATTGAATTAGATTGAAAGGTGTTAAAAAAATTCGCTTGGAAAGTCCGAATAGATCTAATAATAGATTTTTTCTTTTGTGTTGTATTGTATTGTATTGTATTGTATTATATTGTGTAGTATTGTGTAGTATTCTATAGTATTGTGTAATATTCTATAGTATTGTGTAGTATTCTATAGTATTGTATTCTCATCGTTTAATTTAATTCATAGCCCAAAAAACTTCAAATTATTTTGGATTATAGCAATTTCAACAATTTCAACAATTTCAATTCTAAGACACATAACCAATTTCATTCAACGCCTTCAAGATTGAGATTCCCCCCCTCTAAACAACGTGCATTATGCCAAAATCATCTATTTTGATAAGATGTTAAGTATGTTGTTACAATTTTTGCTATGTAATGCTTATCAATCGTTTATTATATAATTAGAAGATAAGGGATATTTATTTGCTAAAAAACTTTGATAGAGATTTGGAGATTTGAATATGGTTTCTTTTGGGTGGCGATAAATTATTAAAAGTTGGTAGCATTTTTTTTTTTTTTTTTTTTTTTTTACTTCTAGATTTAAATCTATTTTATTCCCCTCCGTTTATCTTTATGCAAACTCATCTCTGACACTTGACCTGTAGATTGAGTTGACTCTGATTGTTTAGTTTTGTTTTATTTGACTCCATAAGTAGTGCGTAAATCAATGCAACATAATTAGAAAGGAAACAAAAATAAAGTCTAAGTTCTTTGAAGGGGGGTTGGAAATGAAAATGTAAAGATAAATCACCTTATAAATCTAGTACTAATATCGTCTTGGCCATCTATCGCCTTGGAGATAACGGCCTTGGAGATAACGGAGATAATTATCCGTCCCGAGTTAATGAAACGATTTACAATTTCTTTGGTTCAATAATTAGCGTGAGTCGTAGTATATACTACAGTAGGTCAAAAAATTACTGATCTGGACAAATGTTTCAGAATTAATAGCAATATGCAGGATTTAGAAATCATATAATAAAAATAATCAAATAACTTAATAATTTAATAATATTATTGTAACTACAATATCATATTTAAACTTTTCGGTTATCTTTACAAATTTTATCTTGGAAATGTTAGTTTTAGATCAGTGACTTTAAAACTTTCTAATTTGAAAGTTCTTAGATCCAAAAATGATACACCATTTCCAAAAGATTTATTTGATGATTGAATCAAATATTTCCCTCGATTGTTATATTCTTCAATTAAATAGAGCTTATGCTTTAATTAAATAGAGCTTATCAACATTTCCCTCATTTGTTATGCTTTAATTAAATAGAGTTTATCAAACATTTCCCTCGATTGTTATGCTTTAATTAAATTGAGCTTATGCTTTAATTAAATTGAGCTTATCAAACATTTCCCTTAATTGTTATGCTTTAATTAAATAGAGCGTATAATAATTCATTTCAAAATTTTAAGTGTTCATTAAACTTGTGAATCGAATTATTCTATTGAGCTCAAGTAGAGTAATTCTGATTTGAAGATTAGGATATCGGATTCAACCATTTGACAGCAAATTCCTAATTCTAATGCGAGCATCACGTGAAAAAAAAAAAACAAAGCTCCCGCACCAAAATAAGGCCAATTATACTACACTACACTACACTACTAGATGGCCCTAATGGGTTTTTTAATTTTTAATAAGTTGATAAATAATCAATGAACCAAACATCTGTGTACCAATGAATACTGTCTTTTTTTTTTTTTTTTGGTTTTTTGTTTTATCTAGAAAATATCATTTTAGCTTGGTCTGATCTTACTAACAAAGCCCAACTTTGTCAACACGAAAAATAAAAGTTCGAAATCGCTTTTTTCGATAGACAAAGACTTTTGAGAATTCCGAATTATGATCCAAGATTCCGAATTATGATCCAAAATTCCGAAGTATTAGACCGTGAATCTTCGATAAATATATATATAATATACATATATATATATATCTAATTTTTCCAGTTTAAAAAATGACTTTTTGATGTAGTTCACACCTAAACATATTTTATTATGTTAGAATTCATTGGAAAAGAAATATTTTGCAGCCAAATTTAAATAAATAATATTGTTCGAGTCATTGTAAATGTTCTATGTTTATCCCCTACATAACCAAACATGAGTTTATTATAAATTAAACCAACATTGTATCAATTTTCAATCAATATCAGAGATTTAAACATGTTTAAACTATCATTTAAAAGAGGAGCTTTATTATCTCGTTCATCAATTCCATCAATTCCATCAATTCCATCATTTAGAACATATTTAACTTCATGGCCTGCTATATCATCATTACCTAGATTATTACCAGTATTAACAAGAGACATTATTGATTATAATTGGATAAATGAAGAAAAATCAATTAATGAATATTTAAAAACAAAAGAAGAATCAAATAAATATATAGTAACAATAAATGACCCAAAAATTAAAGATAAGACTTTGACATTAAAATATTTAAAATATGAAAATGCTTTATTAGTTAATATTAAACAAAATATTAATAATTTAAATAAAAATAGTGAACTGATTTATCAAAGTTTATTTGAACTGAAATATTATTTTAATCAACCAATAAATTACAAACAAATTAAAGCTAATAATGAAAAAGATGAAGGAATTATTGAAATTACAATACCAAAATTACAAGATTCAAAAGAAGATGAAAATATAATCAATATTCCTTTTAAGAGTTCACACTGTAGTAGTAATAATAGTAGTAATAATAATAATAATAATAATAGTAGTAATACTAATAGTAATAAGAATATTAATTCGTAAATATTATATAATATATTACATAATAAATAGTTCGCAAATATTATATAATATATTACATAAGAAATAGTTCGTAAATATTACATAATATATTACATAATATATAATTCGTAAATATTATATAATATATTACATAGTATATATTTTATACCTATAACATAATATATTACATAATAGTGCGTCAACACAAAATTGTCAGCCCCGAATAAATTTATTCTAACGCAAGATGATACGATGATTATTTAATCTGGAGTAAAATATAGTTTATTAACAGATTATAAAATAACCAATAGACATTTTGAATATATATTTCTATATTGTACTTCAAATGATTTATCTATTAGATCAAAGACCATTTGAGTTGCTTTTATCAACAACTAAGACATTTTGGCTAGTATTATTTGTTAATCATATTGATTTCTTTTTTGGTGCAAATTCCACACCCCCCTTATTTTTATTTTTATTTTTTTTTTTTTTTTTTTTTTTTTTTATTTTTATTTTTTTATTTTTCTTTTTTTCTTTTTTTCTTTCTAATCACAATCTTTTATCAATCAATCATTCGATAACGAAACGTAACGAAACGATTCCTTTTTAATCAAAAAAATTCCATTACACTATTATGACTATAGAAGATTCATTATCATATTCTAAACATACAAGAAATAAACTGTCTATTGATCAAGGTATTAAGAATTTAAATTTAAAAAAACGAAAATCGAGTCTTTATCAAAATTTTAATACAACCAATATATATAATAAATGTTTCCAAAATTATTATAATAGTTATCAATATTTAAAACCTCAACCTTGTTATGTATCAAATATAAAATCAAATGTTTATCATTGGCAATTAAGAGATTTAATTAAATTTAATAATTTATCAAATGATTTATATTATACTAAAAATGATTGTATAATGAAATATAATTTACAAAGTTTTAACATAAATTCACATTTGAAATTAAATTATAATCCAAGATGTTTTAATCATTTTAATGATTTTATTGTTACTGGTGGTGTTTTAACTAGTTCTTCAAAATTATTCAGTTTAAATTTATCAAATTTATCAAATTTATCAAATTCAAGTACTAATAATAATAATAATGATAAAAGAATAAATAAAGGTTTATTTTCTTTTTTTAATGGTTCAAATTTACATACTGTTAAAGTTGGTGAAATGATTAATAATGATGTTACAATTTATTCAAATGGTCAAAATCAATTTAATTCTTATATTTGTAATAATGATACTTTTTTATATTCACTTGATATTTCAAATAATGATATTAAAATGGTAAATAAATTAAATTGTGAAACAAATACTTGTTTAAATAATGTTGTTAAAAATCCTTGTCAAAATTTATTAATTGTAACTGGTGATTCTTCAAGTATATTTTTTATAGATCCAAATCAAAATAAAGTTGTAAACAAAATAAATTCACATCATGAATCTGGTTTTGGTGTTTCTTATCATTCAAATGGTTATTTATTTTCTTCTGTTTTTCAAGATGGTATTTGTCAATTATATGATTTAAGAAATACAAAGGATGTTATAACTGAAATTAAATCAACAAGGCAAGGTCATCAATCTGGCGCTTTTAGAGTTTGTAAATTTTCACCCGAAAATGATTTTAATGATTTATTAATTATATCTGAACATGTTGGTAGAATTCATTTAATTGATTTAAGAAATTTATCAAATGTAAATAAAGATCATCAAGTTATAGTAGTACCGGCTGCATTGGATCAATATGGAGAATTTAAAGCTAATAATAAACATGAACCAATTGATATTTATGGTGATTTCACTTCTCCTTTAGTTTATGATTATGATTATTTAACAAATGTAAATCCAAAATTATTTAAAGAATTTAGTTATCAATTCCAACAATCACCAGAAAGTTCTCCTCCAAAATTAAATACTCCAAATTATTCAACCACCACAGCTAATGAAGATACTACAGTATTATCTTCAATTTCACCAAGAGCTTCAATTGATTTTGATTCTCAATTAAATGATATTTATATGAGTCATGAACCTACTAATCCAAGTAGATCAGATTCATATATGCTTAATTCAAATTATGTTGAAGATTCTTATCAACAATATTCAAATCATATACATGGTGAAATGGAATTGAGTGGTATTGAATTTTGTAATCCTTTAAATTCAAGTGATTCGAAAATTATAATTGGATGTCAAGATGCTGGTATTTTAATGTGGGATATAAATACAAATTCAAGAAGAAGTTTTAGTTCTTTTGAAATGATATGAGAGATGATAGCATTGTATAGGAAAATTAGCATGATTAATGTAATAGTTTATCTTATTTGTACATTATAACATCTTTTATTTTATTTACTTAATTGTTATTTGGTAGTAACCATTGTTGATAATTTTCTTTTACTCTTAATTGAACATTAGACAAATTATCATCTCCATTTACATAATTAATTTCCAAATTTTTACATTGTTTAATTGAATCTAATATAATTTTTTCTTCATCTTCACTATTTTCTTCTAATGAATTCATTAAACCATTTATTATAATTTTAATTCTTTTAAATTGTAATATCAAATTTAATTCAACATAACCTTGTGAATCCATATTTTTTCTTAAATATAAGTCTTTAATTAAATTTTCTAATGAAAAATAGTAATCTATTTGTTGAATTAAAGCTTGTTGTGGATCTTGTTTTGGTGATATTGGTGGTGGTATTTGAACAGGGATAGGTTGCATTGGTGGATAAGGTATAAACATAGGTATCATATGAGATGGTAAAAGTTGTTGATGTTGATTTCTATTAAATCCACCATTTCTATAAGGTTTTTGATTATTTGATTGTTGTTGAGTATTTTGTGGATTTTGAGATCTTCTAAAACGTGTAAATGGTTGTGGTTGATAAAATTGATTATTGTTATTATAACGTTTCTGTTGTTGACCATTAAAATTACCATTATTTACGAAACGTCTTGGTTGTTGTTGTTGTTGTTGTTGTTGAGATTGTTGTTGAGGTTGAGGTTGAGGTTGAGGTTGAGGTTGAAATTGCTTAGGTTCGGAAACTTCTTCCTCCATATTAGATTCTAATTTTTCATCTTGTTTTACAACTTCTTCTTCATCTTTTTTAACACTTTCCTTTACCTCATCTTCTTTCTTTTTTGGTTGTGATGGAGTATGTTGACTTTTTTTACTTGACTTTTGCTTTCTACTTCTTTTTGGTTGAGATGTAGATGAAGTTTTTGAAGTATTTAAAGTGACTTTTGCATTAATTGGAACCCATTTTGTATTATATGATTGTTTTATAAATTTTTGAGGTTGTTGATTTTCAGTTTCTGATTTTTCAGTAGGTGTTGGCCATTTTGATTCATCCACAGATAAATTTGAAATTGTACTCGATAATGATGAAACATTTCCCCATACGCTTTTTGCAGGTACTGGAGCAGGAGCTAATGATTTTTTTGAGGCCGTAGATGTAGGCGTGGATGCAGATGGAATTGAAGTTGAATTCTGAGCGGAAGAAGATGATGAATCATTATCATTATTCTTTGATTTAGTATGATTTGTATTTGATGATTTATTTATTTCATCATGATTAGTCAACCGTTGGTGATCTTCATTTTTATTAGTAGTAATAGTAGTAGTTCCATTTGCGACAGCATTAGCATATGAAACCGATGATGAAGAAGATGCAGATGATGATGATGACATATTATGCAAAGAAACTAGTAGTAGTAGTAGTAGTAATCTAATACTATGCTATTAATAAATAAGAATGGAATATATACAATATATATAAATATTTTTCAACTTTATAAAAAAAATTTTTTCTTAGAGAAAAAAAAAAAAAAAAATTTCATACTAAATATTTACGGTACTGCATATATTAATAGTGATGGTGCTACCAAGTGTGTTGGAAATGATTAGTTAAAATGAAAACTTAAAAGTACCATTGATATTGATATTTTAGTAGTTGGAGTGTTTAATATATGAGTATATCTTAGTTGTATATGACTACATACTCTTCTATACTAATGAGTTTTATTCTAATTCAATTTTATCTTCACTGTCGTACCGCAAATGTCAACAAAAAATTAAAATTTATCTAACGTATTTATTTATTTCAGCTTTCAATTTAATTACTTCATCGTTACATTCTTTTTATATTAATAATGAATTCAATTTTAACTAATCCATTGTATAGACCATTATTGGAAATTATTAAATCAGCCAGAAATGGTATTGTTTATGGTGGTAAATTAAGATTTTCTCATGCTTTAGTTATAAGTTTATTATATAAATCAGGTCCTTTGAAACCAAGATTAATATCAGTTTTAAATGCGACAAAAGATCATGCTTCTGTACTTGCAAGTTTTGCAGTTATATATAAATTTACAATTTTAATACTTAAAAATGATTCAATGTTCGGTGATGATAAAAATATAGGTCTTATTAAATTTTTAGCTGGTTGTTTTGGTTCTTGGATTGTTTATTCACAACATTTTAATATCTTTCATTCTGGTATAACTCATCAAATTACTTTATATTGTTTTAGTAGAGTTGTAATAGCAATAGGTAAAATATTATTAGATCAATATTTAAATTGTTTTCAACCAAATTTTAGAAATCATAATACAAATCAATCAATTAAATATAGAGATTTGAATAATGTTCAACAGAAAAAGTTAAAAAATATGATTTATAATAAAAGCTGGAAATATTTTGCTATTTTAGTTTGGGGTTTAGTTATGTTTATTTATGATTATCAACCTCAATATTTACAAAGTAGTTTAAGACATTCAATGGCTTATATTTATGATGTTGAAATGGATTCTTGGAGTAATTGGAGAGAATTTTTAGGTATTTAGAGTAGGAAAGATTTGGTTAATTATGTATTTATTAGGTTTTAAGAAAATGGCTCATGGCTGGCATGACATTAAACAAACCACCAAAATTCTCAACAAAGCATATTACTCCTAGTATTAATTAATCGACAAACTTTACCTCAATTCTAATTCAGCGGTTTTAAAGTGGCAGTTTTTACATTTCTTAACAAAGTCTGATTTTCCTTAAAAAAAAATTCTGGCCAAGTAGAGGGTTTCAAATGGCACCAGCTTTCGCCTTGAGAGAAAAATTGTCCCGTATCCGTACTAGTTAATTGGATTGAATACGACTGCATATAAGTAAAATTGTTTGAGATCAATATTATTTGACTCTCGCCCAAATTTAATGCCACATAGATATTTTCTATCGCACTAACTCTGGGCCGACTCGTACTAAACATACTGGTTTCTATTTTTTTGTACAACAAATGTTATCCAAATAAGAATCAATTTTATGAGTTCAAAAGTCTTGAATTATATATCGTACATACTTCAGCGTCTTGATTTCGAACTTTTTTTTTCCATTGTCATTTTGGCCATTTTTCATCGCACAAAAATTTTGTCCAAACTGAAAACGCAGCGTATATTTTACTACGGCCATAATTTTGAAAAAACAATGCAATATCCTTATTATAGCACAGACTAAGGTGCTGATTTTAATTCTAACTGACCAGGACCAAAATTGAGAAATTTCAAAATCCACTCTTATGTATGGCAAAAATCGAATAAATTGACCTCACTAAAAATTTAGCTCCACAATTAAAATTATGAAGAAAATATGATAATACGAACCAAATTTCAAGATCCTGTTAGCTGATAAGCCTCAAGCTTTTTGGTGTTACAGTATTTAAAAATGGAAAAGTATTTTTTCAACTGTTAACGAAAATTTCGAAATTTTTTCGAAAAAATTTCAAACTGATTTTACCCACTTGAGAACGCTATACAGATAATATTTGAGGTTGATTAAGCCAAATCAGATATAATGGAAGATGTAAAATGACGTTTAAGCAATATCTATGTTGGAATTTAACAGTTTTTTTCCCATTTTTTTAATGAGTAATGAGCAGTTCAGGATTAATTTCTACTAAAAAATAATAGCATAAGCTTAATCCAAATTAAGTTAAATACTAATGGAAAAAATTTGAGCAGTACTACTTGTATATTGAAAGAGTTATTTACAAAATAAGTTTGAAGATTAACTACTATAATACTGCATATAAGTGCGAAATTTGATACTTTGTAGTTCTCGCCCAAAATTAGTGTGGTAGATGAATTCGAGCTAGAGAGAAGATTATTGTTTTTCAGGGTGCGATGTAGGCGGACATTGTAGAACGAACGAAACTTATATCGTAAAAATTTATTCAATGAAATTTTTGCGACGACAAACAGATAAGAAGTTGTCAATTTGATCATTATAGATTAAAAGCATTGATACAATGACTTCAATTGTATATATAAATTAAATTCATTCGTTAAATCTTTTTTTTTTTTTTTGCAGCCATTTCTTATTGCAATCCTAAATGATCAAACGAATACAAAACAAGAAACGACGAGAGTGAAAACTTAAATCATTTTGGTTTACAATCAATTTTCTAGATCTATTGCAATAGATATGGTCGTATCTAAACATGATCTTTTCTTCCCTTTGTTAAATACATTTTGAAGGCTATTCTTCGTCTAAGTCATAGTTTTAATACTCAAACCATGTTATATCATATCAAACACGGTTACATTTGTCAATTCAAAATCTCTTTGATTGAGATTCTAAAGTCATTAGCAGAATTTTGTTGAGTAGAATAAAAATGTTACTCTGAGCTTCCTTATATATATTTACATTAAAAATCCTTCTACTTACTTTATCATTTCAACCTTAATTCATTAATTCTAATTACAGTTTGATATGGTTCATCATAAATTCTAGTTGTTCTTCTACATCTTTGCTTTTTATTAATTTTCACTCTTATTGGTTCTTTTGTTATTTCAACACAACTTGCATTAATATCTAATAAATTTGGATTTATTCCATCTTTTTCATTTAATGTGACATTAGGTGAACCAATAGTTGTTATTTTTTTAAAATCTATTAAATCACCAACTTTAACATTTTTCAATTTATAAGGTAAATAAACTAAATCACCTTTTCTTATTAAATAAGGTAAATTATGAATATTAGCAATAGCATATAAATCTCTTGAACCATTAGATGAATATTTCAATAGATTAATAGGTGATACTGATGTAGCAGTTGTAGTGGTTGTCGTTATAAATCGTTTGAACATTAAGATTTTGATTGATGAAAAATTTTAATCAATTTTTTTTTTTTTTAGATTTTTTTTTTTAATTTTATTTTAAAAATCAACAAGATTTAAAAGAAAGAGAAAGAGAATGTCAGGGTCATTTTGGAAGTTTAGTAATGGATTTACTTCATTATCTAATATATCAACGTTATTAGAAGAAGAGAATAATAAAGATCAATTTGAAACTTTATTAAATTTATTAAATGAAAATGATTTATTACAAGAATTATTGAGTAATAATCCTGTTTTATTGGATTTTTTAAGACAAGAACAAATTATAACTTATTTAGTTGATCTTGTGATAAATGATGGTAAAATACCTGAAGACAAAGAACTTCCGAAAAATGAAAAGATAAAAGATGAAAATGGACTGGAGGAAGATGAAGATGAAAAAGAAGAAGAGGAGGAAGATGAAGACGATGAAGTCGAAGAAGATGAAGAAGAAGAAGAAGATTTACCAACTAAAAGAGCAACATTGGCTACAGAAATATTGAGTGCTGATGTATGGTCTTTAACAGATACAGTTATGGAATCAACAACAAATCTAAATAAATTATGGGATTTATTAGACTCAAAAGTTAGTCTATATTTTATAAAAATAATGGAGCATTTACTAGATATGAAATGTGACGAAACAATAACTTATTTAATTGAAAATCAACCAAATTTGGTTGAAAAATTTATGAAACATTTATCGAATCCACCATTAATGGATTTTTTATTAAAATTAATTTCAATCGATAAGCCTGACAATTCAACAGGTATGATTGATTTTTTGCAAAATCAGAATTTAATTGATAATTTATTAGCTAATTTAGAGGAGTCAAGTGACGTTATTAAAGCAATTATAACCATTAGCGCAAACAGCAGTACAGATTCTAACTGCATCGGTCCCAATGAGTTGACCAGGCAGTTAGTTCTGTACTCTGCTATAGAAAATCTTTGCAAACAAATGCTTGATGGTGGAATCAAATTAGCTAATGGTGTTGGTATTATAATAGAAATTATTAGAAAAAATAATTCAGATTATGATGTTTTACCTGTATTATATATAACATTAGAATCTCATCCTCCAACAGGTAGAGATCCAATTTATCTTGGACATTTATTAAAAGTTTTTGGTCAAAACATAAAGAATTTTAATGATTTACTTGTAAAAAATAATGAAACAAAATTAAAAACACCTTTTGGTGATATTGAACCTTTAGGTTTTGAGAGATTTAAAATTTGTGAACTAATTGCAGAATTATTACATTGCTCAAATATGGCATTATTAAATGATCCTAAAGGTTATGATGTTGTTAAAGAACGTGATGAGTTACGAAATAAAATGAAGGAGTTTGATCCGGTGAGTTTTAAATATAATGAAGTAATTGTAATGGAACATGAATCAAAAGAACATAATAATGAAGATCCTGTAATTGGAGATTTTCTTAAAATTGCATTATATGATACACAAATAATAAGTAATATTCTATCAATGTTTTTTAAATTTCCATGGAATAATTTTTTACATAATGTTGTATTTGATATTGTACAACAAATATTAAATGGATCAATGGATATTGGTTATAATAAATATTTAACAATTGATTTATTTACTCAAGGAGATTTAACAAATAAAATAATAGAAGGACAAAAATTATGTGATGATTATGAAAAAACCAATGGTTTAAGATTAGGATTTATGGGTCATTTAACATTAATAGCAGAAGAAGTTGTAAAATTTGTTCAATTATACCCTGACTCATTTGATTTGATAAATGAAAAAGTAGAAAGTGAAAAATGGGAAGATTATGTATCTCATGTTTTATATGATACTAGAGAAAAATATAATGCAATTTTAGGTGGTGATGAAGATACATTTGAAGAAGGTTTAGGAGAAATAATTGAAGAAGTTAAAACAGGGTTAGTATTTGATGATAATTTAAATTACATGTCACAACAATTAACGAGTACACCGCAAGATGATTCATCAGATGAAGATGATGATGAAGAGCATAGTTTAAAGAGGTCTTCTAGTAATCAATAAACATTCATTAATCCTTTACTCATTGCTAATCCAGATGATCTCTCATTATTATTATAAAATTGATCTTCAATAGGATGCATTAATATTGTATTTTTATTTGTTATTGTTATAATTGTATTAGTTGGAACACATAACCAATCACCTCTTTCAAATGTTAAAGGTTCTGAAGAAACTAATATAACATTTTGATTTCTATTTAATCTTTCCATTCTAAATAATCCAGATGAATATTCATAAAATTTAGAACCAGTTGAAAAATGTAAACTAGCAGCTTCATCAGTTGAAGATGTAATGTATCTTGAAATTACAACTGATCTACCATCAGTAGCAGCAAAATTTAATAAACTTGGTTCATCGGTAACTTCACATTGCCATTCTCTAATTAATCCAATAGTTTCTAATAAAGCTTTTTTGAAAATATTATGCGGTATTAACCCTTCACTATAACCTAATTTATTCAAAATATGTAAAAATAAAACAAATGCACATTCCGAATCTGTTGAACCTTGAATAAGTAAAAAAAATTTATCATCAATATAATTAATCAATTTTTTCTTTATTAATTCAAATTTTGAAATACCTCCATTATGCATAAACATTATATTTTCATACAGAAAAGGATGACAGTTTGTTTCTGATAAAACACCTTGAGTTGAAGCTCTAACATGACCAAATACTAAATTACTTTCTGTTGATTTTGATAAATTTTCTAAATTAACATTATTCCAAGCTGGAGTAATTGCTTTAAAACAACAAGGTGTATGATTTGTATAATAACCGACTCCAAAACCATCTCCATTTATTGGATTTCTTAAATCTAAACGTAACCTAGAATCAAAAGATTGGTTAATTATTGAATGAGCAGGTTTAGTAAGCAAATCTGAAAGAATCATTGGTTCTTTACCTTTATAAATCATAAATCGGCACATAATTAATTAGTGTATAAAAGAAAACCACAATTTTTAAGAACTGTTATTTTCATGTCGTGTTTCAATTTTTTGCGTCATTGATAAGAAAAAAACGACAGGCGATAAAAATAAAAATAAAATAAAAAAAAAAAGAATTAAATAGAACAAAACTGAAAATAAATTTGCTATAAATACATCCAACTTTCCCTGTTGTAGAATCATTATTCAATGTCATTATTCAGAAGTTTACAAAATAGTCCTGCTACGGTTTCGATCTTTCATAATGCAAGGATTCCATTATCAAATAAATTATATAATAACTTGGAAAAAACGTATGATACTTTACCAGAAAAACCAAAATATGAATTTACAATTGATTTAATGAAAGATAAAATGCCTACTTATGATCAATATAGATTATTTGTTGATAAATGTTTAACAAATGAACAAGCTAAAGTTACATTACAAAATTGTTTCCCATTTTTAAATGATAGACAAACTCATTTATATGACACGCACGGTAAAACTGTTACAATTAAAGGAATTGATTGGTCAAATAAGATTTTTAGTCAAAGTGAATATCAAATGATTTATGATACTTTTAATAAATTACAAGAAGGTAATGCTAGTATTGAAACTACAGCTTCAGATGTTTTTAAAGCTCCTTTAATTGTTGATTGGGATCAAAATAAATTGGCAGGTGATGAAAAGACATTGGAATTGTTATTAAAAGTGTATAAAGATCAATAATATTTAGCCCTGTTTTATAGTTATGGGTTCACAGCTCAAATCAAACTCTCGCAAATGACAACTGAAATGGGGGGTATTCTAGTAAGATTAAAATGTATTGGACAACCTATTTGAGCTAAAGACATTTGTTATTCTAATAGCAATAGATAATTTTAGCTGTTTTTGAACATTACAACGAGTTCAGACAATTCCAATACAGTTTTTGTCAGTAGTATGAGTACAGACTAAAGGTGATTATGGCTTTTATCACAATTCACATTAACTATAGCAAGAATAGAAAATATAAAAAATTGGCGGAGTAAAGAAATGCCTGAAATAATCAATTTACGGACTTTGAATTATTCACAGCTAATAATATAAATAAGAGTTTTCTCATCATTCATTGCTAATCCAAGGTCAGATAAGAATTGTACAGTCTTCCTTTGACTCTTCCAAGTAATATTATCATACTTCGCGGGGCCCAAATCCTACAGTAAGGATATAAATATAAATAAATATCTGATATTGAAAGTCAGTATCTAGTTCAAATAAACAAATGCCTAATATTAAAAAGTCAGTATCGTGTACGTCTTTGGCGGCTAATTTGTATTAACTATGCATCGGAGACATTTATCCGACACAAGCTAATTAACCGAATTAAAATTTCTTTGGTACGAAAATTAGCGCGACTTGTCGTGTAATTTAGCACGAGAAACGGAATGAAAAAAGGTACAGGGAAATTTGGTGCAATAGGCTGATGAATAAAATCGCTATCCAACAATTAAGCAGTCAAATTTGCAACCTAGAGGTCTATCTACTAACCCGTCCTTTTAGATTTGTAATCGCTTTATTCTATAATAAGTTATAGTTCTCCAAACAAAATCAAAAAATTGTGAAAATTCAATCGCAGCTAATGAAGCCTTGGTCAACTGAATCGCTGTATCATTAAATACTTCTTTTCTAAGCAGTGTTTCATAACAATTATAAATTTTACTTGTACCTAGCTTGTTTATCCTTTATTTTAATTGACTCTTTCTAATCTTCATCAACAAATTTCTTGGTCGTTGGCAATAACGGTTGCACATTCTCCGATATAAAGCTTATAAGCTTAAGCTCTTTAGATCAAAATTTCTGCAATTCCTTCATAATTCTTGAAGCTAAGGTATTTATTAGGACCATGTGGGAAATTAAGTCAATTTTGAGTAAAATGTCGGAAAGACAGATTCAACTTTCTTTAACAAACTTTTTACTTAAGAATCTAGTCTGTTAGAAGACTTGGGTTGTAATACAATGTTCAATGAGTTTAAAGTCGAAGAAGGTGCAGATCCAAGTGAAATCAGATTAAAAAATGTTTTAATTCAACAAAAGTAAATGTATGAACTAGAAGTCAATAGTTTACTTCATTACTTGTAGAGTCTACTACTTATATTCTAATACTATAAGGTTATGCACTGTTCATTATAACTATTCATTCTTGACACCGTGTAAATTTTCATTTTCGATTCGGGATCAAAATCTCGCGCGTTTGAAACAATTTAATTTTTCAACAACTTTCTTTATTATTAGTAATAATGCAATTTTGGAAATTATCAACAAAAGTCTTAGCTACTTTATTAGCTGTTGTTTCAGTTCAAGCAAGTGGACCAAGTGATGGTGATGCAATTGCTGATCCAAACTCAGCTGTTGTTAAATTAACTTCAGATAATTTTGCTTCATTTTTAGAAGAAAACCCATTAGTTTTAACTGAATTTTTTGCACCATGGTGTGGTTATTGTAAAATGTTAGGACCAGAATATTCAAAAGCTGCTGATATTTTAAAAGATAGTCCACATAATGATAAAATTAAATTAGCACAAATTGATTGTACTGAAGAAGAAGCTTTATGTATGGAACATGAAATTAAAGGTTATCCTTCTTTAAAAGTTATTAGAGATGGTAATAATAAAAATGCTGAAGATTATCAAGGTCCAAGAGAAGCTCAAGGTATTGCTGATTATATGATTAAACAAAGTTTACCAGCTGTTCAATTACCAACTTCATTAGAAGAATTTGAAACATTAATTAAAGAACAAACGCAACCTTTTATTATTTCAATTGGTGATGAAATTAATGAAATCTTTGATAAAGTAGCTGGTCAAAAGAGAAAAGATTATAGTTTTTATAAACTTGGTAAAGATTTAACTAAACAAGTTGGTAAATTATTTCCATCAATTGATTTGAAAAAAGCTGGTTATTTAGTTGTTCATCCAAATCAATTAGCAGATGCAATTAAATTAGATTCTGATAAGTCTATTGATGTTGATAAATTATTGGAATTTATTAATGTTGAAACAGTTCCATATTTCGGTGATATTGATAGAAATACCTATATGAAATATATGACATCACCATTACCAATTGCATACTATTTTTATAAAACACCAGAGCAAAAAGAAGCCATTTCAAAAGATTTAATTAAATTGGGTAAAAAATATAGAGGTAAATTAAATATTGCTGGTTTAGATGCAAATTTATATGGTAGACATGCAGAAACAGTTAATATGGATCCAGAAATTTTACCATTTTTTTCTATTCATCATATTAATGATAATAAAAAATATGGTATCAATCAAACTGAATATCCAGAAGGTCCAAGTGCTGAAGTTATTGAAAAATTTGTTGATGATTATTTTAATGATAAATTAAAACCAATTATTAAATCAGAACCATTACCAACTGAAGAAGAAATTAAATCACAACAAGTTACTAAATTAGTTGCTCATAATTATAATGAAATTTTGAATGATTCTTCAAAAGATATATTTGTTAAATATTATGCTCCATGGTGTGGCCATTGTAAAAAATTAGCACCAACTTGGGAAGAATTGGCAGAAATTTATAATGATTCAAATGTTGTTATTGCAGATGTTGATCATACAAATAATGATGTTGATGTTCCATATGAAATTCAAGGATATCCAACTTTATTATTATTCCCAGCAAATGGTGAAGTTGATGAAAAAACAGGTATTAGAAAACCAATTGTTTTTGAAGGTCAAAGAGAACTAGGTTCTTTTGTTGATTTTATTAAAGACAAAGGTTCATTAAAAGTTGATGGTGTTGTTTTACAGAAAAGATTACAAGAAGAAAAAGAAAAGAAAGAAGTAAAAGAAGAAACTGAAGAAAAAGAAGAAACTGAAGAAAAAGAAGAAGTTGCTGACCATGATGAATTATAGTTGAATAAATATAAGTTTATTATAGTGTTATATTCCCCATACTTTAACTAGTTTATCATCGCTGACACTTGCCCATATCTTACCATAATCTTTACCCTTTGTATAAGTTCCTCTGATATTCCAATCAACAGCATTACATAATTTCAGATGCCCTTTAATACGTTTAATTAATTGACCTGTTTTTAATTTCCAAATATAAATTGAACCATCATAAGCACCACTTATAACTAATTCTTCTTGTTTAGTATCTTCAACTAAATAACCAAATGTAGATCTAATTATAAATGTAGATTGTGAATGACCAAAAAATTTTTTATATAAAATAGGTTTATCATCTGAAATATCCCAAACTTGTAATTCTTCAGGTGCAAAACTAACTAATAAATATTTTCCATTTGAAGATATTGAACAAGATGTTAATCTCCCTTTTAATGAATCTTTTAAATTGATTGATGAGACACGTCTAGTTGTAGCATCATCTGATAAAATATCTGGAATTGTATAAAAATGTAACTGACGATCATTATTTGCCGTTATTAAATAATTACCATCTGGTGTAATTGCCAAATCATTAATTCTATTATAATTATTTTCTATATTTTCTGAATCTTTCATTGAAACATCTTTAGATTCATCTGTACTTTGACTTTCTTCTTCTTCTTCATCATCTAAATTCCCATAAAAATCAAATAATTCATTTCCTTCACAATCAAAAATCTTTAAAAATTTATCAGGAGATCCCACTATGAATTGTGGAGTATTTGAATTTAAAGTTGTTCTTTTGTTTTTGGGTAAAAATTCACAACTCCAAGTTTTAATATCTTGACCTAATGTAAAACAAGTCATTAATTTAAAATCACCAACATTGAGATCACTTGAAGATCTTGTATACCTTTTTTTATTTATATCACCAATTGACCAAACTCTAATAACTGTATCTAAACAACAACTAACTATATATTTTTCAGTGGGATCCCAACAACAATAAATAATTGCTTTTCTCTTACCACTGGTTGGCTTCGAACTAAATGGTACAAATTTAGAAGCTTCTTGTTGTTGAGTAGGTTCTAAAATTTTAATCAATTGAAAATTATTGAGTACATCATATAAAATTAGTCTACCATCTAAAGAACCTGTAACCATAAACTTGCCACTTGGTGAAAATTTAACAAACCAAACTTCATCTTGATGATATGTTAAAGTATGTAATAAATTACAATTGAAATTATTTTGAAAAATCATTGATGGTGGTATTTCTTCATCAAGTTTGTCATGTTTTGTTCTTGGTGGTATAAACAATGGTGATTGAGATTGTTGATATTTTACGGCCTGTTGTATAATTGTAGATAAATTTGTTGATAAATTTGGTGCGTCTTTAAAGAAACTGTAGATAATATACTTTTGAAAAGATTTATCATTTAATTCAGTTTGTTTATTTAATTCTGATAAGATAGTTGGATTGATAAATTCTGAAACTTCTTGTTTATTAATTGTATCTAAAATTGGTAACAATTGATTATTTAAGTATTCCAATTGATTTTCTTGATTAACTAAATTAAATCTCCGTATAAAATATAGCAAGATTAATATGTATTCCTTAACAAATTCACCTTGATAATTTAATAAATTTATAAGCTCAACTGGATTTTCTGTTTGATTGATTATGTTAGTTAAATATTGATCAAGCAAGTCAAATTGTGATTTTTTAAAAGTTTGAAAAAACCATGACAATAAATTATCTTCTTGTTGAATTAATTGATCTGCTATTTCATTATAACCTAAATCTTGTAATTCATTGATAATTAATTGTAATTTAAATTCCGTTGACATTATAGAATAATCGAAAAAAAATTTATATTTTGTGCAATTAAAAATGACATTGATTATGTAAGCGCGTAAAGTTGTGGCCAATCGATAAAGTTAACGTAGAGTGATGTCTTCGCGTTGTTCAGCCTTGGGTTTGCATTTGAAAGAGAGCGAAGGGTTTAATTTTGGTTTGAGAATATTTTCAAACAAATTGATGAAAAATCAGAGATTATCAAAAAAATTTACTCGGTAATATAACTCCAGATTTACTTATTCAACTAACCAAAGTCTAACTAAAGTCTAACTAAAGTCTAACGAAAGTCTAACGAAAGTCTAACGAAAGCCTAACGAAAGTGCTCAAAAGTAGTGAATCTTGAATGGCGGATTATTTAGGCTGATTTCAACGAAATTTAAAGTTTTACTATTGATATTGAAAAGTTGTGAAAAATCGGAATGATTTAAAATTCTCGGGTAAACTATTCCCATTCGTACGGCACTGTACGAATAGAATTAAACTTTCTGGTGGCAAACTAAGTTTCAAAACAATAAGAAAAAGGAAGAATACAAAAAGTGAGTCATTATTTTGGAGATCGATCTAATTGTTATTAACGAATGAATGACTAAATCAAAACATAGTTTTGTATGGTTTTAAGTTTTGTATATATTTGAAATTCCGACGACACGTGAATAAAATGGTGAACACCGATTACAGATCTGTGCTTGATTGTACGTTGTAGAATTATAATCTGATAAAACATTATAGTAATTATAAGTGAGCTTACTAATTAAACAACTGGCTTGGTTAAACTCAGCCGCTTTACTTCTACAACGAAAAATAGCAGAACGCATATGGAATAATAAACAATGCATTAGATTTTAAATCGAAACCTGACCGTGCAAAATAATACTCAAATGAGCACATTAAACTCAAAATTAAATCGTAAATCACTCTAAAAGTTTGAATTTGAGTTGGAATTTAATTTCTATTTATAAACTTTTTTATTTTTTATTTTTCATCAAATATATAAATAAATATCAATTTCAACCGAGAAGGGTTCACTAGTTTGATGCATTAATTATAATTATAAAACGTAATTTTGTGATTGATTATTAAACTTCACAGAAAAAATCTATTGTTTTTTCTATCAATTTACTGTGTTACAGGAATTGAATGTAATTGAGATTTCACCATGGGGAAGAAAAGATCCAGATTATCAAAAGTTTGCGACTTTTGTAAAAAAAGAAAGGTCAAATGTGATTTAGGTAATCCATGTTCAACTTGTATCAAGTACAAAAGATCGCCTTGTGTTTATAGTGAACAAGTTCATCAACCTGAAAGAAAATCATCAGATGAGTTAAACAACGTATTCTCAACATCAAATAGATCATCCGCTTCCTCAGTGAATTCAAAGGAATTTCATAAAGATAACGTTCAAGATGAATTATCATTTTTAAGAGAAAAAATTGCTACTTTAGAAAAATCTGTTCAATTACAACAAAATGGAGGTTCACCAATTTATAGTCCAATTGATATCAATTCACCAGAAAAATTGGATCCTAATATGATGATTGGACATAATCCTGTTGAAAGTGAATTTGATACTTATAATTTCTTTGATGGGTATTCTCCGACCAATGATAAAGAACCTTTAAGAAGAAGAAATTTTGGTCCTTTAGCTTGGATAACTTTATTAAAAGTTGATAATGGTTTATCTACTGTTTGGAAAAACTTGAATGATTTAAAAGATAAGTATAAATTTGAATATACTCAAGTAGAAAAAAATTTCAAGGAAAAAGCAGATGAAGAAGAAGGTGCAAATGATATAAGACCTTATAGAGATATGAAATTGGAAAAGAAGGAAAAAGTTAATTTATCAAAAGCAGTTTGTTTAGGATTATCATTTTATGAAGGTGGTTTAGATCAAGAATTAGAATTGGTTGAAAAAATTAGATTAGTCTTGCCAAAACAAAAGGTAATTTGGTTATTATATAAAAGATTTTTTACCCATTTATATCCTGCTTTTCCTTTTATTGATGAGGTTATATTTAAAGAACAAGTACAGAAATTGATTGGTTATGAAGCTCATTTAGATTTTAATGTATCAGTTAAAGTTGAAAAAAGATTAGATTTTGCAAGTCTAGGAATACTACTACTCATGTTAAGATTTAGCTACATCAGTTTATTTTCCTACGATTCAACAATAAATGAAATTAATTTCCAATCAAATGATCCATCACCTGAAGCTCAACAGATTAAATATTTACTCAATAATCCAGTGAACATTGATGTTGTCAATATATCCCAACTATGTTTGAATCAATTTAATATAATGAGAAATTGTAATATAACTTTGATGCAATTGGCTTTATTAACAAGAATGTATCATAATTTAGCACCTGAAGATGGTGATGGGATTGATGGTGGTGATGCTAGAGTTTTCAATGCAACATTAATTCACATGGCAATGCAATTGGGTTTACATAGAGAACCTGACAAATTCGAATCATTTAATGATGAAAAAATCAATAATATTGGTAGAAAAATTTGGTATTTAGTTTTAATTCATGATTTTAATGATGCTTTATCTAATGGTAATTTAATTTCAGTTGCTCCTGATTCATTTGATACAAAAACTCCATTTTATAAACCAGGTAATGAAAATGTTATTGATGTTGAAATGGAAAAGATTACATGTGCTTGTTATCCAAACTTTGAAACAGCTTATGAACCATTATATGATTTATTTAATACCATGTTTAAAGTTAGAACACCTTTTAATATGAAAGATTTAGCTACAAGATTAGAACAATTGGAAGTACATTTTAGTTCTAAATATCAAGGTCTAACATTGAATTATGATTTTAATCTAAACCAAAAGGAAATTATACCAAATACTGTGAAATTGAAAATTTACTTTTCTGCAAACTACTGGCTAGCTAGCATTTATTTACATATTTTCAATTATTATGAAAGGAAAAAGAATTATAAACTTGCTTATTATTATTTGAAAAAGATATTTTTGGTTGTAATTTATGAAGTTATGCCATTCTTTTGTGAATGTATTTCACATAAAAAGAATATTTTTAAAAATTCCATTGATTTAATTGCAACTCCTAAATTTTGTTCAGTTGCTCATACATCTTTATTAGTTATAACGGGTTTATATCTAAGATTAAGACATACAATTGAAAAATTATCATTAAAATTTAATCATACAGCAAGATTACAGGACTCACAATATCGTTTACATTTTGAAAGATTGACCAGCTGTTGTGAATTATTGAATAAATCAAGAGATATATTTAGAGATGGAGTTGCAAGATTATCACATAGATATTATTATGCATGGAGAATTACAAAAGCTCAAAATTTTTTAACTTCAGTTTTGGATGATTCATATTTTAGGACTAGTTTTAAACCTGACGTTGAATTAGATTATTTTACAACTGATATGTTGAAAGAAATTGAATTTATAATTGAATCATCACTAAATAAAATTAAACATTCAAAAAAGCAACAAAAACCTGTAAATCTTTTTGAATCATCAAGTATCAACTCAACTGGCTCATCTATAGTTGATGTTAATGAATTTAAACCAAATCCAGAGATTGATTCAATTTGGTTACAAATGATGAATCATAAAAATGATAAATTTAATTTTGATAATTTTGTTTATAATAATGAACCAATGTTGAATACTCCAAATTATTTAAATGATATTTTAAATAATAATCATAATCAAGATTATGGTATAATAAATGAACCAATAGATGTGGGAGGATTGTTTGAAAATTTTCCGGTTGATGAGTTATTTAAAGATTTTTCATAAATAACTTTAGCTTGTATATAAGAATGTATGTTATGATGATAATACAAGGTGTATGTACATCGATTTACTTCTTGACAAAATTGATTGATCTTTAAGTTACATCAACCTAAAACCTCCGTATACCTTTCTTCATCCCATTTCGTGCTAAATTTCACGCGCTAGCAATTGCACCAGTATTTTTCTCCTTCGTTCGATAAACAATATTCATCGAGCTATTGATACGTTAAGGCCATCCTGTCTAAAACTTGGCCAGAGTTTAACACCACATGTTCTTTTTGTTCTCGTATGGTTAGCGATCTATATGATGGTTATCACTAGTTTACAAAATTGTAAAGTTTTCAATATCCAACTAGAAAATCATCATGATCTCCGAGTCGATTCTTAATAGCAAGTACGCATTTTCTGGAACTCTGCGGTACACTTTTATATATCTGCTTTAGTTATACTATACTTCGATATAAATATGATTTGATGCCCGATGATTGGAGCGAGAAAATAATTCTCGCGCTAGCTCTAGGGCGACTCGTTCAAAACGTTTTTGTTTATATTTCGAGAACAAAGCATTATTATAAGATGAATACCACTTCTACAGAATCAGGAGCTTTGAGTTCTGTATATAGCAATATTCAAAACTTCAAGTTCAACGATTTTTTTTTGAGTTGGGATTTTGGACTTTTTCATCATACAAAACTTTTCAAAACAATTAAAAATTGAATATGTCTTTAATTAGGGTCACAACTTTCGATTAAAAAATGAATTATATATATGATAGCGCAAAATAATGTGTTAAACGTAATTCTAAATGATCTCAACCAAAATTGTAAAATATCAAAATTTCTCTTAATTTTGATGAAAATTAAATAATTTGACCTTAAGAAAAATTAAACATTACAATGAAGATGGGGATTAAGACATATAAAAGTATCAAGATTTGTAGTTTTTCATTTTGATATATCTTAATTTTGGTTGTGTTACGGTATTCAAAATAGAAAATCAATTTTTCAGAAGTGGTTAAGGATGCAACAAACACTTGAGGTAAGGATGCAACAAACACTTGAGGTAACAAACAAACAAACAAACACTTGAGGTAAGGATGCAACAAACACTTGAGGTAAGGATGCAACAAACACTTGAGGTAAGGATGCAACAAACACTTGAGGTAAGGATGCAACAAACACTTGAGGTAAGGATGCAACAAACACTTGAGGTAAGGATGCAACAAACACTTGAGGTAAGGATGCAACAAACACTTGAGGTAAGGATGCAACAAACACTTGAGGTAAGGATGCAACAAACACTTGAGGTAAGGATGCAACAAACACTTGAGGTAAGGATGCAACAAACACTTGAGGTAAGGATGCA